ACGTCCTGTCCCTTTGTCCTGCCGGTCATGTCTGCCGTGTCCCGTCACGTCCTGTCCTCCTATCGTCTGTCTTGTCATGTCATGTGTACCCTACCCATAAAATATATTGCCTAAATAGAATCTATTTAGAATCTGCAATAACCTTCTAACCCTGGCATAATGAATTTCTTTTTCAAATACATTATACCTATATTTCACACAATAGCTATTTTGCAAAATGCCTCTGCTGTGGATGGAGGGAAGACCGCGTCGCCGTAATGGCTAATAACAACCGTGTCGTTCTAGTTCTAGCCTGAAACTACTCGCGTTCATGGGAATCGAGACTGTGGATAAATGATTGGGGCGGCGTCGAGTGAGAGTGGGATCTGCACCCCGGGATGCAGCGCAAGCATCGCTCGTGATCATTCAATAGCAAATGCCATCGAAATATCACAGCACGCCCTGGGAATACTCAAGGTAGAGTGCCTGCCCGGGCTAGCCCAGCTCGGCACGCCGCCGCTTACCGCCCGCGCTCACCTCGCACCCAAGGAAGGGCACAAGCCTCGAGTCTGTGGTCGACAGCCTAAAACAAGTCTCTTCCAAGGAGCAGCTCTTCTCATGCGATAAGACATGGAAGTTCACGCTGGCCACCAACACGAAGGGTATGAGCACATGGAGGATGAGGGCTTAGGTAGAAAATTGAAGTTTGGCACCTTTGATGAGGCCAGGGGTGTCGTCATTGATTGATTCAGAGACAGGACGAAGAGGACATGTTGAGGTGATCCTCGGTGTCGTGTCGTAACGCGTGTATCATAGCGCATGTTGAATAAGTCATAAAGATAGGGGAAAGGCATAGGAAAGAAAAGAGAAAAGTGGGGGGCGTCAGCTTCTTCTACCAGGGGCGCAACCCGATTCTGTTCCCCTGGTGCACGCGTGTCGTTAGGTGTTGGAGTGTGTAGAGGGGGAACGATACTTCGCCGTGTAGCTAGTACCGTGAGGGAGCTTCGTAGTGGCTCGCCTATGTGTCGTCGCCCTCATCGTTGTCGGCAGGGTCGTCTTCGCGGTGTCGCCGGTGTCCCCGCATGTTGTCGGAGTTGTTGTCCTGTATGTGTTCCTCCTCATCCTCCCATCTGGCGAGCTTCGCCTCTGCTCACTTCTTGCCTGTCTTCGTCAAGGCCCTACTCTCCTTTAGGAAGTGTCCGAGCGCATCGATCCCAGCTGGCGTGCCGAGGATGGTAGGGATGTCGATGGTTTTGCTTGCCTCGCGTAGTATATGTCGGGAGCTGTCGTATCTCGGGCAAGCTGGTAGTATATGCTTGCGTGACTGAATAGTACACCACATGGGCAGTCAACCGGTTCAGACGGTACAAAATGCTAGTAATACTCGCCAAGGAAAGCATGTCCTGTGCGGCATTGCACAAGTCTTCCAAGAAAAAACCCCTCGAGAGTTCAATAAACGGCTTGCGTGCGTGAGTCTGCGGGGGTAAACGGTCCACGCTTGCGAAAGGACCAGTCGGTGCGTTTCCACTTGGCGGTCCATTTTTCGAAGGCCTTTTCGTTTGCGCGGCGAAGGGCGTGAGCGTGTGTGACCTTAGTTGGGCCCCCAGGGATCTCAGTCGCCTGTTTGGTGAGTTTGCCAGTAAGTTCATTACCTATGATGCCCTTGTGGCCGGGGGTCCATGCGATGTCTACTGTGTTCTCTGGGTTAGCATTGAGGAATGCTGTGTCGAAATGGTACAGCATACTCAATGGCTCTATCTCACCCAATGGAAAACTGCCATTCCTCGATCTTGCCAGAGCAGTTTTGGACCGGGGGAAAGCTTCGTTACATGTAGAGAACGTGTGTGAGCCAAACGTATCTCAGTTGCGTGGGAGATGAAGTGAATAACGCAACGGATGGAGAGCAAACACGCTCGCCAAACAGAGCGACGTTCCGAGTACACGTCCCGAGTACAAACTTCCCGGTAGATCGGACAGAGCATGGGTAAGTAAACAAAGAATGATGGGATCGCGACACGTCTCAAGAATGCGGGCAGTCAGTACTGTGATCCATCCAATCAATTTCAATAAGAAAAGAAAAGGATGCAGGCGGACCTGGAAGGTGCACGGGTCGCTCTTACAGTCATCACACTTGACGGTGTCACCCCTGAGTTTGATAAAGTCACCGATCGTGGGAGTGTGAGGGGACATTTGAGCAAGAGGTGTTCGATATCGCGTTTGGGATCAAAGAACTCGAAGTGGACGTCACGAGGCTCTATTGAGGCTGCTGCTTGAAGGACGATTAGGGCGAGTAGCAAGAGGGTATGCACGATTGCTGGCCTCGTCGCTCGATAAGTCGGCGTTGCAAGCTGATCAAAGCTTAAAACACGCTGAATTGGGCTTAAAAGTCAGTCATTGCAAATGGGCGATGCTCATTTTCACAACCCACTAGATTCGAGCGCCCACTGGCCGTACTTCATTTGACGACCTCGGGCAGGATCGGCACCTCGCAGGATCGGCACCTCAGTCGTCTTTGGATATGATTACAACGCTCCGCGAACCCATGCGGGTGCCGTGGTCAGCGATGACGCGCGCCATCGATTGGGCACGTTCTACAGGCGTACCAAGGGTGCTTGGATGTTCCAAGGCGGACATTTTGATTCTTCCTGGGGCGACAGGAGCTGTGGGGTGGGAGTCAGATTGCCATTCCAGAATTCGAGATCTGCAACGGAACAAAGCTCGCGCTCGATGATAGAAAATAGATACCCACATACTGAGCGCCTCTGCAATCCCAAAAACCAGCCCGCTCACGACATGCGACAATGCAGTGGAATTCGTTCATATTCCCGCTCGACACTGGCGAAGGCGCAGAGCGTCGCCGGGGATGATGACGCGCAAGGCAAACCCAGCGCTTCTGCAACAATTAATATTTCGGGCGACTCGCCAGAAGAGTACCGATAGAGCATAAGAAAATCTACAGCCGCCTTCTCGGCTGTGACAATTTATAAACATGGGCAGAGCGACCGCGCACCTATGGAAGAGTGTATGGTTTTTTCTGGCATTTCTCAGCCAACCTGTGCCTTTAGCGATGGTATCAAATCCGAGACCCGAGCTCGCGTAACGCGGAGCAAAAGCACCTAAACGAGAACGGCGCCATTGGCGAAGCAGTGAAAGCAAACAGAAGACGAGGAGGAGGTACGCGCGCGGTCGCCCAGCCAAACATCGCAAGTGCCAAGAATGCACTCCCTGGAACGGCAACTGCCGGCCGCGATTCGCGTGGAGTGAGTGATCGGATCTGGTAATCTAGATACAGTAGGGTTAATCTACAAAGGTACAAGTAATCCGTCGGTGAAAGGATTATAATTATGAAGATCTACGCAGTCTATTTGTTCTCAATCGCGCGCGCGCATGATTATCTTCATTTCACGAAGTTTTCTACAAATGCACCCCTCTGCTTCACTTCTTTCTTACGAACGTTTCGACCCTCCAATGGTAAAGCTGGGACAGGTCTCCCCTCAATCTAAAAACGCGTTAGCTAGCACCGGCGAGCTCTGGAGAAAACTCACATTCGCAGATGATCCGGGCGTAGTTGCGAAGAGTGCGGCTGCACTATGTCAGAAACCCGAAGCCCTTCTGGACACTGAGAAACATTACCTTGTGCCAGGTAAAAGCGCGCCCGGGAATCGTGCTAGGCGGACTGAATTTATGAACGGAGCCCTTTGTGGCTTTTACCTTAAAGCTCATACTCTGAAAGGCCTGCGCGATCATTAGGCTGAATGCAACACAAAATGCACTCAAAAGCAACATACTTCCACCAGTTCACGCCATCCGACGGATCCTTGCACTTGGAATATACTCCTGACAGTCTGCAAGATGAATTCAGAGCACACCGAGTCAATAGACCTTCAACTTACTTTATAATGTCGGCCGCGAAGGGCGATCGTCCCATTCATGGTCGATATATCCGCAGACGAGAGAGAAGAAACTAGAACGAAGAATCGAGCAGCAGGTGAAAGGGGACAGGCAGAGGATAGGGAACAACTGGCGCTGGACGCCTGGTGAGCGTAGATGGCGAGAGTCAAAGTCGGGGGAGCGAGAAGTCCCAGATCAGCGATCTGCGGTACACTTACACAGGGACAACTTTCCCAGTGTCACATAGCAGAGGGAGCCTTCGTGGTACGTTCGACCAAGTGAACTCACTAGATTATTTTTGCCCATCGACCAGTTAATACCGAGGCTCCGCATCATATAGCCATTAACATTATGTCATTCCTACAGGGATGTAAAAGAGCCTGTCACGTTTTGGTCAGATCTCTGTAAGTTCCTATTGAAGGTTTAAAAACTCGCCGTGTAAGGCTGCGTAGCTTTGGAGATAATACACTAGGGCGGTAAACACAAGGTACATTATTCCCGGCGCGAGGGCTGATTGTAGTTCCTCGACCTATCATTCAGACAGGCGAGACCACTGGTCGGTATATCAGGAGTCTGCGTTCTTCAGAACTGTTGTTGACTATGGTAACAGCAGCCACAATTCCTGGCTGGTAAGTGTTCCGCCATGGCAGCCGCCAGCGTGGTCTGGTCCCTAAGACCAAGCTGGGACTTGACGTGGCGTTTGATTGATTCTCTGAAGAGCTTCTCTTCCTCCTTCGTCGCAGGCTGAACAGTAGGATCGTGGCCACGCTGTGATTGCGAGGCGTGGGCGTACCGCCACAGGAATTCACAGATAGGCTGCGCATCATGATGCAGGTCGACCGATTCTGAGACGATCATTCCAGCACGGTCCCAGCGGATAAGCCGGGCGCGCGATCCAGACAGTGCAACAGAGAAGTAGAAGCTGCGATGCTGACGAGCGCACGCAATGTTCATCCCCAGCCCTCGTTCGGCCCGATTTCGAGTTCGTTCATCGTAGATATTCAGAATGAAATCGTGAGCAGAGCGATCATCGCCTTGAGCTGGATCTGTGAAGGCGTCCAGACCAGGATGCTGCTGGACGTCAATATACAGGTCGGCGCAAGAAATAGAGCTCACGACTGTCGATTTTGGGTTCATCGAGCCAATATCTTCTTCGGAGAGGCAGGAAACATGGGGATTCATTGAACCTATCTCTCCGCGATTCACATCGAACGAGGTTGTGTCTATGAAGACAAATCCAGGACATCTTGGCCGCGACTTCGTGGCGCCTCTTCCAACACCATTGAGGGCAATAATCTGTACAAATTTAATATTTGTGATAGACAGAAAAATCTAAATACCGCACTAATGGTTCAATAATCTGCTGCCTGTGCTCAGCTTCTGCCGGCAGATCTTTGAATGCTTGCACAGCAGGGGGCATCGCGGACATATCAGGCTTCGGCAGGAATTCCAGAAACTTGTCAACAGGCATTACACCAATTATATAAAGGATTGGGAACAGTTTGCAAATTCACGATATCGCAGCTCACCTCGGTGACAGTACTAATGTTCTATGCCTCATCCATTCTGCACGGGTCGGATGTCCTCCCGCAGGAGAGCAGTGTGTCGTCGTTCACTCAGTGTTCTCGACGAACGCCTCGCGCGCAGCCTCGAGGAAACGTACCTCGCACCGCTTACGTGCAGCGCTGACGACGTTGGCGAGCCCTCACCCTCGCCACATGCCATCGCACATCTCCGCTTAATTGCGACCACGCCGTCCTTGTGCAGGTTCTTGATCTGGCCCGCGAAGCAAGCAGATCCATCGGACAGCTTGTGCTTGTACACTGCCTGGTGGCGACGCTAGCTACTTTCCCAGAGACTTCTACTGCGGGCAGTCGCTTTCATATAGTCGCTGGCGTGGGCGCATACCCGGCAAACCCACTGCACGACATGGGCGCAATACAGTCAGTAGTGACCCGTGGCAAGATGTTGCTCTATCAGCGAGGCGCCATACCTGGTATTGCTCGGTCAGTGATGCGACGTACCCCAAGAAACACGACGTATGTCGACATACTGATAACGACAGACGACGGCAGCACTAGCAGCACTAGCAGCACTAGCTCAAGACGGCGTCGGACAGCAAGCTTGGGCAAACCTTGGTGAGTTCGCGCGCGAGCAATACAAACGAGGATTAGTACTGTACAGGATCTCATTAAGGATGGGATCAATGACAAACCTAAAGCTCTGCCCACATACAGTCAACTATGGAGGCCCATCACTGCCTGCCGCTGTCGTTCTGACAGTACGCGCACTGAAATTTGAGGGATGCCCTGACGGAACAGCATCGAGTTGCCAATCGTAAGGGGCCGAGACCTGGAGAACCTCTCTCGCAGCCAGACATGAGAACTCTGCCAAACCCTTTGTTGCGTCTCATGCGCCCACTCGTAGAGTTTACACACGCACAGCAACTCGGACGTCTGAACAAAAGTCGTGGGGCGACAACCAGGCGGTGGGACTCAGAGTAAAGCCCTTACATCGTGCGGATATCCGAGCTTCACTATGGCTTTCATCCGTACGCAACATACGCTAAAAAGACCTCTTGGCGAGGCCTGCCTCCTGCGAGAGGTGGCAACTCTACCAACTCCAGATAACCACGACGAATAGACAATCCGACGTGCTCCGCCTGCCAAGACGTTGGACGCGAGCGTACGGTCTAGCTGCGCGTCCGACTCGGTGTCATGGTATGCATACAGCCCTCCGGCAAGCTGTATGCGCGCGTCAAATGACGAAGAGAGAAATGCGAAGACCATCTCACCCACCTTCCGACTCACTTTCTGGAGGGCTGTCTAGCACAGAGGGATATGTCGAATTCCAAATGCTCATCGTTGCCAAATATGCACAACAGTCCAGCTCCTGCCAGAGAGGAGACGGCTGCGATACGGGGCTCACAGACATGCCGAGATCTACCCACACGTGAAGACCAGTAGTACGTCTTCCCCCCGTCGTCTCTGGCAGACGCTTTGACCCCCGACGCAACTCCAGCGTTGACCCCGCCCTCGACATCTCCCGCCAAGCGGCAGTGTCGTGGGGGCAATACGACGGCGGGAGGCGAAATTGACACGGGAGAGTACCGTGGCGGCGGGAGGTCATTGATCATCGGTGTAACAGTTTGCAGGAGGAAAAAAGGAACTCACGAGAGAAAAATCAAACTTGGAAAGTCGATGATGCGGAAAGCGGCATTCATTTTCAGTTTCTGCGCCCTAGAGAACCAGTATCCGGCTAGGCTTGTCGCCCTCACGGCTGAAAAGACAGACAACGAAAACAGCACACCCAACCGACGATTGCTTTACCTGCGCCGACGTGTCAACTCGAGGATGACATGTCTAAGCACACGCCTGGCAACACCGCGGTCTCAGGGACCATAGCTACGCAGCTACGCACTGCTTTACCTGCGCCGACGTATGGCCCAGGTGGTCCACACGCCTCAGCACACGCCTGGCAGTCGTGCTGTCATCGTAGGTTGCAGGAGGTCGGACACTTTCGGACACGGTTGGACAAGGTCGGACATGGCCCGACACTGCAGTGGGCACGTGCAGATCATGGCGGTCACACGATCAGACGCGATCGCGTGCTGCGCGTTCACATCATGTGACCTCGCACAGGTGTTCGACGTTACTGCGTATATTGAACTGTGTGGTGCGTAAGCATATCATCGGGTAGTATGACAGAGCGTCGAGAGTCCCAAGGTGAGAACTGGTCGAGTAAACTATTTAAGACGACGAAATAGAATCGAGTTCGGTACAAAGTCGTCGGGTGAGGCCGACGGATGAAGTATTGGGGAGCCCACAGACACGGCGGCAAGCATGGGCGATCGCGACGGATGCCCCGACCGGGCACGCATGAAGGCCCTCATTCAGCACATCCCACATGCCTATATTACAGCTCCATTATGCTGTGTGTGAGCTCGAACATGCACCCTCGCTTCTTCAAGCCTCCCATACCTATAGGCGACCCTCGAAATCGCTTCCACCTCTCAGGAGGAAGTAGCTTGTCCCACGAAATCCATGCGATGATTTTTAATGGTGTGAACGGCCGATGGTGGCTCCCTTTTGGGGTGTGCTCCCCGTGTCTCAGGCGTTGACGCTGCAAAGCAGGGCGAACGACAGCGCCTGCCGCATATGGGCGCGCACGTGGAGGCGCGACGCGTCAATAAAACGCGTCAACAAAGGCAACGCGTCAACAAAACGCGCCAACCGAAGGGACGCGTCAACAGCGCAAAACAAGCCCTTTGGGCGCCCGAGCTTGCTTTAAATTCACCTGCCTTCGCCTGCCTCCTCCCAATGCTCCCACTTTTTTCCCACCGCTGCGATTCTCTGCGCTGGTCTTAGAGTGTTCTTGGAGTGCTCTTGTCGCTCGGTACGCGCCTCTCCTCTCAGGAAAAGCGCTATCCAGTGGGTTCGAAGGAGACCCATATCGCCCGCTGGGTGGCGCTTTTCCTACCTCTCATGCCTACGGAGTCCTCGCGGACGGCAGGCAGCACGAGCTCGAAGGAGACCTCTATCGCTCGCGCTGCCTGTCGCCTGCTGTCTCGCAGCTGTTGGCCCTTGCCTCTCGCTTGATTAGTATGCGGGGCTTATACCTTGTTGTGCAGGCTCTTGTATGGGCGCTGCAACTTTCACGGTGAGCCTGCTGGCTCCTCGGCTTTTCCTCCCCACCGACACTGTTGTGAAGCCCGGTTTGGGCTATCGTGGGAAAGCGTCCATGGGAGAGCGATTGGAGGCGGTCTGGAGGGTGGAAGAGGGCAGGGCTGAAGACCCGGGCCGCGCCAAACCTGTAGGTGCTTTGCAGGGCCCCCACAGGTGAGCCGCCTTCGCTTTTCCATTTCAACGCAGCTTTGCCAACCTTGGTTGTAGCCCGAGCGACAGCTCGAAGGTGAAATCCCTTCCGCGGGATATATCCAACACGACCCCAGCCCTGCGCGACCACGCAGATGCAGAAGCCGCCCTCGATGCCTCTGCCGGAGGTGTGGGCCCGCGCCACACTGCTCGCCGTCGAAACTATGTTGAGAGAGGGCGGTGGCTCGCGGGGTCAGCCGTGCCAACAAGAAGAAAGAAAGTGCCACACACGTGCAGAGCACAACCTCCCTGGCTCATCGGAAAATGCCCGGAGGTTACATCGGCAGCCGTGTCAAATCAGAGCCCCCGCTCCGGCGAGAAATCATCGGGCGTGCTAAGGGGTAAGTGGCCATCCCAGCGCATTTTAGCACGCGATGCAGTGCTCGGGACGATGCCGTCGGAGTCACTACATCCCCTTTGCTGTGATCAACGCCAGACACGGATACCCTGAGGCACAGGGGTTGAAGCAGAGTGTCTACTCTGCCCGGGCAGACTGATCAACCCTGGCGCGACGTATTGTGCAGAGCATGTCTACGAATGATCGTGTGTGGTGCGACGCTCAAGCGCGCGTCGCTGCAGGACGGCGCAGCGATCAATGTCAACGGCATGAACGCATCTGTGCCTACCCGGCTGTGGTAAGGAAGCATTGGTCGCCGCCTCCGCATTCAAAGTTCTTGGGGCGTCTCTCCGCCAGCATGATGTCGATGTCTCTGACGATCGTGGGCGGTAGGCGCGATCCTGACGATCATGTTCTTGCGCACGGCGGGCATCATAGGCCGCACGCATGAGAATAGCGGCCAAAGACAAAGCAGGCAAACCGCCCCTTACCCAATGCCGCACCATTGATCTTGTCTGCGGGACTTTATTGATCCCTTTGTAGGCCTTCATCGCCTGTGACGATCTCTCCAGTACGTGCACCGTCTTGAATTCAAGCCGAATGCCAGGTATTGGCCCATGGATCAAAGCAATAATGAGGGCTCGCACGAGTGCAGGGTACTCAGTTAAAAAGATCCTCGCTGTAGCGACCATTGTAAGCAAGCCATACAAATGGCCGACAAAGCAGTTCAGATAGAGCAAACAGTTGTAGGCTATACGGATGTAATTTAGCATGAGTTGCATCTAGAGGCCATCTTACTGCTTCTATCTCCTCTTCTTCGCAGCCTTTGCCCCTCTGTACGCTGGTACAGGAACCGGGCGCCGCTTAGCAGGAATGAGTGACATCGCCTCCGCAGGAGGTGGAGGGGCTTCGAACGCGGTGTATTCAGGGCCTGTCTGAAAGAGAAATTGAAGCTCCAGCCAGCACAGGCCAAAGAGGGGCGGCAGGACACACCTGCAATTCCGACTCACTGAACTCGGCGTCATAATGGTTCCACATAGAGCGCAAGTCCTTGTACGGCTCCCAGTCATCTTGATGATGCCCTGCGTCCAGTCCCCACTGGTAGTATCCTGCTCTGCCTGCTGCTTGTGATATCTCAAACATTCGTCCTTCAAGAAGCTCCAGTGCCTCTTGATCAACATCTTTGGCTTCGTGTGGACCATGGGCCATTGCTACTTGGTATGCCCATGCTTGTGACAGAATGAAAGCAGTCTGATCAGCAGCAGATCCAATGCTGCGAAATTCCGGAACCTGGGTGAAGTGGTCGCGCTTTCGGGAAGCTATTACCAGCGTGATTGCATGTGCGAGAGGGAAACAACCAATCCACAGATGCTACTGTTTTCGGGCACCAGGGACCTTGAGATAGAACCAGTTGTTAATGCGAGCTTGTTCTACGATGTCAAGATCCCCCGTATGCGGTACCATGCCGGAACGCACAGCGGGATGCTGTCGAAATCTGGAGTCCACTTCCGACGTCTTAGTCGGCTTGCCCAGAGATTTGTTGCCGGGTGATTGAACGCTCTTTGCGCCATCGGAGCCAGCATCTGAACGGAGGTACTGCAGCACAGGGACACTAGTGGAATCAACTTCTTCAGGACTGTTGAGAAGCGCAGAAAGAACGTGGATGTGCGGAGTCAATATCCGGTCAATTTCCTCCGTGAATGGGTACGAATCAGGCTCTGCAAGAACGTCTTCTTCTGTAGGAATCTGTGATGCATGCCTCCACTTTCCAAGCTGCATACGTACCGGCATTGGTACTATAGTCAGTGTCATATCATCTCCGGTCTCTTATTGATCACTCACCCTGATCTTGCGCCGCCTTTCTCGGTCATCCCACAGGTCATCCACTAGCTCTGCCTCCGGAACATATCTATGGCGATCTGGTGATGGCTGTGCAAACACACAGTGTCGCCACCAAACCACCCTCCAAGTTCTCCCAGCTGTCGAGGAACCCTCCGGCTGAATTAAGCGCACGGGATACCAGTATTCACCATGGCGAGCAAGTGCACCTTTGCCCGCTCTGTTTGTGTCCGCAAGTTCATCAGTAACAGAGTTAGTATCGAGGCAGGTACACGGACTTTAGCCGTTGAGCAGGCGGCGGAGGCTGTGGCCGGTCCTTTGCTCATCGTGTTTGGGCTGTACGCCTGTGGGCACGTGTCAAAATTCCATCAGCATGTTACTTATGACCATGCTGTTAGACATACGCTGGTTTAGAAGGCTGTCTGAGATGCGGGAAGCAATCTTCCAAAGTGCACGAATCACACTCAAAGCACTGCCCTCCCTTCAAATCACTGGCACGCCCATCTCGTTGGCATGCAATATGTGACCATTGGTCGCAGATATCACACTGTACTGTCTTCTGGCCATCTGCTAGCAAATTACCATCTCCTACGGCTCCACATCGACAATGAAAGGGGTATACTGAGACTGGCCTCTCTGTCGAACTATGTGGCGTCAGTGATGAGCGCGTTCCTGGGGCAATATCTGGAACCACAGCGGCATGTACAGAGATGAGATTATGGTCAGCAACAGTTTTAGATACTACGCACTGTCCGGGGTGTCGTTGTTAATTGCCGCAAGTGAAGCTTGATATTCCATCGGCACTGGAGTGTGCACTGGCACCGCGTTGGGCGCGTCAGCATCTGCTATAAAAGGTGTTCTACGACGCTTGTGTGACTTGTGGGTGATATTGCTACCCTCATGAGTTACTGGTTTGAGAATGTGGGTCGCTCTTATTGTGCAGCCCAATAATGAAATTTATTGCTAACACACCGTTGCTATTGTTATCGGCCTCATAGTCAATGGCATGGGGTCCCCGGAGACAACAGCAGTCTTCATCCGCAATGAGATGTACACCAGGCTGCTGCAACGTTGGAGTTACAATTTGACCAGGAAACTCGCCTGTAACTTCAGCATGATGTACGGGGAAATCGCCATGACTCAGAGAATTATGCGAAGAGTGAATGGATCCTCTCCAATCTGGAATAGTTGGGGTTGGTGAGATAGCTGCAGGGGGGGACTGACCCTCCGCATCATCTCTATAGAGGAAGTTGTAACCCATGGCTGTACAAATACTCAGCTGCTCCAATTTACCCCAAATATACACCATCTTCTCACCAGTATGCCCGTCGCCCAGTTCCTTCAGGACTTGAACACCGTTATCCAGTCCATGCCAGGACGGAAACTTCGTCAGTGCACAGGCCCCAAGCTGGCTACCTGAAGGTTTCTTCGAAGATCGTGCAGAAGACAAACGAGAAAGGTAAGATGCACCTTCATGCTGAGCTTGAGAAGAGCGGTCAGTTGGAACAACTTGATGAAGAAGCTCGCCGAGTCCTTCCCATGACGGAAAAACACCCCTTGAAGGGAAGATGAAGCCGTCCCGGTCGGATGCATTCCCTGCCGGTGAGAGTGCGTCTTTACCATTGTTTGTCTCGGCGTTCTTCGAATTGAGATCGCTATCGCTCCTCAATGGCCTAGTTTCCATTTTCACGAGGCTATCAGGCGGAAAGCTCGTTAGACATACGCCGAAGAGGACAGAGAACCAGATGCACCCTTGCAAATTTGCAGGCTGACCGGAATTGCTGGCTGTAGGAGAATCGAGAGTAGAACTCTGGGCTTGAGGCCCACGTGTTTCATCATATGAACAAGTCTGGTGGGAAGGCAGCGTCGTCAGCATACCCCTGCTGAAAATTTTGCGAAAGCGTTACACTATCAAAGGAAACTGTAGCCTGCTGCGTGCGTGGCTCGGATGAGGGTTGATCAAACTCCTTTCCAGGCGTACGCGCACTGCCCCGTAGATCAGGGCCTGCGCCTTTTCTCCTATGAGTTTTTCTAAAGAACACGCGAGTCGACTCGTGTGGGGGGGAAAACAGCCCTCGGCGTAAACTAGACCAAGTCGAGACCCGACCGGATGAGAAGGTATCAATAACGTCGAATCCAATTAATGGCGTTGCTTTGTCTTTCTCGTCTTGTACATGTGGCTCTGTGTTAGTTGACGACGCAGGCTCCTCCGAAGGGATGAACGACGCCTCTCTATTCACAGCACCAATGGCTAATTCGCCAGAAGATATAAGCGACTTCTCTTCATCCACCTCCATTTTAGAGGCTGTACCGGCACATCTGAGGCTCTCCAGTTAGCTTGACTTCTGCAAACGGAGACGACTGTGTCCAGTGTCAGGCTGGACATACCTCTCTTCTTCGTGTAGAGCACGGTGACGGAATGTTGCTGAATTGGGGATGTCCATCCGACTGAACCAATAGCCAGGTAGGGGTGGAGTTTCCGAGTACAGAATAAAGGAGGGCATAAAGTGAGGGTGCTGGAACGAGAACGATCTGCCCTCAAATTTCGGCGATGCCCTCATCGCGACGTCATCGACAACGGCGCTGTTGACTTCCGTGAAGGTACTGGAGCTGTCGAGCGCGTTCTCCAATAGCTGGTATCTATGCCATCTGTAAGCACAAATTGGTAGACGATATAGGATGGAGAACATACTCAGCTATTCCAGTAGTCATCAGCGTCGACTCCAAGTTACAGCGTGAATTTCCAGGGTCATCAGGGGGAAGTACCGGAAGCTTTCGCGAGGCACATTTGAAGCCAGACTTTTTCTGCGGTCTTCTAAGATACGCTTAGTGATATCGTACTTCGTAGTTGGCAGCTTGCATGCCCACCTATCGAGAGAGGAAGCGTCGACTTTATGCCTCTTACTGGAGATCTCCGTTGGCAGAGAATGTGAGCGCTTTCTCGGAAGCTTGACCCCAGCTCTGTACAGAGGACTGGTAAGTACTAAGGCCTTTGAGCAGAAAAGAATACACGGGAACGCACGCCAGAATACGTCCTTCTAATAGTGAATAGTTCTGCGGGTTTCCCAGAGGTTCTGCGGAATGTAGACACTTTCGACCGCCATGCACAATCCCGTCGGTGGGTTGAGGATAATGGCCGGAACGGCAGTATCTACTCCTGGGCACCGATGTAATCAAACAACATGCTCGCCTAACGAGTTCACCGCCTACCTCGTAGTAATGGTACCATGTACATTTTTTTGCCATGGTGGATTGATTACGCCAGGAAACGTGTGTGCTCTTTGGAGACCACCAGCAACTCTATGGCCTCCCTTCCGAGCTGAAGACTCAGCTATTGGATCGCACATAGATCCTGCGGCGTGCCCCTCCATCCAAACGAGTCAAGCTTGAAGGGCGTAGCACTTTAGGAACCGGTGATAATGGATGCAGGGGAAAGAAACATACATTTCTACACAAAGACGCGAAGAGACAAAGCGCCACCACTGCATGAAGGAATCTCCATGTTGTGGCCTCGAGGAGGCGTGGTGCTAAACACGATTAGGAGGGGCGGATCAGGCAGGAACGCACACACCTGGCCGCAGGGGTACGAGGTGCAAGTCAGACACATGCAAGAAGGCTTAAATTAAGGCTTCGGTCGGTCTATGCTCTGCGAGTGAGTCTAAGCGTCCGCAAGCCTGTCTGTGAGTACGTTTCGATGGGCGGGTACACGATTTCGAGAAATGTCGCTCATACTGTATGCATATAGCAAGCCTTGTGCAGATTTTTATTACCGATAATACTTAAGGCCCTCACTATGAGGGCGGCTGGGCGCGAACTCCTCTGCTGTGGGAATACCCTAGCAAAGGGGAGGCAGGCGAGAACGACGCTGACCGAGCAATGATTAATGAATACAAATACTTTCTACGTACCCTGCAGTGCTATTAGTAGGACTTCGAATAATTTACCAGCAATCGGGTTTACTGAGACACGCGGCTGGTGTCACGCGCTTTACAGAGACCTGTGACGCCTCAGTGCCCCAGATTTGTACCCGTCTAAGGTGCTCAGATTTTCGCGCATTTCACTACTAGTGAATCGTACAGGCAACGCGTGAACGAAGGCAGTGAGCCTTACAGGTAGACGGACGAGAGGATGTCAGGAGACGATGCCGTGCGAGTACGGCACGACCTACGTACCGGCGGTGCATCGTCGCTATAGTGCTGTTTGAAGCACACATGGTTCACAACCACCCACTCGCGCAGTGAAGGACAATGGCTTGACGTCGGCCTCTCACTGAGCGCATTTCTCTCGGTGAACGTCGTTCAACAACAGGCAATCTTCCGGTCTCTGACCAGTACTCAGTCCGCGTTATCGTGCACGACAGTGAGGAAAATGCACATGTTCTCAGGAGTCGAGCGCCACTCGAACGACTGCAGAGTCGGTACAATATTAGCCGACCGTACACTTACGCGCGATCTCGACAAACCACGGCCTAACCGAGGGGTTAGCATTCGTGCACGAACACCAAACCCTGTTCGTCGCCGCTGATTCTGTCCTTGTTAGATATCTCATGAGTGTCGACGAAAAATTCTACTTTCTCGACACCCATGAGATTGCATTGAATTTTGCAGGATCGGCTCAGATCTCCGCGTTCGTCACGCCCCCTATGATGGCTGGAGGCCATTGATCATTAGCGTAACAGCTCGCAGCAGGAGGAAAGGTACTTGCGAGAGAAAAATCAAACGTGCAAGGTACGTCGCCTTCACGGCTGAAAAGACAGACAACGAAAACAGCCCACCCAACCGACGATTGCTTTACCTGCACCGACGTGTCAACTCGAGGATGACATGTCTAAGCACACGCCTGGCAACGCCGCGGTCTCAGGGACCATAGCTACGCAGCTACGCACTGCTTTACCTGTGCTGACGTATGGCCCAGGTGGTCCACACGCCTCAGCACACGCCTGGCAGTCGTGCTGTCGTCGTAGGTCGCAGGAGGTCGGACACTTTCGGACACAGTTGGACAAGGTCAGACACGGCCCGACACTGCAGTGGGCACGTGCAGATCATGGCGGTCACGCGATCATGTAGCTTGAAGCTTTGAAGCTTTGAAGACTTGAGCACGGCCCACCATGGGAGGCGGCTTCACGCGCTTACTGTAAGTCGTCGAGTCCCCTTGCCTCCCTGGTTTTGGTGCGAGCTAATTCGTATCGCCACTAATCATCGCAGAAGTGCACAACCGCCGCACCTAGTGCCAATCCTCCGTTCCGATGCCGCGTCCAGGGCGCAACACTCGCAAGCACATCGCTCTCTCAAGGTAACGAGTTTATCTCATTCTTGTGGCGTGTTCCTATCCCTCGCTAAGCTAGATACTAACTGCCCATTTCTTTTTTTCCCTGTAGACAGATAGAACCCCCACCTTCTAGTCACTCTGGATGCACGTGTGCTCGTCGTGATTCCTCACCTCCGTAAGTTGTTCAGATGGGCTTCCTTTCCTATGCCTGAGGAAAACACGTCGTTCACAGTTTGTGCTATGTACTGCACTATCGCTCAGGTCCATTTTTCAAACACTGCCTGCGCTCGGAAAGTTCTAGCTACAGATATGGTCCGCGTGAGGCAATCCTAGGTACGCCCATGGCACGAGGGCGCACTTAGAGGATTGTGGAAGGGCAGACGCTGGATGACTGGCGAGGGCGCTCTGAGGACATCCTGTGTCATACTTAGGAGGGGTCAACAAATATTCGTTCCCTATGTACGCGACCGCCTACTTCACCCTCTAACGAATCTCTCCTCGTTCCAGCCATACAAAGACGGGAGCTTTTCTTGTAGTTCAAAAGCATGTGAGCTAGCCACGAAGAAGACGAAAGGTTACTTACATCCGCAACTCGTCGGGGCGAAACTCGGCACCGTGCGGCTATAAACATGTGAAAAACCCGAGTACTCGTGAACGTCGAAAGAAAACTTACCCTGTGCACGATCAGAACCTTGCGCGACATGTGTTTGGGAAGGGTTAAACGATACTTTGAGCCACGATTGCCGCGAACACGAAATCCAAGCTGTTTCGTCTGTGTGAAAACGTCTAGACGTATTCTAAGACATGCTTGTCATCAGCGAAATCGTTCCACTTGACACGCTGCCACAGAGTGGGATCCCGGCTCAAAACATTTGAGATCATCTGCATGGTGTTCAGCATGTGGCCCATCACATTCTGCAATTTATACTCACTTCAAAACAGCCTCTGTTCACGATGATGCGCGGATCCATTCAAGAAAAAAAAGCAAGGGAAGGTGCGCCTAGCAGAAGACGGAGAAGAGGATAGGACACTGTGGGCCCGCCACGTGTGTCGACCTCGGAGAATGCGTCAGTTTCACCCCGCCCAGGTGAGTAAGTAGTTGATACAGTAACAAAGCCAGGTAACCGTCGGTGGGACGCTACTCAACAGACTGAGCCCGAGCCTTTCGCTCTGTTGCTCTCATCGGTACAATAATCCAGCCTGAGGCGCAATATCACAAGGGACGTATCCCTGCGTTCGTGAAGACAGCACGGGGGAGCGAGAACCTGCCGTTGATTTGTCAGATATTTCTGAGCAAACGCACTGCGGACGAAACACTTGCCATGTGTAAGACGTTGCACCGTCGTGGTTACTGTGGAGATTATGTGGGAGGGGTCAGACATTGTGTGTAGACAACAACTGGGGATCTCAGGATCTTCGATGGTGAGAGATTATGGCGCACCTCTCAAAATTCACTGTCCATTGCAACGGCGCGTCGTGCAGACATCTGCATCTCGCGCAGAGATGCTGTCCAGATTTGACCGTAAGAGAGGCACAATTACACATTAAAGGAGGAGAGGGTTCACCCGTTGAAGGAAGAGAACAGTTCTGCGTTCGCGTTTTGATTGCCTCCAGGATACTTCCATGAACATCTCCATCTATAAGTAACGTTAGGTGGTCATCGTATAATCCAGAATGTAAGTACCTCCATCTCCTGCATGTCGACGACGCGATTCTCTTACGGAAACAACCCCCCCAGATTATGCTATTCTGTTGACTACAACTTTGAAAGTCCCGAGCTGCAGAGATCCTGATCTCGCCTGACCTCTCGTTAGCCGAGTCGATTCAAGGTGATGATGTGCTGCAATAATAGATGTGACGGATGCGGTGGTAGCAAAATACTATACGACGAAATCATTAGAAACTGGAAACCCAGGGAACCCCAGGCGATGGCTCGTGAGCAACAACTCTGAGTGACATTTTCGCAATAGAGTAATTGTCCCATATGGCATAACAAGCTTGAATACAGAGTCCAAGGTCGAACGTTACTTTACCCAAGCTTTACCTGAGCCAACATGTCGACTGGAGGGTGACTTGTCTAAGCAAACGCCTGGCAACGCCGCTGCCTCTGGGACCACGCATTGCATTACCTGTGCCGACAAATGGCCCAGCTGGGCCACATGTCTCAGCACACACCTGGCAGTCGTGTCGACTGTCGTCCCACAAGACCGACACCAAGGTCGGATCACGTCGCGACGGCGTGGCTGACGTCAGCGCTTGCTTTTTTAACCGTTAAGTATGAAGTTGTATTAATTATGAGTGTGTGACTGCGCCACTCATGCTCGCGTCGGACAGACAAAGATACTGTTTTCTTCTCTCTAATATTGGGAGGATCATTTACTGGGTGTTTGGCCGTTTCCTCCTGTAACTGTCTATCGCTGAATGGCATCTTGGACTCTAGTCATTCCTACGGCAGAACTCTCCAAGACGAACGTCAGACTTCCGTCACTTTGCTCGAAGAATCAACATGGCGAATTCTTGCATACCAAACGCTTGAGGGTGAATCAAGTGCAGCAGGGGGCCAACAGTCGCATTCCGTTGACGTCGGACGATCAACCTTGCCCTATCGACTTACGGGTGGGTGACCATGCAGGTGCCTTTTCGCACCCCCGTTTTATTTATCACCGCTCGCAGGTGAATTCCAGGGGATTTTTTGCTGTGCCAACAGACGGACTGTACCAGAAGCTCTACCGTGTGACCACGCCTTTGCCAGAAAAAGTGTGTACCTTGCAGAGTCGTGAACCCTTTGTGAACCCTTAATTCTTGACACTTCATTGTATCGCTCCGTTTGTGAGAAGTTTCGAGAATGGCATGGGTTAACTGCTTTGGATAATTCATCCAAGGCTTCGAGTGGACAGCGAAGCGTTCGGCGCGGTGTCGATACGGTCCCCGTGGCTTATACCTCTCGTCCCACACGTTTGCATCACCCTGCTTTAGAGGAAGTACGACAAGTATGACAAGAATCTTGGTTTAGGAGGCCCTAACTCATCATCCGCTCACCAGGATTCGACCGCACAGCAGTGTCATTCAAATTACGTGTTACAGGTGAATTCGGCTGAATCGAGGAATGATACGCCCACTTCTACGGTCACCGACGATAGACAGCACTCTAAGGAATTGGTTACTGACCCTGAGGTAAGTCTACCCATTTGACTTGTTCTCGCCGTATTAGCCAACAGCCCGTTGTAGGGACTATTCCTCATTCGCAATAAGCGGAAGATTGTGAACACGGACTTTCACACGGCTTGGTTTTGAACGTCGGGTCAAGCAGCTATCATCCGACCACCTCGCCTCTATTCAACTACTAATCTATCCTCTGGAGATCTCTTCATACACACCGTCACTGTCGATGGATTGGAAGTCGTTCAATTATGGGTGCTGGTGAAGGATTTATCGGATAGTAGATATCGTTGGTCCCCCGTATACAGGCTGCAGGAGTTGCGACATCCCTTTCTCCATGACCGAATGTTGGGATTCTCTGACAAGACGAAGGAGCCGTCCTGGATGCAATTTGACACGAAGCGACGCCGGAAATGGTCTCCGGAACTACTTATGCCAGTGGATTGACTGTCCTTATCGGAGTAGTGTGGTTAGGCCCTGATTGTGAAGTTCGAGTATCATCACATCTAATTCTCATTGTAGTATCATTGTTAAGTCTTGCGGGATCAAGTCAGAGTTTAAAATCGGAATAATTAGTACTAGCGACAAGAGAGCCTTCTCTGCGACCCAACACCCCTGCAATGCCGCAAGTTCACAGCCGTGCTTAGTCAATCGCCAGTAAGTAGAACTCTGTAAAGAGGTCAAGGGACGGTAGATGTCGCAAAAAATGTGCTCACGGTATTCGACAGTGGAATTGGGCGGAACCCCTTCGGTTCCTTTCGTACCATAACCCAAAGCGGGAGGAACGATGATCAAACGCTGGCCATTAACTTTCATGCCGATAATGCCGTCCTCAACTCCTTCATGGCGTACGTCAACATCGGCGAAGCAATCCGACAAAGCAGGGTATTATTACCTGGTGGAACGGCGCCCTCGCCAACAGTAAAAATGTACTGAAGAGCAAATATTAAACACATCCGTCAAAATGCTTCACGTAATACCCACAGGATCACCATCAGTGTTCTTGCTGAGAGGAATGGTTGATCCGCGAAGGGTCTCGATGTATCGCACGGTGACTGTGTCCCCAATAGCCACACTGGACTCACCCTTACCAGCATCGTACTCGCGAACTATGACGCCTCCGACGAGAGTGACTTGCGTCGTGGCAGATGCAGATTGCTGTATTTCCACGATATCGTCGCCACCGCTGTCACCGTCTTCGTCGTCATCGATGACGGTGATATGACTCGTCACAGTCGACTTCTTGTTGGGCAATGCGGATTGGCACGTAGCTGATGGAGTAAGACGTTGTAACACAGGGCTTGAAATGTTCCCGCTGGACTTCATAGGAATGGCCGGCCTACCTGTCTGGGCAGCCGCAGGACTGCTGCCAGGCGCTTTTCCTTGACCATCTTTAAGCGCTGTGATTGGCAAGAATCCAATGAGAGCCGTTATCCATGATAATTGCGTTACGGATTCCAGACTTACCGTTTGCAGACACAGTGCGAGCACGTTTCTTGGCGTAGGTGTATTTAGGGCCTTTCTCGGCATTGCGTTCTGAAGAGAAGGGGCTAAAAACAGTAGTGATAAGAACGAGAGACTCAGTATATACAAATTATCACACACGGGCGGTGACCAGGTGTCTTACTCGGAGGATTATCTGTTGCTAATCAACAGCTCAGCAGTAAATCATCATCGCGGCGTGACGTACCCAGCTTTTCTTGTGTAAGAGACTTAACGTCCTTTGAAGCAAGGTAGGACGCCAACCCTTGGGTTGCTCCTGAACGTTCAGGTGCCCGTGCCTTCCCCTTGTCGCGAGTAGACGCGGACTTTAAGTCTAAGAGGTATGCATTAAACTACTAAACACGGGTTCGCACTCTCTAGACAGACCTTCGTGAGCTGGAGACTGATCTCGAGCTCGTTTCCTAGCGAAGTAGCCCGCATCCTTTTCGGCAACGTCTTCCTGTGCAGATCTTAAAATTTGGATGAGTGGGCGAGATCTGCCTCGAAGAAAGAAACCACCTATGCCGCAGTTGCTTGTACATGAGAAGCAGACTAGTCAAGATGGTGTACAATCCCACGCGCAATTATTAGACATACACAAATAATTCCCCAACAAGCAAATTGCACTGAAGGGTTGGCATTGATCGAGGATCTCTGAACAATGACCAGGATGAAACACTCACTTATTACCGATAACCTCAAACACGACTCTTCCTCTCTTCGGCAGCTTCAAATCCAATACAGACTGTTCTACCTTCATGCATATTGTAGTCAGTAGCACGTTTAGGATGGTTTTAAACACATATGGACCTGGCCTGTCGTTAGCGAGCACACAGTAGTATCGACCACGTCTTTGTTGCCGGAGGTGAAAGTCATCTTGAGAAAAGTGCGACCACTTGCGTAGGGACCCAGTTGCTCTGCTAAGCTAACGTTGGTGATGTGCAAATCAGATATCTCTGGAATAACGGTCTCGCGAATATTTGGTCGGACGATGGCACCCCTGCTCGAGGCATCAGTCTCTTGTTAACTTGGAGGAAGACAATCTAGGAGGTTACCATAGCGAACCATATCGAGTCATGTTGAGCGATATTCAATAAACAGACGGGGTGCAAAAAGATGCTGCACATGTAGGGGATGTATAGGAGATGTATATAAGTCTTGAGGACAAAGGAAGTCGAGGCATCAGGCGGGCTGGCTGCTCCATTGCAACGCAGCAAGCACACCGAACACCTGCTGGCAGATCGATCCCAGATGCCATCGCAAGCACCTCATGCAAAGAGAGCGGACCGGCCTGTACCTTCTCGGCGGAGACATGGTCAGGCCATCAAACATACAACGTCTTCGACTTGTTCACTGCTGAGTCAGACTACATGGCAGCCTGAATGCATAAACGTTGATTAGTTGCGGGATCTGAAGGCAGCCCAGTGAATGACATACAGTATATATGTATAGAACGGAACGAAATGCTAACAGATGCATATGAGCGTTGAACTGATACGCAGCAATAGGCACGACCCACCTGCGATTCGATTCAAATTATACAATTCAGAGATATTCCAAAGGGACGATGCATTGTAAGCTAAGCAGGCATATTTCGTTACACGCTACCTAAGACTTGGAATCCTTCATGCTCAAACTCCGAGAGAAGCACCCTTGCAACATTCCACACATACAAGAGTAGACCCACCGTAAGAATTAGTACCGCACTGACCGATACAACGACTGGACTCGTCTGGGCATAGAAAATTATTACCGAGTATCGGCAAACAAAAACCATGAGACCACTTACCAGGACTTCTGCTGCTTGCAAGGTCATTGTATGGGTGATCCGAGCTAGATAATGTGAAGCCTCGGCAATGAGCGATGGAATGGCGTAGAAACCGTCGATGAACGATGAAACGCTGCGCGTGAAAGTCAGATAGCAACGAAAGAGTAAAGAAAGTTGTAGGACTCACGCAACCTCTTTTACGGAAGACCAACTCGATATACGAACAACAGTTGTGCCCAACGACTCAACGACTTGCCGCCGAAAGAATACCGATAGCAATACATTCCGCAGACCATTTTCTGATGGAGTTCTAAGACACTCCAGGACGATGTCTTTCAGTCGGGTAATGCGTCTCTTGAAAGCATCTCGAAGATGGGATACCTCCTTACTAGAAAATGAGAGGAGAATAGCCTGCGTGGTCAACAAAGCAGGTGGTCAATGTCAGTAAATTGCGTTCAAGGGGAATTATTCACCAGTCCGCGCGAAGGCACGACTGTTGCCGGATTGTCCGATTTCATCGCAGTCCCTCCGTTTTGCAACAAGTCGTTCAATCTGTAGATTGAGACCTCCATGAGTGCGAACATAACTTCTCCGCCTGAAACGATTGTCAACAAAATAGAGAAAACACGAGCTCAGAGAACGCACTGAACGCTGCCGGAGACTTTGAATCACCTTCAATGGATGAAGCCTCAAATCGTTCTACGCGGCGTATAGCCTGGAGCCGGTCAAAGAGTGTATGTGGTCCACACGTGTTGCTATCCCATTCGTCTAAAAGGGCGAATATAACTTGGTTCATCACAGTTTTGAATTGTGTCGTCGCAACTTCCAGGAGTAAAGATCGGAGCTCGTCGACCTGACCACCCGGAGGTGCTACAGTATGGCTGAAAGACAAATGAGGAAGTGAATGGAATATATTCTCGATCTGAGCAAACAGAACGGCATCATCCACAGCATCCAATGGGACACTCATGAGAGTATGGAGTTTCACCTGCGATGTGAACGGATGACGATGATAGAGTACGGGAAGTCAAGAAGGCGGAAGGTAACCATGGACGGCATTTCAAGGCGTACTCGTTCAATGAGGCGTAGATCTGCGATCCTACTACAACGTGCACCCGCCGTTCCGCCCAGCCGGATCCAGCGTCATTAGTATTATTAAGGCAAATTCTTCATGCAAATGAGTTCTTCGTGGTAACTGCGTTGTGATGCTGTGCATTCCGATGTGGGGTTTCAGCGTGGTGTAAGAATAGTTTACTTGAATTGCGGAGGGCACACTGTAATACGCATCAATTGGCTGTCGCAACTCCGACACTCATCAGTCCTCAGGCCTCAGGCCTCAGCTGTGGCGCTCTCGTTGTTGAGCCCGGGTCGCTCTTCCGCAGTGAATGTCCTCTTGAACTTGCTCCTAGAGCACTTGCTCTGCAGTGCATCTCAAAAATTTTGCGTAGTCAAACTACGAACAAATTGCTTTCCAGAATATCCCGGGCTCGGCATCGTCCGGGCCAAATCGTGTACTACGGGCGCGTAATCAAGCATACTTTATAACCCTACCTCTCCCCGCTCAATAAGGGCCATAGTCTGCGTGCGGGAGATTAGCGCGTAATCAAGACTGCGGCCGACTCATTTCCGACAAGCTAAGACGGGCCTAGGGCAGTGATCACGATATACTTCAATCCGTTAATGATTTCGGGCCCACGTGCGGCGTTTGGACTCCTTTGTCTGGCACAGGCCGGAAAACATGCAGCTATAGCCTCATATATAATGAGTTAACCAACTTGCAAGTCTGAAACCAATATCTTCCCCGCACGCCCTGACTTTGCCTATACGGTCTATACCGACTCATCCACCTACTGCCGTCCATCATGGATAACCCTCGACGGTTTGGTCCTGGGGAGTTTCTCAAGGAGCATGCTTCTTTCAGTGAACGCGAACAGAAATCCTCCAAATCTTCGATATCCGTCAGTAGCCTGTTCCCATTAGAGTACCGCTGAGCAGCATTCACCCTACGGTTCACAGGAGCTGCGGACTTTGAAGCTCGCACCTGAATCCCCTCCTGACTCTCATGGGGAGGATCTGCGGGTGAACTGCTTGGACATCAACCCGAACAATGGAGGTAAGGCATACTGTCATAGCATGTGGTTCTCAAGTTGATATGATGACAGAACGTCTAATTGTGAGCCAGAAGCACTCTTCTCGCCCTTCCGAGAAGCATGCTCAAGCTACGAGTGCTACCGCAGTGAGTCCTTTACCTTGCTGCTATATTCACGTAAGTAATCCGGATCCAAGGCATCTGTGCGCTCTCGTTCTCCCAGTCCGTTGTTGAGGGGCTATAGCCCCATCTCTGCCGATGCCAATTTGGCTGCAGATTTTGTCGATGACGGCGATGCAGACAGAAATGCAGAACCGATGCTCCTCAGCCGACAGACGAGTGCTGACTCTCGCGAAAACTCCGATCACTTGGCACCTTTGGTCATTCGTCTCCTAACACCGCTTCTATAGCTCCTCAAGCTCACGGTACGACATGCGCTGTCCGCTCTGATTGTTACTGTCTTGGTCGATTTCGCTATGAAATTCTCGTGTTTTGACAAAGCCTTCGTACCAAGTATTTTTGAGGACTACATCCCGAACATGTGGAGCTGTGCATCTTCTACGGCGGATGCCAATAGCTTTAGCCCTCCGTTCACATACGGCACTTATCCGGTGACAACTCCACGACATTCGGTTTGCTTCGACGGACGACTTCAAGGTTCGCCTGACTATGCCAGTTATGCCATGGGCGCAAGACCTATCCAGGCCATGATTTCCGCCTCCTATGCGTTTCCTGAGCGTGCAGATATTGCGTTCATGAGGCGAATTTTTAGTAGCCGAGGCGTTGTGCCACAGCCTCCGGCTGTTCTACTCTCAGAGAGTGTAGAACCTGGTAAATGTTGGCCTATGGCTGGATCCAGCGGATATATCGGCATCAAGCTCTCATACACTATCTTCGTCACCAATGTTACGGTGGATCATGTCCCTACTACTTCACTGCGGGATGTACGGACTGCTCCTCGGTCTCTGCTGCTGTGGGGTTTGGCGCAGGATGAATCGGTGAAACGGGAAGCGCTAGACGTCGAGTTGTTCCAGTCTTTACCGGCTACGCTGAAGGAAACTTCCCTCAGGGATACACCCTCATTCTGCTGGGCAGTTTGCAGTATGATGCTTTGAATACTCAGCACATGCAGAACTTCGAGATTGCTGGACGATCGCATGGGATGCAGGTGGACACTGTTGTCTTTCAGGTCATCGATAATTGGGGCTCAAAAGATTTCACCTGCCTGTACCGACTGGGCGTCCATGGAAACTTGCAATGAAAGATGGGAAAGTAAGTCTTTGCATGAGTATATCTGTTTTGTCTTACGAGTAGGTTTTCCCAGGTCATCACTTAGTGTCCGCTATTCCTGTCATGGAGGCTCGGCTATTAAAGTGGTGGTTTAACATACAATTAGATCGCGGAGGGTGATCGCCTTTGAGATAGTGGGAGAAGGGGTGTTTGGTAATCTACTGAACTAGGCATCGGCTGTGGACCTCGCATATGCATGTTTAGCGAACCCAACAACCTGCGCGAGTGTGTGCGACGTCGTATATATAGTGGAAAAAATTACTGTAAAATGCGACGATCTGTTGAGCATATTACATTTCAGAGACAAGTGATAATCAGAGGTGTACCCGATCCAGAGGAAGGACATGGATGAGTGCTCTCTCCGTCTTTGCCGAAGCGTAAGGGGTGAGCGCGAAGTGGCAAAGGATGTCAGATGCAGCGAGTAGCTCTGCTGAAGTTTCGATTTCGTTGTAGTAAAGTCTACCTCCGACATAAGGGAATGCACGATAAGGATCGTGGATGGCATCGCCCAGTGCTCGGTATCTTTGCACCACAAAAAATGTCCGCGTTGTTCCTTGGGAATCCTTGTCATCAGCGGTATGCGTGAATATCTTGGTGATTCTGGCGGGAGACCAGTTCAAGGGGAGATTTCCAGTGACGACGTAGCTATCGCGAGGGGAGGACTGGAACGTAGTGAATTTGACACCATCCCATAGAAACTTATCTTCGATAACACCTTGTGGCCTGACACCTCGAGCACTTGCGCGGCCGAAATGTTTGTCATAGTAGTCATTCAACAGGGCAACTACAGTTGTATCCAGCCTTTGCCTTGGCGGTAAAGTCCGCTCCTGCGCCTGATCCTCGCGCAATTCTAATCCATACGGAGCTAATCCCTGAACAGCTTTGGCTTCAAAGGAGAGCATATCGGTGAAAAGAATGCCACGTGCACCTAGATCAAAATATTTCTTGAAGGCCGCAGCTATGCGCTTCAATGGAGACGAGACGGCATATGTTTGTATGATACTTCTGAGCCGCTGTGCCATGCAGAAGCGCTCGTACATCGTCTGCTCCATTTGTCCTGAGTAATCGAGAGTTCAGTGTTCATTCCTGCAATGGATAAAGCACTGACCAAGCTTGTTGTTCTTGTTGATTTGCTGAAGAACATGGTTCACCCGTTCAAACACAAAGGTCCAAACTGAATGAGTCGGTCCAAAAGTGCATAATTGGTCAACGAGATGCACTGCCAAGTGGTGGTACGGTGTTAGGCTGACGTCTGGAAAGAGAACAAGGAGCTCTCGGAGGTATCGGAGATAATGGATTTGGTACTGCCCGATCCGCTCTGGGGAGGTGGCTCGCATTGTCGACAACTTCATGGCAGTAACTGGATCCATAAAATTCTCCAGCAACTGGTGGTGTCGATTTGCAGGCTCAAGGGGTCCCCACAAACGACCAAGCGTGATCACTAAGTGGATCGTGCAGAATGACCGCCATTGGTCTGCAGTTATTTTCCCGTGGCGCCCATCGCCTATATGAAAAGGTGCTGGCAGTATCCAGCTAGGCAGGACAGTGGTGTCCATGTCGTCCCAGATTGCTTGAAGCCGTTCCTTTCCAAGGACTGTGCTGGCCTTCGTTTTTGACCTAGCGGTCCTAGCTGCAGTGAGTCGTTCAGGATCTGGTACGAGTATCTTTCCTTCCCGGTCAGCAAGACCAGTCTGGATACGCTGTTATTTGCATGAGTATTACCTTCACTACTAACGTGAAAATTCACTCACCCATGCACCGAGGCGCTCAACAAGTTCCTTCTTAGTCAATTTCTCCAAACCTCTCTTGGATTCAACGTGTAAGTTACAAAGCGCAAGGAGTAATGGCTTTGTTAATTCGCTGAGAGCCGTGGTGGAAGGTGCAACACACAAGAATTCCTGTGCGGCATCCAGCTGTTCAGGACTTGAATCACCGGGTAAATCCGCAACCTCTGGGAGCTCCCCGGGAGCGGGCTCTTTCACTAACTTTCCACTATCATTGAACCACCCGCAGCTGATTCGCTACACAATTATCGTGAGTTGACATGGAACGAATAGATATTACATTGACTTACGTGCTGTACCAACCGCTTCATCAACACAGCCTTTCTCCCTGCCGGCTCGATGGTAGCATAATCTATCGCTAAGGCCCTCAGGATCTCAATGGGAAATTTTCCGAGAGCTGTCTTGGAGCCTGTACGAAAGGCGATGCGTGCACGGTCCATTTCATCTTCGAAGGATTCGGCACTGCCGTCATCACTAGGTTCTAGACCATCTCCATCCATGAACTTCACATCCATTCCCCAAATGACTCGGCAGTGGCGCTTGAGAATCGCCTGAAGAAACGCGTGCATAGTATCGACCATGGTATATAGCACTGGTTTCCAATACGGAAGACGCAGAAGCTCGGAATACCTGACCCCATGATCAGAAACCAAGGTGTCGCGCTCTTCCTCAGATTGCGCCTTGCGCCATGCGTCAGCCCAGTGTTGATGTTCTGCATCGCTGCGTGGTCTCCAAGTGGATGGATCAAGATTCTTAATATCGTGCCGGTGCAGATGGCAAAATGAGCAGAAATGTTTTAAGGTGCTAAAAGACGCAAATCCCGCCACTTGACGAGCTGCAGGCAAGTCACAGATGAGAGGTACCACTGCGCAACGAACAAGTCGGCCCGTAGGATGCTGAGGTGTGCTTGAGTACCATACTCCGGGGTCCCAAAAATCGAGTAGGTCATCCACAAGAGGCCGAAGTAAGTGATTGATCTCATGAAGGGATGGCTCTGTCGGACCAGGTATAATGCCCACTAGAAACATGTTCTCCATGCGATACCTATATTCGCGAGGAAGATTGAGACAGACCATGTAAATACCTGTACTGGAGACCCGCTTCCCCACGGCTTTGTTGGAAAAAGGGTTGAAACCGTCCATGGCAAGGCTGAAGATGTAACGGCCTTCTGCGCCTTTGGCCATCACAAATTGCTCGCCATCCGGTCCCCTGAACGATTGCAATACTTCGCCATCCCAAACGTCATGCATGGTACTGTCAGTTCCAGAGGTCTTGGCATAGACATCGCGGTCCATTAACTTCTCCATCCCAGGTCGACACATCAGTTCTCCAACCCATTGCTTCAAGTCGTGGTAGTGAAAAGAGCGCGATGGGAAGGTGAATGTTCTCCCTTTGATGGTCTGCTGTTTGCGAAGCTTGCCCTGACAAGGCGTACTCGCGGGTGTGTCGCAGAACGTGCATAACTCAGGACAGGAGTTGGGCAGATACAAGGAATAGCACCGCGGGCAACAAACAAAGGTTTTTGTGGATGGCTGAAGGTTTAGGGTGTCGATTACAGTGCGAACATCGGCAGGGATAGTATTCACAATTTCACGAGCTCGTGGAGAGATGCCCTCATTGAAAGACAAACACAGTTCGACAATCAACTGGAGGCAGCTAAGTGCGAAGCCGGATTCTTTCGTGGACAGATGGCATACGAGGAAGAGAACTGCGATAGTGATGTAACACGCAATGGAAATCACATGAGCGTTCTGCATCGGTGGCTTCAGAAAACGAGCTACAGAACAAAGTTAATTCGATGTATATTCGTGTAAATGGATTTTCGAACGAACCTGTGGAAACAGAAAACCTATCATGTTGAGCTGCAGGCCCTGCCGGCGGAGTAGTCGATATCGTCGGAGCTGCCCGTTGTAACTCCCATGCGCGTCTTTTGAGACCCTGAAGACGATCCCATTCTTTCAAGATCTCGTCTCGAATTTGTTGTTTCACGAAGGCTGACTCCATATCATGCGTCCGAATACCTTCGAGTCGAATCAGGTGGTTCATCAACCAGGCCTCATACTCGAGGATGGGCATATTATCCGGGATGTTGTACCTCAGGCTGAAGATCCCTGCATTCACCTCGATAGCCTCTCCAGTCTCGGAACGTTCCAGAGGAGCCGGCAGAGGAGCGTCAGCATCAGGAGGTTTCTGGAAGACGACCCTATCTGAGATTGTGATGTGAGGCTGACTATGCTGGTGGAAAAGGTCACGCAGTTGCAAAAGCCGATCTAACGCGCTCGCTATCTTACGAGTACGCTTCTCGCTGTCTGTGATTTTCCGTCCGACTCCTTGCGAGGCTTCGGAGGACGATTGATCGCGATCATGTTCGTTATGCTCCAGAGAGGGACTTTCATTGCTGTGCAGCAGGAGATTCGATGAGGAAGTATCGACTTCCTCCGACAATGACAGGTGTTGGTCCGGTCTGCTAAACGGATAGGGGGGAGGAAAATTGTCCTCAACCAAGAGCGAGACAGATGTAGAAGCTGAAGGATGTGTGCTCCAGCTTGGAGCAGTGGTTATCGTGCCTCCGCCACCACCGCCGGGTAGATTCTCTTGTTGCGACCTCAGATTGGCCGCCCTTAGGTCCTTCTTGCGATGATCCTGATATTCAACCTCGGATACGAATTTTCCTTGCACTATTCGTCCAGTGGCTGGATCTTCTTGTGTCTGGCCTCCGCATCCATTTGTAGTACATTGGCAGAGTCGACCTGTGCTGCGTTCAGGAGGACCACGACCCCATGCACGTTGCATATTGGCTATCGAATTTGTCAGTTGGCCGGTTCACACCATGGACAAAATGCAAGAACACACATTATGGTAACGGCAATTCCGATAGGTCAGAAAGGATGCGGGGGTGGCAACGATGCGACTGTACGCCGAGGGAGGGTTTACGCACAGCATAGGCCCCCTTTGCACGTGGCTGGATGACAGATGAGTAGTCAGCTAAATCTACTACTTTTCCCTGTTTGAACGTGAATATCTTACAATTTAGAGGCTGAGTGAATTAGCAATCAGCACTAGCGTACATGTGAGACCACCGGGAGTGGGCACACTTCAAACTCTTTGATCGTTAGCGTCGCCCTCCGAGTCACCCAATATTCTCACAATACAGTATGTACGTTGATTCTCATACGCATCTTGGATAGTTCATTTCTCAGATCTCAGTCCGATTGAATAACCAAGCACCCAGACAGCAGCGTAAGCGTTAGGAATCCTTGTGACTACCCTATGAGGAATGCTTAAACAACGTATTGCTCAACTACATACTAATAGAATGGTATGGTACTAGAACGTCCAAGTGGGCACGTGATGATTTAAACAAACGCACGGTCAAACCCATGCGTCTGCCAGACACGGATATCCTGAGGAACGAAGTTGAGCGTTGAAGCAGAGTGTCAGTCTGTCTTCGGGATACTAAAGTGCACTCTCATTCCATCGGCGTACCTAGGATTGCCTCACGCGGACCATATCTGTAGCTAGAACTTTCCGAGCGCAGGCAGTGTTTGAAAAATGGACCTGAGCGATAGTGCAGTACATAGCACAAACTGTGAACGACGTGTTTTCCTCAGGCATAGGAAAGGAAGCCCATCTGAACAACTTACGGAGGTGAGGAATCACGACGAGCACACGCGCGTCCAGAGTGACTAGAAGGCGGGGGTTCTATCTGTCTACAGGGAAAAAAAGAAATGGGCAGTTAGTATCTAGCTTAGCGAGGGATAGGAACACGCCACAAGAATGAGATAAACTCGTTACCTTGAGAGAGCAATGTGCTTGCGAGTGTTGCGCCCTGGACGCGGCATCGGAACGGAGGATTGGCACTAGGTGTGGCGGTTGTGCACTTCTGCGATGATTAGTGGCGATACGAATTAGCTCGCACCAAAACCAGGGAGGCAAGGGGACTCGACGACTTACAGTAAGCGCGCGAAGCCGCCTCCCATGGTGGGCTGTGCTCAAGTCTTCAAAGCTTCAAAGCTTCAAGCTACACGATCGTGTGACCGCCATGATCTGCACGTGCCCACTGCAGTGTCGGGCCGTGTCCGACCTTGTCCAACCGTGTCCGAAAGTGTCCGACCTCCTGCGACCTACGATGACAGCACGACTGCCAGGCGTGTGCTGAGGCGTGTGGACCACCTGGGCCATACGTCGGCGCAGGTAAAGCAGTGCGTAGCTGCGTAGCTATGGTCCCTGAGACCGCGGCGTTGCCAGGCGTGTGCTTAGACATGTCATCCTCGAGTTGACACGTCGGCGCAGGTAAAGCAATCGTCGGTTGGGTGGGCTGTTTTCGTTGTCTGTCTTTTCAGCCGTGAAGGCGACGTACCTTGCACGTTTGATTTTTCTCTCGCAAGTACCTTTCCTCCTGCTGCGAGCTGTTACGCTAATGATCAATGACCTCCAGCCATCATGGCACCCTCCCACCGGTGCCCTCCCACGTCAACTTCGCCTCCTGCGGTCGTATTGCCCTCGCGTCACTATCGCTTGGCGCGCATCGTCGAGCTGCACTGCCTGCATGGTGGTGGATTGGACTCTTCATGCGTGTCGTGTTGCAGACGATGCTAACTTTGACAGATCTCACACCACAAAGGCAGCAGCAGCAGCTGCGGCCATGAACGCTGCTGTGCATCACAGCGTGCTCCAGACATTGTGCCGGATAAGCATGTAGCATAGACATTTATCAGTAATACAAATGTGTGTATACTACCAAACACTGTAGCGATTCAGGATGGGTTTGTCTGAATGTAGAAGAAGGTCTTCGTGACTTTATTCTACGTTTCCGTGCACGCGTAACCTATAGAGTCATGAAGTCTGTCGAACCCCAACTATCCTTGACCTCGAACACCACGTTGGCGACCTTCCATCCACGAGCTTGTCTGCCGGCAAGGAAGGTTTGAGTACGCTCTGCGTTCCAGATGTTGTACTGGAAATCCGCTAGAGGTACGTCGGCAAAGCCAACTGGAAGATTCTTTGTCAATGACGACGAAGGGGAAAGGGAGGGGCCGCGGTCGAGTAAGCCGATAGTAGCGATGCTTCCTAAGGATGAAGATCGTTCTGCCAACCCCCACAGTACGAACCAGGGTGGGGCCGAACAAGAATCACCAGCTTGAGTGAGAATGTGATCGACCGTGACATTCATAACATACACCCGATCCGTGAGCCTGATTCCGATGTACCCACGGGAACCAGAATGGGCCAGCAGCTCCCGAGATCACCATTGAGAGAGGTAGCTGGAGGTTTAGGAGTGATGTACGGACGCCCAAAGAATCGTCTATAGAAAGCGACATCCGGGCGCTGCGAGGCGATGTAGGCGGGGGAAGTTATTGATTTGATAGGTCTCGTACCCGCTGCGCAGCTTGCAAAGTCTCGATAATTGATTGCATCAACGACCAAACTTTCTGATCGCGAGGCAGGTTGTGGAGGACTAGTCCGAGGACAACAACATTCGTACGGTATGTAGTCCTGCAAGTCTTGTGGAACCGGTGCACTGTAAATGCAACAAAGCGGAGAGCAGAGATACCAAGAGCAGCGATAAGAATTGCTGACAAGGCATGCGACATGAACCGCTTCGCAATCCACGACACTGCAAAGAGGAATTGATAAATGAATGAGGGAAACAACCATCTACGATATCCAGTTAGCGGATATTCGTGTCAACATAAGAATCAACACACCCAACCCTTTCAAGTGTCGCCTGGTGTTCCTTGTCGTCGTTTGCTCCGGAAACTATGAACTCCCGGCCTTGACAGCCGTTCAGGGATGCTGGGAGAACCGGCACCTGAAGTTAGACATTAAATACTGAGGGGTCAAAGACTGATCTTCTGAGATGCGCCTCGCTCTCTTCGTCGCTTGCCTTATCTTCGGATCCAGTCAGTATGAACGAAGCCCTCTCGTGATGCAAGGGAAAGGCATCTAGAAAAATGTTAGTCGTAAACTTGAGGGTATGCTTGAAAGTAGAATGATACCTTGTTCAGATAGAGATTCGTTACCAAGCTCAGACGAGGTTTAAGACTCCTATTCCAGAATACCAGCCGACTGTCAGAGTCCATAACCACGACAATCTACAAGTTACAGATCTGGAAGTTTACCGGGACCGCGTACTAATGTGATAGCGAAGGACGGCGCTTCCCTGAGAAACTGTTCTGGTCCCGGACTCTTCAAAGTATGTAGCATCGCTAGGTGGTCGAACAGGTAGACTGGGCGAGCGAACAGGTAATAGTTGCGGGAATGATGAATCAGATGGAAAGCTTGGCAGCAAAATAAACCCGAGGCTCGGTGGCCGTGTAAACACGTCACAACTCTTCACAGATCGTCGCGATAAGGCAGGGAAGACAAAGGAGAATCATCAAGAACTCCCGAAACCTGCAGGGCAACGTTTGAGTAGATCTCCGTGTGGCACGAGAACAACGAACCTGGCAGTTGCCGGTGAGCGCTGGTGAGCGTACAACGGCAGTCCTTAGTCCCAGCTCAAAGCTCGGCCAAATCCGAATCTAGCAGTTCAGTGGCATTTCAGGCCTTCAGGACGAGAACTGTCTGATATTCACACATATCACGACGCGAGTCTGAATTGTGCATGCAAGGTACTAAAATTCAGTCCGCGACAACGCGCGGCAGCCACTCCACACATTCATGTCCACAGATCGCAGGCGCCGTGTCCCCATAAGCAGTGGCCCAGTTTGCCTCTACTCCACTGTTACTTATGATCAACGACAGCGACTGTCGAGCAATGTCGAACACGGTCGAGCACAGTCAAGCAAAGTCGAGGCAAATTCGAGCACTGTTACGTCGTTTTCCCCGGGCCGCGACTATTAATTTGGTGCGAAGCGCCAAAATTGTACCCAGTTGTGTACCCAGTTGCATCGGCGAGAACGTCTCATGAATGTTGTCAATGTTCTCCATCTTTCGGCTGGCCTAAAGCCTAGGCCTATGCCCTCACGCATGACGGCTTCCAGCTTTCGTGTTTGCGGTATTCCACCTTGCCCCTCGATGCTCGGTCTCAATGACACGCGCATTGGTTATGGTGCCATCCCATCGTGTCAAACTCAACAGTTCGACGGTGGGCTTGTCTTGAAACCAGCAGGCACAAGGTGAGCAAGACAGTGTATTTTTGATTTTTCTCATGGTGCTAACAATATTTGCCAGGTCTGCCACCGTGGCTTGCTTCGTGCGCCCCTATTCACACCAGTCCCCGCCGCATTGCGCCCGCAGTGGGGCTCGATGCGAACTCATCCCGTCGAACCTGCGCCACACGTACCTCCATGTGCCCCTGGGTTTGTCACGGGTACATTTATTGTGCGTGTAGAAAGGTGAGGGGGGCGCATGCTCCGCTACAAATGTATGACATACACGTGTTAGATACATGTGTCTATGCACCTGGCAGCTGTGGATGGGACTGTCAGAGAAAACGGTGCACGGCGAGCAACGAGCTCGCTATCTAAGTTGATCTTCCAACAGCTGGGACTTTCTGGAAGACTGATATGTGAGCACATCGCATTCACGACGCGACCCAGTACGCGGCCCCGTGACCTGCGATTGGCCAAGCGCCGGTTTTCACAACACAAAGGGCTACCGGGACCCGGCTGCATCTTCTCGCTTCCTGCAGCCTCCTCCGCCGAGAACGAGCTGTTCGAACACTGATATTCAGCGCAGGTCGACCTCACGATAACCAGCGGACCCACAGCGGCGTAGTATCTCTCAGACCGCATATTATATCTCTTCTATATTAGTTCTCACCGATCCAACACGATCGTAATAAGCCCCGAGGCGAGTGCGATCAACCTCACGATGAGGCTCGACGGATTCGAGGGCGCGCCGTATGAATGCGCTGCAAGACTGGCGCGCTGGACGGCGGCGCATATATTCCCAAGCAGCTACTATGTCGAGCAGCCAACAAAGTATAGTGCCGGACTCGACAGTGAAGTCTCTGCTGATACCTATTGGTCAGCTACGTGCTTCAGGTGCTGTGCGCCACTCATCTGAATGTCTGTATCCTATTTGAGTGCATCTTGCGGCGATTGCCACCAACCTCACCCAGAATATTGCTCATTGTCATTGTCAGTTACCTCTTTCAGTTCCATTGTACACGAGGTTGAACTGACCATTTTCATTCATTGTCCAGCTCCTCAATCTCTGCCATCTCTTGCTACCACCAACATCACAAACATAACCATGGCTTTGCCGCAGAATCTAACAGCAGATCCCACCCTCCCACATCACCCTATTACGCCACCGCGCCCATCAATGCCAGCATATCTAAACAAAAACAATATCCAACAGTGGAGTTTCCTCTCCAACAGAGCTAAGAGGTGTTACCGCCGATATGCTTGTGAGGCGAAGGACCTTGTTGTAGGTCCCATGCCTGCCGCGGAATTTTTGCAATTTTTGCCGCAAACAAAGGAGAAAATGCCGGATTCGAAGGAGGCATTCGTCCATGTCCCAGCGCGGGCAAAGCTTGAGGAGGAGATCTATACACCATTGGTATGTGAATTTTCTTAAGAATGAAGGACATTGCTGAATAAAGCTGAAGATCACCGCTCTCAATGGCATGTATGGACAGTCGCGTTGCCCGAACTTCGTCTTTTGTGATACCTCAACACGGGGTGTTGATCACGGCGCCCCTGGGTCAGTCAAACCGGACGTATGTTGTTACGCTACGCACCGGCTCGAGTTGGTCGAACTCAACAAGGCGACAAAGGGGCCTGTTGGCGATCTGGGCTTGGCCGATCTATTCATTGAGGTGAAGCGAGAGCCTGGGCAGGATTATTTCAGAGATCCCGGACCTGAGGTTGATCGAGCCCTACACAAGTTCATCCTCAGCCACTGTAAGGTCACCACGCTTGCTTTAGGACAGCATATCGCATACGCAGCCGAGAGTCTGGGACGTCAGCATCGCAGGGTTTACTTTTCAGCAGCATTAGCTGGGTCAATGGCGCGCCTTATTCGCTGGGATCGGGCGGGTGCGATCGTGTCCGAGTCCTTTGACTTGCACAAAGAACCTGAGGTGCTGTGCGAGTTCTTTTGGCGGTATTCGCACGCGTCGGAAGCGGAGCGTGGATATGATTTGACTGTGGAAGTCGCAACTGGGAAGCAAGAAACCTTTTTCAAGAACTCCATCGAGCGCCACGTCCAAATGCAATTAGACCTTGAAGATATGAGCAAGATGGCTAAAAGAGAAAAAGTGTCTGCCAATAAGAAGTTGGCTGCAGGCGTGACGGAGCACTATCAGAAAGGCAGGGTGTTCGCGGTGACCACGCTTGACAGTCAGCGCAAGAAGCATCGGATCCTAATTTCACGACCCTTGGTTATGCCGCTGTCAATTGCGGATCGCGCAATTCGGTATTACTGGGCTGTCGATGCTGACGGCGACAGCGGAAACATTCTGTTGTTGAAGGACACATGGAGAGACACTGCGCCAGATATACCGCAAGAGGGCAATGTCTTGGCGGTCCTGCTGGAGAGTGGAGTACCGGCAATTCCGCAACTGAACCACCATGGAGATGTACCAGAAGGCGAGGGCAGTGAGGGTCAGTTCTCAAATTCCTATGTTTGGTCGTCTTTTAACGGAGGTTACGAACAGCTTCCCAGGTTACGCTAACTCAGAAGTACAAAGACGCAACCTGGGTGTGCAAGAATCACGAAAACAATATTCCAATATACGAACGCACACACTATCGATTAGTGTTGTCCACTGTGGGCTACGGCCTGCACAGGTTTCGAGGTACCAAAGATCTGCTAAGCGGTACCTACGATATATATCAATGCACGTAACGTCGTCTGTTTTGCCTTTGGCTGCATTTTGTTCATCTGTGCATCATTACAGCCATCAAGGGGGCTTTTGATATCGAAGATGACATGAAGAGCAGGCTTCATCGAAACCTTAGCCTGAGCAGCATCTTCCTTGTCAAGGATCCAACGAGTGGGATCAAGCGTGGTTATCTGATGGATTGGGAACTATCCTGTCTGGTCAGCCATTGTGGAGAGGCTTGCGATTACCGAAGGATGGTGAGCTAACGTGACGATATACTGATTTCTCAAACACACGTTGACGAATCTCACAGCCAGACCTTCAATTTATGTCTGCACGTTGCCTGGGTGCCCTACGCAATAAGACCCCTTATAAGATCCAGGACGATATGGAGTCGTTGCTCTGGATCGTGCTTTACTGCGGTTTGCGATGGTTGGATCACGATCTGAAGTCTGACCTTGCAAAGACAATGATCTCCATATTCGACCAACATGATAGGGGGAATCGTACAGATGCTCTAGGTGGCATTGGCAAATCCATGAATCATGCTGATCAACGACACACAAGCAGAGTCCATTTTGCAAATACAGACCTGCAGCAGTGGCTGACAGACGCCATGCGGTACAATTCGTCCTGTGCGACTTCCGAAAGGCAGGAATTTCCACTTTCAAGGGACGGGGAGATTTGGCAGGATCTTGGGAGGTTCGACACATACTGGAAGTCATTTCTCGATCAGAGAGACCTACCTGAAGGTGACCGGGTAGTGTGGGTGAAGCTTCCTAGAGACGTACCTCACAACGGCCTGAGGCCGTGCCGTGCAACCATGTCACTGTCCAGGATCCGTGCGACCGAGAAAAATCTGACAGCTATGCCTGCATCTTATGATGGACCCATGACACGCTCAAGGACACGACGAGAACAAATGGAGAGAGAGTGGCTAGAGGGATTCGGGGAGTTTTTCTAGGACTGCGTGTACGAGTCTCTAGTGTCAAATTATTGTGTGTACTCCACAACTATCATACTGTAACGGTACATTGGAGCTCTAGAAACTGTCGGCAGGCGACCTCCGCAGTCGCTACATGGCTCACAAGGCACCAAAACCGCAACTGTACTGCGATAGTGCAATGACAGCATCTCGTATGAGACTTAGCGGCCATACCTGAAGAATGACAAGTCAGCAAACGTCCCAGAGGCCATGTGCTTACTTCCCCAACTCCCATTTTCTGTTGTCGAAGGGACAGGCGTTCCTTGTCTTGAGCCAGAGAGAGATGCAGTGAAATTGGAGGGCACACTATGGTTATTATCACCGACTATCCTACATACTTCAAGACTGCACCGTGGAATCGGCGTATGATACCCCACACAGCGTTACACTCTTCACTGCTGGCGGACCCTTGGTAGGCTTGAAAATCAACGCCTGAAAAAGGTGAAGCTCGTGAGACCAGCGAAGATACGGGATTGAAGTGTCTACACAGGGATCCATGATGCGGTTCGGGCAGGTGGCACGATTGTCCACAACGATATTTCAGTCATCAGGGTCAACGCACCACACGCCCAAAGAGCAACGTCATTCCACTACATGCAGCATGTCATCACGCGGTATCGCCAGCATGAACTTGCAAAACCTAGACAGCCTGTGTCGCGGCGATCTCAGAAAGCCTGAGATGTCAAACACGTGCAGGAAGCGTGGCATGGCAATGTCGTATGCCAAGCGGCATGTTATTGCAAGCTGTAACGCTTCTAGAGGAGAGATCAGAGAAAGAATGATCAGGATGATGTCGGGATCCAGCTCGTGAAACTTCGCCATGTCTTTCAACGCTAGAACCTCTCCGATGAAAAAACTGACAAAATTGCAGACACAAGAAAATCCACTTATCGACTGACTCGGTTCATCTCACACGTGAGTGCCCTGTGAACTTGCAATCTACAACGAAGACAGAAAATGAGTAACACATATGCAATACCTGCGGCGGCACACCTACCTCTGTGAATGTGTTACTGGCACAACCAGTACAGGCATAGGACCGAGAGTGGTGCGCTTCTGACAAAATTTCAGAGGGAGTTAGAGGTTGACTGTGACTGTCCCATCACCCGCCACGACTTTTCTCTGCTATCGCTTATTATTTGAATTACTTTTATAGCCACTTGCACACAATTGGAGGTAAAGTGAGTTACTAGCGACTGCGCCCGGTGTGCACCGGGGCCGCAGAGTATGCATTATTTGCAGCTAGGAAGACGTTGGTGCTTACAAGTGCACACTGAATTCAAGTCTGAGCCTTAAATTGGCGACTGGCCGTGGCGAGCGTCATCAGCACCAGCAAAGTAATAAGCACACTTCGAGAGACGGCAGAAAGTAAGTAAGGATTCTTCGCCACAAATCCTACTATGCCCACTCATGAGTTCCACCTTCCGGTTTCCTCCTAATAAAGTCAGAGCGGTCCGGACAATCCAAAGGTATTGGTCCTCCCAGCTGCATCCAGAAGTCCGGTTGAAGCCAGACAAATTACCCAAGGGTCGTCACTGCTAGTCACGAGTAGCAATCTTGCCTTCGCATTCACCCTTCGAGTTGAATTGAAACCAGGGGGCATATATGTCGTACAGAATGCGGCGGAATCACTGTCGAATAAGAGACACTGGAAAGACTGAGGAGCGGCATCGCGAATCACGTACACGGACAGTCAGAAATCGACTCTAACCACTAACCGTTCTGCACTCACTCTCACGCTCATTTCTTCGACCTACTCGACTTGGGACCCTGTCGCGCAAAGTCGGTCATATTGATCTTCGCTGGACTAGGCCTCAAACAGCGAGGGTTGTATCGGGGCTGTCCAGGCAGATGTAAGAAACCAGTGGCTGATCCTTGTGCCTCAGTCTGTCTCCGCTTTGCCATCGATCGTGTGATAGGTCCTGTGTAATCTGCTCGAGGCACTGACGGTACTAGAAACTTGATCATATTCTCTGGATCTTCACCAACGGGCTCGCCGGTCGCCTTTCTTTTTCGCGAAGGGGGAATTACTGGCACCGGATATGCAGTCTGGGGAGCGGACGACGTGGTGGATGATGACAAAGAGAGCCAACAATCACGGGATGGTGATGATGCTCGTGAGATAGTGTCGAGGTCAGTCTCGAAGGAGGACGACGTAGTGGACGATGACGAAGAGCGCCGATGGGCGCGAGGTAGCTTCAACGTTCGTGAGATTCTGTCATGGTTAAACATCTCATGGGCGCCAAGGAAGTCTTGCCAGAATACATTGAACTTGGAAGGATCTTTCCAGATCTCAGCCACCGTCGCTCCCCTCGGTTGGCCAACCACAAATGATGAATTGAAATCCATGACCGCATCCAGCCATTGTTGAATCACAGGGTTCAAGAAATGAACTCTAGACGTGTGCTCCCTTTGGAGTTGGTTGCAAAATTTGCCCTCGCCAGCCATGACATCCCCATTACGGTAAACTCTGCGTTGGTCGAAAAGGTCAACCATTGTCTTGGACAGAATTTGCGGTGGCAGATCGTGATCCAACCATAGCAAGCTGCAATAGAGTACAACCCAGAGTAGTGACTCCATGTCGTCCTGGATTGTCTGAGCTTCAGGCCTCCAACTCAGCGAGCGCTGTGACATAAATCGGAAGGTGCCCTAAGGACATCCTTAAGCAAGTGTCGACAAATTTTCCCAATCGAATTGGTGCTTACCACTTTTGCGGGATCGCGAGCCTCGCCCTCATTTGTCACCAAACATGAAAGTTCCCAATCAAAAAGATATCCGTGCCGTGCCGCGTTCACCCCGTTGGGGTTCCTGGACAGGATGATGTTTCCTAGGCTGACGTTGCGGTGCACCCTCCGTTTCGCATTGTCTTCGATATTGATGGCACCCATCATCGCTTTAGACATGAAGACTATAAGCAATATGCAGCAGAGAGGACAATTGGTTGCATGCCTTGGTATGCATCGAACGTCCCCTGAAGGAGCTCCTGTGTCCCTCTAAAGTGCTGGAGCCCATACCCGACGGTACCTAACACTAGTCGATAATGCACGAGAGGGTGAAAAGGAGCTTGATCACATTCATAAGGGGCTTGATCGTGTTTATGCTTGCACACCCAGTGAGCGTGCTGAAATTGGTCGGTCTGCGTGCATTGCAGAACTGTGTAAATCGTCAGAATATGATGCAAGGGAAGCATGACAACCTTTGAAAATATACCTCGGTCGCCTGCAATGTCGCCATTCTTCCTCCTCTCGACTTCATTTATTCGATTTACCCTAGGCCGTTGCTCTAGGACGTCTCCGTGGCAGATCAATTGGGGAATATTCGGTACACCAGCACGGTGTAAGTCTTCCAAAACCTCACCCTCCTTTTGGCATCTGCCGTTGCATCGCCACGTGTCCTTTAGGAACATCATTTCCCCCTTCGAATTATCTGCGCTCACAGCCCAGTAAGCCCTCGTTCCTCGACCCGTCATTGAGACAGGTGAGATCACCGGTCGAGATATCAGTAATCGACGCTTTATAGAATTGTCATCGACCATGGTAACCGCAACCACATTTCCCGGCTGGTAATGCTCCTCCATCGCGGCAACCAGCGAGGTCCGCTTGCTGAGGTCCAGCTGGAACTTGACATGGTCTCTGATTGACTCCTTGAATAGCTTCTCCTCTTCTTTGGTTGCAGGCTGGACAGTGGGATCATAGCCACGCTGCGAGTACGAGGCATGGGCATATCGCCACAAAAATGTGCAGAGGAATTCAGCGTTGTAACGCAGGTCAAATGATTCTGAGACGATCATTCCAGCACGATCCCAGCGAATAAGTCGGGCGCGCGATCCAGACAACGAGACTGAAAAGTAGAAGCTGCGATGCTGATGGGCACATGCCTCGGTTGCACACGCAATGTTCCTCCCCAGCCCCCGGTCGGCCCGTGTTCGAATTCGCTCGCCGTCGACGTTGGGAATAAAATTGTGAGAGGAACGATTGCGACCAAGAGTTGGATCTGTGAAGGCATCCAGCCCGGAAGAAGGTTGGACTTCGACGTACAAGTCGGTGTAGCCAAGGCAATTGTGGATTGTGGATTTCGGTTTCACCAAGTCAATGACCTCCTCGGAGAGGCCGGAGACATGGGGAACCATTGAACCCACATCCCTGCAATTCACGCCAAATGAAGTCGTGTCGACAAAGACAAATCCAGGACACCTTGGGGGAGACTTCTTCGCAATGTCCGCTCCGGCGCCATTGATGGCAATTATCTGAGGCCCTATTACATATGTACGCGATAGACGAGCCTAAAAAACGCACCAATGGTTCAATGATCTGCTGTCTGTATTTAGCTTCTGCAGGCACGTCTTTAAACGCCTGCCGCGCAGGCGGCATAGCAGACATATCAGTCTCGGGCAGAAACTTTAAAAACTCGTCAACAGGCATCGGGCCAATCGTAAAGGATTTGGCACTGTCTGCGATTTCGCAATATCGCCTGTCGGCGTCCTCATCGGTAGCCTCCTGTTGCCACACCTTGTTTTCCAAATCAACCTTGGCCAGCGGTGTAGCCGTTGCGGAATATGCGGAATGAGAGGTGTCAGAGCGGTGGATTGTAAAGGTTTTACAGGGTTTTGACGATTGTCAAGATCGGGGCATGGTGACTAGCAGCACTTCAGTGTCGAGTAGAGAAGAGAAGATGAAGTGCGCTCAGAGGGTTTCAGCTTCAACCACTACGCGGTCACGTGCTTGCGGGCCATGAGTTCATGGGTAAGCGGATTTTTATTTGCAGTTATTGACATTCAGCGGCAGATAGCATAATCCCTTGCTTCCACAGCGCAATTCTGATCCGACTAAGTGCATAAATAAGAGTTTTGGCGCTATTCCGAGAAAATTTTCAGTCTCGAATTTTATTATTTTGGGTGTTGGTCGAGATATGGGCGTAAGCAGCCTCAGAAATGCATGAAGGACATCGAAATCCAAAAATTCGCGCGGATGCCGTTGACGTCACGACTGCATCGCACGTTCTGACACCCAAGCTCATCTACTGCAGCAATTGCTTTAATTTTACTTGGGACAAGTGCTATGAGCATCACAAAGTCGAGCCATAGTGTTATTTTGGTTGAAATTTGAAGGGATTGCTTCCAAGTGTATAAACACGCTTCTCCAAGCGCTTCACCGCGTTTGGCGTAGGCGCTGGGGCCACCTTCCCGCTGACTAAGCAGCCGTTCACTTTGGAGGGGTTCCCCTCCCCATCAGAGCTCGGGCGTTGCAGCCGTGCAACTCATTTCCTGGCATCATTGTAGAAGCAGCTCTGATTAAGCCCGACCCACTGCTTCCTAGCCACCATTTTGTCCCTTCGGATATTCGTGGTCATAAGTCTCCCCTGCTCTCAATGAGTTGCAACCGATACATTTCTTATCTTCCAGGTCGACAGCTTGACTGACTGCGGTGGTCCACGAGCACCTTAGTAGTCAGGCCCCAGAAAATCGTCGAATACGAAAATGCCAACTCACCGGCATTTGTGGAAAGACGCGCGCGGATGCAAGTAACCTTTCGTGTTCTTCGCGGCTAGCTCACATGCTTTTGAACTACAAGAAAAGCTCCCGTCTTTGTATGGCTGGAACGAGGAGAGATTCGTTAAAGGGTGAAGTAGGCGGTCGCGTACATAGGGAACGAATATTTGTTGACCCCTCCTAAGTATGACACAGGATGTCCTCAGAGCGCCCTCGCCAGTCATCCAGCGTCTGCCCTTCCACAATCCTCTAAGTGCGCCCTCGTGCCATGGGCGTACCTAGGATTGCCTCACGCGGACCATATCTGTAGCTAGAACTTTCCGAGCGCAGGCAGTGTTTGAAAAATGGACCTGAGCGATAGTGCAGTACATAGCACAAACTGTGAACGACGTGTTTTCCTCAGGCATAGGAAAGGAAGCCCATCTGAACAACTTACGGAGGTGAGGAATCACGACGAGCACACGCGCGTCCAGAGTGACTAGAAGGCGGGGGTTCTATCTGTCTACAGGGGAAAAAAGAAATGGGCAGTTAGTATCTAGCTTAGCGAGGGATAGGAACACGTCACAAGAATGAGATAAACTCGTTACCTTGAGAGAGCGATGTGCTTGCGAGTGTTGCGCCCTGGACGCGGCATCGGAACGGAGGATTGGCACTAGGTGTGGCGGTTGTGCACTTCTGCGATGATTAGTGGCGATACGAATTAGCTCGCACCAAAACCAGGGAGGCAAGGGGACTCGACGACTTACAGTAAGCGCGCGAAGCCGCCTCCCATGGTGGGCCGTGCTCAAGTCTTCAAAGCTTCAAAGCTTCAAGCTACACGATCGCGTGACCGCCATGATCTGCACGTGCCCACTGCAGTGTCGGGCCGTGTCCGACCTTGTCCAACCGTGTCCGAAAGTGTCCGACCTCCTGCGACCTACGACGACAGCACGACTGCCAGGCGTGTGCTGAGGCGTGTGGACCACCTGGGCCATACGTCGGCGCAGGTAAAGCAGTGCGTAGCTGCGTAGCTATGGTCCCTGAGACCGCGGCGTTGCCAGGCGTGTGCTTAGACATGTCATCCTCGAGTTGACACGTCGGCGCAGGTAAAGCAATCGTCGGTTGGGTGTGCTGTTTTCGTTGTCTGTCTTTTCAGCCGTGAGGGCGACAAGCCTAGCCGGATACTGGTTCTCTAGGGCGCAGAAACTGAAAATGAATGCCGCTTTCCGCATCATCGACTTTCCAAGTTTGATTTTTCTCTCGCGAGTTCCTTTTTTCCTCCTGCAAACTGTTACACCGATGATCAATGACCTCCCGCCGCCACGGTACTCTCCCGCGTCAATTTCGCCTCCCGCCGTCGTATTGCCCCCACGACACTGCCGCTTGGCGGGAGACGTCGAGGGCGGGGTCAACGCTGGAGTTGCGTCGGGGGTCAAAGCGTCTGCCGGAGACGACGGGGGGAAGACGTACTACTGGTCTTCGCGCGTGGGTAGATCTCGGCATGTCTGTGAGCCCCATATCGCAGCCGTCTCCTCTCTGGCAGGAGCTGGACTGTTGTGCATATTTGGCAATGACGAGCATTTGGAATTCGACATATCCCTCTGTGCTAGACAGCCCTCCAGAAAGTGAGTCGGAAGGTGGGTGAGATGGTCTTCGCATTTCTCTCTTCGTCGTTTGACGCGCGCATACAGCTTGCCGGAGGGCTGTATGCATACCATGACACCGAGTCGGACGCGCAGCTAGACCGTACGCTCGCGTCCAACGTCTTGGCAGGTGGAGCACGTCGGATTGTCTATTCGTCGTGGTTATCTGGAGTTGGTAGAGTTGCCACCTCTCGCAGGAGGCAGGCCTCGCCAAGAGGTCTTTTTAGCGTATGTTGCGTACAGATGAAAGCCATAGTGAAGCTCGGATATCCGCACGATGTAAGGGCTTTACTCTGAGTCCCACCGCCTGATTGTCGCCCCACGACTTTTGTTCAGACGTCCGAGTTGCTGTGCGTGTGTAAACTCTACAAGTGGGCGCATGAGACGCAACAAAGGGTTTGGCAGAGTTCTCATGTCTGGCTGCGAGAGAGGTTCTCCAGGTCTCGGCCCCTTACGATTGGCAACTCGATGCTGTTCCGTCAGGGCATCCCTCAAATTTCAGTGCGCGTACTGTCAGAACGACAGCGGCAGGCAGTGATGGGCCTCCATAGTTGACTGTATGTGGGCAGAGCTTTAGGTTTGTCATTGATCCCATCCTTAATGAGATCCTGTACAGTACTAATCCTCGTTTGTATTGCTCGCGCGCGAACTCACCAAGGTTTGCCCAAGCTTGCTGTCCGACGCCGTCTTGAGCTAGTGCTGCTAGTGCTGCTAGTGCTGCTAGTGCTGCCGTCGTCTGTCGTTATCAGTACGTCGACATATGTCGTGTTTCTTGGGGTACGTCGCATCACTGACCGAGCAATACCAGGTATGGCGCCTCGCTGATAGAGCAACACCTTGCCACGGGTCACTACTGACTGTATTGCGCCCATGTCGTGCAGTGGGTTTGCCGGGTATGCGCCCACGCCAGCGACTATATGAAAGCGACTGCCCGCAGTAGAAGTCTCTGGGAAAGTAGCTAGCGTCGCCACCAGGCAGTGTACAAGCACAAGCTGTCCGATGGATCTGCTTGCTTCGCGGGCCAGATCAAGAACCTGCACAAGGACGGCGTGGTCGCAATTAAGCGGAGATGTGCGATGGCATGTGGCGAGGGTGAGGGCTCGCCAACGTCGTCAGCGCTGCACGTAAGCGGTGCGAGGTACGTTTCCTCGAGGCTGCGCGCGAGGCGTTCGTCGAGAACACTGAGTGAACGACGACACACTGCTCTCCTGCGGGAGGACATCCGACCCGTGCAGAATGGATGAGGCATAGAACATTAGTACTGTCACCGAGGTGAGCTGCGATATCGTGAATTTGCAAACTGTTCCCAATCCTTTATATAATTGGTGTAATGCCTGTTGACAAGTTTCTGGAATTCCTGCCGAAGCCTGATATGTCCGCGATGCCCCCTGCTGTGCAAGCATTCAAAGATCTGCCGGCAGAAGCTGAGCACAGGCAGCAGATTATTGAACCATTAGTGCGGTATTTAGATTTTTCTGTCTATCACAAATATTAAATTTGTACAGATTATTGCCCTCAATGGTGTTGGAAGAGGCGCCACGAAGTCGCGGCCAAGATGTCCTGGATTTGTCTTCATAGACACAACCTCGTTCGATGTGAATCGCGGAGAGATAGGTTCAATGAATCCCCATGTTTCCTGCCTCTCCGAAGAAGATATTGGCTCGATGAACCCAAAATCGACAGTCGCGAGCTCTATTTCTTGCGCCGACCTGTATATTGACGTCCAGCAGCATCCTGGTCTGGACGCCTTCACAGATCCAGCTCAAGGCGATGATCGCTCTGCTCACGATTTCATTCTGAATATCTACGATGAACGAACTCGAAATCGGGCCGAACGAGGGCTGGGGATGAACATTGCGTGCGCTCGTCAGCATCGCAGCTTCTACTTCTCTGTTGCACTGTCTGGATCGCGCGCCCGGCTTATCCGCTGGGACCGTGCTGGAATGATCGTCTCAGAATCGGTCGACCTGCATCATGATGCGCAGCCTATCTGCGAATTCCTGTGGCGGTACGCCCACGCCTCGCAATCACAGCGTGGCCACGATCCTACTGTTCAGCCTGCGACGAAGGAGGAAGAGAAGCTCTTCAGAGAATCAATCAAACGCCACGTCAAGTCCCAGCTTGGTCTTAGGGACCAGACCACGCTGGCGGCTGCCATGGCGAAACACTTACCAGCCAGGAATTGTGGCTGCTGTTACCATAGTCAACAACAGTTCTGAAGAACGCAGACTCCTGATATACCGACCAGTGGTCTCGCCTGTCTGAATGATAGGTCGAGGAACTACAATCAGCCCTCGCGCCGGGAATAATGTACCTTGTGTTTACCGCCCTAGTGTATTATCTCCAAAGCTACGCAGCCTTACACGACGAGTTTTTAAACCTTCAATAGGAACTTACAGAGATCTGACCAAAACGTGACAGGCTCTTTTACATCCCTGTAGGAATGACATAATGTTAATGGCTATATGATGCGGAGCCTCGGTATTAACTGGTCGATGGGCAAAAATAATCTAGTGAGTTCACTTGGTCGAACGTACCACGAAGGCTCCCTCTGCTATGTGACACTGGGAAAGTTGTCCCTGTGTAAGTGTACCGCAGATCGCTGATCTGGGACTTCTCGCTCCCCCGACTTTGACTCTCGCCGTCTACGCTCACCAGGCGTCCAGCGCCAGTTGTTCCCTATCCTCTGCCTGTCCCCTTTCACCTGCTGCTCGATTCTTCGTTCTAGTTTCTTCTCTCTCGTCTGCGGATATATCGACCATGAATGGGACGATCGCCCTTCGCGGCCGACATTATAAAGTAAGTTGAAGGTCTATTGACTCGGTGTGCTCTGAATTCATCTTGCAGACTGTCAGGAGTATATTCCAAGTGCAAGGATCCGTCGGATGGCGTGAACTGGTGGAAGTATGTTGCTTTTGAGTGCATTTTGTGTTGCATTCAGCCTAATGATCGCGCAGGCCTTTCAGAGTATGAGCTTTAAGGTAAAAGCCACAAAGGGCTCCGTTCATAAATTCAGTCCGCCTAGCACGATTCCCGGGCGCGCTTTTACCTGGCACAAGGTAATGTTTCTCAGTGTCCAGAAGGGCTTCGGGTTTCTGACATAGTGCAGCCGCACTCTTCGCAACTACGCCCGGATCATCTGCGAATGTGAGTTTTCTCCAGAGCTCGCCGGTGCTAGCTAACGCGTTTTTAGATTGAGGGGAGACCTGTCCCAGCTTTACCATTGGAGGGTCGAAACGTTCGTAAGAAAGAAGTGAAGCAGAGGGGTGCATTTGTAGAAAACTTCGTGAAATGAAGATAATCATGCGCGCGCGCGATTGAGAACAAATAGACTGCGTAGATCTTCATAATTATAATCCTTTCACCGACGGATTACTTGTACCTTTGTAGATTAACCCTACTGTATCTAGATTACCAGATCCGATCACTCACTCCACGCGAATCGCGGCCGGCAGTTGCCGTTCCAGGGAGTGCATTCTTGGCACTTGCGATGTTTGGCTGGGCGACCGCGCGCGTACCTCCTCCTCGTCTTCTGTTTGCTTTCACTGCTTCGCCAATGGCGCCGTTCTCGTTTAGGTGCTTTTGCTCCGCGTTACGCGAGCTCGGGTCTCGGATTTGATACCATCGCTAAAGGCACAGGTTGGCTGAGAAATGCCAGAAAAAACCATACACTCTTCCATAGGTGCGCGGTCGCTCTGCCCATGTTTATAAATTGTCACAGCCGAGAAGGCGGCTGTAGATTTTCTTATGCTCTATCGGTACTCTTCTGGCGAGTCGCCCGAAATATTAATTGTTGCAGAAGCGCTGGGTTTGCCTTGCGCGTCATCATCCCCGGCGACGCTCTGCGCCTTCGCCAGTGTCGAGCGGGAATACGAACGAATTCCACTGCATTGTCGCATGTCGTGAGCGGGCTGGTTTTTGGGATTGCAGAGGCGCTCAGTATGTGGGTATCTATTTTCTATCATCGAGCGCGAGCTTTGTTCCGTTGCAGATCTCGAATTCTGGAATGGCAATCTGACTCCCACCCCACAGCTCCTGTCGCCCCAGGACGAATCACCGTGTCCGCCTGGGAACATCCGCGCACCCTGCCCTGTAATCGCGGTACGAGTGGGCTACAATCCACACATTGGGAGTCAGCAGAATTCAGGAAACATATAGGCATACAAAACACGTACATAGGACACAATCGGCAGGACTACTGTCTCCCCCTGCACGGCCTGCCTCTTGATAGTAGCTACCAAAGTCGTCAAGAAGAGCTAGAAGGGGTGAGAGAAGGCCTACTTTTCAAGATCCTTCGGCAAAGAGTGATGGATGACGAAACGAACTGCCTCCCAAGTTGTCAGACACATTCTTCTGAGATCGTGTGAGAATGCCATGCCGTTGGATTTGTTGATACCCATTCCGAACGCGTTCTGCGCAGAACATTTAGCAAAATTGGTCAGACGACGATGAGTGATCCAATTACTGTAGCCACTATGATTTTGCACTTTCCGTCCTGCCACATATCTTGGTTATGCTGCCTCTCATTCTTGTCCATTGTCCCATGGTAGGGGAATGCCGACAAGTGATGAGCATTCCGCAACTCTGCAGCAATGTGCTCGCATTTCTTTCGACTTGTAGCGTAGATGATACCGGTCTGTCCATTATAGTTGGTTCGAATGAATTCGACAACGTCTGCGAGAACGGCACCCTTCCATTTCTGTCGAACGACGTAGTTCAAATTCGTGCAATTATGGGATTCTGTCAAGCGGAGGCAATTAGGCATCCCGAGACGATCAATAACATCGTTGACTGCTTCCGGAGGAGCTGTCCCAGTAGGTGCCATGATCCGAACTTTGGGATACTCAATTCGCATGAGGTTGAGCGCTTTGTACTAGAATTAACACATAAACCATCAGCAGTCTACACTGAAGGAAAAGAGGAGAAGCAGAGTCTCGGAATTCTCTTCCCCACGTGGGGATCCAATGTGCCTCATCGAAACTGCACAGCGCTATCACATCGTTCTGATACATCATAGGCATGGTATTCCTCGTCGCAGCACTAAACTGGAGTCTCTCTGGTGTCACGTGTACGCCAAGCGCGGTCTATACTTGGTTTTGAGGCGCGCCATGTCCGCAGCAGTTTCTTTGTTATCTCGATTTGATTCAAACACTACGACGTCGACGCCTCTCTTCTTGAGAGCACCCGCTTGATCCTCCATGAGAGCTATTAGGGGGCTGATCACAAAAGTGGTTGATCCGGATTTACACAACGCAGCGAGCTGAAAACACAGGCTTTTCCCGCCACCTGTAGGCATCAACACAAAGACGTCGCACCCAGACAGTGCTGCATGATCGCCTCTGGCTGATGCTTTCAGAATCAATTGATACCAAATACTTCCCAGAGCTTGCGCTTGATCTCGGGATAGTACTTGTTCCTCGCCAGCTCGCCGTTGTGTGCTGTGGAGGAAGAGGACATCGTGGCTTGACCAGTATGGCAAGGAAGAGATGATGGAGGTGTAGCAGGTGCCGGGGGAGGGAGAGGTCGGACATCTTCATAGAGATCTACTATATCACCATTCGGCCCATTCCAGTAATCATCGCTTCCAGGTTCAACGTCGTCAAGCGGAGCGCTAGCAGTGCCTACTACCTGCTTCCAGTAGTCGTGCTACTGCCTGGGAAAGCATTCCCATATTCGCCGCCATATAATGTCGTTGAAGAAGACTGGACCGTCTCCTTTGTCCACGAGGGTTGTTTGCTCGGAAAGAGAGCTAAAGGAAGAAGCTGCGTAGTACTGGGAGTGGGGGCCTGCGAGGACCACGAGGGGGGTGGAAGGACGGGCTGGTCACCTCGGTTCACCGCTGAACGGAGCGCTAAAACCGAAGCAATTCTATCTCCGGCCAGTTTGCTGCAGACAACGGACGAAGATTCAGTGTTGTCGTCACCATTACGTTACACAGATGACCTACTCGAGATGCTGGAGTAAAACGATGTTGTGACTACGGCCTTCGCCAGTATTATGTTTCAGCATTCTGTCAGATATCAGACCCCACAGGTCAAAGTTACTGTTGAGGATTATGCTGAGATGATCGGCTTCAGATTTCTAGGAATTCTTCAGCATTCTGCCCCGGGGAAGGCAGTTACAATACTGACCCCAATAAGATCTGACCAGTCCAATGGCAAATTCCGCGACGGTAGCCCAGCAGGAGTCACTGCTGGTCGTGGCGGGTTGGCTAGTATTCTCTAAGCAGAATGCTTGATAGGCGATGGATTGATGGGGCCTGGGGCGTGGAAGTCTAATGTCCGATTCAACGGGAGCTCTCTTGCCTTGCCCTTCACATCAGAGATGAATCCATTCTCCTTGCCCGGTGCGGTGTCAATTCTCGGACGCTTTGTTGGCCCCGTATGTTCTTGATCTATGTGGGCATCCAGGGAAGGGCGTTTACTTGGGACACTTGACACAGAGGCAGAGGGAGGGGTGGTATCCGTAGAAGATATGCTGATATACAAGTGGTCTCCATTGGAAGGAAGCGCGAGTGGAGGGGTTTTACTCTTGCCAAAACGGGGTGTAGAAAAGGCAGGAAGGATCGTCGTTGTCTTGCGCACTGACGGTCGTGATCGTCGGCGATAAGCAGCTGAGAGCAGATGAGTCATGTTTACGCACCAGTACTAGTGACATGCTCGTGAGATCGAGCCATCGAGTACACGTTTGATCTGAAATACGGACACCTCAAAGCCAAGCTTACATATCGCATTAATGCCCTACACTCGCACCACACAGTTCCGAGTCAATATACGCTAACGTCGAACACCCGTGCGAGGTCACATGATGTGAACGCGCAGCACGCGATCGCGTCTGATCGCGTGACCGCCATGCTCTGCACGTCCACTGCCAGGTCGGACCTTGTCCGACCGTGTCCGACCACGTCAGCCTGCGACCTAGGACGACAGCACGACTGCCAGGCGTGTGCTGAGGCTGTGGACCACCTGGGCCATGTGTCGGCGCAGGTAAAGCAGCGTGTAGCTATGGTCCCCGCGGTGTCGCCAGGCGTGTGCTTAGACGTGTCATCCTCGAGTTGACACATCGGCGCAGGTAAAGCAATCGTTGGGTTGGGTGTGCTTTTTCCTGGTGCAAACTGTTACGCTAATGATCAATGACCTCCCACCATCATGGTACCCTCCCGCGTCAACTTCGCCTCCCGCGGTCGATTGCCCCCACATCATTGTCGCTTGGCGCGCGTCATCGAGCTGCACTGCCTGCATGGTGGTGGATTGGATTCTACATGCACGTCCGTTGCTTTGTTCTCTGTGTTGCAGACGATGCTAACGTTGACAAATCTCACACCGCAAAAGCTACAGCAGCAGAGGTATACCAATACCCAAGGCCTCCGCTGGTGCTGGCGCAGCTGAAGCTGCTTTTTTCCGCAAGATGCACGATAGATTCGGTAGTTACCATGAGGAGGCGGGCAGATGTGCAAATGCCGGCACAGCTGCACAGAGGAAATGACTCTTGACCGGTAATTACTGCGGTCATCTTGACTCGACTGTGCTGTGAATGTGCACTTTCGGCGATCCGAACCTCTCGGCGGTTAGTCCGGCAGGTCTCCGACACATGCTGTTGTTGAGTCCGGGGAGAGAAGGGGAGAGAAGGAGCACCATGGTGTAGGCACAAAGAGCACTGGTCCAAGCACGCCAAAATGGCCCGGTGCACTGGCGTACGTTGGCAGTGCGTGACGTAGAATATAGTACGTTCTTGCACCGGAGGGCTCTAGGCCTACATGTCCTGCGCAATCCACGCGCGGAAGGGCTGGTCTTAAGAGAGTCCTTTGTTGCTAAGTCTTATGCTCACGATCGATTCTTTGTCTCATTGTCACTTAAAAGCTAGAGGCATCTTACGGGTCCTGCATTCCCCTTCGTATCCCAGTGTACTGAAACTCTGATGTCAGCATCTCCTGTCTCGCGCTCGAGAGACACCCTATGGGGCGTGCGATTCCCTTCTGCCAGGGGATCAGGCACAAGTCATTGCGAACTCCCAGCCTTCAGACTGTACAATGAGGGATCAGAGGCAATGTTCACGTTGAGAAGACGATTCTCTCCTGTGGGCACTACAGTGCAGGGGCAGCCTCTTTCTCGCCTTACACCCACATTACAGGAAGTGCGTGTTTATTCATTTTCCTTGCACGCATAAGCGCACAACTATTGACATGATTAGCAGGGAAGTACCGCAGTGCAGCTAACTCAACGTGATTTGAGCTTCGTCAGTTGTCAGGCGTCGGCATTGAAACCGCAAGACGCAATCAACAGTGCCCCTGCAAGAAAGCGCAGTATCTCGCAAGTATGTCTACAAGATCATCGTTTGAAGTATTATGCGAGTAATGTCATTGTACAACGCAGGTGATAGTTGATGGGGGCCAAACTTCAGGCAGTGCGACAGGAGCCTCCGCTGAGGTTCAAGCGGCTGTCCAGGTGCGGGTCGCTTACTGTCATGTTGGCAATTGCTGACATATCCTACGTATTACTTTCTAGTTCCTTGCACCTCAAAAAAAGAAAGTGAAGAACGACAGTCACTATGCTTTCTGGTACCGCAGCTCCGGTAGCGAACCCTTAGAGACTCCCCAGTGGCTCCATCCCCGCATCGAGATTCATGAGGGAGCCCTCTACATACACCACATCCAGCTACACACAGGTCAGTCTAAAGATGAGCCAGTCGTATAGATTTGGATCTACCGGAAGGGAGCGGATGGGGTTCTCGGTTGGCAAAGTATCGTTCAAATGCATGAACAAAGGCATCCAATTCTGCAGCATCTTCTGCTGTCCTTCACTGCGAGCGGTGATCCTACGTGGGTGGGGCCAAGCACCGCCAGGCGCGCTAGACCTTTGCCAAAGATCTACTCCTCGACGTAATACCCTTATCTAGTTCAGTCTACTTTCGATCTCTGTGTGTCTCATATACGTAGACCCATTACAATTTGCAGACGTCAATTTGTCCCACTTGATGTTGTCATTCGGCCCGTGTTCTGATAATATGCTATTACATCAGAATAAGCTATCCCCAGGCCCGTCTATCCTGGACGCTCCCAATCATGTTCTCTTTGTTATCCCCCGTCGTTGCGATCTCCCTCACGAGCGCTTTCCTGTCAAGTGTGTGTACTCAGTTCCCTCACTATACATGCGCTCCTTCGCTTCCATTTGGTTCATACCAATGTCATCGTCATCCTCAAGAGGTGTCAGAGTAATTGGTCTAGTATATAGCACACAGGTAACTGTATTTCCTCAGCATTCGACTTTTTCATATTGCTATCCTTGTCTACATCAAATAGTTCCAATGCGCTTTAAGAAAGCCATTCTCTCGAATGAATGGTATAACCATCATTGCTATAACCGCTACGACTAGACAGGTGCCTATTGCACTGATTGTCAGAGCTAACCGCGAGTACGAGCATGCATTACGACAAGGACCATCTTTGTCTAAGGCAATGGTCAATACTAGACAGAAAAAAAGCCCGGGCTACTTACTCTGCGGTGTGAATTCCTTGACAGCTGCTAGCTCGTTGACTAGATTATTGTCCATATATGGCAGAGACGCATGTTAGTATGGCCTTGGGCGAAAATATAAACGTATACCTTACCAATTTCTGCTTCCCAGAGGTAAACGGCAGTCGGCCCTGTGTTTGCGGTTGCAGTCGCAATCCGGAAGATATCACGCGCTGAGTTGCAGTGAATCTGATTGAAATGCCAGTCATACGGATTCCTCTTTGCATAAACAAGCTTACTGCCAACGCTTGGACTGGGCGTTCTGATGGTCAAGGCAATTGGTACTCAGACTAGTCACGAGTGATATGCTACTTCACCTTCATGAGGGAGTGTCTGTATCCTGTCGCCGTTCACGAGGTCCCAGATCTTCACATCACCGAAAACACTTCCACAGATAAGTGCTGAACCACCATGAAGGAAGGAAACCGGTAACGGAGAGCACCACGTCGGACCTCTTGTCCGGAATCTATTGGAATATATCCCAGCTGGGATACTGCAGACGTAGAACTCGTGGCGCAGATTTGAGAAGGCTAATTGCGAGCTATCGGGTGAAACACTAGCAGTGCAACTAGGGGGGATCAGTCTAGCATCTCCAGTGCTGGGAAACAATTATACCAGCATTCAATTGCAACGGTCCAGAGCGGATTAATTGTATCCGGATTCCAGCAACTGTGCAGTGGCAGAATGGGTATGAGAAATGAAAGACGGACCGTAAGACCTTACATAACTCCATGGTGCAAGTATGCGACTAGGAGCAGCGGCTCCGATGAATCAGCGAGCCAATGGAGCGATGTGACAATAATTTCCTGGTGACTTCTTGCGAGCATGAGTGGGGGATTAGGGAGCGTTATTTTCTCCTTCCAGGAGAACTCCCACTTTGCAACTGGTGTCGGGGTCGTCATCTATCGCCATTCACCTATGCCAGAATCTCACCTCGCTCGACCCAAACTTTGCATTCATTATGCGCCGCAGATGCTAGGATGTTCAATTCGTCACGAAATGACAGGCATTCGACAGGTTTGGAATGGGCGGAGAAGCCCGAGATAGTCCACAGATCCTGGGATAGCAGAAGTTTCACGCTTGCAATCAGTCTTCTGCATAGAGAGCATTACCAACTTTTTCAAACGCCATAGAAACCAATGTTCCATCACTGTATCCACAAATAAGCTGATCGGAGGTGTGCAGCCAAGCCAAAGAGAAGAGTGGTGCATCTGCAGTGATCGTTCGGAGTGGCTCAAGATCCCCAGTGGACACAGGCCATATTATCAGCTTCCCATCGTCCCCGCCGCTAGCAACATATAGCCCATCGGGACTGAAAGCCACAACATTGATTGGACCGTCGTGTTCTGCTGCGAATGCTGCTTTGCGCTTGTACTGGAGAGGCATCCCTCTCAGAGTCAGCTGATCTAGGACGCGCTTGGTCAAACACGCGCTTCACGTAGACGCGTCTCAACCGTATATTCTTACCTGATTCCTGAGACAAGATTAAGCTTGAGCGAAACTGCGGCTGGTGCTTTGTGTCGTGGACATTTCTTCTGGAGCGATGGCAAGGACCTATTACGCGTGTTTACCGACAGACCTATGCGCAAGCGCGAGGAAGCGTGCCCCCATGCGTCTGTCTGTTCCCCCATTGTCCATCCATTGTTCGTTCATTTGCGCCCATCCATTGTCAGTTCATTTGCGTCCGTCCATTGTCCGTTCATTTGTGTCCACCCATTGTCTCTTCGTTTGTGCTGTGCAGACGACTCACAAATCAAATGCATCCGAATTCCTTTGTTTCCTCATGCACGGAAGCCTTTAGAGTGATGGTACGTCTCTTCTCTTGTTCAACCATTTACAACTGTCTGAGGCCCCTCGATATTTACCTTAGGCTGGTTAGGCTCAATCCCTCTGAAACACACACTAGTACTATACACAAATCTGCTGTGGTCCTATGGCGAGCTTGTCGACGGGGCAGGGAAGCCGTCAGGCAACCCAGCGTCTCCGGAGAGCACAAACTTTTCCCGGAGTGACATCACAGTCTTCGAGAAGCAACGGGCGGGGCGGCGCTGCCGGGTGAATACGCCCATCTCCTTCGATGATGACGTTACGTGACTTATTGCGGTTCTCTTATACAGACGGGGATATCGACGTGGCAATAGATCTCCCAAGTTCAAAGACGCTCCGGGCACTGACCGTCGAAAGCGTTTGCACTCCCCGGAAGCGGTAGTTTCACAAAAGACTTCACATCTGGACACCCGCACTGTTGCGTGCATTCGTACACCTTGTTCTCTTTCCTAAGTCTGATTTGGTTGCCAGTCCTCCATATAGAGCTGAAACCAAGGACCCAAGAAAGCGAGAACATTCTCCACCTATCGACACATCAGATAAGAAATTTAAGGTAGATCTCGAGCTTATCGGTAGCCAGTACGTATCAAAGGTTTTCAGAAGACTCGAGATGGCGCTGACTTTGTTACAGAATTCCGAAGACCAGGCGTCCGAAACGTAGTCCACGAAATGTATACGCACCTTCCAGGCATGTCAATTTGGTGGGCCAGTCGTATATTTTCTTATTGCTCCATCTGCAGACTACGATCAGCAATGTCATGGCCGCTCCCTGCTGGTCGTTCCGTTGCACTACAGTCAGCTGACTTTGAATTTCGGTACCATCTTTTTGGTCCGAATGGCGAACCGAGCATCTCAGACATTCCTGGGGGTTCTCATGATGATCTGCAGCCGGCAGGGATGGCGGCGGCTGAGTGCGTTCTTCACGTTACCGCGCGTAAAATCTTATTCACATCGTAACGTAGACACCAGGTGATTGACAGTGCGGCCAATCCAACGGTCACCACCATGGGATCAATCAACTCCAACGTCGACGGAACTGTCTCCATCGCGGGTGTCGTCGATGCCAACGCTGCCGACGCTGACATCGTAGATGGCAGCGTGACCGTCATAGCCACTGTCGACGACAAGAATACCGTCACCAACGTTAGTCCTGACACCGACACAGTCATCGACCTCAGTCGTGATGCCGTCGATGGCCGGGACCAAGCGCCCACTCGCTGCATGCAGGCCGAATATGTGCCCCCTTCGCATGACGAGTTGTCTTCGGCACCGTTGCCTCAATCTTCAGCCATTGACACAGAGTACAAGCCGTCAACCGCGCTCGAAACACAATTGACACCATCTCCGAGTTCCTACGGAGACGGTAGATTACTCGAACGTGGTATACCCTCTCATCCGGTGACAGCGCCTCTTTCTGGGCAGTTCGGAGAGGCGAATCAGTTTCCTGACCAGTCCATTGTTGGTTCACTGCCCCAGAATCAGGACTTGTCCGGTGATATGCCTCCTATGACGTTGTCGCTTGAAGCGAAGTTCCCCATGCACCAACCCAGTCGTCCAACTCTTGGAGAGGAAAATAACGCACCTCAGAGCTCTCAGGTGGGATTCGCCATGTCAAATGACCCCGGTGAACTTTGTACACGATATGCACCGACCTTCGCGAGGAGCACCCGCGAGTCAGAAATCCAACCTTCTTCTCCTTCGTGTTCATTTCCTCCAGCGCCGCAGCTGAAGGGCGATGCCGATCCGTCTGGAGGGTCTCGAATGTTTAGAGATTCAATGACATCAACTCTTCCCAAATCTGAGGTTGGACCGTCATCTGCCTCCCCTCCGTGGACACCTCCCCTTGTTCCGGACACAGGAACGTCTCTCCTATGGCCTACGCTACCTGGTGACCCAGTCGATCGGGGGGACATGTCCCATGGAACGGAGTCTGACCCCCGTGTCTCGCTTACACACGTACTGGGAGAGGAACTTCGGTCGGTCCCAGCCCCAGGCAAGGAACCACGATTCCCCCCATTTAGTGATCCTTCGGAGATCCCTAAGCCTCTACGTAGCGACATGCCGTCTTCTTTGGGTGTGGACGAAGAACTGCCGTTAATATCCTTTGATGAGCCGGCAGCTGCAGGCAAGGGGCCACGATTTCCTCCATTTAGCGAGACTTTGGAGATTTCTAAGCCTCTGCGTAGCGACGTGTCATATACCTTGGACGTGGACGATGGACTGCCGTTAATATCCTTTGACGAGCCGGTCATAGAGCTGCCCATCGCAAACGAGCGGTCATTGACATCGGAAGGCGGAGGGTTTCAACCGGGTATTTCTGAAACTCGATCACCCACCGTCGAGTCCTGTTATCAAGATGATAGGTCCAAAACCCCGGCCTGGACTGGTTTGCGCGGTCAACTGCTTGCGCTCTCTCTCGAGCTAAACGGCGTACTGCCCAAGTGGACTCATGCGAGCAAATCTCCTCCCCGTTCACCAACCGTTGACGTACAGAATGATTCAAGTCCAGGTGACGACGGAGAGTCTAGTGTACTATGTGATCCGCTCACGAAACGAACTGTAAAATACTCGGACGACGTGACACTTTCACAAAATACTTATGAAAGTATGCTGACAAGGTCACCATTCAATGGGTTGGACTCGTGGGAGCCATATGGTGGCATGCAGGAGTCTCAGATTACAAGGTGCATGACATCTGCTATCACTTTGAGCCGTATATCTGATTATCTATCAGTATCGAAGAAGGTGCACTGTTGAACGGAATCACTAATGAAGCAGACTTCCCATCCTGGGCTGGACTCTGTGATCATGTGGGATTCACGAGTAACGTGGATGATGTTGAGATGGACGATGTCAAGATGCACGACAAGCATACCTCGAACAGCGACATAATGGTACAAGACGTCATTGATGCAAAAGCACTGCACAAGCAATACAAACCGGTGGGCTTGAATCCCTGGACTGGTGGAGATCTTCCGGCCCACATGAATGATGCTATGGAGTACCGAAATTCCGTTTCAGTCACCAGCGAGCGCGCATATCATTCTTCGTCTGCGTTAGTGGATGTCTCGGCATGGAATGGAATCGTTCTTCACACAGCTTTCCAGCAACATACTCAGTGTCGAGCACAAAAACATTTTAATGGTGAATTTCCTAGCTGGATAGGGATCGGTAATTGGCTTAAAACTGATGCCTTACCTCGACTGGTGCGTGTTCCGCTTCCATGTGTCTAAGCGCCTAATATTCATAACCTGAATTTAATATTCAGGTCGATAATACATCCGATGTGCACATCAGTTTTCCAGAGTGGAATGGATTTGACAGCCAGGTGCAGGTTTCAAGCAGAGAGACCTGTCCGGATAACGAAGTTTCATATCAACACCGCCGTCAAAGTGGGGGTATAGCCATTCACCCGCAGATGGGGTTTACACCTGAAGTTGCGATATCTACATCTCGGCAATGTGAGGAGAGCGACGGCTATATTCGGTGTGCAAATGCGTCTGTTTAATACCGCTCTTCCACTTCTAACAGAGGCAGTCCAGCCCTCCTTCACCGAAAGATATCGAGATGAAAGATGCTGCAGTACCTGAGGACGATGGTTCAGACGTGCGTTAACCGAGCTTATTGAGTATCCAACCAATATTTATGACCTCTCCTCATGTCATAGGGGACAGCGCAGAGAACCGCGGAGCAACGTGACAGCAACGTACGTATAATACATTCTCCCTTATCACTGCCTCAGGAGATATCAATTTGCAGCACCAGAGTGGAACGGCTCACGTAGACGACATCCTGCGGGAAATGCAGCAGATGGAAGGACGTATCACCACGAGGATGAATGCGGCGGTGAACGCAGCGCTGTCCCAAAGCTATCCACCGCCGTTCATCTTCCCTGGGCTCTCGGGTGCCACTCCGTCTGTCGGCGCTGGGCAAGGTTCGGAATCTCAATCTCAGGCCGCAAGTAGTCGACATTGTGAGCGCCCGATGACGTACTTCAAGTATGTATGATCGCTGATACTCCATCTATCAGACTTTCAACAGGCCAGTGCCGCCCCGGCTGCCTCGTATAAGGCACGAAAGCTTATCAAAGGATTGAAGCTCGGGGGACGAGTTTCTGAACACAAACCTGTACAGACCAACATCCTCAAGGTTCGCGACTGTCGCTTATCGGGTCATAGAATGGGCATAACAACCTTTTGACAGAACGATGTGCGTGAATTCGCGATGCGTATTTTAGATCGTGAAAATGCGGAATCCCCATTCCCTGACCCTCCAACCAAGACCGAATTGGAGGACTTTGGCGAAACCGGAATCGGAGGACCTACGGTCGATGATTTCCGCATAGATTTCATCGGCAGTAGGAAATCACGATGGAATCTACTCGCAGCTGAAATCTTCGCTGATGAGTTCCTCGCTTGCTCGTGGTACAGTTGTGAAGATATCGAGACAATCCGCGATGCATTCATTGTGCACCTTAAACAACTAAAGAATCAATACGAAGACTTGCGTGACCGAAAAGGTGAAGACCCTAGCTCCAAGAAGTTAGAGCGACAGAGCAAGAGCGATCGCAACAGGCGGCGGATCACGGTATGCTACAAGCGCTGATTCTCTGTTACAGTGTGACTGACAGTGATCCTGCATCAATAGTTGCACGAACGTCGTGTGGATGCATGTTATAATCATCCAGATCTTGCAAGGTTCATTGACGTCCTTGAATTTATGGGCAAGGATGGCATGAGTGGCGATGAATCCGACCATTGTGGAGGGCACCGCGGAGGTCAACGACGATACACTATTGTCAGTGAAGAATGGAGAAATCAGAGCTTGGTCACTTGGCTGCACGTTATGGATCTCCTACATCTGGGCGGAAGGTTTACTGCGGGTGGCAAGGCGAGTCGCGGCAACTGGCCTCGAGTACGCAGGCCTTCCTTGCGCAAGATTGACCCAGGAAACCCGGTTGCTGGGCTCCCGGTGAATTTTTACAACCATAATTGGCTGAAAACACTTCGACCACAGCAGATTCAACAATTGAACATACAACCTACCGTGGATCTGGCTCACACTGAGGCCTCACTCCGGTACGAATATTCTCTCAGCACTTCTGGGTCGCATCTGACGAGGTCTTCAGTACTGCTGCTCGGTACATTTACGTTAGTGGGCCTGAGTGTACTCCGTTGGACGAGGACGCCCTCGATCTTGATCGGCTCGTGGAGAGGATTAGGAATGCCATATGAGCGGTGTACTTTTGTAGCGGTTACGGTGGTTACGAGTTTTCACTTTCACTTTCACCACGATGCTGCGCATTGTGATCAGATCATCATTGTACTGCATCTATCTATCTATACTTATACTACAGAAGATAAGAAGAAGCGGGAAAGAATCCGGTGGAGACCGTCAACGTTTCAACCGTAACGCGTCTCCGGACTTCCTTTCCGCCTGGTTTGGGCTAGTAAGACCCCTTTGTAGAAAGAGACTAGTCTCATACTAAGAACCGTCCGCGTTTCAAATTAAAAGCCCATGCAGTGAGCCCAACAGCTAAATGTTTGAGATTAGAGGTCTCCTCTTGAAAATCGTAGAGTTTCAGGGTATGGACACGAGAATATACAACGTCGGAATCCAAGCGAAGACCACCCGACACCGATATCTCAAGTAACTCCAGGGATTTGGCGAAATTCTTGAGGGCGCTCCCGGGCAGGCTGCAGTGGGGAGGGTGGTAGAATGAGTCAGACAATATGTGGTCGGCTGCTAACAGCCTGAATGACCTCTCACCGACAGTGCCGAGGTGGATATGCTGGAGGTGTGGCAAGGAGGGGGAACACATTCGGCGCAGCATTTGAGCAAAAGCACAAAACAGCAGAAACTCAGTTCTCCGCAGTAGTCATATTTGACAGATACTGGGTGGGCTGTATGTAAGCATGCCGGCATGTCTGTGTAAATCGTACAGCATCGACGGAGAAAAGTGTCTTGGCGAGGACATCATCGCTGAGAGACAAAAGATTATTGAGGTGGGAAACCCACGGATTGTTCGAGGCACTTACAGGTCGTTATGCACTTCGGCAAGTAAGAAATGAGTAGTCCAACCCAGCCTACGAGTTAGTGAATACTGAAATCCGACAGCGAGCTTCGAACTCCTCAGACACGATGACTCTTGTACTGAAATTATGCTATCCTGTGGCCCAGTGTGCTTGAGACGAAGAGCGCGATCTGACCATGAGAAAGCGAGGAAACGAGCAGATTTATGTATTTGATCCACTGGATCAAATACATAAATCTGTTCTGGCACATGCACGAGGCTACTGTAATTGGTGGTGAACTCCGAGCGATCTGTCGACGGTCCTGCGGCCCAAGAGTCGATAGGCACGTCCTCCCCCTCGGCCTTCGTCCCTCGACGCGCCTCCCCCGCCACCTCCACGCATCCTTGAGGAGCACCTAGCAAACGCAAGTGCACCGCCAGGGACTCCCTGGAAGGCGCGAATCTGCGACACGGACAAGGCGGGATTCGCGTCAGTCTCTGACCGGTGACGCATCTCGTACGCTCGTACGTTGCCACCCCGTCCCTGCACTGCGCCCGCGCCCGCCGGCCCTACTCTTCGCGGCTGCTGGGACTGCTGCTCCCAGCTTCACGCCCCTTCATCTTGAGGGAGGAATCGATCAAGAACGCGAGCACTGCATCAAAACGGCGGCGAATACGTCTCCCCGGTGTGGCTTCTCTTCTCGACGCAAGAAGCTCGAGCCCGAGAAGCCCAGAAAGGACAGCATCTGCTGCATATGGACGTACACGTGGAGGCACGACGCGTCAACAACAAAACACGTCAACAACAAAACGCGTCAACAAAAGAGATGCGTCAACAACGCACAACAAAATTTTTTGGCGGCTTACCGTAAATTCACCCGCCGACCCTTTCCCACCCCCCACCTCTCAACTGTCCCCTGCGCGAGCTGTCTCATCGCTCCGCTGCTGCGCTTCCTCTGTGCTAGTCTTGAGATCTCCTCGCCGTTCGGTGCGTTGCTCTCTTATCTCAGGAAGAGCACCATCTCATGGGTTTGAAGGAGACCCATATCGCCCATGGGGTGGTGCTCCGCCCACCTTTCCTATCTGCCACATGTACAGAGGCCTTGCGGGCGGTAGGTAGCGCGAGCTCAAAGGAGACCTCTATCGCTCGCGCTGCCTGCGGCCTGCTCTCTGTCGCCGGCTTTTGCCTCGGAATTGGCCAGCATGATGGGCTCCAATGTTGCACAGGCCCCAGCAACGCCGCCATGCCTTTGACGGTACGCCTGCTCACTCGCCCGCTTCTTTCATCGCGCTGACGCTCTTGCGAAGGGTGGTTTGGACTATCGAGGGGAGGTGTTCATGAGAGAGCGTTTGGAGGCAGTCTGGAAGGCGGAAGTGGGCAGGACCGAGGGGCCGGACCACGCTACTCCTGTTATTGTTGTGCGGGGCCCAAACAGGTATGCCCCTTCACTTTTTGAACATAACGTAGCCTTGCTGATCTTGGTTGCAGCCTGAGTGACGGCTCTTGTGCACGGGATATATCCAACACAACCCCTGCTGCTCGTGAATGCGCAGATTCAGAAACCAACCTCGATGCCACCCTCGGGGGAGTCGGCCCTTGCCGCACTGCACGCCGACGAGATTACGTTGGGAAGAGGGATGTTACTCGCGCTGTGGCTCGTGCCAACAAGAAAAAGGAAAGTGGCATGCGCGTGCAGAGTACGACCTCCCTGGCTCAGAGGAAGATGCCCGGAGGTTACATCGGGAGCCGCGTCAAATCAGAGCGCCCACTCCGGCCAGAAGTCATCGAGTGCGCCAATGGGTAAGTGCCAATTCCAGTGCATTTCATACAACCGAGCTCAAACTGGAGGTAGCATGGCTGCATACATCTGTGACTCTGAAGGGCGGCTCGTCATCTACCGCTCCTTCACAGGGCCGGCCACCTTCCACGCCAACTCTGTGGCAATAGCCGCTGTAGAGTATTTGCAACAGAGTGGCATCAAGCCGACGTATTCCGGCTCCAGTCGGGGAAACTTCCTCCAGTATTATTTCACCTTGCACCGGGACAATCAGGTGGTGAGCGCTCTCCGTTCCGAATGTGAGCCTCCAGAAGTTGACCATAGCGAGACAGAGGCCTCGCATGTCTCTTTACTACCTCAAGCACATCGACGTGGTGCACGAGCTTGGAAAACTCCTGCAGCCAGTGATCGCACTCGTAAACGGTGGGCCTAAACCATACATCTGTACACATAACCTCACATAGAAGTCGACATAGGTATATTCAAGTCTCAATTTCCTGCTCTATATGCGCATTACGCGGCCACTCTCGACTACGTTCTGCGGCAGGATGTGGGCTTGGAGGCCCTATTCTGCCCTTTTACTTCATTTGCCTTCAACGTCGGCGCTGTGGTCACTTTGCCTCACCTCGACTCCACCAACTATGGCCCTGGCTTGTGCTGTATTATGCCATACGGAACCTTCGATCCTTCGCAAGATTGCCGAATTGGCATTGCAGAACTTGGTTATGAGATCGAGGTGGGCCCCGGCGTGCCCGTGTTCATCCCATCGGCCTTGTTTACCCACTACAATACCCTTCTCATCTCCAAGGGGATGCGAGGTTCTCTTGTGTTTTGGACCGGTGGCTCGATTTTTCAGTGGGTTGAACTGGGTGGTCGGATGGTCTCTGACCTTTCAGAAGCTGAGCGTGAGGCGTACGTCAATGGTGCAGCCGCTCGAATCTTAGCTGCTCTTGCGAGGTTCCCTATGCATATGTAGGGACACGGTGTATATTAAAAAGACTTTAATATGCTTTCGACACAGCCAGAATTAATTACGAGACCTCTGCCTACTCGTAATGACTCTACTGTATGCTAGGTGTACTTGCAAACAGATCAAGACGTTGCAAGATTGGTTGCCAGCAGAGCGCTGTCACCTGTTTCTTCGCCTCCGTCTTCTCCTCATGCGCGGTTGGTTGACTCAGCTCCACAAGACTCGGGGTAAATGTCGCACTTTCAATGGGGTTGTGCTCAAAAAAATGTGACATGATTCTGTCATCCCGATGGGTGCCCCAACCAACGCCAAAATCGTCTAGGGACTCGCCAGTAAGGTCATCAATTGGCTCTAAGAATTGCTCGAGCCCACGTGAGCCTTCCTGGACCATCCCAAAGGCGAACATATCCCGTGGGCTTCCGGGACGAGAATCCTGCATTGAGATGTGATGTTCGACGAAGGGTGATGTTGAGTTATTGCGAGGGCGTACTATCGTCGAGTCTATTGTGCAGGTTACGCCATGGCTTGGTTCCCACGCGGTGCGCGCAAAGTAACGAACGAATACCGGGTAAGCGTGCGCATCCCGTCCAACTGCCAGCAAGTCCACCAAGCTACCCCGCGCTCAGCACAAGAACTAAGTATGCGGCGAGAATGCGCGCGAGGGACAAATGCAGACGGCGAGGTTAACTGTCTGATATGTAAGCTCGAACATCGCACACTGTTTGACGTGCTGGATTAAACTTCCTCTTGATCCAGCTCGGTCTCGCCCGATGGAAACTTTCTATCCATCTCTCGCTCGGCGCGGTCGAAGGCTTTGACCGGGCTTCAAGCTTTCTAGTGAGCTCTGCCACGCGATCGCGTGACCGCTCTGCACGTGTCCACTACTTGTCTGACCGGGTCCGACCGTGTGTCCGACCATGTCAGTTAGGACCACCACCTGGGCCAAATGTCGGGGCAGATAAAGCAGTGTGGATATCGTCCACAGCTTGGTAAGAGAACACGACTGCTAGGCGTGTGCTGAGACGTGGTGGACTGTCATCTGCGCCATACGTCGGCGCAGGTAAAGCAGCTGCAGTGATCCCTGAGATCTGACGTAGCAAGTTAGACCTGTCTGTCATCCTCGAGTCGGGCACAACCGCACCAGTATACATGCATATGTAAGCCTCTCGCTAGTATGTCTCCTTCTCTTCTCGTCTTATATAGGGCCCTGCACCTGTGGTGTCGCTTTTTTCTCGATCAATCATTTACGAAGCTTGGCTTCTCCTCAGGCCACGCGTTCATCTACAACATTCAACCTCGACGTCTACGCGCCCTCTGCATTGGCTGCCTGCACCGCTATCTTCATCATCGCGCGCTACGTGCATAGCCTGTGGTACGATCTCCTATGGCAAGATCGTGGGGTTCGCCGCCATGCTCAGTTTAAAAAAGCGCATCGCACCTCTCGTAGGTTTGGCGTCGCCGTGTTCAGTATAAAATTGACATCGGCAAAGGAGATGGCGCGACCTAGAACCAATGTGGTCCCCGGCGCGACGAGAGGCTGGTCACCGAATTCACCAATAACAGCCTGGCTCTGCTGTGATATCGGACAAATTGGTCCTGTTGTTTTTGTTCATCCCCTATGGTGTAAGAAACAAACCCGTGTGTTTAGCATGAGCCATTGGTATTCTTGTCGTTTGGTAAGTCCCTGTCTCAGGAACAGCGCTATGCAGTGGGTTTGAAGGAGACCCATAGCGCCCACTGGTTGGCGCTTTTCCTGACGTAAGTCAACACTTCTAAGTTCGATGCCTTGCGGCGTGTCTCCTGGTGCATATCTCCATTGTGAGTGCGGTCGCTCCAAGGACAGTAATGTCTTAGGCTGTGTTTACCCTTTTATCGGCTCTATACCCTCGGACTCAAGCATCACCATTCGTCTCCCGACAGAAACTATGTGAGCGTGAGGTTGCTGGTGCCAGTTCAAGATGCCTCGAGAGGTAGTCTCATACGCCTGACTATCAGCGCTAATCTCAGCTCCCAATCTCTCGGCAGATCCTCTTGCTTATGAACGGATGGCATTGACTCTGACACTTCGGTATGAGACTAACGAAATGAGGTCGGCCAGACGCGTGAGACATGACGCAACGTGGATTCGCTGTCACGCTCCCCCTTACTCACACCTCCACCATGAGTTAGTCCCACAGGTGAGTGTGTTGTGTCTCCTTCTATCTCCCTTTCTATGCTGACTTCACTCCCAGTGATATGGTACGCCTATTTTTGTTTCTTCTACTCGTCCTGATATTCCACTAGTCCCGTCTGCTCTCGATTCGAGAGAAGGACATTAATTAACATCTCTACAACAATTGCTCGGATGACGGCCCATCTACCTCTTCGCAAAGCAGGTTCATCGGCTCTCTGAGTACTAGAGGCCAACCCAAACTCCAACCGCCCGGTACCTCACCCTTCAATTCCCTGCAGAACACTTATCGCCCTTTGTTCTCTTCACCCACCCCGCCTTTCCGGACCTCAAGTGCGGAAGCTCCAAACGTCCAGAAGAGGAGACAGACAGACAGCTCTCCCATGTCCACGGAGAAGCCCGAGAAGCATACAAGACCCAGTGCTTCTTCACGCCTCCATTCTGCCGCTCCCTTGGCAGACAGACGGCGCCCATCTACTTTCGATGAATTCGTCGGCAGTCTCATCCTCTTGGCGCTGGCTCTTTACTCTTGCACTTGCTTGACTGGGGAACAGTCGGCAATGTCATCTTCTGGGGTCCACCAGGGTGCGTTTAGGCATCTTCGCAGTCACGACCCGCTGAACTCTCTCGTGATAGGTGTGGGAAGACGACCCTTACCAGGTTGCTAGTCAAGCGTACAGACTCCAGTTGCATCCTGCCGCGCGAAACAAAATGAGGGAGACAATGCGTTTAGAATGCAGATGTCGCTGCCATGAATGAGATTGACTCGTCTACTTGAGCCGTATACGCATCGGCACTCATATCGTCAATTTCCGAATCGGGACATATGCATCACGTCATTTAACAGACTAAGGAATGTACAAAGAAGAGGTAATGGACGAAGAAGAGGCGATGTTTGGACAAAGAAGAGGCAAGGACAAAGAAGAGGCGATGGACAAAGAATAGGCGATGGGCAAAGAATAGGCGATGGACAAAGAAGAGGGAGGTATTAATACAGGAACATGTTGTCCCTCCCGGCACGCCGCTTCGAAACACTACATATATCCGACTCGATCTAGCAGATTCCGACGCATTCTGAGTGACTTGACAACTATTCGACCATGCCCCTCCAATATAGATCCACCTTGACTCTACCTAGAGAGCACGGTGATGCTATTGACTGTCTTGCATTGAGCCCAGATGGGTTGTACATCGCCAGTGGAAGCACCGACAAGCGGCTGGCTATCTGGTCTCTTTCTTCTGGCCAAGCCCTTCATTGCCTTGTGACTCGTTCCGCCGTATTGTCTCTACTCTGGGCAATTGGTGCCTCACGTATCATCTGCGGCACTGCCGATGGTACTTTGATCACAATTACTTTTGATGAGGTGAGCGCAGCTCTGACTTTGATTTCGTCTTCTCCGCGATAATTGACGCTTATACAGACGAATGTCAATATTTCCAGCTAAGAAGTTGTTACCGCTGAAGGACTTCAAGCGCCGTCTCAACATTCAAGGGACACATCATCACAGTATCTTGGCCAATCTCAAGGTGAGTCTCCGCGATGTGAACAACACTAATGCTGATGGGAGTGAAGAGAATCACCCGAAAGGTTCTTCTAATCCAGGTAGATCCGCATATGGAACATGCATTGTTAGACAGTGCTCTGGACGCGTATTCGGATATATGCGAGCAGACAAATATTTGCTTGAAAGTGAGAGTTCCCCATCCAAGCTGCGTATGGGCATTCACGTTGCAGCAGACACTCAGCGAACTGGACCTGCAACTGCAAGAACGAATGGGGCATAGTTCTAGCTCACGTTTCTAGCTCACGTATACCTTGAATTTGATATCTGATTCCTTTGTGTCGTCGGTTGGTGATGTGATTTTAGTGGCTCAATAATGACTGGGTAGCCATCCAGCCTTGCGTTATGGCTGCACGGTGTGGCTATGTAATATTTTCCGCCTCGCGCGTCTCCTTTGTTTTATTCAGAATTTTAATCAATTGCCATCGGCACGATATTCCCATGGTAGCCCGGTCACACCGGTTAACCTTGTCTGTCACTGTCTCTGCTGCGACTTGACCTCGACTGCCGGGCGTGTGCTGAGGCTTGTGGACCATCTGGTCGACAAGTCGGCGCAGGTAAAGCAGCGTGGGCGATGGTTCTCGGCTCCGTGACGACGTCGACAGGCAGGCACTGGCACTGGGGTGTGTTGTGCTATGCTTCGTGTTGACATAGAGCGTGAATAATCGACGTTGGCAAGTACCTCCCTCCACGGATTTCTGCCGCTCATATCTCACTTTCCACAAGTTCATCTTTCCGAAACAATGCTCTGCAGCGCATCACTGATAACACCGGCTTGAAGCCGCCGTCGGTACGTGTTTCTTTCACACAGAATGGCCGGCCGGATACTGATATAGCATTTCAGCGACTCAAGTCGTGGAGGCGTGACGTCACCTCAAGATGCTCAGCGAGCATGGCGGGGACACGATCCTGCTGACGCGAGCGCCACCAGAGGAGGTGAACTCGCTGTGGAATGCCCCGCGTGCCCCCCACCCTGGACGAAATCTTCCCGAACGTTGGGAGAATGATCGTCCGGATAAGCATTAAGTACAATTGTGTTTAGCCTATTATCATCAGTCTCACTCGATCTACAGGTAATTAAATACGGATGCCAACTTCCGTCCGCTCAAAGGATCGAGGAATTGAAGATGTGGAGATAAGCCCCAGATGGGCTTACTTCTTAGAGAAGAAACACATGTTGTTGCGCATGCCGACCAGAAGGCTTAAGATGTGAGTAATTATAGTTGACGTTGATTGCATTACTGATCATTTTCTGCCAGGAAAATACGTGCATTGCAGAACACAACGCGATCGTGAAGTTGAATCTTCGCAAGGGGGGATGTCTAGCATCCGGAGTCGGCGCCATTCTTTGCGCTCGTCATGCCCTGGTGCACAAGAATAGGGTTGGAGATTTGTAAAAGGGCGAAAAATATGTTTCCTTCGCTTTTACGCGCCTTTAGTTGACTCTTTTTGATGCAGATTCTGCAACATGAGCTACTTATTCCTCTCGACACTCAGTGACACTGAATTATCCGGTGTCTTCCTATCCTGCGACATTGCATGCTCGTACTGCAAGAACTTCGAGAAACACAACCGTGAACACCGTGAAGGTCTACAGCTGGACACGGACCTGGTGGCGATGAGAATCCCAAAGAAGCATTTTCTTGTGCATAGTCCGGGATACTCGCTTTTCCCCCTCAACTTTCTGCCGGATGTCGGCCGCCTCTGCGGAGAAGTGGGCCAATCCCTTATGAATCTACCTGGCTTTAGTGCCGCAACCCTGAATAGGATGATGTTATCTAGACTGACGGGGTTGGGATCCCTGAATAGGATGATGTTATCCTATTCAGGGTCCCAACCCAGCAGGCATGATACAGCGCGGATATCTTATTGATTGGAGCCTTTCATGTTTAGTGACAGCCGAGGGGGGCTCGCGATCCCGCAAAAGTGGTGAGTATCAAATTTATCCGGAAGAAGTTTCTCAACACTGGCTTATCGCCCTTAGGGCACCTTCCAATTTATGTCACAGCGCTCGCTGAGTTGGAGGGACGAAACTCAGACGATCCAGGACGACATGGAATCGTTGCTCTGGGTCGTACTTTATTGCAGCTTGTTGTGGTTAGATCATGATCTGCCACCGCAAGCTCTGTCCAAAATGGTGGCCGACATTTTCGACCAATGTGTGATTCGTATTGGCGAGGTTAATGCTGGCAAGGGTAAATTGTTCAACCAACGCTACCGGCTGTACGCATCCAAAATTCATTTTTCGAACCCTACGATGCAACAATGGCTGGATACGGCGATGGTTTCTATTTGTCGTGTATAGTAGGCGAACCAGGGGGCGTGATGAATGCGCAGATGTGGGCCGATCCTGCGAAATTCAATGCATTCTGGCACGACTTCCTCAACATTCATGAGATATCTAACAATGGCAGAATCTCGCGAAGGCTAATCTCTGTTCGTCACCCTTCGCCTTCATCTACTACGTCATCCACGCCCGAAACTACCCGCAATAGAGTCTCACGAGTGTTATTGCCATCTCGTGTCCGTAGGCTCTCTTCATCCACCATGCTCTCCGCTAAGCACAAGCATCTGGAGCAGGTTTTTCAGATCTGTCGGGACAGCGCCAACTCAGTCCTCCACGATTGAGGCCCCGTCCGACAAAGATCAACACGACCGACTATACGAGACAAGGTCCCAAGTCGGGTAGGTGGATGAGCGTCGGCAGCAGCGCAGATCGGTTATTGGTCGGGCTTGTTCTCTGATTTCCGCGTAAGTGGTTCGCGATCCTGTTCCCAACTCTCCTCATTACCTCTTATCCGATAGTGGTCCCGTATAACCCGTGGGTGTTTTGACTTCAATTCCATTCAAGGGTCAAGATTGCCACCAGCTTGTAACTTGCAATCGCCGCCGCCGCCACCGCCGCCGTGGACTCGTCTGGCTTCTGCCACTTCTCGGTGGAGGTGGGAGGACCAATGCCTTGAGATTGGCTGGACTGTGCCCACTATAGTACGATAAAACTTGAGATAGAAAATTCTAGCTGGACTTGGTGGCAGTTGAGGCGAAGAACTTTCGCCTACTTTCCACCCTCCTTCGAATTGTGCTCATTCTTTTGTTGGTTCAGATAACGCCGTGATTTGCCTGTACACAAGTAGGTTGGCAGATAGGTTATGAGCTTAACCGCGCTTGGCTTGAAAGTCCCACCCACCGGTGACCCTCGCTTCATCGTGCAGTACACGCATACATGCCACGTCGAGGGTGGAATGAGGGGCGCCTCTGAGCAATCCACTCCCGTAGTGAGCAGAAAGTCTCGTCGATACAACGCGGCTGCGACACCAACATCCAATCTGAATTCTGCTGAGGCACACGCTACTGACAGTAGGAACGCAGTGGTGTGTGGCTCTTGTCAAGATATATGGCGTTGTTCTAGAAATACAGGCAATATACCTTCTTCCGCTGGGTTTGACGTCGGGATAGGGGCATTTACAGTCGCAGACGCAGGGGAAATTGCAGTCAAAATTCACGACATGGGGAGGAAGTCCCGATATAGGGATCATGTGACGAAAGGTGCTGGTTTCCGTGCCGGCGCTGAGTAGCGCTTTGGGAAAATCCCGCAGGACTGTAAACCCGGCGACTGTAAACGCATCGAACGCTAGAGCCTCACGAGGTAATCTCGCAGGCGTTCCCGCCAAAATCGACCCCATTTCAGCCAGCTGCGTGCCGCTGAATTTACAGTCACAAGGTGCCAATTTTCGTTTTCCCTTCCTTCCGTTCTGCTCGGCCTGTGCTCGGCAAGTTGTGGCTCACCCTCGGAATGGTGTTCCTGCCCCTTCCCAGCCGTCTATGGCATCCGGACAATATGTATTCATGTCAGTAAATACACTAGCACATTATCTAGGTAGAGATCTATTTTTTCCCTCCCTCAGTGCCCGCCTTTTGAGCCATACTGCCTTCCGCACTGCGGGACTTGGCAGACATCCTTATGTAAGCTTCCGCGCGACTGAAGCCTTTCTTCAAACTATTCAAATATATAAACTTCCGCACGTGCCCATTTGCTGCGACAACACGTGTATGCCGAGACGGGGCCGTAAGTAATGCCAGTAACGCCCGCGACTACACTCGGGCGATACACACATGCCTCTCCAATACAGATCCACATCGACTCTAGTTGAAGAACATACAGACGCCATCAACTGTGTCGCATTGAGCCCGGATGGGTTGTTTGTTGCCAGTGGAAGCACCGACAAGCGAATTGTCGTCTGGTCTCTTTCTTCTGGTCAAGCCATCCATCGGCTTGTTACTCATTCCGCTGTGCTTTCTCTACTTTGGAGATCTAGCCCTTCACGCATCATCTGTGGGACTGCGGATGGGACGTTGATCACGGCTGCTTTCAACGAAGTAAGTGCAGCATCAGTAATCAGTCATACTCTCCAACGGTTGCAATTTACAGGAGAATATCTACGTCTCTGGCTTTAGTGCACATTCAAAGCCCATCGAGTGTTTATCACTTAGCAAGGGTACCACCGCATCCCGCCACCTCGCTACGGCAGCACACAATGTCGTAAATATATGGTCGTCGGTTGAGAACGGTAACGGTAACGACAGCGGAACTTGCCTCGCGATATTTTCGCTAACAGTTCTTTGCAAGACACATATTGGGACTACGGTGATACACTCGATGCACCCCCTTCTACGCCATACAGCGCATCACACTCTGTCATAATAACATCAGTTCAGTGGATGAATGATCCCTCTGCCGATTGTCTTGTCACCGCATATCTCCACCACGGGATAATGTGAGCAACCCTGTTTATAGCCTATGCTGGATCTTATTCCGCATTGCAGATGCTCGAGACGGGGCACCGGATCGATCGAGGTGCTTTGGTCCATACATCTACCCCTATGGTGCGGTTGATTGAGATACATCAAATTTTGAAGATATTCATTTGGGCCTTCAGTGGTGCTTGCAACATATCTCCGGCCAATGATACGTTGGCAGTATGCAACATCACATCTGGATTTGACGTATATGCGATTCCATCTGGCTTACGACGCCTAGTATTGGAGGTGCCAAGCGAGCCTCCTGGCATGGCCCTTCCAATTGTCTACATACACAAGGGGACCATGCTTCTCGGAGGAGCATCCAACGGCAAAGTGCGCTTGTGGGATGCTCGTAGCGGGGACATCGTACAGACGCTGCGGTACCATGGCAAGTTCGGTGACTTCGTATGCTTGTAGTATTAACGTGCTCATCTGATCAGATCCGTTACTCATCCAATGTGTTGCGGTGTGCCCAGGGCCTGTTGTAGTGTCAGTATGAAGCTCAAACATATTTTCAGGAAAATCCCGACACATTCCTTCTTGCAACGGGAAGCAGTGACCCAGGCGTACCAAATTCTATTCAGGTTTGGGAGTTGAGAGATGTTGCTGAGTGATGTTAACCACAACACAGCCGTTTGTGTCATGATACGCTAATCATTAATATCCTCTACTTCATTCGCCTGCGGTGCAATATTAAACGTGTATACATCATCGTATTGGATGCGATCGCCTTGATATTTAGGGTTTCTTTGGTGCCACCGTCAATTGATTTATCTGCTTCCCGACGGTCGTCTACTCCCATGGCTTATATCAAGAGCACTCTGCATCGTACAGTAATTCATTTGGTCAACCAGAAATTGGAGTCTGACGAGCTCAGAGCTTATGGCAAGCTGTCGGAAGTCTGACGTTCGTCGTGGAGACTTCAGCCACGTGCGGCGATGCGTGATCCAACGTTGACCGACTCGGAGAGTACTCGGAGTCGGTCTACTGCCGGCCTGCGAGCTGTGGGACGACACGACTGCCATGCGCGGGCTGAGACGTGGCCCAGCTGGGCTGTCTGCCGGCGCAGGTAAAGCAGTGCGTGGCCCCTGAGGCAGTGGCGTTGCCAGGCGTGTGCCGCTTAGACAAGACACCCTTCCGTCGACACGTTGGCTCAGGTAAAGTTTGGGTAAAGTAACGTTCGACCTTGGACTCTGTATTCAAGCTTGTTATGCCATATGGGACAATTACTCTATTGCGAAAATGTCACTCAGAGTTGTTGCTCACGAGCCATCGCCTGGGGTTCCCTGGGTTTCCAGTTTCTAATGATTTCGTCGTATAGTATTTTGCTACCACCGCATCCGTCACATCTATTATTGCAGCACGTCATCACCTTGAATCGACTCGGCTAACGAGAGGTCAGGCGAGATCAGGATCTCTGCAGCTCGGGACTTTCAAAGTTGTAGTCAACAGAATAGCATAATCTGGGGGGTTGTTTCCGTAAGAGAATCGCGTCGTCGACATGCAGGAGATGGAGGTACTTACATTCTGGATTATACGATGACCACCTAACGTTACTTATAGATGGAGATGTTCATGGAAGTATCCTGGAGGCAATCAAAACGCGAACGCAGAACTGTTCTCTTCCTTCAACGGGTGAACCCTCTCCTCCTTTAATGTGTAATTGTGCCTCTCTTACGGTCAAATCTGGACAGCATCTCTGCGCGAGATGCAGATGTCTGCACGACGCGCCGTTGCAATGGACAGTGAATTTTGAGAGGTGCGCCATAATCTCTCACCATCGAAGATCCTGAGATCCCCAGTTGTTGTCTACACACAATGTCTGACCCCTCCCACATAATCTCCACAGTAACCACGACGGTGCAACGTCTTACACATGGCAAGTGTTTCGTCCGCAGTGCGTTTGCTCAGAAATATCTGACAAATCAACGGCAGGGTCTCGCTCCCCCGTGCTGTCTTCACGAATGCAGGGATACGTCCCTTGTGATATTGCGCCTCAGGCTGGATTATTGTACCGATGAGAGCAACAGAGCGAAAGGCTCGGGCTCAGTCTGTTGAGTAGCGTCCCACCGACGGTTACCTGGCTTTGTTACTGTATCAACTACTTACTCGCCCGGGCGGGGCGAAACTGACGCGTTCTCCGAGGTCGACACACGTGGCGGGCCCACAGTGTCCTATCCTCTTCTCCGTCTTCTGCTAGGCGCACCTTCCCTTGCTTTTTTTTTTTGAATGGATCCGCGCATCGTCGTGAACAGAGGCTGTTTTGAAGTGAGTATAAATTGCAGAATGTGATGGGCCACATGCTGAACACCATGCAGACGATCTCAAATGTTTTGAGCCGGGATCCCACTCTGTGGCAGCGTGTCAAGTGGAACGATTTCGCTGATGACAAGCATGTCTTAGAATACGTCTAGACGTTTTCACACAGATGAAACAGCTTGGATTTCATGTTCGCGGCAATCGTGGCTCAAAGTATCGTTTAACCCTTCCCAAACACATGTCGCGCAAGGTTCTGATCGTGCACAGGGTAAGTTTTCTTTCGACGTTCACGAGTACTCGGGTTTTTCACATGTTTATAGCCGCACGGTGCCGAGTTTCGCCCCGACGAGTTGCGGATGTAAGTAACCTTTCGTGTTCTTCGCGGCTAGCTCACATACTTTTGAACTACAAGAAAAGCTCCCGTCTTTGTATGGCTGGAACGAGGAGAGATTCGTTAGAGGGTGAAGTAGGCGGTCGCGTACATAGGGAACGAATATTTGTTGACCCCTCCTAAGTATGACACAGGATGTCCTCAGAGCGCCCTCACCAGTCATCCAGCGTCTGCCCTTCCACAATCCTCTAAGTGCGCCCTCGTGCCATGGGCGTACCTAGGATTGCCTCACGCGGACCATATCTGTAGCTAGAACTTTCCGAGCGCAGGCAGTGTTTGAAAAATGGACCTGAGCGATAGTGCAGTACATAGCACAAACTGTGAACGACGTGTTTTCCTCAGGCATAGGAAAGGAAGCCCATCTGAACAACTTACGGAGGTGAGGAATCACGACGAGCACACGCGCGTCCAGAGTGACTAGAAGGCGGGGGTTCTATCTGTCTACAGGGGAAAAAAGAAATGGGCAGTTAGTATCTAGCTTAGCGAGGGATAGGAACACGTCACAAGAATGAGATAAACTCGTTACCTTGAGAGAGCGATGTGCTTGCGAGTGTTGCGCCCTGGACGCGGCATCGGAACGGAGGATTGGCACTAGGTGCGGCGGTTGTGCACTTCTGCGATGATTAGTGGCGATACGAATTAGCTCGCACCAAAACCAGGGAGGCAAGGGGACTCGACGACTTACAGTAAGCACGCGAAGCCGCCTCCCATGGTGGGCCGTGCTCAAGTCTTCAAAGCTTCAAAGCTTCAAGCTACACGATCGCGTGACCGCCATGATCTGCACGTGCCCACTGCAGTGTCGGGCCGTGTCCGACCTTGTCCAACCGTGTCCGAAAGTGTCCGACCTCCTGCGACCTACGACGACAGCACGACTGCCAGGCGTGTGCTGAGGCGTGTGGACCACCTGGGCCATACGTCGGCGCAGGTAAAGCAGTGCGTAGCTGCGTAGCTATGGTCCCTGAGACCGCGGCGTTGCCAGGCGTGTGCTTAGACATGTCATCCTCGAGTTGACACGTCGGCGCAGGTAAAGCAATCGTCGGTTGGGTGTGCTGTTTTCGTTGTCTGTCTTTTCAGCCGTGAGGGCGACAAGCCTAGCCGGATACTGGTTCTCTAGGGCGCAGAAACTGAAAATGAATGCCGCTTTCCGCATCATCGACTTTCCAAGTTTGATTTTTCTCTCGCGAGTTCCTTTTTTCCTCCTGCAAACTGTTACACCGATGATCAATGACCTCCCGCTGCCACGGTACTCTCCCGCGTCAATTTCGCCTCCCGCCGTCGTATTGCCCCCACGACACTGCCGCTTGGCGGGAGACGTCGAGGGCGGGGTCAACGCTGGAGTTGCGTCGGGGGTCAAAGCGTCTGCCGGAGACGACGGGGGGAAGACGTACTACTGGTCTTCGCGCGTGGGTAGATCTCGGCATGTCTGTGAGCCCCATATCGCAGCCGTCTCCTCTCTGGCAGGAGCTGGACTGTTGTGCATATTTGGCAATGACGAGCATTTGGAATTCGACATATCCCTCTGTGCTAGACAGCCCTCCAGAAAGTGAGTCGGAAGGTGGGTGAGATGGTCTTCGCATTTCTCTCTTCGTCGTTTGACGCGCGCATACAGCTTGCCGGAGGGCTGTATGCATACCATGACACCGAGTCGGACGCGCAGCTAGACCGTACGCTCGCGTCCAACGTCTTGGCAGGTGGAGCACGTCGGATTGTCTATTCGTCGTGGTTATCTGGAGTTGGTAGAGTTGCCACCTCTCGCAGGAGGCAGGCCTCGCCAAGAGGTCTTTTTAGCGTATGTTGCGTACGGATGAAAGCCATAGTGAAGCTCGGATATCCGCACGATGTAAGGGCTTTACTCTGAGTCCCACCGCCTGGTTGTCGCCCCACGACTTTTGTTCAGACGTCCGAGTTGCTGTGCGTGTGTAAACTCTACAAGTGGGCGCATGAGACGCAACAAAGGGTTTGGCAGAGTTCTCATGTCTGGCTGCGAGAGAGGTTCTCCAGGTCTCGGCCCCTTACGATTGGCAACTCGATGCTGTTCCGTCAGGGCATCCCTCAAATTTCAGTGCGCGTACTGTCAGAACGACAGCGGCAGGCAGTGATGGGCCTCCATAGTTGACTGTATGTGGGCAGAGCTTTAGGTTTGTCATTGATCCCATCCTTAATGAGATCCTGTACAGTACTAATCCTCGTTTGTATTGCTCGCGCGCGAACTCACCAAGGTTTGCCCAAGCTTGCTGTCCGACGCCGTCTTGAGCTAGTGCTGCTAGTGCTGCTAGTGCTGCTAGTGCTGCCGTCGTCTGTCGTTATCAGTACGTCGACATATGTCGTGTTTCTTGGGGTACGTCGCATCACTGACCGAGCAATACCAGGTATGGCGCCTCGCTGATAGAGCAACACCTTGCCACGGGTCACTACTGACTGTATTGCGCCCATGTCGTGCAGTGGGTTTGCCGGGTATGCGCCCACGCCAGCGACTATATGAAAGCGACTGCCCGCAGTAGGAGTCTCTGGGAAAGTAGCTAGCGTCGCCACCAGGCAGTGTACAAGCACAAGCTGTCCGATGGATCTGCTTGCTTCGCGGGCCAGATCAAGAACCTGCACAAGGACGGCGTGGTCGCAATTAAGCGGAGATGTGCGATGGCATGTGGCGAGGGTGAGGGCTCGCCAACGTCGTCAGCGCTGCACGTAAGCGGTGCGAGGTACGTTTCCTCGAGGCTGCGCACGAGGCGTTCGTCGAGAACACTGAGTGAACGACGACACACTGCTCTCCTGCGGGAGGACGTCCGACCCGTGCAGAATGGATGAGGCATAGAACATTAGTACTGTCACCGAGGTGAGCTGCGATATCGTGAATTTGCAAACTGTTCCCAATCCTTTATATAATTGGTGTAATGCCTGTTGACGAGTTTCTGGAATTCCTGCCGAAGCCTGATATGTCCGCGATGCCCCCTGCTGTGCAAGCATTCAAAGATCTGCCGGCAGAAGCTGAGCACAGGCAGCAGATTATTGAACCATTAGTGCGGTATTTAGATTTTTCTGTCTATCACAAATATTAAATTTGTACAGATTATTGCCCTCAATGGTGTTGGAAGAGGCGCCACGAAGTCGCGGCCAAGATGTCCTGGATTTGTCTTCATAGACACAACCTCGTTCGATGTGAATCGCGGAGAGATAGGTTCAATGAATCCCCATGTTTCCTGCCTCTCCGAAGAAGATATTGGCTCGATGAACCCAAAATCGACAGTCGCGAGCTCTATTTCTTGCGCCGACCTGTATATTGACGTCCAGCAGCATCCTGGTCTGGACGCCTTCACAGATCCAGCTCAAGGCAATGATCGCTCTGCTCACGATTTCATTCTGAATATCTACGATGAACGAACTCGAAATCGGGCCGAACGAGGGCTGGGGATGAACATTGCGTGCGCTCGTCAGCATCGCAGCTTCTACTTCTCTGTTGCACTGTCTGGATCGCGCGCCCGGCTTATCCGCTGGGACCGTGCTGGAATGATCGTCTCAGAATCGGTCGACCTGCATCATGATGCGCAGCCTATCTGCGAATTCCTGTGGCGGTACGCCCACGCCTCGCAATCACAGCGTGGCCACGATCCTACTGTTCAGCCTGCGATGAAGGAGGAAGAGAAGCTCTTCAGAGAATCAATCAAACGCCACGTCAAGTCCCAGCTTGGTCTTAGGGACCAGACCACGCTGGCGGCTGCCATGGCGGAACACTTACCAGCCAGGAATTGTGGCTGCTGTTACCATAGTCAACAACAGTTCTGAAGAACGCAGACTCCTGATATACCGACCAGTGGTCTCGCCTGTCTGAATGATAGGTCGAGGAACTACAATCAGCCCTCGCGCCGGGAATAATGTACCTTGTGTTTACCGCCCTAGTGTATTATCTCCAAAGCTACGCAGCCTTACACGACGAGTTTTTAAACCTTCAATAGGAACTTACAGAGATCTGACCAAAACGTGACAGGCTCTTTTACATCCCTGTAGGAATGACATAATGTTAATGGCTATATGATGCGGAGCCTCGGTATTAACTGGTCGATGGGAAAAAATAATCTAGTGAGTTCACTTGGTCGAACGTACCACGAAGGCTCCCTCTGCTATGTGACACTGGGAAAGTTGTCCCTGTGTAAGTGTACCGCAGATCGCTGATCTGGGACTTCTCGCTCCCCCGACTTTGACTCTCGCCGTCTACGCTCACCAGGCGTCCAGCGCCAGTTGTTCCCTATCCTCTGCCTGTCCCCTTTCACCTGCTGCTCGATTCTTCGTTCTAGTTTCTTCTCTCTCGTCTGCGGATATATCGACCATGAATGGGACGATCGCCCTTCGCGGCCGACATTATAAAGTAAGTTGAAGGTCTATTGACTCGGTGTGCTCTGAATTCATCTTGCAGACTGTCAGGAGTATATTCCAAGCGCAAGGATCCGTCGGATGGCGTGAACTGGTGGAAGTATGTTGCTTTTGAGTGCATTTTGTGTTGCATTCAGCCTAATGATCGCGCAGGCCTTTCAGAGTATGAGCTTTAAGGTAAAAGCCACAAAGGGCTCCGTTCATAAATTCAGTCCGCCTAGCACGATTCCCGGGCGCGCTTTTACCTGGCACAAGGTAATGTTTCTCAGTGTCCAGAAGGGCTTCGGGTTTCTGACATAGTGCAGCCGCACTCTTCGCAACTACGCCCGGATCATCTGCGAATGTGAGTTTTCTCCAGAGCTCGCCGGTGCTAGCTAACGCGTTTTTAGATTGAGGGGAGACCTGTCCCAGCTTTACCATTGGAGGGTCGAAACGTTCGTAAGAAAGAAGTGAAGCAGAGGGGTGCATTTGTAGAAAACTTCGTGAAATGAAGATAATCATGCGCGCGCGCGATTGAGAACAAATAGACTGCGTAGATCTTCATAATTATAATCCTTTCACCGACGGATTACTTGTACCTTTGTAGATTAACCCTACTGTATCTAGATTACCAGATCCGATCACTCACTCCACGCGAATCGCGGCCGGCAGTTGCCGTTCCAGGGAGTGCATTCTTGGCACTTGCGATGTTTGGCTGGGCGACCGCGCGCGTACCTCCTCCTCGTCTTCTGTTTGCTTTCACTGCTTCGCCAATGGCGCCGTTCTCGTTTAGGTGCTTTTGCTCCGCGTTACGCGAGCTCGGGTCTCGGATTTGATACCATCGCTAAAGGCACAGGTTGGCTGAGAAATGCCAGAAAAAACCATACACTCTTCCATAGGTGCGCGGTCGCTCTGCCCATGTTTATAAATTGTCACAGCCGAGAAGGCGGCTGTAGATTTTCTTATGCTCTATCGGTACTCTTCTGGCGAGTCGCCCGAAATATTAATTGTTGCAGAAGCGCTGGGTTTGCCTTGCGCGTCATCATCCCCGGCGACGCTCTGCGCCTTCGCCAGTGTCGAGCGGGAATACGAACGAATTCCACTGCATTGTCGCATGTCGTGAGCGGGCTGGTTTTTGGGATTGCAGAGGCGCTCAGTATGTGGGTATCTATTTTCTATCATCGAGCGCGAGCTTTGTTCCGTTGCAGATCTCGAATTCTGGAATGGCAATCTGACTCCCACCCCACAGCTCCTGTCGCCCCAGGACGAATCACCGTGTCCGCCTGGGAACATCCGCGCACCCTGCCCTGTAATCGCGGTACGAGTGGGCTACAATCCACACATTGGGAGTCAGCAGAATTCAGGAAACATATAGGCATACAAAACACGTACATAGGACACAATCGGCAGGACTACTGTCTCCCCCTGCACGGCCTGCCTCTTGATAGTAGCTACCAAAGTCGTCAAGAAGAGCTAGAAGGGGTGAGAGAAGGCCTACTTTTCAAGATCCTTCGGCAAAGAGTGATGGATGACGAAACGAACTGCCTCCCAAGTTGTCAGACACATTCTTCTGAGATCGTGTGAGAATGCCATGCCGTTGGATTTGTTGATACCCATTCCGAACGCGTTCTGCGCAGAACATTTAGCAAAATTGGTCAGACGACGATGAGTGATCCAATTACTGTAGCCACTATGATTTTGCACTTTCCGTCCTGCCACATATCTTGGTTATGCTGCCTCTCATTCTTGTCCATTGTCCCATGGTAGGGGAATGCCGACAAGTGATGAGCATTCCGCAACTCTGCAGCAATGTGCTCGCATTTCTTTCGACTTGTAGCGTAGATGATACCGGTCTGTCCATTATAGTTGGTTCGAATGAATTCGACAACGTCTGCGAGAACGGCACCCTTCCATTTCTGTCGAACGACGTAGTTCAAATTCGTGCAATTATGGGATTCTGTCAAGCGGAGGCAATTAGGCATCCCGAGACGATCAATAACATCGTTGACTGCTTCCGGAGGAGCTGTCCCAGTAAGTGCCATGATCCGAACTTTGGGATACTCGATTCGCATGAGGTTGAGTGCTTTGTACTAGAATTAACACATAAACCATCAGCAGTCTACACTGAAGGAAAAGAGGAGAAGCAGAGTCTCGGAATTCTCTTCCCCACGTGGGGATCCAATGTGCCTCATCGAAACTGCACAGCGCTATCACATCGTTCTGATGCATCATAGGCATGGTATTCCTCATCGCAGCACTAAACTGGAGTCTCTCTGGTGTCACGTGTACGCCAAGCACGGTCTATACTTGGTTTTGAGGCGCGCCATGTCCGCAGCAGTGGGTGCCTTCCCGTAGGTTTTCTAAATCATAAAGCGGACTATGAAATGCCCCACTGTGTCGGAACAGCAAGATTTGCGAGACCGTAACGACGTGAGTCGACCCCCCCTTCCAGATATAAGGTTTAGAAAGGTCTCACTTTGTTCACATGCTCATCGGAGATCAATTGGCCGACGTGCCGGAGTGATTTAGAGACGAAATTTAGCTTTAGAACGTCTCTAAACGGCTACATCAGCAAAAGTCAACTTTTGGTTACCTCCATTTAGCTCCCTTATCTCCTTAATTAAGGAGGTCTCCGTTCTTAATTGGGCAATTAATGCCGATAAGGGTGACTAATGGAGGAATAAGAAAAAGGATCTCCTTATTTTTCCTTAATCAAGGGTATAACACCGGTAAGCAAAAGTTGACTTTTGCTGATGTACAAGGCATCCAGTTTCTTTGTTATCTCGATTTGATTCAAACACTAACATAAATATGTTCTGGCACGTGCACGAGGCTACTGTAACTGGTGGTGAAGTCCGAGCGATCTGTCGACGGTCCTGCGGCCCAAGAGTCGATAGGCAGTGCGCAAGGGAGCCACAGAACAAAGAGGTGAGCGAGAACAGATCGCATCCCGAATACTCCACCACCACCGCCACTTGTCGCTCGACGCCTCTCACAGGCAGAGCCTCCACCCGCCGTTCGGCAACCAGTCTACTAACAGTGATATGCTCTATATAGGAAGTTGAGGACGCAAGGAGTTAATTACGAGACAAGAGAGGGTAGATACGGAGGGTAATCTGTACCCGACGTGATAGGTGACAGCCCATCCGTTACACGGATACAGTGGGCAATACTTTGGGAACCTTTCTACCGACCTACGACGCTATATGGCTGGTGAAGGTGAGTACTTCAAGCACTCTGTGGAACGGTTCGCAGATCCTGAGCCCACCGATGGAGGTAATCTCATCACGCAGAATGTTGCCTGCTACTTGTGTGCACTTCCTAAACCTTTCAAGGACTTACCCAAATGCTGGAGATGTCAGCAGGGATTAAGGACTGGCTGTCATTTTGTTAGTAAGTTGTCGTATCCTTCTAGATGCCACAAACTTGCTGAAGTGATCGCAGAATGCCGAACTGTTGTAGACGCCAATTATCGTCCTACCTTCCGTTATCCTGCAGAAGCCCATCCTGTGTTTCCTCAAGTCTTCAACAGGGCATTGTCTTCCGATGTTCTTGTTTTGAAACAGGTACGTCTTAATTACTCCAGCTCACAGGGTATGTTCCTACGTGCATTGTAAGCGAGCATGCGCGGAGGTATTACTTCCACTTCTCCTGGCTGAGCGGTCCCATATTCAACAAGAACGGAAAATTCACCGTCAAAGGGAGCTGAGCGTTCGGGTTACATGTGGTAAGTTTCACGTTGCACTCCTTCCTTCCTGAGGAATGCAGTAGTGATATGGGCGACCAGATGAATGCTCAACTGAGCTGTTCTGTCAATCGTGGTTCTGTGTTGATTGTGGACGAGAAATATGTGTGCTGTGTAAATTGCGTGTTGACGAGGTATGTGCACATCGTGCATGTTATACTTGCTGACCACCCCTGTGCAGACCTTCTTGGGAACGTGTCAGTGCCAGGCACTGAAATCAACGTCGAGCTCAAATATGGTTCCTATGAGTCGATTTCAATCCAGTGAGCTTGATTGTGCTATTCAAGAAATGGAGGAGGTCTTGAAGCAATATCCGAAACCAGTGTAAGTGTGTCACTGAGTCACTTCGCTCGGTCCTTACTATCCTGCATAGTGGGCTTGAGAAGATTCAATTTGATCATGTCCCTATTTTTTCCGTCGTGGGCCTACAGTTGTCGATGTTCCAGGAACCATGGAGCCACGGTGTACCCGTTGTGGTCACACACATCGATTCTGTTTTTCAGGGCAACTGGGGTCCTGCCTATTTTATAGAGAGCTATGGATCTAGACCAGTTGTGGTTCAGGATTGCGAGACGGAAACAACGCGGAATACTACAGTCAAAGACTTCTTTATGAATTTCGGGATTTCTGATAGAAGGTCCTCCATCCTGAAGCTTAAGGTATGTACACGATTGAGTGTCCCGAGTTGATTACGATGCCTGACCGCTTGTAGGACTGGCCTCCCCAAAAAGCATTCAGTACTGAATTCCCTGAGCTGTTCAAAGCTTTCATAGATGCTGTGCCATGCCCTGATCTGGCACGTTTAGACGGTGTCCTCAACTTGGCTGCTCACTTCCCTCTGAATGGACTTGCTCCTGACCTAGGTATTACTCCAAAAATTATTCTCGCTCACTGAATCTAATCTCCCTGCAGGGCCCAAAATGTACAATGCTTTCGCGTCCCCTCAAGACAATGAGCATCATGGCTCCACGAAGTTGCACATGGATGTGACCGATGCGGTCAATATCATGCTGTGGGCGGCAAGTAATCACGATGGAAAAGCAGGTTCTGCACTTTGGCATATCTTCCCAGCTAGTTCAGTGGCAGTCCTTCGTAACTTCCTTCGTGAGCATGGATTTACTGCATTGGGAGATCCAATACACTCTCAAAGCATGTATCTCACACCGGGATTGCTCGATCTTCTTGCAACGTATGGGGTCCGACCGTATGTGATACACCAACATCCGGGGCAAGCCGTCTTCATACCTGCAGGTTGCCCTCATCAGGTTTGTTTATTCGTCGGGCAGAATATGTTCATCTCTTACATCTCATTTTCGTGACTGTAGGTCAGCAACGAGGTGGATGCCATCAAAATTGCATGCGATTTCCTCTCGATAAATAATGTCAGGGAAACTCAGGAAGTAGTATCCCAACTCCGCTACCAGCGCCTGCAGAGTGGTTTTGGGGATGATGTTCTCCAGTTCTTCACAACACTCTGGTATACCTGGAAGTCACTTTCTCATATGTCTGAACTAGTTGCAGTCCCGGACATTTTCATTGTCGGAGGTGATACTCACTCGGAACCCCCGGCTACTAGCGAAGACATTCTTGCGGAGGAGCAAGAGAACGCCCTCAGTTTCGACACCCTTGCCATTACATCGCCGGGTACTCGACAGATTCATGAGATTTGTTCGCCAACTGCATCACACCTCACGCAGGGTAGGGATACCTTGTCTCATCTCGAGGAGAAGAAGAAGAGACGAAAGGAGAAGAAGCATGCAAAAGCCCACTCGCAACGTCCCCAAAAGCCTGGATTTGACTTTACCTGTCCGATTCCTCATTGTGCTGGTTATTACCATAGAGCCGGCCTCCTTGACCATTTGTGACCATACTTTCTCTCTCACTTATCGCACACACTGAAACTTGTCGTTCACCAGGACAAGAGTGCACCGCAATGTGTTTCGCATGGATGAATCGGCCGTCGCGAAAATTCGGCGGCCAAAGAAAGTCTCCGACGAGGAGTTTACGCGTTGCATTCGGGATGCTTGCTCGGGTGTTTAGGGGCGTCTGGTAGAGTGTACCCGTGCTGTGCTATGGCCAATGCCTTAGCTCAACTGATAATTTCCATACAAAACCATTACATGCATTCTGACGAAGCGGTAGGCATAGAGGGTGAATATTACATTATGAGCAAGTCCGTGCAATGTAGGTGAGAGTGTCTGAAGTCAAGAAGCATAAGATGAATGGGACGAACGCCAACCGGTACAACTGGATTCATCCCCGGGGAATGGATCCGGTATGCAATGTAGCGGGTTTGCGTGGCGGTCTGGTTGATCTATCCTGAACCAATACACTGCCAGTAGTACGGCGCCCTGTGGATTTTGACAACGGGCTATACACACCCCTCCCTGATTGACTGATCTGCCAATCTCCGCTCGGAAAGACATGCATGCAAGGCGATATTATATTGATGGATGTTCTTGCGAAACTTCTTTGCGGCATCGTCACCATCAGTGAAGATGTGTCGAACCAAAGGAGGAGGTCCTTCTAGAGCTGACAGGACGTCCTGTCCACGACCGCAGCGCGTCCGAAACACCGTGCGGTGCCTTCGAAGAACCGAACACCCTCTCCAAAGGAGGCCTATCTGAACAACTTACGGAGGTGAGGAATCCTGCCGAGCACCCGCGTGTCCAGAGTGACTAGAAGCAGGGGGGGCTATCTGTCTACAGGAAAACATGGAAATGGGCAGTCGGTCAGTATCCAGCTTAGCGAACGAGGGATTAGGAACACGCCAAAAGAATATGGATGCAGACATCATCGTGGAGATAAACTCGTTACCTTGAGAGAGCGATGTGCTTGCGAGTGTTGCGCCCTGGACGCGGCATCGGAGCGGAGGATTGGCGCTAGGTGCGGCGGTTGTGCACTTCTGCTGATTAGTGGCGATATGAATTAGCTCGCACCAAAACCAGGAAGGCAAGGGGACTCGATGACTTACAGTAAGCGCGCGAAGCCGCCTCCCATGGTGGGCCGTGCTCAAGTCTTCAAAGCTTCAAAGCTTCAAGCTACACGATCGCGTGACCGCCATGATCTGCACATGCCCACTGCAGTGTCGGGCCGTGTCCGACCTTGTCCAACCGTGTCCGAAAGTGTCCGACCTCCTGCGACCTACGACGACAGCACGACTGCCAGGCGTGTGCTGAGGCGTGTGGACCACCTGGGCCATACGTCGGCGCAGGTAAAGCAGTGCGTAGCTGCGTAGCTATGGTCCCTGAGACCGCGGCGTTGCCAGGCATGTGCTTAGACATGTCATCCTCGAGTTGACACGTCGGCGCAGGTAAAGCAATCGTCGGTTGGGTGTGCTGTTTTCATTGTCTGTCTTTTCAGCCGTGAGGGCGACACGCCTAGCCGGATACTGGTTCTCTAGGACGCAGAAACTGAAAATGAATGCCGCTTTCCGCATCATCGAGTTTCCAAGTTTGATTTTTCTCTCGCGAGTTCCTTTTTTCCTCCTGCAAACTGTTACACCGATGATCAATGACCTCCCGCCGCCATGGTACTCTTCCGCGTCAATTTCGCCTCCCGCCGTCGCATTGCCCCCGCGTCACTGTCGCTTGGCGCGCATTGTCGAGCTGCACCGCCTGCATGGTGGTGGATTGGATTCATCATGCGCGTCCATCGCTTCGTTCTCTGTTGTAGACGATGCTGACGTTGACAGATCTCACCACACAAAGGCTACAGCAGTAGACGTACATCAATGCCCAAGGCCTCTGCTGATGCTCTGAAGCTGAAGTTGATCCGCAAGATGCACGACAGGTTCGGTGGTCACCATGAGTGAGCGGGCAGATGTGCAAATACCGGCACGGCCACACAGAGGAAGTGATTCTCAACCTAGACGAGACGGTGAGTACTGCGGTTACCTTTACGCGACTGTGCTGTAAATGTGCACTTACAGCGATCCGAACCTCTCGACAGTTTCTGGAAATTCAACCGCTCTCCGTATAACTTCGGTAGGTCTCCGACACATGTTGTTGTTTTATTCGGACTGTTTTCATCAGTGAATCTTCCTGTCGCTATCTCCGGCCCCTTCCATATTTATTTATCCATTCTCTCCTATTTTCATCACTGTCACTGTCGCTACCGCCTGTCAATTTTTGTCATGATTCATGTACCCGTCCACGTCCACGTCCACCACATCTATGTCGCCGTCTGTTTTTACTATGCCGTTCGCATTCTCTTTTATATGCGCACTCCTCCTGCTCAATCGAGCAAGTATTCACTCATTGTGGTTCGCTCAGGGATCCAGAAACCTATGTCGCACTGGGGAAAGACTGCTAGAGGTCGATCTCCTGCCGAAGAGCATAACGTGTACTCGGTTAGGCCGCGGTTTGACGAGATCGCGCGTAAGTGTACCTCGGCCAATGTTGTACCGACTTTACAGTCGTTCGAGTGGCGCTCGACTCCCAAGAACATGTGCGTTTTCCTTACTTTCATGCACGATATAGTCAGAGACCGGAAGACTGCCTCTTGTTGAATGACGTGGACCACGAGGCCGACGTCAGGCCATTGTCCTCCGCTGCACGAGTGGGCGGTCGTCAATCATGTGTGCTTCGAACAGCATCATGGCTTCGATGGACTGCCGGTATGTACGTCGCACCGTACTCGTCTCTTGACAACGCCTCATCCATCTACCTCTGAGGTTCATTGCCTTTGTCGACATGTTGCTTGTATGCCTCACTGGCAGTGAAGTGAGCCAAAATCTGAGCACCTTTTGCCTCGTCCACGAGAGGATTCAGAGAAACGATACATTTACCTGTAAATGCACACTCCAGGTGCCCTCTGGCGAGGCAATGCCGGAGGTGCGAGGCCAGTGGTCGGGATAGAGCAACGAATGAAGACCTGTTCCGCACATGTGAACCCTTTTCTTAAAAACTTAAGAGGTGGGTATACATCTGCATGCGACATTCGCCGAGATATCGTGCTATGATAGAAACGAGACCATGACCATCTTTCCGACCATCATTTCTGGAACAGGTTGCTCACAAAACTCCCGTATAAACCTTGTAGATGTGTTAATTATGCTATGCGTCGGGTGCGTCTGTTGCGACATCACGATATCCAGCCGTAGATAGCCTTCGACGGCCGGCCACTCCCTACCAAGAAGAGAATCGAATCCTCCTGGGAGCAGAATGAGAGAACTTATCGCGAGCAAACGTGCTCGCTGCCCAAGGCAAGCATAACGAAGTACGAGAGTTCGATGAGTGATCTCCCCTGCTCACGTTTGGGTATGCGTCTGGGCCCTGGGTACAGAGAGCGTGCGTACCTACGTGGCGACGCGGTACGAAGCTGACGCGCAGATGGCTTATGGAGTGAATCGGGCTCGTCTACGGCATACTTACGGAGGGTTCAGGTCTGCTCGCGTTCGGCTGCAGCCGCGTTCTGTTCAAGCTCGACACGACCGCGAGCCGCGTCACGTGTATGGACGCGTCGCTGACGTCTCTGGAGGGTATCTCCTTCCTGGGTTGGTCTGAGGTGTAGTTCCATGCCATGGCCATCCTGAGCGGGTGCGACTACCTGCCCAGCATCCCCGATATCAGCCTGAAGACACCGTGAGTGCTGTTGCGCAAGTACAAACGGCGGAGAACGTGGTGCGCGCGTTGAGGCCTGGAGGGGAAGGAAAAGGTGCCGAAGGCTACATTTGAGGCATTCCGGCTCACCAAGGTGTTCTTGCACCAACGGGTGTACGACCCCATGCAGGAGCGGCTCGTTCACCCGAATGACCTCCGTGACGAAGAATGGGATGACAAAAAGGAGGCTTTTGTTGGAGGGTGAATCTCTGATGCCTCCTTCCTACGGAAGATATCAACCCATCCTAGTTCCCTCGGGCCCTGGAGGCCATCCCGATAAATGTTAAGAACATCAGTCGTTCGGTCATTCGGATAAGGATAAAGCCAACGATAGACGTAAAGAGTCGGTGAACCTCCGCTTGGTGGGCTGTTGCTTTTCTTCCGTAAGTCCGACATTTCACAGGGAGTTTGTGATCAATTTTTTTGCGCCTTACATTCACAGTACAGAAGCCAAAAGCGGCCGCTACACCTGAGAGTCGTTCACGAATGAACGGCGCGCAAGCGGAGAAAAGTTCTGCGAAAGCGGTGATTACAGCGGGGCGTTCTAGTGGTAAGCGGACACTAGCAGAGGTGATGGAGCAGGATATGGCGGTAAAAGAAAGAAGCAGAAGAAGATTCAAACCCTGCCTCGAGACCTATTTCCTCGAAATTCTTCTGTGGGGCGACTCCTTCGCCGCAGTCCAGGGGCAAAAATTCCAGTTACGAGAAATTATCCCCCAAGGCGGGCCCATCTCGTTTGGTGTATGACGACGAAGACAAGGAGAACGAGCCGATACTTGACAATGACGATATTTTAATGGACGACCCAGATCCTGTGCAGCGGAAAGACAAATACATATGTCCGTCGCCGTCGTTGACACGGTTGGATACCCCAGTACTCTCCTCTCCACTACGGCCTACAAGTGCATCGCAGCCGTATAGAGACAACGAGGGCGGCGACTTTGGCGCAGACGTACTCTCTAGCCCGCCCGTTGTCAGATCCAGAACGGGATGGTTCTCATGTGATACTGGAGATGGAAAGGAGGGTACAGATGCTATCGGAGCAGAGTTAGTCCGCAATGCACCATCGCTGCATGAGGACAGCCAGGAGGCACTAGGGCAGCCTGTGGACTCCGAGCCCGATCTCCGAGACACCTTTGGAGAGTGGGATTGGGACGACGCGACAACATCGTCATCACTGTTTTCAGTACGCAGCGGCAGTGCTTCGTTGCCAGTCGCCCCAGATGACTAGGCAGGCTCGTCCACGAAGAGGCGGCTCTCTGCAAAGAGGAGACGGTGGACGTGGACGATCTGGTGGCCGTAATAGACTCGCGAGCAATCGCGGCGCGGAATGAGGTGGTTCCCTTCGGATGTTGGGAGAAGTGGCGCGCAGCGGGAAGCGGGCAGCTGTCGGCGAACAGGGTCTGTTCATTACCGCTTCTCTTCTCGACGGTAATTAATGAAGCTGATAATCTCATTCATTGGGAGAAATTTGCACCGTTGAGGTGCAGAGAGACCACGATGACACCAGGTGGATGACTTGAAAGGCCGTTGCAAGCTCGATCACATTCCGCTCATGCTGGCTCGAAGCGGAAACGAGTACAGCAGTAGGATCTACATTTAGCAGTCAGGGGAAGGCTAGTGTTCGTGGAAGAGGCAAAGACGACTCCCAAGACGAGCCTTCACGACGCCACTGTGCACGGCCTGGATCTGCAAGCTCGAAAAAGGCGGAAGGCATGAAAGCGACTGCCAAGAATAGGCTGACGGAGTTCAGGTGGGTATAGATGGCCTGTTATTGTGTGCGAGTGACCTCACGAACTTGCAGGTGGATGGCAGCTGGATGACCGTTCAACGTTCAAGTTCTGACAATCCGCGCAAGATCTTTGATATTCGACGAAGGGTGATGTTGAGTTATTGCGAGGGCGTACTATCGTCGAGTCTATTGTGCAGGTTACGCCATGGCTTGGTTCCCACGTGGTGCACGTCCCGTCCAGCTGCCAGCAGGTCCACGAGGCTACCCCGGGCCCGCGCTCAGCACGAGAACTAAGTACGCGGCGAGAATGCGCGCGAGGGACAAACGCAGACGGCGAGGTTAACTGTCTGATATGTAAGCTCGAACATCGCACACTGTTTGACGTGCTGGATTAAACTTCCTCTTGATCCAGCTCGGTCTCGCCCGATGGAAACTTTCTATCCATCTCTCGCTCGGCGCAGTCGAGGGCTTTGACCGGGCTCCAAGCTTTCTAGTGAGCTCTCGGCAGAAGCTGAGCACAGGCAGCAGATTATTGAACCATTAGTGCGGTATTTAGATTTTTCTGTCTATCACAAATATTAAATTTGTACAGATTATTGCCCTCAATGGTGTTGGAAGAGGCGCCACGAAGTCGCGGCCAAGATGTCCTGGATTTGTCTTCATAGACACAACCTCGTTCGGTGTGAATCGTGGAGAGATAGGTTCAATGAATCCCCATGTTTCCTGCCTCTCCGAAGAAGATATTGGCTCGATGGACCCGAAATCGACAGTCGCGAGCTCTATTTCTTGCGCCGACCTGTATATTGACGTCCAGCAGCATCCTGGTCTGGACGCCTTCACAGATCCAGCTCAAGGTGATGATCGCTCTGCTCACGATTTCATTCTGAATATCTACGATGAACGAACTCGAAATCGGGCCGAACGAGGGCTGGGGATGAACGTTGCGTGCGCAACGGAGGCGTGCGCTCGTCAGCATCGCAGCTTCTACTTCTCTGTTGCACTGTCTGGATCGCGCGCCCGGCTTATCCGCTGGGACCGTGCTGGAATGATCGTCTCAGAATCGGTCGACCTGCATCATGATGCGCAGCCTATCTGCGAATTCCTGTGGCGGTACGCCCACGCCTCGCAGTCACAGCGTGGCCACGATCCTACTGTTCAGCCTGCGATGAAAGTGTCCGACCTCCTGCGACCTACGACGACAGCACGACTGCCAGGCGTGTGCTGAGGCGTGTGGACCACCTGGGCCATACGTCGGCACAGGTAAAGCAGTGCGTAGCTGCGTAGCTATGGTCCCTGAGACCGCGGCATTGCCAGGCGTGTGCTTAGACATGTCATCCTCGAGTTGACACGTCGGCGCAGGTAAAGCAATCGTCGGTTGGGTGTGCTGTTTTCGTTGTCTGTCTTTTCAGCCGTGAGGGCGACAAGCCTAGCCAGATACTGGTTCTCTAGGGCGCAGAAACTGAAAATGAATGCCGCTTTCCGCATCATCGACTTTCCAAGTTTGATTTTTCTCTCGCGAGTTCCTTTTTTCCTCCTGCAAACTGTTACACCGATGATCAATGACCTCCCGCCGCCACGGTACTCTCCCGCGTCAATTTCGCCTCCCGCCGTCGTATTGCCCCCACGACACTGCCGCTTGGCGGGAGACGTCGAGGGCGGGGTCAACGCTGGAGTTGCGTCGGGGGTCAAAGCGTCTGCCGGAGACGACGGGGGGAAGACGTACTACTGGTCTTCGCGCGTGGGTAGATCTCGGCATGTCTGTGAGCCCCATATCGCAGCCGTCTCCTCTCTGGCAGGAGCTGGACTGTTGTGCATATTTGGCAACGACGAGCATTTGGAATTCGACATATCCCTCTGTGCTAGACAGCCCTCCAGAAAGTGAGTCGTAAGATCGCGATTTCCTCCCCGTGGTGGACATAGCTCCGGGAACGCGGGACTACGCAGGATTAACACTCGCGGACGTTCATCGCACAGTGCGCAACATATTGACATCAGCTTGTTTGATTATCCTAGAGATCCAAGGACATTCCCGGTCAGGCGGATGCAGCGCCTTCAAGGCAGAGGTTAATTTCTAAATAGGGTGGAGGTTTATTGTCGCGAAAGTGAGATGGTCTTCGCATTTCTCTCTTCGTCGTTCGACGCGCGCATAATGTCAGCCTGCGACCTAGGACGACAGCACGACCGCCAAGCGTGTGCTGAGGTGTGTGGACCACCTGGGCCATATGTCAGCGCACGTAAAGCGGTGCCTAACTATTTCCCGTGAGACCGCGGCGGTGCCAGGCGTGTGCTTAGACGTGTCATCCTCGAGTTGACGCATCGGCGCAGGTAAAGCAATCGTCGGGTTGGGTGTGCTATTTGTCGCCTTACCTTCTGTTCTGGCCGCGAGGTGGCTTGCGCAGTCGTAGCGTCAGCGTGATATAGTGAATATTCTCCTTGTCTGTCTTTTCTGCTGTGAAGGCGACATACCTGGCGGGATACCGATCCTCTAGGGCGCAGACGCTGAAAATAAACGCCGGCTTCCGCTTCGTCGAACTCCCAAGCCTGAGTTTGACTTTTATCTCGTAAGTTCCTTTTCTCCTGCTGCAAACTGTTGCGCTAACGATCAATGACCTCCCACCATCATGGTACCCAGCCATGTCCATGTCCCTACCGCCTGCCAGGTTTTGTCATCGTTCATGTACCCGTTCATGACAATGACCATGACCATGACCACGTCCACGTCCGCCACGTCCACGTCGCTGTCCCCTTTCCCTATTCCGTTCCGAACGTCTTTCATATCCGCACTCGTTCTCAATCGAGCCTGTATTCTCTCGTCGCGGTACAGCTCGTTCAGGGATACAGGAACCCTCGGAAAACTGCAAGAGGTCTCATCTCCTTCCGAAGGGCCCGTAGTTTGACGAGATCGCATGTAAGTGTGCCTCCCTCAACATCCTACCCGCTTTACAATTGTTCGAGTCGCGCTCGACCTTTGAGACGTGTGCATCTCACTCACTTTCATAGGTGTTCCGCAGTCGCGTGTGCCACACTCATGCGTACTCCGCTGGGATTGCTCGCAGAGCCTGCTGTGCTCAGACCTAGGCTTCTACTTCCCAGTGCGCGAGATCGTAGTCTGAGAGCTCGTGCTGAGTCTGCCGGAAATGAGGAAAATCCTCTTCCCACTGTACTGTCATGACTAGGGACCCTGCAGCCCGAATACATTCCCGAACGCGGCACCGTCGGGGGACTTTGTCGACATGGAGCACCTTGTGGCAAGGCTGGTGCAAGTCGCATTCCCCACCCTGCGTAACATCTCACTGGGTGTTTACCTGTGGGACGGACAAGTTCCTCAGAGGCGGCATTGCCACTTTGAACTTTACATCGCTGTATGTCCATGTCCTCTCCGTCCTGTCCCTGAATCGATCGATGACGGCATCCCTGGACTTATCAAAGGTGCCAAACTTCAATTTCCTACTTAAGCTCTCATCCTCCGCGCGCTCATACCCTTCGTGTTGGTGGCCAGCGTGAACTTCCATGTCTTATCACATGAGAAGAGCTGCTCCTTGGAAGAGTTTTAGGCTGTTGATCACAGACTCGAGGCTTGTGCCCTTCCTTGGGTGCGAGGTGAGCGCGTGCGGTAAGCGGCGGCGTGCCGAGCTGGGCTAGCCTGGGCAGGCACTCTACCTTGAGTATCCCAGGGCGTGCTGTGATATTTCGATGGCATTTGCTATTGAATGATCACGAGCGATGCTTGCGCTGCATCCCGGGGTGCAGATCCACTCTCACTCGACGCCGCCCAATCATTTATCCACAGTCTCGATTTCCCATGAACGCGAGTAGTTTCAGGCTAGAACTAGAACGACACGGTTGTTATTAGCCATTACGGGCGACGCGGTCTTCCCTCCATCCACAGCAGAGGCATTTTGCAAAATAGCTATTGTGTGAAATATAGGTATAATGTATTTTGAAAAAAGAAAATTCATTATGCCAGGGTTAGAAGGTTATTGCAGATTCTAAATAGATTCTATTTAGGCAATATATTTTATGGGTAGGGTACACATGACATGACAAGACAGACGATAGGAGGACAGGACGTGACGGGACACGGCAGACATGACGCGGGCAGGACAAAGGGACAGGACGTGACGGGACAGAAGGACAGGACGTGATGGGACAGAAGGACAGGACGTGACATGACAACCGGACATGACAGGACATGACAGGACATGACAGGACAACTGTTTTTTCCAGGGAAATCCTTAAATAATTTCCTACATGTTTTTCCCTGGGAGTTATTTTCATTGGAAGATTTTAAAACTTTTCTTCGCTTATTTCCCAGAAACAAAAGGGAGAAATACACAAAGATTTTCCCCCTTTTTTCCCACGACAAAAACGAGAAAAATGCACTAAGTATTTCCACGCCCCTTTTTACCTCATCATTTTTCCACGGGAACAAAGCGGTAAATGTTTTGTTCTTTTCCCCGACATTTCCCACCGCATTTCCCGTGGAAACACTTTTTTGATTTCCACAAGTTTTTCCCCGTTATTTCCAGTGGAAAAAAGGGGCTATGCGTCCTGTGTGGCGCAGTCTCTCAGATGAAAGGTTAACAACCCTATACATACTGCTGATCGTATAACACCTTTTACAAAATAAATGCAGACACTGGTGTGTTTTACTATGGTTCCAAGAAATGCTCCGACAAACACTCCAATAGATAGGATGCGACTCGGCCGGGATATGATACATAGTAGGATAAAGACTGTTGGCAACGCAGATAGAAAGATGTGACAAACACTGGTTCTTCTCGCACGGGTTAAGAGGATTGTACGTCGTGGTCCTTATGGACCCCTGGCGAGAAACGCACGACCTTGCGGCTCACCAGCTCCGCAGATCCCGCGTCATCGTCTGACGAGTTCGTCGTCACCGCTGGACTGGACGCACGCGAGACCGAGCTTTTCTTGCCCGGCAGCAGCCTGGACATGCTCAGCTGCAACCGAGATGGTATGATGTGCACCGACGGACTCCGGCTCGATCGCGGTGTCGACGGCCCATTTGAGGTGAGCGTTGATAGGGACAAGTCGGATGTCGTCGGCGTCAGGGGTGCAGACGCCGGCGCGCTGTGCACCAGTAGCGCCGACGGTCGCTTTTTGAGCGAAGACCGAGCAGGAGTGAGCAGGACGGACGCTGAGTTCCGACGATGGTGGCCGTTCGGGCGAGGGGCAGGCGAGTAGCCGTACGACACATGGGAGTCATCGGAGCCGTCATGATGCCGACTATGGAGGTGCGATAGCTGGCTGGTGATGTGCACGGGGCGCAGGTGCGGTGTGCGCGAGATGTGCAGACCCATAGCGATCTGCTCTATCGTCGGACGCGTATCTGGCGCGTCGGAGAAATTGTATCGCGAGGGGGTGTGTGGAATACTCTCCTCGGGAGTTGAGTACATTCCCCTGTCCTGTAGGTTCGATGGTTCACATACGCAGCTCAAAGGCAGTGACCAGTAGAAGTACACTCACCACTGGACTCATATCACGTCTCCTCTGCACACTGAACGACCTCTTCACGCTGTTCACAATCCTGGATGCCGTGTTCCGCGCACTGGATCCGCTAGCACCAGGGCTATCAACGCTCAAGCCGAAAAAACGGTGATCTGCGGGTGACCTCGTCAGTAACATTCAAGGTACTTGGGAGTAAACAGCACTACCACGGCTGTCTGCGCCAGCTGTGGCCGGCTTGCCAAGTCGACGGCGAGGGGGGAACGGGTCGTCCATAGGGGTGATAGAAAGTCAGACAACAGTTACAATATTGAGTTGCTCAACGCAAGAGAGAAATGCAACGGATGGTGGAGGAGCGTGAGGTTGGACACAGTTGAGCAGACGACTGGAGGATGCAGCGAGCTTGAACGGCAATATCGAGGAGCTCGCGCGACCGCGTACCTAATGCCGGCGGCCACGTGTTTCGGCCGATCGCGAATCTGATCTCCTATCTAGAATAGGCAAGTACCGAGTCTTACAACGTATTTATGGCTGCGACTGAGCTGTCCTAGTTAGCCGTATATTAAATTCGAATATGTTTCTTGAAACATGCACTGTCGGTGGGTCGGACTGTAAGACTTCTCATATGCCGCCGGATCCTTTCGTGCCGGGGCACCTATGCACGGTAGTACTTGGTATGTCTGTCAAGTCAGGTTTGCCTGCGAGACCAGTCCTTACTCAATCCACAGGTTGATCTTGCCGCAGCAGCGAGCCGACTCTCAGTGATCTTGGATAGCCAGTATCCTAGCTCAATGTTGAAGCAGCGGCAAGCGCAGGTAACAGCATGTATATCCTGAAGCACGAATGTTGAAGCAGAGCATCTACAACCGCCTTTGAGAGACTAACAGTATGGCACTACCATGATAACGTTAATTCGAATTCATTATCATGGATATCTCGCCAGGGTTTGGCTGTATGACACACGTCTCCTGCCATCTTATGTTCTTCCTTCGACAGCTGGCGCGCAACCGCGACAGAGCTACAGCCATCTAGAAGAGTGCCGCGTTCCTTCACAGCTTCGTTTCTCCCGAAGCTGCTCCACTAGTGCGTCAAGTCATTGGCTGCCTGACATCTCTCGCGAAGGCCACCCTCTGACGAGCAGCAAGTTTTTCTAAAGACGATTGCCTTGCAATCATTGCATGCATCTCTGGCAGTAATACTACTGCATCGACCGTCGCCTGAATATGAATATTGGACCGCAGAAGAAGCTGGCGACAAAGAGCGACAATTTAATCCTCCACCAGGGCACGTGATTGTGTGGCATCGTTCGTCGCAAGTGGGCCTCCGAGTCTGTTGTTCTCTTCATTTCCGTTCTTTGTCTCTGTCTCCTCCTCTCACAGTTGCAGCCCTACTCACTACACGGAACAACACCACGAAGACATGGGCCAATGTCAACGTTGGACGATGTACATCGCACAAAGAGTTGCATCTTGCTCAAGGATGTCAGTCCAACGCGTTCTGTCTACAGACTGAACCTGGATGCACAAGAGGCTATGGCTGGTTATGAACTCGGGGACTGGCTTTTTAATGATCATATTCCCAAACGACTCGTCAACCTTTTGGCGGTACCTCTTCCATTGTCTTGTCGGCGCAAGGTATGCTCGCAAATTCGCTACGCTGCGCATGACGCTGATTTAGTCCGATCATTCACATAGCCACACATCCCGACTGTAGCGCTAGGGCGGCTTCCTGCCTCGGCAGAGGTCCTTCTCCATATCTTCGAGAAGATAGATAACCTGCACGATGCATTATCCCTTGGACTCACCAATACAACCATCTTAGCAGTCGGTCGCAAGCCCATCCATACTCTCGCGTCTGCTGCCCACGCGAGCTGGGCGGGTGGGCGGATCATTTGCATTGGCTCGGACACAAAACGCGAAGACCTTCCACTAGGCATGCTCACTCCGGCTGAAGAGAGCGATATTTTCACTGCTCAAGCATCAGAGACAGATGCTCACGGAATCGCCAAGCGCGAGCATGATAGCCCGCCCAAGGCGTGCGGTACTCTTCACACTTACGTTGGAGAGCACTTCCACAAACTCGTTCCGGGCCGTTTTCCCAGCATTCTTGGGGCGCATCAATATAGACTCCGCCCGATGGAGAGAACGCTTTCTGACGCGTTGACTCTACCCAGGTATGTCGCTGGCAACCGCTCCGACTCTTCTTGGGTCTTGTGCAATATAACGAAGCGGCAATATGTTCGTGCCAATGCAACGGTTGCCCTGTCGCGCAAGACTGCTGCTGGCCCGTTTATAGATGAAAAAGTGGGCCTCGGCGAAGTTCTCGCGACGCTCATCTGCTGCTCGGGGAACCCTTCCACCTCTATCCCGAACTCTGGCTCCTTGCATAGAGGCAAGTGGGCGGGCGACCGTATCGAGATAACCACAGTAGGCCGATTGCGTGCTGGGAAACGGCTGTGGAAAGATGTCAGCAAGGAAGTTCTGAATGTCGTCGCAGAAATATGGGATGCGGAGCACTACGGAGGCAGTTGGCGGCCTAGAGTTGTTGATTCGATGTGAACAGTGTATACGACATATACTTGGTAATTATGTAGCAATATTTTTGTCGGCGCACCTAAGACCTTCGGTAGCTACCGTATACAGTGTCCAACTTTTGGTACACGTGATCGCGCGTGGCGCCTATCTTTCTTCCTGTTTTCGTTGTCTTGGCCGTCGAAAGCAAGCAGTGGATCAGTTCTGGATGATGTATATACTACTGAAATCCTGTTATCGGTGAGTACCTGACGGGATTTTTCTAGACTCAATCCCGACACATATTTGAGAATGTGCGGAGCAAAGTTGGGCGATTGCACCCCCGGACGTATAACAAGGAACGATTGTCTTCCTTGTCTAGAGGCTGATCCATGAGCCTACCCCAAACGCCTTGTCGAGCTCCTCGCTGTACCCACTCTTCGCCCTATCAAGACCAATGTATGTGCACCACCTCGTACCACCCTTAACCCCATTCGTTCTGACACCCCGTTAGGATTCATATTCACTACGGTCTACGGTCCTTGGACGTCTGGCACGAATCCCTGCTCAAATCGATTGACAAGATAGGGAACCTTCACGAAGCGGTTTGTTTTGCTCTCACTAGGACAGCCTTCACCCTCAGTCTCAAGCGTGTCTACAAGCTGTATGCTACCACCACGGCGAAATGGGGCGGCACCCGCCTCGTTTGCCTTGACGGTATGTCGAGAACGACCGAAGAGGAACGCGATATACCGGTTGTCAAGGGGTCGGGGAACGAGTGCGCGAACTCGCCAAGCTGTGCGGGGACCACGACCATCTCGAGGAGCGCGCACCTTGAGCTTCTGCTACTTTACTATCAGACACTTTATCGCTCTCGGCTTTCGATGTAGTCCGTGAACCACCAGCGTCGAGTTTCCGCCTATGCGGACCTCGAGTGAGGCAACGTTTTTCGACGATCTGACTGCGTATACGACGACTCCGACGATGGTGAACATCGCGAAGAGGACACACCCAATAGGATTATTATTACTACATGGGTCCTATTAGGCAACGTCGCTAAGCGTGCGTACATTCGTTCCCGCTGGATAAACCCTCACACATGGGACTTCATATGACCCGTTGATGCATAGGCGAGTCGCTTTCGAGGAGGTTCTCGTCTACTGGTCGGGTGACCTCTCCACTGGCACTGAGCATGAAAATCCTCTCTACTGCAGCAAGCGGACCACCGACCGCTTCGAGATCACCACAACTGTCCACCGGAGCGGTGGAGAGTTTCCGTGGAAGGACGTCTACAGGGAGACGTTATGGTGGAAGTGTAGGTTGTGGAATATGGCAGAGTTAGCTGGCGACAATGACGCAATGCAGTAGTACTTCATTGAACGTCTCTGACATACTTTTGATTTGCACGAGTTGCGCCCACACGTGTGCATTGGCGCCATGGCGCCTACATATCTCGTTATGCTACTTTGGATAGTGTCCTGCCATAGAACGGTAAGACCAATGGGAATAAATGCATACATTTCTCGTTGCTCTCCCCATTCATCTATTCCGCAAACTCGCACTTCCACCGGCTCAACGTGTCACGGTTGGACATAGGACGGCTCCCCCAACGTACGATCTGTAGTCACTGATCGTTCCACATTCCATACTGCAGCATACCGCTCGTACAATCACAGTCTCATCCACGATGCTCTGCGCGACTCGGATCCTGCTATAATCGATCACTCCGATTGCTGCAGAATCAGCGCCTTCGCAGCCTCCGACCGCGGTTGGAAGACACAGTCGAACGGTCTCGGACGGCTGCAACCAGCAATGTCAGACAGCGGCGCAGCAATTCAGGTCCATTATAAGGAAACATACCTCACTTGACTTTCTGTAGTAAACTCCACCTTAGGCTCGACCACTCTCCCATCCTGTCCAACAACCTTGCTGATATTTAACGTCGCAAGGACAGTGACCAGCACAAGCCATGCGCTGTTGTCCGCGAAGTAACGGCCAGGACAAATTCTGCTGCTGCGTCGATTTCGGCTACATTACACTAGGAGAAATACACATACCGCCGACCGAAGCCAAAAGCGACATCTAGATGTGGTTCGCCGTGTCCTGCAGGTACGGGAAGGAAACGCTCCGGACAGAATATTTCAGGGTTTTTGTAAATTTGCTGGTCATGGCTCATTGCCCTGTGAACAAGAATTACTCGACGAGATTGCTGATGGGACTGCAATAAGACTCACAGGACATTCGGTATCATCACTGATCCTTTCGGTATGAACATCCCATTGTAGACATCATCATCAAGGCTCCTATGTGGGACACCTGAATGTTCAACATAAGTTATGCCTGAAATTCGTCGAATAACGAGACGACATACCCCAAGGAAGAACGGGGTACCACCTACGAAGTGTTTCATTCCTGTGTGAATACTGGCAGATGACAAGAGACGCACCTTATTATCTCCTGTAGCACGCATTCCACAAAGGGCAAGGAGTCGCGATCGCTGAAATCTGGCAGTCGCTCACAACCTATCACTTTATCAATTTCTTCTTGTGCCTTATGTTGTGCTCCAGGGAACACAAGCATAGCGAAAAAGAGTGTTTGAATGAGTGACCATGTCTAGACGCAGATCAACAGATGCAATCTGCCATCAAGAGTAGGTACTAAAGCTAACCGTCTCTGAACCAGCTGCACTGCTCCTCAGCACACCACTGCAGAGACCAGTGATGACAACATACCTATGAGAATGCTGGCAGCAGAGCCCTTAATGTCTTCAAGGTCCTCGCTACTAGTACCTGCCAAATCAAGGCGCTCCAGATGAGAAGCCAGAAATGATGGTTGGGCGATTCCTGCGTCCTACACACTAAATTAGAACTTAGTATCGACGAGACAGCACGTAGAAACAACCATCTGCCTCAGCACGTCGTCGAACGTCCAGTTGTGGAAGTGTCGGATAGTGGGATGCCAGCGTCGAGACATGGCGGTTAATGATGACATTCCAGGCAGCCAATGCGGTACGTATCGTACTTTTATCGCGGTCAGTTGCACGTGAATATATAGCAGACGCGAGACATACATGAGGGGAAGAGATCTATCAGCGCGACTCCAGCGGTTGCTGCCTCGACAGAGCGTAAAACTTCCCCAATAATATTGACGTATATGTCGTCATCGGAGTGTGCTTGGTGTCCATACGTGATCCGAATAAGGCTCGACAGTGCAAATCTGTAGAAGTAAATGCCCCAGTCTCAGAGGTGCATACAGAGACAGTGCCACAGGATCTGAGCGGTACCTTTGAGTATGTGCTAGGAAGTCTTTGGGTGTTATCATCAGACTCTTCGCCAGTACCCGTGCTTCTCTGAGTTGACTAGGGTAATACGCGAGACATTCGTGATAATTAAAGTATTGCTGGAACATCTTCCTGTGCTTCTTCCACCGCGGGCCGTACAATAATAAAGGAAGGCTGGCCTCCCAGCCCATCCTGTGCACATTGTCAAACATGACAATATGTTTGAAAGCAGGGTCAGTCTTACAGTTCCAATGTGGTGCATGCCGGCCTGTCACTGTGCTTTGAGCTCCGTTTCTCTAGAAGGTCAGTGGCGACTTGCAAAGAGTTCATCACTATGAGGTTTTGTCCCAGTATACCCAGATGGAAAATGTCCCCTGAAGCAGTGGTGGCAATGATCAGTAAAGCTGCGGATATGGCGACGCGTCGTTTGGTTCAAAGCTCACCGTACTCAGCCGCCCATTTGGGAAAGAGCTCGTGCTGACGTGCAGGAGAAAATATGCGCAGATGGCCAATAATTGGATCTGCAGGGGGCCCAGGCGGAAGAGGTAAAGAGGACTTGTTTCTTTGCCGAAGCAATACGAGCGCAACGATGCCGCAGGCGCACAACAGATATGTGACGGGGGACGCCATAGAGAGAACGACAATAAAAGAGACTCTCCAATTCAGCTTTTATGAAGAATGCGGCGATAGGCATTATGTTATGTGGCGCATGGCAAGGAGATTTTTCGAGTGAAAGTATATTGCTTCTTGACAGGTGTGAGAAACGGCGGGATCGGACGTGGACGCTGGAATGATGCGTCACGCGTACGTACGAGGCCGGAGTCTCTCATATACTGGCCAAGTGCAATTCCAGCTAAATTCAGAACGTTAGACGTTTCTCGTTGAAACTCACCTCCCGATTTCTGTTCGTGTTTGAGTGCGAACAAACAGTCCTAGGCCGAATATGGCAAGCTGTCTGTACTGACTTGACCTGAGGCTCTGAGAGAAAGTAAGTAGCCGGTGTCGCTGGATATCTCCAGCGAGCGCTCGGGCATCTACATTTGGGTTGGGTTTATTTGTCCCGCACTGTAAAACGCCGCGCCACGAACAAGAATCGGGAGGTGAGTGTGAGTTTCAACGAGAAACGTCTAACGTTCTGAACTAAGCTGTCAGGGCGGAGGCATGTAGACGTACCACTGTGTTCTCCACTACGCTCCATGTATGATTGCGCGTGTGACTCCGAACCCGGGATAACGGAATGGGCACAGAAGTTGAAGCTCCCCGCTTACAAACCGAACAACTTATAAACTCGAAGCGCGTGCATGGCAGCACGCACTGACCTCGCGTGAGTGAATGCGGGACATATAAATATATGGTTACGCGATGAGTGTGAGCTCGTCATTTAATCTTTTCGGCAATTTACAGAGAACAGTGACTGCAGAAATGCTGGCAACACTTACAGTACGGGGGTTACTGTTGCATGCTGCTGCGGAATTTCAGGGGTGGAGAAACCTCTCTGCGCTCGGTAATGCCTGCTTCAAGTGTTAACGCGCCCTCACCAACGATTACGTAGTTTCATCTCTGTATGGTCCATGAGCACGGCATGCATTACAAGTCTCGGACGTTGATTTGAGGGCCACTTCTACCCACATCCGGATCGGACATATTGGAGCATATGGCCAGCTTCTCAGCTTCTCCACACTTCCCTCGCACTTCTTCCACCCGCTTGCACTTCTTCCATCTACTTGTACACCAAATCCCTTGGCAGTCGACATGCCTCGCCGAGCACCAGTGCGCCATACACAGTCCAGAATATCGGGCTCTACTACTTCTTATTCCGCAGTGGCCACCCCGTTGGCGAAGGCGAAAACTCAGTGGCAAGAAGCGGATACTGACACGGACATTGACAGGCGCTATCGCCAATATGCCCAGTCTGCGAAACGCATTATGATTGGCCCAATGCCTGTTGATGCATTCTTAAACTTCCTTCCCGAGACGGATATGTCTATGATGCCGCCTCCCGCACAAGCTTTCAGTAACGTGCCGGATGGCACTGAATATAGGCATCAGATTATTGAACCACTGGTGAGTCACATATCCTTGCCTACGTAGTCAACATATGAAAGGGTTCTAGACTGCTGCTCTCAACGGTGCCGGAATGGGCCCCGCTCGGTCTGAGAGGTGTCCGGGATTTATATTCAAGGACACGTCCACTTTTGGCAAGAATCGCGGGGAGATAGGATCAATGGTTCCCCATATTTCGTGTCTTTCCGAACAAGTCGTTGGCTTGGTGCAGCAGAGATTCGCGGTGGCCAGTTACGCCGACCTCTACATTGAAGTCCAACCACAATCCGAACTTGACGCCTTCACAGATCCAGCTCGCGACGCGGACCGCTCCTCCCATAGTTTCTTTCTGAACATTGACGAGAAACGAACGCGACAACGGGCCGAGCGGTCTCTGGGAAGGAACATTGCGTGCGCGACTGAGGTGTGCGCTCGTCAGCATCGCAGCTTCTACTTTTCGCTCGCATTGTCCGGATCGCGCGCCAGACTTATTCGTTGGGACCGTGCTGGAGCGATCATCTCAGAATCAATTGACCTGCACTGTGACGCGGAGCCTATCTGCGAGTTCCTATGGCGATATGCCCACGCCTCGCAGTCGCAGCGTGGATATGATACCACAGTCCAGCCTGCGACCAAGGTGGAGGAAAAGCTCTTCAAAGAGTCGATCACACGCATGGTCAGGTTCCAGCTGAACCTTAGCAGCCGGACATCACTGGCTGCAGCAGTGAAGGAGCACTACCAGCAGGGAATTGTGGCTGCAGTCACCGTGGTTGACGATAGCTCTGTGGAGCATCGACTACTGGTATCTCGACCAGTCAACTCGCCTGTGTCAATGACGGGTCAAGGAACAAGGGGGTACTGGGCTGTGAATGCAGACAGCGGGCAAGTAGTATTCCTCAAGGACACATGGCGCTGGAATGGCAAACGTCAGATGGAGGGCGAGATTCTGGCAGACCTACATGCCGCTGGGGTACACAACATCCCGCGGTTGATCTGTCATGGAGACGTCAAAGAGGCACGAACTCGCACCCATGAGATAGATCAAGTAGAGGGGCCGGAGAATTCCAATTTCGAAGCCGGTCAAAGTATGTTTCCACGGAGTCTCTCGTTTGTTGCGTCGCGTATTGACAACTTATGTCAGCCCTTCAGCGTACGCAAACGGATCGATTCTGTCAGGCCCGCTGGGTAGGCGAAAACCTGGCTTCATTTCACCCTCGCGTGCACTATCGATTAGTTTTGGGGACTGTTGGATATGGGCTGGAGCGGTTTAGAGGAGCACAGGAACTTCTTCACGCCACATACGATGTGTATCGAGGTATGCACAGTGGTCATCTGTTGCGCATTGCTCCTTATTGTCTGCAAATCTATAGCTATGATAGGTGTTTCCAGCATCGAAGACCCCGCAAAGCGTAGATTGCACTGCGACATTAGTCTTGGCAACATCATCTTATCGAGGGATCCCGATTCAACAGGCGTTGTACGGTCCGGGTATCTAATCGATTGGGAAATTTCCTCCTTAGTGACAAGCGAGGGCACGGCTCGCGATTGCGCACCGGTGAGGGTCATATCCACCCACAGTCTATATTTGTTGACGAACATCTATAGGGTACCTTCCAATTTATGTCACAGCGCTTGTTAAGGCAGACTCCTGCTGCTCATGCGATCCAGGACGACATGGAATCTCTCCTCTATGTCGTGCTGTACTGCAGCTTACTATGGCTGGATCACAATCAATCTCTGCTGAACCTGACAAGTCTAGTGGGCGCCATCTTCGGCAGATACAGAACCTTCGATCACGCTGAAGAATTCCGAAGTAGCGGGAGCAGACTTTCAAATCAATATTATCGGATTTACACTTCAGAAGTCCGCTTCTCGAACGCAGCTGTTCAAGAGTGGCTGGACGCAGTTATGGATTTTGATTCGGCCTACATGATTCAGTACCCACGGGATACCACTCTTGCAAAGGTCTGGGAGAACCCCGCGGAGTTCAATGCCTTCTGGACAAACTTTCTCAGCAATCATGCGATATCTAATTGCGACAGAGTCCCGCGACAGTTAGGGCCACCCCCTGAAGTTTGCATCGACTCGAGCTCGTCAGTATTATTGTCCGCAACTCCCGCGCCCTCCACGCTACTTCCGCGGAAGAGGAGAGCAAAAGACGAGCTCGTTCGCACAGATGCGGAGGGCATTATAGTCGTTTCAGCATCCTCACTGCCTCGCCCAGACTATACAGGTCCTACCACGCGCTCGATGGTGAAGCGGAGTCGGATTAAGGCATTGGAATCCGGAGCGGAGTCGGATTGAGGCATTGGAATCCGGTGTGCGTCTCTCACTAGATCTTCAGAGAGCCCCCAAAAGCAATCCCCGGTGTTTGCGGCCTCGTTCAGCGAAACCATGACGTTACGCGACACCGCCCCAAGATTGGCAGGTCGAGGAAATGAACCTCGACATATTAGGCCTGCGTTTGTCCCCATTTCTCAACCCCCATCAGCTTTTAGTGTCACATTCGACACTCTCCAACATACGTTTGATGGCCTACACCCTTCCTCTGTTGCCTTGATACCCCCCGTTTCTCTTGCTTCGGCGTTTATTTCTCTTGGATGGATATCCCAATTAAGGTAAATAGATGGTCAAGTCTGCTGTACGATCAGAACCTCAATTTATCATCATTGAATTCTTACAAAGTGTCACGTGAAGCATCATTGGCAAAACGGAGGCGGGTTAAAATCTAAAGATCTGGTTCGGGTCTCCGAGTCCTGGATTCACTGAAGCAGCGTTCAATGGAGACAGGCTTTGCACGACATGACTCCTCGGGCAAGGCTCATAAATGATCTTTGACTTTATGCCTGCTCATAGTCACCCTCTGATCTCCAGCATCACTTTTGCTGCTACGGACCCTTTGCAACAATTCACGTTTGACGGCCTGTCTATCCCACTTGCTCCTCGTCCCTTCTCTATCTTTCTCTTCTTCCCCCTCTCACTGGCTCCTAATCACTATCGTACGTAGCCTTTTCTCTGGGATCGATGCAGTAATAGTTCTTCTCCATCAGCCTATTGTCGCCAAAATATTTGTGACGTCAATGGTCTGTAGTGAATCCACTTTGTGAAAAGTCGAACTTGATTATGGGGGCGGAGACATTCTCGACCTCGGAGTCATCGCGAGGATACAATTGCTATCAAGTCGCTCGCTCGTCATTCGTGCATAATCTTTGCGGGTTGGATGCTGATACTTCATCTAGCAATCCCCGCTGCAATGCAACCGGGTTGATTCCATGTCTATAGCTCGATTTGCGCATGACCGCCATCAAATTTCACTCAATATTTCCTTTCCTGATGTCTGTTCGACTGTGCTGCTTGGATTCAATTTTAAGTGACTCACTCCTACCTCACGAGCGGAGACGTGAGGCGGGAAATCAAGTAACGGTCGGTGGGGATCCACTTAGAGGTAGAAAGCTTGCCCTGGGTAAGCAGACACTGGTGGACACGGCTCAAGCATTGCAGTCACTACAGGACTGGGGAAACCCGTTGTTCCACAGCTGCCTCTGCCACTGAAGACTCTCGGCTCGTATCGTGCCTTGGCAGGCAGGTCATCAACAGGCGGCATTGGGTGTAGATGGGCTCTGGCTCTGTCGGTCACGGTGAAAGGCAAGGGGGGCAATTCATCGGTCGACAGAAGCGCGCGTGTACTTCTGTACGAATGGGAGCAATTGAGTGAAAGCCTAGCTTGGTTGGTGCACCAGCTATCGGGACACCTGTGCGCGGTCAGACTACACACGGCTGGGTTCTCTCACATTGACCGCGACGAACTCCAGCACTTGCACGGTCCGGCGCCATCGAAGTCTCGCCTTCGCCGTGAACCGATCTCCTTCCTACCGCCCTGTTGGAAAATCCAGCGAGCAGGTCGTGATCAGGTACTGGTTGCGACTGTTCCTTCCTCACGTGTGGACGCGCACACCCACATACAACGGAACTGGCTGCACAAGATGTCGTCATGCTCGTATTCTTGGTTAAACGAAGTAAAACAGATGTTCACGCGGAGGCAGACGACGCTCCAATGCTTCAACTTTGATGGTACTTCTTCCTAAAGAAACAACATCGTTAGACCGTGCACCTTCTCTCCCTGGTATAGATGAACTGACTCGCACCAGCCATTCCACATAACGACCTTGGGGCACACCGCAGGGGGACAAACATAAATTCAAAAATCTTACAGCAGAGAGTACAACGGGAGCTATATCCTCCAGCCTAGCCATCATAGCAGTTATATGTCCGTCGCCAATTGCATAAAACTGACAGTCAAACCACTGCATAAGGCAGTCTATTTTCCAGGGCTCGGCACAACTATTTATGATTATGACCGAATCCAAGCTAGGCCACAGAAGCGTCTCCTGGGGATCACCCATGAGTGCCATATATACGCTCCAGAGGCTGAGCTTCCTGACATTACGAAATGCGCGTACGAGGTTCACCATTAGCATGGCGGTATCTCGAATCTCCAGTTCATGGACAGACGGCCATTGCCATTGATCATTCCACGAAGTTTGATCCTGCATAGGCCAGGCGATCTCTGATAGTCGCGAGACTTGCAGGTTTTTGAAGGGAAAAAAGATGGGAGTACAAGCGGCATGGAGTGTTGAAACCTGAAGTAGTGGACAGCAAAGGCTCGGAGTCTGCTTCGCAGCCTGCTTACCACGTCGAGAGCACGAACACCTACCACCTGCAGCTGTAGTTCTTCGAGGTCGAAAATCACAGCCACGGCATCCCCGAGGGAGGTTTCTTCTCCTAGAAAGCGGTCAGCATCATGGATAGTGAGGGATTTGAGCGAAGATGCCTGATAGAGAAGATCCGTCAGACAGCGGGTAGTCGTGGAGATGACATTCGCCCCGAACACGTGAAAGATCACTTCAAGGCTCCGCAACCAAGTCAGGCGGCCTGACACGTCCCTGAGTATATACAGAAAAAATCTTTCAAGCTGTGTAGAATTCAGCAGCTCGACTGAAGATAGTGCATGCGGTTTCGCCCAGAATCGCCATTAGATGGACCTTCCGGCCTGTGCAGGATAGAGGGCGAGCAACTTCGGAGGACAGTAGATCATCATGAAGAGAATATCGTCATTAAGACTGAGAAGTCCTGAAGGCATGCTGCGGTGGTAGAATTGCTGCGGGTGAGGGTGAAGACAACACTTGAGCGTGACAGGTCATGGTGCGCCACACGATCACATGCAGCGTGACAGAGCGTGCCGTCACTGCTTAAACTTAATCTTCGCAAAGGTCTGCGATGAGTCTGCATTATCCACCAGCCTAGGAATCCGTGCTGAACAATCACTGGCAGTACTGGAAGTTGTGTAGAGCGAGCAGAAATATCCTCAGAGTCAGACGCACTTGCGTGGACTGACCAATGATAGCAAACTCTGAGATCCGCAACTGGCAGACGGCCCTATTCAACATACAACACGCCTCAAATGTTTTGCGCGTAACATGCCCAATCCTGACTGTACTGAATCACCGTAGCGTGGACGGGCGTCACCCGGTCTTCCACAGGGAAGATAAGGCATCTAACTCGGAGGAAATCTCAATGGTAGCTGTGTGCCAATATTCGAACCTGGTAATAGAACTGTAATTGTGTTCTTGAATCTATGTGAGATAATAAAAGAATGGAGCAACGACGAAGGAAACACGAACATAACCATTGAAGATAAGGGGAAGACACGAGAGAGAATAATATACTCTAGGTGCAGGGAACGAACACTCTAATTGCAATTAGTAACGGAAGCGTAGTTTCTATGAGACTGGCCGTTTGCTATGCCGAGAACAACTGACATGCTTGGAAGTTGACACATGAGAAGAATTGCAGAGCAAAACGATTGGGAGTGAAAACAGACGACGAGATCTGACCGGTACCTTTCCAAAGCTCATCTAGGCGGCAGCGCGCTTTGACTTGGCGCGGATAACTTTGCCGTATTTGTGGAATAAAAATGGGATAGGAACCTGACACGACGGATGAAGATGAGTAAACTGATGCTCGAGCAGGTATAGAGAAAGACACAATCCCAGCGCAGGAGACGTACCATAGCAAGAGAAATGAACGCCCATGTCGAAGCAGCCCAACCATTTCCGAGGTTATGGTACATGGCTGTGATGAAGAGGGGCATCGCGGCGCCGGAGCCAGAGCGAACAACAGTTTTAGCTGCGAGCGCAGACGCGACATATCCGGGGAACGAGTCGATGAGGTACGCGTTTGCGGAGAAATATAGGATAACCACTGATGATAAATTGGGATTCAGTGGATGATGTTTGCGAAATGGATTGAACGCTTGATACTTACTGCCAAAGCCGAACGGTATACCCGATATACAAGGGCCGATCCAGTGTCCTCCAGTGGCTGAGACAGTCGGAGGAGCGGTCCAGCCGAAGATAAACAATGCTAGAGCGAACCTGAGTCCCGCACATGGTTAACTATGCTTGAGCATGGACTTACAAACAGGAATAAACCAACAACCGATCATCATGCCAAGCAGACGATCTTCCGGATCAGCGAGACCACCCTTTTCCTTCGCCGTGCGAAGGTAGGTCGCTTCTAGGCGTGGTGTAAAGAAGAGCGCGAGACCAAGTCCCACAATGACTGAGATGAAAGTCAGTCCAGCTATACCGTTACTGAACTTGTAGCCTTCGCTGAACACGACGGGGAAACTGAAGAAATAGGCGTACTGGAGGCGGCTGAGTTGTACGCTTCTGCGACACGAGACAATAGTACTCACGAGCAGACCGTAGATTAGGGATATATACAACGACATGAGCAATAAAATAGGCTCAGTTGCAAGCATCTCTGTGGGTGCAAATCAAAACGGAGTGACGTCAAGCAAACATGTATGGACGCACGGAAAGGTCGACAAAGTGCTTCGAAGAGCAGTTGAGAAAGTGGTAATTTGAACATCTCTTGTTCCGTGGTAATATTAGAATCGCCTGTCTCCTTGCGAAGGCGCTCTGCGCGCTTGCGGAGCAACGTAGGAGCGTACGTCTCCGGTAGCGTCAAGATGAAGGCGTAGGCAACCCCAGCGAAGATCATGTTAATCTGGAGGATGACATAAATAAACAATAAGAAGCGACACGTACACATGCAGACGCACCCAGTATATCCACCGCCATCCGATGGTCTCCCCCACGAAACCACCGATGATAGGCCCAAGGACAGGTCCACCATACGGTGCGGCAGCAAAAAGGGCGATGGCAAAACCACGTTCATTGTTGTCCCAGACATCGGCGATGGTGCCGCCAGCCAAGGCGAACGGTGTCGAAGCGAAGAAACCGCACAGGAATCGGCTAACGAGGAGGGTTCCAATGTTTTTTGCGAGTGCACAGGGGATGTTAAATACTGACAGGACGAAGTTCGTCAGTACTATCGACGACAGCTAGAGACAAATTCCATTACTCACTGACGTAGACGAATGTTGGAATAAACCAGATCAGTCGCCGTCCAAACAATTCGCTCTGAGAAACCATGTATAAGTTGGACAAAAAGATACGAACGAACACCTACAAGGGGCGCCCATACCAAGGGACCGACTCCAAACCCACAGACCATCAGGGAGACGGTGAGCGCGATAGTCACCTCTGACACGTGGAATTCCTCCATCATTCCCTCAAAATCACCCGTCACGACGGCGCTCGCAAAGGCGACGGCGACAACGGAGATGGCGCAAACAATGGTTATGTCTTGAAAATCACGCAGCGGTCAATATCAACCAGACAACCTACAAAGAATGGACGTACACCAGCGATACCAATTAGGCCAGTTTCGGGGATCTTCAGGATCATTTTCCTTCCAAGTGACCAACTTCACGTCATGGAGAGCTCGTGCCTTTTCGGGGTCTTGCAAGATAGTGGGCTTCAGCGAGAGGTGGGTCGGAATAGGGCGGAGAGCAAGATCAGCGGGCATAAAACCCGTCCGAGTAACGGTACGATATTCATCGGTGAAACCACCCCTGGTAATGTCCGTAGTCTCATACGGGAAACTCAGATCTGCACGGTTCGGGTCGTGCGAGGCTGTCGGAAGAGGAAGTCCCAAGGTTTCTTTGCTATCATTGACAGGATACGGGGCAGGAGAGCGCTGGTCCAACGACTCTGTAACGGTCGCCGTCTCGCTAGGGGAGTTCGATGCAATCATAACTAGTCCAGAGAAATCCAAGAGAAGAATATAATAAGAGGAAAAGAGAATAAAGACAAAGAGAACGCGTCGTCCGCTGAGGCGGTAGGATGAGGCGTACAGTGCTCATGGTTTCGAGGTTATATAGGCCAGAGAAAGTTACAAATTTGGACGATCCACCGGGGAGGGAGCGAGACAGAAGCCGGACTTGAAGGACAATCGTGCTTGGCCTCGCAATGTTAGAGAAGTGACTCCGCGTGCAGTCGATCTTGGGTCAAAAATTTGGCCGTAGACACCAAAGCCAATATTGGTATCTTGACATCTTGGGTCATGATACCTTTTGTTGCCTCGAAAATAGGCGAAAAAACAGTGAACAAGGTAGCGTAGAGGCAGCAGGGACTGATCAAGCGCTGAGAGATGTAGAGAACACTGGAACGGGCGTTCAGTCGGTGGAGTGTCGGTGGTCGGGTAACGGTAACTGAATTCCCGGATCACCGCCACTGCACCCCATTTAGGTAACTGTAGTTGTCCGGCGCTTGAACACCTGGCCCACAAAACAAACATATCCCCTTTGTACGCTCAACCATTAAAATAGGAGAAGAGAAAAAGATCTTCATCCTATCCAGAATGCTGTAGCTTTCTTATATTTGACTCGCTATCCTTAACTCTTCGCTCATCGTTCCAAAATCTGTCAACCAATCGACTTCTCACGTCTCCATTGGTTGGCGAACGAGATTTTTTTGTCTCGCAATCGCGATATCTCATCGTATTCTCGAATCAATGTAGTCAGTCAGACTGTCGTTAACGGCACCGTACGCGACGATGATACCTTGCCTGTGCTCAACTGACGTCCGGTCGCACTGGACAGGTGTGGGTATTTATCCAACGTAAATTTAGTATCGTACGAAACCAGGTATTTGAGGGCAAAGCTAAGGACGATAGCAGGTATATCAATCAATGCTAGATCAGACTCATCCGCATCCTGCTTCAAACCGAAGCATCAGCTTTGCGTCAGAATGACGGGATAAAGTATCGTATCAAAGGGAACAAAAGTAGCCTTGTGGGGCTCAACTGCCACGGAATGATGGTTGCCCCAGCTATACCCGCAAGTCCGAACGAGTCCGCTGCAGGGATAATGTCAGCAAGGAAAGTAAGACATAAAAGAGGGCGACGCACAGAGTATCTGACCCAGACCGAGCAGGGAGAGCGCCACAAGTACGCGTCCCATGATACCACCAACTTTCTTTCCCGTAAGCTTTCTCCACACACCCTCCAACAGGACGCCGACGCCGTGCAACAAGAAAAAGAGGGTGACACGATGGTCTACCCCTTTCCCGAGCAAAAAGATGCCACACTCGTGGTATAGACCCGAGGCGAGAAACGTGCCCATCAACGCTCCGACTCTGCCTGCGATCCATCCTCCAGGATACCCACCAACTATCATGAACGGATGGCGCCAGACTTGATGCCAGCGCTTAGACCAAAGCTCGTGGAGCGAAGAAGCTAACCACGGCTTGTCCTGAAACTCGCGCCAGTATGACGGGTCGCGAACGTGCAGGGCTACTCCGATAAATGTGACACAGTTGAATGAGACATCGAAGCCAAGGTTCATAAGGAGTTCTATGGCGACATTAAGGATGGTTGAGAATGTGTATCGCTGAATTGGGGGTAGCCCTGGGAAGAATATGGAGCCGCCTGAGGGAGTACCGAGGTTCGGGACCAGCTTCACGAACGAGTCGATGAAATCTACGATGAGCACCTTCTTGAGAATTTCCAGAAAAGTAGTCCAGAGAAAAGCGCCACGCTCTGTAGGGCGGCGGCTTGGGACCAAGTAACCATCTCCAAAATCCCAACCTATCCCTCTGAAGGCAAGACCAACGTCCAGTGCGTCATGAAGCCACAGAGGAAGGAGATGATCTCTATTATCCTCTTCTTGATGTCCAAACATAGGCCTCAACTTCTTCTCTCCTATACGGAATCTCCCTTCCCTCACACACGCAAAGTCGATAGACAAAGCCAGGACTATGAATGGACAGAGCCCTGCGGTGGCTCTGAGCTGGACATATCCTGCATACAGCAGGACACATACCTCTCTGGAATTCCCATATCAGAAACGCGTCACTGTCACATCGGTAGTGATATGTGCATGCAATTGTCGTCAAAACCACTATCGGGAAAAGTAAGATCCGGAGTAGGTGGGTATTCTCCCGTCGCACGAGGTACGCCAGGAAAAGGTAGGGAATCCAGTAGAGATGGGCATTTGGAAGTGTACGCAACGTCAGCGATTCGCGGTCTTGTAGCGCAGGAACTATCGTTCGGAAAGCATCATGTGCTATCGAGTATAACCTAGGGGCATTAATCCTCAGCTCTGACTCATGAGGTAGACAACATGCCATCCATCTGACCTGCTTGTCTCCATTTTTTGGGTTGCACTTCCAAAGCACACTCGACAATCCGACTTGTCGACTGCGTGTCGCTGCCGCAATGATCATGGCAAACTGCGAGGAAGGTTGAGTGCCGCGGGCGGTGCGTGTACGATGGTAGCCGCCCACTAGTACTGGCAACTTCCGCGGGCAATTGTCTCGATTTGGTAAGCCATAGTCACCGATGTCCCGTACTTGGCAACCTCCATGTCGCAGCCGTCGGACACCGTCGGCCACGAATGGGCCACAGATCTACCATTACTAATGGTATGCAACTCACCAACACCCGGTGGGGTCACGAGCACGCGGATTGAACTTGCAGTCTTAATCCGAAGATAAATCGCAATTCGAAACATTACATGCATACATACATACATACATTGACAGCAGATTCACGGATACGAGGGTTCGGACTCCAAGTATCAAGGGATGAATAGGAAAGCACCCTAGCACAAATGACTTTCAGAGACAAACCACGGTGCGCCATCGAAGCATCCTCTCATTAAGCGTTCCCAGTCAAACCGACCTCCAGCTTTTTCCCATCTGCATCAGGTCGCCGAGCATCTTGAATAATCCGCCTCCAAGTAGCACGCCATCCGCTTTATCATATCCGCTCAATCCGAAAGTGATCTTACCGTGGCGAGTGCTCACAAGGCATCGGTCATCACCCTCCCGCCCAGTGGTGTTGGCGTTGGGCGACAAAACGATCTGCGTTGAGCGGTCGTGAGCACGCACAGTGCGGGCGCATTCGGCGAAGGCCTGCAGAAATCGAACTTGATCGCGGTCACCTCGGGTGTGCACCACGATAGCACCGTCGAACGTAGGTGGGAGTAAAATCACCATGTTTCCTGAGAAGAGCATTTAATGAACCGAACACGCTCACAATACTATGTCCAGCTTACCATGACGGGTGGAGACGTCAAGATCCACACAGTGGCCGGGTTGAACCTCACGCTGCAGAAGAAACTATCGGTTACAACTCGCAATAACTAGGAATTATGTACCCACCAGATTCACACTGATATTTCCATGACGACTCGAGAACATCACTCGGGCTCGCTGGTTCTTCACCATTCCCAACGCATCCGTAGCGGAGTACAAGTTCGGACCCACCACCGCCACATCGACGGAAATTTGTCCGTGGCGAGTCCTGAACGCGGCATTTACCTCGGGTGTACGAGCCTTCCAACCACGGCTGCTGCTGCAGTCCGACTCCGAATCGGACCCGAAAGCACGGCGTGTATTCTTAGCATGCTCACGGTCGGCAGAACGGTTGCATCGCTCGATCCTGCGCATGCTCAAGCCGGATAAGGTCGTGGTTTGTGGCGAAGCGGGGAGAGATGGATCCACTAGGTAAGTACCTGTGTATCAACGCCATTACTACATCGCGACCAAAGTGAGGACGTTGAGGCATACCTGAGACGGAGTTGTGTCGCGAGAACACAGAGAAGTGGTTCACGCGCTGTGCACTCGTCGGGTGATAAAGCTGGGTCAAGGCAGGAACGACAACCGTGGGCGTCGGTGAGGAGGGAGAGGCTGTAGCTCCCGTTGCGCGCGGAGTAAGAGTCTGAGCAGGCACTGGTCCTCCAAATGCATGAGGAGCGGACATCGTGGGCTGCGGCGCTATGGCCCGTGCGACTTGAATATCGCGGTGTATTTCGTAGGGCGGGGGTTGGCCTGCGCCATCGTTCTGCCAAGAGAGATCGTGCAAGGTAAACAAGCACGTAGCGAGAGATCTAAGAAGCAACATACATACCTGCTTCATCTGAGCATCTGTGATTTCGGAAGCCTTCTTGTCCTCTGAAGGATAAGGCGCCAGCTTCTCGTTAGGAATGATCATTATGATGCTAAGGGTCGGTATATATAATGACGTTCAAAAGTGAATATGCCCTGGGCTAGGACGCAGCGAAAGATGGAGGATCTGGTTGGAGGGGAGTGACTCTCACTCTCTGTTAAATAGCAGACAGGAGGCGCCAGATTCGAAGCTAGCTCGCTGCGCAGCGCAGCGTGCATTGCGCAGGCGCTGTCAAAATGTTCCATCACCCGTCCTCAGCCACTATGGATGCACTAGAAGGCAGTGGCTTCTGACGCACTGCGTAAGTCCTAGGCAACGGCATTGAAAATCAGTGAAAAGCGAGGGTTAACTTGTGTCACGGCCAGGTATCTACTACTTACGTACAACATGACGCAGCGAGCAACGCACAAGATCTCTGAATCAAGTTCTACAATTACTGCACTGACTTCGTAAGCCTCCATTACAAGTATGTCGTGTAGTATGGTGGCAGTGGCGGTGAAAGGACAATGATGTCGTCCCGGTCCGTGGCAGTGGAGTCCATGCCCGTTGGGCCGTATGTCTTGATGAGATCTCGACGGGCAAGGTTGCGGAAAGCGCTGGTGCAATATTTCTACTGTCGGCACTGCGACAGCCGGATGTGTTCGCCATGAGGGGGGATGAAGTACTGCGTTGGTAATAGGAACTTATAATCAGGCGTGAGAATGTATAATTGAGCTCTTTTTCCACTTCGTTCTTCCTTGCGAGCTTCTAGAGAATAGTGGGTTATCGTTACGCGAGTCATAATGCGGGCCCTCCCACCCGTGAGCAAAGTACCAAAAAGCACGAGTTGGCGTTGCCGGCCGAGTGGGAAATAGTCTGGTAAGACATCTCTAGCAGCCAGGGATTACAGGCTCGTCTACGAGACGGACAAGGCGTAACGCGCCACGGCCACTGATGTCGGATATTCTCAGCGAAAAAATGATGACACTTGATGAGAGCGGGTAGTTGGCCTGGGATATCTGAGTAGAGCTCTTCCTGTCGTGAATTGCTGGGTTTTCACACTGTATGCAATGGGGTGTTAATAACAAGTTCACGGACTCTTGATGCGACTCACCTTCCGCTCACAGGACGCTTGTATGCTCTTCACTCTGAAAAGGCGCATTTACGCTCATCGAACGATCAGTCATTCATTGACTTGCGACGGTGATTCATACGCGCAAGATCGGTACCATGATTTGTTGTCGATGACCAGAGGTCCTGTACGTCAGAATCCATGTAATCTCACGGAGAAAACGATACTATAAGAGACCGCGGTTTTTATTCAAGTTCCGCAGGAAATTAAAATGTCGATACTTCCAAGAGCTACAAATGACCACGAATGTCACTCTTGGAGCGCTCTTTCCTGGGAACTCATAGGCTGGCATGTCCCGGAAACAGTGGAGGCCGTAGCAGGGATGAAGCTTCACCACAATAAGCGCATCTGGTAGGCCTATGTGCAGCAGATGCGCATCAGAGCGATCACTATGAATGGTTCATCAGATTGGTACCGTTTTACCGCGAAATTGCTGAAGCATTCGCACCCAACGCACAGAAACCCTGGTATATTTAACGCTACAGAATGAGCTACTGAACATCGGACATGTAACGATCAGAGTACACACCTGTGGAAAATCCCCGTTGATTGTTTTATTCCGTTCGGTCATCTCTGAAAGCGGACGCCACGATTCAAGTACATCTGAGGTTAGTAGGCAGGCAGAAATGACGAGGCAATTCGTTGTCAATACCCATATGGCTTCACTGGATCACAGCATCGCGATGAGCGGCAAGTCTTTATATGCGTGTTATCACATTTGATCTGGACTACGGCAACATACTCAGGCCTGACCAGTCGCACCGTGGATTGGTTCGATTCACAACTTGAACGTACAGAGTATAATACTCACTATACTTAGGATCCAATGAAGTCAATCTACATGGACACGGATGCTGGTGCATTGCATGGACTGCGTACACACTAATGCCGTCGCAGTCCCAGCAGAGAACAAGAAGAAACCAGACAGTTCAGGCCTGTGAGAGCCGCATTGCCGCATGTCACGGCGACGAGAGAGTACACAATGGGCAAAAGAAGCATTCAAACTCCGAAAGCATCCAAATAGAGACTAACAACGCGTTCCTTATCTCCATTTCCTACTCCAGCCACCGTCAAGCACTTCCTTTGAACCTCCACATTGCCTGCGTACATCCACCCAACAAAAGTTACCAATGGAAGCACAGGACGACTCTGAACTCAGTCCGGGGAAGACAACGCCAGAGGAAACTCATACCGAGGAGCAGGTTGATTCTCAGGGCATGGCGTCGCTGCCACGAACCCCAGATCTACTCGAATGTAACGACGGTAAGCAGGATCCGCACTGTTCATCGTGCAGAGAGATTTTTATAGTTTCTGCAGAACTTAAGGCATCTCGGAAGCGAGAGAGAGAGGTGTCGCTCGAACCGGCCACACCCCAGCCCACTTCAGTTGTACGTCCACTATTCATACATTCACACCAACTTTGTCTCCGAGTCAATCCCGTTCTCATCTGTGCGCCTTTTTGCTGCGATTGCCACAGGATGTGGATACAGAGCACACCGATATCAAGGAGCCCCGCACCCCAAAAAAGAAGAACCGCGTAAGCGCAGCGCTTGTTGCAGCGCAGGAAGAAGACGAAGATCCCGTTCTTAGCTGCTCGCCGCCACACGAGAGCAAGATTCGGCAGATCAGCCAAGGCGTTGAGGAGATCACCTGGCAGAACACACAGAAGGTTGCGGACAGCGACCAGGTCAAAGAGGAGACCGAGGACAAAGAGGAAGATCACGAGATGGAGGACACAACTGCCCCGAGCATCCGAGGACAGGAGCCGGCAACGGCGGAGCTAGGACGAGAGGAGGAACAGGTTCGGTCGCCGGCGGTTGCCGGCCAGACCCCTCCCGCGGTCGATGTTGCGATCGAGGAGGACGAGCAAAGTGACGACGCGGATATGTCTGAGAAGCTTACAGATACCCTGCGAGAGAATAACGACGAGGCGACATCCGATGAGGCCAAACCCAACGAGGCCACAACCGACGAGGCCACACTTGATGAGGCTACAACCGACGAGGCTACACCTGACGAGGCTACAACCGACGAGGCCAAACCTGACGAACCCATACCTGACGAGGCCATACCCAACGCGGTAACACCGTCCGCGGAATCTGTCACAATTACCGAGCCCGCGTCCATCCCGCTCCCCCACTCCCGCCGAGATTCCGAATCGGACGTAGACCAGGAGAAGGGGTTGAAGAGGAAATTGGCCGACCGCGCGGTGAGCGACCGCCTGGTGCATGGTCAGACCGCACCGGAGGTGAACGGTGTCGCTCCCGAGTCCGGTACGATGAAGCGCCAGAGGGACGACCCTGACGAAGACGCCAACCCTCGGTTGACGAAACGCCCGACTCCTCCTCCCGACGAAGAGGAGCCCAAGGCGTCGAGCTCAAAAACATCGTCTCCCACACTATCGACACCGACCGTGACGCCGAAGTTGGTGCGTACCTACGTTCGTTTGCTTTTAAAGGTCTGGCTGACATTGTTTTGCAGGGCGGCTTCATGGCGTATGCCTCGGGAAGTTCACCCTTTTCGGCCGCCTCAGGGCCTAGCATATTTGGCAGAAAGCCTCCATCGTCACCCTGGGCGAGCCTGGGCGCCACCTCTAGCGGGCACACCAGTCCTAGCCTCACTGCATCCACATTTTCGCCCATGAGCGTCGGTACCGCCTCGTCCTCTCCGTTCAAGGAGTCGTCCTCTAGCAAAGAATCGCAGAACGAAGTCCACAAGCGGACGGGTTTCGAAGCCTTTGCTTCCAGCACTTCGCCGTTTGCATCCGCAGCGAAGCGTCCGAAGTCCCCTCCCCCACCTCTCGGCGGGCTGGGTTCCCTCAACCGCAGTCATTCTCCATCGCGCCATAGCCAAGCGCGTGTTGTGAACGCTTTCTCGGCATACGCGACAGGTGGCGCTCATTCTTTCTCCGCCCAAACCTCGACGCGTTCCTCAGGTACCAATTCGCCCGCTCTCGGAGATGGCGCCAACTCGAGCACTAGCGTCAGAGCCAGCAGCAGTGACTCCAAGCCCGTGGGTTTGGGCATCTTTGCTGGAGGCAAGGATGAAGACGATGAAGAGCACGACGAAACGCAGAGCGATAGTGGCCAGACTTTTGGCGAACGATTGAGGGCACAGAAGGATGAAGAGAAGATCTCGGACGACCTCGGGCGGCCTGCGTTGACGGAGCAAGAGAGTGAGTATCTCATTCGAGTGTGCGGTGTAAATTTGCTGATGTATCCTTCCAGTGCTTACTGGAGAAGAGGACGAAGAGACGGTGTACCAAGTGCGAGGAAAGCTGTATGCCTTGAGCGAGGACACCCACTGGAAGGAGCGGGGAACGGGTACCCTGAGGCTGAACGTGCGGAGAGACGATGGTACTGGCGCGAGGCTGGGTACGTATCGAATATTATACGCGAATCGCGAACTGTGCTAAAATGCGATCAGTGATGCGGAAGGAGGCGGTGTACACGGTAGTGCTGAATGCGCCGCTGTTCAGGGGTATGCGATGTTCCCTAGCGCAAGATCCACGATACTTGCGATTTAGCATCTTCGAGCATGGCAGCACGACGCATTTCAGTCTCCGAGTATGTGTGTCTCCTGCCTCCGGTCCCTTCAGGCGTTGAAATCTTTACAGGTGGCAAATACGAAGATCGCAGCTGAGCTACTGGAGGAGATCAACTCGCACATTCCTAGCGAGTAGATGACTCGGGGGCATTCGGACTGCTGCATGTGTGATCTATTGACTCTGAGCTCATTCCTGTCCTGCTATCGTAACATTTAGTATTGTATTGCTCGAATGGCACTGTTTTAGATATCTGCTTCAAAGGCTGCCAGATCGAGAGCAACCGTCTGGAACCCACTTGCTCAGAGTTGAGGAATAGGGATGCAATAACGACCAAGACAGAATTGCAACATTCGTTGACACTCATGTCTTGACTTGCTATGTGATGAATACATTTTCTCGGTTGAGCTGAGTTTGCAAGGAAGAAAGAACATAGCGAGCAGAAATGACGGGCGCCTATAGTTTATTGCCGGAGGCTACTTATCGGAAGTTGCCGGAATGAGTGCATCTCAGATCTAATTTGGCGATCGAACAATTCTCAAATATCGCGTGGCGCCGCCACCCCGGCCCATCTGCCAATCCTCGAGGACACTGCCTGCCACAACGTCCTTGCTATAAGGTGCGTTTAATAGTCAGAGTAAGATATTCCGGCCAGGATTTTGGCATTTTGCGGAAGAGAGCCGAATTTGCGTGAAGTGGCAAGCGAAATACCATGCACGACAAAAACGCGGAAGATGGCATGTCGTAATAGTAGATAAAGATCTCGATTGCCCCTGTGATCAGCGACCGCATTTTGGCGAACGTCCAAACATTTCTCATCGCTGCTTTCTTCCTACCATCGTCGTCGCCGCCTTCGCTGTCCTCCTCGTCGTTGCCCTCGTCGTCGGCGCACTACCATGAACGTCGCCGCTCTCCTCCAGGATTCTCCATCGGACGATCGTCGCAGGCAGCAGCAACAGCGTGAGCGCGAGCAGCAACAGCAGCAGCAGCAGCAGCCGCCTCAGCCGCCTCAGCCTCATCGCTCTCCACCCCGCGACAGAGACCGACCTCTCCAGCACATCTCTCCTCGTCCACAGCCGTCTCAGCCGTCGCTGCACACCTCACCACCCTTTCACAGGCTTATTCGCCCCCAGTCGCCTCCACATCATCCTTATCCACCGCCGGACTACCCCCATCCCCAGCGTCTGGCTCAGCTGCCACCTCCTTCTTCACTCCTCCACGATGCGTACGAGCAACAACACCGACGTCCGAACATCGAACCTTTGCCCCATCCTCATGAGTTGGTGTTACACCCTCATCACGGTCCGCCCGGTAGCCTAGGCCCCCCAGGTACGTGTCGTCATTTGCTTCGGGATGCGGAGAAGAAGTCTGGGGATGATCTGTGTAGAAAACACTACTGATACACCGTATATACACAGGCACGCAGGCTCAGCCATACATCCTCGAGCATCGCGCATCAAATTCGCTTCCCCCTCCGCCCCGCGCAGGCCCTGTACAGCAATCGCACCAGCACCAGCAGCATCAGCAGCACCAGCACCAACACCAGCATCTGCACCATGCCCACACGCTGCCCACCACCCCCTCATCCCATTACATGCCGCCGCCAAGTCGACCAGGACCGATGCACGCAGCATCGGCCGGCCCACCCATGCTCGCACCCGCGCCTGGATCTTCGCCCCCTGGACCGGGTATGATGCCAGGGCATAGCCACGGCGCCATCCCACTTTTCCCAACGCCCGTCGGGCCGGGTATGGGTCCCCCACCCAATGCAGGGCCGAGCATTCCGCCGCGCCATCTCTCTCCTCCGAGCTTCATGGACCCTTCACCAATGTACGGCGCACACCCGCATGCGAACGCGCCCGGCCAGATGTCGGCTCAGGGCATGGGACAGATGCAGGCCCATCGCCCGCGAGGAAGCTTCGAGTACATCGGGCAGCGCCCGGGGTCGCCCGCGATGGGGAGCCTGCAGCGCCCGCCGAGTGCACGGTTCGATGAGCGTGATCGTGATCGTGACCGTGACATGCGCGTCCCCCGGGCACCGCCTTCCGCGTTGGGCGCGCCTGCGGGGTCTGCGCTCTCATCGACCATCACCAGCATGAACATGGGTCACCCTGCGAGTTCTGGGGCGCGCGCAGGGCCGCAGACGCAGATGCTCACGGGCCCGGGCGCGGTCGGCATGAACCTGATAGGCGTGAAGGAGCGGGAAGGCCAGCGAGAGAGGGAGAGGTTGGAACGGGAGGCGAGGGCGGGGAATGTGGGCGTCGTCGGTGAGCCGCCTGGTGGACGACGCGATTGGGAGCGCGAGCGCGAGCAGCGGGAGTGGGAGCGCGATCGCGACCGGGCGCGCGAGTTGGAGTTCAGGCTTACTCACGGGCATATGGATGGCATGATCGTCTCGGATGCGGACACAGAGCGTGAGTGGCTAAGGCAGTCGCAGCAGAACCAAGCGAGCCAGTGGTCGCGCTTTGCGCAGCCACGCCCAGTGCCCGGGGAAGACGAACGCGAGCGGGAGAGGGAGCGCGAGCGTGCTATGATGCTGGAGATGGAGAGGGAAAGAGGGCGGGGACGAGAGCGTGGTCGCTATATCGACTTTGAAGATGCAAGGATGCGCGAGGCGAGAGAGGTCGAGGCCGACACGGAGAAGACTGAAAGGCTCCCGCGGGCTCCGCAAAGGGGAAGGACCACGGCGAAGGAGAAAGAGAGGGTGAGAGAGGACCGAAGAATTTGCAGGTCTGGCGGTGCAGCGGAGGAGTTGGCGGAGGAGAGAGAGCGCCTTACCCGCCAACGAAGCGGCCAGTGGATGGAGATAGACTTTGAGAAGGAGCGGGAGAGAGAGCAACGGGAGAGCGACGCGGTGCGTTCTTCACGGCAGAACCAGACACAGATTCCGCATCACCACCACCACCTTCACCAACATCGTGCTTCGTCGCTCTCTGGTAGTTCCGCACAGGGTAATGTGCCAAGCTCCAAGTCATCCAAGGCGGGGAGTGCTACAGGAGTCCTGCCTGGGGCACCGCCGAGCGTAGGTCCTAGCATCATTCCGCCTGACATTCCGCCCTTTGGATCAGTCATACAGGATCGCCAGCAGCCCGGGCTGTTCAGGCAGGGTGCTTCAAGGTTGACGAATGGCCCTTCCCATCCACCATCTTTGGTCGCAACGCCATCGCATCAACCTCTGCTCATCCATCCGCCTCATCCCCTGTCTCACCAACATTCACACCCGAACATTGCTGCTCTGGGTTTCCCGCATCGTCGCACTCCTCCGCCGCCGCCTTTCAGCCATCTCCCAGTTTCAACCAGTGCACCTCCTGGTTCTTCGCTGTATGCACATGCGCGCTCACCGACTCCTGTTATCCCTCGAGCACCGTCGGAACCTCCACTGCATATCGGAATGTACGTCTATCCGCGAATACCATTCCCCTACATCGACTTCCCCAATCTCTCGTATGAGCCGAATTTACATGGGATGCCGCTTGAACGCGAACCACGCGAGATCCACACCACTATTCTTATCCCATACGGATTTATCCCTACCCAGCGCCCAGCACATCCACGTATATGGGGAGGTGCAGAGGTACGCTCTCTATACCCGATCTCACCCCCGGCGTCCCAGCTTGCACACGCGTTTCCGTTCCACCACCGGCGGTTCGAGGACCGTGGCGTGCGGAGAGTGTACACGGACGACTCGGACCTATTTTTATGTGCACTCCATGCAGGGTTCATCACATGGAGTGGCGCACAGCGCGCGCGAAGTGAACGCCGGGACTTACGGCTGGATCTCAAACTCACGAAGGAGGCGAGGTTCGTTGGCGGATATGGTGCTGCCTACCGTAAACGGAAACGAACAATCGAGAGTATGCTCGAGGACAGTGAGAATGACGATGATGGCAGCACGCTACGTAGCTCGGGGTGGGGCAATAGCCATGATGGTGCTGGGATCGAGATCATGGTTGCAGAGTTTGTCGAGGTGAGTGTCAGTTGAATCCTCGTGTACCAGGTCCGCTGATACCCTCGTGTACTTCTAGCCCGGCTCCGCTCACTCCTATGGGTTGCGCAATCGGCCACAGCGTCTTTTGGAGTACGCGGAGCGGAACTTGGCTGTTAGGCGACGGAAACGGCGACGTGCCGCCCTTGCAGTGGGTCCAGCAGAGGATCCTGATAGGTCGCTCATGACTTCACGTCGCCTGCCCTTCGGCGCTGGATTAGAATGGAATAAGCTCATGTACGTGTTACAAATATTGGTGTGTCTCCGGTGGGTTTTTGACGTAACTGTCGCAGACTGAGCTTCGAACGTTCCTCAGTCAAGACACCGTCTGCGCCATCTGGTCCTGAAAATGAACCACCATCTTCGAACAATGAGTTGAAGCGGAGACGCATCGAGGTACCTGGCGATGTGCAGCGAACCATCGGGCTTATCGACGGACCGAGTATGGTGGACACAGACACTGCGGTGTCCATCGGCGTGGAGCCATCGCGAAAGCCACTACCACAACCAGAAACACCCCTTAAGGTGGAGGCGGCAACTGATGGCGCAGTCACGACTGTGTCATCGCGAAGTATGGAGAATGGTGGCTAAGCATCAGTGTATTGTATGACAGATGCCGATCCGGGTGTTTATTGTCCTTGGCTAACTTATTTACCATCTGGTTTCGAGAGAACTCTGTGCTTTTGTTGTAGCGAATATAAACATACCTCTCTGGTCATGATAGCAATACATGAATTGGGTGCATTGAATGGGTCTAGATCTTCGCGGATCATGGTGGCTACGGGCGCGTGCGCTGTTCCACCACGCACCCATTTCGCCACCTCGGTGGCCAGATAGTGGCGGATCTCTGCCCGTCGACCACATTTCCCACCATGAACTCAGCGGCCGATGATGATCGCCCCATGCAAGACGGTTTCTAAAGGTTTAGCAACTGCGTGCCGCGCGAATCCGCTGAACCGAGCGGTAGGTTCGACGCAAACCCTCTGATAACGTCAGAGGGTTTTGTAACAAAGGTATTGAAGGGGTCTGCAGGGTGGCGCGGCTGATTGTTACCGGTTTGAGGCCGGTGTTACGACCGGATACTAATGGATAAGAAATCCACTTGTAACTCATGGTAACGAATTTGTAACGAATCAACCCCTTGTAACAACCGGACTTTGATACAAGACGTCGCGGAACGCGGACGGTTCTTGGTATGAGACTAGACATTCTGAGGAACAACGGTTGAAGCAGAGTGTCAGTCTGCCTTTGGGAGACTAGCGGTACACTCCCACCTCTCGATCACAGATCATATCCACCATTCCTGCCATTCATTGGTATGCACCACACACTGCCATGGCAGGTGGCAAAATTGATGGGAATCTGAGGTTGCGAACCATCCTTCCAACGGTAGTGCTATCATATGCTGGGTGCACGCTCGAAGCGATACTAGGCGCTTTGTGGTCGTCTCAGGGCGGAATTACTAGCACAGATTTTTTCGATTGATTGTCCGTTGCAAAAAGTGCGGTCGCTTTCCCTGTCGCTAACGATAATAGAAGGCTCATCATTCCCCCATCCCACTGCCTCGTGATAGATAGAAGCCTGCATTTTTCATATATAAGTAAACCAACGATGCTTTCGTGTACAGTATCCCACCGTCCCCGCTCTCGCTGTATACCGTTAGTCCTCAGGCTATGACGACTCTACAGTGTGTCCTTTCTCTGTTGCACTTCTATGTGTTCATGGGCTGACCAACACTCTTGCAGAGTATCTCCTGCTCAAAGCCCAAGGCTATGCCAAGAATTATATGACATGATCGCGGACAATGTTGCAGCAGGAAACACTGCGCGGGAGGATTTGCACGCATGTATGCTCACCTGCCGTGCATTCGTGTCCCGAACCCGCACTTATCTCTTCTCAACGCTAAGGCTGAAGCCGCGGACAAATATACGGCAATTTGAAGCGATTTACACATCTTCTGGACTACTCCCGTATGTCCGCGAAATAGAGATCTGCGGGTGCCTCATGGTGGGCTTGTGGGACCAAGACGAATGCTCAGGACTGCGGGCTGGCACGTACGAGCCTGATCACGCGTGGATCAGCAACGTGCTGCCATTCTTGACGAGGTTCCAGGGTATCCAAACACTGCGGTTAATTGACCTCAGCTGGGGTGACGTTCCGCAAGAAGCAAGAGCCCTCCTCCTCGCACACTTCACATCTGTCTCTCGCCTTCACATCGACATCGTCGACTTCTGGAACTCCAACCAGCTTCTGCGCACACTGCAGGCATTCCCCCACTTATCATCCCTGAAAACGGAGCGACTCTCGTTTCACAAGGCAAGTCATACTCGCCGTCAAATTTCCAGCCCGTCCCCTCTCAGCCTGCGCACGCTCGAGCTACGAAAGCCAGACTGTGCACGTTACGGCCCACTATTTCAGTGGCTAGTGGGGAGTCGGGCGAGTGTCACGGTCGATAATGCGTTCATTCACTGGGATGACACGGACGTGGATAGCCTCTTCGCCTTAATTCGGAAGATTGCTCCGACTTTGAGAAATCTATCCTACGAGCAATGTTCGCGAGTCTCTCGGAGTACGTGCTATATCTGTGGTGTTCTATAATTCGCTGAGCATCTGGTCAATATAGTGGATTTCGAGGACGATGCGACGCCTCCCGACAATCGATTCCAGGACGGAGACATGCCCCAGCAGTACTACGACGCTCAGGCTGCAGGCAACGATGACGACGCCATAACCGGCGATGATGATCATTCTAACATCGATGGCGGTCTTGACCTGGATGGCATGGAAGACTATTCGATAGACCTCGACGACGATGAAGTCGAGGAAAATTCTACCTCGGAATTCGACGCCGAGTTCAAGACGATCATAGACGAAGACACGGCGAACAGAGCAGGCATCCTCGCTCTGGAAACAGATCCCATCCGTGATAGTGCCCTGGAACGAGTCGCCGCTTCTATTCATTGGTCCCCAATGGCACCCCTCGCAGTCAAGCTGCTCACGCAATTAATTTCCCCACGTACGACCCTCTTCGTGATCCGCATCATGCTTCCCTTCCCGGAGAACTGGATTTTCATGGACTGGCCCACGCTTGACTCCGTCCTTGCATCTGTCAGCATTCCGAAGGGGGTCTGCGGCGCAGTCTTCGAATTACAACTCATGGTGCCTTCGCCTGTTTGTCCCGCGGCCCCTTTGGCGGCTCGAGCTCTTACACAGACTTATTTGCCACGCGTTATATCGAACAAAGACCTCAAGGTTTATGTCATTTTCGAGCGGCCGCCCACGCCTTGTACATCGAGTGTCTGAATCATGTTGCTTCCGCCCAACCACGCGTCTTCTCATACACATGTTTAGCTACAGCACGCCCTCTGCTCAATTTCTCCATATTCGATTCTCCCTCCCCAAAAATGCCAAACCGGGCAGCTCAATAAATTTTCATGTCATTTTAGAGCACTTGCCATGCACTTTTTTAATTGTCTGGGTTTTACTAACATCCACGCGGTGATTTCAGCATACATTACCCTATGCGTTTAACGATATCACGTTCTCCCTCAGTTTTAGTTTTGGGTCTCACTGGTGAAACTCTGCGGTCTTGACAGTCTTTCGACACGTATACCGTCACTTTCGAATTTTCCGTATCAGGCATCCTTTCTCCATGATTTAGCTCACACTTAGACACTTAAGGACCGGTCACCCTGAGGTATGCCATCCTCATGCATGTTGTAATACGTCTTTCCTGCATTCTTTCCGGGAGATCTTGCCGCAACTTAGAGATAAATCTTCGCTTGAAAACGTGTTCAATTGTTATATTTGTGGTCTAATAGAACGATATCGGCACGACGAAGTGTGAGACATAAGGCGTAGACTCCACGCGTCAAAATATAGCATACACTTGGGTACGATTTAGTTACATTTACTTCAGTCCTTCCTGGCTACTTCTGACGGCGAGAACAGTTCTTCAAAAAGATTCAGTGCACTTGCTCCAACAGTGTGTTAGAATAAGAAACGCTCACCTTCGAGCTTCTCGAGTGACTCCATATCGTCGGCATGCAAGTACCCATGGACGCGCACACCCACATGGGACGGAATTGTATGCACCTGACGCTCTTCCGCGGGTCCCCAGGCGCGATACCAAGACGCATTCTCCACCATAGGGAGTGCTGTGGTGCCGCTACTCACAATATCGTGATCGAGAGCGATGTACCTCAGCGAGGGAATGGACGTTGCAAGACGCAAGGGTGGACGCTGAGTGGTTGTGTGTCCTGGAGTCAATGGACGGTGCACCATCCTGGAGTCTACACCCACTCGGATGCAGATTATATTCAATTCGAGGACTGGAGGCATAGAATCCTGAATATCATTGATGTCAGCATGCGCGAATTTTGTCCTGTGTTGAATGGCACCAATCTCACCAGCCATTCTGCAAGGTAGCTAGAGTTTGAACGTCGACTCAGATTTCCCAAGCGGAGGTCCAGATATCTGAGTCTTGAAGCAACGTCCGCTAGACCGGTCCAGAACTCGATTTTCGAAATCGGGCAGACTGTCAAGGACAGTATACGGGGCGTCATGTCCCGCACTGCATTGACGATGTTGCGTATCTACTGTGGATACGTCCCGAACTGCTCGTACCGCAGCCAAAAGACGGGACAAGTTATCTTCCAGCGAGCAAGATCGTCATACTGGTAGATATGGATGAAATCCAAGCTATGCCAGCACAACGGCTCTTGAACGTGGTCATAGATTCTATACAATCCCCGAATACTGAGCTTGCGAACATTGGGAAATGCGCGGACGAATTCCGTCATGGGAGCTTCACTGTACATCACCTGGAGTTCACGGACGCCGAGCCATGGCTTAGTCCAGACGGGTGCACTATCTTCCTCTGGCCAGACGATACCCGAGAGGCGGACGATCTGTAGGTTTTGAAGATTGCGAAGGGTATAGGAGATTGGATTCGAGTTGATTTTGCTACCGTAGTAGTGCAGGCTAAGTACGCGGGGCCTGCTCCGCAGCCTCCTCACTACGTCGAGTGCGCGTGCACCAACTTCATGCAGTTCAAGCTTCTCGAGGTTAGGAAGAGAAGCAACAGCAGCCCCAATATGAGGTTCGGTTTTTATGAGCTCATCTAAGCAGCTAATCGAAAGGCATCTGAGACGAGATGCCTGTCCGATAAGTGCCGCAAGCAGAGACGCGCTGTTGAAGCTGGCATAGTCGATCATTCCCTCATCTTCCACTCCAACCGCAGACAGGGTCACCTTCAGGCTTCGCAGACACAGTAAGTGAGTCGACACATCACAGAGCATATATGTGCAAAAGGCTGCGAGTTGACCCGAGGAAGTGAGTTCGACCGTCGAGAGAGCGTGTCGCTTCGCCATCACATGGACTTTCCTGCTTGTGCGAGACAAAGAAAGCGCGTCTCTTGAAGACAGAAGAGCTGCTATGAGGGAGAGGATATCGTCGTTCAGACTGAGGAGGTCCATGTTTTGGTCCAAGTCTTAGTCCAAGTCACGGTTGAAAATTACGGCGTCGCGTGAGACGGTCACATGATATGTGACACACCGCAACCACTACGCTTTCCATTCTTGGGAACAGGGGCGAATCCGAATTCCCTTTGTGTACTATCTGTACTAGCTACTATGTTTCTCACACGCTCATCTCGAAGTGTCTTTTCTGCAAGGCCGCGTGTCTTGCCGCGTTGGACTCCAAGGCGTTCAATTTGGGGTTCAAGAGAAGCTAGGACACAGCCGACTTCCACGACGTCAGTTGTGGACTCCGATGTCGTCGTCTTTACCAAGGAGGAATATAATTCCATGATGGATGATATAAGGATGATAGACAGGCACATCGATAGGCTAGAGAGACGAGTAAATTTGTTTTCTTATCCTCAGGTGACGTTACAGCTGACAGGGCGCAGGCACTCAACAATTTTACCAATCTCGCCGAAGAAAAGCGAGACGAGCTTGCTCTCAAATGCGGCTTCCGTGGTTGGGATCATCTGTCAGTAGCAATGGAGACATATCCCCAAGTCGACTGGGAGGCCGTCGCGCAGCGTAAGCTGGCTGAACGGGGCGTCGACGTCCCGCTAGAAGAGTTGCGCATGCTACTGAAGGACGACGTCACCGACGTGATGTACCAGCAGAATAGGTTGCCTGCTCTCTATCAATTCTTGTCTCTGTAGATAATTCACTAGTGCCCGAGCACAAGGGAAGGAGTCGACATGGTCGCGAGGTCTGTTTTAGTTATGGCCATCCTCAGGTTTCATATCTCAGCTCAATGTATAATATGTCTGTTACTCGCTAATTGTCAAGACTTTTTGCAGAACAGCGGGGTTGCGTTGAATGAGGTCAGAGGTGGGTAACGATGCATTCTATCTACAATGAAAAATACATGGACGGCTACGAGGTGAACTGAGATTCCTTAACGTTCGGGAACCTATGGCGTGTGGCGTACAACCAGTTCCCGGCCGAAAATTGGACAAACTCCTCCCCCAGCTGATGGACATCAGACACGTTCAGCAAGCCCATCTCTTGGAGCTTCCGGACGACGCCCAAGGCCCATGGCAGACATTCTCCGTGGTGGTCATTGGGTGGTAGTGGCACATACGCCGCAGCGTGCTCGAGCTGCTCGACGGTCACATGGCCCAGAGAGACGTCTCGCAGCTTGATCAATGTCGAAAGGAACATGTCTCCCGTGATTTCTTGCAGTTTAGATTGGTATACCCAAGTTTGAGACCGCTCATAGTCGATACGGATGTGCACAAGGCGCCCGGCTGAGGGACTGAACGGGATGATGAGAGCAGCGTGTGGGCCGCGGGCTTGTGCGAAGCCAGCAAGGTATAGAGAGCCGGGGGTGAAGCAAGGAGGGGGCAGAGACATTATCAAAGGCACGGAGGGAGGGAGAGAAGAGATCTACAATAAGACAATGATCAGCACAATTGGTCATAGACAGTGTACACTCGACGTTACCTGAAGATTGCGCAAGAGCTGATGGATGACCACAGACAGTCGCTCGAACGCGGTGGCCTTTATACTCAGTCGCCACAGCAGCGCTTTAGTATAGCGCAGTCGCCCAGCCTGGGCATATGGCATTATCGCTAGTGCAGCCACGTCAGAAGCAAAAGCGTAGGGAAAACGCGCAAGCCTCGTGCTTGCCTCATGGAATCGTTGGCTACGAGACTGATGCGTACAAGAGGTAAATGATGGACGCACAAGCACTGGGATCTGAGAAGTTGTTGAGGAGTCCTAAGCACATCAGAAGTACCCGTGGAAACAAAAGACTCGGAACGGCATTTCTTGACTGACATTTGACCGGAAAGCAAAATGTAACCCGCTTCTGAGGTAAGATTGTGAGAACAAATGGACGTCCTTGTGTGCTTTACTCCGACAGCTACACGATGCCACAGGCGAGCATATCAGCACAAAACTGTGTTTGCTTGTGACCGGCCGCAGAGCAACGAAGAGGGACGAGAACAAAGCGACTTATCATTAGACGCCCGTGGACGCCGCCACATGTGGTAATGTCACACAGCTCTCTTGTAAACCCCGCCTGGAGAAATGCAGCTCCAGAGGTATACAATACATGCATGACCGTGATACGGACACCGCATTAAACTCTTCTGAATCTGGGCCTTCACATCTTCGCCTTGGGGACGTGTGACGCCTTCTCTGCAGCCAACGCTTGGTGCAGCTGGTACAGATCGTTCGCAGCGCGCTCAACCTCCGTGCAGAATTCCGCGTTGGGCATTTCAGTGCGCGACGTAATGGTGAACTGCAAGTAATCTGTTGGAAAATGAGCGAAAATTCCAAAGCGGAGAGACGAGAGCTTCACCGTCGAAGCCGGTCAAGTAAGCCACTCCAAACCCGTTCGCTACGACCTGAAGTTACTGAAATGAGGACAACGAAGTGAGAGAAATAAATAAAGACCGACCTCGCCCCAGCCGTACGGGCCAAAATGCTTTGAGAAAATTGCAGACGTGCTGAGCACCCAGTTGCTCGAGCGCAAGAAGACAGGGTCCGTGAACATCTCGGGTGTAGGCTCGCCCTCCTTCAACACTTTCTTGAGACCTGATAGTACGTTGGACTAAATTAACTTGGCAACTTCTTTGAACAACTAAGCACTCACCCAGTAAGTGGCGATCTATGCCATGCGCCTTGCCAGCCATGCGCGCCCAGCTCCCGTGCACCTTCACAGCGTGTGCGAACAGTTCCCCTTTCTCACTCACGCTTACTTTTGGGTCATCCATGCTCGCCACCCACGCATCAGACGCCGCACTGACCACCCGGATCGCCTCCGTACGACCCTTGAAGAACCGGCGTGTCGTAGCAGCCTCATACGTACCACCCTGGCGCCTCTCGCCGCGTGCGCGCAGAAGCCGCGCGTATGCGAGCTGGATGATGAGCTGGGTCCACGAGTCCGGGGAGACGCCAAACGCCTTGATAGCAGCCTTCCCATACGACGTGCGGATTATGCCCATCGCCTGGCTCTCAATCAGCTCTCTGGCAGCTCGCGCAGCCTCACCAATGGCAGTCTGCGTTGCGGGGGACACATTCCAGTCAAGTGCGGTCGGCAGCGCGCCATCCTTAGCACCCGACTGCTGCACGAAGTCTGGCGCGGCGATGATATCGAGGACGCGATCGCACAGCGTAACGGTCGGCGTGCCGTCCATGACGGAGTGTTCTCCGAGCAAGCCGGCCTTTCCATCTTCGGAGACGATGAACTGGCACGGTTTGTCCATCCACCGGTTCCGTAGCCCCAGGAGTGCCCCGCCGGGCGCGTCCGCCTGAGGGGTGACCGCGCCATGCCAGAGAGAGCGGCTGTGGTCCATGAAGGATGGGTAAGGCTCCGAGTCGAGGCAGACGACGAATGCGGCTCCATGAATCGTTTTGAGAACCTCGGCGTTGTGAGGGTCAGCGGCAAGTTCGTTGTAGTCCTGTGCTTCATTAGCTAGTAGAACGGGCGAGGAATTGAGATAAGTACATTATTCCAGACATCGCGGTTCGACGCAGTCAAGATGCCTACACCAGGATATTCGGCCGTAGTGTTGTCGTAAATGTGCTGGATCTGCCTGCGGAGACGCTCCATACCCGTTGAATAAACGGAGAACCACTGCAGCACTCACTTCTGCAGTGCCGCAAGGCTTAGAAGCTGCCCGTTGCGCCACGGCTCAAGCCGCCAGACGCGCCCACGTCGCAGAACCACGACGTGTCCCGAGTCCCCGCGCTCACCGGGCAGCGCATAGCTTACGCTCCAGTCCGCTCCAGGACCTGGAACGCGGCTGCAGTCAAACATCCACCTGCAGACGTGATCAGTGCGATTACGACCTGGCACGCGGGTTACATACCGCCAGGTGTCCATGCACAGTGGTCCCTCCTTCACTGCGTCAGGAGGAACTTGTCCAAGCTTAACCTGCTGTCTGAACAACATTCCGGCGCGTACGAGCGAAGCCGCGCGATGGACGGATGTCTGGGGAAGGTGTGGGGGGTGCTCCTTGAACCCGTCTGGGATGAATCAGCACCACGGTCACGGTAGAATTAATCGAGAAAATTCGGGATGTCGACGGCACGTCCAGCAGTCATTTCTGTGGTCTACCTTGAAGTGTGCAACATTGTGTATTTCGTCCAAGTAACCGGGTCAGAATTCTATCACGCACTTCAGGGCAACGCGACATGATCGTAAAGATGATTCTACACCGGCAAGATCCTAAAGTGTGTTCGCGCCGCATCTGTCTCAAGATTATCGTATCAAAACCCTCCGTGAAAGTTGCACGAATCCCGTGGAGGTGACCTTCATCTAAAGATCTCCACTGGGACACATGCAGCATTCTTCCAAGGCCGACGATAATATCTCAAAATCGAGAGTTTTTCAGACATCTCGGCTGCGAACACACGCTAAGACATTTGAATTGTCTGAGGCGGTCGCCGGTGCGTACAAAACACCGAATAATTGGGCGTGTACATTCTCGTACCGCGCTGCGCTTGAGAAGGAACCACGCAGAATTGCTTGTCTGTACCTCCTGGATAGCTCAACAAAGCACAGCAGAACTTACAGTAATAAGACACATTGACGACGATCTGGCCGGTCCTGCCGGTCAGCCCTTACTATCCGCACTTGATTATAAATGACGAGACATACCGAGTCCCGATACATAAGGTATCCGCCGTCGTCCCACCAGTCCTCAAGCCAATGAATGGTCTCCTTTTGTCGCGTCTCTAGCCTGTTCTGAAGCTCTTCTGCGGGACCTGTCGCAAACTCGTCGATCTTGCGTAACGCTGCTGCATACTCCTGTTCGTCCCACGCGATGGGTCGCAGTGATGCCTTCAGCGCATGCAAAGTGTGCGTGAGCGTGGGCACGGGCAGCGACGGAAGGGTTGACTGGGCGGCGAAGGTGGGTCCGGGGAGTGGTGGTGGTGCGAGAAACTTCCAGTTCGCTGGACGGGTGCGGGAGGACATGGCGCGAAACGGGCAGCTCGTCGCGATGCGGGGTATACGGAGCATTAGGGTCGAGCGTGTGGGGGTGGGGTGGCTGGCGCGTTATATACCCGCTCGCCGGGGAGGATGTTGAGCAGCAGCCCGAGCTCATCGTCTCGGTCGACGGCCTCTACCACGCCGGCCCCATGTGATTCAATCCACCAAATTTGGAAGGTTTCTACGAACGAGCTTGAGCGGTCGTCGACCGACCTTTTAATTGGGATTGTGTCGGAGCAGCGGCACTTGTCCATCTTCACTCGAAGGAGTTCTACTCACCACAGCGATGTCCATCGACGAACATTCTGGTGATGGCAGAATGCACAACCCTCGAGGAATGCCATAATCATTCTCAATGCACAATATTACTTTGAGACACAGTATTCACAGTGCGGTAGATAGTCCCACAAAGCGTGCGCTCCCACTTGAGTAGATTTAAATACTCAAGAATTGACTGCGAATACATGTCAGGGTCTGACATTCGGCATGAACATTATATTTGATCGCATTTAGGGTTAGGGTTAGAAACACCGAAGGGCAGAAAAAAAGGCCTGCCCAGCCCGAGGGCCGAAGCAGGACAGGAAAATATTGAGACGGTGCATGAGCCGAAGCCCACACAAACCGCAAGGCCCCCCTGAGGACATGGTCGCCGTGCTATGAGAGGCCCTCACGGCCCACAGACCCAGGGACGTGAAGGAGCTTGTGCCATCAAGGTAAGTATGAGTTGTTACCTTCTTCGCAGCTCCCTTATGTACGGGAGACAGATTGCGCACGGACCACCAGTTTAGGGCAAGCCGAAGCGTGTTCTGCTGGCAGGCATTTCCAAGAAACAATTCTACGGTTCTACGCGCAAGGAATAACTTATTCAAATCAATAGGGAAAGCAGAGAGCTACCAGTAGTCCTCCGCTCTATGACTGACGATCTCCACCGCTCCTTTCTTCTTCCTTTCCGCTTCCCATCTCTCTATCCATTTTGCCATCTTCCGTCTTGAGTTTTCGCTCCCAACATTGACTGTCGCAATCATCTTCACCCAGTCGAGTGAGAGCGCGAAGCATGTCAGCTCGAAGAATGAGCTATGCTCCGAGTATGGTACCCCGTAGACCTGCAGCGTCGCCGTAGAGTTCTTCGTCGGGGTAAGATGGGCGTGCGTGAATGTGCGACTCTGCGAGCGGGAGATGACGGACGAGATCGTTGGCATGGCCTCTGCGCCGCTAGGAGGGGTATATCTAGCACAAATGGTTCAGTAACGCACCTTCAACTGCAAGTTGGTCAAGAAACACTCACGTCCATCCTGTCGGTCGGAATCCAACAGCTTTGCTGAAATGGCCCTTCCATCTCTCGACATAGGTCTTCAGTCTATCCGATGCAACGACTGCCAGAGGGACCAGGTGTATCCCGGCCTTGATTGGGTCCGTTGTCAACATTGAATGCAGCTCAGGATCGGGCTGGCAGCGGAGGATAGCTGTCTTGCGCGTGTCACAGTAAACTTGTGTATTCAACTCTCGTGCGATGGCTGTAGTTCGATATTGTTACCGCGGAAACGTTCTAAATGAGAACGTACTGCACCTTTGACGATTCGCTCCTTCCCAATAGAATACGTTCTGAGGCGCGAGAGAAGCGTCAATTGATACACTGCAATGATTGACTAGCCCTACCCCACAACAACGAGCACCCTGCCTGGTTTCTCCTCTTTCTTGTCGGCAGGCTTCTCCTGCACAGTGATCCACTTGTCCATAGTTGGGCTCTTCTTGGCATTCAAGTCTCCTGGATCGCGAAGAGGTTGTCCTGTGACTATCCTCCTAGCAAGCTCAGCACATGCTGAGATCACTTGAGGTTGTGAAGGAAAGCAATACTATGCATGATCAAAAATGAGACAGCTCAGACATGCACTGAGGAAATTCCGTCGTACCTTCGGGTCAAGATAAGTGGTGTCGAGGTAGACATGGTCCAACCGTTTGCCTTTGATAGCAGGATGCAGGACGTGTTGCGGTGATGCTCGAAAATCGCCACAGTGGAGGTATCTGAACGTCCTAGATGTGCCGACAGATGGGGACTTGAACGCACTATCCCCTGCGTTGACCGTCTGGAAGCCTTCGAAGAGGAAGAGGCATGACCCGGGGCCTGCAGAGGTATCGGAGTTTGATTTCAGCGACATTGCAACTAGTGGATGAAGGTTACTGACAATGATTGGCCTCAATTAGCGTCACGCTGACACCGCCAGTATCAGGGATCACAGTCAGTACATCCATGGGCAACGGGTGGACCCACTTGCGGTCAACGTCGAGCATGTGGATGATGAGGTTGGCAGTACCCTCTGAACAGTATATTGGCCCGCTGTTCCATTTCGACGAGAGGTTGGTATAGTGATCAGAGTGCGCATGCCTGTGCACGATGCAATTAGTCGCTTTCGTCAGGCGTCGATTTCTCCACCATCGCTCACGTCAAGAAATACGCAGTCACACCCGGGATTGTGCCGTAGCAGAACGCGTCTACGGCGATGGGCATACCCTGCATGACCTTGTAGAAAGGCGCTTTCCTTCTACCCCGGCGGCCTGTGCTGAGTCGCTCCTCGAGGACTGATGCTTCTTTCCATGCTTCATTCTCTTGATTGGAAACCATCATGCGAGAGAATATACCGCCCCCATCCACGCTTTTGGAGCTGCTGAATTCTTTCTTCATTGGATGAGCAATACAGCTACGGGCATCGAGTGTTTGAAGAGAAGATGATGGTTTCAAAATGTTGCGAGTGTCAGCCGAAGTATTGCCCTTGGGCGACGATACTGTGTCTATACATCGGTTCACATGTTCATGAATTGCCTGTTTGTCTATGTTAGAGCAAGCTCCATCTCCAGGCAGCGAACGCCTTACCACGATGTCAAGCCCTACTAGCTGCTTCCCGCACAGAGGACACTCCTGAACGTCCGGACCACCAAAGTTTGCGGACGAGTCCGAATCGTCGACTGTGAGGTCAATGTCCACATCTTCGAAGCCGTCAGGCTCGGCGTTGACATGGCCATTGGCGAAATCCAGTTCGTCGTCTCCCATTGCCCAGTCACCCTGGCTAATATCAATCTCTTCGAGTTCTGCATCTGTCCGAACCGTGGATGGCCCGGAAATTGAGGTTGAACACGACTCTACAGCCTCAGCTTTGGCACTACCATTCCTGAAGATCGTGCATGATGAGTAAGCGTTCGACGGGAGTAAGAGAGAAGGAATCCCGAACGGCGAACTCTCCCGCGGGTCCGCCTTCGTCTTAGAGCCAGGAGTATCGAAAGGTAGCAAAGCAGATGGTTTTCCGAAGAGACTGGAATCAACCTTCAAAGTTAGTCCAGAGGAGAACGAAGTCTTCGGTCCCACGTCGACGGCCTTCGACGCGACGCTTTCTCTCGCTCGACGGCTTGTAGAAGGGTCCACCGCGATGTTCGCCTCGACCTCCTCATCCGAATCAATTACGATAATTTCGTGGGTGGGCACGGTCCTGAGTCTATCCTTCTTCTTGTTCTTCAAGCCAACAACGAGTTCCTCAACCTTGGGCTTCTTGTTCGCCGCGCTCCTCGAGAAGAAATCATGTAGAGTAGCACTATGTGTCTCTTTTCGCTTTTTTGCCATGGAGCGTGAGAATCAAGAGATGGCACAGGCACGAAAAGTGATACTACAAAGATACAAGCAGTACTGCGCTCAGCGTCAGATACGCGCAGACTGGAAAGAGCAACAGACTCAGAACAGACGCTGACTGGAGCTCCTGTGATTAAGATCACGTGCTTCGTTCTTCTTATGTAAGCAACGCGACGCTTGCGCGTACCGCCAGTTCACTCATCCCACATTTCTGTCCTTCAGCACCATGAGCGCAGCAACATCATCGTCGGGCGGCTTGGAACAGCGAAGAATAGATGCCCTCAAGGGCTACCGTGAGGTGTTTCACAAGTTTATGGCGGTTTCTGACTTCTTACTGAAGTCGAATGCAGAAAATGCGTCAGCACGAGACTAGCAGCCAGAGTCTCAAGGATTGTGAGCGCTTTCTTGACTATCACCGGTAGCGAGCCATTTATAACGTGTGCTTTAGTGCGCTTCGCCCTGAAGGACTTGGAGAAAGACTATGAGAAGACTGAAGATGACATCAAGGCTGTTCAATCTGTCGGGCAGATTATTGGCGAAGTGATGAAGCAATTAGACGACGAGCGCTGTGAGTACGATCCAATTACATCCTAGGCCCGTGTTGGTAGTTTGTAGGACCGGTGGAGCTGTTTATTTTGCTGGTTCGCCCAATTAGAAATGTGCTATGCAAGAGCAGTTAGCTGAGCTTTGGCTAGGCTCCCCTGCAGCATTATGTCACCGTTGTATCAGCTTCCATGGAGATATTTGTTACCTTCTCGCAGACAAATCTCGCCATAGAAGCTGATCTACATAACGCGAAAGTTTAGGGCGCTACTAATGAGCCTTCCTTGGCGTAGCTGTAATGCTTATTGGAACATGGGCTGCAGTTAGCATGTTCAATCACTGCACGGATGTTTCCGTCCCGCCAATAATTGCACTAAGGCTTTCTATGTAGTCATCGTGAAGGCTTCGTCAGGACCTCGCTATGTTGTATCATACCGGCCCACCCTCCCCGTGGCAAAGCTAAAGTCGGGCACCCGAGTCAGCCTCGACATGACCACCCTCACGATAATGCGCATTTTACCCCGGGAAGTCGATCCTTTGGTGTACAAGATGAGCCTTGAGGATCCCGGAGGCGCAACGTTCGCTGGTATTGGTGGCTTGGGTGAGCAAGTTCGGGAATTGCGAGAGGTACAAATATTCGTTCATAACGATATATCTTCTCACCCGTTCGTCTTCAGGTTATCGAGCTGCCGCTCCTCAGCCCCGAGTTGTTCCAGCGTGTGGGGATCCAACCACCGAAAGGTGTGCTGCTGTACGGTCCTCCAGGGACGGGAAAGACTCTTCTCGCTCGGGCAGTGGCAGCCACGCTGAACACCAACTTCCTCAAAGTAGTATCGTCAGCGATCGTCGACAAGTACATTGGCGAGTCTGCGCGGGTGGTGCGCGAGATGTTCGGGTATGCCAGAGACCACGAGCCATGCGTCATTTTCATGGACGAAATTGATGCCATTGGCGGGCGACGGTTCTCGGAGGGCACAAGTGCCGACCGTGAAATTCAGCGGACACTGATGGAGGTTCGATGTTCGTCATGTCTGTGAAGTTGTATCTGACACCGGGCTGCAGCTGCTGAACCAGATGGATGGATTTGACTCACTCGGTCGGACAAAACTCATCATGGCGACCAACAGGCCGGATACTCTGGATCCCGCACTCCTTCGGCCAGGACGGTTGGATCGTAAGATAGAAATCCCTCTGCCAAATGAACAGGCACGGCTAGAGATCCTGAAGATCCACGCGGCCCCTGTGAATAAAAGCGGGGACATCGATTATGAGGCCATCGTCAAGGTACGTGCATCTATTGTACCGCGACAATAGCTAATGAGCATGATGCAGCTGTCGGATGGCTTCAACGGTGCGGACTTGAGGAACGTGGTGACCGAGGCCGGTATGTTTGCGATCCGAGATGACAGGTGCGCGATGTAGTTTATTCTTCGGCCTGTCTCCCACTCATCATTGGTTGTCACGATACGATTAGGGAATATACCACGCAGGAGGACTACACGAAGGCAGCGAGGAAGGTGGGTGAGGCGAAGAAGCATGAGAGTAAGCTCTTGTCAATTTATCCAGATCTGTTGTCTAACTGATATGACGTCCTTTCCAGGTAAATTGGAGTTTACTGCTTAGATTCTCGCTTTGTTTTGTATTCTACGGACTCGGTACGACACGTCCCCTTATCGCTAATCCATGTTTTCCGCACCTGGGATTATCTGCGAGCTTTCCTCGAACTAACTCGAATTTGTGCGCTCCTCAATGTCTCTTACAGTTTATACGTAGTTCCCTGGTGGGTGTCGGTCCTAAGAATGCACGCGGTCCATACAACGGGTCACTGGATCAGCCTGCGCACGTACAAGTAACACGGTGGGTGTACTTCACGCGATTTTATCCTGACGCTACATGATCGAACTACTCATGTTCGCCTATTCGGGGTATTTGCAGCTTATATCTGTCTACACGTGTACAGTTTGATGTGTTACAACCTCGGCCTGCGTTCACCGAGACAGCTTCTCCTCCCACAGGAGCGCCTGCTTGGACAACAATCTATCGTATTTGGTTGTTCGAGGATTGAAGAACTGCACGGAGCGGTCATACGACCGGCGCCGCACGCGTAGCACCTGGACCGTGCCCCACTCACGGACGTCGTCAAGGCTTCTCCGCAATTGTTTCCCCGTCCACGCTTCCTCCGATGCTATTTGTTTACCTTCTCTGGCCGTTTGTTCATGGTGGACCCCTCGGCTTCATTTCGCCAGCGGCTGACATCTGTTTGCCTACTCAGCCATTGAACAACCTTACAGATACTTAAGCAGTACAGTGCGCGGGGATGGTAGTACGAACCTTCACCCACAATGCTAGAAACGTCCTGGCTGGCACTGGCAGTCGCTGCCGTGCTCCCTTTGGCTCGCTGCCAGAATCTCACCAGCAGTTGGCCGCATGATTACCCGGGCATCCCGGATGGCGACTACAGCCCAGAGTGGCAGTGTTGTGAGTACTTGGCCGCCTTCCGCGACTCTCCTGGTCGTGTCTGCCTCACACCAGGTACCATACCGCAGACTTTGAAGTTGCAGAATCGTTGCCCAACGTCACATGGCAGCTCCCCCGATCCTTCGCGGGAAACATTGGCGTGCAGCGTGCGGGACACCCGAATGACACGCTCTTCTTCTGGGCGTTCGAGAGCGAGCCCGGTTCTCTGACTGCCACCGACAGTGTTCAGCCTTGGGGGATATGGTTGAATGGAGGGTAAGGCGGCCTTACCCAGCTTCCACGAGTCTCACTACGTGCTCCGTGTCTGAGTCTCTCTGCTGCAGACCTGGTGCATCCAGTCTCCTGGGACTACTTTACGAGGTGTGCCGACTGTTTTCTGAATTTCAGGTCGCACACCTGAACGTGGGTCGTTCAGAATGGACCGATTCATCTGAATGTGGACCTTGGAGCTTACGAGAATCCTTACGCATGGAACACCCTCGCGGACTACATCTGGATTGATCAACCTGTGTCAGTTTCTTCATCATTACCTAATACGAGAAAGCTCATATCGGGCAAACAGAGGCACAGGATGGGCAACGGCAGATGCGGAAGGGTACGGTAAGCGATATTCATCGGCACCTTTGTTTCCTAGTTGTTGAAAGGATGCCCAGCCGCCGATGAGGATCAGGTCGCATCGGATTTCGTGAGTTCACGGCCTGCGTGTCTGTCCTCGATCGTCTGATGAAGCTCACGGGCGCAGGTCGGGTTCTTGGAAAATCTGGTCAAAGTGTTCCCTAGCCTTGCCACTCGACCTCTGTATCTGACCGGCGAAAGCTATGCTGGAACGTACATAGTAAGTTGCTATGTAGCTCGAGTCGCACAGCGATGTCATACGCTTTCAATCCCGTAGCCGTACATCACAAAGGCGCTCTTCTCGACCCCGAATCCGCCCGTTAAGTTGGCCAAGATTGCCATTGGAGACGGGACGATCGGCTCTGGAGCCACGTCCGAGCTCCTTCCTACGGTACGCATCGCTGAAGTCCCGCGGGGCTCATATACATACTCAGTCACCCTCGCAGACCTACGTCATCGAAACATACCCACAGCTGATCGGTTACGATCCAGAGGTGTTCCAGTGGTTCCAAGAACAGTAAGTACCAGTTGCATCTGAAGTCTCTGCATCTGATGTGCGACCTTCACACAGACAGCATCTGTGCGGGTACGATTTGAACCTGACGTACCCGCAAGACGGGTACTTCCCCGACCTCGGATACGTCTACCCTGTGAATGGCGCCATCAATGCCGAGACGCTCAACAAGCGCAAACCGATCCTCACCAAGAGGGCGCTGCTGCAGGAGGCGCGCGTGCGCTACGGCAACTTCGGGCGCATTCCTGCGGGGCGTGTGGGTCACCTGCGCAGGGACCAGTACAAGCGGGACCTGACGGGGAGGGCGAACGGGACTATTGACCCGTGGTATGGGTGCTTCACGTACGATGCTATGATCGACTATGCACTCAATTTCTCGTACCCGTGGAGTCAGTGTCTCGTCGTGATCGATTCGTCTTAGTCTGACTCGTTCTGCAGGCCTCGCTGGATCGGAAAACTACAACGGATTTGACGTGCATATATCCTTGCTTGCCATGCGTGACAGGATTACTCACTCACCTCAGGTTTATTCCGTGCGGGATGCGCTCAACCCGGAGGTTCCTATGGATGGTAGTACATTCTTCAACGGTCAGTGCATCTCACTTACTCTCATAACCGCGTAGCTGAAGCTCTTCTATACTTAAAGATCCCGGCTCAGTAGCGGCATTGCATGCACCTACGAGCAAGGCGTGGGTGGGGGAAGCAGGTTACTGCTTCTTGGGTATGTTGAGCTCTGATATGTAGCCGATCGTTGACTGACATGCAAGGACTGGTGGTTGTCAGGTGGCGAGGACTGCGAGGATCCTAGTGAGCATTGTTTTTTTTTTACTTCACAACATAGAACAATTCTAAATACTCTGGCAGGTGTCGAGTACGTTGGTCCTGTTGTATCAATGATTAGGACGAGTAGTGAATACTTTGCCCAGGCCTATGGCGTTCCTGAACGGGCTGGCAGCCAATGCTTCCGACCGTGGTGTCGCCATTGTTATCTACTCCGGGAACGATGATACTCTTGTCTCTCACCGAGGCTCACAAGGTGAGTGTGGCATATCGTTTGACTATCCTTTCTGACGCTTCTCCAGTTGTCATCCAGGTACGGGGGTGTCAAACCGCCTCTGCGAGTGCATGACTGGTTCTTATTTTTTCTACGCAGAATACCACGTTCGGTGGCATCCAGGGGTTCACTCGGGAACCATCCACACCCTGGTATAATGAAGAAGGAGAGTTTGCCGGCATTGTCCACCAAGAACGTAACTGGACCTACATTCTGATCAAGGGTGCAGGGCATCTGGTTGCAGGCAACCAGCCGGAGGTGGTGAGTTTCTAGCAATCGCTAGCATCGAAATCCGGCTTACATACTCTGTCGTAGGCACTAACGGTACTTCGCGAATTCATCCTGGGCAACAATTCGACCGGCCTCGTCACCGAAATCAACGGCGTGGCGACGGTGATTAGCGGAGAGGTATCCTCGTTGGCAGAGGCCGTCCTGCCTGGCCAGCTGGGCATATACACTGGATCAGGGTCGACCCAGGGCACGTACACGTATCCGTCTGCCACCATAGCAGCATGGAGCAGTTACATTCTGACTGCCACTGCGAGTCCAAGCGCTGCCATCACGTCGCAGCCAGCCGAGAGGCGAGCTCTTCCTGGACAGAACAGAAGTCCCTGACTGACGACAAGTGCTTAGAGAGTTGTATATACTCCTTGTTCTTGTTTGCGCTGTTTGGGTAACGATCTCATAGTGTGTTTCGAATTGAAATCATATGCTTGTACGTACATGCAATTAATGACCGGCATAACTGACGAATAATTTCCTGTGGAAATCAACCGCTCGTCGCGTTGCCTTTTTGTCCCCATAGTCTGCTGTTGTCGCTCACTTGTGGATTCAAGGAATGGGTGCTGAATTTAAGATACGAAAGAGCGATTCGTAATTAAGATAGACGCACTTATGCATAGCCTCTGCCCTGCCTTGTCTTCCTTGGCATTGCAAGCAACCCACATGGACTTGGCTTCACACTAACTTGGCTAAGTATGTTCCAACATTGTTGCGCTCCATACCACAAGGCCCATTTCTTCCGCGCAGCTTCCTAGCTAGTTCCGGGAGTGCCTGATGGGGTGTGGATTGCGACAATATCGACTACGCCAGGTTGGCTATCCAAATTCTCCGATGATTTCCACGATCGCGTGTGTGACCTAGATGCACCAGATGACCAAGAGGCTGACTCGAGGAGTCAGTATAAATCAATGCAAACATCATACCTTCCCTGCCTCCCCCGACCCTCGCACAATATGTCTGTGATCAAGCTGATTACTGTCAATACAGTGCCGGAGCGTGCTAAACGTATCATCGGTCGCATCATAGAAGAGGTGAAGGACCAGTATACGATCATACACGCAGCCAATGTCGAGAGTAAGATCCAAACGTTCCCATTTCATCTTCGATGCTATGTTGCTGACGTTCAATCGTATAGGAATTGATGATGTTGAGACCACCCTGATGCGCGAACAGCCAAACGTACTGGTGAGAAATTCTCTGGAAATTGAGCTCTTCAATGACCAAGTCTCTACCACAGTTCACAGCATCCATGTGGACTCCAGAGGAGGCATCCGTGAGCAGAATGGCATCTCTCCCCGGTCAGGATCCGTGTAACAATGCCGCAAATGAACAGATCATCGTGAACATTGCACGGCAAACGATACCCGAGATCAAGACTCTCAGCCTCCCTCATGGGTTACAGGTTGAGCAGGGACCAGATGGTGTTGTGAAATATATCAAGGAGAAGCTGCCGGGCCTGGTAGTATAATCCTTTCTCGAGGTTGCATGGAGATCTTCGCAGGGGACTTCGAAGATATAACTCTGGCAGAGGGCCGAGTGGCCGCAGTGGGTCCGACTCACTCAGGCTGGCATTAACGGCTGGACACTTCATGGGGTTAACATATTCATTCATCACGGAGATGCCATCGGTCTGGTGGTCTAGTGGTATGATTCCTTCTTAGGGCTTGAGTGGAGGAGGTCCCGGGTTCGATCCCCGGCCAGACCCGCGAGAGTTTTTATGTTGTCTTTTGTTTCTTTGGCTTGGGCCTGGTAAAATAGACCCCATTATGGAGCAACAACATGGTGCTACCTGCCAAAATGCAATGGCGTGACGAGCAAGCGCCCGCCGTCCGCCGCCAAATTGGGTGAGACTGTGTCGAAGATCGTCAAATACAGGCTTAACCGGCTGCAAAGTAAAAAAATTGCTTCCTAGGAGTCATTGGCAACATGTTTTACAAGAGATTCCATGAAGCATATTTTCTCTCAGTGGTCTCTATCCCGAGGTATTTAACATTTGGTGCTGTTCTCCAGCTTGACAAAATGGATCACGTGACGTCATCATGTATGGGATGGGTATGTCTCGATTTGCTTGCAGCTACTGGGAGCAAACCAACGCCTAAGTGACGAGGTAAAAGTTGCTTGAGACGATGACTCTTACGACAAGCAGTGCGTTAACTGCGACGAGATTCTGATACAATGCGGTTCGTAGGATATATAAATGCCGTGAAGTAGAAGCTGGTGGATGAGCGAACAACAACGGAGATAAACATCTCCTAGGACACAGGCAGCAAGATGGGAGCCAGGGACGAGAACCAATCAGTAGACGAAGGCGGGGAAAGCCTATGCGAAAGACAACATTACAACAACGAGAGATGAAACGACGCGTTACGTGGCAATCCACGTCGCAGCAATCACATCACCGTAACAGCGCAGACGGGGCTATTGGGCGGGCGCGCACAATTGCAGCCGCATCACCCTATCGTCGGACACCACGAGGATCTCGTCACGGCCGGACTGCTGGTGCGCCCGAGGGATGTACGGACTCGGGTATGGGGACTGTGGCGAGGTGGCGTACCCGTTACCGAAGGAATGTCGGCTGCCATAGGCACTTGGAGGCGGTGGCGAACTGTATTGATTATATCCGCCGTATCCTGCTTGGTACGGGCTGGACTGATGCTGGACCGCAGAGTGGGTGGTCGATGGAGGAGTGTCGGCGAAAAGACAGCGCAAGTTATTGCCTTGAATGATCTGCGACATCGACCCAGTTTCGACGTGGCGGATCTCGACGAAGGTGGGTTCGAATGCGAGAACATAGGGATAGTGTAGGGCTATCGGATAATATTTGGCTGACTGGAGGATACGGATGGGGTTGAACACGTACCAAAACCGGTTGGGTACCCTTCCCAATAGACCATGAAGTCTTTTCGTGATCGCCAGCCAGTCTTGTTCACGTAGAAGGCAAACTCTGAAACCGAATCTCAGCCCAGCGCCTTTGGGGACGAGCGCGACGATACCCACCATCATAGCAAAGAAGGAATTCGTTGTCTATCCGATAAATCGCCAACGGACGCAAATTCTCCCGCTTGCGGACAAACTCGAGAGATTGGTCTGCAGGATCCAGTAATCCTTGTGTATCTAAGGTTTCCAGATCGACGATCTCGAAGCCGTTCGTACAACCCACGCACAACTTCGTTTTAAGGAAGTGAATAGAGCTGGATTGAACTGGAATATAAAACTCCTGCGAACCGAGTTGCATAAGAACAAGTAAACGAGTATAAACGATCCCCTCACCTTGAATACCCGTAGAGTGTCATTGCCGCCTTGCAACAGCTTCCGGAAAGTTGGCTTGTTCCGACCGCGTACGTTTTGGTCGATGGGTTCAAAAGTCTTGATAGTACTGGAGAGCGGGCTGGCCTTGACGACACATACAAGAGTTTTCCCGAGGCAGACACCTGCTTTGAAGAAGGAAATGTGGGAAGCTATCCTCTTCGCGCGCTTCAGACCTGACATTGGATCCATCGGATCCAGGGCATCAAGCGGGAATGTAATAACTTGCCGCTCTGGAATACAAGATCAGGGTTGTCACGGATAAAATCACGAATCATCACTCACCGGAGAGAACAATGAGGAGTTGATAGTCTTCCAGCACATCGACCTGTTGTACGTCCTTCAAAGCCAGCACTTTGACCGGTTCTCGATTTCGTTCCCAGAGATTGGACAAATATATACCGTCGTCGGTACCGTACACAGCACGCTTGCCATGACCTTTGACAAGAACATTCAACCGTGAGGCACCACGATGACTGCTACAAGATTTGCTCACTGAAAGGTGCCGCGCAGTTCACTCTATTTGGACCGACGAAGAATCCTTCGCTCAATACAAGGGTTTCAAATGCCAGACTCCGCTCTCGCATGAGATCCTGCTGTTTTTGGATGTGCTCGACCCACTTGCGCTGGCTGACATACGTGCTCGCCCACAGCGTCATCTGGTAATACTTGCGCCCAAGATGAACGAATGTTATGGAGAATCCGCCCTTGATGTCCTTCACGGGAACAACGGGAGCATGCGGCGAGTTCTTGACCAACTGCTTTTGCCGCTCTTTTTGGGGCTTTGTTGAAGGATAATCGTCGGGTGCCGAGACAAGTAGCAGCTCCAGAGGTATTGGCTACGACGAAAACGTCATCTCTCACCCCAATAAGCCACGAAAAGAAGTGACTCACTCGGCGGTACACTTTGTATTGATCGACCTTACTCTTTGGCTTGACCATCAACAGAGCATGGTCAAACAGGAAGACTTGCAGCTCGCCGTTGTCGCCTTGTGAATTCCCGCGCTTCTTCAACGCACCCTTATAGATCAGTTCTCGACCTTCCTCCTTCAGACGCAAATCCTATACAAGGACAGACGGTGAGACAAGAAAGAGACACCCATGAGGCGAACAAGACTTGCAACTTGTTCCCCTGGCCGGAAAAAAAGCTGCTGGTCAATTTGCAGAAGGTTAAAGCGATTCTCTGCTTTGCCGGTCTCGGCGTTCACAGATTTCAAGAAATTTCTGACAATCTCGACGACTTTAGGTAGTGTTGTCTTATCGGGGTTATCATCAGATGTATGCTTTAGTACGGCCTCCAGAAGTAGGGGATATCTGGCAAGACGGGTGGTCGGTTTCGTCAAATAGCCGTTAAGTTCTAGCTTGCGCGATTCCGGCAATCGCTCTACTTCCTGTTGAATAAGATTCATTTCATTCAGCAATCAATGGGTCGGCCCATGAGATCATTTCCACCGACCTCGACGAATTGAGCAAACGCGGTATTCGAACCCTTTTCCTTCTCGAACTCGTACTTCCCGTATAATTGGTGAGCTCCGTACGAAACGAAAGGACCGAAATGTGGAACAGCCTCCAAGAGTATGTCTCCGATCTGCTCGACGACAGCGTACGACTTCTGCCGTTTGTTGAGAGCGTCGCGGAGGCGTATGTTAACCGCGATAATGTCGTTGATATTCCAAAAGACCTGCTGTAGGAAGTCTACGCGGCGCGGTTCTGGGATGATGTCCGAATCCTTGAGCGGCTTCATCCAGAACTGGGACGAACACGAAGTGAGATTTAGTTCAAGCACTGAAGAAAAGTCTTACATCTCGGAGGTACTCCATGTCTCGTACGAAATCCCGCTCCGTGTACATGACCTCGTTGATAGCTTCTTGCCGTTTCTTCTCGGCATCGGAGACGCTGTTGACCACTTCCTGCGGCACCGAATGGATCCATAGAGTGCCGGGCTCCTGTCACAATACAAATGTTGACCTGGGAGCGCGAACAAGAACTGCAATGCTCCTACCACGAGATCACCCAGACTCTCCCGACTGATCTGCTTTTTCAGTCCAGGTTGTGGCTTCATGTTCAACCGAGCTTGCTGCTCCAACCGTCTTGGACAGGCGATGGAGTAACATAGTTGGTCCCTCGAGCATGTGGGGGAATAACAATCCGTTAGCAAGGTGAAAACGCCTGAGGGCAACGGTACATCATCCGCCGACACCGACCCTCCCCGTGGTCGTGTCGTTGGCGAGGCAACCGAATCCGGCGGCGATGGAGACGTAGGCCGTGAAGTGTCCTTCTTCTCCGCATCGGACTCCGCAGATGCTGTCGGACTGTCCTTCATCAACGCCGAAAGCTCTGCTGCGACTCCGTCGCTGATGAGAGCCTGTCCCGGAGCCTTGCTGTCACCCTCCTCCTCCACATTCTCCAACTCACCACTGACGAAAGGACTCGGTAGCCTTGTGCGGAACTGGTACAGGTCGCTAGCACTATCGCGCAAGCGATGGTCATACGTGACCGCATGGAAGAATTTCTGCGCGTCCAACGCACGCCCAAGAAGTAGTGCGAGATTGCGGTCAGTAGTCTTGATAATGTACGCGATGTGATCGACCGCCTCACGTCCGTCAAACGCATCTTTGTACGTCAGGCCATCCTTCACACGGTCGGCGAGCTGGATACGCGCCTTGAATGCTTCTGCCACTCGCGACAGTAACGCAGGATATACAATGGGTGCGCGAGGCGGCACTGAAGCACGCGCAGATGCAGAAGACTCGCGGTTGCCGGGGGCAGAAGGGATGGGCGGTCTGGGTATGCGCCCGGACTCCAACATAGCGCGGAACTGGGGCGTAATAGTAGCAGACATTGACCGCGAACGGTCGGAAGAGTTGCGGTCCTTGCGCAAGACAGGATCAGAGAGAGCCTTTGAGGAATCGGAAGAGCGTCGACCGGATGCGATGGAATTTGTGGGATCGACCATGGTAGAGGATGCGGGAGAATTGCTCGCGCCTGTGCCGGCGGGCGCGGAGCTGACGGCGGTGTCAAGCTGGAGAGGGTACGGGCGAGAATTGGAGCTGGAGGGGAATGGTGGGTATTCTGGGGTAGAAGCGAGCCCACCTGAGGCGCCAGATAGTCGCGACCGTACACTGCTGGGTTTCGACCGGTGCTGTCTCGCCCAGGGGAGCTCGCTAGCGTCCTCTGCACCCTGGTCACTCGGTGTACTGCTCTCCCCTCCAAAGTCGATGCCCAGTCTCCCGTCGTCCGTCTCGATGTTGACACCTAACTTCGGCAGGCTGGCTGCGGGTGAGTGCGATGGCTGTAATGGCAACTGGGCACGAGAGTCGGTCGCCGTGTTGTTTGGCCGCTGCCGATTGTTCTGCTGTCCCATTGGGCTGGTGAGGTAGACCTGGGCCTGATAAGCCTGAGCGGGAGTGAGACCTGACTGCACCAATGCCTCCAGGCCAGCATCTGCGGGCTCTTCAGGCTGGGGTGCAATAACACCAGGAGAATTGCCGATGGAACTTGCGCGACCGATCACAGAGGGCGGGGCAAGGGACTGAGCATAACCTGGGTGCTGAGCGGGTGCATACCCTTGCTGATGCTGCTGAGATGATGGGGAGTAGTACGACTGGCCGAACGCGGGCTGGGCTGCATGCTGCTGCGGATAATTGATCGACGTTGACTGGGAAGAGCTGGACACCCTCCTGTCGAGCGGTGAGTTATACTGCTGGGGGTAATAAGGATACGGCTGGCCGTCGGACGGGGGAGGCTGCAGAGAGTGGGAATAGTAGACAGGAGGGCTTTGAGGCTGATGGTGGTTTGCGCTCGGACGACCAAAGATGGACTCGAAGGCGGCGTTGCGCTTGTCTGGCTGTCGAGGGCCGAGCGGCCTGTTCATGGCGACGAGCAGGCAAGTCTGCCCGACGTGGGCAACGACGAGCAAGTTCTGAGCGAAGCTTACAGTTGCCGCGGCAATCACAATTCGCCTTTCCGGGCCATGTCGGACTCAACGCCCATTCGATGTTTGTTTCATCACTGCTCAGATCATAATTATACTCAAAACATAGATCAGTATTTCTTCGTTGTCGATCACACAGGAACCTGGTGGTGCGCGAGCTGCCTCAGCCACAGCCGGAGGCTGCAGACCACTCGCACCACAAAGTCAAACATAATCATCATTGCATCCATGGTATAAGACAATTGTAACAGTAACGAGCGGAACAAATAAGATAAGCATTGTCCAAGGGCAGGAGCGACAGTAATCAGAAATGGAACAGACCCCGCTTCTTCTTTTTCTCTTCCTTGACGCTGCTGTTGACCGACGCGGATGACCCTGCAAATGAGGGGATGAGCGGCTTGTTCGAACGCCCGTGTTCATGGCGCGGCTGTGGTATCGACGCAGGTGCCGGCCGCTGCGGTGGCGGGGCGTCCTGCGTGAAATACTTCTCGTCGTAGTATTGCTGCAGTGGTCGCTGACCTCGGCCTTCGCCCAAACCATTAGGAATGGCCTTCGAACCTATCCCGCTGAGTTCGAGGACCTTCAGGTCATCGACGAACTCAAGCGGTGTGACAGCATGTGTTGAGCCTGGACTTGGTCTTCAGCGCTCGCCCACAGGCAGGTGAGACATAAATCCCGCACCTATGATGATGTCTTTATTCAACGACTTCGACAGCAGGTACGCTTCTCGCATTTCCGAGTACGTCATACCGCCGGCAACGAAGACGATGACCCGCTGTCGGACCTCCTGCGCACTCGCCCCTGGTCGGGCAGCACGATGCCAAGATGGTTTTGCGCTGCGCAGCGACGTTGCCGTCTGTGAGGAAGGTGTTGAGCGTAAGCTTGGTGCAGGGGCGAGTGATGGTGCATCCTTGACGTAAGGGAAAAGGGAAGGGTCGAGCTTGTTCGTGACATGCTCCTGCCAAAGCTCAGTACTCCGTATTTACGAAGCGGACAGGCTGCGTACTTCGAGAACGGCGTTCAACAGAGGCTTGTATCGCGACAGTTCATATACATCATCGTTCTTCGTTTTCTGCTTCAGCTTCTTCTTCGTGTCACGATCACCTGGTCCCTGGATGATTCGCGTTTCAACTGACGGATTGCAGCAACGACCAGACATCACGCACTTTGCTTATTCGGATACCAAGATGCACCAGTGCATTTACTGCGTCTTGTTCTGCCATGGATAGTCGCGCGTGTTGGTACAACCGCCGCCGATCCTCATCCGGCACACCATCTCGGTACTGAATGTATAGTGCGATTATGCGGACTTTGTTGGAATTGCTGTAATGCTGAAGTTAGACGATGGAACAAGCGGAGAGTTCAAAGCCTACAGCACGTCTCGCCCATCTAAGAGCGGTACCATCTCTTCCACTAATGTCTTGGGTGTCTTGCCTTCGGCGGTCATACCAGTAGCACAATTCTAATAACGGTATTAGAAAGCTTGCAAGTAAATTTGGGTACGACTTCTAGACCACACCTGTTCAACGGTCGCTGCTGCCGGCAGCTTGTCGCGTTCGAAAATTCCCATACACTCTTGGGCCATGTTCAAGTGCAGAGAGAACTAGTGCAACGCGCGTCAGTCAAGGCAAATAGATTACCACATGGACCAACCTTTTCTCGCTGTTCTTGGTATTGCGGAAGGTTCGCAAGCATGTCCTTCATGTCATTCAAGTTCGCTGCCCCATCTCTACACGCGAGTCAGCAGTGATAGCAACATATCACAGGTGGGTGATGTACCCCTTGAAACCAGCATTGTCCTGCAAGAACTGGTTGAAGTCGGCCATGAGCTTGTCGATCGCCTCGCGCATGTGCATGTGGCGCACTGCCGTCCAGACATTGTCGGCATCACTCAATGTAGCTGTCTTGTCTTCGTACGCGCCAATAGCGGATTGAAACTTGTATCTACGGTCTGCGATTGAGACGAGCTCACTAAGCAGCGGACGGACAGTCACTCACGTATATTTCGTGCCATCTTCGATTGGGAGCAAGTCGTTGGCCATCGCCTGGTACGTAAATTCGTGTAACAAGGGCGCGACAGTGTCCATCGTACGATCCGTAATAATTAGAGTTGAGCGCGGTCGCTGTGCGTCAGATGCCTGCAATCACAGCTACAGTGTGTACAGCTGACGGAAGGAGTCACACACGCACGGGGAAGTCAGGATTCGCTTTCTTATACTCGTCCAGGTCGTTCTGCACCATGAACGCAAGCAGCTTGGTCACGTAGTCTCCCTCGGCAGTTTCATACGCGCGAGCTTCGCTCCCACGCGCCAAGTTCGTGCGCCAGCGGCTGCTCGCATCGGAAGGGGCGGGTGCTCGCGTTGATGCGTGGGGCTTCAGCGCGCCGAGCGGGGCGTGATGTGTCGGCAGGTAGTAACGAATGTACGGGAACTCGTTGAGCGTTATGCAGACGTTCATGATCTGTGCGGTGCACGTAAGTGAAATGCCCTAGAGTGAGGTGCTGATGACATGCCGTCTTGCTGATGAACCGCAGCTCCTCTTCTAAACGGTCGCGTGCCGATTTGAACGCGGAGTCGCTTCGGGGCGGACTGTACATGTTGAAGAATGCGCCGGGAGATTTGACAGAGAATGCCTGGGATTCAATCGCTATTTTCGACTCAGCACTCATGGGCTACCGCTGCATGCACTAGAACGTACCCCAGAAGTTTATGAACAGCTCTTTCAACGCTTGGAGGTGCGGCTCCGCGGGGGATGAAGTAAGTCGCTCAAACAGCTGTTCGTCCAATCCTTGTGATCCGAAGTTAGACTCCGAGCGGACGAGACGCGTTTGCACATACCATCCACGAAGAATAGGTGCGCGGCAGCATATTGCTGATTACCATCCGAGAAGTCTCTGATGATGCGATCCACATTCTGCGAGGTCGACATAAGCAAGTATATAGCCTCAAACTGGGGCTGCGGATCACGGTAGTTGCTGATCGATTCAATTACTGGCGACTCGTGAACGAGGGCGACGCGACGAGTAGGGGGAGACATACGGGTTACATTCTCTTCGAGGATGTCAAACTGTTTCAGAACAGAGCTCAGCAGCTGCTGGGAATGTTCGTCGACAACCAGAATCTTCCACCTCCCGGGTGGGTTGACAGACCTGATCGCATCCAAAAATTCTAGACGACTCAGTACTACCACAACCGCGGCATGATATAGAACAACGTACTCGAGCGCACGGACGTTATAAGTGAGGTCATGATGGGCTGTTGAAGGCGAGTTGACGGTGCCCGGGTGCTACGCCTGTGCTGAAAGGCGATGCTGATGAAGTCACTCTGACCTCGGCAGTGTCCGGGGTGCCAATTTCAATCTACACGCCTATACGAGAGTGTCCGGGGTTTGACGGATCGCTGGTTGCGGTTGACGAGTCGGACTTCAAGCTTCATTTCCAAGCCTTGTTTACTCTGACGGAGATGATCTTGGTCGTCACTTTAAATATTATGCTGATCTAGCTGAGCTGCATGTTTTTGTACACTACGACAAGGGTGTTGTTCACGCGGTAACGCCGCAGCCATGACTATTGTGGTGGAAACCTTGCTCACTGGCAACTGCGCCCGACTGCCAAGCTGCTAGATCGCTACACTTCGCGATCTGATACCTTATGGAGTTCCTACGTCCTTCAATGCCATTGTTTCGTGTGGTGTTTCCAGTCGTTGTCTCTCCGGCATATATCATGGTGAACCTCATGCCTCAATCACATATCTCACCCTTCCGTTCTCCATCAAGGCTGCGGTGCATCTCTATGCTCTTACCTCGATTTCTGGCGTCCTGATCTCAAGACTTGGTGTTCATTTTGCTCATCGATACAGTTTCTAGTTACACCCACCTTCAATTGAACCGAACATGTCGAAATCACAGTATGCATCCATCACCTTACACAAAATATATCCTTAATGGACGGATGGGAACAGTGTATTAGCGGTGACACCGCCGCTCTGTCAAGAGCTCTATGATATGATCATTGACGCGGTCGCTGCAAACAAAAGTGTTGCGGACTTGGCCGCATGCAAATCAGCTGGCCGAGTGTTCGTTCACAGTGCTCGCAAATACCTCCACGGCGGCATCCGGTTGAGGGCTCATACTGACCTCCAAGCATTGGATACTTTGTTTACCCCTGATCGCCTGTTGACTTATGTTCGCCAAGTAGCATTTTGCGGATGCCAAACCAAGGATTTCTCCGACAGGCATGACTGTCCGCTCTTCAGCTCTGCTATGTATCGGCCCGACTATACCTGGATCATCCATGTCCTGCCTTATCTTCACAGATTCAAGGGTATACGATGCTTGGAATTGTGCGACTTGAGCTGGGGCGACATCCCGCGTGAAGCACGCGAGTTCATCCTGTCGAACTTTCCCTCAGTCATACACCTTTCCCTTAGAGCGGTCGACTTCTGGACCTCGCGCGAGTTAATACGGACCTTGCAAGCATTCCCAAACCTTTCCATCCTTTATACATGCGCGATATCATGTTATCGTCCGAATCACACGACAAGCCAGGTCACCTCTACAGCACCACTTAAGATTGACCAGCTCGTGCTTCACGGGGTTAGAAATATGCGCTATATTCCCCTTATTTATTGGGTGCTGGGTCACCGAACGTCCGTCGACATCGCGCATGTAGGAATTCTATGGGACGACTTAAATTTCGTCTATCTGGTGGAGTTGATGCGCAAGCTCGCTCCCTCGCTAGTGACTCTACATTTGGAGAAGAGGGGATTTCTGCCAGGTTAGGAGCATCATACCTTTACCTGGTTACCTTTCTAACGTCGCATGGGCACCTCAGACTGGTACCTCCTGTCCCGCCAGCAAGCACGCGTTGGCCCCGACGCTTTCAGTCAAAGCATAGTGGAGTTGCGACGACGGCAAGCGACCCCAATTGACGTCGATGAATCTCACCAAGGTGTCATGCAGACCCTAACGTTCGTTCCTCCCGACGCCGGAGTCGAACGTGCACTTTCTCTCCTCGCTGAGCGACCCATCTTGGGCAGTGGTCTGAGTCGACTAGCCGCCACTCTCTTCTGGAACAGCTTCACAGAGGCCGCATTCATCCTCAAGCTACTAAGCCAAATAGTTGGCGACCAGACGTCGTGGGTTTATCTCCATATCTACGTGAGGCCAAGTTGGCATTCGATGCCTTGGTCTTCGGTCGACGATTGTGTCGCGGAGATCGGAGAAAATGTCAGTCATGCTGAAGGCAAGAAGTTCACTTTGGTAGTGGAGAGGCTGCAACCATTCGAGAGTCAACCCTGGGACGCCGATATAATTCGCTCCTGTTTTGAGAAGACCAGCAAACTGGTCACAGACATCAACATAGTAACCAATACCTCCCGCTTCACTCCTACCGCGAACCCTTCACAAAAGCGCAAACTGCAGTAACGCCCAGCTCCGAAGGTGCGCGTTTTCAGTGCAGCAACCCTCATCATTCTCATTTGCATCGCAGTCGAGTCCATCATCTGCAAGACGGTGGCGACGGTGTTCCCATCCTGGTGTACAATTCTAGACACATAACTACTGCAGACGGGACGATACTCCCTGAATACCCTGTAGCGATAAGCGTGCATGCAGTAATTTTGGTGTCGTAGGAGTGGCATACAAAGCATGGCATAGACATGCGAGAAGAGTCAGGGTAAGCGAGCGAATACAGACGTTTATTGCTCGGCGGCACGCTGTCTCCTCCTGGCATCTCTCTCCTCAGAGATGGTGAGCTTGGTACCTTTGCCCTTTGGTAGCGATATCCAAGGCTTCGTGCCCTCGCCGATAACGAAAATGTTCGTTACCCTGCCATCGACGATCGTGACAATCGATTAGATATTTGAATAAAAACTGAGTGACGACATACCGCGTAGCGAACGTCCGATCCAACACATCCCTCACATGCACGATGTCGAATCCACCGATGTGTTTCTCACGATGTACGATGACACCCGCGCGACCCATGTTACGACCACCAGTGATCATGACAATGTTTCCCGTATCAAACTTGACGTAGTCGGTGATCTTGCCCTGCTCAAGGTCGAATTTAACAGTGTCGTTGACCTTGATGAGGGGGTCGGGATAACGGATGGTGCGACCGTCGTGGGTGACGATGTAAGGGACGCCCCTAGCACCGATGGCCATCTTGCGGACTTTCAGGAGCTTGTAGGACGCCTCCTCGGGGGTGATGCGGTGGATTGTGAAACGACCCTTGACGTCATAAAGGAGGCGGAAATGCTCGCCAGACTTCTCGATGGAGATGACATCTAAATAGAAATATCGACCTGAGGTCTCTCCAACATGCAAACAATCGTACCCTGGAAGCCAGCGGGGTAGGTGGGGTCGGTTCTAACCTTGCCATCGACCTTAATCAAGCGCTGCATAACAATCGAAGTGACTTCCCGGCCGGTCAGCGCATACTTGAGCCTGTTACGGAGGAAGATAGTGAGAGGAAGGGATTCGCGAAGTTTGTGGGGACCAGGCGATGGACGAGGAGCCTGATCGACAGCGACAGACGCAACTCAGCACCACGGGCGCAAATGACGGTGACTACGACACGCACGTAAGTCCCGCTCAACTTATCGAGCATCCATGAGGAGGGGGCAGCCAACCGCTTCAAATGCTTTTTGGGTCCTCGGGCCTACACGAGATGCACAACAAGGACATCAGTACTACGAACAAAGCAGAGCCATACGTGAATGGAGACGATGCCAGTCGCGGAGGTGCATCCGAAGTCCAACTTCAGCATCCACCCCACCTCGAGTCCAAAGGTGTAGTTTTGACCGCACAGACTGGCAGATGCGCCTCCATTGCGACTGCTTGAACCGTTCCACTGACCATATTGGAGTTTTTGCGGGCTTGACGTTGTCGACGCCGACGGCCTTGAGCTTGTGGGTTTCACGCCCACAAAATTCACACCTGCCGCATTGGGTCACTTCAGGGCAAGTGAGATGGATGTCACGTGATGAGGCAACCACCTCATACTCTCTTTACGAGTAAGTAGATGATTTTTATCATCATCATCACTAGCAGCCAGGAACTTAAGATCATTCAAGTTTCATGCACAATAACATCAGAAACTTACTTTGCGAGGTACTGCCTAGTAGTCTGCTTCATTTGAGGGGTAAACACCGTCCCTCGCCATTTCAGAGTTACATAAGCAGGTTGATCTCCGAAACGCGTCGTGTCGATCTTGTAGAGCGCGACGCGTTGCCTTCAGCGAGAGGCGGATTGAATAGACGCATAAATGATAGGACCAATCGCTAATTAGAAGAACAAGATCGTCAGTCGACCTACACGCACCGTCATCCACACTATTATCTGGCATTAGTCTGTACATCTAAGCATTAGGCTACAGTAGGGAATACAACAGAAGACATCCAGACATTAGTACAGCGATTGTTTTCATGCTCCACACACAGTATACAACCCTACTTTTCTTTAGTGCCTCGGAGCACCATAGTCTCCAACGTGATCGCTCGGTATTCGTCGCCATCCTGTGCCCAGACAGCATCGTCCTGAATATAGACCAACAAACCACCCTTCCCATCAGCCGTCTGCGACACGCGATAGAGCGGCATCCTCGACTTCTCATGTACGCGTCCAATAGGGATAAAGAGCAGATTGTGCGAAGAGGCATAGTCTTCCACAATTGAGCGGAAGGTGATCTCCTGTGTTCGCGCTGGTCGCGCCTTAACCGGAGTCTGTTTGACACTTGGAACCGACACCATAGGAGCACCATGATCTGGGCGAGGCAACAACGTCGCTGCATCTGAGCCCAGCTCGATAGCCTTGTTCATCATCTCCAGACCACGCGTGAAGCCCTTGGCGACGCCTGGCATGTTCTGTACTTCTTCCGTAAACGTCCCCTTCCAAAAGGTGTACCACCGTGCCACCTCTTCCAGGCTCGGACTTGGTTGTATTAACCAAATGTGCAAGACATCCAGCCACTTCGGGAAGAACTCGGTCTCGAGGATCTGAGACAGTATCGATGGTCGTAACAGAGATTCCCATAACATGACCTCTTGGAGAGGCGCCATATCTTGGTCGCGCGGATTGATCCGGAAGTCGTCCCTCAACCTCGATCCCAGCTTCGGTACGATATACTTCAATAGCATCGTGTCCCACTCGCTGCTGTCGAAAACCTGAATTACGGGCAATTTAAGTCAGCAGTCCTGATCCAAAACACTAGCGTGGCTTACATCTTTCCAATCGGCGAGGTCCTTTGGTACGCCATCAGTAATAACCCATCCCCGTAACAAGCTCTTGACCTTTCTCCTCGCATCTGCCAGAACCTCCTCAATCCGGAGGCCGATGTGTGGTAGCCAAGGGAATACGACGCTCTGCAAGGATACCTTACTGCGACGAGGATTCCAATCCGCCACAGCCTTCGACACCTTGGGCAAAATCAGCTGATCGAAGAAATTGTCGCGGACAAAGGGAGGCAGAAAGCTTGACCACGCTTCATACAGACGAACTGCAGAGTGTGGGTCTTCTGGAGACCAGTCATTATTGATGGATGATCGCACTTTGGGCAACCAGACGTTCCACATGAGGCTTTCATACGGCGTCATCGGTTTCTCACTGTTTGAATATATAAGTAATAGTATAAGTGCCAGATATACTGAGAATACTCACACTGCTACGGGAGCAGATGTTACTATGCTCGAGCCGTAGACCTGCACCTGATCTTGCAGCTTTTCTTCGAGCGCCGACATCTTCAGCGCACGCCTCCACAAGCGAAAGGTAGGCGTTATTGCAGTTGGATCTTGCAATGGATGCCATTGAGCGAACATTCGCCGTACCTACAAGATGCATTAGTTCCGAGTATGAAACGCAGGGTACACTGATGCTTACAGTAGGTGTGATGGCTGCAACAATTATCTCGTCTAACCGGTATCTATCAAATTCTTTGGGGTATAATCCGAGCAAGTTATCGAAGTTCGCAGAGAACGGTTCAAGGGATGGCTCATACATAGAGGCCATCTCCTTGGCTTGTGAGTCGATGTTATCTACCACCAGGTGCACCTGCTGTAGGCGCGAAATCACTGATAAAAATGCGTCAAGATAGTAGTCAATCGGTGCATATTAATACATGCTTACATTCCGCCTCCTCCTCGACTTTCTTCCGTAAACTGAGGTCTTGTTGACGAGTCCAAATCTTTCGTTCTTGCAATGATCTCGCTTCCCGTGCGAGACCATCGAGATCGCTCTTGCAAGCGTCCGAGATGAGACGAACGTTATGTCGGACTTCAGGTAGCCGTGTGGAGTCGGCAGTCGGCGTCCAAGACGCCAAAGAAACCTCAGCAATGGAAGCTACTTCTCGAGGCTGTAAGAGAGTAAAGCAGTATGTATCAACGGGCAGTACAGAATGAATAACCCAAGTGCCACGCACCGTAGCCCCAGTCGCATCGATGATTTGACCAAGCCCAGCTTGCGGAACTTCGTGGCCTGCTTCTGCAATAATCTGCTCATAGGTCTTGTGCTCGACTCTGGTTTTGACCTTCTTGGGTTTTTTCCAAGCGTCGGCCTTCTCTTCCTGGGCTTTGGCAGCCTTCCGCGCCTTCCTCGCCGCCGTCTTCGACTCCTCTTCATCGTCGCTAACGATTTCACCCTTCCGCCTCGCCTCGGCCTTCGCCTGAGCAGTCTTCTCCTTGAAGCCTTTGAACGCGAGACCCATACCCTTCGGACGCAGTTTGCTCTCAACAGGCGTCACGATACCTTCACCGGTGGTACCAAGACCCATGCCAGCCTGCCAACCCATCTTTTCAAGTAAGCGCGCACCGAATGTGCCCCCCAGCTTGCTGAAATGCTGACGGTCAGCGGTGCTGAGAGGCGTTGCAGGCCTTGGAGAAGATGTCCCACTACCGCCATTGCGTAAAAATGAGCGTTGAGCGCGAGAGCTGCCAAACGCTGTGGGCATGTCTTCTGCGACCACCGGTGTCGGAGACGGCGAAGCAGCAGGCAACGGACGTGACCCGATCCCCCCTCTATGGAATCCGGAGAACGTGCCGCCAGCTTGAGCTTTGGATGCGCCGAAGCCCAGGCCACCAAAGCGCGGTCTTGTTTCCTCCTCCTCAGCTTGTTGATCTTCCTCTCGGACACGCGGGGATGGCGGCTTTGAAGGCTCCGACTCGTCCTCGCCCTCCTCTTCTCCCACCTCCTCTCCCACCTCCTCATCCTGCTCGTCTTCCACTTCACCCTGCTCAACACCCTCCTCACCACTTGAGGCATCATTCATACCTTCGTCTACCTTCACTGTCTTGTCCAGGTCTACCTTCTCTACCTTCTCTCCAGACACGAACGCAGGTGCCTTCGTCCAGTCGCTCCGCTTCTGAGCCTTCCCTCCCTTCTTTCCTCCAAATCCCTCGTCTTCATCCTCACTCCCGAATACTCCGTAGATGGCGTCGTCCTTTCCGTTCTTCCGCCTGCGCTTGCGCTTGTAAGGGTCCTCGAATAATGCTCGTTCTTCGCGTGCATCCGGATCGTTCTGGTCGGGACCATAGTCGTTAATGTCGCCTTCAGAGCCGTCAGAAGAGTCAGAAGAGTCTTCGAGCAGCTGTCGCTTCCGACGAGCCATGCTAGCAGAACATACACGAGGATGAGTTTTACTCAGGCGCCCGCACGAAGTGCTCTTGCTGACAAAGCAGTGAATACCCGAAACAGGAAGGCAACGTGCAACTTCGTGTCAGTTGCATTCGCTTTCGGACGCGCCGTTCGCCTCCATGACCTCAGCTCACGCGATTATCATGCCAGAGAAATTCTCAGCACATCATGCAAGTTAACAGCATTCTCGAAATTTGTCTGCGGGGAGGGGTAGCATGGTCACGGGTCGTCGGACCTCAGGGCGGGCCGCCCACGAATGTTCAACGGTTACTCTTCCGGTATGTTTGGTGCGCACGCCTTTGATAAATGTGACGAAGGAAGTTTGGAGGCTGATATAACTGTGTGTATCCTTTCTTTGCATGGGAGGATCGTGCCTTTGCAGGCTCGATTAACGTGCACGGGCAAGCATTATGTACTTCAGCATGCCCTTGTTGGCATCGGAGGCCCAGAAAGCTCTAGAGGTTACTATAATTCTGGGTATTCGCACGTCTTTGCCAGGTTATGTCGACTGATCTTGACACGACTCGAGTGGCAAGGCGGGCAGGGCACAATTCAAGGACACGAAACGCCACGACGCCGTTCTTCACCACCTGTCTCATCCGGTCAATGGTGGTGTACTATTCAGCCACATGGTGGGACTGTCCACCTGCCGCCAACGTTGATGATCCCTAGTTGATAGACATCCATCTGTCGATCTCGCTGCTTCTCCTTACTTCTGTGGATATACCCAGTAACGTACCACAGTTCGCGTAAGTCCTACTATCTCCCACTCGTGGTTATTATCATGCTTCTGAATATGCAATACGATCCTTATCGTCGCGTGCAAAGCATCGTTGCTGCTCCCATGATTGAGCACGGAAGAGGTGATGTTTCCGATTGCGCTTATTCGCTGCTCCCGCTTCAAGCTTTTTCAAAAGGCTCTTGTGAGACGCTAAGGTTGTAATGTGCGAGGATGTGCACCCTCAGAGTCATACAAACCCAGTACTGTCACCTAATAGACCGATGAATGTCGTTATCGTCCTGTCAGACGATCGCAAACTTCAGGAACCTGGAACTGCATTCGATCTGACTATCTCTTAACTTAGACCAATATCGGCGTCTAGATCCACGGATCTCTATCTACAAAGCCAGTCCCCTGGATATCCGGCTTGCGGTAACTTATAAGGAACAAATGGATATGGATTCGAGTCAAGGCCTCCAGGTTGATCTTTACGACTATGGCACCTGCACTCACCACTGAGCCCACTCAAGCTGCCACTGGCGCCAAGCCCTCTCCGAGGCCGACCGCGATATTGCACCGGACGCCTTGGATTCCGCCCGTCGCTACTCATGCAGAGGGCATCTATATCTACGTGGAGGATGGCCGCAAGATCATCGATGGTTGCGGAGGTGCAGCGGTGGCATGTATTGGACATGGACATCCTGCGGTCAAGAAGGCGATTGCAGAACAGGCCGATAAATTATCGTGTATGTCGTCGGGGATGTACACCTGTGAATGCTTCTTGACTGACTTGGCTTGGCGTGGTAAATTCAGATGTGTACAACATGCAGCTTTCTAACCAGCCTGCAGAAGAGTTGGCACAATATCTCGTGAAGACTGGCAATGGCGCCTTCGAGCTTTGCGGTTTCCTATCCGGTGGTATGTTAATCCTCTCCAGTTACTGTTATTGGACTCGACTTCACGCGAACACTGTCTGTCTAGGGTCCGAGGCCATGGAGAGTGCAATGAAGCTCGCTCGTCAGGTGGCTACTATGAATTTTCTCATGAAAGACCGTAGCTGATAGGCCTCCGATGCAGTATTACTACGAAACGAAACAGCCGCAGCGCACGAACTTCATCGCAAGACAACTTTCATTCCATGGAAATACCCTGTCAACACTGTCGTTGGCTAACCACCCGGCCCGTAGGGCGCCTTATGCCGCTATCCTGGACCAGACTCATTTCCACCACGTCTCCCCCGCGTACGCGAAGCGTTTCCAGAAGCCCGATGAGACTGAGGAACAATACGTGGAGAGACTCCGTAAAGAGCTGGAAGACAAATTTATTGAACTTGGTCCTGACACTGTCATTGGCTGTACGTGCTTTCTCTCACGCGCGCTTGAGCCGAGTCACGGAGTACTTCACAGTTGTTGCTGAGACTGTCGTCGGGGCCACCTCTGGAGTCGTGCCTGCCCCGAAGGGGTACTTCAAAGCCATGAAGGCGGTATGTGAGAAGTATGGGGCCTTGTTTATCCTCGACGAGGTTATGAGCGGTATGGGCAGTGAGTACAGGACTTGGTTTATAGAGACGGTGTCGATCCTGAGCGATACCAGGACTTGGCACCCTCCATGCTTGGGAGAGCCTAGGGGACGGTGCCTCTCCGGATATCCAAGCCATCGCAAAAGGTCTCGGAGGAGGGTGAGTACACCGATTTTTCCCAAGTTAAGTTTACCCATTTTCATCTTCAGATATGCATCAATCGGCGCCGTCTTGATGTCGAGGAGGGTTGCCTCAGGTATTCGTGATTCTTCCGGTTATTGGAAACATGGGCACACCTACCAAGTAAGTAGAGGAGATAGCTCCTCGCCTTTTGAGACTAATATGCAATAATGACTCAGGCACACCCATTGTCCTGCGCTGCCGCGCTTGCCGTGCAGAAAGTGATAGTCGAGGAGAACCTCCTGGAGAACATCCGCACGCAGGGCGCGTATCTCGGATCATTGCTTCGCGAGCGCCTGGAGTCGCCGAACGCCCTCGCAGCACCGTTCGTCTTCGACATTCGCGGCGCTGGCGGATGGTGGAGCATCGAGTTCGACTTCACAGGGCCCGAAGCGGCAAAACTGGATTTCAAGGCAGAGAAATTCGGCTTGGTTGTGCAAGCCCGCTGCCTGGAGAACGGATTGGCGATCATGGGTATGACCGGCGGCTCGAATCTCGAAGGAACGCTGGGCGACCACCTGATGATTTCGCCGCCGTACAACGTCACGAAGGCAGAGGTGGAAAGGATTGTGGATATTCTGGTTGCAAGCGTTGAGGAGATTTTGAAGGAGGCCGTGGTATAACAGAACTAAAGGATTGTAGTAGAGCAACACTTGTAATAGTCTCGAATTCAGACGGCTTTGTATGGGAAGGGGGGAAAGTATACAAAGCCACAGCACCGTCCTGTCTGCCTTCCTTCTCGTTGCGCGCACGGTGCCTGGTGACTGGAAACTCTACACAGACGCTGAACAGACTTTAGCCTCAGGCTCTTCCCAGTCTCCGCCACTTGAAGGTTCAAGCGGAGACAGCGGAGTGGAGATTATGTGAGCGAGGGCCGGCAGCGGCCTGTCCTGACTTGGTTGGACGCCGCCACAAACTCTCTCGTTACGACTCCCACTCGATCGCCTTACACTCAGGGAATCGATGGCCGGCTGTATGCACTAAATGGACTTCATCGAGCAGCAAGAAGGTGCCAGTAGTCACAGTCCATCAACATCGCATCCGGAAGAGCATTCTACATCAGGTTCAGGATCCTCCGTAGAGACCAAAGTCTTGCGTTCCAGCGCAAGAGTCAAAGCTGCAAAGCAGAAGGAAAGGGAAAAGGAACGCATTACCGCGGAGCAGCAGCCTTCCTCTTCGCCTTCATCCAAACGTGGCCGCGAGACAGGCAAGGGAAAGGCGAAAGAAGTAGTGTCTGACGAGTCCTCACGTGCGAGTAAGAGGTATGCAGTGCAATTATCACCTTGAGTGATTCATTCTGAGTATGCTGTAGAGCACGTCGCGCCACCTATCCCCCCAACACTGCCCTAACTATCAACGAACCTCCGAAAGACGCCAAGGGTAAGAAGCGCGCAGTCCCAGAACCTCAGTCCGAAGAAGACGAGTCGACAGCTGCAGCTGCATCTAGCAAACGTCTTAGGACCTCCACTAGCGCATATTCTCTCCGGTCTAGAGTAGACGTACATCCTTCCAATATGACCAAGAAACCCAGGTATGCCCACGTTTTCCCCGTCTTTACAAGCACAGCACAGAATGCTTCTTCCCAGATCTACGGCGACAGGGAAAGGCAAGGCAGCAATGAAGAGCAAAGCCATGGCAGCAGCAGCAAGTTCATCAAGAGCTGAAGACGAAGATGTGGAGATGGTAGATGCCGAGTGTTTGCACGAAGAGCATGCTGAGCCCAATGAGAAGCACGACGATCAAGGTGATGAAGAGGTTATAGAGGAGGGAGGTGATGACGGCGGTGGTCACGATGAAGGGGATGCCAACGATGACAGTCCAGCAGAGCCAGCGAAGGGTCTAAACGACGCCTTGGACGACTCCTCTGCCATGTCGATCTTTGGTGAATTCCGCCACCTAGGATCGTATATGATGGGTCTATCGAGTCGTCTGAAGGCAATGTTGACTAACATCAAACCTACCGCGGATCCCACTACGAGGCTTGTTACGCTACAAGCGCTCAGCGAATTGCTCAGTATCAGCACAGAAGACACTTTGGCAGGTTCATTTCAAGTGGAGGCATTTATCCGAGAACTTGTCCGAATACTTGGTGGCACCGGAAACGATTCGGACGAAGGTGACGACGATGATCCCCAAGATCCTGACGAGGATGCGGCCCTTGCGGCAGCTTTGGCCATGAGCACCGGTGGTGCTCCTTATCAAGGTGACGAGAATCTGGAAGCCCAAGTTCTGGCGTGCAGATGTCTCGCGAACTTGATGGAAGCTCTGCCCGGTGTAGCTCACACCGTCGTTTACCATGGCGCGATTCCAGTGCTTTGCAGCAAGCTTATTGAGATTTCCTACATTGACTTGGCAGAACAGACATTGAGCGTAAGATTTTCGCGGTTTCTAATTTTTGCAAATGCTCATTTAGCGTACAGACTCTGGAGAAAATCTCGGAAGAATTTCCCAGCTCGATTGTGCGAGAAGGTGGCTTGGCGGCGTTGCTGAATTACCTCGATTTCTTCTCCATTGCTGTTCAAAGGACGGCTCTCCAAGCTGCCTCGAACTGCTGTCGGAATGTCTCTGCTGAGCATTTCCCAATGATCCGTGGAGTTTGGCCGATCATCCGTAATTGTCTTGGTTACTCTGATCAGCGTCTGGTGGAGTTTGCATGCCTTTGTGTCATCCGTGTCGTGGACTCGTATTATCGCTCTTCTCCAGAACACCTTGAAGCTTTGGTCGACGTCGACCTCATAAAGGCGGTGAACCTCCTCCTTCTCCCAGCCGGTGGATCTCCTCTGATTGCTGCAAGCACGTTTACCTTACTACTGCGAGCTTTGGCGACGTCTGCCCGAGCAAGCCCTAAGATCACCTTGGTCCTTCTTGAGGCTGGCATCGTGGAGACACTGTACCAGATCCTGACTGGCGTACTGCCTCCGGCATCTGACAGTGGTGAGGAGCAAGGGGATTATGTCAGCGGCCAGGGATTGGGCGGTGGTTTAGCTGATATGACTGTTATGGAGAATTTGGCTCATCGTCCTAAGGAGCAGGTTGAGGAGACACTCAGTCTCATTTCAGAGTTGATGCCGCCGTTGCCCAAAGGCGAGTCCCCCCATTGTGTAGTGATCTGGTTTCTGTGTTCCTGACATGGATTAGATGGCGTCTTTGACCACAAGTCGTACACGGAGAAGGCTTTTGCTAAGATGACTAAGGCGAAGACGAAGGCTGATCGAGCTGCTGCTCGTCAAGCTGTAGTAGCAGCAGCCTTCATGAATGCACCATCAGAGCTTCCCGCAGAGTCCGCGTCCAGCTCTGTATCCGCTCGATGCTCTACTCCTGATGCTGGTGCTGCTGACTCGTCATCGGTCCAGGATGGCGAGGAAGCCGCTCCAGTTATCCCTGCTAAAGAGTCGACTTCCGACCGTACGGAGCTACTTCGTTCAAAACCCAATGTCGTCGGACGCTTCTTGCGACTCATGGTCCCCATACTGGTGGACGTGTACGCAGCAAGCGTGATCACCCCGGTCAGAATCAAGACACTGACTGGGTTACTGAAGGCAGTCAGTTTTTTGGATGGAGAAGAATTGAAAGCAGTGTTCATTGTCGGTTTGAAACCCCTACTATTTCTCGTCGATTCTGATGTTCATTATCTAGTTCGTCCCTGTGGCGAGTTTTGCTTCCTCAATTCTGTCCTCTAAGGACCATCCAACACTTGTGATTGGCGCCCTCCAATTAGTGGAACTGTTGTTGAGTAAGCTCGCTGCAGAATACAAGCCGGTCTTCCGGCGTGAAGGAGTCCTCCATGAAATAGAGATGCTGGGCTCTCGGAACATCTCATCGAAGTCCAAGGAAAAAGACAAGGACAAGGACAAGGAGAAAGACGTATCTGAAGTACCTTCACCAGCAGAGCCTGCTACGCCTACACATACGTCCATCTCTGCGTCGATAGCGGCTACGATTCCTGGCTACAAGAAGCTATCTTCGCTTTCACTAGAACCTGATGACGCCATCACGCTTCGTGCTCGAGTCATTCGATTCAAGTACCTTCTTAGCGAGGAACACGATGACTCCGATGATGTGTTCGCAACTTTGCGCCGACTAGTCGACCGCGTCTCAGAGCAATCAACATCTGAGACACAGTTGATTGCAGCTCTTGGAGAGCTGGCCGGTTTATTTGCTTCTCCCCACACATCTGTGTCAAGCTTTGAACTGCTCCAAAGTGGAGTTGTCGACGGACTTCTCCACTTCGCGACCGACACTGATCGTAGTGGTAAGAGCTCCTCGTTTTTCTGGCCGACTTCATTCATGTGACTTGTATTACCCCTAGTGAGCCTGAGTCGTCGACAAGAGTTATTCTTCTCTGCCTTCAGCGCCCGTAAACTCAAGGGTACAAACAGCCAGACCTCGTTTGCTACATTTGTCAAAAAGCTACAGGAAAGCTTGACAAGAATGGAGTCGTTTGACGTAGTCACTGTAGCACAAAGTGCAGATGGTATGTTCCTCATTGCCGTCGACGAATGTACCACGCTAATGGTGTGGTCGTTCAACAGATTCTAAGCGCAGTTCTCCTTCCTTGCTCGCTCGGCAGCTTCGCCTTCGCTTAGTTGCCGCGGAAGATTCAGATATTCCGCGTAATCTGAGCAACATCGTGGTGTCAATTCATGCGATCGCAACCTTCCAGGCTCTGCATGACTATTTGCGTCCTCGAGTTGCTGGTTCTCTTCCAGGTGGCTCACGCTTGTCTGGCATGCTCGCTGCTCTCGCAGCATCTGGATTAGCTCCCCCATCTGCAGCCCGAGACAACGTAGAACAACCACCAAAGGCCGCGTCAACTCCTGCTGGAACAGAGAGTGGTGCAAGGACATCACCATCTTCAGGTGAAGCAGCAGGAGTTCATCGGCGACGTAGCCTTCGTCTCAGTGCGAAGAAGGCAACAGTCGATGCACCTGCGGAGCCAGCGCAAGGAACTCAGGAGGAGGGCAGCCATGAAGCCTCGGAAGGGCCGACGGCCTCCACTGTACCCGAACCTAGCGATGCCCCTTCCGCGGAGAATGCATCCACTGAGACCATGCTCAATGATACTGAGTATGCTGCCGATTTCACCGACGATGAGGTCGATGTCGACGCAGATGTATGTTTGAGTTATTGTGTTGTTCCTTGCCTTTCTCATTTTGTGTTAGGTCTTTGATGAAGAAGCTGACCCAGACAGCTCGGTCACAGAGAAAACCGTTACTGTTTCTGTGGATGATGGTTAGCTAATCGTCCAGAGTTGTGTTGTTGTGACGCTTATTAGCAAACTAGATGGCTATAAGGTGGAGGCGCAGACTCCCGATGGAACACGGGTACCCACTCCAAATCTAGCTAGAGCCTTCCCACCACTACCTACCCCGCGTAATACGTCGACGCCCAAGGGTTCCTATGCAGCTGCTTTGAAGGCGAAGCCAAGCGATTGGCACTTGGAGTTTTTCATGGATGATCACAAGCTTCCTCTGGATCTGACAATTTACGGTGCTATCCATCAGCATGAAATGCGAAAGAAGTCTGGCCCTACTCTTCCACTAAGCATGATCTGGCAAGGAGTGTACAGCATCAAGTTCAAGAAGGTGCCTGGACCACCACCGGCCCCAGATGGTAGGTTTCCGTGAAAATCTGTATCACCGCATGTTAACTGTGCCAGCAGCTCGTGGTGAAGATATCACACGAAGTCGCTCACCAGGTCCTACACTGTCATCTCTCCCAGACGACGCTCCATCTGCCAAAATCCTTCGCTTACTTCGTGTTCTTCACAAGTTGAATGCCCACGAAAGCGAGCGGCAATCTGTACTTGCGCCAAAGCGCATACTTCCGGAGTCGTCATTTGTCAATAACAAGCTCACAGCCAAACTTACACGACAATTGGAAGAACCTATGATAGTTGCTAGGCGCGTTCTCTGCCGCCAACGCTGCACACTTACATTCGTACTAACGTGATATATGTAGCTCATGTTTGCCTGACTGGGCGCTTGATCTCCCTCAACATTTCCCGTTCCTCTTTCCCTTCCCTACCCGTTACAGCTTCTTGCAGTCGACATCGTTTGGTTATGCGCGCCTAATTCTTAAGTGGCAGAGCCAGCAAAATCGATCTCAGGACACCTCTCGCCGAGACGACGGTGTAGGCTTTCTGGGTCGCTTGCAGCGACAGAAAGTCAGGATATCTCGCCAGCACATACTCGAGTCGGCTGTGAAAGTGTTCGAACTGTATGGCTCTTCGTCGTCGATATTAGAAGTGGAATACTTCGAAGAGGTCGGCACCGGACTGGGACCTACCTTGGAATTCTACTCTCTTGTCTCGAAGGAGTTTGCCCGGAGAGACTTGAAGATATGGCGTGATGCAGATTCATCTCTACCTGGCCCTTATGTCCACCACCCCCTCGGTCTGTTCCCCGCCCCTATCAGTGTCGCTAGTATCGCAAATGATGGTGGACAGTAGGTTAACTTTGTCTTCTTGAGCTCTCAATTAGCTCACCATATTCACACAGAAAACGAACGCACATCTTCCGGGTCATTGGCCAGTTTGTTGCGAAGGCAATGCTAGACTCTCGCATCATCGACCTCTCGATGAACAAGATTTTCCTCAAGCTCATCCTTGGAGAAGATGTCCCATTGACTGTCGATAGTCTCAGAGTAAGTTCCCTGGTTGTGTTATGAGACATAATTCTTGATGAAGTCTCTCCAGCGCGTTGACCCTGATTTGGCCGCTTCACTGGCACAGGTTCAAAGTTTTGCTGCTACGAAGAGCCAGAACGACAAGGTATGATTATAATTCCTGATTCTACATGTGCATCCTGAAGTCTCATGCACGGGGCACAGTTGCGCCGCAAGCTCGCGATGGTAGAAGAAGTCAACGTGGAAGATCTCGCCCTTGACTTCACAATACCGGGGTATGACATTGAGCTAATGGTGTGTGCGCTCGCCTCGATGTTTGTTCTCTTTGTTGAAGCTCACGACGATGTTTCATCAGCCCGGTGGACGAAACGTGTCTGTCACTGCCGAGAATGTGGATCAGTACATCCAGGACGTCATCGACGCTATTATCGGTAAGGGCGCACAGCTGCAAGCGAAGGCATTCCGGGAAGGATTCTCCAAGGTTTTTCCTATCACCGACTTGCAGGCGTTCACAGCAGACGAGCTGGTGATGCTGTTTGGTAATGGTGACGAGGATTGGAGCTTAGAGAGTACGTCGACTTCTTGCAATGGCTGTACGCTTGTCTCATGTGTTTCTGTTTTACCAGCCCTGAGCGAAGCCGTAAAGGCTGACCACGGCTTCAACGTCGAGAGTCGTGCGATCCGTGATTTGCTCGAGGTCATGTCAGGTTATGACGCACCGGTGAGAAGGAGCTTCCTCCAGTTCATCACTGGTAGCCCGAAGTTGCCGATCGGTGGTATGTATCATGCATAATTCTCATCGCGTTCGTGTACTCATGATGTCGTAGGCTTCCGGGGTCTCAACCCACCCTTGACTGTTGTACGCAAGCCCCACGAAGCACCTCTCACAGCGGACGACTACCTGCCTAGCGTAATGACGTGTGTCAACTACCTCAAGCTGCCGGAGTACTCGTCAAAGGCCGTGATGAAGGAGAAGCTCGGGATTGCGATGAAAGAAGGCGTTGGCAGTTTCCACTTGTCGTAATATTATCCTCATCCTCATCCTTGACTCGATTCGGTCAATCCGTCCCTCCTTTGTATTTGTTCCTGCTGCTCAATTCCTGCTGTGCTTTACCCATCGTTGACATGTTCGCTACTTAGCTACTAGATTGAGAAACTCATTGAGTACCAGTTATTTGGACATTAAGCAATGACAATCATTTATACACATCGCAGTGTTATGTGTCTGTCGCGCCTGACTTTTGGCTAATGCAAGTAGAGGACGTACAGTATGTGCGTGGTATGCACGAACTTGAAAGTTGCCGCGGCGTTGGTCGGTTCTTCCCGTGACAAGATCACGTGTAGGTCTAGGATGACAAAGCAGAGAGCTGGAGAAACGGAAACGCGCCCGAGTCTTACAAGTGCGGCATCCCACTCGTTGTCTTGCGACCACCATGTCGAAGCATCATCCTGGTAAGCATTTTGGTGTGCTGCAGTGTTTCAATGTGTATTAATTATCGCGCATGGAAGATTTAATCATGTGCAGGCGTCAGCCCGGAATCGGTGAGTCTTAAACCCAGTACCGTGTAGCCTCCAGCACTTAATTCCTTGCAACAGCCATCGGGCGACTATGCGAGAAATGTGATGGCAAATGGTACGTGTGGAAGCATTGATCACGTAGCGCGTGATTTGGCTTACACTCGTTCTCCCTCAGCCCTGTCTGTGATTCCTACGTACGCCCAGAAACGCTCGTGCGCATTTGTGATGAGTGCAATTTCGGTACTTACGGTGGACGATGCATCATCTGCGGTTCGCCAGGTTCGTCCCTCGTCAGCGCGTTCCATGTCACATCCACGCACTAACACTCTGCGCGCAGGGATCTCGGACGCGTACTACTGCGCGGAATGCACCAGATTAGAGAAAGACCGCGACGGGTGTCCCAAGATCGTCAATTTGGGAGCGAGTCGGACAGACCTCTTCTATGAACGCCGTCGTCTAGGTAAGTGTGTTGGATGCCTCACTGGTTCTCGTGCTTACAATTTTGTTCCGTTAGGGTTCAAGAAGGGATAGCTCTCGAGTCTCTGTCATGAATGTCATGTAATTTTTTACTGTGTAACATAATTCCAGTCATATTGCTGTTTATCTAATTGATTTCCGGACATTCGCGCAGAAAGCATCATGACGCATGCATGACCTTGGAAGATGGATGTCAGTTTGATTTCCATGTCTCCAGTCTTCCAAATGCTTTTCGCTATCAATTGGCCGAATAACGCGTATATTCATTGGGTACAATTAATTACTTTTCCGTGACATTTGACTTGCGACGAGTTTATTCAAAGCACTTTCGTTCCTCCACCAGTTTTAAAATTTCCATTAGACAGAAAGCCCCAAAAGACACTTTTCTAACCATATATCAAGTATGGAGGCACAGAGATGTGATGTGGAAGAGCTACACAGGAAGGCATAATTTGGTGTGAAAAGGCCCGCCGGTACGCTGTATTGATTTCAACTACCGGCGCATCGAATCCATAGTAAATTTCGGCTCCGTCTAAATTGTCCGACCTCTCGACTAACCCCCCGCGTCAGAAACGAGGAAACAAGGAAACGAAAAGCAGCTTACCCCACGTCCTAGTATCACGTGATGGTGATCTCTGCCACCCAAGAGCGACTCGGACCGTGACTTCAAGACACCCTGTTCACTCCTTGTTCCTCAATTCTGAGCCTGACAGACTTCTGTCGCGCCTTGCAAACTATACAGTGCTGAGGTTCCATCTAGCAGGTCATATCCCCCATATTATTCGCAGTGAGTTGTCCTCTGGTCCGCAGCATTCGACCTCCTTATGCGCAGTCCAATTCCACTTCAGGCAGCTGCATGTCCTCCGAATATGGATCGTCTGACATTGACTGGACGGAAACACGTCCTGACAAGGCTCTTGTCGTCAAGTGCTCCTACGAGGGTTTAAACAAGAGGATCACCTTTAATTCTGCACGTACATGTTCTTACGATTTTCTCCGCCAAAGAGTGAGCAGAAAACCTCTTCTGGTAGAACTCGTCTTATTCTGAGTTCGCAGGTTGAAGAATGTTTCTCGCTGTCCGCTACGTCGTACGCGATCACATATACGGACGACGACGGCGAAGTCACAGACATCTCTACCGAGTCCGATCTCACGGAAGCTATCCGATACTTTCATCCTGCAAACGAGGAGCCCATCTCGTCAGCAGCTTCCATCCTATCTGGTCGCAGCTTCAACAAAGGAAAGATTACCGTGCGCGTCCGGATCACAGTCGAGTACGACGGGCCGAGTCTGTCGGACACGTCTTCGCTAGTCAGCCTAGACGAGTACAGGAACCGTAACGGTAGCGATTTCTCGCTCTCGTTCACATCTCCTCCACCCGCAGAAATTGACGATGACTCCGTCACTATCAGCTCGAAAGATCTGGGATCCAAGTATGAACTTTACCGTGCTCGCGGTGCAAAGACGATCGTATCTGCGCCCAGCCAGGAGCCGTTGATCGCGCGCCCAGCGAGGCCCCCAGACGACTGGGAAGCCAGCTCGGTGCCCAGTATTGCGCCGACGCTGGACCTGGGCGATGTGCAGTCCGCCCGGTCCTCGCTCGCAAATCCGTTCCTGGACGACGACTCTCCCCCAGAAGACTCCGGGCACCGTGACGACCCGTCGTCGGTCTTCCAGCGGCTGAAGCTTGAGGATACCCGGCAGGCGAGCTCGAGCCACAGTTCATCCACGTTGCACAGCGAGCGTGGCGCGGCGTGGTTGCGCGACCAAAACGCCCGGGCGGTGAAGGCGATGTTGGGAGACGTGCCCTCGCGCCCTTTGTCATACAGTGGTGCGGACTCGGCAGACATGCTCGACGATGCGAGCTCTGCGATGGGCGGTGAGCTTGCGCTGCAGCAGGACTCGAGCGGGAAGTACTATTTTGCGTACACTGCGGGCTCGTCAGCGGGCTCGCAGAGTGCACACGACTCGGGGTACGACGACCGCTCGAGCGTGTATGATGACCTCGGCACGAGCGTCGCGGGCTCGGACGAGGTGGTGCAGAGCCGCCCGGTGTCGATGGAGGTGAACGTGTTTGACCTGCAGGGCGCTGCATCCGGCGAAACCAGTGACTTGCACCGATGTGCGTCCTCCGCATCTACGTCGTCTTCGTCTTCGTCTTCCTCCGTATCCAACCCCTTTACCCGTCGCTCAAACTCCGAGCCCACGTTTACGCAGGACTTTGTGCACCCGGACGTTCCGCACGACGTACTGCCGTACATTACGACTGTCCCGCCCGTTCCCCCGCAGGATCCGCCGAGCTGTTCCGAGTGCGGGGTGATCCTCGACGCGATCCGCTACGTCTGCTCTAAGTGTGGGGAGAAGAAGCCGCCCGGCGCACAGGAGAACGGAGGGAAGGGCAAGGACCGCGAGGTGTACGTCGAGCGCAGCCATAATCACAGCTCGCACGCGCACTCGCCGTCGCTGTCACCGCTGCAGCGCGCGACATCACCTTCGCTCTCCTCCTGGTCTGTCGTCACAGGCTCCGACATCCCACTCCGACCACTTGGTGACAACGCGCCGTGGAAACCGCTTCCCGCGATCCCGAGCCCCAAGTACCTCGCAGTGACGCCGGAGTCTATGCCCAGCACACCCAAGGAAACGGGCTACGAGCTGTGCTGGGGATGCATTGAGTCTGCGGGAGTTACGCATGCGCTTGAGATGAGCGTCGCCCCGGGGTCGTCGCCTGGCTCCGGCGACTGGCCATCCTCACCCGAGGACGCGCAGCGTGCGTTGTCGCAGTGGCGTAGGTCGGCGCCGAGCCAGAAGGGCCAGTTGAGGCATGCATTCATCGAGAAGAGCTGGGGGCATAAGGGATGGCAGGACGTCGGTGAGCGTCGGTTTCTATCCGTGGCATTTCATTGCCAGTGAGGTTAGTTTGACTGATTGATCTTCTTTAAAGAGCAAGACGAACATCGGTCCTGCACATGTTCGGGGTGCAGCACCGTCATTGTGAACCATAGGTTCAAGTGCGCGTCATGCAAGAACTTCAACTTGTGTCGAGCGTGCTACAGGTCAGTTGACTTTATTTATATTTACATCGCGATGTCTAACCAGGTGTGCTTCAGTCAAGTACATGAGATCCATCCTTCGCACGCCTTCCTTGTCGTTCCAGACAAAGCTGTGAGGGCACGGTCCGTGCCTGTCATCAGTATCACCCCCTCATTACCGACGTGCGAGCTGTGTAAGTGATTTGTATGATGTCAAGCATCTAGTCTGTTGACCCTCTTATATAGCAATGACACATCCCGGAGTGAAATGCGTGCAGTATGTTCTCTGCCAGACCAGTTGAACTCTTGACGTTGAATACCTTCCCTTGCAGTTGCATGCAAGATATTGTTGGTGCAAGGTTCCATTGTGCAATATGCGAAGCAATAGACATATGCTCGAACTGCGAGTCGGCCGGTCTTCCTGGCAATCTCGATTCATCGGACGGGGGCCATAACTCCTCACACATCATGATTAAGGTACCTCTCGCGCTCCTCTTCTCGATCCCCAAAAGCACAGAAATTGACTGATCACTGGTCCAAAGATCCCGTACCCCCTTGGTACCGCCGAACTCCAATCCGCCAGTAGGACTGCGAAGAGCCTCTGGACTGGACGTGATGCTGCCACCGGCCAGCGCGTGACATCGCGGGAGCGGCGCAACTCGCTGATTTCCTCATATGATGGTACAGTGCTCGGCTCGTCCACCCGTATAGGCATAACGTCAGCGCTGGACGACGTCTCTGTGACGAGCGAGACGGATGATCACGGGATACGATGTAATGGGTGTAACCAGGTGTGTTGGAACGATCTGAATAGTGATGGAAGCCGTATTAACGCACTTTCATAGAATATCGTTGGTAATCGATATCAGTGCGCAGAATGCCCATCTATCCCACGACCATATAATCTTGTATGTTTACTTTTTCACAACGTGCGAGTGGTGTTGACTGCTAATTGCAGTGCTCGCTCTGCGAGGAACGCTCCTACATTGTACACGACCCAATGCATATCTTCTTCAAATTCCCTCGACCCGTTGATCGCCCCCTACAGTCGGAATATCCTTTCATCCCAAGGCTGTCAGTATATCAATGCCCTGTCTCTCCGTCCTACTGAATATTCCGGACAGATACAAAGCACCAGTAGGATCGCTGTCCCCGTTTAACCGTGATGATCCAAAAGGTAGTTCATCTGCATGTCAGTAGCCTCTGCGTACTTGCTGACGTCGGAATCGTAGCATACTTGAAGGACCTGTTTCATAACAGTCTGCTGTGCGATTGTTGCATGATGAAAATACAGGGCGCGTGGTACCGCTGCGCATATTGTGGGCGGGACCTGTGCGAAGTGTGCCAGGAGATAGACACGCACGACAATGCGCACGCTTTCGTCGTCTTCAAGTCGTCGGTGCGTATTCATTCCCTTATCCCTGTCTAGATGCTTTGCTCAGCCGTCTCTGTTCCCAGGTTGACATGCATATGTTCAAGTAAGAATTTGTTTGCTCCGCATAACCTTTGCGGCGCTCACTGATGACACACGGACAGGCGTTTCGCTGAACTGGGCAACGACCCCAACGGCCCTAGTCCCCCAATTATTCCTTATCCCATCTATCACCCGTAAGTTGTATTGAGCTCTGTAGTATATATGTTTTCGTGCATTGTTGTTTGGATAGATACTGTATCTTCTCTTTATTGGTGTCATCAACACTGTATTATATTCTGCTGTCGCTCTGTACTCATCTAGGGACCTTCACATTTTTTGCGAGATCTACGAGAAGATTACTTTGATCCCGCCCGGAATACTTGTGCTCTATGTGGCGGGACAATTAACGTTGCTCATATTTGCAAAGCACTGTAACATCTTCATGTGGCTGTCAGCCCCAAGCACGAATCAGTATCAGACTGCATCACCACGTGAGGATACAACTCCGGCTGGCAATTTCATACATCTACTTTGGACTTCAGCTTCAAGCTCAAGAGGGCAGTACTTCGTCTACACAGACGATATCAACGTTCCGAGCCAACGTAGCAACAAAATGTGAGAAACTTCAAAATTCAATATTCAGAATTCATGATCGATCACGATCGATGCCATGTTTTGCCTCCAACTTGGCTCCGATGTCGATGCCCACTGTTCATTGTCAAACCGTAGTTCCAACTGCCTCCTGTAATGTGCAATGTCTTTTCTCCATACGCTTGATCCGGCCAGGAACGCGAACTCCTGACTACATACGGATTCACCGCCAGCGATCCATGCAATGAGCAGAGACGGTTCAGCGAAGTGAGACAAACGACAATAGGCTCACTGCAAGCTCGCTCAATCCCATCATGCAAACCCAACTAGCATTTCCCTGCAACGGTGGAGCCTACACGTTATTTCCCAGGTGTCCGAGTCTGGTCTAAAGAACCGACAGAGCCCACGGCACTCTTTCAACATGCAGTTACGACGAAGACCCGTCGCATGTTCTGTGCGTCTCGATGTCGGCTTCGACCGAGAGTCGCTCGGAGCCACTAAATTTAGCCCTTGCCAGCTCCAGACGAAGAAGGAGCCAGCCAAAAAGGAATGACAATGACACAGGTCGAAAGACCAAGGAACTGACCAACAAAGCACGGCATACCGCAAAGGATGAACAAACAGACTGAGAAACGTACGCGCACAGCCAACAAGGGGTATCAAAACTAGAGCATTAACTTACAGACGAAGCCGGCAATTCGAAGTTCCTCAGAGTACCGCCACTAGCCCAGTGGGAAGTCGAGTGTAATGCGTCCGACAAGCAAAAGAGAGCCATGTCGCCGCCAGCGGCTCTCGAGGTAGATGGCCGAGCAGAATTGCATTCCTATAGTGCTTGAACGCCTCAAGTAGTGTCTTCCCGTTCACCTCGAAGACAAAGATATTGTCAGGAGTTATAGCATCATGATAGCAAAGAGCTGCTCAGGCAAATCTGTGGTGTCCAGACCAATTTCCCCATATTCGCCATAATACATACTGTACTTGATGAAAGGCAAATTCCACACCCATGCGGTCTGAAATAAGTTCAAGCTAAGTGGCTTCGTCTTTGCTTCGTCTTCGTGACTGTCCTGTCATTGACGTGAGTCAGGTGATAAACGCGTCGCGTGTTGCGCGACTTCAGACTCGGTCGGAGATGAGTCTCTCGCTATCTAGAGCAGCCCACGATTAACGGAGCAGTGTCAAACTCATTCATGACTACTGCTACCATCAACGGCGGGTACTGACACAACCCATGCCCACATTCATATTAATATTGAAGCAGTGCTCGGCCTGAAAGGCTTCAGCGAGACACCACGTAAGAGAAGAGAATAAAAAGGCTACTTATGACTGTGTACATTCTTCTTCCTTGAACCACACCCTACCCGCACATTCCCCTACTTGCCAGGTCGTCTCTGTAAGGATGTTCTTCATGCCTGCTTTAAAAGCGGCTATCTTGGATGTTGGCCTCTGAGAAGGGCCCCGCAGAGCGTCGACGACTCATCCAAGGATGCGAACAGCAGGATTTGCGAGATGTGCGGATCCAAGAGAAGCACACTCAACATCCAAGTTGAGTCGAACATCAGTCAGATCTGCATTTAGCAGAATCATTACATCCTTTCCGCGGTATGTGTTGTCCTGGTCACGAGCGAGAACAAGAGTGTGTTATAGATCAGGATTAAGGTCGAGATCCAAGTCGAAGAACTGTTGCTGCTGGGAAGCGCGCAGATCGGCTCTGTACGGATTTGCCGCTGGGCCAGCCATGAGAGGTTGCCGTTCTACAGACTTCGGCGACACCGTTGGTGCTGTTTAGAAACAAGAGCGTCAAATTTGGCTCTGCTACACACGCTCGAGAACTTACCCTTGCCCACGGAGTGTGTCTCCCCGAGAATCCCGAGCGGCTCCTCGTCGTTCATATGGCCACGACGCATCTTTTCTTCATTCGGGAATGGCGGGAAGAAAAGGGGTGGAGGTGGCTGCCCAGGCAGAGCGAGATCTGGCATGTTCGGTGGCGCAGAGGTAAACGCGGAAAGACTCTGTGCGTAAGCCAGCAGCTCAGGGTAGGGAATGGACGCTGGGGCAGCACGTCAAAACTTAAGCATCAAGAAACGAGTTTATGCCATGTACCTGTTTTCGCCTCCTCGATACTCTTGATGCGCTCCTCACCGTCGCGCACTATCACACCCAACTCGCGGCGGCCGTCCTCGAGCTCCTGTACGATCTGGCGCCAGCGCCCCTCTAGCTCAAGCACCTCGCGCTTCAGCTGCTCAATCCTGCGCTGCTTCACCTGATGTGTGCGCGAGAGCTGCACAGCAGATGCGAGCGCGTCGTCAACCGCTACGAACACGGAAATGGGTGGTGGTGGAGGGGGCCGTGCCTGCACGGGGCCGAGCGACTGGAAGAGTTGCTGCGAAAGTGCTTGAAGTGTGTTCAGCGGTTCGAGCAGAATTTCTGTCATAGAGGGAGGCACTGGCTCGTCTGCTCCGAACTCAGAGGGCTGCATGGTGTTCGTGGCGGCTGCATTGAGAGAATTTGAATCTTGAGATTCGTTCAATCAAGGCCTCGGGATTCGCCGACCTATCTATTTACGGCAAGTAAGTAGGATGGCCACCCGAGCAGCTTTCTTCAGAGTATTCAGGCACATGATATGTACCCCCATACTTATCCCGCGAAAGTCTTCAGAGAGTATGCTTTTCAGATACACGACCGGAATTACAGGTTTGTTGGCAAGAGTCTGCCGGTAGCCAATATAACCACTACTAGCTTTCAAGTCCGAGCTGGTGCTGTAAGCCAAAAATATCATACAGAAGTTCAGCTGTATTTCAGCACTACAAATGCACGCAATCTATTCATCGTCATACACGGAACCTTGGATAATTCTATTGGGAAACCCTCAGAAACCCGGAAACCCCAAGAAACCCCGGGTTTCTGAGGCTGCTCGGAGAAACCCCTCAATGTGGAAACTTGTGGGGTTTCCCTCTCCGGAGGAAGTTTCGGACTCCGGCCGGATGCCCTCCTGGGGCGGCCATGTTGGCATCATCGTTTGTGCGGGAAGGCAGGGCAGACTCACTGCTCAGCTTCTCATGGCAGTTGACGAGAGATCGAGAGACCTTGCCTGCATGCACTCTCCATATTCTTAAAGTAAATTTTCGCAAGAATGGGAGAGGGAGAGGGAAAATTGGCACCCGCCGTAAGCCTTGTCAGTGCCGCCCAACGCGTCCTGTTCACGTACATAGAGTGTACCTCCTGTGTGATCGGTAAGCCCTGAATCAACTTACAATTTCGCAGCGAGGCCTCTGCTACGGGGAGGCCGCACTTTACTCACTTTCAGAAAGAGTCTGCAAGCGCGGCTCCCCATCAAAACCGGCCGGCTGTCAACGGTCTCCCTTGCACAGAAACCAGGTTGCTGAGCAACTTAAGGGGGTTTCTGGGGTTTCCGGGTTTCTGGGGGTTTCTCAATAGAATTATCCCGGAACCTTGGTCCTGAGGGGCCTTTATCAGTAAATTGCCATCATTCTATGATAGGTAGTCAGGTACGAACGTGCTTTGATCGTGGCTCGTACAGCTGATAAGGGTTCGCAGCGAACAACTGTATGAATAATGCTAGCGAAGATGGCGGACGAACCATCAGTACTACAACAGATAACAATGACTGAACGATGACCAGATAATTACCAGATAGAAAATGCACGGTACAGTAGCAGGTATATGCTTCAAAGGAAGCCACCACCAGCGCCCACGACAGAGGTACGAATGTCTCAGGTTAGAGACAGTGGATGTGCCCCTTCCCGCTCCTTCGCTTCGATGCGAGCCCCTCCCTTCCAGAACATAATTCGCTCTATCACTCCCACGTTCACCTTAAAATATCTCCCTCTAGCTTTCTGCCCCTTCCCACAAAACTTGGCAGCGTAGGTCTCCAGCTGATCTCGGAACCCGATATTGAGGCACACTATACTCCGCCTGTCTCTAACGAACTGGACAGCGTCCGAGGGTAACATATCTGTTGTGGCAATCAAGTACGCGCAGACAACGGTCGCAGAACGCGACATGCCCATAAAGCAGTGAACCTGTAACACAGCGTAAGTATGGAATATTCAGCCGATGCAGGGGTCATAAGTAAAAAAAAGTATGGGGATACATACCAGCACTGCGTTCTTCTCATCTTCCTCCAGAGCCGACTTGATGTAGTGCGTGGTCTGCTCCAGGTACTGCAGAATGTCGGTTTTCGCCGAATCCTCAATTGGTATATGCAATATCTTCAGGTGAGACATGGATGGAGGGAATTTTGGGGCGATCTCGAGGACAGAGACGACATGAGTTATTCTCAGAGATGAGAGCTCTGCTTCGTCTTCTGCTGTGAGAAGATTAGAGAGGTATAGACGAGGCAGGATCCGGGAAGCCGAGCGTCCGACGTCGAGACGCTCCCTGCTGCTGAGACTACTGGTCGACTTGAACACGAGGGAAGACTGCGTCGTTGGTGTGGCGAACGCCAACATGGTGGTCAGACGCAGGTTGTCGGACATGCTCTAGCTGATACTTGAACTTTGAGTGGTAAATGTCACCCGAAGAAGGGATAGTGCTCGGGCATCGCCGAGAATACAGGCACCGGTTCGGTTCCGCGGACGCAGTTGGGTCGGTTGTGTTCTTCCTCGATCGCGTGTCGCCGCCCAGTCACTGTTCCCTCCGCCAGAAGTACGGATAGAAGAGAAGTTCTCCCTAGGTGTCCCACATTCTCAGACACCGTCGCGGAGAATAACTTCCAATCATGAGGTGAGGGCTATTTTTGTCTCGAAAATTGCAGTATCTTACCAATGACAGCCATCGAGGATGGTGGTTCAAACGCGAGGATGGCCATACACACAGCCTCGAAGAAGCAGAAGAGTTCGAGCTCTTGGATGACGTTCTTCAATATCCGTCTTCTAGGTCCATGGATAAGCGACCCGCATACGAAGAGGGTACTACTATCGACTGGCTGCGCGAAGAGGCTGCGGAACGCGAACGCAAGCGTGTCCTCCGTTCCCGACGTGGATTCCGCGGACTGGTAGCGTTGGTGCTCGATTCCACCAGCATGTGGCTGGTAATTATCTTGACTGGTATAGGTATTGGCATTGCAGGAGCTTGGTTGGATATTCTGGTGCAGTGGTGAGTATCACTCGCCTCGTGTTCAAAATCATTGGGTCTTCACGAGGACTCATAGGCTAGGAGACTTGAGGGAAGGACGGTGTTCACACGGCTTCTTCTACAATCAAGTGACATGTTGTGTGGGCGTGAATCGTGGGTATCCATTGTTTCTTGTTTCACGACTCTTGTAACTGTTCGCTTTGCACAACAGAAGGAGAGATCTGCGCTGAGTGGGAGACTTGGAGTGAATTTCTGCATGTCAAGACGATCTTCGTGCAATCGCTGTTGCAATCAACCGTATATACTGCTCTGGCAGTGAGTGCTGTCACATCTTCGTCCATGCGCTTCTCACAGTTAATTTCAAAGATCATATTCGCAGGAAGTTCAGCTATCCTTGTGAAGAGCTATGCTCCTTAGTGAGTGCGAGGAAATTTTCAGCCGTGCGACCTTCTGACAGGCGTTCGAACCAGTGCGTTTCATACTGGAAGTACGTGCTTGACAATATCTTGTCCTTCCGCACTCTCATCATTGGTTTTGCTTCACAGTCCCCGAGATTAAGGCTGTCTGTATACGTCTTACCTGTTATGTCGCTGTATCTCACACCGACGTGCTAGGCAGATTCTGAACGGATATGTCCTCGACGCGTTCTTCAGTCCCTGGACTCTGCTCATCAAAGCACTGGGTCTCGCTCTTGCAGTTGCCTCTGGCTTGTCATTGGGTAAAGAGGTGTGTTTGCATCGCGTATGAGTGTTATGTCCAATCCTGAGTCCAAACAGGGTCCCCTTGTTCATGTTTCTTGCTGCTTGGCCTACCTCTTGTCGAGGATTTTTAAGCAATTTCACAATAATGAGGGTGTGTTATTCTATCAATCTTTTCTCACGTATCTCTGAATTTGGTAAAAAATATCTAGCTCAGAAGCGCAAGATGCTCATAGCAGCAGCCGTCGCTGGCGTGTCCGTCGCTTTCGGCAGTCCCCTCGGTGGTGTCTTGTTCGGCCTCGAGGAACTTGACACCTTCTCAAATGGGAGCGATGTCATGTGGCGCGGATTCGTTGTCTCTGTCATCGCCGCCATGTCTCTACAATACATTGATCCCTTTGGCACTGGGAAGCTAGTCCTCTTTGAAGTTACGCAAGTGACCACAGTTTGGAGAGCATTCGAGTTGGTTGGTCTTTCGTGCCTATCGCTTACGTAGAATTTAAGACTAATACTATCGTAGATACCTTGGCTTTTCCTCGCAGTTATAGGCGTAAGTTGACTTGCTGTCTTCGACTCATCGCGCCTTGAATACTCATGATCAGGCTTACAGGGTCTGCTCGGTTCTCTACTCATCAAACTCAATGCAGCCATCGCCGTTTATCGACACAACAGTATCTTACGTCAATGGCCACTTCTCGAAGTGGTGGGAATTTCGGCGATCACTGCTGCAGTGAGCTATTTGGTATGATTTCTGCGCCTTCGTTGGAGAACTGGGCTTGATGCTCGCTGCAGGTGGTCTTCCTCAGGGTGCAATCGTCAGAATTGGTTGCGAACCTCTTCCTAGACTGCGATGCCAGTACGGATTATCACGGCCTCTGCAAGTAAGTGGTTAGATGTGCTCGGCTAGTATACTATTATTGAGACGCTGAAATAATAGTCCTACTGCAATCTCGGCCAATGTGTTCCTTCTGATATTGACCGCCTTGATTAAGGTTGCCTTGACCTCGTGGACGTTCGGGATGATGGTAATAACAAATAATGCTCGTTTGCTTCTCCACTGAGTTGGAGTCATCTAGGTACCTGCGGGTATCTTCCTTCCCACAATTGCTATTGGCGCATGTCTTGGCCGCGCTGTTGGGTTAATCACGTACGTGGTTGCGAGATCTTGTACTCTAGTGTTTCGACAGCGATTGTTTTTTGCAGACAAGGTCTTCATCGTGCCTACCCGACTGCTTGGATATTTTCTTCATGTCCTCCAGATCCAACTATGCGTTGTATCTCACCTGGCTTCTACGCTGTTATCGGCGCTTCGGCTATGCTTGGCGGTGTGACCCGAATGACCAGTAAGTGTACGCGATCCCGTTACTTTTGAACGATGCTCAGCATTTTCCAGTCTCTTTGGTTGTCATTGTGTTCGAGGTTGGTACATTTCAACCGACTTGCATACTGTTTCCGAATTTGATGTCCCGCATTGTAGCTCACTGGCGCACTGTCTCACGTCCTGCCGATTATGATCTCCGTCATGGTCTCCAAATGGGTGGGCGACGCCTTTGGGAAGGAGGGCATCTACTCTATCTGGATCGCCATGCGGCAGTACCCCTGGCTGCCTTCGGTGGAATTCCGCGATCAAGGGCAGACCGCGGCGGATCTGATGAAGCCTGCAGATCATTTAGTTGTCATCCACGACGACGGTGACGGGTGTACACTGCTGGAGCTGGGCGAGTTTTTGGAAACGCATAAGTTCCACGGGTTCCCGGTCGTGTATGGTGATCAATTGGTTGGCTACGTCACGCGTGACCGACTGAGGGCAGCTGTAGGTGAGTACTGGGGTTTCCTGCAGTGTGTGATTGCGTCTGAGGGTGTGTAGAACCGCTTTTGGCTGAGGACAAGTCCTCCGGGGCTCCGCGCAGGTGTACCTTTCTCGTGTTGCCGGGGGCGAGTGATTCGGAACTCGTCAATCTATCAACTATGCTGGAAGAAGCGGTATTGCAGCTGCGCAAGGAGATGCCACTGGAGCTGGTCGTGAGCATGTTCCAAAAGCTCGTTGAGTGCCGTGCCGTTGTTATCGGACTTCGTTCGCTGATTGGCCGTGTTGCCAGAACCTACGACAAGTACTGTTATCGCAGGGAGGACAGCTGACCGGTCTGATCACCAAGACGGATATCGTGGGGTTGTTCACGGCGGAATTCCCGTATACCGCTGCGTTGTCGGAGAGCCACCAGTAGGATAGTTTGTTGAGTTGGGCGTCCCTCCAGTTTTCATATCATTATTTCGAGTATGAGGCTTACGCGTAGAAGGACATTGACTGATCATGTCTTCGATTCTGCTTGTCGTTTTACCTTTGGATAAATGTTTAGCACATTAAATTAGCTACGCAGAGGCGCGAGCGGCTGAAGAGAGGACCCTGGATAATCCCCCCAAAGGTCGTCGCCAAATCCGGACAGATTTTTGCTAATTTTGGCCCGAGGTCATCGCCATTTCCGGACAAATCAGGGTCCCAAAGCCACCATGGCCATCGCAGCATCCGGACACAAAAATAGGTAGAGGATCCTAGGCCATCCTCTTGTCCGGACATGAGGTTGGATAGCTGAGAGCCTGGAAAATTGATGCAGTTTAGTAGGTGCAGCGGTATGGTGTTGGCAGCGGTAGCGGTTTTATGTTGTACATAACTCTGTGTTCGAATCCCGCTGTGACCTTTTTTTCTTGGGGCAACTATGCTCTTCATGCGCGGAGAAGGGAGGCGGTCATTTAACCTTGAATTGAAGCGGGCAGCCCGGTGCAGCGCGCCAACTTCAGAATGTCTTCTTTGATGTGACATACTTTTCTCTAGTGACGGCTATCTCATATGCAGGAGTGCAGCTCTTCGAACAGTACTACAAGCAGCAGTTCCGTGCGATTACCGAGGCAACCTCTGTCCTACAGACCCATCAATTTGCGCTCATTCCCGCGATGTCTCTCCTCTGTATGCTCACCTCTGCACCCACTATGACAGGTACCGGTATCGAGCTCTCTCACGGTGATCTGGAAACTAAGTGCTGCGGAATCTTCATTGCAGACAGCAATGCGACTTTTCCGCAAGCGGGGAAAGCACGGAGAACATGAGCAATTAGAGTGAACAAGATGTAGTATAATTCCATCATAACATATCCTTCTCGGTGCCTTCCTATGTTGCCCACCTCTCCAGAGAACCTCGGTACTGTTAGTGTGGTTCTCTTGTCGAAATTAATGCATTTCTGAGGCCGTCTGCGCAATCCGGACAAAAAAGTCACTTCTTCAAGGCCATCTGCGTGATCCGGACAAAATAATCGCCTTTTTCAGGCCGTCTGCGCGATCCGGACAAAAAATTGGCCAAGTCGAGGGTTGTCGCCGATTCCGGACAAAAAAGTCCCCAAATCGGCCAAAAATGGGCCGGACAGATTTTTGTAAATCGGGGGGGTTTTGGCGACGACCTTTGGGGGGATTATCCAGGGTCCTCTGAAGAGCTATAGCGTTTAGACTTGCAGATCGTATCTCCATCTTGCCGCCGGCAATATTCATACTCCGCAATCCCATAAATAGTGGTTGAATAGCCGAGAAAGGTTGTTTTCTGAGTGAGCACGAGGAACGAGCGCAAACACAGAATTTCGTCTATGTTCGGATTAGGCAGTTGTGGCGCGGCGCTTTTCTTGCCTCCCGCCAACGCCACGACTGTCGTTCCTCCCGCTGCTCGACATCAGAGCAGCTTAAGCTTTCGTTTTCATTAGACTTTGAAACTTGCGCTCCCTCATAGACCAGCTAGCTTAAATATAAGTCTCTACGGAATCTAGTAATGCCCGGAATTCAGATCAATCCCGCTTCACTGGAATGTCCCGACTACGCGTCGGACACCTATGCAGCAACTCGCGCACCATTGGTCAATGACCACACCACTAATGAGCAAGCTATCCAGTTGCTCGTCAATATATGGAAAGCGGGAAACGACGCTGAAAAAGTCTCATGGCAGCACCAGATGGAGGAACATGAAGCCGAAGTTGCGGAACAGGTTAGGTTGGCCGCGGAGGCCGATAATGACGCGCAGGAGGCGCAGCTCGCTGAGCAGGCGAACGTGCGGAAAGAAGAGATCAAAAAGAACCGAGCAAAGTTTGCACCTATTCCGGACAGGGATGTACCAACCATTGCTCCGGTGATAGCAGCTAACTACGCGATCAAAAGAATGGAGAGGGGTGACTTCGTTGAACTATGGTACTACATGAACGAGGGGCTTGAAGAGGCACTTCGTATCACCAGCTCTGTTGACGATGAAGCCACGGTAATGACTCGAACATCGGATGGCTCCACCTCCTGGGTTCCCGCAGGATCAGTAAGAGAAGCCCGAGGAGTAACCGATGATAAGGACATCAGATGGGAAGATTTCTGTCAAGCTGTGCCACGCATGGTCCTGGCGATGGAACAAGCTCGGTGGCCAGAGGAGCGGATCACTATGCTCGCAAGATTCTGAGGTAACCTGCAAATTCATGAGCTCCGCTCGAGTACCGACCCACTCGATCAGAGGACACTTCTGGTGTACCAGGCGGAGCAATGCAAGCTCTGGCACAGGGCAATCACCTCGCCAGCCACCGCATACAATCTCACCCGCATCAATGATGATCTCATGCGGAAGACCAGAGAATGAGTATACTGGGCCGAACGCAGTCGCAGAGACAATGAGCGAGATTTTCGCGTGCGTACTCCAATCCTGCATGGGCTGATGAAGCACTAATGACTTGAATTTCGAATCCATCAAATTCCATCCATCACGACGACGAATACGTCTTTCATCCGACCCGCACGCGACGTCATGTCATGCACATCCACGCACTGGCACTGGTATTGATGCGGGCATTGGCATTGGCATTGGCATTGGGCACTGGCACTGGGCATTGGCATTGGCATGGGCAATCTCACTCGCGCTGGCAACGGCACTGACATGGAATCACATGTCCCTTCACCATGGATTGACTACGGACAGTCAGAACAATGCCGGAATACTCAGCCGGCTCCTGCACCAACATGCAGAGGAGGGCAGGCTGCACAGTCACATTACAGCTTAGAGTCACGTAACCGTTCAAGGTCACCGGCTCGAGCAGGATCATCTAGTGCCGCACGACCTGGACCGAGGCCGAGAGACAATGGATACCAGATGGCAAAGCGAGAGGATTTTCGGAACGGCGCAAGTGGAACTGCATACGCCGCTTGCGCCATCTGTCTCGGCCGTCATGCACGGTCAATGCCTGCGACGCAGTGATTATCTGGGACCAGTCCCTACCATCATTGGCCCACTGAATCGACAAAATCCTCATGCTTCGCGATGGTCGACCTCTCTGTCTCGACTGGCAGCGCCCCAATTCTTGTCTCAGTCGCAGACACGACCAGAAGCATGTCTGTTCTGGCTGCGGGCAGAACACACATGGAGCTCAAGACTGCCCTCGAGCAGAGAAAGCTTAGGGCACTCACTCCTTATAGGATTGACATCTGGGAGCAATTGCTGTGAGATGTGGGACTTCTCGTCAAGTATGACCATGTCCTGGAGGGATTACGCACCGGATTCATCATCAACATGCCAACAATCATGCGCACTCAGGTCCCGCCCAACAGCGAATCCATTATCACGTTCGCAACAGATTTTCAGAGGATCATTAACCTGGAGATATCAAAGGGACGATACATCGGACCACTCACACGCGAAGATGTTGAGGCCTTTTTGGGTCCATTTCAGTCATCACCACTTGCCATCATCCCAAAACCTGGCAGACCAGGTCGTTTTCGTTTGGTACAGAACTTCTCGTTCCCACACGCTATATCCTATCAATACCCGAATGCATCTGTCAACTCAGCAGTTGACTCGGATGACTTTCCATGCACATGGGGAACGTTCAACATTGTTGCACTCCTCATCTGTCGCCTTCCTCCGGGTTCACAGGGTGCAACGCGGGATGTTGCAGAAGCATACCGTACTGTTCCAATCCATTACACGCAGTGGCCAGGGGCAGTGGTGCGAGTTAGCCAGAGCCGCTACTGCATTGATACAGCAGTATGTTTTGGTGAATCGCCATCAGTGGGGACATATGGGTATGTGGCCGATGCAGGTGCAGATTTATTCAGATCCTATGGAATCGGGCCACTTTCAAAATGGGTGGATGACCATTTCTTCTTCCATATTCTCAGAGTACATCTGCATCGGTACAACCACAGTCGAAAACTCTGGCATGATGACATCACCACATGTGGTCAGCATCATAATGGCGGACACATATGGTATGGTGGACAAACCTTCGATGACAGTACCCTCGAGGAGTTCGACGATGACTGTCAGTTTCCCATCAAAGACTTGTCTGCTCTCTCTCCTCGCTCGGAAGCCGACAAGGCCTATACATACTGTTTCGCAGATATCGACAGGCTCTCTGAGAACCTGGGTTTCCCGTGGGAATGCAGCAAAGATACATTGTTCGCGTCAGTGTCGGTCTACATTGGATTGTCGTGGGATCTGCAGGAGCTCACGGTTGGACTGGGGAGCAAAAAAAGGCAGAAATATCTCAGTGCAATCCAAGAATGGCAGTGCCGGGTGACGCACAATCTCAAAAATGTGCAGAAGCTCTACGGCAAGCTCCTCCACACCTGCCTGGTCATACCGAGAGGCCGAGCATACCTCACCGGACTGGAGGCCATGCTTGGACTCTGCCGTGATCGTGTTTTCATGCAGTATTCCCCCGTCAAAGAGATCACTGAAGACCTCATCTGGTGGCACCAAATCCTCTGCTGACCAACTCTCACTCGGCCGATACCACGACCTGTCCGACCGATCGATGTCGGGGCATTCTCGGATGCAAGCTCTGGCATCGGGATTGCTATTATCATCCGAGGGCACTGGCGAGCTTGGAGACTTGTCCCAGGGTGGCAGACACTTGATGGGATCAGAGACATTGGTTGGGCAGAGGCAGTTGGATTTGAACTACTGGTCCATGCGATCACCAGGCCTGACGGTCCTCGCCGGAACATTAGGGTATATGGGGACAACAAGGGAGTGGTTGGCGGATGGTGGAACGGCCGAAGCAGGAACAAAGCCATCAATGACATCTTCAGACGGATACACCACACACTGGAAGACTCCGGCAGCACCGGCACCATCTATGCCACTTACGTGGCAAGTAAATCAAACCCGGCAGATGCACCATCCAGAGGAATATACCCCTCACAAAGTCTCCTCCTACCCCCCATTGAGCTCCCAGCAGATCTCCACAGGTTTCTCGTGGACAGCACCCAGCCATACACCGCCACAGAACTTTGTATGCGTCGAGAAGGACGTTACCCCAGGGCCATCGCAAAGCGGATTGATGGTGCTGTTGCAGACGCTCATGCCCAGCAACAACGAGAAATGGACAGGATCTACGATGAGCTATTTAAAAGTCGAGCCGTCTGGGATGACTGAAATTCCAGACTCACATTTCGCGGCTACTCTGCCAGCCAGCACCACCGTGAACCCAAGACCAAGACCATACAAAGAAGGACGGGTACCTTTGACATCTGCTCAGCGCCCACATTGCTTGGCGTGGGACCGATTGTGGTTGTGGCTACCATTGAACCGTCGGACAACCAGAGATAGGAATGGTTTTGAGGTACCCGTCACCGATGATGACTTGGACCGGGTCTTGGCAGTGATCACAGTCTCTTGGGCGCAATCCACGCGGGAATCATATGGCGCCGGACTGCTCATTTTCCACATCTTCTGTGACAATCGAGGTATCACTGAGGACCAGCGGTGCCCGGCCAGTTCAATACTAATGCTCACCTTCCTATCATGCTGCGCCGGATCCTATTCAGGCAAGACACTGGCCAACTACTTCTACACAATCCGCGCATGGCATACCCTACACGGACAGCATTGGAAGATGCCCCAGGCAGAGATGAAGGCGGCGCTCGACGGGGCAGCAGTCCTGGCGCCACCGTCGTCGAAACGGGAGAAGCGAATCCCATTTACAGTCGAATTCATCATCCTTATTCGAAGTGTACTGGATCTCTCCCTCCCGCTGGATGCTGCCGTATATGCATGCCTAACAACAACATTTTTCTGTGCAGCACGGGTAGGAGAATTTACACTACCTAATCTGAAAGCATTCGACAAGACAATTCATGTCAAGCATTCGGATATGCGAGAAGGGGAGGATCGGCATGGCTATCGGGTGACAGTATTTCGGTTACCACGCACCAAGACATCCTTCGAGGGCAAGGACGTGTACTGGGCAGAACAGCAAGGACTTGCAGATCCGAAAGCCGCAATGGTGAACCATCTCACCATCAACCGTGCTGCCCAGGATGCATCGTTATTCACATGGCGTCACCCGCAAGGAGCGCGACCGCTAACGAGAAGTGAGTTCTTGAAGCTGCTCGACGCGGCCGCAGCAGTTCTCGGGATAACAGACTCTCTGAAAGGGCACGGCATTCACATCGGAGCCGTCCTTGAGTACCTGTTGCAGGGCATACCCTTCGAGGTTGTGAAGTCGATAGGGAGGTGGAGTAGCGAGGCTTTCCGGGTCTATCTGCGTCAACATGCAGTGGTCATGGCACTGTACATGCAGAGCAGCCCCATCCTGGAACCATTCACACACTATACAATGCCGCCTCCTCGATAAAATGGTACGTATTTCGCCCGTCTCCTTGCACAGGGGAGTCCAAGCTGTCGCTCGACGCGTCGCAGGGCTCCTAGCTGTTGGGTATCACAGCTCATCTCGGACTTCTTCTGTCTAGGTCCGGGCAGTTGTTTCTGGTCCAAAAACCCCCGCGGGTTTTTCCCCACCCTCTCAAGCTCCATATGTTCACTTGCACGTGCAGTTGTTGTAGCCTAGCACAGCGTGCATCTCCTAATATCAGTCACTCTCAGACACACTGATATGACATGCATAGACAGCGGTCCGACTTGCCTTTGTACCACTCCAATTCGCAGATCCTCCTCACTGTTTAACTTTCAGTCTCGTCGTCACTATGCCTGATAATACCACCGGCTCCTCCTCCGGGAAAGACTACACCGTTACAAGTTCTGGGACGAATGACCAGGTTCGTCGTCACCTCCTTAGCGATTCGCCCCTCGCGCGATGCTCATTGTCTTTGCTCATGCACAGGGCAACCACTACTGCCATCGCGAGTCCAGCGGTGGTAGTGGCTACCATTATTCCAACAAGTAGGTCCTATTTATGCCCCATCATACTCATCTTGAATTCTAACACGCTCCTGATAGCAATGGGAGTTACTACTACCAGAACCCAAACGGTTCCACATACTACGACAGCGGCAAGGGGTATTCTCAGTACACCGCTCCCGACGGCTCTGTCCACAAGAAGTAACAATGAGTGGGTACATCGTCGGGCTCTTTGTTCTTTGTGCACTATTGGATGCTTACGGGCAGTTGCAGCTTTGATATGGGGGGATCTGTTGGTGCGCTGGCGTGGTTTTTACTCCTGTGAAATCGTTGTACTTGAGATGTTCTAAAGATGAAAGGCTGATTACCGCCAAATTGACAGTCCACCGGCGCCTAATGCTGGAAGCGTCACGCGCGAGCCGAACGAGCCGAACGGCGCCGAGAAGGACCCTGTGAACCGGCGGCCGCGACACGAAGGGCGGGGCGTGAGGGGCGCGCGAGAGGGAGCAGCACGGGAGGAGGAGGCGGAAACTGCGGCGGGAGGGCGCGCGGTGTGCACGTCGAATATATCCGCCCTTTTCCGGGCGAGGGAGGGCCAGCAGGGAGGGGCGCATTCAGTAGGGAGGGTCGGGGAGAACAAAACAGGCGCCCTGGCATCGCCCAAAGGGGGAGGCCCCACAAGCGCCCCGCTGGACTGTAAACGCGCCCGTCAGAACTGTAAATCTGGCGACCCGAAGCAAGCTGGAGTGGGGGCTGAATCTCGCGGGGAACCGCGCCGCGGCCCCTCACGAACATGCGGCTGACCGACAGATTTACAGTCCACAAATTTACGTCCCCTCGGCGAGCTCCGAGTCCCCATCAAGCCCCGGCGCTACCTCCTGCCAGCGGTGCTGTGCATATGTTTAGTTCCTGATCCCATTAATTTATTCGGTACCCAGTTTACTGCATATATATTTCTCTACACTCACACTGCCCTGCCGGGGCCTTATCTACTGCATCGCGGCTCACCAGCCTTCGCGTGCGGCATGCGCATGTCCTCTCTCGCATGTTTTCTTCCATTCGGCGAGGCTGGCCGGGGACTCGCGCTCGCGCGACGCGCGTGGACGGATTAGGCAGGAGGGACTGTAAATGGACTGTAATTCCGCGCGTGACCGGCGTGACAGGACTGTCAATCTGGCGGAGGAAGAAATAAAGGACAGTGTGATAACGACGTGACAGTTGTCATCCGTGTGACATGAAGGACGCGTGACGTCACGCGCGACGCGTCACTCTATAGCTGCCCTCGGACGCGTTCCCTCGGGCCCGCTCTTACCCTTGGCCACTATCTTCGCAAAACCTCGCCACTCATCTCTTATATTTCGTTGCAAACATGTCTAGCAAGAAGAGTCGCTCGTCCAAAAAGGACTACATCATCACAAACAGTGGTACGAACAGCCGGGTCCGTCGCTGTCATGATTCGGCATCCGCAGTACGGTATGCCCATTGTTGTCATGTTCGTTCACAGGGAAACCACTACTGCCATCGTGAGTCCAGCGAGGGTGCCGGGTACCATTACTCCAACAAGTGAGTCGCATCGAGTTATAAGTGCTGTACTCAACTTTGCTGACGGGCCGCGCAGAGACGGGAGCTGGTACTATCACAACCAAGATGGCTCTCGCTACTTCGACGACGGGAAGGGGCATGCGAAATACACCGACCCGAGCGGCAATGTCCACCTCAAGGGTAGCAGCGAAGGGTATGTGGCATCTTTTTGATCGTCTTCGTTGGGCTGACGGACAGTCTCCTTGGGGCTGTCCGTCTGCCCCCTCGCATTGCAGTGATATCTGATTTTGTAGTGTGTCGATAATGGCATGTGGTTGGCGACCTTGCGTCAGCATGGAACCTATTTAATATACAATAGTATGAGGTATTGATTGTCGAAAAGATGGCGTGAATAAATTAAGGAGGTGACCCCGATGCACATGTGAATCAGTCCTGCCTGTCTTCTGATAAGATGAGCGGCGGGGGCATCAATCAAATATCAATGGAGTTGCAACGACTTGACAACCATCTATCAAAAGCGGAAGAAAGCAACCAGACGAGCCAGACATCAGTGAGAGATGCACAAGCAATCAAGCGGAAGAGTCCGAGATCAACACTTGTACTGACCGTCAATGGAGTCTCGAGTGAGCATGACAGCTCGAGATTATCCTGAATGTGGGCACGAACATCAACTTCGTAGCTCATCCGGTCCGCAGGATGTACATGTAATAGTGGAATGCCTCCCCCATCTCACGAACTTCCAGCGTCGTGCCGGGCCGCGTGAGGTAGCGGCGGCGGAAGTGGGGTTGCCCGAAGGTTATGTAGATGAAGACACCGCCTGATTTGCGAAGCACGCTGTGGAAGTTGCGTGAAGTACGTTGCTTGGAAGGGTTATATATGGAGCGTACCGCAGAACTTCGTTGACTTCTCGGCTGCAGTTGTCTATGACCTCTTGTGGTGGATCCTGAGTTCGAATTAGGGCCTGGATAAATTGTGGAGGGCACTTTACACACCCAAACATCGCCCTTGGTCGTCATCATGGCATCCATGGTACCTATTTTCAGTCAGGAATATGAAGGGAATATGTGCGAAATGATATCTGACCTTTATCAATCGCGACGTCGAAGGAATCTGCGTCGAAGACGATATCACGAATATCCATCTCATGCCCTTCAAAATTTCAGTAGCACGCAGACAGAGGAAGGTGTAAAAACGTACATTCCATCTCGGGTCGAGCTTGCTCGTGCCTTTGGCGCATTTTCTCGATGAGAATACCCGAATACTGGATCGATCCAAGTAGTAAAAGTCATAGCACTTGAGAATATAAGGGCTGCCCACTGACGTCGGTGTTAACAATATTTTTGTACCCGTCGTCGTACATCTGAAACACGGTTCATCCTGGATGTCCGAGGTGATCGTGCCGTCGAGCACACCTCTTCCGATAGCTTCGAGTTGCCACAACCCAGCATCAGGATTCTTGCGTCCTTATTCGGGATAATCGAGCGCATTATGTCGGCGACATCATCATACGATTTAAACCAATCGAACGACGCGTCGTCGGACTCTCTGTAAGATACGCCATCCAACCGTCAACGTCAAGGTCGAAGCCAAGATCACTGGAAGCAGCCGACTTACTGGCTGTATCTCTGGTCCCTAATCCTGTTCAGCAAAATAAAATCACAGTATGAATAACTATTCTCACCAGTACTCCTTTGATCCGTATTCCTCATTTTTTCTAGGAAGAATACTCGACATCGAAGTTGCAGTTGGTGGAAGCGCCCGTCATGGTACTGCCGCGTCGGCCGTAGGCGCTTACATTAATATTGCGGGGTAACAGTGATGGCGTAAGCACACTTTGCAGGGTAACTTCATCTTCCCTCTTCACACAATCCTCACCACAGCTGTATTGAACACGATGGCAAGTCTCCTGGGAAATAAGTCGCTAATAATCTAACAGTGAAGTGCTACTGCAGTCTGCCTATCCCGCATATTTGATGGGCGCTCTCTGCGTTGTTGGGGGCATTACTGGCTACGTGAGGACGCGCAGTATTCCGTCTATTGTCGCAGGCGTAGGGTATGTTGCAATACCCTCCATATGAGGAGGTTCGTTCTTACTGCGAATCCACTGGTGTAGTGTGGGAGCACTTTACCTTTGGAGCGCGGACAGCATCCGCAAGGGGACAAGCAATGGTCTTGAAGCTGCCCTCGGTACGTTACGTCCAATGCTCTGGTAGATGGAGAACTGACGTACAGCGTAGGTGCATCCGCCTTGCTACTCTTATCTTCGCTTCCTCGCGTCGCAAAGGGCCCTGTACCGCTCGCTCTCACCATAACGTCTACCGCCGCAGGATGCTACTACGGATCGACCGTATACCAACTCCGGAGGCAGGCGCAGGCGTAGGTTGCTCACAGTCGCGTTGATCTATATCGTTGTACTTGTAATGTCTGTTGTCACAATATATTCCCAACTCAGATGGATCTTACGTTCACGCACCCCTGCTCTGGTTGTAGTGCAGAGCGATCTCAAGCAGACTCAAGCAAATGATGTGTGGTGGCACGGACGCTCAGAAAAGGAATTTTACATTCTTGTAAAACTCCACCAGAGGGTTCTCCCCATTCCGTACCCGTGTCTTGCTCAAGTCTGCATACGTCTCCATGAACTCCTCATGCGTGAGCACCCTGGACTTGCGGTCGCCCACCGGCAACCCGCTCGCCGACGCGACGTCGTCGACGGGGGGCCGCCGATTCCTCGGGTGGTAGGACGAGAAGAAATCCGTGCCGACAAACAGCGACGACGACGTGGTGGACAGGGGCGAAGCGCGAGGGGGGCTCTCGGAAGCGGACATCGAGAGCGGCTCCGACAGAACGTGTTCGTACAAGTCGCGAAGGCGCTCGAAATCAGTTGGGAAGAAGATGTCAAAGTAGCCCGGGTTGACGAGCAGCGTCCCGCAGGTCACCATCTCGTCGCCCACCCGCGTCTGCACACGGGGCGCGTTGACGCCCGGGATGGTCTCCGGGAGGGACGAGAAGTCGGAGAGTAGCAGGTGGTGACGCGGAAAGTGTCTCCGTAGCGTGCGGAGGAGGCTGAGGAGGCGCGTCGGGATGTATTCTGGCGCGGATAGGTTCGGCGCAAAAGGGAGGTTCGTGTAGAATGAGCGGAAGGTGGAGGATGCCTTGAGAAGTCGGGGGATTGGCGGCGCATGCATGAGTCGGCGACGCAGCGCCAGGAAGGATGATATCAGAGGGTCCGTCACCCGTGTGTAGTATGTGCTATAGTCACTGTTGCCATCAATCGTCACCAGGCCCTGGTACGGCTCCAGCGTTCGGAGGTCGTAGCGAATCATGTCATGAGCGAAGTTATCCTGTGGTAAGAGCTCTTACAGGTGAGACAGATGCTACACAGAACACCTCACTCACGATCACTTCCATGGCTAAGAAGAAAGATGGCGCTGGCTCACGCGTGTTCCAGTGAAATATGCTCTTGTGCATCACATTCACACACGGGTGGACCGCAGAGAGCTTTTCGCGCTGTATTCGCGCCAAGTTGTCACTGATCTCGATGATGTTGTACTTCGTCCTGTCATACACGTCGGGATACTCCGCCTGAACGTAGTTCAGAATATCTAGCGCCATGGTGCCATTTCCCGCACCGATTTCATAGATGACAAAGTCCTCGTAGGGGAAGTACTTCAGCAAGTATTCTGACACGAGTGCTTGACCAATAGCATTGCCATAATGCGGCTAAGGAACTGTTAGTATGCTCTGGACGTAATATAGATGCACCTCAACCTTGAATATTTCCGTCGGTGTATGCCATAGCTGTACACCAGGCCCCACACTTCCGCGTCCGTACCCGGCGTACCGCTTGGCCACAACCGCCTGAAACTCGATGGACGAGCGCAACGCACCAAATTCCAGAGGCTGCGGCGTAGAAAAAATGTTCGCCTGTTTCGTGAAGTAGCCGTAGTGTGGGTGGTATAGCGAGTTCTCTATGTAGTCGCGCACAAGCATCTTGACGCGTCTCGGAGGGTCGCTCTCCTCTTCAAGATCGTTAGAAGTGACGCGCCTGTAGTTGACGTGCTCGGGGTCCGGAGTGTCCGAAAATGATATCTGTGGATTGTAGTTGAGGTGGTCGCGTGGTGTCTTCTTCCGTGAAGAGGAGCCATTATGAGCGCGCGCGGTGGTGGAGAATCGTGCGGAGAGCGGACGAGTACACCTCTGCGCCAGACGTCGGGATCCTGGAGCAACCAGAGGTGTCATATAATGCAATAGCTCTCTCGAGCGATCGCCCAAGAGCTTCGCGGCGCGGTCTGCCTTGTGTAGGAGGCCTGGTAGAGGTGGCGTCACACGTGGTCGGTAGAAAGATATGTAGAGGGTCCGTACGCGAATTTTTTCTTCGAATGTTTGCGTGCGGAAACGCTTTTCTATGTGCCTCAGACGCCACAGATGAGGGTGTGGTGAGGGTAGTTTGAGCAGCGGTGGCCCGGGCGACACACATTTCCGTGAAATCTCTCGCTCGGTCACGTGCGGAGAGGCTTGGCAGACTTGAAAGAAATGATTCGGGCGATCCTAGCTGAGCCAAGTATTCGCTCAGATTTCGACTGTTTTTCCACCTCTGCGCACAACATCTACGGTTTTGGACTATTGAATTGGTTGTTAAGTGTGCGAACGGCCATGGAAAAGGTCGAGCGGCTTGTGCGAACGTGGATAGCATCGGAGCGGGAAGAGGAAGTACAGACAATTATATCAGGTATGTCATGAAGCTGTACCATTACGGATTAACGCGTTCACAGTGAGACGCAGAAATTGCTGCAGGGAATGTTACGCTCCTTCAGATTGTGAAAGCTCTTGGTGAATATCTCACCGCGGATGAGGACGATTTACGGACCAAGGGTAATAATACTCCAGATCGCCCACAGAGTCCTGTATTTATGTCCCATTATACCAGGTGTTGAATTCTTGTCACTCGTGCTTGGACGATGTCCGCCTGAGAAGCTAAACCGTCATTCGGGTGCGCAACTTCAGCCTTTTGCCAGTCATGCATACTTCCATGCTCATCCGGCTGTTTCACTCAAGTGCGCGTGCTGGTAACCTTTTACTGCGGCAAGCTTGAGGACACGGAGACAATCATCCCTGCACTGAAGGGGCTTCTCTCTCTGACCTCAATGCCTCTGTTCGCCTCGAACGATGCGGTGGAGGTGATGAAGGCGTAAGAGCCCAGATGTCTTGCCACTGATCGCTCTGCTTAACTGATAATCAGACTCGTAAAGCATGTCAAGATGAAGGCGCTCATACAGTCTCAGCGATTTATGGTCTTCACTATCCTCGATACACTTGTCGCCCGTCATCGCGATGGTTCGTTTATTACGCCTCTATGTAAGTTCTTCCTCTCATAGTATTTGCCGACAGCAATGAAAGGAATGGGAAATGAGTTCTTGTCCGGCTATATCTCGCTAGCCGAAGGCGAGAAAGATCCGCGCAACCTGTTGCTGGCCTTCTCCATCGCCCGTGTTATACTCATCGAATTCGATACTGCTTCCCATGTAGAGGTATGCTTCGCTCGCACATGGTGGGAATTTGACTCAAACCCTTTCAGGATTTCTTCAATATCACCTTCTGCTATTTCCCCATCACATTCAGACCTCCACCAGACGACCCATACGGCATTATTACCGATGATCTTAAGACGGCTCTTCGGTATAGCGTATTTCATCGTATCCCATTCTTTTCTCAAAATTTGATTCTCGCAGAGGCTGTCTCAACGCGACCCCGGCATTTGGACCCTTGGCCATCCCACTTCTCTTGGAAAAGCTGATGGCAGGAACGCCCGTGACAAAAGTATCTGGGCATGATCTTGGTAAATACAAAGTCGACTCATCATTTCTCTCGATAGAGAGATACGCTGCAGGCGTTTGATTTGGGATTGCCGGTATACGGACCTGCCGTTGCACGTAACTTTGCTCGCAAAATGTGGAACTCCCTCAAGCTTGAAGTACGCCCATATTGCTATTGTATTAAAGCGCCTTAATTGGATCAAGTACAGATCTTCCAACCCACAGACACCGAAACTGAACAAGCGGCTCTTAAGACGACGCAAATTCTCGTCCAAACCATCTACGCCGCGGACGACACAGAAGACAAATCTGGAGAAGATATTGAAGGTCTCGCAAAGGAGGCTTGTGAAGAATGCATACAGATCCTTCGCGAGCCAGAGAAGAGCCAGGCGCAGCCAGCTATCAAAGTAATATGCGCGTTCATGTCCACAACCCGTAAGTTGCAGATTTGCTGGTGAAAGACGTTAATTTGACATCCGGCTTGCAGCATCCGTTGCACGCTTCACTCTCTCTCGAGCTGCGCCACACCTTGTTCGGCTATTCCTCAACCCAGACGAAGTTGCCAATCGGGCACCAGTACTCAGACTGCTGTCAGACCTCATAAAAGCGGCTCGTGATTCTATGTCAAGAGACCCCGAAGTTCTACCTACAGAAGGAGATACTCCACTCTCTCCGTTCAAGGACGAGATTATCGGTGTTCTTACTGTTGGGCTGAAGACGGCATCCTCTTCTCAACCCGCGTTAGGTGGACTCAAGGAGATGGTCCTGACTCCCGGTTTGCTGACTGACGAGGAGCTGGGGTTCGTGGTACACAACGTTAACGAGTTGCTGCAGAAGGAGGGGGAGGAGGGGGATGAAATCAGGTTCCTAGTGCATTTCTCCCGCTCGCTGTTGAACCGCTATCTTGACGCCCTGTCGAATATTACATTAGTGAACCCGCACTGGACCTGCTCTCAACCATCTCCCTGTCGGCACCCTGGCATGTGTCACAAACGACACTCCCCCTCCTCTTCGGCTCTCTTCCTGACAAAGCACCACCACGCGATGCCGAAGCGGAGCGGATCAAGTACTGGCGTACGCTGGCGTCGCTCGAGCAGCTGTGCAAGCAACCTGATCTGTTCGAGACGCTCGTCGTCCGACTGTCAACTAAGCTCGACCTCGTGTGCGTGCCGCCCGCCGAGCCAGAGCAGGACACCGAGCCCAGCGCTGCATACGCACACTCGTTGCTGCGGACTCTCGTCGACGTGCTTGCGGCCAAGGTGGATTTGGCCCACACCGATGTGGTGAAGTACATCGATCGCCTCGTCCCGCGCTTATACAACCTTTTCATCTACTCCGCCCTCGTGTCAAACAGCGAGAGCATGGTGGCAACCGACCCACGACTGGTTTCGGTCGCTGCACGTGTCATTACCCTGGTTGTGCAGACGCTTCCTTCTCAGTAAGTCGCTCTTTGGCTCCATAGGAGCATGTCAACAATTATTTGCGATAGGAGGCAAGAAGCTTTCACTGCGGTCCTGTTTGCAGGATATCTGCATGGAGATATTAAGCGACTCGCGGAAGGTCAGCAGAAAATCCCCTCAGATAGGTTGTTCGATCCGTTCAATGTGAGCGGGGTTACACTGGCTGCGTTTGAGCCTCTCTAATATTCTGTCCAAGGCTGGCGCGTCCCCTGCGCAGAAGAATCTTTTGGCACTTTTCTCCTCAGCGATTGTTGCTCTACACAAAGAGGTACATTTGACCTGGAAGCCCGGCAGTCTCTGCTCACGTTATCGCTAGGTGCAACTTCCGATCCCCGACGAATGCGCCTTCCTAGACACGTTGCTCCAATGGATCGGGGAGCACGCGAACAATGCCCTGCAGAAGGATGCGATCACGCACTCAGTTGCATCGATTATCAACAAGAGAGCGGAAGGCAGGTGCTCTCGGCTATCCTGCATCATGTCGTTGTGACGTTGGTACGCAGGTTTATCGACGTTCCTGTCGGAGAAATTGGACGCTTTCTGGGCAGCGCAAATCGCCGAGAGCAGTAACTCAGCGGAGAGGCGTCGACAGGCAATCCTGGTCTGGTCTTGGGTGGGCGCAAATATCCTCCGTGTGCTTCACAAAGTCTGACAGGACGTGTAGATGACCAAGGCGCTTCTAATGAGAGGCCATCCATCGGCGATGCGCAACACGGACCGCCTATTCGAGTTGTTTGGCGATACAGAGATCCACTGGGATGCAGCGAAAGCGATTGGCAAGATCGTGGGTGCGGATAAAGTGCTGACAAGGAGGAACCACGCAGTCGTCAAGGTAAACCCTGGCTGGTTCTACTCGTAACTTGTCTGTTAACGTCTTGTATTCTAGATTCTGTTCGCGCAGCGGTTCTGCACCTCCGTCTTGCCTCGCATCGTCGCGGGGGCGAAATCAGCAGAACGTAAGTACGCCTGGCGAGAATACCTGTCGATGATACCTTGCTCATGCAATATATCAGAGCCGAGCCAGCAGACCGCCTACCTAGTGGCTCTCACGTCCCTGATTAAAGCAGTACCCAAGTCAACGTATTCACACGAGATGCCTACGGTAAGTGCCACGTAACATTGTCTCGTATGAGTCCACCGTGATCACGTCCCGCAGCTCATGCCCCTCCTGTTGCGCGGGCTCGACCTACCAGATGCCGAGATCCGCTCGAACGTCATCGACACACTTCTCGCAGCTGCGCAGTCGGGTGCGAAGGAGACAGAAAGCAGTATCGTGTCCGAGCATGCGGCGAGTCTCGTATCAACGATGCTCCGGAATAGCATGGTGCACGAGACGGCTTCTGTGGTGCGTACCCCCCTATCACCTCGCGCCTACGTGTCCAACGTTAATCGTGCACTGCAGCGCGTACGTATCGCGGCTCTGCGATACCTGGCGATCCTGCCGAACATCGTGCGGTACGACGTGCTGCACCCCCAGAAGGCGCTCGTGCTGCGAGAGCTGGCCAAGGTACTTGACGACCCCAAGAGAGCTGTGCGGAAGGAGGCGGTGGAAGCGAGGTGAGCCTCTCAACCTAGCCTTAAAGCGTAGCACTGATATGGTTCTCTGATAGGACAAATTGGTACGTGCATGGCGGCTGTCCTTCTCCCAAGTGGAGCTGATACTGTCCGTTTCCAGGTTCAAGTTCAGTGGTTGAACGTTGAGCCTCCGGGCAGGTGTCGAGAAGAAATACTCATCATATTCTTATGTTCTCTTCATTCGTGTAGACCGTGTTCAAGAGGTGGTTGTACGATGCATATTACGATTCACTCGACGTGCGGAGAAGCACAGATCATGGCTTGGACTTGCTTAGTACCGTAACTTTGGCTATGTGCCTCACAATTCACCATCGTCCCGCATAAAAATAAATATACATTCATCAGACAGACTTGCCTTCACCCTTACGAGCTTAGGACGAAGCCGAACAAACACCACAGCAGTAAATAAAACATACAAGAAAGAAAGACAGTAAACTGCAAAGTGCTCAGGCCGGGTGCGTTAAAAAACCCCTGTGGGGAAAAAGCTACCGGAGCCTGGCGATGCGAATAATAAAAACCGGGAGAAAGAACGGTGAAAAAGGAAGAGTGGAAAGGAAGGGGGAAAGGAAAAGGGTGGAAGAGGAGAGACCAAAGGAAGGGGGAAAGGAAGGGAAGTAAAGGAAAGCGAGCAATTGGAGAAGACCCACATGCCGGTCGGTATACAGCCTGCACTGCGACAGCATGGGTGCCATGATGGCCTTCTGCACGTAGGCAGGTATGAACGCCAGTGTGTGGCCTTCTGCGGGTGCGCAGATATAGATGCCGTGATGGGCCTTCTGCGGGTATGCAGGAATAGATGTCATGGTAGTGGCTTTCCGCGGGTATATGCAGCACATATCAACAACACCGTCTCGCTGGCACGTCATCATACTGTGAACTCGTGAAACAATTGGCATATCGTGAACTCGTCATGTATCATTTCATATATCGTCATTTTATGCTTTTTTTGGCTTTTATTTTTATAATACTCGACAGTGGGCCGACGGGCACAGGTGTCCGTCGAACTGTTACCGCCACGTCAGCTGCAAGTCTCTCACCACGTAGATCGAACACGTACCACCACCGTAGGCCGCGGAGCTTGAGACCTACACATTCCAGACAGTGACGCCCGTCGGGGAGGTATATCGGAAGGAGCCGCGGCCATTGTTGAAGTACGACGCGCCGTCCCGGCTACGATAATACACGCTCCCGTTCCTGCAAGCGGGTCATCAGTCCTACGGGAGATAGGTAAAAGCGCGACTTACTTGTTCAGGTAGCGGTATCCGCGGCCCTCGCTGGTCACAACGCAGAACCAGCGGTTTCCCTGTGGGTGTCAGCACGTATGGCTGTTGGCAAGGCAAGAGAATGACACGCACCTGACCGTTGACACCGCTGCCGGACACTCTGTACGGACCGTTAGGGAGGCCAGTGATGAGGTCGACGTTGCCAAGATGGACGACGTGTGCTTCGGACATCGTTGCACTCGAGGGAACTGTGCAAAGCGAAATGACGAGTATCAGAGCGTATTTAACAACTAGAAATTCCACTTAGTCAGTATTACTTCAGCAATTGTTCGCAGATTGGGGATTGCAGATGGATGCGGGGTGGGAGCAAAGGAGAAATTAGATTTGTCGGGTTCGCGCACTTTACATGCTGCCCGCGGAGTGTATGTCGGACTTTCTCGCGAACACCGCCTCCGGTTAAAGAAGGGTGCAACATTCTCATCTGCCAGAATGTGCTCTGTGGAGCGTGCATGCGGAGGGACCGGGAGGTCCGTGCGCCATACAAGACGCATTCGACGCGATCGAGTCTCGATCCCGTCTTCTTCGGCGTTGATCAGGTCAGATCGGACGTGACGAGTCGACGCGTTGTACGGAGGCTTCGAACCACGAAACTACAGCTGAACAAGCACAGTCTATGCTGACTTACTAGTTATCCGGCATGTACAATTGGTTAAAGTGTTTTTAATCGTATCGCACACCCAGCTGGCTAAGGTTCTGCCACGAAAATCTTCAATCCATTACTTCTGCCCAAAATTGGTGACATTGTGGGCGCTATATCAGCATCCATAGTCAGTGGTTATTCAGGTTAGATGAACTACTTGGCATTTCACTTGATGGTGCCGTGGCGCTGTCGCCGAGGCTTTTGGAGGCGGGTCGACTGTCGAGATTTCGACACGCTGGCGGCTGAGATGCTGCCTCAGCTGAGTCATGCTCGTACCTCTGCTTAGGAAGGCTATATGAAATTCTCTGCGGGTTGGTAATCTCCTCTCATTTTATTTTCCAGTCTTTTTCGTAAAGTGGATGTGTCGCGCTAGCAACCCTCAAAAGGCAAGAACATATCCATATCAAGAAATGATCTCAGATCAGGTATTTCCGACTTTCTCGGAATTTCTCAAGAAAAACACCAACCGCAGCAAAGTTCCTACCGTCAAGAGCTATCCAGCTGCCTCAGCTCCGATCTTGGCTAGGGCGGCGGGTGACTCGACATTTCACATCGACAGCCGCCAGGAACATAAACAATGTTGCATGTCAGTCGGTGATGGGAATAACACAGCCAACGGGTGCCATGAGCCCACAAGCACGGCATCCTGCGATACGCTTCTGACCGCGTCGTACTTCCCTAAAAACGTCACGGCGGAAGTTCATATCTTATCCACCGCGAACTCCTTCTCATGTGAAACAAGCACCCTGGAACGTGTATTCCAAGAACCACAACAGTGTCGATATACTTCTACTCGGCCGCACAAGTGCCGACGGTATATGGTGCCCTCAAAACGCTGCCCACAAATAGGTACAATCGATTGCGACTAATCCGAGTCAAAGTTTTCGTATGACTTGCAGATTATTCGAAGAATTTGATACAACAAAAAATAGTTATGCTCATTCACGAGGCAAGCAGGCCCGAGATACCAATACAAACAACAGAAGTACTCGATAAATTGACGACAGTACATGTATCGATGCAACCACCCCCGACTCGGAGCGTCCGCCTACGTCAATGTTATGGTCACGACGCCGTCGGCAGAGACATCCCGGGAAAATCCCCGTCCATTATCGAAGTGAGTTGAGCCATCGGGATTGCTCCGATACACGCTGCCATCGCTGGGAGATAAACGTTACCGCAGGACTGGAAATGACAGCGAGAGCGTCGACTAACGCGTTCGAGTAATGGAAACTGGGACCCTGGGTGGTCTCGTGGCGGCACCAGTGATTGCCCTGCATAGATATCATTAGAAGAGAGGGTAGATTACAGGAGTGAACATGAAAGATGATATACCAGTGCATTTATTCCGTTGGCGACGACCCGGAAGTCTTCGACTCCGGTGAGATTGGAGGGATTGCTTGCATTGGTTGCCGAAGCTGCAGACATGATTCAATAGATCTAGAGGGTGTGGAGTTAGACCAGTAGACGAATGTATGTACGCTCCCGGAGCCAAGACGCACTTCAAGATGAGGGCTAAGACAAACGGATGAATTGGGGGTCCTCTGGGATATCGTCCCTTTTATATACTCCATTGCCGCGATGAGTCAATGTCACCATACAGCTCCGGACCACAAGTTTGGTAAGTTTGTCCCAACCCTCCGTCAGCTGTCTATGTGAGAAATCAACTGGTGATAATCGCTTACCGTCTACTGAAGGGACGCACCCAATGAGCGCGTTACATGCACCCCCACACACCCACTTCGCGGCAAGCGACTCCACTGTTCGCGGCATGAAGTGAGGTGGTACTCCATGTCCTCGCCGAGATGTGTTGTATTGTACATCGTGACGTCGCTTTCCACAGGATGCCAACGCAGCAGAGTGTTGTGGGTCCATATGACTCATGCCAGGGCCCGTCTCTAAGTATCACGGTCAGGTGACATTTACGTCACGCGTCCCGGCGGTCCCGCGCTTGGTAGGAATAGTTTACTGTAGTGCTCACGCAAGATTTGCCCACTACTTGAAAAGATTTATTTGATACAAGCAAATACATAGAAGGTACACGTAATGGGACTAAGCCCATCGGCAGCAACTCCAGCGACACAGGATTGGATCGCGCGGACGTCTGTAGAAGAGAAGTGGAGTTTTTAGAGGATTGTATGGACTTGAACACGGGTTTTGAAATCGTTCGATTTGGGCTCCAGGGTATTCACGCCAGGGATCTTAATCCTAATCTTCAAGACACTTGCGGCATCGTCTTCTGTTTGCGATTGCGAAGCACGCACCTTCGCCTCGTACGCTGGTATTTCGTGCCACACGCGCTCGAATATGGGCCTCATTCTCTCCACTTCAGCAGGGGAATAGATTTCTGGTGGCATTTCCGGGGTATCGTATCCATAGCGGCTAACGGTGCGCTCAGTAACCCACTCGGACCACTCCCGCGGAGTCCGGCCGTGCAACAGGGCTACAACCATGAGCGTCATGTTGTCACTTCCTCGGCCCATTATGGGGTGAGGTGCAAGGCAGTATTGACAGATGTCCTCGCAGACCTTCGACAGCATTTTGCCCTGTGACACGAACAGCCTTACCAGATCGACGACTTGCTGTGACTCCAGGCAATCCCAGATGCCTACGGAGAACTTCATTAACCACCTGCAGGGGAGAAGGCCCAATACTGACCATCACAGGCGAGGATAAGGAACTCATCCTCTTCGGTGATCTCGTGTTCCATCACTTCCGGGTCGGCCGTGACTATCTGCTTTTCAGGTGGGAGATTCATGTTCTGCTTGTACCGAAAATCACCCAGTGCTCGCGTCATAGCTAGGTCATCTAGCGTCGAGTCTATCAGTTATTGCATGCACCTGAAGATGGAATATCGAGCTGACTGTTGACACGTCCACGCCATACATACCCATCGGCAGCCTCAACACGAGCTTTCTCCACTAATAAACAAAAGGTATGAACCAGGCGAAAAGGAAAGTACTGATTAGACGCACCAGGAATGGAAGTTTTGTGATCAGTTGACAGAGTTTTGGCCTTCCCCTTATTACTGAGTACAGCTCGTGAGTCGCCGGCATTAGCCTGGAGTACGAACACTGAGAATACTTGGGTAGGAGAGATTCAATTTATCACGCACCAAGTATATCCTGCCTTTCCCTGTGACCAGAGCAACGTTAGCAGTGCTACCCACAGCCATATCTCCATAGACTGATGGACGTGAGGAAGTAATTGATACCAGGACGCTCAAGACAATATGACGTACCCCCGCTCAATTTCGCGTCTACCTTTAGAAAGGCATTCCTTAGTGCTTTCGGATATGCTCTTCGAGCGTACTCTTCGTCTTCGCATAGTGTCTGATGCAAGAATGCCCTCGCAAACTCGGCAACGGCATTTCCTATAAGAAAATACTAAGCTCACCGCACGCAGCATTCGAAGGACATGGCTCACCACCGTGTCCATCGAACACTGCGAAGAACGCGCTGCCCCTGCTGTTATTTCCCAAATGCAATTGAACAGCATGTTTATCCTCCATTGCTGCAATAGGTTCGCCAAGTCAGCAGTGATTGTGGCAGGCCAAGCAAGTCACAAGCAGGACTTACTTCTTCTCCAACCCTGCATGGAGGTGACAGCGTAGCAGAACCTGCTGTTTTTGCCATGAATTGTGAGCTTTTCAGAATCTGTATGCATCAGATAGTGAGGGAACGCGGACGCGGATATCACGTTACGAACTAGGTGTCATGAGCCAAATCGATCTCCACCGTTTTAGCTGTTTGTCGTCCTTCGTTTCCTCATCCGGGTCCCTAGAGACCTCGTCTACGTCCATCATGTCCTCGTCTGAGTCTTCCATGTCCTCGTTCAAGTCCTCCATGTCCTCGTCGGAGTCGACCGTGGCCTTGCCTGAGTCCGCCACAGGAAAGCACGAGTCCGTCACGGCGTTGCGCGACATGTCTATGGTTGCCCGTGAAGTAGCCATATAACGGAAAGAAAGTGCAATAGTTCAGGAGGAGAATATGGAAGGGGTATAGAAGCAAGCGCGTATTTGCGCCACAAAGCATGTTGAAGTCCAGGCGTTGTTGACAGTTATTTGGCGCTGCACTAAACAATACCGTACGTTAACGGGAAGGCGATGCGGCACGCGAGATCCGATTTCCGTGCATGCGCATGAGTTCGATTTTGTTTATCCAATCCCTGCGAAAGTTTGCTACGCCAAGCGACCTTGTCCCCCTCTGGCACTTGGCGGCAGTCTGCAGACGAACCAGCAAGCACAGTATTCTGCATGTTTCCTTCTTTTTGTCCGTTGGTTGAGTAGATATAGTCGTTAGACCCTATTAGGCCAGGATTCCGAGTCGCATCGCGCCAATGCGTTGTTTCTGCGTACTATCATGGACCCGGATATGCCAAATGTCCCAGAAGTGCCAAATTTTTTCCTGCGGCTCTATTCTCTTACCTCATCACTTCAAAATTGCAGAGGTAGAAGCCTGTGTGCCTACTCTTGATGCTCTAAATTTTTGGTAAGTATGTGTGGCCCGCTCGGATCCCAAAAAATTCGCAATCACAGGACTGTACTTGGCTGGTGCCACACAGCGGCATCTCTCTACGATGGTCAACATTGCTCTAAAAAATACAGAAAAACCACCTGTTGTATTCTACGTGCCATATCAACATCATATGGGGTGCCGGAGACTATCGCGCCAGGTGTTGCGCAGCGGGACCAGAAGTGCCAAACTTTTGGCATATCCGGGTCAACGATAGTATACGCTAAAGCCCGATGGACGCGTGTTGCTTAACGCGGCGATATCACGGTCAGGTGACAATTACGTCACGCGTCATTTCTTTATTTTCGTGCGAAGCTAAGTAACGCCCACGCGAATTTCGCCCACACCCTCGAACGAGAACATTGGAATTTTGGAGTCATACTAGCGATAAAAAGAATGAACAAGCCAGGAATAAGTCTATCAATGACACCAATAAAACAATATGGGAGTGTGCAGACGCCTGTAAAGGTCTTCCCGTCTCCTCAGGTCAGTGGTTGCCTAAACCTTAAGACGGGCTTTGATATCGTTCCTGTTGAGATCCAGGGCATCCTTGCGGGCGAAGTACACCGATCTTCATGAATCGCGTTGAGCTTGCGACAACAGCGTACTCACCTCTTCCTGCTGAATAAATTTCTCTTTCGACTCCGCCATTTGGGACCTTAGATCATCCCATGCTGGCCCCCAATCCTCCACCTCTTCAGAGGGATAGATCTCCGGAAGTTCCTTGGGAGTGTCGTAACCGTGGCGGCTTACAGTGCGTTTGGTAACCCATTCATACCACTGCTGCGGGGTGCGGCCATGCAACAGGGCTACAACCATGAGCGTCATGTTGTCATCTCCGTGGCCCATTAAGGGATTAGGTGCAAGGCAGTGTTGACAGATGTCCTCGCAGACCTTCGATAGCTTTTTGCCCTGTGACACGAACAGCCTTACCAGATCGATGACTTGCTGCGACTTCAGGCAATCCCAGACACCTTCGTAGGACTAGATCAGTCAAAGCACACGCAAGGACTTTCATACTGACCGTCACAGGCCAGGATAAGGAACTCGTCTTCTTTGGTAACTTCGTGTTCCACCACTTCGGGCAAAGCCGTGACCATTTGCTGTTCAGGTGGAAGCGCCATATTCTGCTTCAGCCGATAATCACCAAGGGATCGGGTCATAGCGAGATCACCTAGCGTCAATGCTAGTATATGTTGTGTGGATCAGAAGACGGAATATGAAACTGACCGTTGACACGATCGTCCTCTATGCGTCCACCGGCCGCAAGAACGCGAGCTTGCTCCGCTAATATTTCAAGGGGAATGAAGCAAGGGAGCAGCAAAGGATTGGTTTCACTCACCGACAATGGAGGTTTTGTGGTCAAGCGACAGAGGTTTTGCCTTCCCCTGGTGGCTGAGCACAGCTCGCGAGTCGCCGGTATTCGCCTTAAGTACGTATGATGAGAATATACGGTGAGAGAGAATCAATGTGTCACATACAACGTATATCTTGCCTTCGTTTGTAATTAGAGCAACAGTAGCAGTGCTACCATCGGTCTCATCTGTATGTACTGATTGAAATGATGTCCAAGTAGGTATCAGAATACTCAAAACCATATATGCAAGGCGTACATGGTCTGAATTTCGCGTCAAAGCCAAGGAAGGCATTCTTCAGCGCTTCCGGATATGCCTTCTGAGCGTATGCTCCTTCTTTAACTAGGTTCTGGTGTAAGAACTCGCTTGCAAGCCCTGCGATGGCGTCACCTACGGGCGGAGATTCAACCCACCACCCTCTCAGTAATCGAGAATGTAGCGCACCTCCATGTCCGTCAAACACCGCGAAATACGCATTAGCACCATCCTGGTCGCCCAAATGCAGTTTGATGGCATGCGTGTCCTCCATGTCTGCAGAAGTTGGTGAAGTTAGCGCAATAGTCGTGGCCTGGCCGACAGGTGTAGAGAATCAGACTCACTCATTCTCCAACCCTGCATGGAGGTAACAGCATATGAGAAGCTTCTGTTTTCGCCCTGAACTGTGGTCTTCCTGGAATCTGCATACATAGGACAATGAGGGGAGGCGCGCAGGGAGCATGATACGAACCAGGTGTCGTGTGCCAAATCGACCTCCACCAGTCGACAAACTGCGCCGTATCGACTGTGTTCTTCATGTCCTGGTCTGAGTCCTCCGAATCCTCGTCTAAGTCGATTATATCCCTTTCTAGGCCATCTATAGCCATATCTGAGTCGGAGTCCGCGGTGGCGTTGTGTGACATGTGAACAGTCGTCGCAGAAATAGCCACGTATAAGTAACAGGTGGAAAGCAGAATAGTTCAGAAGACCGTGGAAGTGACGTAGAAATAAACCATATATTTGCGCCACATAACATGTTGAGCTTCAAGTAGAGGCCTTGTTGACAGTTATTTGGCGCTGTACAGAGGCACAATACTTTCCTTACCGGAAACGCGCCACGATCGATGCGAGCCTCACCACGGAGTTCAGGAAATTTTCTCTATACCTCGTTCGTCAATCAGATAGTTTCTTCCAGAACAGATTAGGGTGTTGAGCTGTGACAAAGTCTTAACACCTCAGAGGGTTGTGGGTCCATATGAGTCCACCAGCCGTTGTCAAGCGGTCACGCGTCATGATCATGTGACAGTGTCACGCGTCGAAGGTTAGCATGTCACGGACGATCACTTCAAATTATCATGCTCACCTCTAACTCTGCACTCAAGGACTTCACGGATGACTTTGGCGGTGGCAATCTCCCTCCCCCGCCCTACGGTGGACGCCCAAAGTATGTCAAGTTCGGGCCTGGCGATAAAGGAGAGGGCTTGTCCCATGCATTCTTTGAAGGTAAGCACCGTACACCAGAGCATCCATGAACTAGGGAGTTTGATTTTCATCGCTTGTATAGATCCCAGGATATACAAGGGAACACCCGGATCAAGAGGACAGATCCATTCTTGGGGATTGTATCCGGTGCGCTGGTATTTCCGTTTCACACAACATTCGGTCACCGGAACCCCGATTCTCACCGTTTTCAGTACGACGAAGACAACTTACCGATCTGTGAGCATGACGCTAGGAAGGTGACCAGATCAAAAATGAATCAGATATTACATCTACAGATGATGTTAGTGGAGAATCGCTCTTCCGCCAGGTGTGTCTGATCACTCCTCCAGTGTTCCGTCCCACTGAAACCGCATGTTATAGATGAAGTACCAGGTGCTTTACATGGGGACCAGGCAGAGCCCTCAGCAGCAATTCATTGACGTCCTGATGGATCGAAAGGTTCGTGGGTCCGGTGTACTTGCTGTCAATCGTACTCAAGATGAGCTCAGCGTAAGGAGATTGCAGCTTTGGATCTCAATGGTTTGGACAAGCAGGACGTGATTCTGCATGTCAAATTCACGTGAGTTATCTGTGTCGAGGACATGAACTCAGGGTGCAACTCGATGACCTGCTACTTACAGAAACGTAAACAGCAAGAACGGCGAGCCTCGCATCTGGCGAAGATTCCGATTATCTGGTGGGATCAAGCTGAGTGTCTTCCAAGACAAAGTATTGGCTCCAATCTTAGGCTGGTCCGGAATTTTTCTTCCCATGTACGCGTCACCATCTGAGTTAAACTACCCTTAGGGTCCGCAACTTCCACTGCTACGTTTTCACCGATCTTCGGGATGGAGCATTGTTTGGGCCTGAGGTCTGTACCTCGCCGCGTGCTTTGTGTTCTCAACTGATTGTCAGATCTCCAGACGTCTAGCTCAGTCGATCGGGTGCATCTCACCCACGTAAGTCGTTCTGAAATCTGAGTCCGTCCCCAGCTAGTTGACCCAAGTCCGCATAGATCGGCTATGACTATCTTCCAGACGAGAAGTAAGTGCATCCTCGTATTTCGTGCTTTTAAATGAATCAAGAGAACCCCTCGGCTCCCAGATTTATGCTCTCACATCTGTTTGCTAAAGAAGGTGATCAGATTGGATACCTGTATGACTTTGGTGACAAGTGGTTCCACGAGATCACGGTTTGTTCAAGTTTGTTCGAGGAATTTTCTATGCACCGATCATGCCTTCATCCAGGTGGAGAAAATTATTCCTCAGGAAGAGTCCGATGGCGAAGTCAAGATCCTGGATGGGAAGGGCATGTGCCCCGGAGGTGAACAAACACCGGTGATGTGAGACGTTCATCTAATGGTGCCCTCTCTCCCTATTGCAGAAAACATGAACGGCTGTCATAGTTTCGGTCCTTTCCTCGAGGAGTACGACAAAGCTACCCCTGCTCGGAAGTGGGTATTCTGACGTTTATTATGCAATGCACTTAGTGTTTATCTGCCCTAAGAGTCGAGATGAAGCGCGAGATCCTGGCGTGCCCGAACTACAACGCATTCGGCAAGCCTCCCTCGCTCTTCGACCCGGACAGTTTCAGCCTCCCTGAAGCGGCCAAGCGGCTCGCGGATGCACTAGGTTCCGCGAACTCGGTGCGCAGCGGTGCCAAGGTGTTCAATATGCCCATTGCGCCCGACGGCGTCGCGGACGCATTCAAGCGCATGCACCTGAAGAAGGGGCAGCATATCATGAAGGACTACGACCCTGAGGGCTTAGGGTACTGGGAGGAGACGACTTCGTCGCGCAAGGACAAGCGCGATGAGACCGTTTGCGCGGCGTGCGGGAAGCCGAGCCCTGAGGAGCTTAAGGTCTGCGGTGGGTGTCACCAAGTCAGGTACGTTCCCGATTTCTGTCCGCTGCGAGCCAATCGTGATGAATTTTGCGTAGGTACTGCTGCCCTGAACACCAAAAGGTGCGCTTTTTGTGTGTTGCGTTTAATGCATGTCCTTACGTCGCATCTTCACAGACGCATTGGAAGGCCGTTCACAAAAACCAGTGCAGCCGCAAGTATATGAAGAAGTAGAAATTTTGTGCAGTGAACTCTAATCTATGCTTGGTATGTACTCCTTCCTCTAATTCCAGGTGGATTAACATATGCACTATCGTCGCTGCAGAATCATTGCATTGTCCTGTCAACAGCCTCTGTGCTTGTTCCATCTAATTATCGCATGCTCCATGTTTTTGTACTCACTCGTTGGCTTGGTAGCTGAGCAATGTTTGTTATTTCTAATGTATCTTACTCTCACCAGTTCAACGGTCGATGTGTAACAGAAATCTACGACCCAGAGCGATCATATATGCATGACATCTCGAAAGCAAGACACATGGGATCTAAAAACACTCATCAACGTACGATAACAGGTATAATGAGATGGCCTATATCCTGGGTAACATAATTGCTAGCAAAACCTTTAGTATGTTGTCTTGAGTATGTATGAGTACCAATAAATGAGCGAAACACAGCTCGGGGAAGTTCACGCAGCGACAGAGGTCATTATAGCCTGTGTCTTCATATTCGCCTCCATCAGCGCCTTTTCGAACGCCTGCAGATGTTCCTGTACGAGTTTCCGCCCGTCAATCCGCCGTGCACTGTGCGAGCGCATCACCGGCGATGCAGCTTCGATGTCTATGCCCGCCTCCCACTTGTCGATCTTCACCCGACTGCGTTCCGCGCTGTCCCATTCCACCCGCCACCCGCCGAGCTTATTCTTCAACGCGCGAATCTTCCGTCCAGCCTCCGTCGTCGCCGCCGCATTTACTTGGGTGTGCTCCGATATCGTCGCGAGCGATGTGGCAGCGGATGACGTGAATGTGCGTAGGTGAACGAGCTGGGGGATGGTGTTTGCGGGCGTTGGAGGGCCGCTCAGCGGGGGTGGTGGCGGAAATTCAGTCTTGGTGGGCTGGGGATAGTATACGGACTCTTCGTCTTCTTCGTCCTCGTCCTCTTCGCCGAGCCGGTCCTGCTCGGGATCGACCTCCCAGTCATTCGTGCTTGGCAGGTGGATGCTCGACGTAGACTCCTCCTGTATCGCATCTAATGTATGTGATTGTGCGCGGGGCTCTTCCCGTAGCGGCTCGTCAATGAGGTCCTCTAGCTCGTCCAGCTGTCCAAGCACGTCGTTCCCGCCGACCTCGCCAGCGATGCGCCGGAACTCGCGCTCGTACTCAAGCAGCTCGCGCACCTGCCCTTCTCGGTCACGTACGGTGTCATTGATACGCCGAATCATGTCCGACGCGAGCGTCTCGAGCGTCGGCTGTGCCGTAGGCCCGCCGTGGTCCGCATCGAGCCGCCGCAGCTGCGATAGAAATTTCTCGGTGTATTCCAGGTCCTGCGCAAGAATGACCATTGGGTCCTGCTCCGGCTGCTTTCGCTGCTTCGGTGAAGGCGTAGTGCTCTCGAAGACGGGATCGATGTCGGCCGGCGCGTCCGCAGCGAAGGGCGGTGCGTCGTGGATGCCGTTCAGCTGTGACGGGTCGGGCCCGAGCTCGAGCTCCGCGCGGAAAGAGGGCCCTCCGTTGACGTCCAGCTCGCTGTTCTGCGCGTGGTGGCCCTCGTCGATGCCCTCGGCGCCCTCATCGTACTCGATTCCAAACTCCTCCGCTAAGAGCTTCGAGCCTGCGCTCGGTTCTGGCATGAGTGCCACTGCGAGTTCATGGGCGAGCGAGTGCCGGCCGTTTGCTGCATCGTCGTCTAGTGTCTGCGCGAGGCTCGATCCGCGCAGGGATGCTGTCGAGCGGCGCGCGTGGATGCTCAGACTTTGGCGAGATGGCGACTTGCGTGGGGCCTTGGTCGAGCCTATCGAGAGAAAACGAGAGCTGGTGGCTCCGTAGACGTCGTCGCTGTCGTCGAAAGATGGCATGGGCGGCGACGAAGAGCTTGTGGACGAAGAGGAGATGAGAGGCGTCGCTTCAGCCTCTCGGCGCGAGACAGATACAGCGCGCCCAATTAGCGCAGCGTCGCTTTAGAAACGGGCCAAGTTCTGACAAGTTCGCACAAGCACAACACTGGCACATCCCCGTGACTAGAACTTTGGTTGCAAGCTACAGAAAGACACAAACTGGGTAACATCTGACAATATTATAGCCCGTTGCATGGCAAGGATTGGGAGATTGGGAACACAGGTATGGCCACAATAAAGGTACTACAAGTTAGTCCGAGTCCGACGCCGCCAGTTCTGTGTCCGCCTCCGATTCCGTGCATGGACCGTAAACAATGGGCGATAAGGGTCGAGGCATATATTCTCTGAGCTGCCGCTGCAACACTGCAGCCACTGTTGGATCATCCTTGAATGTTCTGGTGAGTACTCCATGAAAATCCGTCACTGAACAACGTCTGTCAGAGTAGTATTTTCGCAGGCCCACGATGTCTCTCAGTACTGTCCTGAAAGATTGGCGTTCCGGTATAATGGGGTTCCATTCATCTCTGCCCTCGCTGCGGTGCCAATGGAGCGATTCAATCATAGAGATGCACGTAGCGGTCGGGAACACCTTCTCCAGATATAAGAGGATACTGCTGTGTTGTAGCTGCAGATCCAAAGCCCACTGTGATGACAGCCGCCCACGCTGGAAGTAGAGTTGCAACTTGCGCACTGTTGTCTTTTGCTTCCGCAAACTGAACATGCCTTCCATGAACTGTCCACATTCTCTATCAGGCTACTAAGCACATCTAGTGACAAGTGAATAACTCACCCTTGGATCTCCCAGAGTAGCAGACCCGGAGAGATACAGCGACAATTTCTCCAGCTTTAACTCTGCCAGGGGATAAGCAGCGTATAGCTTCGCAGAAAGAACCAGATAACGCAAGGCGGAATTCCCGGAGAAGTTGCCTTCAAGGGGATAGGGAATTTGCTGTCCACAGATGATTTTCTTTAGACCTCGTCCCCCCACGACAGTCAGGCTCGATATTGGTCTGGATTGCCACAAGGCCGGTAGCAGGTGTGTCAGGCACTTTAGTTTTTCCAATCTCGGCAAGGATGATTGTTTTACTCTCAAGTTACCGAGTTGACGGAGGTCTTTGATTGCGGCGTGGCGATCTCCTTTCAAGGTGTAGTCAATAAGCTCAAGGTCGGTGATCGACGGCGTGCGATCAAGGAATGTCGAGAGAGCGTCAATGCCATGGGGATGGAGGGGCACTTGGAGCATCTCCAGCGGAATGTCCATGTCCAGCGTGAAAAAGTTCCTAGCGATCTCCCACTCTGTCGTTATCAGCGACCGCAGCGAGCGTGTGGCCGCCAGTGAAACAATCGCGGGGATATATCGCCAAAAGGCATTTCCCACTCCCGAGACCTCAAGGACTTTCAAGGCTGGGAGTTTATCCAAAGGAAGAATAAAGGAGTTTTGCGGTGCCCGAAAATTGCAGTTTCTCATGTGGAGTACCTGTAGTTTGGGCAGAGTGGCCACGGCAGTGAAGAAGCGGTCCCCGATTGTATCGGACGAAAGTCTGATACTCACGACATTGGTGAAGAATCGGAGTGCCGTTGTCCACGATGACAAGTCTGCGTGGGCTAACCGGGGCTCTAGTGGCGCGTTCACTTCTTGGCAGGGCTCAAATGTGAGGTGCTTGACGTGAGGTGCTAGAGCACGCGCCATGGCGTCGCCGCGGTTCATCTCCACGACCCACCTATCAAGCTGAGGCGTTTCCCCACTTCTCCAATTTCTCCAGGAGACGAACGTCTTGAATAGCTTCGGCACTACCAGATGGTGAAAGAGGCGGCATACGAGCGCCCAGGTTGCCAACGTAGACTTATACTCCTTGAGTGATATCTGCTCCGGCTGGTATCGGAATTCGTCCAGGATCAAATTGTAGATGTCGTACGGAAGGGTGGTGAGACGTCCGTGACGATTTCGTCGCTCTGGGACTGCTCGAAGTGCGGTGAGTAAACTGCTACGTTTATAGTGGGCTAGAACACTGACTTGTCCACACGAGCTCTGTCATCCTGCGCGGTGGATGTTGCGGTGAATGTTCAGATGAGCGAGCAGAGGAATGTGGAGGAGTGATAATGGTGAAGGTATGTGGGCGGTTCATTGAAATTAGCCACCCGCGCTCTCGGACATCTTTATACTCGACCGGCGTCTAACGAACAATAAGTATTCTGATATCCGAAGGTCGATTATATGCTCCCCAATTTGTGGACAGAACTTGTATTGCAAGACGCGTAAACTACAAAAAATGACAAACCGGGTATGCTTTACACGTACACACATGAGCAAATGATGCTTACAGCCTGATGTCTGGTAGCAGGGGATCTCGAACTATTTAAGTTAGTCCAGGTATACCTTCGACGACAGACAAAAGTCTGAACTTGGAAAGAAACTATCAGTCCGAGTCGAAAAGAGCAAGTATTCAGTGAGAGAACAGGGTCACAGGCAGGCAATCTTTTCCGAGCATCGCCTGGAGCATCGCATTCGCCTCTGGATCGTCCTGGAATGTCTCGGTAAGTAGTCCGTCAAAATCCCGCACCGCGCTCATATTGCTTTTCCACAGCTCTTGGCACACCACCAGCAGCCTCCTGAAATATTCACATTGACGCATGATGGGGGTCCACTTGTCCCCGTGCTCGCTTCGGTGCCACTCCAGCGATTCGACCATGGAGATACACGTAGCAGTCGGAAATTCCTTTGCCAGGTATGTTACGATTATGCTGTGTTGCTGAACGAGGTCGAAAGCATATCCTGCCTCGTATAATCCGAAGAAGTACAACTGCAGGTAGCGCACGGTCATCTTTGGTTTCCTCAGGCCACACACAATTTGGAAGCCCTGGCCATGTCATCAATCAGCTCAAGAGCAGGTAAATGATAAGCCAACAACTGACGTTTGGATTCTTGGGGCTAACGTGCACGGGAAAACAGATCGACAGTCTATCCAGCGGGGGGAAAAATTCTGCTAGAGGATACAGAGCGTATAGCTCTAGAGGAATTTCTAGCTCATGCAATGTGGAATCCCTAGCGAGGTCTTCAAAAGGATAGGATGGTGGCTGCCCCTCTTCCTTCCGCATCCTCGTAGAGAGTGGAATCCAATCCCTTGGCTCCATTAGGCTTAAGGTCGAGATCGGTCTGCTTCGCCACAAGGATGGGAAGAGGTGCGTCGGGCACTTCAGCTTCTTCAACCTTGGTAAAGACGACTGCTTCAGCTTTAAGGTGATTCGACGGATTTCCTCGTGACCTTCGGGGGTGCGATTATCCTGCAAAATGTCGACGAGCGAAAGATCGTGAATCGAAGGCGTGCGATCAAGGAAAGTCGAGACAATGGCGACACCCCTGGGTTGAAGCGGAACCTCGAGCTTCTCCAGCGGGATGTTCACATCCTGCTTCATGATGCCCTTGGCGATCTTCCACTCAGTCGTCACGAGCGACCGCAGCGACGGCGTGGCCGCCATGGAAATGATTGCTGGGATGTATTCCTCGGCGTAGTCGACTTCCAAGACTTCCAGGGCTTTCAAGCCAGGAATTCCATCCGCAGGAAGGACGACAGGCTTTCGAAGCTCCTGGAACTCGCAGTTTCTAATGCACAGGGTCTGTAGGTTAGGCAGAGTCGCGATGGCAGTGAAGAGTCGGACGTCTATCGGAGAATTCAAGAGCGTGATGTTCACTGTGTTGGTGAAGTATCGGAGCGCCGACGTCAAGGACGCCAGGCGTCGCTGGGAAAATTTGAATTTCTGGGCCATGTACTCTTCCTTCCAATTCATGAAGGTGAGGTGCTTGACCTTGGGTGCTAGGGCGTGAGCGACATCGTTGCCGCGGTTAAGCTCCATGATCCACTGCTCAAGCTGAGGGTCATCCTTGTCTCCTTGCTCTTTCTCGAAGGTGAACACCTCGAACAGCTTTGGCGTGGCGAGGTGGTGGAAGAAGCGGCATACGAGGGCCCAGCTTGCCAATGTGGATTTATAGACCCAGATCGATGTCTCCTCCGGCTGGTATTGGAATTCGTCCACGATCAAATTGTAGACATCACACGAAAGGGTGGTAAGGCGTCCGCGACGGCTCCGTCGCTCTGGGACTGCTCACACTATGGTGAGTAAACGGCTGTATTCAAGGTGGCCTGGAAAACTGACTTGTGCATGCGAACTTTGTCATCTTGCAGGGTGATTATTCAGGTGAGAGGGCGGAGGGGGGGGTGGACACGTAGGCTCTTCTCTTTATACTGAGGCGCCTAGCGGACAATAGACTTTCCTGCGGCCCCCAGGTGCGGTGCAGGATGTGTCGAGATCCTGGCGATATCTGCGGGCAGAGACACAAAGGGGCACGGATCTCAGAAGATTGATTATAAGCTCCACAATTGGCCGACTCACGCAATTTAGCGCCAGGTCGAGACGCGCCAGGCGCGTTTGCATATTCGGGCCACAGGCGCGTCACACTTTGGCGCCTCTTTCTGCCTTCTCTTGGCTCTTGGTTCCTTTGGAGCGCTGCGATGGACGCTGCCTGACGACGACATGATGCATTGATTCAGTCAGCGCTTCAGAGAGTACGAGCTCTACGTCTATAAATTACGCACTACAGTAAGCAGTCTAACAAATTTTATGTCGACGAATCCGACTAAAACTTTTGCAATATTCTATGATATCCTAGTCTAAAATTTACGGTGCACCATTCCAAGCGAACCTACCGTCTAAGAGTGAGTAACGAACCGGTAGCGTCTGTCCCCCACCACGATCCTGTCTGATAGTGGTCCTACGGCACCCGGCCTCAAGTCGATACATTCTTCGGCATGCTCCAACCAATAGCCGCCCCACGAGGTCGAGTCTACATTTTCAACGCCGGGGAACGCGGCCACCACATGTCTAACGAACACTGATATACAGTCTAGCGAGAGCGGTGCCGTTCCTATGGAGAGACTCCTGAGGGAACACAGCGATATCGCGAGGTGCGCGCCCGGCGGCGGCAGTGGGAGCGCCGAATCAAGGATGTCCACGGGGAGCGTCAACGACTTGAGCTCGCGGCACAGTTTGGCAAGCACAAAGAACACCGCAGGCGTCAGTCGGGAAAACGCGTCGGCGTGGAAGTCTTCTATGAGTCCCAGGTTCAGCAGAGATAGGCGCGGCCACCATGCCGCAATCTGCTCGATATCTCCATCACAGAAGTCCGGAGGCGCCGTCCCATGAATCGAAAAGCGACGCAGGGCCTTGAGGCCGGCGAGAGGGCGCAGAGCGCTGATCGTCAGCGCCCTGTCTGAATGGACAGCGCCACTGTATTCTACGTCATCTGACGGGATGAATGCCTCTACGCATAGCTCTTCGAGGCTATGCGAACCTATCAGAGATAGGCGCTCGAAGGAGGGATGGAATGATATGGGTGAGTAAGCCGTGTCAATCTGAACCTTCTGCAAGACGCCGACTGGGAGCGTCTGTAACAGAGCAGCCAGGAAGTCTGGCTGGCATGAAATCTTGAGATTTTGCAGCGTTGGGAATAAAGGCGGGGCGGACGGAGAAAGCGTTTCAAAAAATGTGCTCGGATTTATATGGGTGGCTTGCACGTCGAGTCGCCGGAGGCGAGGGAAGTTGGCTATAGCCAAGAGCATTTGCGCGGTGAGCGAATCTCCTGCATACAATAGCAGTGTCCTCAGAGTGGTCAAGGAGGCGAGCGTCATGCTGAGTTGCGCCGACAAACGACCCCGGAGCCGCAGCGTCTGCAGATCGACATCCCATGCGTTCAGCGAGTCCAGGTACGTGGCCACAGCATCACTTCTCAGAAGCATAGAATGTGGTCTCTCCTTGTTGTAATGATTGAGCGTGATGTTTAGGTGGCGTAACGCTCGGGACGTCTTGAAGCATGGGGCGACCTCGCAACCCTCGCCTCGGAGCACGACATGCGAGAGTTTGGGCATCAAAATTATTGATTGCAGCAACGGGGACACGGGGAGAGCTCCCCGGTGCGTGACGTGTCTTACACGGGATGCGTAAGTGCGAAAGTTCGCCAGATTGTCAACGTGGACGTTATAGTTGAGCTAACGCGGAGACCACCAACGGATCAATGAACGGAGCCACACCCAAGCATTCAACGAGACGTACGGATGCATTACGGCGGAGAAGTTGCATTGGCAGCAAGCGCAGGAGCGGTTCAATGTTGTCCAAGCGGTTCCACAGCCTGTCTAGCGCTGGGTCTTTCCATGCTCTGCAGCACTTCGCAATCTGGCACAGCACCCGGCGGTATTCCTGGTCCGGCCAGTCCGAACACTGTCCCAGGATGACTTGCAAGATCTCGTCAATGAGAAGGGCAGCGTGCATTCTAAAGAATAGGATGAGTTAGATAATTTGAATCTGTGCGATATCTTAGGATTGATATGATTGTGTTGGGTGAGGCCAGGTATGAAGAGGTATTGATTATAGCAGTACCGTTGGCATGAATGCCACAGAGAATGTGCAACAAGGAGTGTATGCCACCAGGTCACGGTGGAGGCCTCTAGGATTAGTGCACAACAGTACAATTCAAGTTCAACCGAGTGCAGCCAGCAGGCCTAGCAAGTACTCTGTATATTTTATACGAGCGCCGCCAAAACGGTGGCTGTGCACAATTTTCTGAACCGAGGTGTTTCATTGGTTCGCTTCTTACCGCATCTCAGATTGCGATTCATGCTAGATATTCCAAAGATACTCTATCAGACTCTGGGGCAGCTGTCTTCAGCTTCAGCAAATTAAAGACCATTTTGCAAGTACATATATCGATATTCCGGTAAGAGATTCCCGCGCCAAATCACATTCAGATGTAGGACAAGTTCAAAAATTGATGTTCACGCTGCTCATAAATCATGCCATGAATTTGCATTACGATATAGACATACAACATGAAGCGCAGTACAACTTAGACGACCTCCGCACGTCTGGCTTAGACAACAGGGGGCTTGGTGCCAGGCTGGAAGGTGTAAGTCAAGCCGCACTTGCCGCAGTATTGTCGGTCCTCGTGGAAGGCCATCTGCACAGGTGACATCAGATAATGCAAGCGAAAGGCACTGAGAAGATGCGCACAAAGATACCAGCACCGCACTCGGTAGAGGGGCACTCACGACGGAGACGCTTGATCTTGCCGTCGCTCTCCACCTTGTAGTATTTCAAGATGGACATCTTGACTTTCTTGCGCTTGTGCTTGATCTTCTTGGGGGTCTGTAGGAGAGCATGATCAGCAAAAGTCAGTAAATGGAGGGTCAACCCCTCAACAGAAACACATACGTTGTAGGTCTTTTTCTTGCGCTTCTTCGCACCACCGCGGAGGCGGAGCACCAGATGGAGGGTCGACTCCTTCTGAATGTTGTAGTCGTTGAGAGTGCGGCCATCTTCGAGCTGTTTGCCGGCGAAGATCAGACGCTGCTGGTCGGGAGGAATACTACGAAATGTGATGAGTAACCTTCAAACTTGATTGTGGAAACAAACTCACCCCTCCTTATCCTGGATCTTGGCCTTGACATTGTCGATAGTGTCTGAGGACTCGACCTCAAGGGTGATAGTCTTGCCCGTAAGGCTAAAGGAGTAGACAATTTAGCATTTTGGATGCAAAGCTGGATAGTGCATACGTCTTGACGAAAATCTGCATCTTGCTTGCCGCGCTCTGTCAAATCCCGGACAAGACAATGTACTCGGTGCTGGAACTCACTATGCGGACGCCTCTGTCTGTCCAACGATCTGAACGATGGAGTCGTTGACAAAAGCGAAAACCGGGTCTAAGGATACTTTTTCAGATGGGAAAGACTTTTATAGTGACGGATTTGTCAGCGAACGGGAATTGTTGATGGTCCGTGCGTATGAATAATCAGAGTTGTAAGCCCGACCCAACTCCGAGACTCCGAAAGCGCGTCGCGATACGCGTGACACGCGTCAGAAGGACGCGTCCCATCACAACATTCACAACCACACGCTATCCAATTTCATTTATTTTCCAGTTATTAACACGGAAACATGGACTCGGACGAAGATACACATATGTCGGATACAGAGAAGGACTCTTGGCCGATAGGTGGGAAGGGCAAGGGCAAGGCAGTTACATACGACCAACACGACAGTGAGAACCTGCCATGGTGCGTGGCGTAACACTGCAGGAATAATCGCGTGCTGACAACACGATAGGGTGGAGAAGTATAGGCCAGTCACTCTAGATGATGTCGTTTCGCATAAAGACATCACCAGCACCAGTAAGCACCATACTTCGGGTATCCGTACGTTTGATTCAGCGTGTTGCTTTATAGTCGAGAAATTCATCGAGAAGAACCGACTACCTCATCTCCTATTCTATGGCCCTCCTGGAACGGGAAAAACGTCTACTATCCTCGCGGTGGCACGCCGAATATATGGCAAGGACTACCGCAAACAGATCCTAGAGGTCAGCGGCCCGTGACTAGCGTTCAAGCTGTTGACGTTGCTCTTTTATAGCTTAACGCCTCAGATGAACGTGGTATTGACGTAGTTCGGGAGCGCATCAAGAACTTCGCGGAAACCCGTACTCTGTTCCTAAAGGGCTACAAACTCATCATCTTAGATGAGGCCGACATGATGACAACAGCAGCGCAGGCTGCCCTGCGCCGTGTCATTGAACAGTACACGCGGAATGTGCGGTTCTGCATCATCTGCAACTACGTCAATAAGATTATACCCGCCATCCAAAGTCGATGCACGCGGTTCAGGTTTTCACCCCTTCCCATTCCAGAAGTCGAGAAGAGAATCAATAGTGTCATAGAAGCTGAAGGGTAGGTCTTTGTGCATCCCTGGTGGGATTTTCTTCTGTAGTACTGACCAGGCGAAGGGTCAAGCTCACCGAGGATGGAAAGAAGGCGCTGCTCAAACTCTCGAAGGGAGACATGCGAAGAGCGCTGAACGTACTGCAAGCATGTCATGCAGCGTATGACCTCATAGGAGAGGCAGAGATTTATAACTGCACCGGTAGTCCTCATCCTGCAGACATTGAGACTGTCGTCAAGTCCATGCTCGCAGATGATTTCACCACTTCCTACCAGAGTTAGTCATTCCCATCTAAATTGTCATCGCACTAACGTGTATCCATTGCGCGCAGTGATCTCTGCATTGAAAATCGAACGTGGACTTGCTCTGCCGGATCTCCTCAATGGGGTGTACGAATTCATGGAGACTGTCGAGCTGAAAGCTCACGCTCGGATTTATCTGCTGGATTTTATTGCAACAACAGAGTAAGCGGAATCTTGTATGGTGATAGCAGACTGACAGACATCTTTTTCTTGTTTGTAGGCATAGACTATCGACGGGTGGAAGTGAGAAAATCCAGCTGACTGCATTGCTGGGAGCGTTCAAGAATGCTGTGGAGTTGTCTGCAAAATCATGATTCGTTACTTTGTTACGCTAGTTCCATGTGTACCGTGCTAGGCTCTACATACTATGCATGTAGTACTGTCTTGAGGAACGCAGCTGGCTTGATCAATATTGATCTTGAATTTCCGTCGCGTCTACGTGTCTAGTCACATGATGCCTGACCGTGATGCATTGGTGCGGTCGTTCGGTGAACGAGCATATACGTTGTCTTCAACCTTCTTCAGTCTTCCTGGCCGTTCGTGTACCTGCTGGCCGAGTGTATAACTTCCAAGGCCTGGGTGTCACACAAAGGAAGCACCAGATCGGTACTCTACCGCTGCATGGCCAATGGCTTTCCCTATTCCATCACATTTGCCGCGCAGGAAGGAACCACAGGATGTATCCACCAAAATATTGACCAAGATATCGGAGGCGACGGCAAAGTCTCTTGATGCGCAGCTGGCTTCCTCATGGGTGGCGGAACTGGATGATACCATAACGCAAACGAAGGTGTGCACCTACCTGCCTACTGGTGTCCTGAGTTCCGATTCATCATGGACCTGCAGCGACGTATACATGAGCGGATGTCAGAGGACCTCCCAGCATTAGAGCGGCAGATGTCAGCTGCGAAGTCTATCCAGGAACGGTTGGATTCCTTGACGAGTAATGTCGACCTTCTCAGCAGTAGTCTGTCGGACCCAGAGGTACGTTTGTGCCCTCTGCAGGTTCCCGTGGTGTGTACGCGCTGATTTCATGTGAAGTCAGGTCTCATACCTACACTGATCACTGCACTGACTCAACATGCGTCGCTCTCTCAAGAGACGTCAGACGCAGATGTCAAGTATAATGCACTATCCCATCTTCTCCGCTGCAGGGGCGACTTCTACAACCTGTCGCAACTGACCCACAATGGGAAACTGCCTCAGGCTGTGGGAGCTTGCAGGGACCTTGATCGACTCCTTGGTGAATCTCCCTCCCCCTTAGGCCAGAGTGCGATCATGCTGGACTTGAAGGTCTGTCACACGTAATAGAGTATTTCACCACTGTTGAGTGAGGCCTTTAGCGCAATTGCGCGGCTATGCAGGCACGTACGGAAGAGCAGCTGAATGACGCATATACTCGCAGCATCCAGGTCTCTGCGTCTGAAATCATCATTTGTCCCTCAATTCAAGGTATTTCTGTCATACATCCGTGTTATTAAGCATTAATACATCTTACATCAGTCAGACAGTCGGAGACTATCCTGTCTTTGGCGTCGATCCTCTCTGCCCTTTCGGTGGCCTCCCTCACCGCCCAGCTCACGTCTTTGCGACGGGATCTGTCCGCACTCTATATTGAACATCTGATGAAGCAGCCAGTGGCCGTTGTGGTGACGTCTGTTAAAGATGTGACCGGGACACTTGAGCACAAACTGACAATGTTCCCCTCGCCTCCGGACTCGGCAAGTCCAACATCCCGGCTAGAAAATCTATCCGTGGTTCTCACATTTCTGAATACGCACCTGTTCCCTTATCTCCCTGAGGCGGAACTTACAGCCTTCCCATATTCTCTCTGCAAGCCTATCAAAACAGCTGTACTGACTCACCTGCTCGTTCCTTCGCTGCCTTCATCCATTGGAAAGCTTCCCAATTTTTTGAATCTAACTCGTCAAGCAGTGGCATTCGAAGATGAGTACATTGGCTTAATACTGGGAGACCATAGCGGAGATCGGGACGTCAAAGCCTGGGTGAGCACCGTGGGGTCGCACTACGAACGCAAGCGCCGCGTAGAGATCCTTGAGAGTGCTCGGATCACCATTCTGCATCCGGAGGATGAAAGTCGGACTTTCCATGTGGATTTGACAATCACCTCGGAGCCAGAGTCTACGGCCGCCCCGACTGTTCCTGAACCCCCCCGCAAGGCGCAACCCCAAGCTATTGAAGAGGAAAGTGAAGTGGCGTGGGGTTTCGAGGATGGACCAGTTCATAATGATGATACTAGCGCCGGCGAGGAAAATGGATGGGGTTTCGACGATGAGCTCGACCCCGAGCCCGAAACGGAAGCTCAGCCTGAACCTCCACTGGAGCCAGCTTCTAATGGTACTGAGGCCGAAGAATACTCAGGGGATGCTTGGGGGTGGAACGACGACGAAAGTTCACCAGCTGGAAGCTCAACAACTGCTGCGGACGACAGTCCTTGGGATGATGGGTGGAACGATCCACCAGAAGAGAAAGGCTCTCCACACGGGACGGATGCGTCCGCCAAGCCTGCGAAACGGTTGGAGAAATTCACGTCGAAGTACCGCATGGATGTGGATTCGTCGCCACTGAAGTCTCCTCCGCTCATTGCACCTCCCCCACCCACACCTGTTATATCGGTGGCGCCAAAGCAGTATGCACCCCCCACGGTGATCAAGGAATCTTATGTAGTTTCCGGTCGTACAAAGGAGCTGATCCGACTCGTAGAAGACGTTTTGGCAGAGGGCGCAGAACTAGCGTCATCCGGGATCTTGTCTGCTTATTACGCTTCGTCAGGCTCACGGGCAGGAGCCCTGATACTACAGGCGGCACCGCTGACGCTGGAACTCTATCGTGCTTTGTATCCGGTGTCGGCTTCAGTGGAACTGACATCTTCATCTCGGAGATCCATACGCTTTTCTAATGATTGCTTGTACATTGGGAGTGAGATTGACCGCATAGTGCGAAATCTCAAGGGCGCCATGTGCTCGGCGAAGGACAAGCTGGTTGAGTGTAAAGAAGCGATGAATGTTTTGGGCGACAGTTGGTTTGAGGAGACCATTGTACGTTCTACTGTGGTATCCATGTTTATTCTTGTAGTAAACTCTTTTCTCCCAAGGGTCGGCAAAATGTCTGCACGAATGAGCTGCTTGACAAAGCTGAGGGCTTCGTCGACACGATGGATCAGGATCGCTTTGATGAATGTGAAGATGCTGTCAATAAGACATTACAGCGGATACGACAATTTGCACAGCAACTGAAGGTATGCGTTTGTTAAGTACTGATATTGCAGTGGATGGCTGCTTATGCCGGCACGCCCATGATAGACTAATCTGAACAAGAGCAAGTACTACCTTGCGATAGGTTCAGCTGTAGATGCTGCTTTGTCTCGCATTCTTACGGATATGCTGGCGCTTCCTGACATCACGGCTGTGGAGTCGCACCGATTGAGTGAGCTCTGCCGTATCTTGAACGCCCTGGAGGGGTTATTCGTAGAGAATCCTGACCAGGTAAGAGCCCATCCCCGTAAACTTGAGCTCACGATAACCGATGGTGCGGTATTCGTTCACAGCCATCTTTTGTTGTTTCGTATGTACCATCATGGCTGAAATTCTCATACCTCTCGGAGCTTCTGGTTAGTTATCTATCCTCTGCTCATATTCATCGTGCTAACATTTTTAATTGGCGCATCACTAGGAAGCATCTATCGCTGATATATCATACTTGTTCGAGGAGGGTGCTCTCGTTGATTTCGAGCTTGAAGAGCTGGTGAAGCTCGTACGGGCTCTCTTTGCGGACACGCCGTTGCGAACAAATACCATCAATAAACTACTACAGGGTCACCCGGTGCATTCATAGTTAGCTGTTCCACATACTCAGGTGTTCTCTCCTTCTCTTCCTTGCTACGATGATACGGTACTATGGAACTGGCAATTGACTTACATACTGCTTGCACTTCATGGACGTTTGGATGAAGGAGAGTGTATTACGTAAGTGAGAACTTTTGTAGCGCACGGACCACCACAACAGATCCAAACAACCTCCTTTGTATGCTTCACCCACACCCGAAGACGGCCTCAACGACGACAACGACGGCCACTCCAGTATTTAATAGTCGCAAATTCATGTGTTATGGCGTCTGTTGAGGTAATACAACGACCTGAATCTCTTTCTGATTGCAGTGCATCACTCATGTTTTCGCACCTGCAGACGTTTGAATCCACACTTAAGGATGTTGTGCGAGCAAAGCGGATCTCTGCGTCGAAAATGGTGACTTTGACCGACATCGCCTTGAAGTGTATGCAGGTACGTGGCCCTTTCGTGGCTCGAGACGCGTGGCACTGAACCTTGTCGCATGTTTGGAACAGAATGACACGCAACTGGTGTCAATTCTTTATCGCACCCACAAGTCTCTATCGACGTCCTGCAAAGTCTCCAGCCTATATACTTTTGACGCGTTAGCGCGCGCCGCACGTCACCAGGTGACCAAGCAAGGCCTTACGGGGGACGTCAACGCCGAGCAGGGCAACTGTGCCACATTCCTGTTGAAGATGGAAGGTATCTTGGATGGCCTGTTCAACGATATGGTATCTTCCGGGAGCGAATCGAAGGTTAGTTTTAGTGCAGTGTCCCTACTACTGATGTGCTCCGGACCGAGTGGCTTTTTGTTCGCCTGTGGTGTCTTTGATTTTGACCAGGCAGTGGCCCACCTTGGATTCAAACTGCAATGATGTATGGCTACCTCAGGGCTGCAGATCTTCCTAACTGATGTTCCAGCCAATTCGCGTGTAGTTCTGGTCTATAACCTGGTCACTTGTTTTGTAGCATCTCGTGCACCGTGACGACCTACGCGTCGCAATAACGCTGCTGACCTTCCATCACATGACCGTCGTGCGATACCACGGACAGCCCAGTTTTTCTCTTTCCGGGTGAACGTAGCTATGTGTCCTAACTTTACTTCTGTCCGTGGATCCACAGGATAAAACCAAGAAAATCCTTGATATCTGGATCAAGTCGAATACGTTCCCTGCGGATGTACTAGCTCGTCTGACGAAGTTACTGAAGGGAGCAGCGGAAAAAGGTGCCTATCATTGTCGATTTGTGTTCGCTAAGTATATCTCCCATTCGCGTAATCCCATTCTTTTGGTTGCCCGCCACGACGAGAAAATGTGAGAATGTGAACTGAAACCTAGTTTGTGTGTCAGAACCCAAAGCGATCACAAGCGCGGCTGGAGATCCGCACAATAATCATCCTACTCCTTCGACGTCCGCCACACCGCCGCAGGCATCGGTGCTTCAAGGGGGAGCGACTGATCCCAGTTCAGTCCAATCGACACTACTCGCGCTTTTGAGTCAAGCTGCGAACGCAGTGGCCGGTACCAACGGGTGAGTTAGTCGGTCGAATAATTTTGGTTTCTATTGCTCATCGTATGGCAGCCAAACAACACCAAACACAGCCGCCACGCCTGTGCTGGATGCGAATCAGCTCTCGCTGTTCCAACATTTAACGCAGGCAGCGAAATTGGGAAGTGGAGTGCCTACGCAGCCCCTACCATTACCCGTGTCATTAGTCCCATCATCCTCATCAAATGCTGTTCCTGTAGTGTCTCCTGTCGGAGGGCCCTCGCAGCGTACACCGAATCGAGATGATCATAACGGTTCCGGTCGTAGAGAGTCCAATCATGACAGGTACGGCGCCCCAGAGCGTGACAGAAATCGCGATGATTACTACAACGACCGCCGCGACTTCAGAGGCGGCGTTAGAGGCAGCTTCCGCGGTGGGTTTCGCGGTGGGTTTCGCGGTCGCGGTCGTGGCGGCTACGATCACTACAGAGACAGACCCCGAGACCGGGAAGGGGACCCCCCACCCAGAGGACGGCGCAGCCGCTCTCGCAGTCCACCTAATAGATACGGCGGACGCAGAGACGTAAAGCCATACAGCCCACCCAGCCGCCCTTCCGCATCGCAGTATCCTACCAGGGACTCGACCTTTACTACTACAAATGCGGCAGGACCCTCGCGGGCGCCCGACACTGGCAAAGACGAGTTCGGACGCGATCTCAGAGCGGCGTCGCCCTCGCGCCCGGCCGCAGATACACAAGCTGCACCTGCAGCTCCAGCACTGGTGGCGAGACACCAGTCGCCGCCAGTGCCCAAACCAGCGCCAAACGCAATATCTACAGTAGATCACACATCCGGAGGCTCCGATGCTCCACAAGGCGCAGAGTCACTGACGGATCCCGCCCCTGCGCCTGCGCCTGGAGCAAGCGCAGAAGGCGCGCCAGCGGAGAAGGGGCTCGAAGCGTTCGACGTGGCAGCGTTCGACCCGTCGGAGGCGCATTCGTGGGAGGCGCTGGGCAACGCGTGGGCGGTGACGCACGGGTACCTCCCCACGCAGGCGGAGCTGATGCAGTTCGTGATGTCTGGCGGGTTCATGGGGCTCGCTGTAGCTAGTCAGTTCGGTACACAACAACAACAACAGCAGCAGCAGCAGCAGCAGGCGAGCCAGTGGGCCGGCCAGAAGAATAACTCCTGGGGGGCGTCATACCAGGCGCAAACCGGTGCGGCCTGGCGCGGCGGTGGGATAAGAGGGGGAGGACGTGGGGGCCACGGGTACGGCAATGGCCGAGACGCGGAATACACGGAACGGGCTTACCCTGTGGACTCAGCTTACGGAGGCGAGTATGGCATTGGCGCTGGCTGGTCTGGCGCGGGCGCAGGCGACGAGCAGAGCAGGGAACCGCCGAATGAGAATGCTAGCGATCTGCCCGTGCAGGGCTCACCGGACTCTTCTGGCGAGGGCGGGGCCGTGGGCGGTGTGGGCGGTGTGGGGCGGATGCAGCGGATCGGGGACAAGTGGGTGTTTGTTCGGCACGACGCGTCAGAAGTAGCATAGCATAGCACGATAGCATCATCATCCATTCGAGTTAGTGATTCAGTCTCTCAGTCGTCAGTAGAATTAACAGTATTGCAACACATCTCGTTCGGTTTACACTGCGTCTGCTAGTGGGGCCCCGTTCGCGTGCTCCATGCCCGCGAGCTCGTAGTCGTACCTGTCACGCGGGTCTGCGTCGTCCGTGTACACCATGCGTGCGCGAGGGGCACGGGGGGCACGGACGGTCCGCACGGCATATGGTGCGAAGGGGTTCGGCCAGTAGATGAGGTAGCACACGGTGGCGGAAATCGCACCGATCAGACCACCGACGATCACGTCTTCTATGTGGTGTCGCTGCAGCTGCATGGTCAGCATAAAAGTATCAGCGTAGCGAGAAGCCCATGGACGCACGTAGTCTTCCACCCGCGAGATTGCTACCCAGGTCGCAAAGACCAAGGGAGCGAGGGAGAGTGCCAGCCTAGCGGTGCGGCTGGCGAGGAGCGACCGCGCGCGTGCGGGCTCGCTCAAACACCACGCACCTGTCATGCCTGCGAGATACAGAGACAGGAATGTCATCCCGGTGAACGCTGTCGAAGAGTGGCCTGAGGGGAAGGATCTGCGGCCGTCGAGCACGGTCTCGACTTTCCTAGAAGAGAGATGTGACGATGATATGACTACAGGAAGATGGAATGCAATATGGACGCAACGTACCCTGTGCAAGCTTTAATCTCCTTGTCCCAGTCGCAGCGCGAGAGAAAATCGGGACGGAGGCGGCCTGAGCAGCAATGTGTCGCGTTAATGACGGCTATCGGAAGGGGAAAAAATCAGCGATACCGACCGACACGATTTTTCAAGAATTCCGTTGTTATAGAGGTTGTCCCTCTATCGACAAATAGATGTCAGTATGAGAGACTTGAAAAGAGAGCAAAGATTACAGACCTTGCGGCGTAAAGAGCGAGGGAGCTGTGATGAATTTCCAGGGCTGACCGCCTGAAGCATCCTATTGCTCCAGCCACTGCGAGCGGCACGAAAAGCGAGACGGTCCAGTTGAGGCTACCGCTGATCCTGCAAATTGAATGCGATGGTCAAACTGCAGGGGCCGCATTAGGAAGCGGCGGCGGTCAGGTGGATGAGCGCACTGGTTGTGTCTGTGCTTGAAGTCGATAGTCGGGTCGCTGCGGTGGAAGTCGCGCTCGTATGGTGGAAGCTCTGAGATGAGCCATGCGACGAACCATGCCGCCGTGGCGACAGTCCTGAAGCAGCATACAGTCGAATTATATGTCTGGACCCACGAAGGGAAAAAATCTTACCAGTCTACAACGTAGGAGCGATCAAACCAGGCGAAGGCACCGTCTCCGAAAACCTGTCTAAATCTCCTCTGTAGGTTGGCGAGCTGCGAAGCCATCACAGGCGCTATATGACGCTCGATATCACTACTACGGGCGCTAGAACAAAATACGCACCTTGAAGGACGACTCCGAGCAAGAGGGGAGCTGTAAATCTAATCTACTAAAATTTATAAAATCTTGAAGCCTGTATTCCCTCCCAGCTTGAGCGAGTGGCCCGTAAGATACTGGTATCGTGTGCGCAGTTGGCCGTGAGCTCTTTTAAGTCGTGACCCTTTTCGTGCGAATGGGCAGTTTGGGCAAGGCTATTTTTCCGCTGTGGCCCTGAATTCCCGATTTTGGTGCTCAAAAATTACAGGGATTTGTCGAAAAATGGCCACGCTCAAATTCCCTAATTCAGGACAGTCACGTTACAGTCACGAGTGACTGATCGTGAGCGTGACTATTTAAGCGGGCCAGCCGGACGCGTCGCGTATTCTTTCTCTCCCAACTTCGACCGTCTGCAGCTATGCCCAGAGGTCAAGCCAAAGCGTCTTCCAGCAAGGGGCAGAAATCCATCACCTCTTTCTTCGGTGGCAAGAGTACCCACAAAAAGCAGGCCAAAAATGAGGAAACTGCCAGCGAGGACGAGCCCGCTGCAGTGTCGTCCGACGTCGAGATGGTCGCTGAAACATCAAAGGGCGCCGCTCCCGACTCGTCCGACCTCCCGCCCATCCATCGAATTCCCGCCATCTTCTCTGACCTCGTAGGTCGTGTTCCAGAGATAAAGACCGTCGCGCAGCATCTCGAAGGCCGCAAGATGCGCATCGCGACCATGTGCTCGGGCACCGAGTCACCCCTTCTCGCTCTCGACCTCATCAGACGCTCCATCCTCGAGCACTACGACGTGCATCTCGAGTTTGAACACGTGTTTTCGTGCGAGATCGAGCCTTTCAAGCAGGCGTATATCGAGCGCAACTTCCAGCCGCCGCTCCTCTTCCGTGATGTTTGTGAGCTGGGCGACAGTCACGCGTACGTCTGCTGCATTATCTTTGCTCTGAAGTAACCTGACTCTCTTTCAGCACCACTGCTTACGGTGCGCTCGCGCCTGTTCCAGGAGATGTCGACATCTTGATAGCAGGCACGTCCTGCGTCGATTACTCGAACCTGAACAACGAGAAGCAGGACATTGACGCCAACGGCGAGTCCGGTCGCACCTTCCGCGGTATGATGTCCTGGGTCACGAACCATAGGCCACCCCTCGTCATACTCGAGAATGTCTGCGGTGCGCCATGGGGCCGCGTCGTGCAGTACTTCGAGAAGAAGGGCTATTCCGCTGAGCACCTGCGCGTCGACACCAAGAACTTCTATATCCCGCACACTCGCACGCGCGTATACCTCCTCGCTGTCGATCAGCAGCACTCGCGCATGCCTAGCCAGTGGAAGGACTGGATCGGAAAGCTCAAGAGGCCCGCGTCGTCGACGCTCGACGCGTTCCTTCTCCCGTCAGACGACCCCCGCATTTACCAGGCACGGGAGAAGCTTGTATCAGAGAGCTTCAATGGTGTTGATAGGAGGACGGGCAGGACGGACTGGGGGCGATGCGAGTCCCGTCATCAGCGGGCCAGGCTCGAGGAAGAATTGGGTGGGAAGCGCCCGCTCACTAACTGGGACGAAGGTGAATTCTCGTTACCGATTCTCGAAGTCTACCAACTGACCATTTTCCGTAGGTGGTTTTTGTAAGATGCCCGACTTTGCTTGGAACGACTGGGCTGTTGGCCAGGTCGAGCGAGTCTGGGACTTGATGGATATCAGTATCCTTCGTTCGGCCGTGAAGGGCGTCGACCCATCTTACAAGACGTACGTTGTTCACTCATGTATACCTTGCGGACATGTATTCTTATATTGTTTTTGTGCTGCAGGCAAGTTTGGAACTTATCTCAAAATGTCGACCGCACAATTGGATCAAACAAGGTTGGAATATGCCCCTGTCTCACCCCGTCCATGATTCCCTACATCACAAATCGCGGTGGGCCAATGGTCGGTCTCGAGGCGCTGTCCATGCAAGGTCTCCCCATTGACGAGCTGCTCCTGACGCGCGAGACGGAGGATCAGCTTGCTGATCTGGCCGGGAACGCTATGTCTACCACTGTCGTGGGCGCGTGCATCATGGCCGCACTGATCGTGGGCAGGAAGCTGCTCAAGGAGGGCAGTGACTCGGCTACGTACGAGGAGAAGCACGAGAACCTCATGGACGTGGACGCCGCGAGCGTGCAGGATGATGTGATGGAGGTGGACAGGCCTTCCTCAGCGTCCATTGTCGAAGTGGAGGACCACGTCTCGGGCGAAGACCAGCTGACTGAGCAGCCGCTCGACCTCTCGTCGACCGCGGAGATCGCTCTCGCACGCCTGCTTGCCAGCGCAGAGCAGAGCGCGCGGCTGTGCGAGTGCGAAGGCCGCAAGGACATCACGGACCGTCCCCTGAACCTATGCCGCGACTGCGGCGCCTCATCCTGCGTCAAGTGCGGCGGGCGGCCGGAACACAACTTCACGCCAATCGACGTCGTCGCGCACCCGCGTCTGTCCCCTTCCGCGTTCGCACAGCAGCTCAAGGCGATGCTCCCTATGTCACTCTCCGTCGCACACGTCACGCAGACGCTTCTCGACGAGCTCAAGGACGCCGCGGGCACAAGCGTGCCGGCGAAGCGCTGGGCGGGCTGGTGCGCGGCCGTTCTGCGAGCTACCGCGCACGAATTGCGCTTCGTCGAGCCGAAGCGCCAGGAGATATGGGTCGCGACGTACCAGTCACCGGCAGCGTACCTCGAGCTGCAGCTGTACCCCCAGCGCCCTGAGTGGCGCCTCTTTGCGCGCCCCGAGGAGCGCGAGTCTGCGAACTCGGAGCTCCGCAAGGTGCTCGCACTCCCAGTGGGCCGCTTCGTGTGTACCAATGGCTTGTTCGAGGGTACATGGGAGTTTGCCCTGCCGTACACCATCTCGGTGCCGCTCACGATTAAGGGTAGCGACCTCGTTCCGGCGTGGGAGGCCAAACTGGGGCTGCAGGGCAAGGAGTTTAAGGAGAAGATGGTGAATTCAATACTCACGGTCACCGTCCCCGAGGACAACGTTGGCCAGTTTGACCTCGATATCTCAGGCACATATACACTCCTGGACAAGTGTGGCACCGCGAATTCTGCCCTGCACAAGAAGACCGGGCAGGACCCCAGCCTGCCGCCGATATTCTTCCTCCTGGACCCTACACGTTGTGGAGACCCGGCCGACGACAGTTTCGTGTTCTCGATCAGTAAGCGGCGGTACGAGTATGGCGAGACGCGTCCGATTATTTGCCAGCTCGACTCGAAGTGGCGGCAGTCGGACAGTGCTGAGGTGGAGAAGGTACACTGTCACATCCCGTATGGGTGGACGAAGTCTTCTGCGGTGTTGTTGACGGTATGTGTATTCCACGACTTTTCCATTCCCCGCTGACTGTACGATTTACAGCCCGGCACTGGCCACGATGCGATCTTCGCCGTCCCCGGAGACAACCTCGAGATTAGCGTATCCAACGATGCCTGCGGCAGCGCCAGCGCGCTCCTCGTTTGCCGTGTCCCGCTCGGCGAGCAAGCCGGCCCCGAATGGCCGCGTGGGACGTGGAAGGAGGTCGATAAAGTTCACGAGCGCGTCACGTTCAAGGCGCTCGCCTGGCTCATCGAGCGCATCCGCAACGTAGGCGACCAGTTCAACAACTGGCGGGACGTGTCCCTCGAGGGTAATCACGCGACCTGCGAACGCTGCGCACCGTTGCAGCCTGCGATCCGCTGGACGAAGGTCCAGAAGAAGATCAAGGCCATCGAGGATACCGTTCAGGCTGGCCAGTACGAGCGCAGCCTCAAAGGTCGCCCCGCGCCTTTCGTCACGCAGCTGAAGCTTGAGGAGAACGGCGTCGGCATCGTGCGCATTGGCGTGAACATTACGTCGCTGATGCACCGCGCGATGTCGCGTCTCCCGACGGCCGGTCGCACGGAGAGCGTCTCTGTCTCGTGGCGGCTCAACACGGACTTCACTCCCGCGGCCAAGATTCAGCTCCCGAAATTCAAGCTGTCGAGTAACCGACGGGACCCGGAGCATGCTCAGCCGCCGAGCTTCAGAATCCCGCTGCGCCCTGAGCAGCTTCGCTCGCTGACGTGGATGCTGCAGCAAGAGGACGTCGACGCCCCTCCCTTCATCGAAGAGGAGATTTCGGAAGCGATCCTCGAGCCGCTCGGCTGGCGAGCGGAGGGTCGTGCCCAGCGCCCAGTGCACATCCGCGGCGGCGTGCTCGCGGACGAGGTCGGGTACGGCAAGACCGCCATCACGCTCGGGCTCATCGACTCCGCGTCCAAGGACGTCGACAGGGAGTTCCGCAAAGTCAAGGACATGAAGGGCAAGATTCCCGTGAAGGCGACGCTCGTGATCGTCCCGCCCCACCTTACGCGCCAGTGGGCGTCGGAGGTGAAGAAGTTCACGGGGAAGCGGTTCAAGGTCATCGTGCTCTCGACGGCGACGAACTTGAACCCGCTTACGATAGAGCAGGTGCAGGAGGCCGATATTGTCGTTGTCGCTTCTAACCTCTTCCACTCAAGTGTGTATCTTGCAAACCTCGAGGCTTTCGCTGGCGCAGGAAGCTTCCCCGCTGCCGACGGCAGGTACTTCAACGCACGGCTGGACGCCATCCTGTCTTCCCTCCGTGGTCAGGTCGACCGTCTGAGAGACGAAGGGGCAACTCAAGTAATGGATGCTATCAAAGAAGGACGGAAGCTCGGTTTGTACTCGTTCGCAATGAGCTTTTTCCGGTCTTTGCTAATCTCACAAATAGATGAGGATGAATCCAACTTCTTTGTGCCGACCAAGAGGCTGAAGGGCAAGACTTACCGCGATGCCGCTGAAGCAACAGGTACAGAGACGAAGAAGAAGCCTGCTGCGAAGCCTGAGCTTACCGCGGAGCCTGCGCCTTCCGCTGATGCTCCCTCGAAGAGCCCACGCACAGGTATGATCATGGAAGTGGTCATCCCGATCCCTCCTAAACGCAAGCTCTCCGCAGCAAGCTCGAGCGCAGCGTCCTCACCCAAGTCCTCGATGGTGGCCTCAAGCCCGGCTGCCTCGTCTACTCCCGAAATCACTGAAGCGGACGAGGACTCAGACATGCCGAGACCTCGGAAGCGGCGAGCCACGAAGAAAGTCGCCATCGTACTGTCTGAGGACGAAGAGCAGGCGGCTTCGGACGACGATTTCAACCCTGATGACGAGGAAGACGACAAGCCGAAGCGCGTTGTCAAGAAGACGGCGGGCGGTAAACGCTCCAAAATCGCCACCACGTCCGCGTCGTCCGCTTACGAGGAGTCCTCTGCGGAGGAAACTGCATCTGAAGAAGAGGACGCGATAGATACCGACGACGACGCTCCCAAGACCAAGTCGAAATCCAAGTCGAAATCCAAGTCGAAATCCAAGGCGAAGCCCAAGTCCAAGCCCAAGCTTAAAGGGAGGGCTGCTAGCAGTAAGAGTACGGCGACGTCCGAAGAGGACGAGATGGATGTGGACGATCCACCCACCACCAAGGGGAAAGGCAAGGCGAAGGCACCAAAGAAGCGTAAGGCCGTTGACGGTGACGACCGGCCTGCGAAGAAACAGAAGCGGAGGGAGGATTCGGACCCGTGGAAGCTCGGATCGCATGTGGTGAAGAAGGATTGGACGCAGATGCAGGCGCCCCCGCTGGAGATGTTCCACTTTGCGAGGAAGGTCGTCGACGAGTACACGTACCTGGATGGCAAGATCCATTCGTTAGTGACGAAGCTGACCGCCGAGCGGCACTGGGTGCTTTCGGGTACTCCTCCCATTCATGACTTCGCGGCGCTGAAGACTATTTCGGCGTTCCTCAACCTGCATCTCGGTATCGACGATGACGGCGAAGGTCAGTCCGTCCAGGTCAAGAAGCGGCGACGCGAGCAAACAGCGGTGGAGAAGTTCCACTCGTTTCGTGAAGTACACACGCTGGAATGGCACGCTCATCGTCACGAGGTCGGTCAGACCTTCTTGGATCGCTTCGTCCGTCAGGTATGACCTCCCGTTCTCTCTCATATCGACAACTGCTAATATATGCGTATCTAGAACATCGCTGAGATCGATGAGATCCCTTCGAAGCAAATCATCAAGAAGGTTGTTCTTCCAGCTGCGGAACGAGCCATTTATCTTGAGCTCGAACACCATCTTCGTGCGCTCGACATGACCATCAAGCGCGGAAAGAAGAGCGAAAGCGATCGCGAGAAGCGTATGGCACAAGCCCTCGGGGACAGCAGGTGTGTGCTCATCTCGTGTGCGTACATGTCGCGACATCTCATCAAATTACTATCCTAGCACTGCGGAAGAAGCGCTCCTCAAACGCTGCTCTCACTTTGAGCTTGACACCTCGGACAAGGAAAACGCCATGAAGGCTTGCGAGGTTATCGTCGACGAGCGGAAGAAGCAGCTGGAGAACTGCAAGACGGACCTCCTGAAGAAGCTCACCGAAGCCGTCAAGATGGAGAAGCGCATTGGGAAGACTGGCGAAGAGTCTTTGTTCCAGGAGTACAATCGAGTGTCGCGCACCGAAGGCGTTGGCGATGTAGACGCCACCGAGGTCGTCCAGGAACTGCTCGATCAGGCCAACGTTCCGAAGCCCCTCCAGACGGTCACCAACCGGCAGAACGACAAGAAGGCACAGCTCCCCAATAGCACTAAGGAGCTCATTTGGGAGCACCGCGAGCAGACGCACGAGATTCGCCGGGTGACAAAGGAGTTGGTGGGACGAGTGCGCTCGTTGCGGTACTTCACGGCCGTCCGAGATTTGCAGAGGCAGTTGGACGTTCCTCCGGTCGTCTCTTGTCCGGGTTGCAAACGAGACAAGGTCCCCATCAATGAGGTCGCCGTCTTGTCGTCTTGCGGCCACATGGGCTGTCTCAAGTGCGTCATGTCGTCCGCCGAGAGAGAGGAATGCGTCTATGCAGCTTCGGGCAGGTGCAAGGCCGCTGCGCGGGCGCTGAACGTCGTGAAGGGTGACACCCTTGGTGTGGACGACGAAGCTCGCGACGGTCGCGGCAAGCATTACGGCCTCAAGCTAGAGCAGATTATTGAGCTGATCAAGTAAGTCTCAACGTTCGTTCAAAGATTAGCAGTACGCTCATCGTGTATACTTACTACAGGAAGAAGATACCGAGTGACGAACGTGTGCTCATCTTCGTGCAGTTCCCGGATCTCATGAAGAAGGTCGGGGAAGCGTTGACGGCAAACCATATCAGCTTCCTCGAGATCAAAGGTACAGCGACACAGAAGAGCAAGAACCTCGAGAAGTTCCAAAACGACAGCGAAGAGCGGGTGCTGCTTCTGAACGTCATGGATGAGAGCGCTAGTGGTGCCAACTTGACGTCGGCCAACCATGCGATTTTCCTGTCGCCGCTGCTCGCGCCCTCGCAGGAGATTTACGATGCGTGCGAGACGCAGGCCGTCGGACGTCTGAGGCGTTATGGCCAGACGCAGCTCGTTCACATCTGGCGGTTCCTCAGCACGGAGACCATAGATGTGGAGATCTACGAGCAGAGGACAAAGACGAAGGTGTAGTACAATGTTTGACATTCGCATTTTGCATATGCTTTCGCTTTCCATCTATATATACCATCTGTATCAATGCATTTCTGGATATAATTGCTACCTTAGTGTACCGTGTAACACGGATATCTCTCGTTCACATCCACAGCGAGAACGCTGTGGGCATTGCAAGAAACCAATGGATTGGTAGATAGTAAGACAGATCTATTATACATGAAATACATTGAGCTTGCAATCCCACCCGCAACTGGCCAAAACACCTTCATCATACAACGACCATCCACAGCCGGCGACAAACTCCGTATGTGCGTCGTGAATATACAACAAATGCGTCCCAGCTGCCGTCGGATTCGCAGACCACCTGTATCAGACATGTCAAGTCAGAATAAAAACAACATTGCCAGACGAGATCTGCTCACACTCTGCACGTCATATCGTAGCTCGCACTTGCAATTACATCCGGGCGGTGTGGGCTCCAATTAATTTTGCGCACGGCATACTCGTGCCCGACGAGGGACGCCTCGCACGTCCCGCCGACGGCCTGCTGCGTCGCGTCCGCGCCGGTCTTGATCATGCGACAGTCCCACACCTTAATGGTGCGGTCGACGCCCGCGCACGCGAGCACGAACGGGCGGTATTTGTTCCAGTCTAGCGTAAGCAACTCCGTGCCAGACGCGGGAACCGTCAGCGCAGCGAAGGAGAGGGGGTCCGTGAAGGTGCTCCCGGTCGGCGCATATGCGGGAGCGCGCAAGTCGAAGATCTTGAGCGTGCCGTCCGTCGAGCATGTGGCAATCGTGTCCGGCTGGTGGGGGGAGAAGAGGGCTTGATAGACGCAAGAGCGGTGTGCCTGCAGTGTGGTTACTGAGCGCGGGCGGTCGGGAGTCCACTTTATTTCACGGGCGAGTCAGACGAATGTGCTAGATACAGAGGCATAGCGCACACCAGTTTAACCGTACCGTCCCACGATGAGGAGATAAACGTGTCTTTCTGTATATTCGACCAATCGACCGAGAAGACCTCGCGAGAGTGCTCCTGCCAGGCACGTATTGGCAGGTCCTAACGCTTGCGCAGACGTTAGTTTAACATTTTTCTACTCGCAGTTTCCGAGAGACTCACATTGAGCATGACATCCCACAGTTTGATTGAGCCATCTCCTGACGCAGTCACAAGCTGGTTTTCGTGCACCTCCGACCACGCAACGTCATACAAGCCATCTTGCGTATCGTATCTGCGCCCTTGTGAACAGATCCATAGTCGGCGTGGCACGGAAACTTACTGCTTGTCGAGAGAAAGGCCCGGTACACCTCCTGGACCTTGTCCGAGGGAGACGAGGTGAAGTCGCCCATTGCCGACCAGCCCATAATTTGCAGAAGACGCAACGGCGAGACGGGTGCTGTGGAACGGAGACCAGGCGAGAGAGTAGTGGGCAAAGCCTGGTGTCAGCAACGTGAGCGGCGGCGCTGGCCCGTTCATCGTCGAGAGCCTCGTCGTCGTGGTCTGAGGGAAAGAGGTATTTGGCTCGGGGACTCCGAGACCGAGCGGCGGCATGCGCGTGTCTGTCCCCACCATCCCGGACGCTCTCCTCCGCACGGCCACAGCGTCGCAGACCATCTCCCCCGCAGCTGCTATAGCTCGTGTCGCTGAGTTCATCGCGTCCGGCAATGTCGCCGTCATCACAGGCGCAGGCGTGAGCGTCGACTCGGGCATCAGAGCATACCGCGGCGAGAGAGGGAGGTATCTCAACCCGAACTACAAGTGCGTGCATCTACTTTTCCGATGGCATTGGAGCTCTGCTGAATGCTGAATGAGTAGACCAATATTTGTGCGTCCTTTGCATGTGCACTTTTCACGCATATATTGACCATTTGACAGTACCATGAGCTCATGGATGGGACGACGAAAGGAATTGCCTTTAGGTATGCAAAATTTTCCGTGTTATCCACTTTGCACTAACACTTCGCAGAAAGCGTTACTGGTAAGGTTTTTTAGATGATCCATCCCGTGTGCGTCCCACAATATGGCTTAGGCTTCGCTCATACCTCGGCTACCCACCTGTGCGCGACGCGCTCCCGAATACGACACACTTCGCCCTCGCAGGACTGCAGTATACCAATATTGTTTCTCAGCTCATCACGCAGAACGTCGACGGACTGCACCATAAGGCACTAGAGCGCGTCTGGGACCGCAAAACAATGGAAGGACGAATATTAGAGCTACATGGCACGCTACATGTAAGTTATTCTCCTCTCACTATCTGAGGACGAGCGCTGATGTTTGTACGCGTCGCAGAAGGTACAATGCGCCTCCGGGCATTTCACCGACAGGGACGACTTTCAGCATGCCCTATCCGTTGCGAATCCGCAGTGGAAGGCATTCGCGGACGAGCTCGAGGAGACTGGGAGCCAGCCCCGGACGAATCCCGACGGTGATGTACGTATTTGGTTCGTCCTACTGTTAGTTTATCGAAAAGTATAGCTTCCGTGCAGGTGGTACTCGAGGGCGTCTCCTACGAGGACTTCGAGGTCCCAGATTGTCCGGCATGTCTTCTGGAGAACCGCCGAAACTCTGTAGTGAGTGCCCCTGGCCATAGTCAACTAACAATCTCTGACTCCGCCGTAGCAAAAACCGGAGGTCATCTTCTTCGGCGAATCTATTAGCAAAGAGATAAAAGACAGATCGTGAGTTTGATGCGGCTCCCAGTATCGCCGCAGGAAATTACCGACAACCTTTATGGTTGCAGATTCGCCGACATCGAGCGCTGCGATAGGCTCTTTATGGTCGGCACGACCCTTGCGACATTCTCCGCATTCAGGTTCCGTTTCCATCCCCGCCGTCATCATACATCATCTTGAATCTGCTGACCGTCCTTGACCAGGTTACTAAAGCACGCGCTGAAGCTTCGCAAACCGGTTCTCTTACTCAATCTTGGTCCGACGAGGGCAGACGCACTACCAGGCGTCGAGAAGATCGAAATTCCGAGCGGGAAGGTGATGCGCGGAGTGGTGAGGGCGGTCCTGTGAGTGCTGATCTGCGTCGGGGCTTCGTGACATCTTACGTCCTCGATGACACATTGCATCAGCGGCTCGACATCGAGCACAGATCCGGTCGTAGCGGAGATGCTGCGAAGCGGCATCGTGAAGCCCCCGCCGGAAGATGAAGACGATATTGCGCCGCGAGCGGTGGGGTGAAGTAGCAGTCGGACTGGGTTTCTATATTTTGGAACTTGTATGCGGGTGGCTAATGTGCGGTATGTTACATGGGGTAGATACGACTGTCAGATTATGCGAGATGCGAGAGCAATATACAACAGTGATACAGTGAGTACTTGAGCTCCTAGGCTGTGGTGTATGTAAGGCGTGGGGCCAGATGTGAGTGGGCTGGCTATATATGCACAGTGACAACATGAGCAGAGCAATTGATAGCACGACGATAGAGATGCGTGTGTTCCGTAGTATACCTTAAGCAAAGAAGATAGACAAGCGGTAGATCACTGATGGGATAGAAGCGCGTCAAAGTGACGTCGCGCGTCCGGGCGGGGGAGACAAGCGCGGCACGGGATTGCCGTCCTACGGGTCGGGCTTGATATCTAGGTAGGCGGGAAACAGTCTATCGTCCGCGTCGTCATCTAATGCGAGGAGGGCGCCAGACTGGTCAATCCAGATGGGCTCTTTGAGCTGCGCCCATGTCCAACTGTGGCAGCTGTCGACCGTCAGCGGGGACAGCTCGCGCATGGCGCGTCGGTGCGAACGTACGAGGTAGTCCTCGAACGCCGCGTCCGGTTTGTGCAGCGCGAGCTCGGGCTCCGGCAGCGTGGGAGGCGACGCGAACTCGCGCTTCACGGCGCTGTCCTCGCTCGAGCGCTCGTCGTCCTCGAGCCCGTCGGAAGTAAGCGGCGGTGTTAGGGAGGACGGCGCACGCCCATTGGACGCTGTGCGGATCTTGGATTCTGCGGGCCACGCGGGTTTATGCTGGGGGAAACATCAGTACGCCTCGGGGACGAAGGGGGCGCCTGCACACTCGCCTGTTCTGTCGCCGCTTTCATCGAGCGGGCGACGCCGTCGGGACGCTTAAGACAGCGCTCCCTGTGCTTCTGCCAGTGGAACGGGTCGTACGTGCTCTTTAAGGAGAGCTTGATCTTTGCGCCGCAGCGCTGGCACTGCACCATCTGAGGCGAGAGCACGATCGCCATGCGATCTTCGCGCAGTTTCTTCTCCCGCCGCTTCTCGCCTGACGTCGGCCGTCGGCCCGATGAGGAAGCACTGAGCAGCGCGGTGAGCGGAGGGGATGCGACGGAGGAGAAGGAAACCCACTTGGAAGAGTCGGAGAGCGAGCATGTCTTTTTGCGGGGACTCTCCGGTGCAGGTGGCTCGTCGAGGTCGGCGGCCACGATGTTGTGTGTGCCGCCCTCGTGGTGCTCGGCGAGGGAGGCGAGCAGGGTCAAGCCGTAGCTGGAGAAAGGACGTGTTCAGTGCAAGCGCAGCGCAGCCATCGGAGCTCCCCCACCTGAATTGGCTTGTGGGCATTTTCGGGGAGCCGACAACCGTTGTTGCCGGCCTATTTTGGAAGGGGGCCACAATGCTTGAATACAAGGGCCCTGCTATACAATGGAGAAACGTTCGTACCCTGATAATTCAGAGATTCTGAACGTGTCCTAGAGGGGGGGGCAGCGTCAACGAATGCAAGAATGCGGCTGAAAACCGTTGATGCGCACCTCGGAGGGGGGTCCGTGTCTTTGTGCGGTGTATTGGCCACCATCAGGGAGCAGTCTGTATGCGGTCTTCAGAAAAGATATTGAGAGGCCTAGAAAATTCCGCACAGCTTTCCGAGCTCCATATGTCGTGTGGGGGACGTGTAAGTGGATGAGGGGGGGAACAGAGAGAAGAGGGAACGCCACAGCCAGACTGGTGCAGCGCGGGTGAGGGAGGGGATAATTGGGTCGGAGTCCCCCGAAGCACGCTCGCTGACTTGAGCCTCGCCACGCCGGTGCGGTTTAGGCCCGGCGGAGGTTCGCGGAAGTATATCATTCCAGATTGTGTGCAGCTCTGCTCCATCATCACTGCTCCGACGCCGACATGTACTTTCAGACGTAAAGCAACGCGAGCGGGAGAACGAGTGGGCAATGAGATAAGCGACAGTATATACGCGGTAGGTAACGTGCACGAGTATAACAAGATCAACAAGGAGTGTGGGAGATGATGCAATTATAGTCAAGACGGAAGCAAAAAAAAACCGATCTGCAGCAGTCAGATGTTAATCCGAAGACAGCCCTTCACGGAATCCTCTGACGAAGTTGTGGAACGGAAGCATGATCCAATCCATGATGCCGGGCGAATCGCCCTCCGGTGCAGTGTATAGCTTCGTGCGAGGACGAACAGACCGTCTCTGGTCTTCGGAGTCGTCCTCGCGGGAGCGCTTCTGTCCGGTACGAGAAGGAGATGCTTCCGCCTCGATCATTGTGGCATCGGTCGATGCAGTGGAAGGTGGTGGCCTGGTGGCGTCTTGCCCCTCCGTAACACTCGCAGGCGGTACCAGGGCGTCTTCGGCAGTCTGCACAAGCGGAGAGATGCTACGCATAATTAAATCAGTAAGCGCCTACGCCGCGAGAAAAGTCGAACACACCCGGAGCATATGAGTTTATGTTTCTCCCATTCAGTCACATCGTATTCGATCTCTCCATCGAGTGTCACGGTAGCCATGCACGATGCGCATTCCACAGTGTGAGGAGTGAAAGCCTTCACTTGTGTGTCATTGACAAGCTTGAGTTTCCGCTCCGCTGTGGCAACTCGAGCACTTGGCCTGAACGAGCAATAGTCCAGTGAGCCACGAGATCTGTCATCAGGCATATAACCTACGTTGCAGTCGCCCCACGTCTCCTCGTACCACTCTTCTCCGACGGAGTAACGGATATATTGTCGTCTTCTTCGTCTGGTGCAACTTCAGATTTCAATTCGGTCTCGTTCCTGTACAACACCGAATGGGTACAGGAAAGGGAAGAGATTCGCATGAGCAGTACTTCTCGTCATTGCCGAGTTGCTTCCCACACTCTTTGCGGTGCACCAGCCACAGACGCATGATATATCGTAGTTTCGGATTGAGCTGCACCCATTCCTTGCATGCAGTACAGAATACGCGATGAGGTTCGACTTCGCCAGAGTACGGGTCGCTTTCGAGGAATTCCTTGCGCTCCGCTTCTGTCTTGCGCGCTCTGGAACTGGGTTTCGATGACTCTCCAATCGACGAGCGATCATCTGCCATACTGTCGGGCGATTGCGCGCGTCTGCGTCGTGAATTGATTGAATAAATAGAGAAACGAGAAAGCCTGGGGTTTTGATGCTTACGGGGTCTGCGGGAACTTCGTCAATCTCGAACCAATTGCAGATACTGGCTTTCCGTTCGGTGTAGACTTCGTTTCGTTGGATACAGGAGATACTGAGGAATCTGGCTTTCTCTTAGCCTTGCTGACAGGCTTCTTCGCTGGTGTGGCATCGTCCTTAGGGCGCTTCGTGGACGCTGGTGGCGGCCTTGACAAAAAGTTTAGCAACACTCGCGTCCAAGTGCCGCACCAGCTCTTGAGACCACACTTACATTACATCGGCCTTCTTAGGAGTGCTCTTGGGGCCATCCGTCTACAAACGATGAATGAGACCACTATATAACGCATATCATGCGAACGCGCTCTACACAAAAGAGTTTCCTCGCGTGTAGTGCAGTTCAGTGCGACTCGAGAGATCGTTCACTGCGTGTCTAGCTTATCTCCGAACACGCGCGAGAACATACCTTTGTGGTCCCTTTCTTCTGGACAGACACCTTTCCCGACTCTTCAGTCTTCAGATCTTCATCGTCTTTGAACTCCTCCGAAGATTCTCTTCAAGACCCATCAGATCGTAGCCACTTGCGCACGAAAAACGGGACCAACTCTGCATAGTTTGCAACACTATTTCGCCTCTGAAACGTATATCAGCACGAGTGCATCATTGGTACCATAACCAACTCACCTTTCGGCGCGCTGAATACGTAACTTTCACCGATTTACTGGGCTCTCGCAAATGAGACCACAGCAGCACTAACAAGGATGCCAAAATCGTACCGTTCGGGTGAGGAAAGAGGTTCGTCCATGGTCTGAGAAAACCCCACCCTCCTCTTTAAGTATTAGATATAGATAACAAGCACAGCTCAGATTGTCAGATAGAATTATGGCGGAAATGAAAGTGCAGAAGATGAAGGCACCTAGGCCACCTTGTTTGACGCCCAAACGCGACACCCACACGTGATCTTACGCGTTAGACGCCAAAGTGAAGTCACTCGGCGTGCCAGTGGCATGTCTCAGCAACTCCTACTTGCCATTATTCGCCGGTTCCTCAGTCGAGCCTTCGGGCCATGACTGATCCAGAAGACCTTCTCTCTGATTCTCTACAGACATTATACGACTACACACCCGTAGTGCAGTCATCGGCGGGGCGAGAATTCGTCTACAGCTGCCCCGAATCGCAGTGGTGTCGGTTCTCCTCACCGGGCGATCCCCTACAATCCCGTACTGCCCCGCTGTCCACTATAACGCTCAGGACACCCGACACACAGCCTGCCAACTGGCCTTTGCACGTTTCGTCGATTTGGATCTCATCTCTGTACACTGCGGACCATCTTGACGACTTACATCTCGATCATCACATCGCGTCGGCCGCGCTTCAGGGCCAGTCGCTCCGCTTGCTCGAGTTCGGCGCAGGTGCGGGCTTGCCAGGTATTTTGATAGCAAGATACTACCCGAAAGTCCGCGTTGTCTCGAGCGATTATCCCGACGAGGTCCTCATCCGCACTCTAGTAGATAATGTTGGGCGCAATGGCGTTGTAGATCGGTGTAGTGTCGTTGCTTATGCGTGGGGATCTGATCCATCGAGTCTCTTTTCGTCACACGGCAATGTGGAGATATCAGGGTTCGATGTCATTGTTGCCGCGGATACGCTGTGGAATCCGGAGCTCCATTCTCGATTTATCAAATCGCTGCATCTGACACTCAAGAAATCGCCGTCCGCCCGGGTCTACCTCGTTGCTGGTCTTCATACTGGCTGCTATACGATTGACGCTTTCCTAAGGCTGGCTGTTGACAGTGGTTTGGACGTTGAAGAAGCCGTGGAGAGAGAGGTGAATGGGAACTTGAGTCGTCCGTGGTGTTTGGAGGTTGCGGAAACCCATGATGAACAGGAGCGGAGACGATGGGTTGTTTGGATAGTTTTGAAGTGGAAACGGGTATAGTGAGCAGGTTTGACGTGTGGTGGGTGATTCTCGTTGCTTGAACAACGCTTATTTGATGTGTCGTGCAAGGCATTTGCATTATATCTTTGTTTTTGTCTTGGAAGTATCCCATTTTCAAGATCGGAGTCGAGAGACTTGATGATACCGTGATATAATTATTTCTATTTGAAGCGAGACATGGATGACACATCTGTCTTGGACGATAACATGGTGAGAATCACTTCACTCTTTCTTTCGGCACTCCACTGTGCCTTTGCGCGACAACTTTACTAGGTCTTGGTTGACGGATATCCAACTATGCTTAAACTCCGCTGATCGTGGAAACTACAAGCACGATAGTCGTTTCATACCGAAAATGTAGTAACTTGCGTAAGTCTATTTCTGACAGAATACGAAATCTGCGTTCATCTGTGTCCCATCCATTCTTTGATAACAATGGGTCCGGCTCAAGGTCGCTCACCGTCACAACATCTGCCACGGCGAGCGGTCTATATCGACTGCCTGGTACGCACGCACGATAGTGCTGTCCATATCTCTATTTCTCTCCGTGGACCTTCCCATGGATGTGCATTCTACTTTGGCGGCGACGCTCACGTACGTTATTTGGCGTATTAGATAACACGCATGTATCTTTTCGCCAGCGTCCAGCTGTGATCAAGCTTCAAGGTTTAAGTATCTGCTGCGACGTCCTGAGCTTCTTCGTACAACACTCTTCGGACCTTGGTCGGGCCTGCGGGTCCGATGACGCTTCCGTGCATCAAATGGCACCTTCTCCCGAAGGGTCCAGATGGTGCACGAATGCGCTGTCATGCTGGCGTCTGGCGTGGATGAATTCTGCGATTCTCTTTGACAAACCCGCGACTCGACCTCTATCTACGCGCTAAAGAGATCCCTTAGCACTAGCGGCATGTATCTCTGTGACGACGTGCAAGTATTTCATGAAGATCCTGATTACAGGAGTAGTAGTTGTATATCAGTGAGCGCGTCGTATGCTTTCTCCTGAACTGTAGTCACGCGTCCATCTGATATACGTTCAGTTAAATAGGAACTTTCTTTTATGGCTTGTGAATCCCTCAAGGAGCGAAGGCGGTAGTGTGAGATTTCCAGGAGAATGCGTGTTTTCCTGAGAATCACAGAATCGACGTGATTCCACATCCATGTACGCTGATGATTGTTGCGAAGCTGTGACCTTGAGGAGGAGCGCCGTCCAGTTAGGCAGGACGCATCCTGGGCACTGTACCCAGCGGCGCACCCATAAACTAATATCTGGAATACACATTGGTGCGACTGTGCTGCATTGCTGCTACACTGTGGTGTTTATGGGCATTTTTCGAATGCCTCAGAACTGTGCCTACCATTTTGCGCTGCAGGATTGATCAGTCTGTTCACGCTCGTGCACACAGCATTTTTTGGAAGGCACTGTCGGTAGCCCCACTGCGATACATATGTCTCGAGCTCTCGCATATATTTCTGAGAAGTTCCGAGTCTGTAGCATTTGAAAGTGTATCAGTGACATGAGGGACATTTCAGGTGAATTGGCCCTACTGACAAGCGCTGAACGAGACCTTGCGGTAAGATACTTAGAGCAGGTTGTCCGGTGGTGGACGAACTTCATGTTGCCATAGACACCTGGAAAAGCGACGAATTTTTAATTCTCACCTCAGCCATGAGATCGTTCTTGATCAATTACTGTCAGCTAGTTGCGCGAGAGTACCTGGACACTAGCAGACGCGACGGTCCCGTGCCCGTGACTCAGAAGCAGAGAGGACACGTCATTGCACCCCCAAGCCTCAACGACTACTATCTGTGCCGGATGATTTACTGGATGTGTTCACGAGCTCTTTAATCTCAGTTTTATGTTTGACCCTCTGAAACGTGCGTTCAAATACAGCTCGAACTCCACCAATGATTGAATCCAAGTGGCGATGCGTCAAGAGATATTGGCATGGTGCATGTTTTCGCCCGGCTTCAGGTTGATTGTGACGCATGTCTACGCGAGTGCGCTGTACATTGAGTTTACTTCAGAATAAATGACAGACTTACTGAAAATTAATAGCGGCGTCTTTTGATTTCTGACATACTCCGATATCTGGAGTTGACTCCATATGAGTTTTCGCGTCGCCGCTGAAGGAATGGTAAGCTTCGCGTCGGCATGTTTTGACGCGATTAACGTACTAATATTCTTTGGGCAGCAAGAATGCTTAGGCTAGCGTAGCAGCGGCCGGAACGCGTGGCGCTGTATCTGCCCCGTCAGTCAAAATGAGGGCAATGCTACGCGTTGTGCATCAATATTGATCCGGAATACTTTAGTGGGAATCATCCTGTGGTACGGACGGTCACATAGAAAGTCAGTCAATCCCCAAGTTCCTCAAATAGGGTCGTCCATGGTGTTGTTCAAGGCTACCCGTCCGATATTGTTCTCCGATTAACAGAGAAAGTCAATTTCATGTGACGAGAATTGTACCTAGCATATGTGGTAAGCTGAGACTTACTTGTTATTCACAGTGCTTCCTTGTTTCTGAGAAGTCGCACAGGCCGCGACATGGAATGGCAATCTTTTCCGTGTTTACTTTTGTCTTTGAGATGTCTCTTCTATCCTCGTGTTTGTTTCAGTGGTGCGTGATGCCATTCTGTGGAGTTAGATCGTGCGTACTTTTTCTGAGTAAATCTATTACGCCATATGAAGCCTGAAAACTCACTACAGCTTGTAGTAGCCGCTCAAAAAGATCTGTATGCGGTGATACATACCGTGATTATAAGATTGTTGCCTTCTGCCATCATCTGGAGGGATAACGACGTAGAAACTTTCGAAGTTTGCCCTCAAAATAGCTCGATTTCTATGCTGCAGTCCACGGGATACTCTGTTTTTCGTTCACAATAGGCCAGGAACTTGCCAGTTGGCTCAACAGGTCTATGACTCAAAAGCCTTGTATCGAAGACAAAAGGTGCCCGTTAGCGTTGTCACACTTCTCCGCCGCGCTTTGCTAATGTCTCCATCCCAGGAGGTTCCAGCCAAGAACAGTGGTACATACACCGTCTATTCAACTATCACAATGTACACAAGATTGACAGATTGGCTCTGCGATTGGTTGTGGCGGTAAAATCCTCTGCGAAGGAACTTCTCAATCCCGCTGACACCCTTTGGGACATGGAGACCTTCGAGGTTTCTCCGTCTCTCCATCTGTATGAATAATTACTCACCGAATAGACTTCTTTAATGAAGGATCAGAATCCAGTCGCTGGTCGATGTGGACTTCAGCGTTGCCTTTGTGTTCGAACGCGGTCACGTGGCGGCACACATTAAAGCGCAACCAAAGCGCTTGCCACAATTTCAACTGCCACTACCACTCCCACAACAACCACTAACACCACCTACACCTGTTTTTACTATCAAGATGTCTGCAGATCACACGTTTGGACAGACGGGCCGCTCGCGAGCTCCCAGTCCGCAAACAATCAGAACTGCATGGTCAGACCGCGTGGCCCCCACTCACTCAGAGGTTCCACGACAAACGAACGACGACAACGAGTGGCAGGCGGACGCTGCTGAAGATTATATTGTCGGGCCCATGCCCACGAATCAGTTCCTTGACTTCCTCCCCGCGAAGAACACTGCACGAATGCCGACGGCAGAGAGTGCCTTTGACGGCCTCCAGGAGGTCGATGTGGCTTCGGAACTGGTGTGTATGTTTTCACGTGTCAGACCGTGGTTGATGTTGATATGCGCTTTGCCTATAGTATGCAGTACTTACCATGCCCGAGCGTTGCCCAGGGTTCAAGTTTGATCTAAGTGTAGATGAAGAGAAACCTGCGCTGGTTTGTCTGCCGAAGACTTCCACAGGCCACGACAACGAAGAGGTTCCAGAGTACGCCGGTGAGCTGTTCATAGACGTACAGACCGACGAGGAGGGCGACTTTCTCCGCGATCCCCAACCCGGCGCGGACCGCAAGCGACATCAGTTCGTCCTGACCTACGAACGTTCAGAGGAGACGAACCGTCAGAAGTCACGGCAATCGTTGGGACGAAACATCCGATGGGCCACCAGTGCACTCATGAACCAACACCGGACGCATTACTTCTCGGTGGCCCTTCGCGGTACGTGGGCGCGGCTGCTGCGGTGGGATATGAACGGAGTGATCGCATCGGAGGCCTTCGACCTTCGCGTCAAGCCCGAGATACTGTGCGACTTCCTGTGGAGATTCGCACACGCGTCCACCGTCGAGCGCGGTTATGACCCGACGGTCGAGCGCGCATCGAGGAACGAGGAGCGGACGTTCTTGGATGCGGTCACTGCCTATGCCCACGAGCAACTTGTCGAGAACATCCCGATTCAGCACCTGGATGGCGAGGAACTCCGAAAGGCGAAGGTCAGAATGAATGAAATGGAAGCCGCCTTCAGAAAGACCGTCAAGCAACATTACGAGCCGGGACGCGTGGTCGCTGTCAGCGTAGTCTTGCACGACGGCAGCGTGGCTCGTTGCCTCATATGCAAGCCGGTGGCCAGCTACTTCGCCATGGAGCGCGGCGGGATGCGTGGGTTTTGGGGAGTGATCGGTGGGAAGGTCGTGTTCTTGAAGGACACATGGCGTGAGTGGATGGATTACTCCGAAGGCCAGATCCTAGAGGATCTGCACCGGAAGGAAGTGAGACACATCCCCGACGTACTCACTTACGGAGACGTCCCAGCTCAGCTCCCGGCCGCGGCGTGTACGTTCGAGAGGATGACACGGAGCAAGACGAGTAAGCTGCGAGAGGAAAACCGTGAGTATCTACCAAATGCTATCGAACCTGACACTCATTCTTTGCTTGCTTCTGCTAGCCGCCCAATTCACGCTGACGGACAAGTACCGAACAGCAGGATGGGCATGCCATAACGGCCGCAAGGTCACCGTACAGCGCCGGGTACACCACCGTCTTGTGTTCAAGACGGTAGGCCTTCCGCTAAGCACACTGTGGGGAACCAGGGAGCTCCTGCACGCGACCCACGATGCATTAGAGGGTAAGTGTATCGCGTGGTTGCTTCACCCCTTATCGGCTTACGACGCACTACAGCCATGATGGACGCAGCGGAGAAGGCGGGCACACTGCATAGAGATATCAGTGTGGGCAATATCATGCTGGTGAAGAACTCGGACGGCGAGCGACAAGGTTATCTCATCGACTGGGAGCTCTCCTCCTCAATCAATAAAGATGGGCAAGCCGAGAGCAAGCATGTTGTGGTAAGCGTCCTTGAAAGCTCTTCATTGCAACCCATGCCGATCGCTGAGTCAACACTGTCAGGGCACTGTCCCTTTCATGTCGCAACGTCTCGCAGCAGGTGAGAAGAAAACAAGACACACTATTCAGGATGACATGGAGTCTCTACTTTACGTCGTCATATACTGTGGCCTTCACTGGCTCCATCACGGAGAGGGCAGGGATGGCAAGGACACGATGCGAGCAATCCAGGGGATGTTCCACAACCGCGAGGAGGTTGGGCCAAGCCATGGATCAGTCACTCACCAGACATTCCGGACGATGAAACCAGGGCAGGGCAAGCTGGACAACAAGCTGCGGCGGACATACATCGATCCCTCCAATTTCGAGCAGGATCTCGGCGATTTCTTACTGGACTCGATGACCCTCCATTATCCGTGCTTCCGCGATACTCCGGACGAGTGGGATACTCCGGACGAGTGGTACGAATTTTGGACGGAATACCTTGAAGAGCGGAATCTCCCCAACGACGACAGAGTTCATTTCAACAAAGATGCCAACTCGAAGGATAACTCGAAGCCCGCACCCAAGGCCGTGGCGCACCGCGCTGGGGTTCACCCTAATAAGCGCAAGGCACCACAACGACACGAACCAACGGAAGGCGACACAGCACATGGCGTACAGGCGAACGCGAGGCCCAAAAAACGTTTGAGGAAAGCGGCGAGGTAGAGTTCGGAAGGATTCTTCGGCCTTATGCGCGGACCTGTTCAAAACATCATGAGGTTGACCGGCAAAGAGATGCGCGGCGTCATCAATGCCCGTCAGTCAGGCGACCTTGCAACAGCTGAGAACACGCCCTTCATTCTGGACGCCGCGTTCGTGCAGTCTGATCGTATGCGATCCCGCACTTGAATACGGCCTTGAGGAGATCTGCGTCTACGTCACCGTTACACCAGCGAGCATGGGATACGGTATGCTTTGCTCCTCAAGGGACTCGTCACGCTCCTCGCGAATTTTTCTTCAGACGTTGCAGTCCTGCCCATTCGCATTGGCCATCTTCTGTGGACGATGTTCAGCGTTCTTCGGATGCCCCCAACGCGTCGCTGGATCTGCAAGTCTTCGGATCGGACGAAAGCGAGGAAATTAAAAAGAAGTCTGCGAGCTGTGTAATGCTACAGCCATTGCTCGGAACTAAAAAGCTGCATCAAATTACATAGTAGGCACAGCTGTCTCCGTGTTTTTCTATCCCCATTTGTTAAATTTGTTCAATGGAGTTCGGTTTCCCGGCCGTTGTGGCTGGGTACAACACGGACATTCCGTGCTTGTCAACGATGAAGTAACTCAAGTTCCTTGTTTGCAATTTGTGCTCCGGTGTCCACCGAGTTTTGATTGTAAAGCGGTTCATGTTGCAATGGTGGCTGGAGGTCGCGATGCTCGCAACTTTTCCCGCTAGTCCTTCCCGAAGCCCAACTTGAAGATTGGAGCGCGAGCGAAATCTAAGGCGCATAATTAAAGCAATGACTAGATCTCTCATAGAATTCGACTTGCTAGGCCTGAATGTCCGATTATATTCCACGCTGAGGTTCAGTCGTCTCGCGACGCGTTCCCACCATGCCACATTATGCCAGGAGGCTCTCAAGGTACTGCCTTTTCCGATTCAGAAGTGAGTTGAACAACTACACCTGCTATAAGCGGACAGATTTGTCAGCAAAAGTGTCGCCTACCCCATGTAGTCATTACTCAGCAACTAGGCGCTGATCATCTTCATCCCATACCACTGCCATGGTCTGCAAGAAATGTGAGGGTGTGAGTGCTATCACCTAATTGGCGTTACCTCCACGTCTTATTGACTCTGTACGATTACAGAAAACCTCGAAGTTGGCCGCGCCGGACCCGTTCACCTCGACCTCGCAGAGTATCAAGGACGGCTCACGGAAGATCGGGGAGAACAAGTTGCTCAGCCGACCAGGGAGCTCGAAGAACCGGTTCCAGGTACGTTCGGTCTAGTGTACTTTTACGCGACGTACTAACTTGATTCCTAGCCATACCAAGGTAAATGCAGGGACTGTAAGTCGTCGGTCACGCAGAACAGGGCGAAGTACTGCCACGGTGAGTCCCCTTACCTTTCTTAGCAAGATGTGAAGCTGATGTGTTGCTCAGGTTGTGCGTATAAACGAGGTGTGTGCGCTATCTGCGGCAAGAAAGTCTTGGACACGACGGGCTACGTTATGTCGGCCAAATAGTGTTGCTAAACTGCGCCTTGTCGCGCGTGGACTGTGGTATCTCGAGACATTCTGTCATGGTTGTATTTGTAGATGTATGTCTTAATCTTCATCTTCTTATCGTCTACTGAGGCTGGTTGTGCTTTATGGGTGTGCTTGCATCGGTCTGGTGCCAATTATGGTAACAGCTTCTACTTTCGCCTTCATTATCTGACGCTGAACGTGCCGTAGTCATCCTATCATGACAAAGAGGTCAATGATCCTATTAGAGGAGGCAATGTGGTCACATTGACATTACAGGCTTTGTCATTGTGACCACGGTGCATCCTTTAACACGTTCATTTCTATTCGATCTTATTTGATTACTGAAGTTTATGGTGCACTTCTTGGTGCGACATTCGCATGCTCGGTCCCATGACATCTGGCGGAGGCATTCATTAATCTTGGGAGTTCATTTCCGCACTCACGAGGCTGATTCCGGACTGTTCGTGTCCACTCCTGCGTAGCTTTCGGATTCATCTCGGGACGAAGCGGTCGGCGACGGCGACGACAATAGCAGTCTGGTGGGCAATCTTGCTACTGTGCTCTCGGAGGTTGCTTCTTATCTTCTATTGGGATTTGTCTTCGCATTCTCCGAGTTACTCAACGGACGTGTGAGCCCATGCGGCCGTGGCTTCTTCACTGGCAATTGGGTCAACAACTGCGACACTGATTGCAACGCTGGGTGGCCTTCACAGTGGTTCTATGATAGGCTGGTGGAACATTCGATCTTTTATGAGACGCCTATCTCTTCCCCCTTCTCCAACGATACGACGCATGGTTGCCCAAATAACTCACCTTCATCTTGTATCCGATACTACATTCATCTTACGCTGAATTGTGGACCGTCTGGCGGCGTACGGGGCGTGCCCAGCTAGATGAATCTTGCGAGTGTGCCCACAACGTGAAGAACGTCAAGAACAAGCAACTATGTACTATGCATAGATGCTGTCGGACAAATTCACTTCTTTACTTGGGTTGCCCTTTGCCTCTCGCGCCGTCCTAAAAGCGCGCGATCACGTCCAAATATATCATCAATCACCGCCGAAGTACTGTTCATAATCGTGGGCTTCAATTTGTTCGTCGTCATCAGACGTTGCTGCGTACCTGATCACATCCGCGCCATTTTGTTCATGCTCAGGCAGAGACTCTCAAGAGAATGGCGTAGTCTTTTCGGTAATCATCAATCATTCTACAGGCGTATCATCATTCCTACTCACAGAACAACAACAGAGACCACAGGCGGTGGTCACATCAACGGATGACGGCTTGCTTGACTTACAGAGTCCTCGTCTCATCTGGGCTGGTATCTATGTCACTCCTCAGCACCGCCGCACGCCGCTGATGGAGGCCGTTACTGTCTGCCGGTAGGTCTCTATCACGTCGGTCTGCTCGGAGATCTATTGATTTTGTATCTAGTCGGGCTAGCGAGAGCGTCAGGTTAGATTCCTTGCGCTCTGATGCAAGCCGAATCAGTACTATTCACCAAGGTTGCTCTCACTGTCAGGAACAAAAGGAGGTGCACTGTGTCGGGCACGCTTTGGGAATCTGTCTCGCCTGAACCGCGAGCGCTAAGACGTAGGCAGCAGATCAGATCCGCCTGCGAGATCTAGAAGGCCCAATTTATGCAACGTGCGAGGGTATGCATTTTTTTGGTACATATTGTATTTCTGATATGCCAAAATATCCAGGCCTTTTACTTCCCGGACTCCGAGCCCATCGCCTCTTAGGATGCCGAGAATGGCAATACTTCTTCCATATCGGGAAGGCGACTTCAGGTGGACAACGTCATTACCCTTGACCGGTGTCAGTGTCGGGAAGCATGTCAAGGAATGACGTAGCTCGGCTGGGGACATATATAAAGGGTCTGCATTCCGCGCATCGCGACCCAACTTTAAACTCCCTTCCATCATCACCTCCCAGCCGCAGGCTCACCAGTTCTCTCTCTGACTCCAGTCTGCCTGCAATGCTGAATGTCGCGGGTAACCGATTTCGACATACCGACAACGGGCGAGTCAGTTGGAGATGGTGCTACTAACCGTTGGTATCTGCAGAGACAGGCGTGCAAAAACCGTACGACTTGTGACAACTGATGAAAGTTTCAAAGCCTCTCTTGGACGTCACTTTCGACGGTATTATATGCTGACTGGTCACAATACAATGTGTTCGTACGTTGCGCTATGCCTCGTAAGTCACAACGATGCTATTGTTCATTGTTGACCTTCTAGAGAGCACAATGACCGGTTGTCGGCGAAAGTAAGACGGCGTCCGAAAACACGATCAATAATACCGGCATTGTGGTACGCCTACGGTAAACTTGTCCATTCGGTCAGAATGCTACGACAGCCAAGCTCGCAATTCCGAGTACCCCTGTTCGGCCTTATCTAGTGTTCGATATCCGTCGTATTGTATCGTCCTCCATTGCAGATATGACCGAAATCTGGTGAGTCTTCATTTCCTGAGGGTCAAACGCGATATCGAGCTCGCAAAACGGGGTGAGTACAGTTCACCAGAAAACGACTGGGGAGTTGTCCGGGGTATTTTTGACCGGTGTTCGCTCGGTGCCTTGCGGATGGGAAGACTATGGAGGTCGTTTGGTTACGGTTCGTTTATGGACAGATGCCGTGATGCCGATGCGTGGCTCTCGCGTGGTTCATCCAGGAGACCTCAGTCACCCCTTACGTGCGCTAGTATTTTTCCTTAGCACCTGCCATTCGTCCCGCATGTCGTGCTCGCCGTGCGTCGGCTCGAGCTCATCGTTGCTGACGACGAGCTCCACTACATGCTCAAAAACTTCTCCTAAATATTTTCATTCCACTAATTACTATGTACATAGCAAGAAGTATTCATCATGAATATACAAGATGCTCTCACGGTAGATGACCTGGTTCAAGAAGTTGCACAGTTGCGAGTACCTAACCATGGCGTCGACACCGACACCGGGCCTGTGCTGAAGCTCATGACCTTTGGGCAGCCCTTACCCTTGAGGGGCGTGCCCACGCTGAGGCACTGCGCAGTGGGCGACTTCTCGCTGAGCGGCCACACCTCCGCGAGGATCAGGTCGCCCTCGCGCGCGAGATACATGTCCACATCCAGCGGGATACACGTGGACCTTCGTGCCCCGCTCTGCCATAGAGACCAGCGTGCACGGTGTGGAGAAGTCGATGTTGCTGCTGCTCCTGCACCGCATCGAATTTACCCTCCAGACCCTTTCGGAGCTCGATATATTTTCTCAGACTGGGCAATATATGCGCCTCGTAATCTATCATAAGTCAGTCTTGTTCACGACATAGGGAAAGTCACTGCGTACCATGCACTTGCTGGTCCAGTTCAAGCATCAACGTAAACGAACGCTGTAGAGATAGGGGAAGTTGCTCGAGCACTATAAATGCGTGAGTTTCATCCGTATATGCATGGTGAGGCTCACCTTCGTAGTTCTCCTCCTTGAACGCGTCTCATACCTCGCGTTCCTTGTCGGATGTCGCGTCCGCAGCATCCACAGCATCTTCGGGGCCACGTGGCTCCTGTTCTTGTTCTGGCGTAACCTCGACCACTGGAAGTTGCTCTATCACGTTCTCCTCATCTTCTGGAAACGCTTGAGAGCGACGCCGCTTGCGGTTTTTGCGGTAGGACATTTGTGTGATCGTGTGGGTGACACGTCCAGCGGGATACATGTGGACCTTCGTGCCCCGCTCTGCCGTAGAGACCAGCGTGCACGGTGTGGAGAAGTCGAGCTGTCTCGAGATGATGTCTCCGAGGTAGAGGTCCTGAGGAGCTGTTACAAGTGAGACGAGGTTCGCGAGGGAATAGAAGCAAAGTACGGTGTCGCACCACCGAGGCTCGAAGCAGTCTGCGTCAGTCTGTGTTGATGAAGAGCTCACGGAGTCGGAAGTCGTAGTCTGGCGTCTCCTCGAAGCCGAGTTTCCGGACGTAGTTCATGTAGATGGCGAACTCCTCTGTCATCCTCTCGAAGTTCGCCAAGTCCATGTTTCGTGACAGATGTCGGAATATATTGTGCTGTGGGTTTGTTCAGCGGCATCTGAGAGAATTGGGCTATATCTTGCTGTTGAGATGGTGCCAATCTTTGGACCACTTTCAACTTTCGCCAATTCCGACTCGTAGGCCAGATAAATACAGATTCCAAGAAACCCTGAGTACAATGAAATTACTATCAAGGCTTCTACGCATTCAATGATGATGAAGACATTCAACTTGCGGTTTCTGCCCATGCTGCAGTGCCTCCTGTTGGAGAAGATGCAGGTGGCGAGGAGTGGATGCCCGTGCTGGATCTTCATCATCCACGCGAAGGTCGCTCAGTCGTCAGGCATTCTGGGTCTCAAGTCAATGATGGTTTCTCGTCAGATGCCCCTTCCGGGCATGAGCACAATGAATGGACGAGTAGTGACACGGATTCGGACTAGTACCAACTTGCTGAATAGATATATACATGGTAGCTCTCCAGCAAATGTGATTTCAGATTTTTGGGCTACGATGGCCGCAAGCATCTTGCGCACTACTCATGCGGCTGATGGTCTCCTGATGTGATTCGCGGCAGTGCTATATCTACATTGAAATCCACGCAACACAGTGCTGGACTGTCCCTAGCCCATGCTGCACTCACCATCTCGAACAATATCTACCTGATGACGGCGAGAGCACCTTACATATTCATGATGAATACTTCTTGCTAATGTACTTATGTACATGGTAATTAGTGGAATGAAAATATTTAAGGGAATTTTCTGAGCATGTAGTGGAGCTCATCGTCAGTGACGATGAGCTCGAGCCGACGCACGGCAAGCATGACGTACGGCACAAATGGCAGGTGCTAAGGAAAAATACTAGCGCACGTAAGGGGTGACTGAGGTCTCCTGGATGAACCACGCGAGAGCCACGCGTCGGCATCACGGCATCTGTCCATAAACGAACCGTAACCAAACGACCTCCATAGAAGACAGAAGCCTTTGCGCGCGCTTGGCCTCAAAACGAGTGTCATTTATTTGTACCCCGTTTTCATAGGAGTGCCCACCGGCTGAACCCTAGTCGGCTCTCGGCCGGACGACGTCGGGCCATTCTACGTCGGAGGTGGATGGAAAAAAAGAGGTACATATGTACTGGACGGACGGTCATCAAAGGATATGCTGTGACCGTTTTGGCTGAGGTCGAATCTGGCGGGGGCAGTGAGATGGGCGAGACAACACCGTGGTAACGGTGATGCATCTCGCTGTCGTCGCCGGCGGGGTGGAAGACAAACACAAACGTTCAATGTGTTTTGTATGTGTCTGTCGCCCTCGGAGAAGGGAAAAAGCATGGCCGTTGGTGCAGAGAAGACGGCGGAGTCCGTGGGCGGAGGAAAGTTCCGGACAAAGAGAAGAAGCGATTGAGGGAGATGAGACGGACGATTCGGAAGATGCGGCACGTGCCTTGATCTCGCCGAAACGCTTGTCTCATGTAAAAGGCGTGTCGTTGCAGACTTTCTCCCCTCGACCACCACTTTCGTTAAGGATCGCTCGCTACGTTACATTCCTTCTTTACTGCTCGTCTCACCTAACGATGCGCTCTGCTTTCGCCGCTGCTCTGCTTTCACTCCCTCTAGCTGCCCTCGCCGGCGCTCACGACGCGGCTTCCTTCCGCCGGCACTCAGGTGCCGTCCGCAGTTCCCGCCGTTCCTCCACCAACTACACCCTTGTGGACAAATATGTGGGCGAGGACTTTTTGTATGTTCTAGCGCGTTATCTCTCTCAGAACACGGCGCTGAACGCAATGCAGGAATGAATGGCAATTCTACGACCAGGCCGACCCGACTGGAGGCAACGTGAATTATGTCTCTCAGAGTGCTGCGGAGAGCGCGGGCCTCGCCTATGTAGATTGCAACAACGTGACCGTTCTTGCTGTTGACGACACCTCTTCGGTGGCCTCTGGAGGCAACCGCGACTCGTACGTTTCATGGTTTCCGGCTTCCGAGGGGCCCACTGACCTCGTTATTGCAGTGTTCGTATCAGTTCTCCGAAGGCATACAACAGCGGCCTTTTCATTGGCGACTTTGGGGCCATGCCCACAGGCTGCGGTGTCTGGCCTGCGTTTTGGTTGGTGAGCACTGTAGGACCATGGCCTGCTGGAGGCGAGGTCGACATTATCGGTGCGTTTCGTATTACGAGTATTTCAAGGTGTTGCACTTATACCGGCGTGCAGAGGGTGTGAACCTGGCTACACAAAATCAGGTCACGATACATACGAACAACACCTGTATGCTGACGAGCAACAGCACGGCCACCGCAAGCGTGATCAACAATGATTGCCAGAGCTATAACGGGCATGACTCCGGTTGCGCATACTTGCAAGATTCGACCGAGACATTCGGCGCTCCGTTCAATCAGGCAGGCGGAGGCGTGTTCGCGCTGCAGTGGACGTCGAGCGCGTTCAGTTTCTTCTACTTCCCCCGCGACTCGATCCCCGCAGACATCACCAGCGAGACGCCCGACCCGAGCTCGTGGGGCGAGCCCACTGCTGACTTCACGGTGTCCGGCTGTGATATGGCGAGCAGCTTCTTCGAACAGGCGATTGTGTTCGATACCACGATTTGCGGTGATTGGGCCGGTCCGTCATACCCATCGACCTGCCCGGGGTCCTGTTCATCTATCGTCGCGAACGCGACTAACTTTGCTGGTAAGTGGATTCGCGATTTGCTGTTCGGGTGGACCTGGTGATGAACATCCGTTTTTGATTTCAGACGCAAGGTGGAAGATCAACTCGGTCATCGTCTACCAATAGACGCTTCCATTCCCTGCATCATACTGATACGACGACGACGCAAGCCATCTCACGCACATAGACACATTCTCGCTATCCGTTATCCGCATCCGCATGCTGCATCATCATAATCATCATCGCCATCGCATAACCTGTCGACCCCACTGCCTGCTGGCGGCGGGCCGCCTGCGCTTATTTCTCTTCTCTCGTTGTATGTTCTCGGTGGCGACCATACACGCTTGTTCGCTGTGCAATATGTGTGTTATGGGGCAGGCCTCGTCGCCCGTGTCCTGGCTGGCGCGGGGCCTGGCCTGCGGCTGGGTCGCTGGGAGTACATGGTACATACTAGTCAGATTGGTATACTTATTATTATTGATGTGCTACGCGTCAAACATGGGGGCATTGCCATCATTGTTTATTGTGTGCGCTTGCGTGAGCGCGTCGTGGTCTATTGCGGTGCGTCGTTATATTTGGCAGCGTGACTTTATCACCCACCCCATTGTCGTTGACTTCGCCGTGAACGAGCACCGCAGAGCGCAGCAAGTCATGCTGGGTCGCATCATGCTATCTAGAGGCGTCAATGCTGCCAATCAAGCTTTTTGACAGCGCACCAATTGCACAGCGCTGAAGAAGCGCTCCGTTATAATGTACGACAGCAAATTGATGCTCGTTGGAGTCACTGACCTCCAAGGTTCAACGTTCAGCACCAGATATGCAGAGCTCGGACCTGCCGACCTACGCGAGCATTGTCTTCGAGGCACCCCCGCCCACGTACTCGGCATCGTCTACGAACGTTGCGCCGTCTACCGACGCCGCACTTCCCACGAACACCGTGTTTTCCACTGATGATGCACCCACCATTCGCGACACGCCGCCGACGACTACGGCATCATACACGATCCCCGCACCATCCGCGACTGTCGCGCCTTCCGCGACCAATGCACCGCCCACGACCACCACCCGGCCAACGTGCGTCGCGCCAACTGCGTACCGCATCGGCGGTGTGACGTTGGAGGCGCCGCGCGTGGAGCTGGACCACCTCCGCGCCCACCTCGCGCTCCTGCGCACATTTAAGTCGCTTCGGACCCTTATCGAGGACGCGGCCGAGCTGGGTCTCCAAGGTTTGAGGATGGGGACTACGGCACGGTGGGCGTGGTTTGTTGGGTTGGCGGTCGAGCGGTGAGCGGACTTTTTTGTTCGGGCTGTCGCGCTTGTGCGCCAGGTCGTTTTGGATACGCTTAGAGTTACATGTGGCACATAACGCTGAGATGAGTCTCGTAGCTTTCAGCGTTGGGCGGCGGTCGTACGCCACGAAAGTCTCTTTACTTGGGTTGCAACGGACCTTCCACCAATAGACGTGCTCATGGTCTGGCACGCGTACTTGCTCAATCCGGGGTATGCTTCTTGATCTCGCTATGATCATGCAAGGAGCCTCACGGATCCATAGCTGGTACGCTGAAGACTGCGTCCGGTTGCCTATCATGGAGACGATGAGAGAGCTGGGGGACAGATTTGTTCACGCAGTGGTCAGTGGAATCTAATACTCGTGTCCGACCGGTCAGTCTGACTGGGCGGCGCTGCAGGCTGAAATGGGCGACCCTGAGCAGTATCGGGCGTCTCCCGAGCGCATCGCCAGCTGGCAGGAGCAGACTGACACGCCCTGGGATCCTCTCGAGGCAGCGATACAGATGACGCACAAAACGATCGAGTGCCCCAGTTGCCGCGCGTTCAACGAAGTGCGTAAGTTCAATCCCCTACATCGCACGTTGTCTCCGCTTGACTCACATCCGTGCCTCCAGCATACTTGACCACAGACGGCACCGGATATGCGCAGCACAACTTCTCATACTATTGTGCGTGCGGATTCGAGGTGACCCGTGCGACGCTCGCGGTGCGCAAGTTCGTAGGGGACTTGACGAAGCCGTACCTCGACTCGCGCGATCCCGGCTGGAGTTACGGCGGGTACATGGCGTGTGTAGTTCTGCTTCCCGCGTTCGTCGCGTGCAATGCTGCTGACACTGGTTTGCAGGGGGACACTGCACACGGAGACGAGAGCGAAGGCGACGAGGCGCGCGGAGGTGGTGAAGAACGCGATTCTGCGGACGGAGTGGTTCAGGAAGTGGGATAAATCTGTGCGTGTGTTGTGCTCTGTCTTCGTGTCTCTTGCACGAGGCTGATGTTCATGATCGCGACGCAGATGCCGCGCAACGAATGGGAAACGGGCATACTACAGAAATTGGGCTATTCATTTGCCAGAGCCCGTAGGATTGTCGGCTTGGCACTGGAGCCTGCAGATTCGCGGTTGTGAGTTTAAATTCCGATACGTCCGTTGGCATTGTTTTGATGTGTCTATAGGCCCACGAGGATATTCAGCGCTTACACGGACGATCTCCCATTTTCGATTGACCTGGTCGGCGCGGTATTGTTGATGCTCTCCTTGACAGTATTGTACTCCGACTGAAATGAGAAGTTGCCCAGGTGGTCCGCCAGGGCGCATTCATTGACAAGATGCACGAGTTTGGATGGACACGGCCGGGGTACTTTGATGACGAAGAGGACGAGCTCGTACTTGTGCATGCCACGGCGCGATACCATGCGTGCGCGCTCTATAAACCATGGGTATGCTGTGAACGTGGTGCTGACAGCTGATGGTTCATATAGGTTTCTGGACTTGATGAGCTCGTCGCCATCGTCGTTCTTTGTCCCGACGCTCGACATCGACCTTGTGTGGCATTCTCATCAGCTCATGGGAAGCCGGTATGCGGGCGACTGTATACAGTATGTCAAGCGCTACGTCGACCAGTACGTTCACCGTGTCCATTCTTTTGGCGTGACAGTGACCTCAGTTATGCAGCGACGACAAGGTTGAAGAGAACCATCTCGCCACGTCGTTCGACATGACTTCGCGCGCGTGGCAGGTGAGTATGTTGCTCCATGCTCACCGCGCCGCAACTGAACACAAGGGTGTAGGAACGCTTCCACCTCCCGTACACGCACTGCGGCTGCCCCCTTCCGGGGGAATCGATAGGGCGGCGCCTTAGCCGCCTTTCACTCGGCCTCTTCCACAAGCACGGCCCGGATCTTTCCTTGGAACTGCTCCCGCCGGCACGCGAGGACGCATTGTCCGCGACTCATCCAAGCGAGCACAACTCCGTCGAGTCTGGCAGGTCTATCTTCCTGAAGTGGCAGCGCCGCCAGCGCATGGATAAGCTCGCGCGGCGGCGGAAGCGCGACACTGAGCGGGCGGTCGCGGGGCGCATGGACGCGGACGTGTACCAGCGGGGGCGCACGCACGATGCGGCGTTCCTCGTGCCCGTGCCGTTTTATAGTCCCGTCGCCGCGTGCGTCGTCGTCGTGAACCCGCTCGGGCCTCTCCCCGGCGCTGCGCCTACCGACGTCAACTTGTGTGCGGTGGTACGTGCTTCTGGCTTTTTTTTTGAACGGCGGTGTCAGGTGCTGATGTGGTTTGGTGCCGCGCAGGGTGCGGGGGCGTGTAGGGTTGCTGACGCGTCGATTGACGCCCTCAAGTGGTCCAATGCGAGGTGTGTAGGCGGCGGCTCTGGAGGATCGGGTGGTGGCGGGGGCTCAGGGAGACAGGGTGGCCGCACAGGCATTGGACGATCCGGCGGCGTTGGGATTGGCGGGTTCCCGGGTCCCGGTGTTGTCGGAGGAGTTGGCTTTGCCACGGGTGCTATGATTGGAGGGCCTGCATGGACAGGAAGCGCATGTGGAGCCGGGTTTCCTGCCAGTTGTGGATGCGGCAGTGGTGGAAGTGTAGGCGGAGGTGGCGGAAGTGCAGGTGGGGCAGGATGTGGAGGTGGAGGACGGTCTGGCAGTGGGTGTGGGGGCGGCGGCGGAGGTGGAGGAGGATCCGGCGGGGTCGCGAGTTGTGGTGGAGGAGGCGGAGTGGGCCCAAGCTGTTAGGTGAGGCTTAACCAGTATTCTCCCATGGATCAGCTACTTAGTCCGCTTCCAGGTCCTGCGCATCTGTGGCTGGTGCGTCAACCGTGCACCTCATGCCACTACCACCGTGATTCGGGTCCCCGCTGTCTTGCTGAGATAAGTGTATATCTTCACATAGCGACCTTCCTCGATGTTGCTTGCATGTTCCCTCCGCTTTAATATCGTCAAAGGCGATCGAGTGAATAATTTGTTTGAATAAAGTGGGGGCACGTCATTGAAGTTTGATCGCGCCTCTTAAACCTTTCAGCATCGTATCGCCCGGTCACGGACGAGAGACGGTGGTGATATTTGCACCCAGCACAGTGCCCACTCGAGCTCCTAGCCTGAACAACTTCATAAAGCTCGAACCCATGCAAGCATGTCTTCGGCGACTGGCGTCTCTTGGCAACGAGGATCGAGATAGCGCGGTGAGATGTCAATCCACGCAGGTGCGTTAAATTTATATATATGGGCGACCTGTTTGTTCTGTGCAATGCTGATCAAGATCGCTATCAGTAGTGGCGCAGGCAACACAGGTCAGCGCGTCTTTGCCGGGCGTCAACACTGCATATAAGGACTTGCCCGCAGTTCGTGGTGTTGACAGTATTTACGTGTAGTGTGTTCACAGTTCACGACACCGCTCCGAGCAACTCCACTGTTAAGCCTTACCGGAGCACCGCAAGCCCAAGGGTCCAACTCATAACATTCATGGCCGACAAAGGCCTGCCATCCTATGCGAACGTCAATGCGGACCCGTCGGTATATCTAGACGCCCCACCTGCGTATACCGAATCGTCCCCGAATGTTCAAGTTACGCCCTCTACCAACACCGGATCGTCGACCAACGCAACACCGTCTGCTGATACCGTACGCGTTCCGGCGTCGACCAACGCAACACTATCTGCGGAAACCGTATTGCCCACACGCGTTGCAGCATCGGCATCCACCTCACCGTCGACGACAAATACACTGCCTGCGAGCACTGCAGTGTCCTCTAACATTGCAACGCCTCCAAAACCGGCAGCGTCTAGGAATGCTGCATCATCGGCAAGTTCTGCGTCATTCACAACCGCCACGGCTTCCACCAATACGCGGTCAACCTACATCGGTCCATCTGCGTATCACATCGGCGACGCGACGCTGCACGCGCCGCTTGTGGAGCTGGATCACCTCCGCGCCCACCTCGCGCTCCTGCGCGCGTTCAAGGCTCTTCGGACACTTATCGAGGACGCGGACGAGTTGGGACTTCAGGCTCTGAGGATGGACAGCACGGCCAGATGGGCGTGGTTCGTCGGGCTGGCCGTCGAGCGGTAGGTGTCCATTCGTTCGTCGTGCGTACGCGATCTCGTTGCTGCGTTGAACGCATCGCCTGTCCACACTTCCGTCCAAAACGAAAGCTGTCTATGAGTTGCGATCAATGATATTCATGTTGTAGCTTTCAGCGCTGGACGGCGGTCGTCCGGAAGGGAGATCTTCTCACCTGGGTCGCAGCGGAGCTTCCACCGATAGATGTGCTCATGGTCTGGCACGCATACCTGCTCAATCCGGGGTACGCATCTTAACTCTCGCTATGATCATGCAAAGAGCCTCACATATCCCCAGATGGTATGCTGAAGATTGCCTTCGACTGCCCATCATGGAGACACTGCGGACGCTGGGGGACAGGTTCATTCACGCCGTGGTCAGTAGTATCTATGTTCTGTGACCTGCAGGTCACAGTGTCGATCTAACTGGGCGGTTTCTCTGCAGTTCGAGATGGGCGACCCCGAGCAGTATCAGCCATCCCCCGAGCGCGTCGCCAGCTGGCAGGAGCAGACAGGTACGCCGTGGGATGCCCTCGACGCAGCAGTGCAAATGACGCACCAGAGAGTCGAGTGCCCTAGGTGCTGCATGTTCAATGAAGCACGTGAGCGTTCCACCTCGTGTCGCTGCGCCCAGCTGATGTCTTCACCCAGCATACCTGACTTTAAGCGGCACTGGCTACGCGCAACACAAGTTTGCGCACTATTGCATGCGGTGCGGCTTCGAGGTGACGCGCGAAACGCTCGCGGTGCGCAGGTTCGTGCGAGATCTGACGAAGCCGTATCTCGATTCGCAAGATTCCGATTCGCGATACGGCGCATACTTGGCGTGCGTGTATCCACTGTCTATGCGTGCGGATGGCGTTTATACTGGACTACCAGGGGAACGCTGCACACAGAAACGAAGGCGAAGAACACATCGCGAGGAGAGGCGATAAGGGGCATACTTATGCGATCACGGTGGTTCAGGAAATGGGATGGCTTTGTGCGTCTGTTGTTCTCTGTGCCCCGCACTGACTTGGCGCTAATGAGTGTGATACAGGTGTCATCCAACGACTGGGAAGAGGGCTTGCTGAAGAAGCTGCAGTACTCGCTCTCCGCCGCTCGCGCTGCTGCCGATGATGCGATGCAACCTAATGGAGGATCTTTGTGAGTGACAGTCTGGTCCATTCATTGGTGCCGGGTTAATGTGTCTATAGGTGCAGGAGGATATTCAGCGCATACACGGACGACCGCCCGTTTTCAATTGATCTGGTCGGCGCGGTATCGTCTATGCACTCTCGGGTCATATACTCCGACTGAAAATAAATATCGCGCAGGTCGTTCGGCAGGGCGCGTTTATTGACAAGATGCACGAGTTCGGATGGACCAAGCCGGGCTACTTTGACTCCGGCGAGGATGAGCTTGTACTTGTGCATGCGACGGCGCGTTACCACGCGTGCGTTCTCAGGTGTCGGGGGTAATGGGCCTAGTGCTGACGCTTGAGGCTTCATGCAGGTTCCTCGACCTGATGAACACGTCGCCCTCGTTATCTCTACTGCCGACGCTCGATATTGACCTTGTGTGGCATTCTCACCAGCTCATGGGTAGTCGCTATGAGAAAGACTGTATGCAGTATGTCAGGCGCTATGTGGATCAGTACGCTCGACGTCCCCGTTCTATCTGGCAATGCAGTAACATCGGCTGCGCAGTGATGACACGGTCAAAGAGAACAAGTTGGCAATGTCGCTTGAGACTACCTGCCGTGCATGGCAGGTGAGCAACCACCTCGAGATGGTAGTGTGTGCACTAAATTGGAGGGTTTAGGGACGCTTCAACATCCCCTACATGTACTGCGGTTGTCCCCTACCCGGGGAATCCGTCGGGCAGCGCCTCACCCGTCTTTCACAAAACTTATTTCATAAGAACGACTCCGACGCTTCCGCGATACTCTCCCCGCCTCGACGTGCAGACGCGTTCTCCGCGACGCATGCGAGCGAGCATAATTCCGTCGTTCCGAGCAGAGGTGCCCACGCGGCAGCCGCAGAGCAGCAGCGCCACGGACGGGCGGAAAGATTCACGCGGCGGCAGCGCCGCGACGCAGAGCGCGCGCTCGCTGGGCGCATCGACGTCGACGTGTTCGAGCTCGGGCGGACACACGACGCGGCTTTTCTGACACCCATGCCTTTTTACCGCCCTGTCGCGGCGTGCGTCGTAGTCGCGAACCCGATTGACACCGAAAAGCTCGGCATTTATCCTGGAGAGCTGGTGTTTTCTGAACACGGAGGAGGCTAGTGGTATAGTAGAGCATCAATGCCCACAGAATTTCCCAATGGCGACGACGGAGCTTGTCAGTCGATTTGGCATTTCTTTCCTGACATATGGCTTTGAGTGAGACGACTGTACATCGTTCTGAGCTTTTGGATGACGATGTTTCCCCGAGCCCGCTCTAGCTGGTTTTTGCTGACACCTACACTAGCTGTGTACTTCAGTACATGCGACCTGCTAAATTGAATCCTCTCGTCTCTGCACTGGAACTCTTGTACCAGTCTTTTATTTACTTTACCACATTGCAACATATGATCCCACTGTCGCAACCGTGACCAATTGCAACGAGTGGCGTAGCATGTACAAACGTTCAACGTTCAACGTTCGGCTCCACAATTTTACGAATATCCGATCGGCTTGATTGCCCATGTACACCCGCTTGCAAAATACCCAGCAATATCCATGGTGCCTCGTCCTCCTGTAGTCTGTGGGTCCACTGGAAAAAGCAAGAAGTTACAGCTCGACATAATCTCCATGTGCTCCTGAATCCATTTCATACAAATCCCTCGTAACCTACACCGTTCTCAGGCACTCGTGCTTGCACCCGTGTTAACGAGAGGGGTTGGAGAACGCTCTCAGGAGCTTGGGTTACATGAAAGCATGAACTTGGTCCAAGCAGAGCGTCAATCAACCCTGGGAAGCGGGAATCACTATTACTCTCACCCAGCCACTGTTGATATTGGCAGATGTCCACATCACGGCTAAGTTCTCCTGCGCTATCATCGCCCCCAGAGCGCAGCAGGTCAAGATGCCTTCGACAGGAGTCAGCGTTAGGGTACGTCTGCCCCTTGCTTCATATAAGAACGTGCTTGGCCTCCCATGCCCCACAGATCAGTGAGGAACAGGCGTCCATCCCGAGTCCTAGCATTATGGGCACCATGCTCGAGCCAGATCTACCATCTTACACCAGCGTTGATACCCGCATAGACCCACCCGCGTACACTGCGCCATCTGCATATCGCATCGGTGGCACGACTCTGGGAACACCCCTTGTGCACTTGCACCATCTCCGTGCACATCTAGCGCTCCTGCGCGCATTCAAGGTACTGCGGAGTGCCGTCGAAGGAGCGCCTGGGTTGGGACTCGAGGGCGGGAAGATGGAAGGCACAGCGAAGTGGGCGTGGTTTGTTGGGTTGGCTGTCGAGCGGTAGGTGTCGATTTTGTCGAGCTGTTGTGCGCCGGACTGCTTTGTCTGGCTCGTGACGAGGAGATGCGGCTGGGAGCGGGAGTGCTCTGCACGAGCAGGGCTTTGAGGCTCTGCGTTCGGGCCACTCACGCCTTCCGCTGGGCGAGGCTTAGTGGCACAAACACGATGTGGCCGTTCTCTTCGATGGCTTCGCTTCATCGAAGGTCAAATAGATTAGCCTGATGGGTGCCCATTCGACGTACACACATCCGACCAAGGGATACTCTCTTACTTACACGGCTCCCCTCGTACAAACACAATCTCGTCGCTGCGTTGAACGAGGCCCAAGCCTGTTCCCTGACTATATTTAAGCCATCGGCACCTGCGTGATTACTGACAAGCCGTGTTACAGCTTCCAGCGCTGGGCCGCCGGAGTCCGTCCGGGAACCCTTCAGAGATGGGTCGCAGAGGAGCTCCCGCCGATAGACGTGCTCATGGTCTGGCACGCGTACTTGCTTAACCCGGGGTACGCGTCTCTACCCTCTGCTAGCCAATTAATCGGCCTCATGCGCTGCGTACTAGCTGGTACGCAGAAGATTGCCTCAGGCTGCCTATCATGAAAACCTTGGGGGGGCTGGGTGATAGGTACATTCATGCGGTGGTCAGTCGTGCGCTCACCGTGCCTCTCACTAGCACCGGCTGATATTAAATGATATGTAGGTGGAGATGGGTGACCTGGCACAGTACCAGCCCTCTTCGGAACGTATAGCCAGCTGGCAAGAACAAACAGGCACGCCCTGGGACCCTCTCGAAGCAGCAGCGCAAATGAAGCATCGCACTATCAGGTGCCCTAAGTGTCTTACCTCTGCTAACGCACGTAAGCATCTCCCCTCCTGGTATACATCTTTGCCGTAGCGCAGCTCACATCTACGTGTCTAGCGTACCTGACGGCGGACGGTACCGGCTACGCGCAGCACAAGTTCGCGCTCGCGTGTGCTCACTGCGGATGCGCAGTGACACTCGAGAAACTGGCGGTACGCAAGTTCATGCGGGATCTGACGGAGCCGTATCAAGGCCCCGAGCTCGCGTTCGGCGGATATTTTGCGTGGGTGTCTATTGTTCACCTGTCGGTATGTGCGGTGCTGATGTGCCATGTTCCACGGGCAGGGGGACGCTGTTCACACAGACGAACGCGACGAACACGGCGCGCGCAGAAGCAGTGAAAGGTTTCTTGTTACGAATGGGGACGTTCAGGAAGTCGGACGAGCATGTGCGTGCTTGTCTTGTGCGTGTCTCACGCAGGATGGCGATGATGCTCACGCGGACCTTATAGATGTCCCGCAAGACTTGGGAGGATGACGTGCTGAAGAAGCTGGACTACTCGCTGCTCCGCGCGCGTGCTGCGGTCAATATAGCCCTGAGGTCGGGAGGACGGCGTTTGTGAGCTCCGTTCTAGCCTGTTGGTTGGCGTCAGGGCTGAGTTGGCCCCGTATTCAGGCCCACGAGGATATTCAGCGCGTACACGGACGACCGTCCGTTCTCGATCGATTTGGTTGGCGCAGTACGTCCGCTGCTCTCACTTGTTGCCGACTTATGACTGACGCGGGCGTGCGAGCAGGTTGTTCGGCAGGGCTCGTTCATTGACAAGATGTACGCATTTGGGTGGACCGAGCCGGGCTACTTTGACGACAAGGAGGACGAGCTCGTGCTTGTGCACGCTACGGCCCGCTACCATGCGTGCGTACTGCCCACTCTACTGCGAGCGAAACCGACATGCTGATGCCCCGGGTCCGGTTTTGCTCTGCAGATTCTTGGACCTAATGAGCTCGTCGCCGATGTCGTTTTTCGTGCCGACGCTCGACATCGATCTCGTGTGGCACTCGCATCAGCTCATGGGCAGTCGGTACGCCAACGAGTGTGCGCGGTATGTAAAACGTTACATCGACCAGTGCGTATGGTGTACCTGCTCTTGTAAGGATCATCATGACGGCGATTTCCCTCAGTGACGATAAGGTCGAAGAGAACCATCTAGCTACGTCGTTTGATGTCACCTGTCGTGCTTGGGAGGTAACTATTTCGACCATCTGACTTGAGGATTAATGTATAACTGATATCCATACCGCAGGAGCGATTCAAACTCCCGTACACCCACTGCGGCTGCCCCCTGCCCGGGGAGACTATTGGGCGGCGCCTCAGTCGCCTCTCACAGAACCTCTTCCACACGGCCAACTCAGACACGCCCTCGGCACTACGCCCACCCCCGCGCGCCGATGCGCTCTCCGCGACGCACGCGAGTGAGCACAACGCGATTGCGGCCGGCGGGGGCCTGCACGCCGCGCGCGTGGAGCACCACCGCCGCGCCCGTGCGGAGAAGCTCGCACGGCGACGGCAGCGCGACGCGGAACGCGTTCGCGCCGGGCGTATGGACGCGCAGGCGTTCGAGCGCGGGCGGGCGCACGACGCGGCGTTCCTGACGCCCGTGCCGTTCTACTACCCTGTTGCGGCGTGCGTCGTCATCGCGAACCCACTATGGGGAGGAGTCGGTCCCGCAGGTCTGGGCGGTATCGGTAACTGCGCAGTGGTGAGTGCTCTTAGTTCCGTGTTGGATGATCAGTAGGAGGGGCGGGTGCTGACGCGGTTCTGTGATGCCAGGGTGCTGGGGCATGTGCTGGAGGGGGCGGGTGTAGTGGTGGGTGCGGCGGCGGAGGGTGTAGCGGAGGGGGCACATCTGGAGGATGCGGCGGCGGTGGAGGATGCGGAGGTGGCGGAGGTGGCGGCGGAGGATGCGGGGGTGGCGGAGGTGGCGGCGGCGGTGGAGGATGCGGAGGTGGCTGAGGGGTTGGGAGTTGTTAGGTGTGAATCCTCCAGGATCTCATCTGGCATTCAAGTTTCAAGCCCGGTTGAATTTGCTGCAGATTGTTGAGGATCTCTCGACGAAGCTGTTGTCGTCGTGCGTGCTACTACTCTGTGACTCTCTGTGTTGTTGGATGTACGATTATGTGGTGCTTTTTGTATACCTGGTCTCACTCGATCTATGTATGTGCTGATTCTCCCAGTCTCGTTGCAGTATCTGAATGCATGTAGCATTCTACATGTAGGCTTCTGCATAAGGCGAAGGTCTCTTCAACCCCACATGGAAGTGAACCGATCATTTCAGTCTCGCGTCGGGCGACAGCAATATTCTCACAGATTCAGAGTTCAGTCAGACAGGCACACATCGATAGCCGCTTGAAGTTAGAGTCTTCTAACCACCCGACGCTAAGTATTGCAGGTGTCCTCTGCACCCACCACCTAATTTCCAGCACTAATAATGCGAGCAGCGCAAGTCGTCACAGGGCTTACAGCCGAGAAGAAGGCAATCCTCCGCTTCAAGGAAGCGGTACACAGCGTGATGTCTGCGGCGGGCGACCTCAAGGCGGAGGTGCTCGCCACGGATAACGCACATATTCACGCGGTTTCTGAAGGAATCAGGAAGGTGTTGACGGTCACGCTTGAGGAGCTACAGGCTGAGTTTACGCCGTCGGGGGAGGCGCCTGGGCATGAGACAAGGAAGGCGCGGGTCACCGAGACATTGAGGCGCGCAAAGGACGCAATCCTGAAAGTTCTGGTGGGATGCGGGGTGTCCGAGACGACGGCCAGAACTCATTTGGACAATCTCTACCCGCACATCGAATTTCTGATCATTATGATTGGTAAGTAACTCTTAATTTCAGTCCCATAAAATGTGGTGCTCAATGTCTTCGTGTTTTCAACAGGTGATCTTGCGGAGCAGAACCCAGTGTCGCTCACAGTCTTGCTGCATTACGGAACCGTTCTACTAATTCCCGAATCTTGGCTCCTCCGTGCGTTGCTGGGTTTGTTCGGCTTTCCACCCGTTGGGCCTGTGAAAGGTGAGCATCGTGCAGGCGATCGAACAGACAAATCTTATGGGCGTTACTTGCTATAGACATGATTGCATCTCATGCACAACACTTCTTCTTTGGTGCCCCCGTCAGGAAGGACAGGGGGTTCACGTTCCTCCAGGTGGCCGCGATGCGCGCGTTCATGCGGATGCTCAATGCTCGTAAAGTGTCTCGGTCTCGGTTGTGAGTGTGGACATTATCGACAGCTTCGAGTAGGATATTTTACCGTTGTCGACTACACGGTTTGCTGGCGGGAGCCGCGCGTTAAATCCACGGTTATATGCATCGCTGTCGGCGTGGAAAACATCGCAAGCAATGTTTTTGTCCAACGTATACTATCAGATGCAGCATTACTCTGCGGGAGCGGGTGAGCCATGAACGTTTGAACAAGGGCCTTCGAACATATGTATCTCTTACGCCGTCGCAAAATCCTCATGTTTCTTGTGTGACTATCAGCCGCGGAGTATCGATCATAATGGATCTGATACAGTATCTGCCCTGGCTGGAAGTGGAAAAATGTGCAAAAAAAGGCCAAGTGTCTCAAACTGTCCCGAAAATCATAGAAAACTCACCATGGAGATGCATTTATTCTGCAATGCACCATCACAACCATGATATGGGAACATAATTACGTATGTAGCTTCAGAGTTCTGTCATGGAGCCTATTGGAGGTGCGTCTCCGCCTCAAATCTTCCTGCGCTTATAAGAACTGGGACGTCTACGCGGACGACGCAAGCCTTCTCTCACAGCCCTCCTCATCTCCTCCCGCAGAAAGAATGCGAGTCCCGCAAATTGTTCGAGGGTTTACAGCCCTGGGTCTGCTGGTAATCCCCGTACCCGCAATCGTGCTCCCCACCGTCCAGGTTGCGTGGCTAAGAGAGCAGGTCATCGAGCCCGCCGTAGCTTACGTGAAGCTTGGCGTGCTTGATGTGCTTCACGCAAACCCCTTGGGGAACATGAAAGGTACAGGATTCACGGCACTGACTTCATGAGCTGTGGTTGACGGAAGATTCTCGGATACGAAGCAGCCTCGAATACGATCGACGTTCATACTATCCCCTCTGATTTCTTTGAGAGCGCTGCCGCGCTCGGTAACCGTGTTAACGACTATGTTCAGGATCAGCTCGAGAAGAATGCCGCTGACTTCGGGATATCTGAAGAGATCCGCCGCCTCGGGGAAGAGATGCACAGCGCTATGTCTGTGGCGAGCGACCTCAAGATCGCCCTGCTCACTACGGGCAACGAGCAGCTGCACGCGGAGCCTCAGGATATATCTGACGAGATGGGGAAGGCACTGATGGTCGTACTCGAGGAACTACAAGCAAAGTTTCCCCAACCGGAGGAAGCGCCTGGACATGAGACAAGGAAGGCGCGCGTCTCCGAGGCGCTCAGGCACGCTGAGGACGCAATCGTGAAAGCTTTAGTCGGACGCGGCATGTATGAGACCACTGCGAGGGAACATTTGGACAATCTTCGCCCCCACGTAGAATTTCTGGTCGTCGTTAGTGGTGAGAGTACTCCTCACATCTCTCCTGGTTGTCGTCCTTAGCTTCTTCATGTGTGCGACAGGTGATCTTGCGGAGCAGCATCCAGTATTGCTCGAGGTCCTGCTGTTCGCTGGAAGCATCCTCTTGATCCCTGAATCTTGGGTCCTTCGCCCTTTGATGAGTCTGTTCGGCTTCGGGCCGTACGGTCCTATTAAAGGTGAGTATCCCAAAGACAACCGGAAGGAGGAGGCTCATGGATGTTCCCTGCTCCAGGCACGGTCGCGTCATGGTCGCAGCGTTTCTTCTTTGGCGCTGCCGTCAGGGAGGGCAGCTGGTTTGCACATCTCCAGGCCGCCGCGATGCGCCCTGCAGCGGGGTGGTGGAAGATAATTGTTGGTGGGATCGCTGCGTCGATTGGCCTAATCGGCACGTGCTTCGGCCGCAGATAGGTTTTGTCATGCAGAGCGCGGATGCTCGCCGTCTCTACGGGGCCAGATGCTGGATGTTTGTGAAGTGGTGCACAGTCCAGATTGTGAGTCTCGAGTTTTGAACTAGATTCGTCGTATACAGCATTGTCAAGCTTTCACTGTTGTCTCCGATGCTGTCTATGTACATGTTGTTGTCAACATGAAAAATGTTCTGTTTTAGATGCAGCCATGTTTTGCGGTGGATGAGTTACTAACAAGGAAGTATCACTTCAAGTTGACTACTGCAAGTCCTTAACCGGGATGCATATGTACGGTATCGAGATTTCACCTCGCAGACTAGTTTGGATACACCAGGGCTGGCTCAGCCTTGCGCATGTAGCGATCATCACAGGTGTATCCTCTGGTGCGTGAACTGCCATTGAAATATCTGCACATGACTGAGTCAATCTTTCTATAGATCGCTACATATGAACTGGGCAATCGAGTGCCTGCAGGGCTCTGTCAAAGAAAGAGTGGACTGTCGCCCTCTTTGCCAGACATCTCGATAGCGTCCAGCACACGAAGGCCCTGTGTGCCGATCCGTCCTGGTGCTTGACCATTGGAGGAGATGTATCCACTGCAGCGGAAAGGCTCTTCCAGGGGACCGTTGTTCACTTTGGTGGAATGCTCCTCTCGATCTTAGTTCGTCTTCGACGCATAGTGCAGGACAGCGGTTGCGTCCGCTCTTCGACGTATGCGCGTTGGCGTAGTTCTGATCCAGTCATCCACATAATGTTATCGTCGTGCACATAAAATGGTTGACGTCAATCCACAAGACTCTCGTCTGCTAGTGCATGCATACGCGAGAGGTGGTCACGATACGCATGACACAGTCTCCTCAGCGTGTTGAGCACCATATTGCATATGCGCTCGCACTACATTCGAAGTGCTGAAGTCGTGGTTCTGCAGGCCGCCGATTATTAACGACGGGTCGATGCCTCGCCCGCATTCAACTCGATACACTTCGCGAAAGTGCGCCGTCCTCGGACTCGGGAAGTCCACCTTAAAAGGTGTAGAATAAGTTGACTACGTTACTGGACGGGCGGAAGTTCAACATCCCCTGCACAAATTGATATTGGTGGGTGCCGCACTGCCCTCCACAGTTTAGGCCTGATATTGATATGATTGTCAGGCCCTAATCAAATACGAACCTGGCCTGTTTGCAAGGAACCGTGCGGTTTGATTCCACTAGGACTCAGGAGTGATGACTTCAAATTACCGTTGACGTCTGGATGCGGCATGCTGCCGTGCTAACAGAACAGTCATCCCTGCGCGACGGCCCCCTTGGCATGCATAATTGGACCCTCATTGGTGCAGACTGCAGTGCTCGCGTAGACCTGATGCACCATAGAAGTAGAAAGTAGCATGCTTCACAGGTGGCCATCCTTATCGCAGCTAGAATGCTCTCATACGCAGTCGTAGGCGGATCGCGTGGTATAGGATTGGAATTCGTTAGACAGCTGGTAAGTCCCAGTTATCGCACAGCTCATCCCGCCTCTTCTACATCTCTGACAACTTTTGATTGCAGTCTACGGTCTTTGCCATGCTAGTGCGGGACAAAGCCAGGTCTTCGTACCTAGCTTCGGTCGTTGCTACAGCCAGCAACCATATACACGTCCTCCAAGCCGATGTCGTGGATCATGATTCACTGATGGAAGATGTTTCCGAGTCTCGCGACATGACGGCCGGCTGAGCAACGTGTTCAATAAGCTGCCGCCGCTAAGATCGCACAGCTGCCTGGCGGAGGACTAGACGTCCTCATCCAAAATGTCGCACGCATAGAGAACGCGAACCTGTATCGCGGTCTGACCAAGTATTTCGTGACCCTTCAGTTGCGGGTAGACTTAGCGTCACTTTTTTCCAGTCACCCAGCGAGAGCGAAGAACAAGTGGACGAAGAATTCTTACAATCAGTTAGTACTTCCTTCCGCTCTCGCCCCATTCCGCTAACGCGTTTTGACGTATCAGTTCGAAGTCAACGTGCTAGGCGTTGTGCATACCGTCAATGCGTTCCTACCCTCCTCCGCAAGGGCACGGGAAAAAAGATTGTCGTCATCAGCACCGCTATTGCTGATCGGGTCATGGTATGGAAAATGCGTGTGGAGAGTATGGCCGCCTACGGAATGACCAAGGCCGGGACAGCGCGGTAAGGGGGATGGTGGTAGATGACACCTGCATCGGGTTCTTATAAGAGCGCAGGAAGACTTGATTGCGTCGCCGTTCTCAACCGCACAAGACGTTGCCGAAGGGTCAGAATCCAGAAGATCTCACTGTGCCAAAGTAGACTCTTACTGTACACTGGCAGAATATGCCACGTAAATATGAAGCAATCAACCTCGTACTTGAGTGGTACATGGCTCATGACTCACAGCACAAACCTCATCTTCGGCGTCGTCGTGAGGGAGGGGAGCTCAGACTGGTTCGCACAGCTCCAGGCCGCCGCAATGCCCCCTGTGGTTGGGTGGTGGAAGACGATCGTGTGGGATCGCTGCGTCGATCCGCTTAATCGAGGCTGGCTCGTCCTTGTGCTGCGGCAGCAGATACAGTAGGTCTTGTCAGTAGAGCCCGGATGCTTGCCGATCTTAAGGGGCCAGACGCTCGCAAGTGGATGAGCTACCAACAAGGATGTATCACTTGATTACTGTGAAGTCAAGTGAGATGTACGGTATCGAGATTTCACCTCGCAGACTAGTTTAGACTAGCCGGGCGGGCTTCCGCAGAAGATCTTAGCGGGCGAGACGTAGTACTAAGCATGGGCTGGGTCGAGCGAAGAGCATTTCTATTCTGAGAATACCACCGCGAGGAAGGAAAGCGCAGAATGGATGGAACAAGAGAAAATGCCAACGGGGTCGTTGTGCACGAGCGTCACCAGAAGGACGAGGGTCTACGGTATGCCACGGGACAAGACAGGAGGGCGGAGATGAGCTCAGCGAGACAATACATAATGGAGGGTGAAATGACAGGTGAAGAGGGTCGCGGGGATAACTTCGTGAGAGTTGATCCCCTTTCTTGTATGAGCACAGAACACCCGGGGAGAGTTTGTACTTATGCAATAAAGATGCTCATATGTGCTCGTATAACTAGAGCTGCCACGCTGAAATGTTTCGCGGCGTTATAACTTCTGTATGAAAGGACGGGTGAATATCTTTCGGATCTTGACTGTAATAGTACAGACAGCAGGTATTCATCGAAGCAATCGTGGTGATTCGATAGCCGAAGAGCTCCTGGGAATTGAAGAATGGCCTCCTCCGCTGTCCAGCACGGGGTAATCCTTGCCATCTTCGTAAATTAAGGTACGCAAAGCGATACGCCCGTCCGTCAGGGTTCGCGACCGAGTAGTCGCTGTGAGAGGATAAATCCTGAGTCAGCGTATCAACCGCTAGAGGCAAACACTGGGCCTGCCAAGATTCTCTTGACCTCCTGGACCTGCAACATGAGGAAAGCAGGTGATGTCATGCATAGCAAGATAAAGGACTCAGGTGATTTACGAGAACGTGGCTGCGGTCCGAGTCGTTATGAACGATCGAAAAATTGATCCCATTTTTTGTGAAATATTGCATAATGTTGTGCTTAAGTTCCGGGCGTACATACGGTCCTCGAACAGAGTGCTGCGCGTTGGAGTGTTCTAGTTTCCAGGAGCAGTAAACAAGTCCAACAGCCTGTGCGAGATGAGCAGGATTGAATTGAGATTCTATTGTTGGATGACGGCAGGCTCGACTGTTATCTCCCAGCGCGGCAATGCAAGGAGATATAATAAGAATCTTCGAAGCACAGACTTAGTAAGTCCAACGAGACGAGGCCAACAAGAGTGCAAAACTGTTGAGCAAGGTTCGGTCAGAAAGTAGAAGAGAGGAGCACCGAGTAAGAATAGGGCTTCCATCAAGATAGCCTGGGATTGTTTTGTGGTTTAGGCCGAGTGGGGCGATGATGCTCGTTCTGCCGTTACTTGAGGCACGGCTCCAAGTGCGAATGAACGTGGTGAAAATCATCCTGAGTGTCACAACATACGCACTTGGCTTTACGTGAAATAGTAGATAATTTCCATCCGTAGATTGAGGAAGATGGCTGTGTGAAAAGCTTCAGAAGTGAAGGCGTAGCTCTGTGCGTTCTTACGGTATAGTGTGCGTATATTCTTCTGCGTTTCCATGTCCATGTGTCCGCGATGAGGGAAAGTACGAGAACATAAGTTGCACACCATGCTGGAAGGAAGGACGTGCGACATTAGCTAACTTAGTCTGACTGAGCTCCACGATGATTACACGATAGAACCCGACTAGTACACGAGTGCATCGCCAAATATGCAGCGCATGCACGACTCGAACTTTGTCTGCGAGCTTATCGAAGAAAAAATGCGAAACAGCCACGGTCGAAAACTGTGATTTCGGAGAATCAAGGCGCGGTGGTACTTGAACTCCTGCGGTGGCGTTATTCAATCCTTCTAGCGTGGATTGGAATGTACGCACGAAGGTTATGCATCTCGAGAGGTTATCTTTTAATAACGTCCGCAATGGGGTCCTTTAAAATTTCGCTCGAAGCCAGAAGTCCAGGCACCTGCGGACCTCTCCTACCGTCTCGTCTCCACGGTACACCTTGCAGATAAAGGCGAACACCTTAAGCTGCAGTTGTTGCCCCGGCCAATCTGGGCATTGTTCGGAGGTAGGTCAGACTGAACTACTTAACCGGCACACAGAATACACCGCACGTAAGTGACACATAAACGCCGACAAGCAACGCATATCGCGCGAATACGGAGCACCATACCTCTCCAAAATCTCACCTAGAATCTTCAGAGGGTTAATCTCCGAAGAGGAACCGGCGTTCGAAGTAGCCAACTAAAGTCGCGGGTAATTTTGGAGTGGGGCGCAAGACGTTAAAATCGGGTCTTGATAGCGTGCACATTCGCTGATCCTTCCAGGAGTGACTAGCGAAATCTTCAACTGCGGCATTGTCCTAAGGATATCGAATGATTCCATACCAGAAATTTTATCGAAGGCAGAACGATGCCTGCCGCAGTCGGAGATGGCTGCAGGCGAAGGCAAAGCAAGAAAGTAAGTTGGTATAAAATGGTGTACCGACAAACTGCTGGCGTAAAAACGACGAGCAGCACAAATGACATTACTTCCACCACGGACCATGAGCAAGGACATAATTGCCAAGCCCGCTACGGAGCATCACCTCCAATTTTCGAATTCAACATAAGTGAAATGCGATATGCCAGGTGCTCACCGCCGTCTGTTGCCGTAATCGTCGTTGCCGCTGCAGAAGGGCTTGTCTGACAGTTACGTGCGTCTTTCGAGTTACCACCCTAAGTTTGTCAGAGACTCTCCCAATCCTATGTCGACGATTACGCTTCCAGAACTGCCAGTGCAGGCGCCCGGAGTATACAAAGGTACAGCGCGTTGCGTAATTTCTGCGCGCTGTTTGTCTTGCGCAAATAAATCCATAAGGGGAAGGTGTTGGGTCGGGGACTACAATTCAAGGTACAGGACATCATTTAGGAGAAACAAAGCATGCAGAAGGGTCTTGGAGCATGTACCCAGTGCATTGGAAAGCTTTCTGAGCCACCACGAAGCGCGAACGACGAATGTAAACCAGAGTGCCGGAAGCTGCGGTCTGTCGGCACACACCCGACCTACCGGATATAGGTTTATTTGCCCTGGCCAAACAAGCCAGAGAAATCCGCGGGTTTCACGCAATTTTGCAATACGCTATAAACCGCTACTGAGGTTCCACAACCCGTGACTACGGTACGATACGCGCGCCCGAATCTAGCCACTAGCCAACCAACTGACAACCATCTCTGTGCTAAGTGCAACTTAAGTACATCAAATATTATTCACCCGGCGCCGAATGTTCGGAAACCAGTGCGCTCTTTCCCCACAACGCGAAAACTTTTATCGCCTACCAGCCTGTCAGAAATCTGGGGAAGCGACTGCACCAGATCCTATTCAGATCGTCACGGTTGTCTTCATCGGGTTCGAGCATAACACTGCGGGCCATCCCATCGTTGGAGGTGAGTTGCACATTTCATAAATAGTGCAAGACTCCCACTGACCACTTGATGACCAGGACTTTGAGGACCGTGCCAAGGCCTCTAAATTATTCAAGCCACTGTAGACGCCAATAGCGGACGGCATGCTGCGTATAAATTGGCTAGTGGCGGTCCGATATACTCTGATCACCCAAGGTGCCTGAACAGAGGCCATCAGCTCCACGAAGGCAGGCCCCATGATCCACCGCAGGGAGCATATAAAGCCATTGACCTTCCTCATGTGCTCTGAGCCCTCCCTCGTCCATTCATTTCGCCCCTTTTACGGCGTTACCACCGGTCTTCCGTGACAGCGAATTCCAACTCAAAGCGTTATGGCCCCCAGTGACCCGGAACAGGCGCCGTCGTCGGCGCGCGCCTCGGATGAAAAGGGACGAATGTCGGTGGTGGAGCAGCTCGACGAAAAGGCCGCAACCACCGTTGATATCTACAATCCCAACTGCGATGTCAGCGGCGTGGACGAGCGTAAGCTGCTCAGGAAGATGGACTTGCACCTCATCCCATGGCTCTCCATCCTTTACCTGCTGAGCTTCCTTGATCGGTCGAGTATCGGGAATGCGAAAGTAAGTTGGCGGCTCTCTGGTGTGAAGTCGGTTCAGTGTGCTCACAGAGAATGCCTGCAGCTGTATGGCATGGTCACCGATTTGCACATATCTGACCAGCAGTACTTGATGGCTCTTACCATATTCTTCTTCCCGTATGCGATCTTCGAGGTATGCATTCTCTTTATGATTTTTTGAGTTGCGGTTGGTAGAACCCGTCACGTAGGTCCCATCGAACGTTATCTTGAAGCGCCTACGACCGTCAATATGGCTTTCTCTCCTCATGGTATTATGGGGTGTCATCATGGTATGTATTACACCCGTTCCTCGACCTCCGTGAGCTCACTGAGTGCAACAGATGTGTCAAGGTCTCATCTCCAATGATGGTGGTCTTCTGGGTATGTCATCTCTTCACAACGAAGGAAGTAAAGGTCGGCTCTAACGCTCTTCTGCAGGCATGCGATGGCTGCTAGGAACGTTCGAGGCAGGCCTCTTTCCCGGCGTGAACTACTATCTGTCTTGGTACGTCTCCATGCTCGCGTTCCCCGTTGTGGCGCGACATTGACTACACCGTATAGTTGGTATAAACGATCCGAATTCGGTGTGCGTGCCGCGATCTTTTTCTCAGCTGCGACGGTCTCCGGTGCTTTTGGTGGGCTTCTCGCGGTACGCACGGGTTCTCAGCGAGTCGGCGCTGTCAGTGCATGACACTGACATTTGTCACCGCTTTGTTTTCGCAGGCAGCTATCTCGAATATGGACGGCCTCGGGGGCAAGGGGGGATGGGCATGGATCTTTATTCTGGAGGGGCTCGTGACGATAGTCGCGGGCGCGATGTCATTCTGGATTATCCAGGACTTCCCCGACACCGCCAAGTTCTTAACCGAGGCTGAGCGCACGGTGGTGATCCGGCGACTGCAAGAGGATGACCAGTTCAGCGCGGCGGGCGAGACGCTGAAGAAGCGGTACCTCTTGAAGAGCCTGACGGATTGGAAGACATGGCTTTGCAGTGCGTGGTGGGGTGTGATATGACACGGTCGTCCGATACTCACCTTCTCGTTACCAGTGCTGGTATATATGGGTACCGACGGTCCGCTTTATGCGTTCTCACTATTCCTGCCTAGTATTATCAAGGAGGTGAGTACTGTTTTGCAATTATAGCGAACAGTGAAGCTGACTGCGGGACAGTTGGGATATAAGGCAACGCCTGCGAACCTGCTGACGGTTCCGGTGTACGTGGTCGCATGCATGTTCACCTGCTTAGTCGGTTTCGTCGCCGACAGGTACGGCAGGCGCGGGTATCTGAACATGTGCGCTTCCCTGCAACAGTCTGCCGCATACTCGTGCTGACCGATACTTGCAGTGCATGCCTGTGCGTGGGAGGGGCGGGGTACATCATCCTGATCGCGTCGCGGAGTCCGGGGCTGTCATATTTCGGCGTATACATGGCGGCGAGTGGGATCTACCCAAGCATCCCGAACCTCGTCGCGTGGGTGTCGAACAACGTCGAGGGGTCGTATAAGCGGAGCGTATCGCTGGCGATGGTGATCGGCTTCGGGAACCTCAACGGCGCGGTATCGTCCAACGTGGTGAGTGTCACCCGCGTGTTATGTGTATATGTGACATGGACGCGCTTCCCTCATAGTACCGCGCGCGCGACGCGCCCTGGTACAGGCTGGGGCATGGGATTGTGCTGATGTACGTCGGGATTGGGCTCATCACGTCTGTGATGTACCTGGTTGCGCTGAAGCGCGAGAACGCGCGGCGGGAACGCGGCGAGCGCGATGAGATCATCAAGGGAGTTAACGAGGACCGCACGGAACTCGCGAAGAATGGCACGTTCGTAGACGTCGCGGAGGCGAAGCGCGAGAAGGGTGACCAGTGGAGCGGGTACCGATACACGCTTTGAGACGCCCCGATATCCACGACCCACACCCGAATGAAAGTACGTTTGTATGGCTCTGCACGAGCACATTGTGTATCACATAGCTGCTAGTTCTGTACATTAGAGCATCGTAGTTGGGCATCTCAAGGCGATTACGTAGACTGCACAATGTATGGCTGGGACTATTCGGCCCGATGTATAGATGAAAACGAACATGAGAACTAAGACTATGAAGGGTTTTATTGGACGATTTTTATCTAACTATGCGCTCGATACTAAGACTAAGGACTCTCCCGTTCGGACGACATAACGATTGTTACTTTCAAATACTCCGACAACTCCTCCTAAACACCAGGTCATGTTTTTCACCATCAGCGCCAAACCGGCGCTGCAGAATCAGGCTCTTCATAGCCTATCAGAACGCGGGCGAATAGCACATGCAAACGGTTTGGGTCGGCTGCGCACGCCATGTCCGACACCAGCCTGGGACAGCATTGCACACAACCTATAGACTAGTCTCCCAAAGGCAGACTACAAAATCAGTCCTATGAGAGGTGGAAGGGACGGACTGATAACCTTTAGACGACCCGGACGATGACAGCAAATATCATATCGATAGATAGACCCTCCAAAAAAATCCGTTCATAGTGTGGACTGCGAAATCAAACGGTCCGGAAATTCAGGTGGGCGATGGCGCCACCATGCACCGTGGTGCCACCAAGTCGCACCGCCTGCATGAGTCGGTGGACTGTCACAACGAGAAACCGAACTGCGAACTTATAGTAGGAGTCGGGCTGTAATTTCAGCTCGATAGCGGTTCTACTATGCATATCGACCGGCTCTCTCTTCTCAGCCCAACGCAGCAAAAATCTCAAGATCCCAGCACTTGGTAGCCGCGTTCTTTCTCGAGCACGCGAATCAAATTTCAGCCTACGCTCTGGATCTGACGGGCGGCCTTAATGGCGTGAAATGAGGTACGTACGTACTGCATAAGTAACGACACCACTGGTTCATATCATTCCGCAGGCTCCTAAAACCATCCGTCGCTATAGCGTTCTCGCTCCTACATGTTTTAAATGATCATGTGACATATGTTTTATGCGACTTACCTGTTTGAGAGACTATTGCCAGAAAAGGATAGCCGAACGAGAGGAGGAGAACGCTATAGGACGGACGGCTGGCCAAACTGGTCGTCCGAGGATACGCCGAGCGCGCACACCTAGAGTTTCCCACTGGAAATCTCGAATAAACCCTAGCATGGGTCTTCTTGTCTGCAACGCGCGTGACCCAAATTCGGCGTTCGCGTAGTGCTCATCGTGTGCTCCCCCTCGCGCAATGTTGTCGATTCGGGGCATGGGAGCACGGCACGGCATAAAATTTTCAATTGATAGACCACCAAGTTGTCTAATCCTTGCTCTGAGGTCACCCTCAACCTGCGAGCCTCTAAGTTGATGTGTCACACTAGTACTTGATTTTTTGCAGCTTGGGACCCTACACTTACAACCAGAGCATTCCTATTAATTTCTAAGAGAACCACACTGTACTTTGGCTTTACAACATATCTCTACAATGCTACACAAGGGGGAGTGCACGACGAGCGCTACGCAAACGCCGAATTTGGGTCGCGCACGTTGCAGACAACAAGACCCATGCTAGGGTTTATTCGAGATTTCCAGCGGGAAACTCTAGGTGTGCGCGCTCGGTGTATCCTCGGACGACCAGTTTGGCCAGCCGTCCTATAGCGTTCTCCTCCTCTCGTTCGGCTATCCTTTTCTGGCAATAGTCTCTCAAACAGGTAAGTCGCATAAAACATATGTCACATGATCATTTAAAACATATGTTGGGATGTAGGAGTGAGAACGCTATAGCAACGGATGGTTTTAGGAGCCTGATCATTCCGGTGTCATTTCCGATCAAGCACATACTCATCTCTCCCTCCGTCCCTCCCGAGATATAATCTTCGATTGAAAGACATTGATTGCAAGCCCAGAACGTCATCAAAATCAAAGTTCATCTGAGGTAGACTGCTGCATAATGAGCTTCTTCGCCATCTCCGAGCGCGGTCGAAAGACACATTCAAAAGATTCCGGATGACTACAAGGACGGCCAAACATTAGCAAATCTCCGTACCGCATCCGTGTAATTCTGGCGCACCTTGCTAGCCTGTCCATTGTGAATGCTACATCTGGCTCCACGGCCTTCCCATTCTTGCCAATAGCCTTGCAGATATCAAAGCTCGCGAGGATGGTGGCAATGATGATCCATACACCATTTTCAGCGAAGTGCCTCCCTGGGCAGATTCTGTGAGTGTTGTAAGCACTGTCATATGGACCACGCATCTTGAGGTTACGTGGGTACGTACCGCCGACCAAAACTGAAAATGGCACCCAGATACGGCTCGCCGGGGCCTTTGGAGGCGCTAAGGAAATGCTCGGGATTGAAGGCCTCCGAGTCTTTGTATATCATCTCATCACGACTCATCGCCCTTGGCCAAAATTCTCAGATACGCTGTGTCGATGTATTTGAGGCACTTACATTATGTTCGGAATTATCACCGAACCTTTCGGAATAAACATCCCGTTGTAAACATCGTCGTCAGTGGTCCGGTGAGCGATGCCTGAGAGTGGAGAATCAATTGACTTTCAAAGAATTCAACTAACCTCAGATGAGAGACTGACCCTGAGGGGCGACAGGATGGATGCCATCTAGGATACGCTGTGGGTCATCACTCTCACATGTATCATGGTGGTCACTCACCTAATAGTTTCCTGCAGGACACATTCCACGAACGGTAGAGCCCCATGGTCACTAAAGTCTGGCAGTCTGCCGGGACCTATCACCCTGTCAATTTCTGCCTGGGCTTTGCATTGCACTTCCGGAAACAGCAACATGCACAAGTAGAATGTTTGTATCAGGGACCACGTCTTGAATATATTCCATTAGATTGAACAGCAGTGAAAGGAAAAAGATCTAACCGTTTCAGCGCCACCTAAGTTGATGTGTCAGATGGGGTACAGTTGCATGCATAAGCGAGATAACTTGCCAGTGAGGATGGTAGCAGCGGCGCCCTTGAGGTCATACATATCATACTCCTTGGCATCTTCCAGATTGAATTGCTCCAGATGTGAAGAGAGGAAAGACGGTTGAGCGATCCCTGCTTCCTACGGTCTAAGTTAGCATCCGAGGCTCAAGGCTCAGATGAACAGACACATTGATACGTACCACTTGCTTCCACACATCATCAAATGGATAGTTGTGCACTTTCCTGGTGGCAGGCCGCCAATGTCGTGCTGTGGCTGTGAGCGACGAACATCCAGGCAACCAGTGCAGAAGGTAGGCCACTGTGGATCATGATGAATCTCCTGAGTGCCACCAGGATTGAGCACATGAATGATGCACAGAACGGGAAGAGGTCAATCAGCAAGGCACCCAGCTTCGCCTCATCGACGCCGTGCAGAGTGTCTTCCGTGAGCTTTACATAGATGTCTGTGAACGTATAGAATACGATGGGGAAAACGGGCGAAGCCATTGGAGTGCAGCGGTACGGTTGAGTGGCTGACGAGACCGGAGAGTGGAGCTGCAGTGACACGCGGGTCAATGGAATGCTCCAGGTGTAAGCTCTGTAATTCATACCTGCAGTGACACGCGGGTCACTGCACAGCTAGTAAGTAGCTATAGTGTACAGTTAGGATGAGAATACGTACACGGAATGCTCCAGGTGTAAGCTCTGGAGCATTCCCTACTCAATATACTGGTTAAGTAAGATAAAAACGTCTTGTCTCATAATCGCGAGACAAGACATTCGATGAGAAACAAGAACACAATAAAAGAACGAAATAGACCATGCACGTATTGTAAACGCGCCATACAAGATCTCAATCTCAGATCGCAACACTCCCCTTCAAACCTTTGAGAGTCCCATGGACAAAGCGAAGTGTTTGCACTTCATGGACGGCAAAGCTTTTGTCAGGATGTCCGCTGTCATGTCCTCCGTCGGGCAGTATGACTAGTGTTGCGTAGTCCTGTCCTGTCCGGTCTTTTTATATTTTTTAACAGGACTGAAGACCGGGACCGGGACCAAAAATAGCTATACTCTCAAAGACCGGACCAGGACTGCAGTCTCTTCAGGACTGCAGTCCTCACACAGTCTCAGACCGATTAGGACTGATTCTAGACTGCAACCGGTCCTGGACTAGTCTGAACCAGTCCAAGACTGGTCCGTAGACTACATATGTATGTATCCCTACAGATACTCAGCCTCTTGATGGCACAGTACACTCAGGCTCAGCAAACCCGGCTGCGGTGAACATCAGTTGAGTTTAAACCCAGACATGGTAAATACAAATGCAACACATCGGGGTGCTGTCAATAATGAATATGTCAGTCTGTCCTTTTTATGAGAGAGACACAAGGGTAAAATTTGTGGACTCACGCTAATCCCAGATAATCACCCCAACCTATTCAACGAGCTGAGGGAGATCATCATGTCCAACCTCTTCTGCCGGCTGTCCATTCTCGTGCAGAGATACTGCTTCGGCACAGTGCACAGTGCCCTCGAGAACTTTGTCATATGTAGACAGCCACCGCGTCGGCTCGCATTTTGAGATGTCAATATAATCTTCAATCACTATGCCTTTATCCGGTCAGTAGCTCATGACGAGACACAGTAAGTACATATTCACTCACCTTTGCTTTGCTGATCAAGAAGATATTCCAAGGCGTTGTATAGGGCCGTGTACCGTGAACACGAGATGGGATCAAGGGACAATGACTCTCCTGTAAACTCTGACAAGCTAGACACGATGTGAACAGAAATGTGCAGGCTAAGACATACCCTTCAGTGTCGCACAGATCCCCTCAGCCCAGGATGAGATAACAGAGACAGATGAAGATTTGAATACATCTGGCCTGCGCCTGTCGTCAAGCCGTGGTAATACCTGCACACTCCCCATGGCAAGAGCGGGATGAGAAAAATTCATACTGCTGGGCGCGGCTACAGGCATAACGCACGAAGTGGTGAGATGTGAGTACGAACCTCAAAATTGGGGTGATGTCACAGCTTGTGACATAATGGGCCGGCTTTCAGTCTACAACCACAAATATATATTTAAATACTCTAGAAAACGAGAGTGTTGTCCAACACTGCTTGGTCATATGCGAGGCGATGGTCCGGGAATGCGCGTGCAAAAGTTGGAGGACAGATTGCGTGCGTGAGGGCTTCCCGGGCTCCAGCGAGAGTGCCATGCAGAAATTCCTGTGCTTGACGGCCGGAGGCAGGTATTGCCATGCATGCCCCTCGTGTCAGGCTACGCATTCGCGGTGCACCAACTATCAGAATATCTGATAGTTGCGGACGAACGAATGCACGCGTCGCAGAAGACATGAGTCTTTCGTCACAGAATAACAAGAGGGTGTATCAGAGCACACACCTGACGAAGTTTGTGCCTTCTTGCTCGCGAATTTCCCCCGCTTTCCGCCTTTTACTCCATTCATGTCCAAAGGGCGATGCCGTGATGGGATCGGACGACGCCAGCGCACCGTCGCGAATTTTTGGTCACCGCAGCGCCGTCGGACCCGCGTACAAGTCCAACATCGAGGTCCATTCCAGGTAAGATGTGATGCGGTGCGCACGCGAGTCCACACGAACCATGAGCACTTCACCCTCGCACGCTAGCTGTACCCACTCTAGCTGCCGGTGTGCTCATTCCACCCCAAGTTTGTTGTCAACTCGCCCGACGCGCGCACGACATTTGTTGTTCTCCAGTAGCGGGACCGACGGGCAATCAAAAGAATGCGCGGGGTCGACATTCGCCGTGAAGGATGCGTGACCAAGGTCAGTTCGTCCGGAGGTGGTTGTTCGAAAGTCGCATGCACGGAAGGCCTAGGACGCGAAAAACAATAACTCAGTACCTAGTAATGCGTCAGAAAATGAGATCGGAACGTACCAATGTTAGCGTCACCCTGGGTTATGAACGCCGTCGTGCCCCGTAGTGTTGATGCGTGAAAATCGAAGCGGTCGCCATCGTTGAAGTGCGAGAACGCGTGCCCGAGTCAATCGCAGATGAACGCCGTCGTGCCCTGTCATGCCCCGTGGTTTGATGCACGAAAATCAAAGCCGTTGCCATCGCCATCATTGAAGTGCGAGAACGCGGTCCCGAGTCAATATCAGCCTGCGATCTTGCACATGCTGCTTGTAACAAGAGAATGACAAGACTCGTCCTATTGGCATGAGCCGACGGAACGCACAATGACGTGCTCACCTCGTGAGACCTGCGCCCTGACCCGCTGCTTGCTCACTTCTGCACGTCGAAGATGTGCCTCTGGGTCGTGCGATCACAAGTGCGCACTGGAGCCTGAGGCACTGCAGCTGAGGAAGTGGAAGGGTCAGTCACCAGATATGAGGCCCATTGTGACAAAACATCCGCGAAATGCGAAATGTGAGATGGACGCGGACATAGTTTTCGGTCAGCACTAAAGGTGCACGCGGCGAGGCACACCAGCCGCGTGCACGCACCGCAGAACTGTACCGTCGCGAGTCTTCCGAGCTCTGAATTGGTGACCATATAAGTTTCAACATTGTCTACAACTCTACAACAATGACTAGTCTGAGAGTGAGTCTTCCATGCCCCCTAAGTCCTCAGAACACAAGGCTTTCTCGTCCTCGAGAATAACTTCAAAATCCTGCAAGTCTAACTCCAGCTGCTCCATGACATCTTGGTTGACGCGTGCAAGATCAATTATGGCCTCCTTCCAATGGTAGTGCAGACATTCTATCCACTCGAACAAATCCGAACCTAGGCGCGAGCGACGATCCGTAGAGATTTCCTTCGCGCATGAGAACAGGTGTTCACAAGACACAGATGATGCTGGGATCGCTAGGATGTCCAGCGCCATCCGTGCAAGAGTAGGGTAGACATCAACGTGCCTCTGGCTTGGACTTCAGATTGATTTGTGAGGGAAAAGGATATTCAAAATGTACCGCCCACCACTCCAGGAGATCTGTGTCCTTCATGACATTTGCGGCTGGGTCCTCGACATACCATTTGAGCTCTGCCATCCAACCCCCTTCTGGGTCCGCACCCAGTTGTTGCTTGCGGTCACGATCATAATTATCCTCTTCGTCGTCATTGTTGTCGCTTGGAGGTGCCGAGGGTCGCACGTCAGCTGCTGCAGCCTCAGCGACATTCTGAGCCCTGAACCCAAGTCGCTTAGGCCAGTACTCCTCCATCTGACAACGACTGTCAGTACCTGCTAAGAGATATACAAAAAAAGTGAGATGTTTACTGCTTTGTTCACAGTTGTCGTAGCAACCTCTTGCCAGTTTTTCGCATCCATGTTTCCAGCGGCAAGTTCCTCTTCTTGCTCCTTTGCACCACCCCATTTCTTCTCTATATATGCGAGCTTGTAATATGGGTGAAGCACTTTGAATGGCAACATGAGCTGAGATTGAAGGTAGATAGAAACGAGGTGGATTGATGTACACATTGATAGAATGTACACGCAAGAGTCATCGAGCTTGGTGTAGTACTTGTTGAGTTTGTTGAGGCCACGCTGAATGGCAGAATGGAAGAGCGTGTACTTCATGTCGGCTAGTTTCCGCTCCCACCGCGTGCAGAGCATTTCAAGCGCGGGAATCACGCGGTGAAGTGTGGGGACTTTGTCAGATGAGAAGTGCTGCTGATATTTGTTTGCATCCTGGATGAGTTCAGTGGATAGCGCAGTGAAAGATCCAACTCCATGACTCACAGCGAGGATGTCAAGACACAACTGCACGCGACGCCAGTCGGAATCTCACAACTGAAATGCAGACCACCGGATTTTCTTGACAACCTTGCCGTTCTGGCGGACAGTTGTTATCAGGCCAAACTTCTCATCCGCAGTCGCAACAAACATATTGATTGCCTATCGGACTGACGGTCCCAACATGTGAAATCAAGACAAGGAGAACCTCTACTCACTGCCCGTAGCTGCAAAGCGCGCTCACACATTTTGTGTGCACTCCCCCAGCGGGTATTCCCATGCAAGGGGATGATGAAGGGATGGGTAATCCCACTTTCCTTCTGATAGCGCTCGAAAACTTCTTTGCGCTGTCCCGATGCCTGAATCTGTAAGAATACATATCAGAACAGCAGTACCTATATGTATCTAATATACTACCTTGATGGCTAGTGTGCGGATGATAGCAATGATGTCGAGCCCTCCGATGACCGCACGATTCTCGGGAAGTGACGGGTCGTAGTCCCAGATTGCCTGCTTGGTCTCAATGACAGCAATCTGGGTGATCTCGGACATGTAGTCCTCGATCCCCAGGCTGATGACATGACCTAGACAGCTGCACAGATATCAGTGCACCGCACATGGTGTACACAGAGTGGGAACTCACCTAAGCTTGCGCTCCTTGGGTATCCAGCAAGGAGCACTGCGATTAGTCAGGATCTTCGATACCTTTGTGGCGGTGGTGTCGTTGTTGGATGCATTGTCTGCAGTGACATTCCCGAGCTGATATCAAAGTCAGTCACCCACACCGTGCCGAGGACAGATGGCCGGGGCTTACCTTGCTGTGAGACTTCGAGGTAATGCCTACACGATCCGTGAACTTAACAAAATACCTCCCTAAGTTGTCACCATCATGAGACCCTGCCACTTTGTGCATCGCAAGCACCTCAGCACGCAACTTCCAACCTACATCACTGAATTCAATCCACTGGCCCGCCATTCCAAAATATGGGTCACTTGTGTGCTCCTGGCTCCACAGATCCCAGCTGACTGCAACCTCACCAGGAGCAGCTTCAATGTCTGTCCTGAGATGCTCAACGTAGTCAATGAACTCGTTCTTGATCTGCGTCTTAACAGTTCCGCGAGTTGGCAGGTCAGCGCGAGTTGTCTTTGCCCGCATCGTTACCAGGCAATTCGTAAAAGTTGCATCATCAGCCAGGAGGAGAGCCTGCAGTAACAGTGAGAGCAAGGTATTCTAATACATCAGTCGCCTTACCTGGTCACCACAGACAACATGCTTGACGACAGCATCCAGGATAGCTTCCCGAGAGAAGGCACTTGGTCCCACCACCTTCTGCACCACACCATCAAGCGTCTTCTGAGCACCTTCCTTATTTGTCTCTGCCGCTTCACGCTCTGCTTGTACTTTCTTGGGTATCGCCTCCTTGCTCTCCTTGATATTATCTTCCTTGCAGCGCTCACTGTAGACCTTGTAGTGTTGGCTTGCAATATGCTGCCGGCACGTCGAGTTTGCTCCCTTATACCAGCCCGCTCGGACGCCCTTCCTCTTCTCAAGTTTTGGGTTCTCTCTGCATCATGCACCATCAATTTTGTGTTCGAGCTCAGTTGCAAATACTCACTTGCAAAGCAGGCACCACCAGCCCTTTTCCGTACGCACTCCCTCCCTGCCTTTAAATGTGACCGTGACTCGAGGTGAAAAAATTGTCTGGAGGTCTCGCGTTGTATCATGCTTCATGAATGTTTTTTCGGGCAATGCAAGTCCATCAGACTCCTAAGTGTATTTGCTTAAGCTGCGGTATCTCCAAGCTCCACTATAAGATGTTAGTCTATTACCTCACCAGCTTCTTCATCCTCGGGACCCTCCTTGTCGATCTCACCATCTTCATTTTCATCGTCGTCCTCGACTTCCTGATCTGGAGATGACGGTCTGGTGTCCTCGACATCAAGCTCGATGATGGAGACCCTCTGTCGAGACTGACGACCCTTCTTTGGTGGCTGATTGCTCGCCTGGCTCTTGTGCTTGCGCTTCCGAGAACGTGAAGATGGTTCGGAGTCAGAATTGGAGCAGGGATCTGGCGAGGGCTGTGCAGTGCTGGTGGATGCCCTTGATGCCTTTGACCCCTTGGCTTGTTTCTTTTTGTTTCGAGAAGAGGATGTGGCCATCGCAAAGTCTCAGAGAGGTGTCAGACAATGTAAAAGAAGAGGTAGGACGACTTTTCATTCTTTCGGAAGAGGATCTACCCTATGGTATTTCATAGCATAGTTACCGGAAATAAGGTACCTTACAGTCTCGGCACTTGGCACTGAGGCTGGGCCCTTGAAGATCGAGCTTACACTGTATATAAGGACCAGTCCTGACCAGTCCTATGCAGTCCTACATTCAAATCAGAATGGTTGAAGACCAGGACTGGAACTAAGACAGGATTGGCAGAGGACCAGTATGCAGTCCGGTCCTGAGCAGTCCTGTCTGGGTCCTGTCCTCAGTCCTTGCCGGGTCCTAGGACAGGACTACGCAACACTAAGTATGACAGCGAGATCTTCCCCTCAGCAATGGCATAGCGAATAAAGTGAAAGCGAATGTCGATGTGCTTGGTACGTGCATGAAAACGGTCATCCTTGGCGAGCGCAATAGCGGACTGATTGTCAGAACGGAGAGGCAGGGGGTGTTCCGGGTCACCAAAGAGCTCCTTGATGAAAGAGCGAAGCCAGATGGCTTCCTTGCTCGCGTGCGTCAATGCAACGTACTTGGCCTCGGTTGTCGAGAGGGTAACAAGGTCCTGGCGCTTTGAAGACCATGAAACTGCGCCGCCGTTGAGCATAAAAACATAGCCAGAGATTGCACGGCATCCCTCCGTACTCATGCCATCGGCATCTGAGTATCCAATGATGTCGTTGTCCTCCGAGCTGCCGAGCATGAGCCAGATGTCCGCGGTCCCCTTCAGATACTGGTAAATGCGCTTTAATGCACTCCAGTGTGCAATGCCAGGGTTCCATCCGAACTGAGCAAGTTGTCCAACTGCAAAAGTGATGTCAGGGCGAGTAGCGACGGAGACATACTGTAGTGCTCCTAATGCCTCTAGATATGGTTTATCTCGCATAGCGGCATATTCGGCTGTCGAAACAGGGCATTGGTCGACAGAGAGGTGGACATGGGGATCCATGAGCTGCGAGAGTGGCTTTGCATCAGAAAATCCATAGCGGGCAATGATTGAATCGATATACACCCGTTGTGATAGCGCGATTGTGTGCTTCTTGAGGTTGCATCTGACTTCAATTCCGAGTAGCCAGTGTAGTTCACCATTGTCCGTGATTTCGAGTTCAGACTTGATCATTACTTTGAGGTGAAGCAGGTTAGCGAGTAGCGAGCAGACCAGTGTCATATCATCTACATGAAGGAATATGATAGATATTTCACCATCAGGATGGCGCCGATAGAACACGGCGTGATTGTGCTCAAGCCGAACAAGTTTGAAGCCCTCGAGAATCTTGCGGAGACGGATGTACCAGCGTCGGTCAGACTGGTGGAGTCCATAGAGTGCAACGAGTAGTAATAGGATCTGGCCAGGCTTCAGGCCATCAAGCTCGATGTCAGAAGGGGGCCGCATATAGATCTTTTCATCAAACGCGCTCTTGACATCGACCTGATGTGTGAACCATCCATTGCGGGCAGCGACAGAGAGAATGACGCGGATAGATGCAAGCTTGCACACGGCGGCATAGGTATCGTCAGAAAAATAGTCGACACCTTCGACTTGTGTGAAACCTTGAGCCACTAAGCGTGCGCGATAGCCTGTAACTTCGCCACGAGCATCTCGCTTCGTGCGAAATACCCATTTCGAGCCGACAACATTTTGGCCCGACGATCGCGGCGGCGGGTCCACGTACACCCATGCTTTTCTCAACTCCAGCCTTCTGATCTCATCGTGCATGGCTTCTTGCCATTCAGGCCAATCCGGGCAACATTTGGCCTCTGTGACAGTATGTGGATCAAATCCTAAGGAGTCGGATGCAGCGACACCAACCAACATCTTTGTCAGTTATGAAAGATAATCTTTTCTATCAATAAGTAGCAAATTTTCATAAGAATTGCTACTTTTAAGTAGACTTATTTGTAGGTGCATAGATTAACTCAGGATAATCGTAATATAATCTTTCAGATAATCTGAGGATAATCTTCTGGATAATCTGAGAATAATCTGAAAATTAGCAATAAAATACAATTTTAACTTTGACATCAGCCAGGATTGAACCCTGGACCTTAGGTTGATTTTATAAAATATAATTCCAAGTGACACTTTAGACCACTTGACCATTAGGCCATACATCACAACTATCTTATATTAAATTAGACATCTTTTTCTTGAAAAAGACTTAGCCAAATTCTGTCTATTAGAAAAGAGTAAGTAAAAGACACTTGACTTTTATCATAGATAGAGAAGACTTATAGACAAACAGTACTCTGCATCTTATTATAGTCTTGTTCTACAGCTTACAGTTTTTGTAAACTATCATGCAGTACTATAGAGTATCTTAATATAGTTATTTATAATATATAACAAGTTATTGAGAGACAGTATTTTATTTGTTCATTTTAGGCTTATACTCTAGAGTCTATTATATTATAGACTGAGCACTTATATATACAAGATCTTTATAGCTATCTTCTAATTGTATAGCAAAGTTCTGTTTTGCTGAAGTAACTGTAGAAACATATATTCTATTAATTACATATTGTACATTATATGAAGGCTGCAAGCATTAGAAAAGACTATAAGACTCAGAGTAATGTTTTTTTATAAGTCTTGTCTATCTATGATAAAAGTCAAGTGTCTTTTACTTACTCTTTTCTAATAGACAGAATTTGGCTAAGTCTTTTTCAAGAAAAAGATGTCTAATTTAATATAAGATAGTTGTGATGTATGGCCTAATGGTCAAGTGGTCTAAAGTGTCACTTGGAATTATATTTTATAAAATCAACCTAAGGTCCAGGGTTCAATCCTGGCTAGTGTCAAAGTTAAAATTGTATTTTATTGCTAATCTTCAGATTATTCTCAGATTATCCTCAGATTATCTGGAAGATTATATTAAGATTATCCTAAATTAATCTATGCACCTACAGATAAGTCTACTTAAAAGTAGCAATTCTCATGAAAATTTGCTACTTATTGATAGAAAAGATTATCTTTCATAACTGACATCACTGGAGATATAGCGCTGCAGCCACCAGGACGAAGCCAAAGGTGGTGGTCACCCTTTACCGTATAACGGATCCTTTTGGCCAGGAGTAGATGGTCTTTGCGGACAGTTCAATGTTATAGATCAGGCCTGTGGCCCAGGAAATATTTTCAGCAGGTTCTGCATGCGAGGCCAATCTACCACGGTCGCCGGCTTTGTTTAGCTTTGTTCAGCTTTCCATGATCGATAACGGACTACATATACTTAGTAATAAGGTGTCAGCATCGAGGTGACCCACGAGCTCTCTTTCGCAAGCTCGTCACCTACTCTTCGAGTTCTCTACACGCCAACCATATGTACCTAACTGAAGATGGTTGGCAACACCACGACCCTGGGCGGCACAGCGTCTGACGTTACAATTGGGAGGATCGGGGCACGTGTCTCCGCGACGAGTTGAACCGGAGTCTGATCTCTGCTTGAACAGCACGGCCTAATGACTCGTGAGTGCTCGCGTTCCTTCTCGCGTCACTTCACTAAATAGCTGGGAGCAGGCCGGAGAAGGTCAAGCACAGTATCGATGCGATAATCGCAGCCCTACGCGGGACAAAGCACCTGCCAGACTTGTTTGAGTCTGTACACGTCGACTCGAAGATTCCCATCGAAGAGGCCGTTCGGACACTCTCGGGGTATGCTAAGGACGGTCTGTTTGACCACATCGGGTTGTCTGAGTGCCGCGCTGAGATGCTGAGGCAGGCACATGCGGTAGGTTACCTTCCGACGTCTTGCCATCGCGAGGGGATTTGACGCGCGTAGTCCGGTTCTTCATATGAACTACTCGCATTCAACTGACCCTGCGCAGAGGGTGATGTCCGGCGAAACTTCACCCGCTTCAAGGAAGAGGTATGCCAGACCTGCTCATTGCACAGCACATATACTCACTCATGCATATTGCCACCGTCGCATGTACTCACCCGCAAATATACTTACTCACACATATATACACCCTTATCCATCGATATGCTGCTCATCTGCGCATATATCCATGTGCGCACGCTCCCGTCCACATCGTGGTCTACACTCTATGCAATAAATGACATACGGCACCAAACGTAGAATTTCGCACATAAGAGTCGCACTGCTTCTCCAGGGCATTAACCCTAAAATGAACTTTCCTTGATGTCTACGTTTCTGGGTCAATCACGGCTGTCTCAATACCACATTACTGCACAGGAGAGGCGCCAAGAAGCATCTGACATGATCGGCTTTGGTCACGATGGGAAGCACAATTCTTTCCTTCTGCCATCCTGTCTGTCTCTCGTACATGCGCGTAATGGTATTTATCTCTTCTATCCTCTCCGCCGTTCTGGTGAATATACTGATTGCTCCAGTTACTCAGGGTGACTACGTTGTTAAACTGCAGGCCGATGCTGGTGCAATCGGGCCTTCTAGCACACAAAGCAGACCGGTGGCTTCTTCTCGCTGGTCTCTCCTCGGTCCATGCCGGCTGCAAATTCTGCATCGTCTTGTCTGGAAAAGGCTGGCTCTGTGATTTCTCCCATGCACAGCGACTGGCTCCCAGCACAAAATCTCAAGATCCCAGCACTTCGCAGCCACTTTCAATGTTTCGAGCACGTGAGTCAAATTCCAGTCTACGCTCTGAATCTGATGGGCGGCCTTGAAGGCGTAAAATGAGGTACGTACGATGCTCCATCCGAAGCAACGACACGGCTGGCTGGTTCATATCATTCTCATGCCATTTCCGATCAAGCACACACACACACTCTCCGTCCCGAGATACAATGTTCCAGCCTTCAATTGAACGACATTGCAAGCCCAGAACGTCACCTAAAGAAGATCAAAGTTCATCTGAGGTAGAATCCTGCATAATGAGCTTCTTCGCCATCTCCGAACGTGGTCGAAAGACACATTCAAAAGATTTCGGATGACTGCAAAGGCGGCCAAACATCAGCGAATCTCCGTACCGCATCCGTGTAATTCTGGCGTACCTTGCCAGCCCGTCCATTGTGAATTCTACATCTGGCTCCACGGCCTTCCCATTCTTGCTGACAGCCTTGCAAATATCAAAGCTCGCGAGGACAGTGGCAACAACGATCCATATGCCGTTCTCAGCGAAGTACCTCCCGGGGCAGATTCTGTGAGTGGCGAAAGCACTGTCATATGGGCCACGCATCTTGAGGTTACGCGGGTACGTACCGCCGACCAAACCCAAAAACGGCACCCAGATACGGCTCGCCGGGGCCTTCGGGCTCGCAGAGGAAACGCTCGGGATAGAAGGCCCCTGGATCTTTGTATGTCGTCTCGTCACGACTCATCGCCCTGGGCCGAAAATTATCAGATACGCTGTGTCGATGTGTTTGCGGCACTTACATTATATTTGGAATTATCACCGAACCTTTCGGAATAAACATCCCGTTGTAAATATCGTCGTCGACAGTCCGGTGAGCGATGCCTGGAAGTGGAGAATTAGTAGACCTTCAATGGGCTCAACTAACCTCAGCAGAGAGACTGACCCTGAGGGGCGACAGGATGCCATCTAGGATACACTGTGGGTCATAACTTTCGCATGTACCATGGTGGTCACTCACCTAACAGTTTCCTGCAGAATGCATTCCACGAACGGCAAGGCCTCACGGTCGCTGAAGTCTGGCAGTCTGCCGGGACCTATCACCCTGTCAATTTCCGCTTGGGCTTTGCATTGCACTTCCGGAAACAGCAACATGCACAAGTAGAATGTTTGTATCAGGGACCACGTCTTGCATATTTCCATTAGGTTGAACACCAGTGAAAGGAAAAAGATCTAACCGTTTCGGCACCAGCTGAGTTGATGTGTCAGATGGGGTACAGCTGCACGTATAAGCGAGATAACTTGCCAGCGAGGATGGTGGCAGCGGCGCCCTTGAGGTCATCCAGATCATACTCCTTGGCATCTTCCAGATTGAATCGCTCCAGATGTGAAGAGAGGAAAGACGGTTGAGCGATCCCTGCTTCCTACGGTCTAAGTTAGCATCCGAGGCTCAAGGCTCAGATGAACAGACACACTGATACGTACCACCTGCTTCCACACGTCATTGAATGGATAATCGTGCACTTTCCTAGTGGCAGGCCGCCAACGTCGTGCTGCGGCGGTGAGTGACGAACATCCAGGCAACCAGTGCGGAAGGTAGGCCACTGTGGATTGCAATGAGTCTGCTGAGTGCCCCCAGAATTGAGCACATGAATGACGCACAGAACGGGAAGAGGTCAACCAACGAGGCACCCAGCTTCGCCTCATTGACGCCGTGCAGAGCGTCTTCCGTGAGCTTTACATAGATGTCGTTGTCAGAATGCACCTCGTGGCCGTATGTTATCTCCAAGAGGCTCCGCATAGCAAACCTGCAAGACCACGCGGCTATTCTGGTGACATTACGAGAACCGCCATCGTAGGAAGAGTGCCATACCGTAGCGCCAATGCAGCAAAGTCGTGGGGGAGTAGTAGCAAATCTTTCAGAAGCACATGGGCTGCGCGGGTCTGTTGCGCGCGATACGTGAGACACTCCTTCTCGCTGAAGTATGTCCGGAAAATCTTCCGATGCTTCTTCCAGCGCGAGCCATATTCCATGAACGTGATGTTCGCATCCCATCCCATGCTGCGTATCACATCAGACAGACACTCCGCGATCATAAGAAGACGTTTGGTGTGCCTACAGCTGGAACATGATACCTGGTGGCCTGTCACTGTACTTGGCACCCCGCTTATCCATGAGGTCAGTCGCGACTTGTAAAGAATTCAGGATCACAATGTTGCGGCCTAAAATACGCAAATGGAAAATATCTCCTGCGACAACAGAGCTCATCGTCAGATGCGTCGCAGACTTCACACTAACAATCAAGCCTTACCGTATTTAGCCGTCCATTCGCGGAAGAGCTCAGGCTGACGAGTAAAAGAGAATGCTCTAAGATGCCCAATGATCGGATAGGCTGGAGGACCAGGTGGGAGAGGCAACACCGTCTTATTCCTCCGACTAATGCATATGAGCACCAATATGATGACGCACGCACATGCGTATGTTGCTAAAGAATCCATGGAGGAGGCTGCCATGCAGAGGGACCCTCCTCACGCCAATCCATTTATGCAAGAGGATACTATACCCATGTGCTACTTGGTGCATAGTGTCCCGCCCCAAGGAGGGGGTCATCGGGCGCAAAGTGGCAGGTGTGAGAAACAGGGGGAGGGCGGAAATTGAGGATGCACCAACCTGAGCTTCTCTGCCAGGCTTGGCTAGGAATTCTGTCAGTACATTTTTGCGCGAAGGACACGAGGACGGTATACAAATTGCTCTCAACAAGAGGAAGTCAGTGGTCTCGTAGGGATGTTGCATTGGATGCGAGTTTCGTTTTTCAGAGGAGAAGTTACGCATTACAGTATCAGGCTTTCGTAGAACACCAATAATAGGAATCTGTGTAGCGACTTACACTCAGGCTACACACATGCTCAGCGCGGAGCAGGACACCTTAGCCCAGGAGGCCGAATTCGATATGGGGAAACTTCGCGCCGGTCGACAGCGATTAGGCAGGTTTCGCACGAAAGGAAAGTAGATGAACCGGTAACTCACCATGAAGTAGTTGTTCACGAAAACCATCATTAAGTCTCGCCCTCACCGACAGCTGAGGCAACTGCCCACATAAACCAAACAGACGAGCTGAGGAAGTTAAAGAAATCCTCAAATGCTCGGAGAAGCCAACAATTGGTACCCACTTCTGCTCCGGTGTGCATACCGCCTTGCGAGTCGGCTCCTCGTTTGGCTGCGATGAGCTAGCTTGCAGGCCGTTGACGGCGCGTTGCAAGCAACGCCTATACGATCGAAGTGTCCTAAAATGTCCTTGCGGTCCTCGCAAACGCCAGAGATGAGTTCGCGTGAATGCAGTATGTGCTGATGACGAGTCTCTGCCATCCCATGTGAGCAGCACGCTGAGGATAGTCCACAACCTAGCGGACACAACCTAGGCTACACATCCCGGTGCCGGTTTTCCACCTGTCGAGCATCGGCTCCGGCCCGCAATTTCAACCAAGTTGGTGTGTTAATCAGTGCCGGCACTTGAAGCTTTGAGGCTTCAGCGCTTGAGTGCTGAGCATCGTAGACACAACTTCTAGGTCGCTACTTGATCCAGGGCACCCATCAACACGCCACGATGTCTGGGCAGGACACTAGATGTAATCGGACAACGCGGACACGCACATCTCTCCATGAGGGCATGGTCTATTGGTCTGATTCGGTTGGCGGCCTATGGGCGCCTCTCGTCAGTTCACCGCTGGCTTCTGCCTTGGCGGAGCCACTGACGACATACGATTGCAGTCTTGTTAGATGCCACATCGGTGTCTCTGCAAAGAACGCGGCCTCACACTGAGTTTTACCCTACTCGCCACTCACGGCTGTGCGGGGAAGCATAACCAGTCTGCACCTCTCGAGCTCTGGGTGTCCTGCGCGAGCTACAGCTGCAGGTTGCGCCATCATGCGTCTTCCAAAGAAAAAGTCGTCACTCACTAATAATGGGGTTGTGCACAAGTGGCTCCCGCCCACACTCTCAACCATCATTGTGAGCGAGCGAGAGAACCACGAAGCGCGCAGGCTACCGTTGGTGCAAGTGTATGTCTTGTTAGTGCTGATATCAGGTTGGAGACTTCTGCAATTATCTTGTGCAGTACCTCAGAGTGCTTTCTTATATTGTAACAAGAAAGTACAAACAGTTTTTACTCACCTGAGGCTCCGTCTGTTGAGGCCCTGGATATTTTGAAAGCAGGGGGTGATGTGAATAAGCGCTCCGTAGGGCGCCAGTTGAATCAGACCAATCGACCGTAGACTCGTCTGTCCATTCTGTATTCCTGGCTACGGGACAAAAATACTGTGCGGGATCGGTACCATGCTATAGACGCGTGGGCGTCCAGGACTCGTACGCGCGGCGCAGGACATAGTGTGCCATCGGACAACGCGAGCACGCACCTCTCCCCATTCTGTATTCCAAGCGTCGGAATAAAAATGTTGCGCGGGATCAGTACAGGACTGCAGGCACAGAAGTGCCAGGTGAGCTGTGGCAAGTCTGACCCTGTCTCAAAAGCAGTGCGCCGGCGGACTTTGACCACTCCGTGGCAGACACAGATCAGACACGAACTGCGAATTCCATTACCTGTCAGAGACATATCGGTTACAGTACACGTCTTGGTCAGCAGCGCATTCCAGGTTTTACAACTCTCCGCTCAGGGCGCACAACGACCAACAACGAATTCAGGGCGAACGACGGCGAACTTCAAGCCAGCAGCGATGAGCGTCAAACAGCAAATTGCAATCATCCCCACAGGTGCGCAGCCTTCGGGTCGCCATAGTAGCGATCCCCCTTGACCTCATGCCCCGCGATGACCGCCTCGATCTCGGCCTTCTCTTCAGCCGTGAGCGTGACGTCGCCCGCGGCGAGGTTCTCCAGCGTGCGCTTCTTGTTCCTGCATGTTCACGCGGGCGAAGCATCACAGCCATTAGTGAGCGGGAACACGGACCGTTAAAGAAGAGATCGACGCACGAGGACCCAGGAATGGGCACGATGTGGGGGCCGAGCGAGCAGACCCACGCAAGGCTCAGCTGCGCAGGAGTCACGCCCTTTTTTTCCGCGATCGCTTTGAGCGCATCGACGAGCGTGAGGTTGTGTGCGAGGTTCTGCGCATAGTGCCGTATATTATTTTATTGTATGAAGTGTGGACCACCATGTGAACGGGAACGTGCACAGGTGGATGTATGCGCGGATGGGTATACGCCCAGATGAGCATATCGATGGAGAAGGGTGTGTATGTGCGCGAGTTAGTATATGTGCGGTTAGTATATGCGAGGGTGAGTATATGCACGCGTAAGTATATGTGCTGTACGGTGAGCGGGTCTGGCGTACCTCTTCCTTGAGGCGGGTCAAGTTTCGCCTGACGTCGCCCTCTGCGCAGGGTTAGTCGAATGCGAGTAATTCGAATGAAGAGCTGGACTAACCGGCGAGGTCGTCCCGGCTCTTGATGCTCCCAGTTAGGAAGCCCCGGCCTAATGGACTGCGTCGGCACCCTATCAATCCTGCGTAGGTATGACGTGCGTAAGGAAAGGTGCGTACGAGTAGGCGGCGATGGCGACGCCAAGTTCCTGTGCCGTCGCGATAACTACGGTTTGCTCAATAAGATTGGGCGAATACGCTAGAGGTGGACGGACATACCTTTCTTGGTCTCTTCCTCGAAGGACCACGGGCTGATCTCAATCTCCACCACCGCAATGGGGTGCACCTGCGAACAGCGCGCGCGTCAAATCCTTTCGCGGTGACAAGACATTGGAAGGTAACCTACCGCGTACGCCCGCCTCAGCGTCTCAGCGCTGCACTCAGACAACCCGATGTGGTCGAACAGACCATCCTTCGCGTACCCCGAGAGCGTCCGAACGGCCTCTTCGATGGGGATGTTCGAGTCGACGCGTGCAGACTCAAACAAGTCCAGGTGCTTGGTCCCGCGTAGGGCTGCGTTTATCGCGTCGATACTGCGCTTGAGATTCTCCGGCCTGCTCCCAGATATTCAGTGAGGTGACGCGAGAAGGAACGCGAGCACTCACGAGGAGTCAACGGCGAAGCTGCGGTACTTCACGCCACCCTGCGGAGGATCGAGATAAGCGCGATGTGGCAGCGGAACAATGGAACACACTTGCCTTAACGGAGAGGAACGTCCGGTCAGCGTACTCGGGGTACTTCTCGAAGAATCGCGCGACGAGCTCGAGGTTCGCGGTGGACATATCTGGGCCGTAGAATTCACCTGGCCCAACGTCATGAGCAGTACGCGGAACGGAAAGAATCCGGCAACCTACCGCTGTTGAGCATCATCTTCACGCCAGGAGGGAGAGCGTCAATGCCGGACTTGATGGCGTCGAAGGCATCCTCATCAGAGAGGGCGTCGGTCTTCCCCCTCCATCTGTTGACGCGACGCTGTCAGAGTACGCAGAGAGAATGACCAAGAGAGACGGACGTCATCATCATTAAGCCATGCTGTTCAGCCAAGTAGAGATCAGACTCCGGTTCGACTCGTCGCGGACACACGCACCCCGATCCTCCCGATCGTCACGTCAGACGCTGTGCCCCCCAGGGACGTAGTGTTGCGAACCATCTTCAGTTAGGTACTTGCAGCTGGATACGGTTGAAGCGAAGGCGTTTAGAGAACTCAAAGAGTAGGTGACGAGCCTGCGAATGAGAGTCTGTGTACCTCGACGCTGAGCTTCTTATACATGTCCGGTCAGTGAGTCCGACCGAGCAAGCCGGCCGAACAAGCATACGTGGTAGATCGGCCTGCGGAAATCGCTGACATAGACCGTCCTGAAGCTCACCTGAGCGAGCCATCGATAACTGACTCATCTACACAACCGCATCGTCACCGCAAGCGGACAATTGAATACTATTCGAATTCATGCGTATGAAGCAGCTACCGGAGGGCGGGCGGCGTTTAGACGCTCGTTGTGAAGGCTGTTTCAAGTTGAACACCCTGTTCTCTTCTATCCTCGGATCGTATTACTTTCTACTAGTACTTACTGTCAAAATATTTCCTGGACCACAGGGCTGATACAACAATGTAAACTCTGTCCGCAAAGACCATCTACTGGATCCGTCACGTGCGGTACAGGGTACGGCGACGCCCACCCGCCGCTGCAGCGATGTCCCGTATGCCATGATCGTCGGTACATAGCTTGTTAACTTTTCAATACTTATGATCCTTACTCCAATGTCCACACTCTATCATTCTTTGTCGCAGGTAGTTGCCTCGTGAACGGCTGTACAACAGCCTTATCATCAGCATAGAGTAGAATCTACGGTGGATCGACTAGTGGAATCGCCAACACAGACGAACCTGAGAATGGCCTTACCGTAGCGCCTCTTCGTTTCCGATATCAAGCCAAGTACCCACGTGCGGAGCTCTAACACGTTGCATGCTACTGAATCATTCGCGGGTTTTGCTTTACGAAGCTAGGTCATTTGGAGAGGAATTCCAACCTATGTGAGGGAATTTACTTCCTCGTCTCTTGTGGTAGTGACTCTGCATACGTCGTCAGGATACACGAGGAACTCCAGTTTGTAACCCGGGAGTATCGGCCGGCGGGATGAGTGCAGTAAGCACCTTAGCAAGGACATCTTCCGTGTGTGCAAGTTTTCTTGATGCGGGGAATATGTGTAATGGAAGCTCAAGTTCCCCTACCGTTCCCGCGCAGGTGGTAACTTAGAAGGTGCTGATAGAATCGCCCTGGACGTCCATTCCCTCCCCAGGCGCGGGCCCAGAACAGTGGCATCAAACGAGAGTTGGGATACTTGAACTCTGTTGACATCGTCTAACGTATCCGATATGAAGTTACGGCCAGGCCGTAAAATTCGCAGTTCGCCTTGTAAGAACATCTTTTCAAGCTCTTGCCATAGACCAGGTCCACCGACTCAGGGTTGCACCTGTTTCTCCTGGGCATTGACCTTAAAACGGACTTTACTTGACATCTACGTTTCTGGGTTTTCTGGGTCAATCACCGCTGCTGCGTTACCACATCACTGCGCAGGAGAGGCGCCAAGAAGCCTCTGGCATGATCGGCTTCAGTTGGTCCCGACGGGAAGCACAATTCTTTCCTTCTTCCATCCTGTCCGTCTCTCGTACCCGCGCGTAATGGTATTTGTCTCTTCTACTCTTTCCGCTGTTCCGGTGAATATACTGATTGCTCCAGATATTCAGAGCCGCTCTTCCACCCTTCTGGACACCCACATTATCGTCTGTAGCCATGTATTCCCGGAAAGCTGTGTGCCTCTTCCATTTCGCGCGCAACGAATCGCTGGCATAACCCTTTTAGTGGTACTCTGCGTTATGCACGATGTTAAAAGGCGGGTTAAGGATGGTTCTTCTTGTCATCTCCCCCATGGATTTTACGATGATATACTTGCTATGCACATTCGCCGTTGCTCTCATACTGCTCCGGCGAAAGAGTGCATCCTCTCGCCCTCTCCCGCCCGGTCCACCCGCAGACCCATTGATCGGGCATCTGAGGGTATTCTCTCCTGCGCACCAACACTCCCTGTTCCGAAAGTGGGCAGGAGAATACGGTAAAGATCGCCTTCGTACTGTCTACAACTCTTAACTGATTCCAAATGCTTTCGTTGCAGGAGACATCTTCCGTCTGAATATTCTCGGGCAGCACCTGGTAGTGCTGAACTCTGCGGAAGCGGTGATTGATCTCCTAGAGAAACGGGGCACCGTCTACAGCGACAGACCGACATGTACAATGTTCGAAATGTCTGTATCTTGCGCAAATACTAGAGTATATATCTGACGACTATCAGGATGGGCTGGGAGGCAGATGTTGCCGTTATGCCTTACGGCCCTCGGTGGAGGAAACACAGGAAGATGCTCCAGGAGTATTTCAATTATAACAAGTGTCTCACGTATCGCGGAGATCAAGCTCGGGAAGTGCATGCGCTGCTTAAGGTCCTGCTGACAGCACCCGAGCAATTTCTCACATTAACTCGCAGGTACGAATGCCTCTCGTGTCCTCGTTTGCGCCACATTTCTTCGGTGACTGATGTTTTCAAACAGTTTTGCTCTGTCGAGCATTATAAAAATCACGTACGGCCATCAAGTCCTACATCCCTACGACGACGTTTACATCAAGCTCGCTGAAGGGGCTTTCGACGCCTTGAGCGAGGCTGCTGCAGGAATGTCCTTGTTGGACCTCTTCCCATCTCGTACGTCTCACTATACTATAGTGAACGTCAAGTGCTCATTATTTACAATGTTGCAATATAAGTGCGACATGTTCCCTGGCATTGGTTCCCTGGGTTTTCGTCCCTGACGGCTGCCGCGCGCCGCTTGAAGCCCGCTACGAGGAGGTTGCATGATTATCCCCTTGAAGACATTCGGAGGCAGATGGTCGGCCCCATGTTTTGATCCCGCAAATGCCGTATTCTGACACAGCTTGCAGGACATTGGGATCGCGCAATCGTCCTTCCTCGCCTCCCATCTGGAGGCCCTCGACTTGGCTATGGTCAGCGGCGAGGAGCTCGAAGACCTCAAGGGCGCGGCTGCCGTTATCCTCATAGGTACGTCCTAGTTCTCCTCCGCATTTGATCAAGCTAACTCGTGATGCAGCTGGGGCAGATACTGTCAGTGTGCAGTCCATTCCCGAGGAGTCTTGTGTTAGCTGACAACATCTCAGACTTGGTCGCTCATTCAGACGTTCTTCGCCGCGATGTTGCTGTTCCCCGAGGCGCAGCGAAAGGCACAGGAGGAGATCGACCAAGTTGTGGGGTCCAGGCGGATCCCAGACTCCAGTGATCGCGACGCGTTGCCATTCGTGGAGTGCGTGCTCCAGGAGACGATGAGGTGCGTTTCGTGCGGGAAGCTGACGCGCGACGACGGGAGGACCGAGCTGATTTGTGATGTCTCACAGATGGCGACCGGTTGTTCCTTTCGGTGCGTCTTGTCGAATCCTTCTCAACGCCTTTGGGGTCTTACTTTTGACTCTGTTGGACGCTTAGGTTTCGCACATAGGAGTCGCGAGGACGACGAGTACAATGGGATGTTCATACCGCAGAGATCGGTGGTCATACCCAATGCAGTGTGAGTACATATTGGCCCTGCCAATGGTCTGCTAAAATTTCTTTGCCCTACTATCGCAGAGCGATGAGTCGCGACGAGAAGATTTACAAGGACGCAGATCAATTCTACCCCGAGCGCTTCCTTCCTGCTCCTGCGGGGCGCGGTGAGCCGCATTTCAATGCTAGCTTTGGATTCGGTCGGCGGTGCGTTGTTTCGATATAATGAGTGCCAACGGTGTGCCTTATGCCATCCATTTCATAGAATTTGTCCCGGGCGCCATTTCGCGGACAATAGCACATGGCTTGTTGTAGCATCAGTTCTCGCCATGTTAAACATCACCAAGGTCTTAGGAGAGGATGGGAAGGAGGTTGAGCCAAAGGTGGAGTTCACAACGGACGGACAAGTGAGGTGAGCCTTTCATCGTCCGGGTCGTCCACGGATTCCGCGCGATGTCGTCTGGTGTCTGACATGGCGTGCGTAGCCGACCAAAACCGTTTGCATGCACTATTCGACCACGTTCTGAGGCTGCGAAGAGTCTGATTCTGCAGCAATAAAGGGCCGGCGAGGAGTATGATCTGATGTACGCAGGAGAAACTGTCGCGGAAAGTCCTTAGTATGTTCATTCGTTTTCATTTGCACACCGAAGTTTAGAAAGTCATATATGATGCGACTCTAACCGAAGAAATCAGTACGGTAGTGGTTACACGGTTCAGTAGAGGAAATAAAATTCGCGAATTAACACCTGTTTTGTGTCAATCGCAGACAACATATCCAACTGGCTCCACCTCAGTTCGTCCGATAAAAGATCAGAGGTCATAGGCTTAGCATATTTTCTATCATGACATTGAAGATAGGTGGTCTATACCAGAAATCGCATCGGGGCAAAGGTGAAAGCGCGTTGCGGGCAAAAAAGTTTGCAGTGGCTGAAAGAAAGACTCTTTCACACAGGAGGTTCCTGTTGTGCCGGCCCAAGGTATGTTGACAATAATAGATAGCTGTAGTAACCTGACAGACTCTGTAGCACTATGTCGACAACAGTATGCTACATAATTTGGCTGGGCACTACAGCCCGGGAACCCATTTGCTGTCGGATGCTATGAAAATCCGACGTCAATTTGGACGGGCCATGGCACGTCGCTCGGCTGGTTTCTTGAAAAACTGACACTCGAAATGTGTTCCGAGACAGTGAAAACTGGATAGGTCATCGAGCTCTGAGGGAGGTTTTGAAAGGAGTTAAGAGATTAATCAACCTCACAAGAGTGGCGACTTATAAAACCAAGAAAAGAAGTCCGTGTACCCGATTCATCGGCCTGCCTCTTGATGGATCCGCATAATCTACTGTGATTTCGATCCACCGTTCAATGAGGAACATGGGCCCGACGAGCCAGAGTCATTGACTTCATTTTCAGCACTAACCTAAGGTCTTCAAACTGCAGCACAACCGGCGCAGTATGCACATAGCCTGGTCAAGATTAAGGAACCACACCTGGAGACCTGTTCAGCTTTTGACGTATCCCGCCCTCTGACCATCTGAGCATCCTTCTTGTTCCTCATGGCGGCTTCACGGTCCCCACTCAAAAGGTTCCTGCTTAGTTGGGGTTGAGTACTGAGTATGGAGTCTAAACTTTGAACTTTGAGGTGATTTGCATGATCGTCCGGGATTAGCATACAAGTTGATACAACGCGCAAGCTCACAGAAATCCCGTTTGCTGGAATCGCATGCAGCAAGTATTGGAACATGAGAAGCACAAATTCAATAAACGGACATTGTTATGAGGCAGCCCACGAAAGCCGGTGGCAACGCTTGCGTATGGCTTAGATCCCAGGTACCGCTCTCAGACAGGCTGTGAGAGATCTACACAGGTTTTGATTCTGACCACCGCACAGCTGTAGACGCCGATCTAACTCCTCCTGCACTATGGCATACCGTGCGCAAATTCCGTTCTAAGGCCGTGTGCATGTCTCTTCTTAGTATACGAGTCTGTGCTGAGAGCTGTGAAAGTGCGGTGCGCACGGGCCGCGGCCGCGGTAGCCAAGAGGTAGCCACGAGACACGGTGGCGGTGAGCCTGCCCTGAAGCTGACACCGCCGCGTCGCGATCGAGATGAAAAGTTGTGCGACCGTCTCTGAACTGTCTCTCCCGCCGACGCGTCCGCTCCCTCATACCCATATACCTCTGTACATTATCCTTTCCCCTCTTCGCCACCCCTTCGCCGACAAAAAAAAACATGGGCCGCCCGCTGTTTTCCTCCACCCACGTCCCCGCAGTGCGCGTCGAGACCGAGCCCGAGCCAGAGCCAGCGCCAGCACACCCCGCGTACGAAAAGTGGTCCTACTGGAAACCCTTCGACCCCGACGCGGACGAGTTCTTCGAGAACGACGATGCCGTGTACGAAGCGTTCATCGACCCAGCGCAGCTCCCACCCGCCCAGCGCGCCCCGGGCCTCTACTTTGAGCGCAGCAGCAGCACCGGCAGCGAGAGTAGCGGCGGCGGCTCCGCGAGTGACATGGACGCCGTCTCCGTAGAAGAGCTTGAGGTTGCGGGCAGCCGCAGGGAGCTACGGCCGGTCCGGCTACCTAGCGAATGGCAAGTGCTCCCGACGTACACCCTCGAGGTCCCCGAGGAGCCGCACTCGTATGAGCCGGGCGAGATGGTCTCGCAGTATGCGAACATGTATAACATCGTTGGCGCCTCTGCATCTACCGTGTCCACCACGTCGGATTCCTCAGCCTCGGCGTCACCAGCCCCTCGCGAGCGCTCCCCGCCTCCCGCGCCGAGGATGTACGAGCGCGCGCCAACAGACATCGAGTATCCCGCCTCGCCCTCTGACGAGCCGATGCTTGCACGCGCCTCCCAGCCCTCGCCCGGGGGCTGGTTCGATGGTGAGTTCGAGCACTCCCAAGAGGCCAACGACGATGCACACCCCGCCACACTGCCCATGATGCCCGAGCTCGTCCCCGTCTACGACTCAGACCCCGACGCCGCAGATCGGCCCACCACTCCCGTCCGTAGGGCTGCGTCGACCTGGAGACAGCGCCCCCCGGCGTATACGTCCCCCGCGATCCTGCCTTCTCAACCACTGTACTCCGGGACCTCGATCTTCCCCGTTCGCGCGAGCCCGCTCACGAACCGCAGCGCGCGCAGGTCCGTCGCGCACATCACGCCTACGCCCGCGCTCGTGCCGATGCATCGCGCAGTTTTCTGAGCGCGGTGCGTGCACAGGCGCTGCTGCGGAAGTAAACTTGATCCACGAGTCGACATGTTCTCGCTCATACTCATGCATTCCCCACTGTCTGCGCTGTTTGGTTTCGTCCCACTTCGCTTCGTCTGTCTCTCTGGTTTCGTTCCACCTCATTTCGTCTGCCTCTCTGTTTATGATGCATCCTGCCGCACTCCTTTAGCTCCGCATACAGGCCCGTCTGTTAGCGCTTCGCCCGATCCCATTCTACCTAAAATACCACACGCGTGGTGATCCCCATATCCGCAATGCTCTTACCTAGCGCCCTAATCAGACACGCTCTATAGCTACTTCCTTATTCTATCTTTTCGCTTCCCGTCTTTCACTCCAGGCTCTCGGTTCCCCGTTTCGGATCGCGCAGGTTGCGCTCTGTACACGTACCGCTTGCTGCCCGTTGCTCACTGTACACATTCCCATACGGTTGGCTGGCCACGCATGCTACTTGCTTGAGCTTACTTACTGTATACGTACGTACTTGGATAGATTTCGATGCAAAGGTCCATGGTCGACTTGGAATGGTTTGTCGACGTGAAGTTGACTGCGCGTACGAGTTTTCAACTTTCAACGTCGACGTTGGACGGTTGGGTAACACCAAGGATGTTCCAAATAATATCAGGACAAGGGACTGAAAGCGAGGTTTAATAAGAAGATCTAGAACTGATTGAGACTTAGGGAACGGTTAAAAGGAGGAGCAAAAAGCTGACCAGAAAAACCACAGCACCCAGGATTCCCGCGTGGTCCCCCACCGTGGTACTAACTGGGCGGCACTCCGGTTAACTACGCAGATCGGACGGGATGCGGTGTTTTCGAAGTCCTATGGCCGTGGATAGTGTTTTTGCTTGTTAATAATATATAACCAGTGAATGAAGGATGCCGAAATCGCTTCTAAGTTCTAACGAAGATAGATAACAATGGCATACTCACGCACATATCGTCTCCGCTGTTCTTGGGTGGTGGTACAATTTGACGGAGTGATTGATCACTCAACGATTTTCCTCTGCAGTGATGTCCTCCATCACGGTTTCTTGTCTGTAGGTGACCTACCTTCTCCCGACGATCGCGACAATATGGTGGCCCTCGGTTCTGGAGTATGGTAACTAACTAGAAGCTGTATCTATGAGCCTAATGCTCTCCTACTCTCCAAAGGAATGCTGAGTATCGCGGGTGGACTGATTTGCGCGATGTCGAGTCGTTGGCTTTGAGGCGAGAATATCTGTCACGGTCTTACCACCTGCGAGCAGCAGAGAGAACAAAGTCAGTCTCGCACTCGTGAGTACACGTAGTTCAATGCTTCTGGCTGTGACCTCGCTTACCCGCGTCGCAAACGTTGATGCCTCTTTGGAAGAACGGTGCAAATGCCACGACAAATCTGGGATTTTTGCCGCCTCCAAAGCAAGATCCGGGTAACGTGCCTACACAAACGTACAGTATGTATATTATGCCCCACTATTTCTGTATTCCTCCGCAGAGGTCATCGCCCTGATTTTTTTCCCAGCAAGTTCGCTGTTATCGGCAGTATCGTTGCCAGAAGATCCCAGAGTATGCGCCATTTCCTTGCAGCTGGCTTTGATTTGCTTCTTGGTGTCCCGTCGGCGACGCACATGCGATGGTGTTTGACTTCCCTATTCCACTGTTCCGACGCACGTACGGACGCCCAGGACCGGAGATCCGAATGCATCCCGACATCGGGCTATTCCATGACTTCGTACGACCACAACTTAGCTAACACTGTGGTCCTCATTTGATCGATCTCCATACTCATTTGATCGTCTTATAGGCATCGGCGACACGCATGGGCATGAGGATGGTCTTACCGCGGCAACGCGGCCGTCACGATATAAGCACTAGACTAGGTACATACGCCGCGCCAACGCCGTGCTCCCGATATGCACCCGTTTCTCCGTTGATTTTGTGCGTCCCTGGTGCACTGTTACAACCTTGCCAACAGGGGTGCTGATGCAACTAGATCGGTAGGGTAGCACCCAGAGCGAAGTCAGCGTGGAAGGAAATGTACATCGGTGGGGAAACGTACATTTTCAGCTCGTTATATGCTAGCTAACTGGCCCGGATGGCCTTGTCCCTCGTCCTTTAACAAGGCTCAAGGGGGACCGTTGGGGGCCGGGAGGGACGTGCTAGGCTCTGTACATGTTTCACCCGCAAAGGTGGCCCAAATTCATGCACGGGGGGACTCTCCTCCGAGTCGGCCGCGACGGCCCGAGACGACGTCTCGCGGGAGTGGTCCGTCCCACGATGCGCGGATTCGTGCCCTGTGTGAGTGCAATTGCATCTCTGGTTCTATTTGCTAGCTGAAGGGGGTAGCGCCTCTGGGAGGGACAGCTGTACGGAAGCAGGATGCACTTGCTGGAGATGGAAAGACGGTGCAGAATGCGCTGGCAATATTCCATGCACTATATCAACTGTGCTGCTCGTCAGCCACAGCTGTAGGGGATAGGCGCCAATAATCACATCACGAGCAGTACCCGCTGCTTGAAGAACTTGAAGACTTCAACAGTCCTTTCAGGCTACGCTCATGATTCGCCTGTCTCCATGTTCCGAATTTTTCCCCTTTTGCTATTTACCGCTGCAGCATGTGACAAGTTGGCGATTCTCTTGCGCAGAAGACGTACCGTGACTGTGTTTCTGTCGTTCTATCAAACGCAGTTTGACTATACGGAAATCAGCATATTCTGCACAGGAAAGGCGCTCCTCAATCCACGTACGACTTCGAGCGTGACGACTTGTTAGACGATTCTCAGAATTCCTGTTCTTACAGAATTGTGCCGCAGATTGAAGTGCGCCCATTTTTGTTTCCGCTTCATCACAGATGTGTTGCCTAATTTCAGAATACTAAAGACTACTGGTAACCTCAGTCTTGGTCCAGAACATGGGTCCTGCAGCATCCATGCTCTGCGTCGCACTGATCGGACAACAGTGTTTCAAGGAAGGAGGTAATTTTACTCGAAAGGTTTCGGGTGTAATCCTGATATCCTCATGATCATGGGCGACGTAAATTACGCGCGTACATGCCACCTATTTGTGACAGCAAAACAAAGGTACGAACGATGAGGCGAAACCCCACGTTTCGCTTGATTTGCCGTTCAACCTCCTTATCTAGAGTTTATTGGCTTAGCTTTGTGTATTAAGAGAAGTCCCCTTAAGTACCACCGTTGTATTCCTACGTGCCCCCTTATGAATCGGACGAGACTGGTGCGTCAATGATTTGTTGTTCAATAATTACTGTAAGTTCTCACTTGCGTTCAGGTTTTTTGAATATCTATCCTGTGAAGGTCGAAGAACGCGAAGTTATGTTACATGAAGATTCCACCGTAATTTGCCACGTACACTGATTCAGCTTCTGCGAAGCATTCCTACCAGCATTATCCTGCGACATAGACAAGAGTTTATCCCAGTAATTCTGATGGTCATCTTCCATCTTGTGCTTCGTGCGTACTCTCCGATTCGTGGTCTTGCTACTTACGGTCATCGTCATAGTGGTGATATCCAACCACCTCTCGCCATACGACGCACTTTTTTTCCACGGTGGCATCATTCACATGGACCTACTGCGACAACGTCGGTTTTTCAAACCTGCAGTGGGTGCCTGTGCTCACAAGGGTTAAACTAGTCTTGGCTTCCCCGACAGCAACTACCTGGGCTGTCCTCGTTTCACTGGGTGCGAACATCGACGAGAAGGGCATGATGGATCCGACGACATTGATAAACAGAGTGTTTCCCGAAGAGTGTGGGCTGATTCTGCTTAGCGCGACCTTCTCGTTTCGCCCGCAGACGATGTTACAATCGAGCGCACTATAGAGACCGTTCAGCCGGCCCTTCAGGCACACCCAATGGGCGCTGAGGTGAAGTTGCTGGGGACCTTGACAGCTCTCATCCTCATTATCGCTATTTATTTTCTGTACCCCAAGACACCGCTCATCAAGAGCAGCGAGATCATTGGCTAGACTGTGGACGGGACAGGCCAGACGAACAGGAACGTATTTAGAACAATACTGCGCGATTGGAATTTATTACTACAGCAGAGATCTAATTGATGATCGTGGCCGAGAACTTTGGTGGCCAAGAAGCGGAAGTACGTGACTTTGTCTTCGGTGCTGCTATCTGCTGTTCTATGCTTGCAGGTTGTTCCTCTGATGCTGCATGAGAGCAAGAAAACCTATTGGACCCATCCTCTTCTGCCAGATAAATCAGGTTCCGCTCCTTGCACTGATTGCGATAACGATTGTCGTCCTGGAAGCTCCTCTTTTCGACAGTGCATCTCGCGAAGGCTTTGCTTCTATTTCTACGGTCCCGAGCACGTGTTTGTGGTCGCCGGTGGCTCTTTTGATGTGTTGGACCTTCTTATGTCGGCATTCGTTCGCAGGCCTAAGCAATGTAACGTGGTCCACAATCTGCGTCGACATCAGTTTCCTATACACCCGCTAATCGTATCGGTTTGGGTGTGCTCTGGCACTCTCAGATATCGTAGCCTGGTTGGCATCATGTGCACTTCCATGTCCCGTTCGTCAAGGTCGCTGTCGCGAGCACCTTCGTAGCCTCGTCTATGCACAAGACGTACAACATGCAGCTTTAGGTCGTGGGTACATTAAATATAACAGCTATCGCCGATATCTAAAGGCCAATCCTTAGATTCCGACGGCTAGTTTCATGGAAGTTCTACTATATCAGATGCCGGATTATAGCCTGCATGGACGACCGCCGTGGACACTTGAGCCAGATTCCATTGTGGCTCAGCAGAATGGAACCATCGTTACGCCACTCCGCGTCATGTGCGCCGAGCTCACCGATTCCAAGACACTGAAGTCTAGTGAGTATATTCTGGTACATGGCATCACTGTCTACGTGCCCCGATAGTTCGGAACGAATGCGTTGTCGAACTTACCAGCATACTGCCAAAACCGTTGAGCGTTCCTTAGGGTGCTTACACGTTGGTATATGGGCGTTCTTCTGGTGGTGGCAATTACAGGGAAATGGTTGTTCACGCGTTCACGGCTGTATGTCTACCTCGATCAAATGAACTGCGTCGTACTAACCAGTATCACAGTGCAACGAAGGACGTCCCTCTTTGCACTCTCAGGCGTCAACGCGTCAACTGCCCCGACGACACTACCTCTCGACGAAACTTCGGTAGCCAATGTAAAGACAATTGTAGATAAGCAGGTCCTTGACACCACTCATCTTATTGACCCCACCGTTCTCGACGAACAATGAAACACGAAGCTAGCGCTTGGATGGCTTCACACAGGTTCTGACTCTCCACAACATTACTTCGCCTCTCAACGCCTACCTCGGTCCCACGGTCCTCCGGTCCCACGGTCCTCGTCGCGGCTGCACAGTAGCTGTGGTCAACCTTCTGGGCAATCTGGCCACGGGAGAAATTGCAGCCGCCTGTCAACGCCCAAGGGGCCATACACGACCGCGATGGTGCATTATCAAAAGATGCACGTTGTGCAGGCCATTCATACGCGAGTGGTACAGGATATGCTCGGTGGTCTGCTTGTGTGTGGGCTGGCCGTCACCGTGCTGATGCGGCACTCGGGCGCGATCCAGCCCAATTGGGCGCCGTACGCCATCGAGGCGTAGACGAGCGTGCTCGTGGGCAGCCAATTGTGCAGCTAGATGGCGGAAATAGTCTAGGGAGCGCGGGGTGAATGATGCACGGAGACCGTATCGGTTCGCGCTGGGGAGGATAGAACACGAACGGAAGAAACTTAGGTTTGGATTGGGTATCACTTCGTCTTCCGTATAGCGAGAGAACGCTACGATAGTTCCTGGGAACACTACAATTTCATGATAGAACTAATGATATATCCAAAGATGTCGCAAGGCAAATTATGCACCGAATGACGACGCATCGACGATGAAGAAGTATACCTATTGGAACGGTTAGTAGAAGTTATTACAAGGTGAGGATCAGGTGGAAGTTGAACCACACCGCATTTGGTGTGCACGGTCCGCTGTACCAAGTCACGAAGGAATTGACGACTGTCTTCGTACACCTTGTGACGGCACGAAACAAGGTATCACCTGAGATAAGCTCCGCCCATCCTGAGTGATAGCATGTCCAGCTGATAGGACAATCCAGTTGGCGACAACGGCTTGCTGGATGGACGGAGACACAAGAACGCATAGTTTGAAGGGCCGGATGAACCGCGATGAGACGCGGAATTCGCGGCCATTCAGAGAAAGTGCGAGGCAATCGCATATCGATGTGGATTCCACATCACAGCAATCAGAAGTGTGGTGGTCTCACTGTGTCCGAGCGACAGACCCTCTACAAGCGTTGTCCGAGGATCCGAAGTACATCCACCGTATCGCTTCTAGCGAGCTTTGGCCGACCTCCCTTGGCCACAACAAGGCCGCGTGATATCAGTAGCGAGCAGAAAGATTTTCACGTTTCCAGATTGCTGTTGCAGAAGGAACACGCGCAGCAGTGGGTGCTGGATCCAGTTACTTGCACTATTGAACGAATTGCTAACAGGAAAAATTAGAGCTGCCGGCATGGACAGAACAAAGTACAACATGTCAGGGACACAGGCCCACTAGGCGAACCTTAACGTACTTACTCACCTTCATGTCCTCTTCTTCTCACCTCTCACTTCTGCCCGAATGCGGCACCACTCGGTTCTCCAGCGCAACCACTGTGCCTCCACTCCACCATCTGCCCATACTGCCCAGCTATCCCTCATGCGGAACCATGTGCTTGCAGGATTGGCAATAACGGCGGCCTTCATCTTGCCAAGCACGGAATGCGGATACCGTGAGGGTAAGAGCTCGACAAGGGTATAGTAGCAGGTGCCGAAAAGAGCGCCAAGGCCCAGTCCCCAAAGTACCTGAGGTATCGTATGATACGACAGGTAGAATCTGGTCGTGTGCGCAAAAGATAAGTATGAAGGACCACAGCAAGTCATGCGAGCGATGTCAACAATGAGCGTGCTGGTCGTTCGTCTATATCAGTTCTTCCTCTTACCGTGAATATGCGACGCCACCGGCCCATATGGCCAGACTGAAATACAAGACCACCACCCGTATCAAATCAAGCGCCAGATATCCCGTGGATATAAATCGATGACGGAAAGAGAAATGGCAATATAAAAACGCCGTGAAATATCCCATCCACTGGCTATGAGAAGAAGGGAAGCCATAGCCGGCTCCCAATTCATCTAAACGGTGGTCCAAGGACGTCAGCCCAGCCAGAGTGATTAGAAAGAGGGCAGCGCCACCACGAAGACAATTGGAATAGGACAGTGCCAATTTCCTCCATTCAAGCGTGTTCTAGATTCAAGAGGACTTGCTGCAATTGGATAGGCCTCCGAAGAAGTCATCGACGGCTTTAAATCTCAACCACAGTCTGGTGGTGTCCAAACCACGGATCATCTAACCACTATCGGCGAAGAGTTACAGCGACGACATATGGCTCCATCGACGTTGTCGAGAACAAAGAAGAACTAGACACCAAACCACTCACCGACGGGGCGCTCTTGCCTCACCGCATGCTTAAGGAACCAATTTGACACCTCGCAGAGCAGCTGTCCAGCATACATCTCAATGAAGAGTATTTCGCGAGTCCACATGGCTAGTGCGACATATGCCGGCTGGCTCCACCCTAAGTATCGAATTTATGGACGCTTGGATTGAGGCACAGACACACACATTGAGCAGTATAGGGCTGAGCGTCAGCAATGCGAGCACCAGCTCAGAAGGGGATGATTCATCGTCTAGTCATATGAACTGTTAATAGAGAAGTTGGATGCCATGGCCTGAGGGGAAGAGAGACGTACGTACATACCACATGGGTGACATCCAATGCAACGCGCCCGGCAGGTGGTGAGGTGGACATCTCTGACTGCCAATTGATATATTTCCGAAAAATCGTGGCGAGGCGCTGCTCCGCAAGTTGCAATTGCTAGGACGAGCTCGTCGTTTGAGGGGAAGACGCAGAAGTTTTGAAGAAAGTATTTGCCCATGAACTTGAGGCGCAGGCTGAAGCGCTCATAACCGAGTCCGATGCCACTATCCGCGAAAAAATGGGCCGCCGGAGGCAAAACGTTTTATATTCACAAAAACAAATGGCCAAAAAGCTGTCAAAGGTAACGCCCAATTTCGGAATTTGGCCGGAAATGGTTCAAATTCAGAGGGTCTGCAAAAAAATGCCCGGTCCTTGGTGAATTATCATGGGTCTTGGCGGCATCGCCTCGAAATTGAATTTACCTTTTTTCCTCAGAACAGACCGACTCAAACTCAAATTTAGGCGATGGCGGCTCAGTTCAGTTCAGATTGAATTGCAATAAGCCTTCGCGGAGAAGAATCTCTGCGCTCATGTACCGCCATTTGAGCGGTGCCGCTGGGGTGAGTCATTTTCTAGCGTGGACTCGGTGAGACTCAGTGCTTTGTTTGGCGATTCGGATAACGGGACCGCACCGCTTATGCATTTCCTCGCCGAAGTGGCTGTGGCGGGTGGGTGGAAGATATAAAGCGGAGGTTGATCTGCACCATCCTCCACTAGAAGGAGGAACTCGCCACTCCTCCCCAACTTATCTTCTCAGCATTCACTTCCCAGGTGCACATGAACGGCACGGCGCCTGCCAATATATCGTCCGTCACGGCGTCCTTGGCGGATGTTCTCGATATGCCTCCCGAGTTCAGCGCCCTGTTGACGGCTTTCCTGTCCCTCGCTGCTTTGCGCGATTGGTTCAAGCTTGCCATCATCGGTGGCTTTATTGAGACTTGTCGCAGACTCTACTCCACATCCTGGACTGGGTTTCTCGATAAATTTTGGGTCGTTGCTTCCTTCGATGACGATGACACCAGCTACAGTGAGTGGCGTGGCGTTTGGTTCCGATCGATGATGTTGACCACAATTTTGCCTCAGATTGGATCCTTTTCTGGCTCTCCAAGCATCCAACGTGGAGTAAGTAATACGTCTTATCGTATCGTGCTCATTACTGACGGACAACATCGCCACCACAGGTAAAGCCAGAAGAATTGAAGTCACCACCAGAGATTTTGACCTGAACTCCGACCTTATGGAAGATGATGATGAAGATCGTCAGATGACGTACATTCCATCTCTGTCCTCAAAATACTCCCTCTGGTACAAGGGCCACTACATGACAGTCTCGCGTAGTGAAGTTCAGAATGGCACATGGCGCACGAAGGAGAGAGTAGAAATATGGTACGTTTTGTCCTGCTGGTAGACGCACTCGAGGGACTCACGCGATCGACCCAGTATTCTCAGTCGTGATACTTCAATCCTCAGCGATCTTGTTCTTGAGGCCAAAACTTATTATAAGGCTGCGAAAGACCACTTGATCGCTATTCATGTCTCTGATCCGTACGTGCCACTTCACGCATTGTTACCACGACAATATGGACTCATAGGCCTTTCTAAGTTCAAACAACTGGAGACGGGTCGCATCTCGTCCAAAACGACCCCTTAAATCCATCATCCTTGACCCAGGTATAAAGGATTTGCTGCTCAACGACGCAGAGGATTTCCTGCAGAGCAGGGACTGGTATTCTGACCGAGGTCAGTGTCCCCGCCGCATGAGTCATCGGTCATTCGCTAATACTTCCGTGCGTTGCATAGGCATTCCATTCCGCAGGGGTTATCTATTGGTATGTGGTTGTCATCCTACTTGTATCTCATGCTCATGCGATGTCCACAGTATGGAGCCCCTGGTTCTGGCAAGACATCCATCATTCAGAGCTTGGCTGGTGAACTGGGATTGGATGTCTTCATCATCTCACTCTCACGTTCTGGACTCGATGACAGCTCGCTCAGTGAACTCATTTCTGAGTTGCCAAAGCGCTGCATCGCTCTCATGGAAGGTATGTTCACTCCCGTGACGCACATTGAACCCATGCCAACAATATTTCGATACCAGATATCGACGCAGCATTCCACCAGGGTGTTCGCCGGGACCGCGAGCTGGATGCCACACCTGACTCCGGAAAGTCGGAGAAGCAAGAGCATGACAAGGAGCGCGACTCGCCCCTCAGCCGAGTAACGCTTAGCGGGCTTCTTAACGCGCTCGATGGCATCGGTGCACAAGAGGGCCGCATTCTCTTTGCGACCACAAACGACTACCACGCGCTCGACCCCGCATTGTGCCGCCCCGGGCGTATGGACCTACACATTGAGTTCAAGCTGGCGAGCAAGCTTCAGGCGGAGGAGCTCTACAAGTGCTTCTACATGCCTTCCGGCCCGGCCGCAGAGGATGCTAAGGCACAAAGCGACACGTCTGGCGACTCCGGATACGCGTCGCCTGCGTCGTCCGCCGCGAAGGATCTTGCTGACGCCGGGCCGCCCTCTCCCACTGGGTCCACCGATTCAACCACGTTATCGTCATCGGACGCTGAGAAGCAGAGTTTGCTGTATACTGGCAGCTTGTCTTCTTTCCGCGCGCCACTGCTTCCTCGCGAGAAGGTCCACGAGCTCGCTGCGCGATTTGCCGAGACGATCCCCGAGCGAGAATTATCCATGGCGAGCTTGCAGGGCTATTTGATGACGTACAAGATCCGCCCTTATGAAGCGGTTGACGGTGCACTTGCGTGGGTGGTGAAGCAGCTGGAGGAGAAGGAGAAGGCAAAGAGCGCAAGGGGACGTTCTGGGTTACGGCCTGATGATGTGACGCCTGACAATGACGATTGATTGGATCATGGACACTATAATCTCGATGCACATACCCTGTATTAGTTTGTAGGACCGCACATATAATGAGATGGATCTATATTCGTGCTCAGACCTTCGCGTACACTATGCTTGCTTATTATAGGAGAGATGTGGTCGAGATCTGCAGATCTTCTTCCTCGCCGCGACCTTCAATCTCAACATAGGAGGAAGTAAGTTCCCACCGGCCTGAACAACATGCAACCCTCTTCCCTCGAAAAACGGTGTTCGAGGTTGGTGCAGGCAGCGTACACTGGCCAGCGCAACAGCGTCCGCGACGCGAGATTGCACCGATTGGCGTCCGAACACCCCTTTATTCAGCAGGAACGTCCGTTCGCCCTCTCTATCGGCATACAGTGTCACTTTTCCTGAAACTGGTTGTCAATCCAGCTCGACGCGGTCTTCCCTGCGTCAGATGTCCTTCAGCACGCGTTCGATACGCTGGAAACAAAGTACTGGACGTGTACCTGTGCTTTGAACAAGTTCGTTCAGTATGCTAAAGAACTTGTGGATGAGCATGACATGACAAGGTGATACGCCCCGTCAATTTTTGTCAATCTCGATTTCTGAAAATCGCTTACTGTTAGCAAGATACTGGCCTTAGGGACGGCGAAACATGACAGCGACGATGTGTGGTGCGTAGACACCCGCGGCGTGCTCACTTTGGCAGTTTGCAAGAACACATATGAGCGTCTTGGACTTGTGGGTGACAAATTACCCTGGAAAGGGTGCGAAGATACATTCGGTGAGTGCACTCGAAGTATAACCAATTCGCACAGCTTGCACTCCACATTTGTGGACATCTGTCACACGGATCGAATTATAGCTGACTCTTTTTCTTACGCAGTCATTTGTGTATCTCTGCATCAAGGAGCTCCACTGCCAGATAGCCCTGCCACTTCGAAGTGGCATCGACTAGGTACGAAAGAAATGCAGACGCTCGAGATGTGGGACGTGCAGAGAGGACCTTGGCAGATCCTCTTCCATCATAGCGGTGGTGTGTTTACTATCTCATCCTATTTCTTGCTTATACTCCGTGAATGACTTTTTGAGTTACCAATAGACCCGGTTCCTGTAAGCATAGGCAGGGTTACTGTTCACGAGGTGAAGCCTTTCAGGAGCGACGTAGCCGATGTCCATATCCCGTCATCCATGGATCTGTGCAACACTGCCGAGACGTCTCAGCTTGATTGGGCAGAAAAAATGTCCGCGCTATTCGAGTGGGTCGGGATGGCTTGCCTTGGTGCACAACGGTGATTCCGCTGTATCGTATGTGGTAGGCTTAGATGGCTGATGTGGCCTCCCGGCAGTTTGAAAGCGAATGATAGAGTCGATCCGTACGTGGCGGTGTACACCCCGCCTACGCCTTCTCGTGTAGGGGACATCACTTATATGCGGTGGACCGGGCTGCTGACACCAGAGTTCGTCCAATCGGTCATCGATACCTCTATGTGCGTCTTCGTGTATCTCATCAGCCTGCCTTCGATCTTCCCTATTTATGATCGTCATTCCAGCGTGAAATTGTCCGCCTCCTCGTCCCTCATTTCCCTGACGATGCACGGTGTCCCGTCCTCACCTGTAGCATATCTCCGGCCTGCCCCAAGTCTCACTGCGCCCTTGCGTGCTCCCAGGCCGGAATCTGAAGATACATTGTGTCTGATCCTATCGAGCGAAAAGGAAGGGCCCCGAGGGGAAAAGTTGACGTGGGCCTTGGCGAAGAGCATCGGGCAGTGGGACATGCAGTGGGGCTAGAACATCAAGATTGATGTTTGCAGAAACGCTGCGTGCGACATCGTGCGCTACTGCTACCCCTTGTGCACAGATTTGTACTTCGTGGTGATGGTGCTACTGTATGTACAAATCCGATGTAGCGGTGAGAAAACTACCTCATTCCTACACTAGCGGGAAGGAGGTATCGGGATCGCAGATGCAAATGTATTTATTCTACAATGATTAGAAGACTTCAACTTAAACAACACATGCGAGTGGTTTAAATTCTATTCAATAATGCCCAACGTCCTACCGTCGCCAAGAATAACATTATCGATCAGCCTCGTCCGTCCAATCCACAGCGCCCCACTGAGAATCACCGGTCGCCCTTTCACACCGTCCTGCAGCTGGGTCTCCCACTCCCGCCTTGTCACGTCATCCGGGAGAACGTCAAACGTTTCCGGATCGTTCATCTCGATGTAGTCCAGTCGAATCTCGACGGGCTCCACGTCAGCATCGCTCACCAGCTTCGGCGAGGTCTCGTCAATGACGGCGATCGCACGCGCTATACACTCCGCCTTGCTGCTCCCCGCCGTCCACGCGCGCTGGCCAGCCTGGAGCGCGGCGTACAGCGCAGGCGCAGCGTACTTGCGCTCGCGCGGGGTGAGGTACGCGTTGCGTGAGGAGAGCGCGAGGAGGCTTGCTCGGTCTCTGCACCGTACCGAATCGTGTCAGTACATGGACGGGGGAAACTGAATCACTCGTCACTATCCGGACGTACCGCGCTGTGGGCACGATGTGTAAATTTTCAGGAAGAGGATGAGAGAGGAGGAGATCGCGCGTGAGGCGCTTGAGAAGGAGAGCTTGCTGAATGTCTTTCTGCCCGAAGTATGTTTGCGTGGGCTGCAGGTAGTGAGCGCAACGGTCCAGGACGGGATGGACGAGGGTGCACACACCTCTATCACGTTGAACAGCTTCGTCACAATCGTCGCCACGCCACGGAGGAACGTGGGTCGAGCCTTGCCTTCCATCTGGTGCCCGTAGCCCTTCACCTCGACGAAGGTGCCTTTCTGCGTAGCAACGTCCTGCGAGATTCCCGTGGGGTACATGTCGGAGACAGAAGGCAGGAACACCGCTGACGGCCTGCGGATAACCGGGGAAGTCGAGGACCCGTTCGGCACAGTGACGGACACGGTGGATAGCAGCTCAAGGTCGTGCGGCAGGGTGCGCGGGTACGTCGCGAGGTCTTCCTGCGGTGCGAACTGCGCAGGGTTCACAAAGATGGAGAGCACAGTGAGGTCGTTGGCTGCTAACGATCTCCGTACTGGCAAGCACACTGTGGTGAGTGTCTCATACCACGCATGGCGTGCGATCGATGCTCACCAAGAGATAGATGCCCCTCATGTAGCGCGCCCATCGTAGCGACAAAACCAACCGATTTTCGTTCTTCGAATGCCTTCCGCCGCCATGCACGGTAGCTAATTAATGAGTCGAAGACGGGTATTAAAGACGGCGGAAGCGCTGAAGAAGACATTCGTCGATAGTACACAGTTCGTGGTATTAGAGTGCTCTTCAGTGGCAACGGGCGGGAGGTAAGATACATGCGCATATGCAGTGAGTAAGGTGAATATGCGACGATACCAGAGATATTCAAGCTTGTAGGACGACGGACATGACTAGATGGAAGACTGAGAAAAACTGACAATTAGACTGAGAGTGGGCGCGTGAATTTCGATCGTGCAGATCACGTGACTATGTCTGACTGGTCATGAATGACTACTACGACGCGAGCCGCGTGGTGGAGGTAGTGCTCAAATGAAATTATATTGAACCATCTCAGACATTGAGTCTCTCATACCTCGGCGGAATGCAAGATGTATTTATTTCCAGCTGACTGAATCTCACTAAAGACGAAACGCATCATAATTCGAAGGAGATGAAATTCGTGGGAGGTGTTTGCACGAATTGCCATGCAGAAATGCTTCGAGAGAACCCAAGTCAGACATTTTGCACCTTCACAACTTACGATTTGAACCCTCTGCACATGTGGTTAGGTTGACCATCCGTCTTGCACGAGAACCGTGAGATCTAGCCACCAGCTTGAAAAAATCGTCAGTAAACCAAGCTTTCAGTAACAGCATGCGCTATAACAGTGACACACAGAAATTTCGGTGCGACTCGTCAACGATCCATCTCACCACAATACGTGGATTCCGTGCTCTCTGAACGCCGGTTTGGCATTCGAATATCACCGGAAGTCAATCTGAGAGAATAAGAGCGGCGCCATCAGAAGCTTACGGTCGGTGCTGCAGTGCAGACCTCGAATTACAGCATGCACAGCCTGGAATTAGCAGCTGAGATCTGCAATTGGTAGTAGATGCTGTGCGAGTGCATTGGGGAAGACCATCGGGCTCACGACGGGTCCGTGATCGACAAAAGGTGATCGATCTAAGTACCTCCGAGGGAGCTGGGACCGGAAATCTCGCTGCGCATGCGCGGAGTTCCTCAACTCGCCCACCTGTTTTGCGTCCAACGCTGCTCTGTCGACGAAGAAAAGTCAAGAGTAGAGCCATAGCCTTCCGAATTAGCCGACTCGATTCGGATTCGGCACGGCATTGATCACATGGCAAGCTGCTCCATGCAGCTGTTGCCGGGTTCCCAAACAACCGTTAGTATGAAGATGTCCTTTATTGCTATTCGCCGTTGATTCAGTGCTTCAGTGCAGGGCTTTGCCAAATGTTGGTGATGTGGTGCTGCCTTCCGGAGGACCTGAGGGTCCGCCAGGGCGTGACATTAGCCATACTTCATGAAGGCAATCAGTCACTCAGTACATCCGGTGATGAAGTTAGCTAATCAACGCGATGCATCCTTCCATTCTGGACGTGTATGGTCACATAAATGCCAGCAGACCGCACTTGGACTATTCTCGTCTGATAGCAGCGATGGCATCCACTCATGTGTCCGCGCCACCCCTCGCGCAGTTCAAGGTCGTCGAGGTACCCCACTATGTGGCAGCTTTCTGCGCTCTGGCGCATCGCTTATGCCCATCTTTTCCCTGGTAGTTTGCGGGGATTGGTCCAGGGCCCATGGTGGGCATGATTCTCGCCGACTTCGGTGCCAACGTCATCCGCGTCGACCGACCCTCCCTCTCCACGCCTGATGTCTTCAATCGGGGAAAGCGATGCATCACGCTCAATGCCAAGGTACGCCGCCGATCATGCCCGCCACAAATCGCGCTCATGCCTTCAGCCAGGTCCCAAGCGCCCGCGATGTGCTGCGCAGGCTCATTGAGCGCGCAGACATCCTTATTGATCCGAGTCGTCCGGGATTCATGGAGAGCGTGGATCTTGGACCTAACGTGTTCTTGGGCGATCCAATAACGGGCAAGGAAGGGAGGAACAGACGGTTGATTTATGCACGGTTAGCGGGGTAAGCCATACGCCGTGTTCGTTGAGATGAGAGCTCAAATCTGACAGGTTCTCTCGAACGGGTCGGTGTTTTGTGCACCTGGGACTGTTCATTGATGCATGCTGACGTTGATTCAAGGCCCGCACAAAAATATGGCCGGTGAGTGCGTTCTTGCTCTGACGAGAGAGCAGTACTGATGACAGCGTGATACAGGTCATGATCTCAGTTATCTTGCCTTGAGCGGTGTACTTTCAGTAAGCACGCACCGATGTCCGGTGCCTCCAACTCTGATTTAGAATCTAACAGCTTTTCCCTGGAGAAAAGAAACCAACGTTCCCGCTGAACATCCTCGGGTCTTTCGCGGGGGGCAGCGTCGTCTGTGCTCTGGGTATACTACTCGCTCTAGTCGAGCGCCAGCAGAGCGGCCTCGGGCAGGTCGTGAACGCAGACATGGCAAGTTTTCCCCGATGTCAGATCCCACTACGCCGCTGACACCGATGCATACACAGGTCTCCGGCACACGGTACATCTCGACGTTCCCGATCCTACACAGCCTGTACCCGACGTCCGCGAGGGTCTTCACGGGCCCGCGCGGCACGAACATGCTCGACGGCGGTGCGCCGTTCTATGACACCTACACGTGCGCGGACGGGCTGTGGATGTCCGTCGCGTGCGTCGAGCCGCACTTCTTCCGCGCGTTCCTCGATTGCTTTTGTGCTGCACTCCCCGGGTTCACCCTCGATGGGTGGCGCCCCACGTATGAGACGCCCGAGGACCATAGCTCGTGGCCACGTCTTAGGGAGTTTATGGACCGGGGGTTCAAGATGCACTCGAGAGACTACTGGACGCGAGTCTTCCACGGTAGGTAGTCGGCATCCTATGCTCAACTGATTAGATACTTATTTGAGAATATGCTTGCCGCCGCAGGCACGGACGCATGCGCCCTTCCTGTCCTGTCCGTGACAGAAGCAGCAGCGTCCGTCTCTGGCAGTACGTCAAGCTCCGCGGAGTCAATGTCGCCTGTCCCCGCTCCCCATCCAGAACTCGCTCGGACACCCTCGGTCCCTATCAATGGCATCACGTCCGCAGACTCGTTCAACATGCGCGGACAGCACACGGACGAGGTTCTGAGCGAACTGGGGTTGACCAAGGAAGAGAAGATACAGCTATTGCATGATGGAGCGTTAGGGAAACGGACTGCGAGGCTTTGACAAAGGTTCTAGTCGTGCTTGTCTGTACCCTCTGTATTACTGTACCTACTTATACAGTCTGTACATACTACATGTTGTTATCGCCTTCATGGGGGCCATCTCCAATCAATAGTTGACGATCGTAGAGGTTCGAACTTCAGGAAGCTGATGGGCCTAGCAGCGCATCTCAGTGCCCAGGCTGTGAACGTTTGAACGGTCGACTGGTAATCATCTTCCACCTCGTTTCATTGCCCCGGATTAATCTACTAAGTTCACAACACACTGTATTTTGTCCGAAACTGGATCGAGGTTACTTTTGACCGGCCAGTCACGCGTCACAGCAATTTTCAGAGATTTCGCCAATGTTTTCTGGATTTTTGGGAATTTTTGAGATTTTTCGCACTGTCCGAAAAGGGCGAAAGTGGGCCGGATTAGTCGTAAAGGCAGTTGGAGCATTGGCGCCCATTGGCTCTCTAATGATCTCTGTCCCTCCTTCATTTAAGAAGGATGATGATTTTGTTTCGAGACTAGGAGAGTCTCTGCCATCATCAGAGTAGCTGTGAGTGCCGTGCAATGCGATTCTGCGATGTATAACAACACTGATATCAAGCTAGCCTGGATTCAATCACCAATACGATCTTCTGGCGTTACGACAACTCAAGCTCGACCTCAAAGTAGCGCACTTGATGCACGTTTGTCGTCTTCTCGAGACTGCGCTCTCTGCTCCGCTTATGAGGCCACTGAGACTAGCAGGTAAGTAATGCTATGACACCATGCAAAGGGAGAGCGTCACGTACGTAGTCTCTGCCTTCGAAAAAGGTGAGAGTCCCACGAAAGTCTGAGAAACACGTCCGAGCTGAGTGAGATATGTGCACGCTCTCAGAGATCTCTTGACCTATCCGACATGATAGATGGCATGACAGAAGCCATCTCTGGCGAGCAAATGCACTGCCTTCAACTCGTATATATCGTGGTTAGTTCCGAGCACGAACCAACATTCCGATTATGCCGCCATTAGTCTCTGCAAATCTGGCCGCGTTTTGCGTTGAGACTCTCTTATATGGTGTCTTCATTGTTCTGTTCGTGGCGTCAGTATACCTTCAAGTGCGGCGGCAGCAGCAGCATGCCGAGGCTAGCGATCGAGTAGCCACTGCGATGTGTCGCTTTCGACAACGGATGTGTGCAACACCAATGTTCATGCCGGGAATATGTCTAGGCATCACTGTGACGGCCGTAAGTTCCCACTATGCTTTCGACTGTTTGATGACTATTGATACTGTCTGAATCAGCATTGGACCCTTACTGTCACCCGTTTGTTTCAGGCGTTTGTCGGCATTGATGGAGGTAACCAGCCTTTCCTGTTCTTCGCTGACCTCGGTCAAACTACGAACGTTGTAAAAACCGCGTTCCTCTTCGCTTCATGTATGATTGGAGACGCAACGTCTGTGAGTGAACTACTGCATTTAGGCAGCCGACCGTTCTCATGACTTTTTCTCCCGATAGATATATCGTACTTGGGTCATCTGGAACCGTATGCTCTCGGCTGTCATATTTCCATTATGCAGTTTTATTGGTGTTGTTGGTTGGTAGCTCTCATCATTCTGCGTGCGAAGCGTGCTAACATTGAGTACACTCCAGTAGGTGGGATCGGAATCACCTGCCAGTTCGGTATCTACAAGTTTGCAAAAGATGTCTACATGGCCGAAATTGGCCGATGGGTTTTGAGCCATTGCATATTAACATCCTTGTTCGTAATGCCAGTTCTGACGCTTTCTCTCCACTTTTCCAACTAATCTCACAGCACCAACATATATTGCAGTTGTAAGTTCTTTTTTCTGCTGCCATTGGAGACGGTCTAGCCAGCTCTACTTTTCATCTAGGCATGATTGCCTACAAGATCTGGAGCACAAATCGTTCAGTCCGTGCATATACTGGGGGAAGAACTATGGTAGGATCTCTGCTCCATCAGCTCCGCGTGTGCTCAAGCCTACGTAAAGGGTGCACTTATTATCTTCGTTGAGAGTGCTGCCCTGTATACGTAAGTCATCATTCCGTGATTCGCTATTGCTTGTGATAATGTTGTGTTTCTGCGGCACAGCATTTGGTCGCTCTTCTTCTTTATCTCCTTTGAGTCCCGTTCTAATCTGCAACTCATCGTCATCAATGCGTGGGCTCCTGTTACTGGAATTACTTACACGCTTATTATTGTCTGTGTCGCAGTGAGATTGGTCTACAAGGCACCAAGTTACCCCCAATCCCTAGATTTGCATTTATCCCCGCCCAATAATGAGCAAGACACCATGCGCCCTGTAGCCGCCGATATCTCGCAGGTCGCGAATGTGGAGGATGTTCCCGCTTTGTCTACTTCACAGCCTCCAGCAGATATCAGTCAAGCTATTTTTTGTTAAAGGCGAACTTCTAGACTGCATTTACTCCAAAAAATAAACTTGTTAATTGTGTTGTATTTCTTGATCTTGGCTTGCCTACCCTTCGGGTGGTTCCACATGCAATAAGTGTCAATAGAGATGTACAATTTGACGATTTGAACTGTAAGACACATCGCATGAATGAGATCTATGTCTTTTATCCGTTCCAAATTAGGGGAAGATTTTCTCCATCCTGCACAAGAACAGGACATCGCCAACTTTATCCGGTCATCCGTTAGAGAGCGCAAATTCGTCTCGAATGCATGCCCAAGTCATGCTGAAGTGGCCGTGATATCCACACCAAACCTCAATTTCCCCTGCTCATTTTTGCTAGATCTCAATACGAAGCGATACGGCTTCAGCGCATCGTTCAGCTCACGGTTATTCAGAGTGGGTGACTCCGGTGATGTATTCTATGCTGCGATTGTCCAGGATCCATGGTTCATCGGGACCGCGACTCAACCGCGCCCACGGCCGGGATAGGTTCAGCTGTAAGACATATCATACATCTGCCATATCCAGTCCACCACCACGAGCACTGCAAGGGGGAGTTATGTCCACACGAATACCAATCCCAAAGACGAAGGAGCACTGTACGGTGACCAGCGTACGAGGACCTCTGCCGAAACTATAACTAGAAGGAAGAGTATGAACGCTCCAAGTAGAGAATAGGCTTGCGATCACTGGATCCGCAACGATCGTGAGACGAACTAGCAACAATCGAACAATCGTGCTCGAGTACCAACCCTACACCATATCCAAACGCATGACATTGACGGAGACACGTCAGGGGTTCTACTCCGACCACCCACCCTGCTCAACCGCAAACGCCACTGCAAGCTTGGAGAACTCTAGCATGTGGGTGAAGCTGAACTCGTCAGAGATATCTATGCGGCTGAAACAGAAATCAGCATAGTACTTGCAGCACCGTCGAAAGAGGAGATTCTCACTCGTTGGTGCTGTGAATGTTCTGATTGCTGTTCTCAAACGCGCTCTCTGCGAAACACCGTTAGATCGGAACCAGGGAAATAGCAGTAATCGAACACGCACCAAAGCTGCACACGACAGGATATCCGGCTTTGAGGAATGAAGCACTGTGAATAGTCAATCGCGCCGTCGTCGCCAGAAATCAACGAGCTCTTACTGGTCGCTGCATGCGTAGCCACACTGTGTCTCGACATACGGAATGTCAAGGTATGTGTCTACCAGCTTCTTCTGGAACTCCGTCAATCTGTGCAGTCGTCATCAGGATCGGATCTCCTCAAAATGGTACAAGACTAACGCTGGAGTAGTGAAATCTGTCAGAATTCCGACTTCTTCCCGGGTGCCACGCTTTACCCAAGCTGTCATGTCATACTACAATCGGATGTCAAGAGGCGGAGGTATCACTTTCATTGAATGTTCTCACGTGGCTCATTGCAGTGACGTTGACAGATCGCCGTTCATAATCTTGAGCAATTGCTTGGGATCCCAGAAGTCCTCCTTCCTGTTGCCACAAACACCGTCAGACGCCTCAAAACTGGTATGAATGAGATGCAGTACCTCCGCCGAGTACCACTGGAACTCGACAGAGCGCGTGGGAGTGAAGTTAGCCGTAAGCAAACCACGGTAGGCCTCGAGAATGCTCATCGATCCAGAACCGTCGTCATCTGCGCCTACATCACGGTTAGACACGATGATGCTCATACTAACACGGGGAAATTGCATACCTGGTGCAGGTAGGAAGGGCCACATATTTGTACTGGGAAGGCCGCGGTTCAGATCCAGCAAAATGGACATTAACGAAGATTCTTCTTACCTGTCTAAATGAGCGCCAACGATGACCACACCATCGTCGGTGGGAGAAGAGCCGTTGATCCTCACAATCTGATGTGGCATTAGTCTCCACACCGACCATGTGTTTTATCTCGAAAAACTAACGATTGACTTCTGAATCCAACTATGTGTAAACTCCTTGATAGAAATCAGATCCTGCAGATAGCCAGGTGCATAATCCGCCGTGATCTAACAAATAGTGCCCATAAATAGAGTAGACAGGAGTGAATTACGATGCAGCAAACCTCAGATATTTTGGACAAAAGCCACTGCTGGCTCTCTCTTCCAGTCTGCGGGACATTTAGAGCCTAAACACGTTGTCGAAGGCTGTTACAGTACCTCACTACGGTAGTCTAATATTTCAATCAGCATAAACTCAAAAATGTAACAGGATATCACATACAACGCGTGCGGAAGCTGCTAAACTTGCGCAATGTTTCCTCAAGATGATTGGTGGAAAGTGTCTTCAAGATGGGGTTCACCTTCTCCGCGTACTGAGGCTCAGAGAAAGTAACTGCAATGCTGCATCAAAAAGTAAGAGTAAGCCAATTTGGTTTGGGCTCACGCTGATTGGCGAGCCTCAGATGAGCGGAAAATCCAAGGTCCGGAGTCTCAGTGCTGTCACATCGAATTAGTGAACGACGCGTCATCGTAGCTGGACTCGTACACGTCGAAGAACCGGACTCCTTGAGCCTTCAAGTTGATCTGGACAAAAAAATTAGACGTGTCAAAGTCAAAATCACTCTGCAAATTAACCTTGTCAAGCTCTGTTATCAACACTGGCTCGTGTCCTTCTAGCTGCACCCAGCGCAACTCGTTCAAATCCAGGTCGAAACCTGGATACGAGAGAGGTAGGCCCCCCAGAGGGACTTGTGCATCTCCGTTGAACAAGACAGACGCAACAGACAGAGTCACAAAAGAGAGAAGAGCCAAAGTCTTCATGGTGCGGCAGAAACAACAGTGACTTTCAGGCTGCGGGCTGCCCTGAGGCTTCAAGTCATCCCAATTCGGTTAATAAGGTCACATGACACTGAGTTGTTTGCCGCATAGCTTCGACGCGACGCCGGACTCTGATTAGACGCACTTTCAAGTTCGAGCTTGCCCACGGACATTGGCACATATATCGAGGCCTACCCGGTCATCTCCACGTATCGAACGGTCAAGTTTTTCTCATGCTCGCTTACGGCAACCATCCGTTTCAGAAACCGTCCGCAGACTTGGTCGTAGCTTCCGCGGACGACATTGCATTCCGAGTTCACAAGAACATTTTGGCTGAGGCATCGTCGGTCTTCGAGCATATGTTTGGTTCGCCCCAGCCGCAGCACGACTCCTCCGACGCAGTTAGGGGAGATGAGGTATTCGATGGACTTCCCGTCGTCCATCTCACGGAGCACAGCACCACCCTCGAGAACCTCTTTCGACTGTGTTATCCAGTGAGAGATCCAATTATCACGTCACTCGAGGCCGTGCGCGATACATTGGTCGCTGCGACGAAATACGATATGGAGGAAGCCACAGAACTTTTGGTGGCGCGACTAAAGGAATTCGCTGGGGCCAAACCTCTGCAGGTATATGCCATCGCCTATCGACATGAATCGGAGGAGGTTGCTTTGGCAGCGGCCAAGGGGGTTTATGTGCATGGACTCTGTTCCAGGTATTCTCCGGAGATGGAGGATATCAGCGCGGGAGCATACAACCGCCTTCTCCTCTATTGCAGAGCCATGAAGAAGGGCAAAACATACACTGATTATCTCTGTCAGCCGCGACGTCACAGCGACAATTCCGCTAACAGCAGCGTGCCGACGACGGATGGTGCGGAGCCGGATAACGCCAGCACAAATACCCTCTCGCATCCCTTCACTATGTCGAATGCAGACTTCTCGAATGCAGACTTCATTCTTCGTTCTTCAGATCATGTCCCGGTCGACTTCCATGTCCACCGAATCGTTGTAGAAATGGCATCTCCTGTCCTTACGCAGAAGATTTTCCAGGCAGTATCTGCCCATCACACTGCGACGGACAGGTCTGATGCAGACCTCCCTGTTGCGGTGCTGGAGGAGAAGGGCGGGACGATATCAATTCTGTTGCAGCTATTTTACCCTAACTTCCTCGAGCCGGATTTGGAGGACGTGCAAGAGTTGGTGACGCTACTTGCTGCTGCGCAGAAATACCGGATAAACAAGGCCGTGCAGCTATTGTCTGCTAGATTACTCGCTCAAAATGCGGAACCCATGAAGGTTTATCTCATCGCATGTCAGTTCGGCCTTACGGCCCTGGCCAAAGAAGGAGCCAAGCGTATTCTGCGCCTGGATGATGACGACTTGGAGATCTATCATGCGGAGATGGAGGACATTTCTGCTGGGCAGTACTACCGTCTTATACAGTATCATCGGGTGCACCGCGAAGTCGTCGATCGGTACACCAGTGATGGTCAGTGGATATCTGTGGAATGGCGCACCAGACTTCGGAAACAGTGCACCACCAGGAGTATCAATAACGGTCAGGGACAATCCTTGCCGTGCTGGTGCACACCGTACTTCCGCTGTCTTCGCGATCAGAAAATTGGCGATGTGAAGGCCCACGATCCGTTCCATCTCAGCATCGATGTCACTACTGGCGCTGTCGAGTCCGCATTCAAGCGACTTACGGTTTCAGATGCATGCGGAGGCTGCCGGTCATCGGACGCTGTACTCCTTATGCTGCAATTTAGTCACTATCTGACACAACAATTTAGCAGTGCGGTATCCATGGTGAGCCCGTGTTGCACATGTATGCAGCACAGTTGAAAATTGTGATTTCATCGGCAGACGGAGCTTGAATGGACATAACCCGCATACCACTGAAGCGGAACGCCATGAAAGCGCCGAATTTTGCCTGGATGAAACATGGTGAGTTGCACCAGGAGCTCGCTGAACGATATACCTAGACATGTCATCAATTCTGTCTTCTCTACTTCCACTACTTATATCACCATCACATTTTTTCAAGGCGAGCATTTCGGTTAGATGACTTTTTTCATTGTATGGACACAAGTTATTGTACTTTGGCCTCAAATCATCTCGAACCATTTGAAGCTAAATGCTCACCGTGAAGTCTCTTACTGGCCGCATGTTATGATTTGTATACTACTGAACGTCTGCAGCAAGTAGAAACACAAGAGAAAAGACGGACTAGACGGCGAAGTTTGTTTGCACATGTTATATTCCGAGGCTAATAGCCTTGACGCCCATACTCTACAACGGTATCACATTCCGAGGCTGCGGACCAACTGCGGACCGTGACGACAGCTCTAGTACGTCCTCCGAGCTCGTCAGCATCCTGCGATGCTCATCCCGTTCATAATTGCATTGGTTCTTCCTGTCTGTGTGCTGACCACACAGCATGCCCTTTCTGTCCCAGGACCCGTCGATAACTCCACTGCGCCATTTATTTTCAACTCGCTAGCGTCTCTCTTGGCGCAATGGCCTAACACGTACCATGCTAATGGCCATACGATTATTACTGGAGTACTGGAGCCATTCACACTTCTGTACCATGCCAGGAAGGATGCCAATCTTCCACCATCTCCGGAGTGGTTCGCGTTCGATGCCGAGATGAGCTACGGAATCATGGCCGGACGTGGCGGACAGACGTATATGCTCACGTACAGGAACATACGTCCCATGAAGATCGTCTATTTTGACGGAATGAGCGCGTCGCTGAGTGGTACAGGTTGGCTCGACACCCAGGAAGTCCTTATCGCTGGTAAAGGCCAGAACGGAGAGCCGGATAGCATTGTCTGGTGGGACGAATACACTCGCGCAGACAAGCTGTGCAAGTGGGCTATTCCGCGTGGCGTGGAAGGCATCGTGCGGATGAACGCCGGCTTGTGAGTGACTTGTCATCTTCGACAATGCTGCTACCTCACTGCTGACTGAAGTCAGTGAGGTGCTGTGGTGCGACTTCAATTCGCCGGCGATACAACTTGTAAGCCACCTGAACATCACACCTCCGGGGACGCCTCCCTCTACTCCTTGGGTCCCTCCTGCTCCTGCTCCTGGCCCTGGCCCTGACAGACCCGGCCGCGAACCCGGAACAGGTCGTGGTGGACCAGGTTCGGATCGACGACGCCCTGGAGGACCATGGGGACAGCTACCTCCCCTATCTCTTTCAGCATCCAACGAATGGCTCCGTGCAGCGAACCATCGCTCTGTCTTCCCGCAGCCGCACGTATCACTCGACTATTCGACCTTCGTGACATTCTACCATCCGCGCCTGCACAGCTTGGTACCATCGCGGGTGGGACAGCACATGCGGCAGCACCGCATCTGGCCGAACGTGTCAGAAGCTGATGCACACTCTGTAATCCACGAGTTAGACGAGGTGCTGCGGCGCCCAGGGTGGAGGAATGGCTGGCCATTCGGCACGGGAATGGACTGGGCTGCGCTCGCGCGGGATATCGTTGAGGAGTGGGCGGACAGGATTGACCAGCTGCACGAGTTCCTCGGAAATACGACGGCTGAGATGGATGGCGGGCATTGGCAGACATCAAATACAACGCAGGCACTTGCAACGGTCCGCCGGCTGGCTTACAGTCCACTGAATCCGTACATGGACACAGGTTCAGCACCGAATGTATCCGCATGGACACTCTTTTTCGAGATGAAGTTGTCTCCATCGTCACTACTATTTCCACACCGGCCTCTTCCTTACAGGGTCAACACGACAGCACTTCAGCGCTGTACATACAGCTCGACGGGTTTCCTCCATTATAATCCACATCTTCGTATGACATCTCAGGAGGAGCTTCTGCTGATCAGCATCGAGACCATACAGGAGCGATTATGTACTGATTTTGGCACGCTTTTCGTGGAAAGCATGGGTGCCGACGATAAACTGGAACTCGAGGAGGCGCAAGTATTTTTGCAGAACTGGGAGACGAGAATTGCCGCACTTATGGACTGGCTGGACTGGACAGAGTGGATGCGGTGCGAGGAAGTCTGCCCGCGGGATGTGAGTCCCGCTATAGAACCTTTCTTCCGGCCGTTCACGCTGATAGTTTTTCATCTCGTCAGAGCGTCTGTACGATGCCCCTGTGGCCTGTTGTAAGGTGGGGTAATTGGCCTCGTGGAAATTCAACCAATGAAGACGACCCGTCCTCTTGGAAGCCCCAGTGCGTGAGCTTGGTTCCTATGGAGCGCTGGCCCGGTCCGGGTCGGCGAGATACTTGGGATGACTTGTACAGGTAGAGAGCCGTGCATTGGTCGGATTTCATGTTGCCATATGTTGGACGTTCTGTAGATTCACGGCTTGGTTTGTTGTTTTCGTTTTTTTTTGGCAGCATCAAGGTCTTTTCCTCATGGTCATACCCATAGAACGGCTCGGACTTTGGTCTACTTGCATGTGGAATGTACCCTCTTATAATTTGGGATATAGACAATCAAATACCCTAAACCAAATTTCGAATGATCATTATCATGAGATGCATTGTCCGGGAGAGATCCAATGCATATGGCCGACTGCTTCCAGATGTCACATATCCATAGCAAGTCAATCTTCAGATCAAGTGCACCTGTTCAAGTACAACCGGTCCACGGTCAATAACTTGGCGTGTCTCGAGTAATACCAGCGTATCGTACCTTTGACAAAGAGGCGTTGATACTTGCGTCTATATCCTGCATGAAATCCTCCAACCGACTGGCGAACTGCCCGCATTCCCATGGCACTGAACCTTGGTAAATTCTCGGACAGTGTTCTTCAATGTTAAATCGGGGATTCCTTCTCCTGACTGGTTGGTAATGGTCTCTTGTGCGGCGGTCGTGCAAAGCTTCCCTAGATGTCGGTCCAGGCAGTCAACGTACCGCCCTGACCCACCCTGACGACGGCCCTCGAGGTATGACCCGAAGGTAGAGGACCTGATGACGTAACATGTCTACTTCCAAGCATTCGAATAGGCCTGTTTATCCATGTTCGTCCTTTTCCTGTCAAGCGGTAGCGCACCTGCAGTGACAGACTGCCATCGCTGGTAACAGAATCCGGTGCATTGGAAACACCAACCAGATGTCTGCAGCTTCATGGCACAGTCATCAAATCCGCGTTTGATTGCTGTGTAGTATGTCCACAAAGGCTCCGTGGCAGCTATGATTAGCCTGATCACCCTAGCTTTACTATAATTCGTAGCGGCCTCTGGCATCTTCTCGATGATTCCAAAGTCCTCTACGGTTATAACAGCATCCTCTGTATGGGACCAACGGAGAACGGGAAGTGCGTCAGGGCGACGATATTGGGACGGCAAAGCACAGAAAAGGCATTTAAAGAGCACGCTGTAACCATGCAGCAGAAGAACGCCTATTCCAGGAGAGAAACCATCAGTGTGTGTTCAAAATCGGCGCACGGCGGTTGTTTGCACCTGTTACCTTCCAAAGCTATCGCCTTTGACGCCCAAGTGTTTCCACCGTGATCTAGACCGCTTGGGAAACCATCGGCGCGTGCTGCTGAATCGTAGCTTCCGTGGCAGTGGTCATCTGTTTCTCAGTCTTCTCTGCTCTGTTGGTGCGTTCTCGGACTCTAAAGCGAGCACTGGCCTAGTTTACTCGAGTCGACACAGCGCTAGGCTCGCGAGGGCTCGGCACTCAGCTCTGGTCTCTGTCGGCATGACTAGGTGGCCTTGTTGTACCTGGAGAGAAAACTGCAATGGGGCGACCTCCGAGACCTCCGAGAGTTGAGAGGACTGGTTTCAGTCGTGGATGGCTTGACGGCTTGCTTGGGAGGTCGAACTTGAGAATGTTGACGTGTGTACACGTCGATAACTGAATCGCCTGGGACGTTCCTCACCGCGTTGCCTCAACGCGCGAAGGATCCTTGACAACGACATTATTTTGTCTCTGCCTTGTGGCTTGTTGTTGTCTCCATCAAAAGCAGATGCCGTGATGCGCACTTGTGGGGAATTTGCGATATTCCAATCTGATTCAATCGCCCGTTAGCCATTGCTAGGCCAGGTGCATTGCACATGCTACAGCTTCGGACGGAGCTGACGGTGGCTTCTGAATGCGGAGTTTCGGGAGCAGGGACGGCCGCAAGCGCGTTGGGGCTTGACCCAAGTTGACCGGCATTTTACCTGGACCTCTCCTTCCACTCGTGACTTCTTCTGTTCTTTGTGGCAATGGTGAAACCTGAGTAACAGTGCGCTCAGCCTGGACCGCGGGAGAAGGCTGTCCCATTGTATTATTGTCTGCACAAAACAAGGCCTTCGTTGGCCAAGCTGCCTCGTGTACGCGAGGTATAAAGTCTTCGGAGGTAGAGCATCTCCATCATTCACAAACTGTTACACTCTTCCTTCGAACCGCCATGTCTGAACAATCCTTTTACCTGTGAGTGCTAGATTCCTATTACTGTATCAACTTGATATGAGTCTCTACCTTTAGCGCAAATATCGACCGTGAGGAAACGTACTCAACGAGCTGTGGCCCAATAAGAGAAACACTTTTCCATGCGGGTATTGACGCATCCCTCACTGCACTCATGACAGTGCCGCGGAACAGGCAGTTTAACCATCCTGTCGTCGTGCGTGTTCCTGTCTTCTCCATTGTAACTATGTTGACAATTTTTATTGGGTCATACCCCAGGACAGCTTGGGTGGCACCTACCAGGCGCCCGGACTGCCGCAGATGCTCTGTCCACCTGAGATCAAAGACGAACCGGAGCGTATCCGTAACCACGTCAAGGCATTCGCGGGGCGATGGGCTGGCGAGCGGCTCATCATGATTGGCAAGGACTCGTCGGCCGGTGAACTTCCTGTGTCTGTGCTCTCTAACAGAGGGACGGAGGTCGACCTGTATGACCGCGTTCAAAAGTACTATGTTGATCTGTACCAGGTTGAAGATCAGTTCGTCAGTCGCTTCGGACAGTCATCCGCGCTCCAGGAAAACGACCATCCCAACCAGCCTGCCTGCGACTGGGTACTCTGCAACCTCGACCAGAAAGAATACGTCCGCTTAGATGACATTCCCGCTGCGCTCGCAGACAGGAAGTGCTTCGGGCTTGGTCACGTCCTCATCTTGCTTATATGTTGGACTGATTCAAAGAAGCGGTACGACGCCAGCCTCGGTCGAGGAAGGTGGGCCGGCAACCGCATTGCTGTAGAGGCGGCCATTCCCCAACCGGGCCCTGATGGAAAACCCTGGAAAGACATCAGCGAGGAAGCCTTTGCTAAGGTTAAGACTTTCTGGGACGTGAAATATCGGCAACGCACACGCACCGGGTTGAGGTCAGATGGACCTGTCGAGTGAATGTGGATCTTTGTCCTTGTATCTCTCTTGTCAGGTGCAATATCTTAATAGCTATCTGTTTTCTAATCAGTGACGAGCTGGGGATTTGTGTTTCTTGAGGTATGTAATTAAGCGGCTGCCGTGCGTATACGGAAGCCTATTGTTGGTCCGGATATGCCAAATTTTGGCATTTCTGGTCCCGCTGCACGATGCCTAGCACGATAGTCTCCGGCACCCCACATAGTGTTTCTATGGTATGTAGAACATGATAGGTGATTTTTCTTGATTTTTCTGAGCTATGTTGAACGTCCTGGAGAGGTGCCGCTGTGTGGCGCCAGCCAACTACAGTCCTACAGTCGTGATTTTTCTGGGATACAGCCTGCAGGCCACACATGCTTTCCGAAGAATTGACACATCAAGAGTAGGTACACAGGCTTCTACAACTGTAATTTCAAAGGAATCAAGTGAGATTTGAGCCATGGAAAAGAATATGGCACTTCTGGGTCATTTGGCATATTCAGGTCAACGATAGTAGTACAGCGCTCTGCTAGACCCTCCAGTGCTTCCTCTGCTCTAACTCCAGTTTACCGAAATAATGTGCAGCATCGTCACTAGCGGCGACTTAGCAAATACGTATATCGCGAACAAGCCTCCACAAGGCGCATTCCACCTTTTTTCCTGGGGAAAAACCTGGGGAAAACGACAAAGTAAGTCTCCGGGAAATATCCAGGAAAAACTGTGAGAAAACAATAGTGTAAATCCTGGGGAAAAACCGTGACCCAGAAAAAGCAACAGATTTCTCGGAGAAAAAACCTAAAAAACCTTTGTTTCCAAATCGGGATTTCTGCATATCTCTTCATCAGCAAAAGTCAACTCTTGCTTACCCAGATTATTCCCTTGATTAAGGAAATTTTAAGGAGATCCTCATTATTATTATTCCTTATTCACCTTAATTGGCCAAATAGGGAAGCACCTCCTTAATCAAGGCAAGGGAGCCAAGAGTTGACTTTTCCTGATGTTGCAGAAATCCCGATTTGGAAACAAAGGTTTTTTCTCCGAGAAATCTGTTGCTTTTTCTGGGTCACGGTTTTTCCCCAGGATTTACACTATTGTTTTCTCACAGTTTTTCCTGGATATTTCCTGGAGACTTACTTTGTCGTTTTCCCCAGGTTTTTCCCAGGAAAAAAGGTGGAATGCGCCTTGTGCTCCAAAGTTTTCATTCTTACCATATCGAGAAACTCGCCTCGCCTTATGTATATCCCTCTGACTTAATTTCCTTTCTCGTCTGTACCTTTGTCATCTGTTTTCTAGGAGCAAGCTTGTCAGAACCCAAGCAGTCTTCAATCTGAGTTAGAGTAGAAGAGGACCGGGGGTACAGTGTATAACTTACGATTTTACTCTGCCAGAAGATTCTACCGAGCCGTGTCTTCTGCTGTACGTGTTGTCACCTGGAAGATACTGCGTCGAGTCGTTAAGCCCCTCACCTAGTATATTCGTAGCGCGTTTGGGTACCTCCAAACCATGTAGTGGTGCTCACTGCTCAAGATGCTGCCAGTGGTCAATGCCAGTGGAATCTCTACGCAATGGCTACCATTCCAAGGTTACCTGATTTGACTCCGGGTGAGAAAGAGCCGACACTGGTTCTCTGGCCCCAAGCTGAAAATCGAGAATTCCTCACAAGAAGAGTGAAGCACGTGCAGAAGCGGCCTGGTGAAGCTGGCTGAGGAGCATAGGGCGGAGGTGGAAGAACTGTGGAGCGGAGGCAATGTTGCTGAGCAAAATATCTAGAGCGAGGAAAGCTCGCAAGGAGCTCAAGCATGGGAAGAGGTCGCGGAACCTGGTATTACAGGAGGCAATCACGTCGTACTCTCCACTGATATCCACGTAGTTCCAGGACCTAAGTCTCAACCGCCGATCTCTTTGTACGTCTTCCGTCGATTTGCAGCTCTATCCTGCACTGTCATGCCAGCGTCATTGCACTCTCTTAACTTATCATCGCTCGAACAGGGATCGGGCTCCACGTCTCCCAAACATTTTGTTTGTCATTCAGGCTCCCGTGAGCCTGAGGGATCTTCCGGAACTAGGTGGTATGTGGGGGACGCTGAGACAGTGGGTCGAACGAGATGCTTCACATCACTAAATTTCTGTTGCTTACTACTCCTGTAGCGAGGCTATAATTTGATCCGTGGCTCGAGTGGTCAGCGCATCACTCTGAGATAAGTCCAACATACTCACCTTCCATGTATGGGAGCGCCGCCTGCCGAATAAAGTTGACATGCCTACGGCCCGACGATCGCTGGATTTTACACAGTCAGCCCGCTGTCGTGCTTACTCAGAGGAACAACCATGCCCCGCACTAGTCCTGGCAAGGGCATCAGGATAATAAAACCTGTCCTGCGTCTTTCGCAGAGAATGTCATACCATCCCCCTTCCTGATATGTCCTCTCAAAATCCTGGGACATTCACTGCCGTTCTCGATGTGGAGAATTCAGCCTCTCGCACTCTGCAAGACAAGTCCGAAACATCCACGGCAATAATGAACACAGAGAAGACACCGTGTGATGGGGAGAATGGACGACCGCCGGGCCAGTCTACCATAGGGGACGTGAAGACCCCGCCTTCCTCTGAAGATGAGTACTTGGTCAACTTAGATGCGGCGGAGAATCCCAAGAATCTTTCGACCGCCCGGAAATGGGTCATTGTGATAGTCATCAGCACCGGCGCTCTATGTGCCACATTTGCGTCGTCAGTGGTGCGCTGTTTGTTTTAGCATTAATTGTGCCCTTCACAGATCTCAGATTCGTTCCACCAGGCTGCCTTCACGGAAGCGGGCCTTGCAAAAGACCTGCATACAGTCCACGAAGTTACGATATTGAGTATCAGTCTTTTTGTTTTTGGACTTGGTTCGTTCATTGGCTGTCCGATGATTTTCTGCGTCACACTAACGTTAATACAGGTATGGGTCCCCTCCTGGTCGGTCCTCTATCCGAGTTGTATGGACGGAACATTATTTATCGAATATCCTACTTGCTGTGTTTTGCTTTCACGTGGCCTACTGCTTTCCCTCCAAATATCGGTAGGCGACAGCGATCGCTCTCTCGATGTTCATGAGATGCTCACGTTTGAGAAGAGGTCTTCCTCGTATTTCGATTTATCACCGGTTTCTGCAGTGCTGCCTTTTTGAGCGTTGCAGGAGGCAGTGTGAGTGATCTTTTCGTCAATGCGCAAGTTGCATCGTAAGTGTCACCGGTGTTCATAGCTCATCTTCTGAGGATTGTTGTAGTCCTATGGCGGTCTATACTATGGCTCCGTTCATTGGCCCTGTAATCGGACCCATAGTCGGAGGGTGAGTCGACATCCCTTCATGATCGGTGACATGTTGTTGACTCTCCACCAGCTTTATTAACCAAGTAGGCTTCCCACTTCTCGAGTCCTGAGATATGCACACGATTTACAGCATCTCCCAGAATGTCGATTGGAGGTGGACATACAGGGTGCTGCTCATGTGGCAGTTCGTGGAGATCATCTTGCTGCTACTGGTATGCGTTAAGCCCTTTCTTATTCGGTGGTTTTACTGATATACATTAGCTTGTCCCCGAAACATATGAGCCGCTACTCTTGCAATCCAAAGCTCGACGGTAAGATGATCTTGTTCCAGCAATTGTGATCCGTTCTCATGCTCAGGTCAGCGTGCGCAAGGAGACCGGCGATGACAAGTATTACGCGCCTCTCGATCGGCGGGAGCGGAGCATTCTCAGCGCAATGTTGTTCAGTTGCTATACGCCTTTCAGTAAATACTCGGGTTTTTTGATTGTTCTGCGCACGTGTTAACTACGAACTGTCAGAGCTCATATTGTTCGACAGAATGGCACTTGCTCTGGATACATGGTAGGTCCTGGGCTCTACTGCGGAGTCCGTTTATTTAACGTGCGTCTTGCAGGAATGCACTCCTTCTGGGAATTCTGTATCTTTCTTTCCAGGCCTTCCCCATCATCTTCGGAAGTTTGCACGGCTTCACCTACGGAGAAACAGGACTATCATTCCTTGGAATTGGTATAGGAATGTTTGCCGCTCTCGCGACGCAACCATTGTGGAATCGGTAGTTATCTGCCCATGGCAAAACCAAGCTGCACTCATGTTCTGCTTTCAGTTTCTATCGGAAGCAGACGATCAAGTACAACGGGCCTCCTCCGCCAGAAACCCGCCTGGTCATGGGCCAATGGGGTGCGATCATGGCACCGATAGGTAACGGAAGAGTTTGGCATCTTTTCGCCTAGCTAACGCATGTGATGAGGTCTCTTTTGGCTTGCATTCACCACATACAAGCACGTCTTCTAGATCGTACCAATCATCGCCTCCGTTCCTTTTGGCGCCGGGATATACTTCATCTTCACGTCGACGTTCACCTACCTCGTCGTTGCGTATCGTCCCATCGCTGCATCCGCCATGGCGGCGAACAGCTTCGTGCGGTGCACGTTCGCCGCTGTATCCCCCCTATTCGCCTCCGCGATGTATCATAGGCTCGGCACTGTCGGTGCCACGGCGCTTCTGGCGGGCCTGTGCACTATCATGGCTCCTCTTCCGTGAGCGATTATCTCCTAGGGTCCAATGATGACAGACTCTGATGCTCTCCAAAGTTTCATATTCCATAAATTTGGAGCACGACTGCGCTCAAATTCGGTTTTTGCGGATAAATCGTGACTATGATGCCTGCCTATGACTTACGAAATTATTCAAATCTCCACATCGGACTGCTTTACTTTTATCATTCATCACATACACCAGCATATACTTACAGTACTCTTGGCATAGACAGCCACACAAAACATATCGTCTACAATTTTAGCATCAGATGCACCGAAGGTTGACTAACACACCGTCAGGGATCGAAACCAAAGTTCGAGGATGGATTTTGAGCGGCAAAGCTGACAGAGTCGGCCTGGATGGACTGAGGGCCGGACGTGCGAGGTGCTCAGGCATGAAGCGCCACATTCGCTGCGTTCGATTAATACATCTTGTACACGTAGCAGTTGTTGAAAGGCGGAACGAGTGAACTGTGTTTGGAGTTGCGGTACGAACAGCAGCCACCGCTGCGGCCCGCGGTGCCTGCGTCCGGTTATATCTCGCATCACTCAGAAAGTTCAGAACCTACGAGATTAGAGCTTCTTTCTAGCTCAGTTTAGACCGTCAACATCTATCCACATACGTCGGTGCTACTAGACTCAAGCTTATTGTAAGGGCCCGGGGCGCGGCTCACCTTTGAACAGCCTTCAAACTTCAACTCTACCCCCTCATCTGTTTATTTTTCTGTCCACGACCATCAAAAGTTCCCACTCATCTTTACCTCTAGCTAGCGAGCGATTGTACTTTATAGGTTAGCCTAGTGAGTCAAGCTCGATTCAAGCCTTTTATAAGCAGGAGTACTATGACCATCTCCTCCAGATCTCTGGATCCTCTACCTTGACTACCCGTCGCATGCCGCTCTACAGAACCCATCGCCCATGTTGACGTTTCTCTCCCACAGCGCTGTATCCCACCATTTTTTCTGTTCAATTTGATGGTCGATTTCATCAACGAGAACAGAGCGCATTGCTCCAGATGTCGAAAGCAGCTCGAAAATGTCAACGTGATGGAATTGTTTTCAGCTAATGCAGCTTCCGAGAGTTTCGGAAAACAGATCGTTATTACGTATATGCTATTACAGTAGCGCCTCAATCATTCATATCGTCATCAGTAAGGCGTCGTCGCAAGCGTTGGTGGCGTTGCCATTGTCCTTCAAATCTAACCGCTTGAAGCGTCTCTCGTCTCGCTGATATCGCTGTCTTAAAATCAGGTACGCGCTCCCATCCTGGCCAGACAACTCCCCTAGCATTCTTCGCTTGATCATCACATCTGATACCCGGGCTCCCAGATCGCCTCAAATACATACCGGCGACGAGCAGCTCCTGCTCCCACACCCCCACTCCTTACCCCACTGACAAAGCAGTGACACCGCGATGGCTCCAGTAACGAACGGACGTCTGCTCTTCAACGAGATCCCCACTGGTGAAGTGCAGCCTCGGACCACTTTTCGCACACCCCTAACCGCTGTATTTACTCCCAGGGTACCCCGAGCCAGGAAAGACAACCATCTATGATACCTCGCAGACTATCGACCTTGAGGACGTGCCGCTCGACGGCGGCGTGCTCATCAAGATTCTCGTTCTCTCCAGCGATCCGTATCTGAGGGGACGGATGCGGGATGCGAAGATCGAGACCTATTCCGTATGTCCTTCCAGAATTCTATGTGCTCATGCCTTCTGACCGATCGAAATTGGCGGATGTCGGTACAATGTGTTGTGCAGGCCTCATTCCAGCTGGGAAAACCGTGAGCGGACGTGCTGCTGAGGAGTCCATGTAGGCTGAAGAAAGACGGATGTGTTCGATCTTCAGAATTGAGAATTTTGGCTTCGGCGTCATCTTGCGCTCTGAAGATCCCGCATTCAAACGAGGAGACCATGTCTTCAGCCGCAAACTGCGTAAGTCGGATTGCTTGTTCTTGTGTCATCTGGCGCCTGACAATATAACCCATAGCTTTCCAGCACTATTCAGTGTTCAAGAAGGAGGAACTCGGTACGCTGCGGGTGCTCAAGAACGAATACAAAAATCTGCCGTGGTCCGTGTACATCGGGGTTTGCGGGATGCCCGGTATGTTCCTGGATCTTTCTCGTGTTTTCAAGTTCGTTCGCCGTATGATGCGCCGTGAGGCTGACCCATCGTGGCTCTGCTATAGGCGCGACCGCATACATGGGATGGAAGGAGTACGCCCACCCGAAGAAAGGTGAGGTAGCCTACGTCACCGCAGGATCAGGTAAGCCTCCCCCTTCTTGGCGCCTTCCCCGCGCACTCATCTCTTCGTCGCCGTCGCAGGCGCCGTGGGCGGGTAAGCTCACTCTCGTTCTCAGTCCCTCCCCCGCGTGTGACGCTCACTTCTTCCAGCCTCGTGTTACAGCTCGCGAAGGCGGATGGCTTGAAGGTGATTGCGTCCGCTGGCACGGACAAGAAGGTTGCGTACCTGCGCGAGCTGGGCGCTGATGTGGCGTTCAACTACAAGACCGTACCGGTGAACAAGGTCCTGCAGAAAGAAGGCCCCATCGACATGTGCATCTTAATTCACCGTTTCGATGGTCCGTTGGTCGCTGATGCTGAGCATGCAGATACTGGGATAACGTTGGCGGCGAGAGCTTCGAGGCTGCGATCACCGCGGCGAACCGACTAGCACGGTTCATCGTAAGTTCTTCACATTTACGCCCCCCATACCTCCCCCTCGACCTCCGCCCTCGTTGACTCACATCGTTTTCCGGGCAGGAATGCGGCACCATCTCGGGCTACAACATCCAAACCCCGTACCACGTCAAGAACCTGGGGCTCATCGTCGGCAAAGAGCTCCAGATCTCGGGGTTCGTCCTCAGCACTCTCTACGCCAAGTACAAGGAGCAGTTCTACAAAGAGATACCGAAGAAAGTGGCCAGCGGCGAGATCAAGTACAGCGAGGACGTCACGGAGGGCCTCGAGAATGCGGGGGAGGCGATTTTGGACGTGCAGCTTGGGAGGAATAATGGGAAGAAGATCATTAGGGTTGCCAACGAGTGAGGCGGTCTGGATCAAAGCGTGCCTGACAATTCGGGTTGAACAGAAATGGGAAGAGAGCAAACTTGGGATCCAACTTCAATGTGTACGTTTGGAATTTGTACAGTACTGATCGTTTATGAGGATTTGATGTACCGGTGGTCTTTTCCTGTCGAGTGCCTTTGATCTGCGAAAGGACCTGCGAATGTGAGACTGCATGCAGCACGTAATCGAAACCCTAACCATAATCTAGGTGATGGAGGGGGAGTAGAAATCAAATAAATAAGAAAGAATAAAATTAAAATAAAAGCAAAAATCGCAAGAGTCGGAGTCCTCACCGGAGCAGTTGCACGTCGATATCCAAAATGACGGAAATCCCAGACTTTGAAGGTAGATCGTTATTACCCCATCGCGCGTCTCGACTATCCATCGATGCACATCAACTTTTCCATCGTGCTATGGCTGGGCTTAAAAGCTTCGTCCAAGCCTACGCTTTAGACCCACCGACCGAAATGTCTCTATTTTCATCGTAATCGTCCACAGCAGCCTCTGTGTCGAAATGACGTACGTGTAGCCACCCTGGGCTGACAACTCCCCCCTGTAGCCTTCCTCGCTTGGTCATCCTATCTCAGGCTGGTCCCCGGGCACCGGGATCGCCTTAAATACCGGCGAGGAGCTTGTTCTTCCACACCCACCACTCGCTTCACCCTATTGACAAAGCGATAACTTCGCAATGGCTCCAGTGACGAACGGACGTCTGCTCTTCACCGAGATCCCCACCGGTAAAGTACACACCCTCTGATCGCTTTTGGCGCACAGGTAATCGTTGCATTTGCTCCCAGGGTACCCCGAGCCGGGAAAGACAACCGTCTATGATACTTCACAGACCATCGACCTTGAGAACGTGCCGCTCGACGGCGGCGTGCTCATCAAGACGCTCGTCTTGTCCAGCGACCCATACTTGAGGGGACGGATGCGGGATGCGAAGATCAAGACCTATTCCGTGCGTACTTCCAGAATTATACGGTATAATCTCTTGATTTCTGACCGTTCGCAATTGGCGAATACCGTGCGATGCGTGGTGCAGGTCGCCTTCCAGCTGGGGGAACCGTGAGCGAACATGCGTAGGAGCCTTTGTGGGCTGAAGAATGATGGCCTCTTTAGAATCGATAATCATGGCGTCGGCGTCGTCCTGCGCTCTGAGGATCCCGCATTCAAAGAAGGAGACCATGTCTCCAGCCACAAACTGCGTAAGTCGGATTGCTTGTTCTTGTGTCATCTGGCGCCTGACAATATAACCCACAGCTTTCCAGCACTATTCAGTGTTCAAGAAGGAGGAACTCGGTACGCTGCAGGTGCTCAAGAACGAATACAAAAATCTGCCGTGGTCCGTGTACATCGGGGTTTGCGGGATGCCCGGTATGTTCCTGGATCTTTCTCGTGTTTTCAAGTTCGTTCGCCGTATGATGCGCCGTGAGGCTGACCCATCGCGGCTATGCTATAGGCGCGACCGCATACATGGGATGGAAGGAGTACGCCCACCCGAAGAAAGGTGAGGTAGCCTACGTCACCGCAGGATCAGGTACGCCACCCCCTTCTCGGCGCCTTCCCCGCGCACTCATCTCTTCGTCGCCGTCGCAGGCGCCGTGGGCGGGTAAGTTCACTCTCGTTCTCAGTCCCTCCCCCGCGCGTGACGCTCACTTCTGCCAGCCTCGTGATACAGCTCGCGAAGGCGGATGGCTTGAAGGTGATCGCATCCGCTGGCTCGGACAAGAAGGTTGCGTACCTGCGCGAGCTGGGCGCTGATGTGGCGTTCAACTACAAGACCGTGCCCGTCAACAAGGTCCTGCAGAAAGAAGGCCCCATCGACATGTGGGTCATAATTCACCGTTTCGATGGCCCATTGATCGCTGACGCTGAGCATGCAGATACTGGGACAACGTCGGCGGCGAGAGCTTCGAGGCTGCGATCACCGCGGCGAACCGACTAGCACGGTTCATCGTAAGTTCTTCACATTTACGCCCCCCATACCTCCCCCTCGACTTCTGGCCTCATTGACTCACGTCGTTTTCCGGGCAGGAATGCGGCACCATCTCGGGCTACAACACCCAAACCCCGTACCACGTCAAGAACCTGGGGCTCATTGTTGGCAAGGAACTCCAGATTTCAGGGTTCATCGTCGGCAGCCTCTACGCCAAGTACGAGGAGCAGTTTCACAAAGAAATACCGAAGGGAGTAGCGAGCGGCGAGATCAAATACAGCGAGGACGTCACGAAAGGCCTCGAGAATGCGGGGGAGGCGATTTTGGACGTGCAGCTTGGGAGGAACAACGGAAAGAAGATCATTAGGGTTGCGAACGAGTGAGGTGATCTGGATCAAGGCGTGCCTGACGATTCGTGTGAACAGAAATGGGAAGAGGGCAAACTTGGGATCCCACTGAAGTACGTTTGAAATGTGTACAGTACTGATCGTTTATGAGAATTTGATGTACCGATGGAACTCTTCCGTGGGTGCCTTTGATCTGCGAAAAGACTGTCAAATGTGAGACTGCATGCAGCTCACAGACACGTACTCGAAACCCTAACCATAATCTAGGTGATGGAGGGGCAGCAGAAATCAAATAAGAAAGAATAAAATAAAGAAATTAAAAATAAAAGATCGCCAGAGATGCAGCACATCGAGATCCAAATTGAAGGAAATGCTGCAGCCTCCCCGGCTTTCAAAGCAGATCTCATCATGCGTCTCGACTATCAAGTTTTTTTTTTTTTTTTTTTTTTTCCCGTTTATTGTCCTCGAGGGCGGAGCCCTATGGTAGACAATAGCTACTGTAACTATCTGTAGTAGGGGACTAGATTGGGATCAAATGAAACATTGTGCCTATGCAAGCATAGGACTTGTGGAATGGGAAAGTGAAAAGGGACCTGTGGGTAAGATGGTAAGTATCGAGGGAATTCATGGGGGGTGGAGGAAAGGTGATGAGGAAAGGCATGCTCGCAAAATGCACATCCAGTGCCCCCGGCGAGTGAACGCTAGAGACCAGGATCTAAACCTGCTGCCCTCGTGGGTGGTAGGAGCTACCCCCGGGTCTTTGCCTCTTGCCGCAGTCAGGGATCCGTCCGGTGGTCCTCCACCGGCCGTCAAAACTCCCCTGATCTCTGGGGCATGGATGTGCTGCCTGGTCGCCTCTATGTACAGTAAGGTGGGGTGGGAGGAGTGGGGTGAGTGCAAAGTAGTGGTAGCGTGGGTGTAACATAAAGGGGGGAGTTGGCCAACGGGGTGTTGTGCTAGGCTCTAGCATGACGGCACTTGTCGAAGGTGTTCAGGTGATTGAAGACAGTCGAGAAGCGACCCGTGGCGTGGATGTAACGGAAAAGGGGCTTGACAGCGCGAGGGGAGGTAAGGAGTTTCGCCAGGGAGCGCGCTGGGCGGCCGAGCTCCTGCGTTAAGACGTCCCGTTGTCGGCGGTACGACGGACATGACAGCAGGAAGTGCTGTACCGATTCTGGGCGGCCGTTGCAGGCGGGGCAGAGCTTGGTCGGGGAGCACTTGATGCGGTGGAGGTGGACATTGAGGGGGGCGTGGCCAGTCCTGAGCTGAATTAGTAGGCTGGCGTGGCGACGTGGGAGGTCAGCAACGAGTTTTTCAAACTTGGGGGATGGAAGGGATGGGTCAATGCGACTGAAGGCGTGTCCGCGCTCGGAGCCTTTCCACGCTGTGGCTGCTTTCGACTTGAGGCATTCAAGGTGACTCTGCCTGAGTTTCGATGAGCTTAGTGGCAGGGGGCTCTGCAGGCTTTTTGGGAGCATTGCGAGAGGACTGGGATCGCCGCGGGCTGCCTTTTTTGCTTCCAAGTCCGCACGTTCATTACCCTCAACATCCTTGTGGCCCGGAACCCAACGTACGGTGAGAGCACTCTTGCCGATCTTGTGCTTCCGAATGAGCAGGTCAACGTCTCTGTGTAGCACGTCGAGGAGATAGTGGCTCGGGGCAGGACGGCGGAGTCGGGTTGCTCGTACGGAGGCCTTATTGTCACCGGCGCACGATGCAGAATAGACTACAAATTCACTGTGGATTAGTTTTACTCCCAGAATGAAACCTACAACTTCTGCTTCGTAGACTGTGTGCTCGGAAGACTTTCCGAGGTAGAACCGGAGGACCTTCGGATTTGCGCGATCGCCCCTGTACAACACTGCTGCTGCTCCTACGCCACTGTCAATGTCTGAACCATCAGAGTAGACTCGGATACCGTGTTTTTCTGCCCATCTTGCTTCCTCCTTCAAGGCGCTGTCCTTGCTGTCTGCAACTGACACTTGGAAGGAGGGGGACCAGGATGGTGAGTAACGGATGGGCGAGATGGTCTCGGTCTTGTCCGGGTCGAGTTGGTATGTCTCGAGGAGTTCATGCAGAGGGGATCGGTGGTGTTTGATGTAGCGTGCACTAGCTTTCTTGACATGCACGTGCAGGGGGTGGGAGGGTGGGAGGGTGCAGAGGTGCACCGCGGCTCTGTGGCAGTGCTTATCAATGAGCAGGGCAAATGGGAGAAGGTTAGCATGTGCTTCAAGGACGTCACTCGCAGTTGTCCTCATTGCACCCATGATGAGGAGTGTTGCTTGTCGTTGTACTCGCGCTAGTTTTTTGATTGCCCCCACTGAGCCGTATGTAGACTTGCGTCCCGGCACGTTCCTGAGGGGGACGAGGAAGACATCAGCAGCATAGAGGATCCGGGGGACTGCGATACTCAGGTAGAGGCGGCGCATGTGGGAGAACGGAATACCCCCAGAGGTCCGTGCCAGGCGGCGGAATTGCTGGACCCAGGCAAATCCTTTCGCAAGTGCTCCTGCTACCTGTTGGTGGAAACGGAGACGGCGGTCAATTGTGACTCCTAGGAACTTGTGAGCTTCGAGCGGCTGGATGTTCGCTGTCTGGAGTTGGAGGGATGGGCCGAGGTCAGGCGACATGGCGGACATGTTGAGTAGGCCGAATTTGTCGAGGGAGAACTCAGACTGGTGTTCGTTCGACCAGGTCATGGCGCCACCTTCCTCGTCCATATACCTGCGGAGAATCTCGTGGGTCTCAATGTAGTCCTTACCAGTTGCAATTATGGCAGCGTCGTCGATGTATCCGAGGGCAAATGAGTGGGGGATTCTGTATGCGATCTCGAAAAGGTCAGAGTTGTAAAATTCATAAAGGATGACTGAGAGAGGGCAGCCCTGGTCAATGCCGTTGATGATTTCAAAGAGTGCGGACTTGAAGTCATCAAACAGAATCCTGGTGTGCCGGCCCGTCAGCCGCTGTCGGAGCCAGTTGACGATTTCCTTGGGGATGCCACGGGATCGCATGTTGTGAAACAGGCGTTCAAGATTCGCGCTCGGAAAGGCGGCCTTGATGTCTAGAAAGAGAATAGATACTACCTGTCCTCGGCGCCATGCGTCCTTCACTGTCTTGACCAGGAGGTGAAGGGAGTCTGTGGAGCATCTACCTGGCCGGCCTCCGAAGTGATTGCGTGCGAGGAGGCCATGCGTCTCTGACTCATAGACAAGGACATCAGCAACGCATGCAGAGAGGATCTTACCGATGCAGTTGAGAAGAGCAATGGGCCGATAGGCCTTGGCAACGGCGTAGTCTGGACGTCCCGGTTTGCGCAGTGCTGCTGTGTTCGATATCTTCCACTCCGATGGGTAGGTGTTGAGGGTGAAGGTTGCACGGAAAAGGCGGCCTAAGTGTAGAAGAAGAAGGTCAATGCAATGTTTGTATACCTCGTTCGAGGCTTCGTCAGGGCCTGGCACTTTAAGCTCCTTCAGTCTCTTTACTGCTGCTGCGATCTGCTCGTCAGTGATGGGTGAGAAGTGGAAGGCCAGTTTGGGGTATCGGTGGGTGGCAGGGAGTGAAGGGGGAGGGCCTGGTGGGGGAAAGAAAGCCCTGTAAAGTATACCGCTCTTGGCCTCATTTTCCTCTGCTGCTGGTGCATTGCCATCTTTTAACGAGGGTACTCGGGGACGGCTGCCATCGGATGGACCGGCCGCTGTAAAACGGTTGATTGTCCAGATGGAATCTGGGTCTGCAGATTCGAGCCATGCTTCCCAGTGGTCTTGCTTGGCTGACTTGATCTCGTCCCCGTAGCGGTTACGTATCTTGCGGTATTCAGCATGTGAGGGGTGGTCGTGGGTGTTGCGGTGCTTATACGACACTCGTGCTAGCCGTTGCACTGCTCGTCGAGACTTCGCGAGGTCTTGTGACCACCAGCGTTTGGTGAAGGGGGGTGGTCTGGACAGCGGGACGGTTGCTTTGATGGTCTCGGAGATGGCATCGGAGAGGTTCTTGAGTACCACGTTGAACTGTTCCAGCGTGGTCAGCTCTCCATGGCCTAGCATGCGCGAGTCAATGTTCCCCTTCAGGCATGTGCGGAAGTCTTCCCAGTCGACCTCACGGAAGTTTCGGCGTGGGGTTTCACGTGCTGGGTGTGGGGTGACATCGAGGGAAAGTGAGATAGGGAGATGGTCAGTGCATGGAGGGCGGAGAGCGGGGGCAGTGTCGCATGTGAGGAGGCGGTCCGCGATGTCTGTGGATGCAAAGATGTTGTCCGGTCGTGTATAGTTCTTTGTCAGGGTGGCTTCAAGTGTGGGGATTCCTTGCGGGAGGAGCATGGAAAGGTCGAAAGCTGCGATGTTGTCTAGGAGAGGTTGGGCCATGGACAGTGCTTCTGGGGTGAACAGGTGGTGGTTTCGTTCCTCATCCCACAGGGGGTGGTGGCGATTAAAGTCCCCCGCCCAGATAACGTTTGCAGCAACAGAGTTCGGGCCGGTGAGCTGTCTTGTAGTGCGCGCCAGAAGGCTGACGGAGTCCTGGTGTCGCTGGTCATTGTAGACATTGAAAATGTGAAGCGTGCCCGATGGCGTGCGAAGTGTGATGGCTGTGATGTCTGGGGAATTGACCTTGATCTACGACCAAGACTCGCCTGCGATTCGTTTGCTGACAAAGATGACTGAGCGTGTGCGCCCCCCTGCATCTGAGTAGTGGGTGTGCGGGTAGACTACTATCCAGTGTGAGGTCGCACGTGTGAGGGATGTGCGAGGGTCGAGGTACGGTTCCTGGAGGAGGACGATGTCGAAGTCAGAGGTGGAAAATGAGTTGATGAGGGCAGATTGTGCTGTAAGGGACTTGTTAAGATTCAGCTGCAGCAGGCGTAACGTGGAGGTGTCATGTGCTGGTGTATCAGGCATGGAAACCGATGGGGGAGGCTCTGGCGTATGAGAGTCTGGACGATGACCGGGAGTTCGAGCGGTGTATGCGAGCCTGGTCCAATGGCTGCCGCGTCTGCGATGCTACACTGGAGTGCTTTGCCTCGCGGGCCCGACGTGCCTGTGAAGGGCGAGGGAACACGTTCGGTTGTGGGTAGAGTTCGTCAACCTCGTTCGCCCAGCTCTGTGAGGATGGTGCATTAGGTGGGGGTGCGAGAGCATGTGGATGGAAGTGTGGAGGTGCCGCAGGTGCTGCGGGTAGTGTTGGCTGGCCTATGGTCTCCCAGGAGAATGGATCATCTGTGGGGAAGAAACGATACTTCGCTTCTGGCTGGCGGTCCTCCATGCGACGGCAGTGTTCGAGGAAGATGGGGCAGTCGCGGTCCCACGCCGCGTGGTCTGCATTTGCTCGTCCTGCTGAGATGCAGTTGCTGCATCTGAAGTCAGTCGGGTCTGCCTCGCATACTGAAGTCCTGTGGGAGATAGAGGAGCAGTTTCCACAAGTATCGTGGATCTGCTTGCAGTCACTAGCAAGGTGCGGGACTCCGATTTTCTGGCATTTGAGGCAACGACGAGGTTCCCGGATCAGCTTTCTAACTGAGACCTGTTTGCTGGCTATGATGAGGCCGTCACAGATGGAGCGGTTAGCAGCAGTCGGGCTGTTAAAACGAAGGATGAGGTGGGCGACTTTCTGGCCTTTCGCTCTGCGTTCCGGAGGTTTGATCCAGCGGGCTTCTTCAATCGAATTCGGGTCAAGGTTGTTGAAGCCCTCGACAACCCGGAGGTAGTTGCTGTTACTTGGGTTGCATGCTACAGGGACAAATTCAGCGAGGACTGAGTGTAAGTGTATCTTCACGCGGGAGGCCTGGTCACCAAAATGTTCTAAGAAGCTTTTCATCACATCAGATCTGCGTAGCCACTTAGCTGATTCTGGGCTATCCAAAGTGTAAGTGATTCCTCCGTTGCGCATGTAGTGAACCGACTTGAACTTGAAGTCTGAAGGGGCGTCTGCCCGTGCCACTCCCATAAGGTCGAAGGCCGTATTTGCTTTGGCGAGGAGTTCGTCTTCGTTGAGGCCTGTACCATCAGCATGCTTACACGTGGCTCCGTCGATGATGACTTGACAGGTCCGGGTTTTTTCTCTAGCAAGGGTCTGTGTATGCGCAGGCGGGAGGGCTTGACTGGCAGCTGCGGCATAGGTTAGTGGTGCAGGTTGAATGTAGCTGCCTACCTGCGGGACGGCCTCCAGTTTATGTGTTTCAACGAAGGACTCAGCGGCTTCCCTCATGGTCCGTCCTGCGTCGGCGGCCATGCCGTGGAGGTTGTCGGAGATGGTGCGGAGAGACTGGTGGGTGTCTTTAATGTCGCCCGCGTCCTCTCCTAGTCGTTGCGCGAGGCTGGATAAGTTGTCAGTACTCTGTTTAGCCTGCTCGCAGGCCTCTGTGGCTGTTTTGGCAATCTTCTCTATTTTTACCTCATATTGCTCAAGGCGGGAGCAAACGTTTGTCATAGCCTTGAGCGTGCTGTGTTCCTGGACAACTAACTCTGAGTACCACGCGAGCGCGACTAGGGATTGCATAAGTTTAGTGTCGGAAGAGCGGGACTTGGCGAGGCGGGCAAGTGCCCGGGTTAGCGTCCTCATTTCTGCTGCCTTACCCGTGGTAGCATATTCGTTGTTGCATAGAAAAATTAGTGCTTTGTCTGGTGTGTCAATGCCGTGGGTGAAGGTACTCAGCCAATCTATTATAGTGGAATTCTTGCTCGTGAAAGGGTCTGTCTTCGAGCGGGTTGCCGGCCGATTGGAGCTTGCGCTCGAGTTCGGCGTGGCTTTTTCAGCGGGCCGATGGCTCATGTTCATTGTTTTTCTCTCAAGTAAGTGCTACTGATTCTCTGAGGCCCGAAGAGGTGCTTGTGGGCGCTCTGCAGCCTTCAGAAAGAACCACACGGATGACCTACTCCTATTGGTCAGGACCGTGGGAAAGTTGCCTGAGATGGTGGTACGAAGCCAAGAGGAGTCCGACTATCAAGTTTTCACCGTAACCGTCCACAGCAGCTGATGACTGACAACTCCCGGGCCCCTGTCGCTTGGTCATCCTATCTCCCCGGGCACCGAGATCGCCTTAAATACCGGCGAGCAGCTTGTTCTACCACACCCACCACTCGCTTCACTCTATCGGCAACGCGATAGCTTCGCAATGGCTCCAGTGACGAACGGGCGTCTGCTCTTCACCGAAATCCCCACCGGTAAAGTACACATCCTCTGACCGCTTTTGGCGCACACCTAACCGCTGCATTTGCTCCCAGGGTACCCTGAGCCGGGAAAGACAACCATCTATGATACCTTGCAGACCATCGACCTCGAGAATGTGCCGCTCAACGGTGGCGTGCTCATCAAGACGCTCGTCTTGTCCAGCGACCCATACTTGAGGGGACGGATGCGGGATGCGAAGATCAAGACCTATTCCGTGCGTATTTCCAGAATTATACGGTATAATCTCTTGATTTCTGACCGTTCGCAATTGGCGAATACCGTGCGATGTGTGGTGCAGGTCGCCTTCCAGCTGGGGGAACCGTGAGCGAACATGCGTAGGAGCCTTTGTGGGCTGAAGAATGATGGCCTCTTTAGAATCGATAATCATGGCGTCGGTGTCGTCCTGCGCTCTGAGGATCCCACGTTCAAACCGGGAGACCACGTCTTCAGCTGGAAGCTGCGTAGGTCCCTTCTCTCCTTATGCTCCATTACTTGGTTCCTGAGGACGCGACTTGTATAGCATTCCAGCATTATTCAGTTTTCAACGGGCAAGACCTCGGTGCACTGCGCGTGCTCCCGAACGAGGAGAAGCTGCCGTGGTCGACATACATAGGAGTGTGCGGGATGCCCGGTTCGTATTCGAAATTTTTCGTGGTGTGATGTATTGTGAGACCGACTCGGACCTGTTGCGGGTATGCTGTAGGCAAGACGGCGTACATGGGATGGACGGAGTATGCCCATCCGAAGAAGGGCGAAGTCGCATTTGTCACTTCAGGCTCAGGTACGCCTCCCACCCTCAGCGTCTTCTGTGAACTTATCTCTTTACTTCATAGGCCCCGTCGGCGGGTAAGTTGAGCTGACCTGAGTCTCGATATCTTCCTGAGACGGATCACCTCCTCGTCAGCACTGTGATCCAGCTCGCGAAAGCGGACGGCCTGAAGGTGATTGCGTCCGCCGGCTCGGACAAGAAGGTCGCATATCTGCGTGAACTCGGTGCGGACGTTGCGTTCAACTATAAGACCGTGCCCGTGAGCAAGGTCCTGCAGAACGAGGGCCCCATCGACATGTGTGTCCTCCTTAGACTGACCGGTCTTTGTGTGAGTGGAGTACGCTGATACTGAGACCGTCCAAGATATTGGGACAACGTCGGTGGCGAGAGCTTTGAGGCCGCGATCGCCACGGCCAACCGACGCGCGCGGTTCATCGTAAGTCTTTACGTCTCTGCATCTTCGCCCGCCCTCCATCTGATCACTCCTTTGTGCAGGAATGCGGTACTATCTCAGAATACAATAACGAAACCCCGTACCCAGTCAAGAACCTGAAGCTCATCCTCTATAAGGAGCTCCAGATCTCAGGCTTCATCGTCACCGGCCTCTACGCCAAGTATGATGAGCAGTTCTACAAAGAGATACCGAAGAGAGTCGCCAGCGGCGAGATCAAATACAGTGAGGACTTCACGGAGGGCCTGGAGAACGCCGGACAGGCAATACTGGATGTGCAGCTTGGGAAAAACAATGGGAAGAAAATCATTAGAGTGGCTGGCGAGTGAGGGATATGGGTCAAGGCGCATATAATGATTCGATTTAGCGAGTGCTGTTAATTAAGAAAAGCGTGTACTGATCGTTACGAGAATATTTAGTGATACGCCATCGGTGCAATCCTGCTTAAAACGTCGGCTGCCTTCAATTTGTGAAAGAGAACTCGCAATGCGCGATTCTCCAGTTCACGAACTTCTCGCGCAGTCCGTAACCGATACCCTAACCATCATCTAGGTCATGTCAAGATCGAAAGACCGAGCTTGAACTAGCACTGGCCCACTCACTACTAGTACTAATTTATCATTTAAGGGCACTCTTAACAGCGGTCGGGAATTAAGCCAAGGAAGAAGCGACAGGAGGTTCATCTTATGAGGTCTGTCAGCCAAGGTTAACGTTGAGGCGGACTGTCTCTCCCGTTGGTCGCTAACGTGAACGGAGACTTTAGGCACGCCCGCAGCCTGACCCAGCGTCAGGTATGATATCGAGGGCCGACCGCGCAATGATTGGTACTGCCGTAGAGACATTGCTAGGATGGATAAAAGCCATCAGGAATGACGTTGAGCCAGTCCATCTTAAAGGCGATTGGTGAGCCTGAGCCAAACCCCAAGTCGCCGAATGTTCTACAGCAGGATATCCCGAGCCCGGAAAAACGACGGTATTGCAGAAGATCGACCTCGAAAGCGTGTTGCTCAATGGTTGCTCGTGAAGACCCTTGTGCTCTCGAGCGATCCATGGCTGAGGCTAAAATCCGGTCCACCGACTGGCACGCAGCGATGGGCTGTGCACTTCGTCCTTTTCCTGTCCATGCATGGTCGACGCTAAAGTTGTTGCACAACTGCAGCCGCCAGGGAGAGCCATGAGTGATTCGTTCCGTTTGATGTGCCATTCATTTCTGACTTGCTCCAAGGCTGAAAAGCTTCGCCGTCGGCGTTGTCCTGCGCTCTGAAGACCGTGGGTTTCAATTTGGTGACCACATCTAGGGAATCATTCGTCAGTCGCAGTGTCATCTCGACGGCGTTCGGACTAACTCATCGGTTGCAGGATTTCAAGTGTGACCAGAGCAAAGAGACTGTCAGCTGTACGAGTTCCGAAAGACGAGACAGCTTTTCGATGGTTATACCTCGGCGTATGTGGTGAGCCGGTGAGACTTGGACGTTCCCTTTCTCCATCCGGATTATTGACCTGCGCCGCAGGGAAAGACATATACATCGACCGGAAGGAGTTCGCACATCAGAAGAAGGGAGACTTTGCCTTCATCACATCAGGATTAGTTATACCAGCTCCACTGACTCTACAAGTAGACACTCACCGCTCCTTCAGGTCCTGTCAGCGTGAGTATACTGAATCATTTCCGATCTGCGAGTGACGAGCCTGATGTCTACTATCCAGCACGGTAATTGAGCTAGCTAAAGCCGAGGGCTTCGAGGTGAATGTCTCTGCAGGCGTCGATGCGAAGATCCGGTCGTCTAGGCGGGGACATCGCATTCAACTAAAAGAACGTGGATAGCCACAAGGGCTTGTAGAACGGTGGCTGGAACTCCACAAATTCTGAGGAGTGGTGTGTCTCCGAGTGGAGAGGACTCCCGCACATGCATACTACCAGCTTCTATCATGCCATCGTATATCCCGGACTAGCCTGAAGGATCCCATGGCCGGGATACGAGGCCAGCTTGAGGAACAAGTTGCGAGTTGTAACGACTAGCGGACTCCTTGGCAACTCAGATTAAAATCTACTCTGATATTCAAAGACGTCGTTCCAGCCTATGAGGATGACAGCCTAACTATTGTGAGTTTAAGAGCCAGCCGCGAAAACTCAGATTCTGAAACACCACTCGAAGAATGAGATTTTCATTGACGTCAGAAGTCAAGGTGTAACAACGATTGCATAAAGCTACCTACCAAGTAGCACTGGCCCACCACTCTTCTATGGGGCCACGCCAGTCTTCCTCCTCGTCCGCGTGCTCGGCGTCCCAAACCTCAGCCAGCCGTTCCAGAGCTTGTTGGCTAACATCTCTCCAAACATTACCTGGCGGCAGCCGTAGCCTATCCGTCGTCGTGATTTCAATGCGGTCACCAGCCCATCGACCGCGATGGAGGTTCCCCGGGTAGGCTGTAGCCATCGACGACCAGCAGAGGAGGGAGGCGAGAACATGCCCAAGCCCGACACCCCCATGGGCGAACGGTCCTTGAAGCTGCCAGAGCGTGACCTGAGCGGTGGCGTCCGCTCGAACAAACTCATACTTCGTCCTGTTGCAAAGCACCCACACGGGCGCCGGCTGGCCTGGCACAACGTAGAGAATTCTGCAAAGTTCCTTGGCGCCGAATTGCTCGCCCAAGGTCAATCTTTGGACGAAGGATATTGGGACCTGGACCTGCCGTTCGAGCCAGTCTACGCTATCAATACCCCTGAAGATGTGGGTCGCGAGATCGTACAGGTCGTTCTCGACCTTTCGTGTTTGCCCATCCTCGTCCGCCGGTCCGTCATCCTGGCCAGCGGCATCGCCTATTCTTTCTTCTTTATCCACTCCGTCGTCATCCTCTCCCACCACCTTCTCCTTACCGTTGGCGAGCAAACCTGCGGGCAAGTCTTCGTCCAACATATCAGAGCCTAAGATGATAATACGGTCACCCACCCATCTCGTCACGCCTGCATTGATGTGGGTGCGAATGTGCTTGCTGCCAATCTCGAGGAGATATCTGCAAGTGAGTGTAAGGGCTAGCTTGTATTGCAGCTCTTCTACCGCGTCGAAGATCATGAGGAGTAGTTCAACCGGCAGGCGTTCAAACTGGCCATAGCGACGGGAGCGGTGGCCCAGGATGGCGCTCTGCGTATGGGCCAGGATGGCGCTCTGAGCATGGACCAGGGACAGAAGACGTCAGCGTAGATCGCATGCGGAGGACAGCGATACTGACGATGTCACCAAGGTTGACCGGCACGTCCAGCGGAATCGCAAGGAGCGGACTCAGAAGAGTGTCCAACATCCGGTCAAACAACCATTCCTCCAAGGGGCCATAGGGTATGAGTAGTGCCTCCCGCTTGTCTAAGTTAACGCTGGGCAGGACATTCCAGTGTCATCTAAAGGTGGTAGCAGAAACGAAGAGACTCACATTTGGAAGTCTTGCCAATCCATGATCGTTCGAAAGTTAAGTCTTACGGATTTCTAAACGCTGGACGGCTCTATCTCAGGCGTCTTATAGCCCTAGACGTACACGAGGCGATCGGTGCGAGGGGCCCCGAACTTGTTTTTTTTGTCTGATAATGGTACAACAGGGTGAGAGGTGAGACTACTCAGCGGTCTAAGCGCAGCATCGCTTTGGTTTTACTTGTAAAACAATGTAGAAAAGTTCCGCGCGATCACAAAGAAAGGAACAAGTCACCAGCAGTCGCCATGGAGAGCGAGAAGCCATTTCTTTGTGGTCAACTTTAGTCATGCACCAATGCACTTGCAATTGCAGAAGCGTCGGTAGACCCCTCCTATGAAATCCTTATTCAGAGGCCATCCGCCCCTCCATCCGAGACCGCTGCGCAAGCACCGATTTCTTGATGAAGACCTCGCCACGCACGTGAAATGTGCAATAGATGACACTCTAATAACCCAGGTCCTCTGCCTGCTTCCCACGACGCTGTGCCGAATTGCACACCCTGATCCGTTAAATCAAGGACTGTGCATTGAACCTGTCCGAGAAGCGCCAATGTGCAACTGAGTTGTGCTTGGGCGGTAGGTGCTACAGCGGTCCGTGCATAGCAGGACGAACTTGAGCACAGGGGCGTTCGGTAAGAGACGTACCACGCCTAGGTGCCTCAATAAATCCAAATGTGCCAATGCGACGGTTCCGGCAAATCAGCCGACTTTGATAGCAGACAGTCACGTAGAGAGGGAATACCGTACCGTGCACCAAAAGTTGTGTGCAACCTGGTGTGTAATGCGTGACCTGAGGTAAGGGAGATCTAGTGAGTCGTTGATTGGTCGAAGTGTCCACGCCGAACGTTGGTACGTGCAGAAGAGTACAAAACAGCCCGGTGAAGGAGCAAGATAGGGTCTGAGGAGTCATTCAGGATGAACAAGAGGGATTTTTTTTCAGCTGTCTGTAGATGGCCTTCATTTACGTCCTCTCCGCTAATATGATGTGGCAAGTCAATCACTCGCCGTTCGGGCGGGCCGCCTCATGCATGTGGTGACCATGTGACTACACGGTGTGGCGTTGGGCGTCAAAGCTATTGCCTTCTGAATGAAACAACCGCAAACAACCGTCGGTTAACCATGAGGAACTTCAACTTTCTGGACTTAAGATAGGCCTCACTCATACCCAACCACTCACGTCGGGCGTCTAATGTCACGCTTACATCAAAATGGTGGGCAAAAGTGCTTGCTCGTCTAATTCCTCTTTCCACAATGCCTTTATCAGAAATGTGTTCCCTGGAGATTGTTAATTAATACCTTCTTGAATATTCCCAGGGAGCACATTTTTTTATTTTGCCCTCGTAGGAGAGAAATTAGGCTGGCAACAACCCAAAGTGAACGGCGACCAAACAGAGCCAACGTCCAGCAGGTAAATATTTGGCTGATAAGTTGCCCTTATCACACCATCCATTATCATATCGGGTATCAGACTTTGACTTATTGCTCCCAAATCAATAGCATCACTCTCGGGCAACTGTCGGGTCACAACCGTGTCACGGCGCTTAGAGTGGTTGGGCATGAGTGAGGCCTATCTTACCTGAGGAAGGTTCTGAAACTTAAAGGAATTATGTTGTCAACCGGATGCACATACCCAGTTTCACACTGGCACGGGTATGGAGGCATTCTGTCGGTCGGAAGACCTACCGGCTCGAGTTGAAGCCGAGCTCGGCGGCGAATTTGCGTAGCATAAGTATGTGGTCTAAGCGGACAGACGCGAGTGACTAATAATACAAAAGGAAAGTAAGTACTATTCATCTGCTTGAACGTGTGGGGTGTACCTTGACTTGGCCATATTTGAGGAGAAAGTTGACCGTTAAGAATTCACAACAATGTTCCACCTGGCCTCATCCCATGTTATACAAGTCCTATACTCATACATAATCCTATGGAGGGACCATTATTCTATCGTTCACTCTCACAGACGACCCTCGCTCTTCGCTTCTCCAGCGTCCGTGGGCACACCCCACCCCTTCTCGCCAACAGCCCCAAACAACTCCGCGAACGCACCCCCAATCTCTCCCAGCATATCCTGCGTAACAACACCTGCACCTCAATCAATCTTTACTACAATTGGCCCAACAACACAGAGCTCACCTCTTCCCTGCTTCGCAAATGCCCTCCTCGACGCCGTCCGTGTGACCATAGAGCCTGCAACAGCCGCCAGTAGCGGGACGCGCGACGCCGGGACCGTCTTATCACCGAATGCACCGTCCAGGTAGCACTTTCCCCACGCGAGCGCAGCGCCGACGGTCCCGCCGAGGATGTCGCCCTGCCCTCCGCAGCGCTTCAGCCCGCCGGGCACGTCTACGTGCAGCTGCTCCTCTGCAGACTCGCCTTCGGGAACTTGGCTGAGCCGTGCGTCGGCGGCGCTTGCGGGGCCGGTGTTCGTGCAGATAATGTCTTCCGCACCCTTTTGGAGAACGGTCACCCCGCCGAGAGCGCGGGAGACGCGGGAGGCGCGCTCATCCGCGGGAGTTGATGGGTCGACTTTCTGCAAAGCTGGTTAATATGAGTGCAGCGAGACCAATACCTAGAAGGAAGACTAGGGCAAAGCATGGCAGGAGGGCTAATAAGGCAGCGTGAGAGACTTACAACGTTCTCGCTCAGCCGCTTAAACTCGACAACGTTGGGAGTAAGAACGGCGCGGCGGTATCCGTGTATGAGAGATGTATCCTGTCCGATCAGCCATAGCGCATCCGCGTCAAGGACGACAAACATGCCCTACTTCAGGATAAGCGCGAATTCAGAATCAGAGAGTGTGCAGAATGTCTCGCACCTGTTCTTTCGCGATGTTCAGTGCCAGTTTGGCAAAGTTCTGCATGTAATCTTCTCGCCCGAGCCCTGGACCTATTACGAGGACATGTAGGCGACCGAGGAGCTCAGAGAGCGTGGGACGTAGAGTTTGTGGCGTCCTGAATTGCCACATGTTCAGTTTTCGGCAGATCCGGAGTGGCAGAAGAGCTTACGTGTCTTCTCTGAGAACAGGGTGCACGATCAGGTCAGGAGAGTATGACTTGATCGCTCCGGCAGCGGTTGGCGAGCAGATAACATGCGAAAGGTCTGCTCCCTGTGTAGCTGATTAGATGGGTGATAGAGGAGAAGCAGGGCACTCACGATACGGAGGGCGGAGATGGCGGCAAAGAATGGTGCGCCGGTGTAGCTGCAGCAAACTTAATATCAGATTGCGGGTATTATACAGCGAGAGAGGGAACGTACTCAAGGGCACCTCCGAGGACGCCAACACGACCGGACTGGCCTTTGTGGAGGGTGCCGTTGAGCGGAGGTATTAGCTGCTTGATTTGCTCGAGAATTTTCTTGGGTATGGGCATCGTCTATGGTTACCCTGAGAACAATATAAGACAAAATTATGTGTTCAATTCGCTCGATCAGAAAGATGGTGGTGAGAAATCGTTGCGAGGAATGGTCGTGGCTGAGCAAGCCGCCGATGACGTTTGTTTGGGACTCAGGACCTCCTAGCCTGTGGTTAGGTCCAGATCGCAAAACGCGATCACGTGCACTCTACGCGTGTTATTTGTGTAATTGTTAGTTTGTTACAATTTGGCAGCTCGCGTCGAGTCTATCTTAAGCCATTGTCTCTTAAGGAGCCAATCAGGTTACAGCTTTATACTCTCATGTGTCTTTCCCCTTGTTTCTTGCAGCATAGAAGATAGATTTCATGTGTTCTACAAAATGGATCAAAGCCGAGCGCGAACGGAGCAATTCTATCCGGCTCATTCTGCTGGGTTCTTGGCTTTTCGACCTTCGATCAGACTCGACCTCGTTCACCTGACTTTGTCCAGGATCTCATATAGTCCGAGTTTCTCACAGGATCGAAGCTGTTCTAAGCAACCAGCTCGTTCTATCTCGTTCGGCCCCCCATTGTCGATCCGAATTTGCCCGTGGCGCGGGAACAACGTCCTTCGCGCGGTCATCGCCCTCTCCACACAGGCCAGAGAAACTCAAGTTGAGCATGTTTAGGCGACAACGGAACGCACAACCGGGCGCCCAGATTGCTTCAAATACTGTGGCAAGCAGCTCGTTTTCCTCCTGCCCCCACACCTACCGCCTCCTTACCCTATCGACAAAGCAGTGACACCGCAATGGCTCCAGTAACCAACGGACGTCTGCTCTTCAATGAGGTCCCCACCGGTGAAGTGTAGCCTCCGACCACTTTTTGCGCACTTCTAACCCCTGGCTTTTAGGGTACCCTGAGCCGGGAAAGACAACCGTCTATGATCCCTTGCAGACCATTGACCTCGAGAACGTGCCGCTCAACGGCGGTGTGCTCATCAAGACGCTCGTCTTGTCCATCGACCCTTATCTGAGGGGACGGATGCGGGACGTGAAGGTCACGACCTATTACGTGTGTCCTTCCAGAATTCTATGTGCTCATGCCTTCTGACCGATCGCAATTGGCGGATGTCGTACGATGTGTGGTGCAGAACGAGTTCCAGCTGGGCAAACCGTGAGCAGATATGCTACTGAGCCTAAGTGGGTTGAAGAATGACGGACTACGATCTTCAGGATCGATAATTTTGGCTTGGGTGTCATCCTGCGCTCCGAGGATCCCTCATTTGAGCAAGGAGACCATGTCTTTAGCAACGAACTGCGTAAGTCGTAATCCTCGCTGAGTCCTGTGACCCTTGGCGGCTGACAATGTAAAATTCAGCGTTCCAGCATTATTCAATTTTCAAGAAGCAGAACCTCGGCACACTGCGCGTGTTCACGAACGAGGAGAAGCTGCCGTGGTCGGCATACGTCGGGGTATGCGGGATTCCGGGTATGTTCCAGACCTTTGTCATCTTTTCGAGTTCGTCCGCCGTATGATGTACCGTGAGACTCACCCATCGTGGCTGTGTAATAGGTAAGACGGCATACATGGCTTGGAAGGAGTACGCCTACGCGAAGAAGGGCGAGGTCGCCTACGTTACCGCAGGCTCCGGTACGCCATCCTTTCTCCGCGCTGTGCTCGCACCTATCTATTCATTGCTATCGCAGGTGCCGTTGGCTGGTAAGCCCATTCTTGTTCTCAGTCCCTCCCGTCCCTGTGATGCTCACCTCTCCCAGCCTCGTGATCCAGCTCGCAAAAGCGGACGGCCTGAAGGTGATTGCGTCCGCCGGTACGGACAAGAAGGTGGCGTACTTGCGCGAGCTGGGCGCTGACGTGGCGTTCAACTACAAGACCGTTCCTGTAAACAAAGTCCTGCAGAACGAAGGCCCCATCGACATGTGCGTCATAATTCACCGTCTCGATGGGTCCGTTGGTGGCTGATGCTGAGCATGCAGATACTGGGACAACGTCGGCGGCGAAAGCTTCGAGGCTGCGATCGCCACGGCCAACCGATTCGCACGGTTCATCGTAAGTCCTTCGCGTCTACCTTTCCCTCGTTAAATCACACCACTATCCGGGCAGGAATGCGGCGCCATATCGGGCTACAACACCCAAAACCCGTACCACGTCAAGAACCTGGAGCTCATCGTCAGAAAGGAGCTGAAGATTTCAGGGTTCATCGTCGACAGTCTCTACCCCAAGTACGAGGAGCAGTTCTTCAAAGAGTTCCCGAAGAAAGTGGCGAGCGGCGAGATCAAGTACAGCGAGGATGTCACAGAGGGCCTCGAGAATGCGGGGCAGGCGATTTTGGACGTGCAGATTGGGAGGAATAATGGAAAGAAGGTTATTAGGGTGGCCAGCGAGTGAGAAAGGCGCACCTGATCATTCGGGTTGATTGAAACGAGAAGAGGGCAGACTGATTGAGATCCAACTGAAGTGTGTACCTGTGAAATTTGTACAGTATTTACTGATCGCTGTGAGAGTCATTATATACCGCTGGCCCGTTCCCGGGAAGTGCATGCGAAGGGACCCGCCGCAATGGGAGACTGCATGCAGTTCTACAACACACACCCGAAACCCTAACCATAATCTAGGTTCGGAGAGGAAGTGGAAATAAAAGTATAAATAAAGAAATTATTAGAAATAAAATAAAAATTGCAAGGGATGCAGCTTGAGTCCTTTCCGTCAGAGATGGCAGTGACGGGGTCTGACCCCCACTGGAGGCAAAAGTGGATGTTCTGCCTTGGAACAGTGTCTGAACATCCAAGGAACAGATTACATTTTTGGACATGTCACATGTTCTGAACATGGTAAGGAACATCTAATATGTCTCGCACAATGTTCCATTGAAGAGCATGCTGGAGACATGTTGCATGTACCATTCTGGAACATATAATATGTCTCACACAATGTCTCATTGGAGAATGTCCTGCAGACTTGCTGCATGTTTCATTCTGGAACATTTATCATTTTGCTACTATATTCTGGGCTTGTCTCTTGGTGCAATATGATCTGTATAATAAGGATTTCTCATGGCCAAACACATTACATTTCTGGCCACCATTAATCTTCAGAACATTGTGAGAAGATGTTAAGTGCTTCTACTCCAAACATATAAGATGTCCTGGGCACCAAGAACATCTGCAGTACATGTATAATACATACTAAAATTTTACTAAAATTTTACATGTACTGCAAATGTTCTTGATGCCCAGGACATCTTATATGTTTGGAGTAGAAGCACTTAACATCTTCTCACAATGTTCTGAAGATTAATGGTGGCCAGAAATGTAATGTGTTTGGCCATGAGAAATCCTTATTATACAGATCATATTGCACCAAGAGACAAGCCCAGAATATAGTAGCAAAATGATAAATGTTCCAGAATGAAACATGCAGCAAGTTTGCAGGACATTCTCCAATGAGACATTGTATGAGACATATTATATGTTCCAGAATGGTACATGCAACATGTCTCCAGCATGCTCTTCAATGGAACATTGTGCGAGACATATTAGATGTTCCTTACCATGTTCAGAACATGTGACATGTCCAAAAATGTAATCTGTTCCTTAGATGTTCAGACACTGTTCCAAGGCAGAACATCCACTTTTGCCCCCAGTGCCTGTCAAGCCAGAGGTCATGACCCGTCCGACCCCGAAAGGTCAAAAAGGTCAAGGGTCACCGCGTGACCGACGCACGCGCACAACTCAATGGCACGCAACATATATTTCGTACAAAACTGGTTCATTCGTAGAATAGATCTTGTCGTCTCGAAAAAGTAGACAAAATTAGCTTGAATCCCGTCACCTACAAATTGTCATGGTGGGCTATCTTGATATATTATACAACCCATTGTCCGAGTCATTCAAGGGCTACATACCATCCTTCCAACCTCTCATAGGACTGATTTTGTAGTCTGGCTTTGGGAGACTAAGGGCTACAGGACTGTTTATGCTACTCCTCAAATTCCTCTGAAGGTCATGTGTCCGGGAGACTTGCATCCATGACAGCATCCAGCCCCAGGGCCTGCATGCATATCTCATGAAGTTTCATAGTCATACAGCAGACACACCACATCCTTGGATTGACTACTTGTTCATCCAGTTTTGGCCTTCTTTAGAAACCCTTCCGGACTGGGTGGGGGACATAGCAGAAAGCATGCACATAGTGCCAGAGGGAAGGAATAAATATATGTTGTGCTACACAGTAAGTTAGACACTGCATCGCCAGTGTTAAGCACCAAGCATTTAGTCGCTGCCGAAGCTGCCGAGCCGTGTCAGTCATGCCTTGACGCGCTGACCTCCGTGACCCTGGGGGTCAGACCCCGTCAAGGTCACTTATTGTGAGGTTGATCACTACTACTCACTCGGCTGTTAGGCCATGGGTCACAAGCGCATGAGAGGCTCATGCGGTTGGGGCCATATATTTATACTACACATTAATTCTAGGAGATTCCAGTATGTTCTCCGACATACCTATGTGCTGACTAATATATGTTTCCTGATTGGGAAACCACCAGCCCTAACACTCCCCCTCAATCTGGAAACACCTTACTGTGCTCCCCCCTCAATCCTGGCATCTCCTATGCCATCCAATATATTTTTCCTTTTGACCCTGAATACCTCAAATGTTGTGGGAGCCCTATGCTCATGACAAGAGAGCCAATGCTACCATCTCGCCAGATCCTTCGACCATGACAACAGAGCCGATGCTCTAGTATTCCCACGGATCCTTCCAATTCGGGAACTCTGTCCCTCGTCCGCGACACACGCGTAACGTTCAGCTCGCCATTTGCACACTGTCTTCAGTTGCACCTGGCTCCAAGGGTTCTCTGCACACTATACTAAATGCCAGTATACCCTGCCGCCATGCTTCACCAACTCCGGCAGTGGCGACCCTGCCTAGTTGCGAAGACTTTCGACTTGACCTGCTCACGGGGTCCTACCCGTATCACAGTACAGTCTCCTATGCGCCTACGGCCTCGGCGACCTTTCGTGGTACACTCTGTTACCAGATCGGGCCGTATACAAACTATCCCCCGCGGCGTGAATAGTAGGTATGCGCTTGTATTGTGAGGTTGATCACTCACTGCGTTTTCGCCGTTCTAGTAGGGGGTCTGCTACGAATAGGCTACGCCAGATAAAATACATAGTTTGATGGGTAGCCGAAATCGCAATGTGAAGATAGGCGGAGTAGGGCAGATAGCGAACATAGCTGTGACCCCCACTGCTATGTCATAAATCTTGATGTGAAAGATGTGTGCTAGCCCACATAGCTTATGCATCGCATTTGGTGCACGATCTCACTTATCTACGACCATCTGCTACGTGAGCTATACTACATCACTGTGCTCCTTTCTATACAGGCTTTCTGGTGTACCTTGCACCAGCTACATTGGCTATTCCACGTAGCGATTTCAAGCTTGACGTACATATAACTAGTGCTAAGTTCAGGCCTCCATCGGCCCAAGCGCATCATCGTGTCCAAGGTCAAGTTCACCTGGCGTACACTACATGCTGGTTCCGCGCCCTTCCATCCACAGATTCACTGGCCCGTTGACCGCTGTCTAAACATATTTCTGGCGTGCCGTCACCGTCACCTTAAGAGCGAGGAGTGCTGCGTTGCCTTCTATCTCCATGACATGGTCTCTGCATGCTCTTGGTCTCTCGGGTCATGGCTGAACATGCGATGTGCTCTACAATTCTTGTGTTTGTCCAAAGTTGGGATGCTCCATTGACACCTCTCGTGACAGGTATGTGAGAAACAGACTGCGTCGCAAACCCCATCGGAAGATCGACATGCAAAGTCTATTCTGTTGCAGGTGTGATTAGGTATGCAGTAGGGGATGTGAGCGCATCAGGAGTATCTACTATTAGTATATAATGGAATAGATGGGTGTTGTTGATGGTAGCCATGGAGCATCGCCAATATAGCTGAAGTTTGATATTTCTTGTAGCCTGGAAAGTGTATGCTGTAGCTTCTAGACTGCTAGTGACTACGTGCTGCGCGGCATAGCCAACGTATCACCTTGTTCACTACAGGGGATCGCACAGTGAAAGATACACTTGAAGCTTGGTAACCCAGCTTGGGGGTTGATATGCAGAAATATGCGGCGTAGCCCAGGTCCTAGTTATACCACGTATCCATGGGGGTATCTTGCACCTAGACATAAGGGCAAAAACGCAGTGACTACTACTCACTCGGCTGTTAGGCCATGGGTCACAAGCGCATGAGGGGCTCATGCGGTTGGGGCCATATATTTATACTACACATTAATTCTAGGAGATTCCAGTATGTTCTCCGACATACCTATGTGCTGACTAATATATGTTTCCTGATTGGGAAACCACCAGCCCTAACATCACTGACCCCGTCAAAGGTCAAGGGGTCGAGCGTGACCTTGCCATCCCTGCTTTCCGTTGCATTAGGCCCAGATCACAGAACGCGATCACATGTACTATACTCATGTTATTCGTTTAATTGTTAGTTGGCTACAATTTGGCATCCTGACCCCAACTCTGGCATCATAATTTCGCGTGAAATTGGTACACTATATAACATAACATCTACTTCAATCTTTATCAGACCTGTCTGTCCGGCACATATCCTACAAACCAGCACGCGTCAAATCGGCAAGCGTAGACTTCACCTGCTTGTCGAGCCTCCTGGGACCTGACGGCCCCTCTTCGAGCCCATTGCCCAGAGGAAGCTCCGCACGCCAGCGCCAAGTATATGTGAGTTCAATTTTGGGCTTCTTCTCTATGACGTCCTTGACGTACTGGTAAACATCCACGGGACAACTTCAGCACCGTGCACGTCATAACACAGAAGAGGAGCCTCACCTTGCCTAGAATCGGCGTAAACTTGGCGCCGTGCCCGCTGCCGCCCGTACAGAGAACGAGCGAGTCCCCATAGCCAGGGACGTAATCGACGAGGAACGAGTTGTCGACCGTGTCGGTGTAGAAGCACAGCCTGGTATATGCGATGGGGAGAAGTGCAAGCTCGGGCATGAAGTTTGACACGAACTCTTTGATCGCCTGAACAGAGTTGAGCGGGAGGGAGGTGTCGTCGACACCGGGACGAAGCGGGATGGAAATGGGACGTGAACATCCAGGGAGTGTAGCATAATTGGTGTACTATCGATTAAAACATCAGAAAATCTGGCACTAAAAAGGTGAGTAATACGGACTTTCGTCACCCGGTACCCGACCTTGACAAACCCGTCGTCGGTCCTAGGGAACGCGTATATGTTACGGGGGCCGACTTCCCCCCCACCGGGATCCCGAATATGCCCTACTATAACAGGATGCTGCGCAGCAGAGTACTTGTCCCACAGCTCGGGAGCTTGTTCACGCGGAGGAAGAGCGATGGTGAGCACACTTCCAGCTGTAGCCTCAACCACTTCGCTTGCTTCTGGAACAATCATAGGGGTCGCAGATCCACCTTTTCCGTCGATCAAGTCAAGATCTGCAGCATTAAGAGCTAACCTCACACTCACCAGCCACGACAACCAAGTCTCCGGGGTGCTCCTTCTCATCTTTGGTGATGATACCGACGATCTTCCTTGAATCGCCCGAGCCCTTAAACTTGAACGAACTGAAGGTACCCTTCTCTGGACCGAATAAAAACTTCGCGCCAAGGGGGCGTAACTTCTCGGCCAGGTAGGCACACGCCTCGCTCGAATGCACATAGCCCGCAGACGTATCTAGTACAGCCTCGTAATGTTCCTTCTCCGTCCCGGGAATCGCGAACTGGCGCAGCTTGCTGCCCCAGCCATTATCGGTGGCCCTGCGCACGTCCGCCTCGCTGGACAGCACGTACTGCGAATCCTTCAGCCCCTCCTTCGCCATGTTCGCCTGCGTCTTGCGCTCAACGTCGTCGAGCGTGCTCGAACTCTGAATGCGCAACATGCCAGACTCGACGAAGAGTTCGCGCCCCGGCCCACGCTCCGCATTCCACCGCTTCCAGACGTCGCGTGCTTCGTAGGCCAGCCGCTGATAGTGTAGCTCATCGCCGTACGACGCACGGAAGACCTTGTTCGGGTCGACGGACGCGGCGGTGGACGTCGGGACATAGGTGTACCCCTGCTCCGAGTCATACGGGTGCTGGTCGAAGAGGGTGACATCGTAGCCTTGGAGACCAGATCAACGTCTTCAACTTGGAGGATAGAGGAAGACAGACGCATACCATCCTCGGCGAGGTAGTACCCCGTACTAAGACCGAAGATTCCAGCGCCGACGATGAGAACTTTGGGCTTGGTGGGCGCCATAACCGGCTCGGAGGGAAATGCTGCACCGTTGATCAGGCTGTCCTAGAGGGATTATATATCACTCGGGATCACTGGAGCCTGTGGTGGAGATTCGCCGTATCGGCGTATCTAAGACCATTGAGCAGCGACGCAGGTATCATGCCGGGGCTTCTCCAGAGCCATCAAGCACGAGATCGACCAGCTGTTACGAATGCGATACTGGGCTTGATTAATGATTTTCCATGTGCCGGGGTGCCGTTCCGAAGAGGAATGGGACCAAAACATGTATCGAAAGTGGATGTGTCGCCAGCGTCGGTCTGAGTGTCAGTTCATGTCGTGATCGACGATACACTGTACGATCGATCTTATCCAATCTGACCTCTCATGCTTCATTCCAACGATGCAATGAAGTCTGAAGCTCCAGCTTGAGACTGTGAAGAACGGTGAAGATTGACATAGATGTTGCGAATACGCGGACGATCGCTCGCCACGGCTCCCTGACAAACAGGCTGCGGCCATTGACACCCGGAAGAGACTTGCGGGATAGACCGTTCAGTGGAGAAGGTTGCGGTCAACGCGAAGGAGACCGACGAAGGTAATTTGAGGAAGTGAATCAGAGCGAATCCACGACGTGGTAAGACACGCAGGTACGTCCTACTGTTCACCACCAAAAGTACTTCAATTCACGAGATGCGGGGAACTAGTATGGTGGACCGCTACTTGTTGTTGGGCGACGACCGCTGCGTTCCATAATATTTGTTATTGCATCAGAGGGCGTGTAATCCAAGATTCCACAAGTGATAATATGACGCAGTAGTTCGAGCATTCATCTACAGACTCTTTATCATAGTGACGCTATAGTGTCATAGGCTAGCATGCCATCCGTTCGTTCTCTCGACGAAGTGGCGTGCCGTTCATGCTATACGACCCACTCAGGACACTGAGGGTGCACATATAACTCAAGCCAACGCATATAGAAGTATCGAGTTGGGAGATGGAGCAAATACTGTATATCAAACCGGTGTGAAGTAGATGCACAACCGAATCGAACAACAAAGGGAAACTAATAACTGAGGGCGGTCACAAACTCGACGAAGATACGGTGCTACAACACTGAGAGGCGCTTCCACAGCTGATCTATGGGCAAATGTCAGCTTGGCGTTTCGGAGAAATTTGCTGCAATAGAAACCGCGGCACCACTTACCATGAAACGCGAGGTCAACGATCAAAACCTGCGTGTGATGTGGACGCCTCCGTAGGGGGCACCATATTGGCGAGTGGGAGTAGGGCCTGCCCATTCATAGCCAACGTGTCCACCGACGCTGGTATTTCTTCCCACCTCGCGCTCAACGGTGACATGAGCAAATCCACCCGAGTTGGTAGCATTGACGGTGGGTGTAGCAGACCACGGAGACTTAGACTGCTGCAGGCCACGGTTGAGATCCTTGCAGAGCTTGTCGCAGGCGGCTTCCATTAAAAAATTAGCAGGGTAACATCTCCAAATTACGATGCCTCACACATGATGACTATAGAGGTAGCTTTGACGAGGGGAAGAGAGCTGTTACTGGGCTGCTTGTACTGCGAACCAGTGGTCTTGTATGCGGTGCTACTGTCGCCGGCATGGCAAAGGCATGGGTGCAGCAGTTGGTGATGTTATCCTGAATTGAGAGGACTCGCGTACAAGGTATGCTCAGCAGGAAGGAGTCCTGACGCGCGACCATCCTTTTTCAGGAATATCAAGGGTCCAAAGCATGCATTCAGAAATGAACGCACCGGACGTAAGCGCGGAAAGTGTATCGAAGTCTTAGAGAATCCAGGGAAGAGTCTGGGAAATCAAAATATCGCCTGTCTTCCTTGCAACCCCGCACCATTCGATCAAGTGCAGGTTTCAACGTGCGATGAGCGAGCCTGGGGAAGGTTCAGAAGAGATGCCCTAGCACGAGAATTTCCTTTGCCTCGATGATACTGCCCACGAACCAGTTTGCTCATGGACGATCTTACAAACATCCCGTGGCCCATGCAGTACAAACTTATAGACGCAACGAACATGCCTGAAAGACATGAAAAATGCTATGTAGTGAGCCTCGGGCAACTGCGATCGCCACCTGCAGCTTTCACATTAGAAGGAATTTCAGCAAAATTCAAGCAAAAGATACCAACATTCAATAAGGCCCATGGATCAAGGAATGTTAATAACGACTCGACCTCCCACGTACGGGGCACCGGCGCCCGGCCGAGTGGGATCGGCACCTCTCCACTCGTAACCTACATGTCCACCGACACTCCCTCTGTTCTTCGGTAGCTGATGATCGATATTGATCTGGGCATGACCACCTTGATTGTTCCACTGAAGATTTGGTTTCACGGATACAGGGGGGTCGACACTCGCTCTATTCTTCGGCAGCTGATGACCGACATTGGCTGGAGCACGAGCACCTTGGTCGCTCCACTGAAGATTTGGTTTCGACGATACGGGGGGGTCACCGTAGAGCTTGAGAGGCTTGTCATCCTTACCGGCATGGACAAGCATGCCCGGAGAAAGGATAGTGGCAAGGACTGCAAGGACACGTAGAAATGAAACTGACACGAGTCAAAATTGAAGCACAGAAGATGGCCATGGTTCACCACGGACTCACCCATGCTCGAAGTAGCCGCTAGAATGCAACGAGATCGCTGCTTATTGTATGGCACGCAAGAAGTATCTTATATGACCTCTACAGGCGCCGGCGTGGCTGCTTGACGGCTCGGACATCGACATCTGTGATTCTATCCATATGGGCACACGAAGGGCGTGGACTAAAGCTATTCCCAAAATGTTGACAACCTGTGTGAGAAGCTCGGAAATGAACGTATCCAGCTGATTAGTGCATGTAGTCAGAATCAGACGCAGGCTTCGAGGGCAACGTACGAATTGTGAGAAGCTCCGAACCCTGAGCCCCAAAGGTTTCGAGAGAACATCATACCTGGCTAGCCCCATAGAAGACATACCATGGCACAAATTAAGGAAGTGATTTAAACTGTGAGGCATTGGCCGAATTTAGTCAACGCACAAGGACGAAAGGACGCAATCTACAAAAGACGTGTTCAGGGTGCAGGACTAATGAGAGAGTAGCTCATGGGCTCATCGTGGAGAATGATAGAGTCAACTTGTCATTGCGTGAATCAGCTCAAAGTGCCGGTATTGGCTTGCAATCATCAAGGCGTCCGAAGTCGAATTATCAGTGGGAAGTGACGATGACTCGGAAACGCTCCTCTTATGATATCGTACATCGGAAACCAGATTCCACTGGCTAAGCCTTTGGAACTCAACAAACGGCCGTTCTTTCGCACAGATATTTTCTTCGCCTTGGTTGTTTGCAGTTGTTTGATTCAGAGGCTAATAGCTTTGACGCCGAGCGACCTCCTACTAGTGCTCCGCAAGATTATTATTATAATTTATTATAATTATAATTAAATTAAAAATACGATTAAATAGTCTGGGACCAGATAATATTATAAATCCATTATATTATAATATGGACATGTTATTTAATCATACTCGGAATACACTACACATGTTCTAGGAGGAATCTGAAGAAATTGTGCTTCGGAACAGTTCTTTAGAGTTGCAGCTATTTGTGGGAAATTCTCGTAACCAACGTCTGGAGCGTATGTGAGCCCGGACATACCATAGAAGGGAATGTGATGTTCCATATCAGGTAAGCCTACCTCGTCAGAAGGTCACCTCCAGGCACCAAACTCTGAATACCGGGAAAATTGTCCAATAATCCATACTTGGGGACCTTCCCAGGGCAATTTTGGGCTCACATAATACTGCACTGACCCCTTTTGAAAAGGCGTGACCGTAATGAATTATAATAGAATACTTTAGATTATATTAGACCACCATTAGATATCTGGCTAAGGTCTTCAAGTAATAATACATAATATTATTATTTGCCTTCGTGGTGTATTTAATCATAATTGCGGAGCCTCCTACTCTCTGTCACGATACTCTCGCCTTAGCACTCGTCACCATGTCCGGCATTATGCAAAAGATGTGCCAAAAATATATCCACGCTTTGGACGCAGGATCTCACCTGCATTCTACTTACTCATCTGATGTCCAGGACGACGTGCTTCTGTGTTCATTATACAAGCTTCAAGACCTCGTGTATTTGCATACCCGTGTTTTCCTCGAGGTGCCCGAGATCTAGGGTCGTGTGCGTGAAGACACCGTGACGGGCGGGCTTCTTCAATCAACGTGAATACTTCCTGGAACGGATTATCCCGAAAAAACGTTTTGCATCATGGCTTCCGCGTGTTTTGTAAACGCTGAATCGTCCCTAGTGGGTTCCACAGCTACCAGGCAGTGTTCTTCCTCTCTACCACGACAAACATCCGCCTCCTAGCATCTCGATCCCTTAAACAATGGAGTCATCTCGTCCTGCCTCACCGGTCACATTGACACCGCAGTGGGCACAGCGTCCATTTGACAACCCTGCTGCGAATATCATCCTCCGTTCATCCGACAACATCGACTTCTGCGTCCACAGCGTCATCTTGTCCGAAGCATCTCCGTTCTTCAAAGACATGTTTAGTCTCCAGCAGCCCCTTGTCGATCACAACAAACCTGAAGGCTTGGACGATTATAGAGACGGCCGTCCCGTGATTGTCGTCGGAGAAGGTAGTCGGACGCTGGACAGTCTACTGCGTCTTTGCTACCCTATCGCAGGTCCGAAAATACAGGCGTTGACGGAGGGTCCGGCAGTGTTGGAAGCAGCCCTGAAATACCAGATGGAGGAGGCGACAGGAATTATGTCCAGGGCGTTGATGATGTTTGCGGCCGATCAGCCGCTACGTATATGGGCAATTGCGTGTCGGCTTCGTCTGGAAGGAGAGGCCAGATATGCAGCAAGATTTACCCTTACGCGGTCGATTTTTGATGACTTTCCCAAGGAGATGCAAGAGGTAACTGCAGGTCCTTACTTCCGGTTGCTGAAGTATCATCGACTGCAGGGAAACGTTGGAGTACATTTCACCTTCCTTTCTCCAAACTCTCCCAAGCATGTTTCCCAAAGCTCACAGGTGACCGATAGCTCCTCGCTGGACTTCGTCGGTTATCCATTCGCGGATCTCATATGTCGCTCGTCTGATGGTGTCGAATTCCTTACCCACAAAGTGATACTCTCAATAGCTTCGCCGATCTTACACACTCTCATCACGAGCCTGCCAGCCAATCAGGTGGACACAGACCAAACTTTGTCTCCAAACAATCTTCCTATCCTGAGCCTCGAGGAGAACGGTCGAACTTTGACAGCACTCCTGAAATTGTGCTATCCCGTGGAAGAATCTTCTACGAAGATAGATGACTTCAGCATCGTTCAGAGTGTTCTCGAAGCTGCGAAGAAGTATGATATGGCAAGGGTGGCTCCAGTGGTCAGGAAGCATTGGGCTTCACTGGCTGACGCAGAGCCTCTGCGAGCCTACTTCACAGCAGTGCAGCACAACTTCGACGAATGCGCCAGACAGTCAGCCAAAAACGTGCTCGAAGGCCCCATCGAGAATGCGTATGTTTCAGAAATGGAGGACGCACCTGCCCAGGCGTATTATCGACTTCTCCGGTACTATCATGCCTGTCAGGATATTCTTACTACTGCGTTCACGCAGTACGGCGACAAAATCAAAAAGAAAAATGAACTGACCAAAGAGGAGATCTTTGACCACAGTTGCTCCTGTAATGCACCCGCAACCGAAGTCAGGATCAACTTACCGGACTCTTTGAAGGAGTATGCCACTGGCCAGTCTTATAGTGTCGGCAGCAAATATGTCAAGATGCGTTTTGGATGCACCTGTAAATGGAAGGGCTGGTTCAATCAACATTTTGCGAGTTCAGCGCAGCTGTGGCATGACTCTCCTGCGAAGGCACGCTCATGTGATAGCTACGTGACGAATCTGCTCAAGACTTCGGTCGACAATTCGAGTTGGTGCTCGTCGTGTCGCCCACTTGCCGAACGATTTGCGGACTTTGCTCGAGATATTGGCTCATCTGTCAACGGGCGAATGGCTCAGGTGAGCATTTGCAGCCAATGGTCTTCATAACATTTGTCTGTCCATCTGAATTCGCTCTGACTTCATTTTGGGATAGGTGCAGCTCGAATTATAGGCTGGTCTCTCACGATCGAGTAGCTGGTTCTACTTGTCGCCAAACGTGTGTGATATATCGAGGGCCCAATTGAACGTATACATCCCAAGGATCTTGTTATGCTCGCTGTGCTTTTGGTTTTTGGTTTTCCGACGAATCCTCGACCTATGCATTATCTTTAAACCTTTGTCGTCAAAGTCTTTTGCGTACACTTCGGCATGTCCGTGAGTCTTCTTACCTGTTCTTTGCGATAACACGATTTTACGTACACAATCACGTGGACCCTCGACCGCGTGCCGATTGAAAACTCCCCGGAAGCTCGCGTTCCGAAAGAGAGTCTGCCCTTTCAGACGCTGCTATGTCCTTATCTGGTGGATGCCATGGTTGACATCACTCCCGAATCGCATCCTTCTCCACCATGAGCCACGTCTTCAATGAATGACCTCGCAGGACAACCCGCTCAGCCAAATGAACCACCCTCGCACATTCCATCGAAATGGGCGCAGCACCCTTTCGACAACCCAGCTGCGAATATCATCCTCCGCGCCTCGGACGACATCGATTTTTGCGTCCGGTGTCATCTTGTCCGAAGCATCGCCGTTCTTCAAGGATATGTTCAGTCTGCAGCAGGCTATCGTCGATCACACCAAATGCGATAGCACGGGCGAGTACAGAGATGGCCGTCGCGTAATCGCTGTGGGAGAGGACAGTCGAACGCTAAAAGGCCTACTGCGGTTATGTCATCCTATCACAGATCCAGAACTGAATGACTTGATTGTGGTGAAGGCCGTTCTGGAGGCAACACTGAAGTGTCAGATGGACGAGGCGACGGCGATCACGAGGAAGGCGCTCAGGTCTTTTGCACCTGCGGAGCCTCTGCGGATATGAGCTATTGCGTGTGGGCTCCGTGTGGAACACGAAGCCCGATACGCAGCGAGTTTCGAATTGGCACTGTCAATTTCGCAGGACATGCAAGAGCTTACCGCTGGGCCATATTTTCCATTGCTCAGATATCACCGGCTGGGGGAGGCAGTCGGCGATGTCTTCACCTTCCTGTCTCCCGATACAAGGAAGGATATCGTGGACACTGGCAGTGCACAGGAGACTGGTCTCTTGGCTTCGTGACTTCGTCGCCCATCCCAATTTGCAGATGTCATCTGTCGCTCATCTGACGGCGTCGATTTCTTGACGCACAAAGTCATACTGTTCATGGCATCACCTGTCTTGCACGCCCTCATCACTAGCTTGCACCTCGAGTTTCAAGAGGGGGGTAGGGAGAGCGATGCTACTTCCGCGGAGGATCTTCTCACACTCCATCTGGACGAGGACAGCCGCACCTTGGCGGCGCTATTGGGGATGTGCTATCCCGCGGAACGCTTCACGTTCCATGACTTCGGTGTAGTCAAAGTTGTCCTAGACGCTGCGCAGAAGTATGAAATAGAAATGGCGATATCGTCCATCAAGAAGCAGTGGACATCACTCGCTGAGGCTGAGCCACTGCGAGAATATTTTGCCGCTTGGCATCATAAGTTGGACGAATGCGCCAGAGATGCTGCGTACAGCGCGCTGAAGTACCCGATTGACGTACCTACGTTTCGGAGATGGAGAGCGCACCCGCGCAGGTGTATCGTCGGCTACTGTTCTACCATCGGTCTTGCCAGAGCAGTGTATCATCTGTTCTGACCGAGGTCATGGAAGAACAAAAACGTGAGGAGGTGGACAACGTTGTATAGCTCGGATTACACCGTGACTGCAGAGGAGGTATTGGAGAGGTGGAGCCCCAAGGAGAAGAAAATGCACCGCAAAAAGAGAGCGATCATACAAGAACGCTCACGTTCAGATAAACCTTCGAATTCTCGTTCAGAGGAAGTGGTTCAATATGCTAGTTCAAGACACCGCCGGGGCACCGACAATGCATAATTGCGTGAAACCCCGGGATTTCTCTGGCTTATTTGGCCGGGGCAAACAAACCCATATCCGGTAGGTCGGGTGGATGCCAACAAATCACGGCTTCCGACACTCTGCCCTACATTCGTCATTCGTGCACTTGGTGGCTTACAAAGTTTTCCAATGCACTAGATACGTGTTCCAAAGTGCTTCCATATGCTTTCCTTCTCTTAAATGGGGTCCTGTAAACCAAGATGTCAGTGGTGGAATTTTGGGCGTACTGCGAAACCCCGACCTTCCCCTTATGGCTTTGTTTGCGCAAGACAAATAGCGCACAAAAATCCCAAGTTTCACGCAATTATGCAACACGCTGTACCTCCTCGTGCATGGTCCTGCAGGCAAGATCTAGGTGCGCTATTCAGGAGAGCTGCCCGTGAACATTAATACGTGGTGCGAGTCCCGGTCGTGCGGTGCGTTCGCCAACCAGGTCGGGCCGTCCATCGACGAAGCCATTGGCAAGGTAAGGTTCTTCTATCCTTATCGACTCGAGTACGAAACGACGATATTATTAGGTCCCGCTGGAGCTGTTGATGCCTTGGTTCTATTGTTAAATGCCATTTGAGCCCTATCTGTCTTGTTCTGCCCTTCAATTGAGATTGCGCTTCCATCGCGTCTCACATTGTATGTTTACGTCGGGTGCAGCCGTCTGGATCTTGGTATTACAGGACTTCGAAACATCTTGCACAGTGATTGTGTACGCTCGACGTACGATCGCATTGTACTTGTCCTCATGCCGCCTCATAGCGACAAAGGAATTTAGCGCTTATGACACGGACAATATGAGCATGCGTGTATCAGTCAAGCATGTAATTCTATGATTATACCAAAAGCCATCCATCATAACCCCATACAGCAGGCCGCGCGAGGCCGCCCAAAACAACAATTACACGTGCAATGCAAGAGCGGAAAGCAGTGAGTGGTATGTGTATGTGTGCGGCTATAGCATCGTAGATGGGATATCACTCGCAATACAGCTGCGGCGAGCGGGAGGCACAAAGTTACAGGCGGGTGCGGGTGCGCCGGTTACGCCTTGGGCTTGCGGATATACTTGCGCCTATACTTGCTGTCGATGCTGTCGAGGTAGTACCCACCTGGCCAGATGTTGTCGAGCGACCCCTCGGGGATGTACGAGTCCGCGTTGTGGTTCTTCTCGCGCAGCTAGGGAAAAAAGTTGAAATATCAGCCGCGCGCGTTCATGCCCATGTAGGGGAAACCCACCTCAAGCGCGTCGACGTATTCCTGGCAGGGCACGACCTTCATCGACGCGAGGCGGTCCACGAGATCGAGCTTCTCCCTGATCTCGGACGTGTCGCCCTTGACGCGGATGGTGAAGAAGCTGCTGGCCAGGCCGGAGCCGAACGCAAACATGCTGATGCGCTTCCCGCGGAGCTCCGCGGGGTCGACGCGCGCGAGGAGCGACGCGAGCCCGCCATAGAGCGACGCGGTGTACATGTTCCCGCAGCGCCGCGCGCAGCTCATCGAGAGCTCGACTGTCTTCTCGAACTCGCCCTTCGCGACGGCGATGAACGCCTTCTCGAGGGTCTTGTCTGTCAGCGACTCCTTGTACGGCTGTGCGAGGATCGCCTCTGGGTTCGGCACGTTGGCAAAGCGCGGTGAGGTGGGGTTCGCCATGAAGTCGTTGTAGACCTTCGAACAAATACATTAGGACGAGAGTTGGTGTGGGGGTAGAAGCGGCTTACGAGACGGCCGTGCGCCTTTTGTACCATCTTGCCGTACGGGCTATGGAATACAGGGTAGTCGATGTCCGCGAGCGAGAAGCTAGCGAGCGCGGACGCGTCGCCGTTCGCACTGCCGTTCGCGCTGCCGTTTGCGCCATTGAGCGCCGCAGTCTTACGTGCCCTGGCGTGTTTCCGGCGGAACGCGGTGTACGACGCGTCGATAGCGGAGACATAGGTCGTGATCGAGAGCGGACCGTCCACCTCCGGGTACTCCGAGTGCAGCTTCGGCTTGTAAAAGTCGTACGCATTCACCATGTGCGAGCCGTGGATAGCTGAGGAAAGGCAAACAAGGTCAGCCAGGCACGCATGATCGGAAGTCACCGAGAAGAGAAGATACAATTGAGATGAGAGGCGCGCGTCACCACTCCCGCAAACGGGCGAGACAACAGAGCTGCGCCGCGCAGGGATGACGAGAGCGGACGCAAATGATAACAATACCGCTCATCTCTCCGTCGTCTATTTGGACAGATCCTCCACCAGACCATGATCAAGAGAGGATTGGAGACACTCACGCTCAAATGCCAAGGGTGCGTTAGGGCCAACCAGCATTGCGAATGCACCCGCGCCACCGGTAGGGCGTCCAGTGCCCTCGGCATAGATAGCAATGTCACCGCCAACTACGATGGCGTTGCGGCCATCCCATGAAGACGATTCTACCCAGTTAACCGAGTTGAACAACGCTGCAGTGGAGCCATAGCACGCGTTCTTTGAGTCGACGCCCTCGACATCGGTGTTGCCCGCCTCTGCAAAGAGGTCCATGAGCACAGTCTTGGTCGCCTTGGACTTGTCGATGATGGTCTCAGTGCCGACGTCAATGCGACCAATCGACTTAGGGTCGATGTTGTACTTCTCGAGAAGGTTCACGACGGCTAGCACGAAAAGTGAGCAAAACGCGTAAATAAGCACGGCACTGGCACGTACCTGTTAGAGCGAATGAGTTGATGTCCTCGCGGTCGTCGCAGCACGCCATGTACTTCTGGCCGAGGCCGATGGTGTACTTGCCCTTGGACACGCCGTCAAACTCCTCCAGCTCCTCCTCAGAGATGCACTGTCGGGTAGAAAGTCAAAAACACGTCGGACACGTCGGTGAACGATGGACACTCACCCGACGCGGGAAGTACATCTCCATGGCAAGAATACCGACATCCCGTGGACGAGCTGGAGCCTCGATGTCCTGGTAGGTGGTGTGGGGCACAGTATTGAGGGAGACGGTCATGTTCGCGGGCGAAAAAATGGGAGGAGAGGGAGTGAAGAAAAGAGGGACGTTAGAGGGAGAAGATAAGTTGGAATTGATTAGTAGTTATATAGGAAAACGCGGATGAGGCGAGGGACGGAAAATCATTATTTCGGTGGTACGACGTTGCGGGCTAGCTAGCAATAGCTCGTCCTCATTGGCTAGCCGCAATTGGCAACTCCTTGCCGTGGCGCGACTTTCTCTGCCGAGTCTCTCCAGAAAATATTCATTGCTCCATGTTGTCCTCTTCCATACAATACCAGCGGCTGCACTTCCACGGACCACCATTGCTCACTCCAGTGGTGAGACCACGCTATCACTCAGACCATTCCCGGTATCAGTCTTACGTTTGCTAGCAGAGGGCACTGCCTGATGGGCCAGCGAAACGCACACCCTTATAACGTACTAACTCTTCTTAACATCTGAACCAGTCTTACGAAAACGAGGCGCGACAAAGCACTTATCTAAAGTTCACACCGCTGGCGCTCGGGTTCCTTACTACGAGAGAAGTGCAGCGCTGCTTCGAGACCGCTCGTAGTCTTGGCTCATCTTTACGGCACGGGGTCTTCGACTCCAGGTACTGGCGGTTTGGTTCTGTGGGTGCACCGCCGCCCGCATCAGCGATAACGCATCTGCAAGAACACGTTGGAATCGGAACGACGGCTTTGATTTCAATTGCCCTGTTCAATTATGTCCCTCCCTACTTTCCCTACTCTCGGCTTGGCACTCGTCGTGATCTTCGGCATTATGTAAAAGATGTGCCAAAAATATCTCGGCACTTTGCATGCAAGATCATGCATGCATTCTTCATAGGAAAGGTTCCAGTGTTCTTCGGGGCATGAGTAGCTTTCAAACCATCCAAAATTCAAGCAAAATGAGGGAAGCCCGCATCCACAGAGCAGAGCGCGAGCAACCGCAAACTCCGATCTAGCCGAGATGCGGGTCTAAAATAAGGCACCTGCCGAGGCGATCAAAGTAGGGAAATTAGGGAGGGACATAATTGAACAGGGCAAATATCTTGCCATGGTCAATCCACTTTCGGTAAGTCTTACACGATGTGCCCTAATCTTGGCAAAGCTCTCTGGGGAACGCTGCACGCCCTTGACTAGACCGCATGACACTTCTCAGACTCGTGCGTCTCCAAGTCCTTGCATCGGTGTTTAACATCTCAAAATCAATTTAGTCAGTCGCATATGAGCTGCGTGATGTATGCTTACATCACACAGCAATCGTGCCCAAAGTCGGTCACCTCCTGTCTACTCAACGCTGTATACACCGACCTCATAGAATGCAGATCAACCTCTCGATGCTTCGTTATGTCGGGAACGGTGTCATGTCGCTGTATCGATCCGTGTCCTCCGCTCCTAATCAGCTGACGAATTCAGCCTTCCACCTGTGGGTCTTGCACTCCAGAGACATCTCATGTTGGTGCGCAAACGCGCAAACGATCCTTCTTTTGCGGGTATATCACCTTATCAACTCTGCGCGATATCAGAGAACATGGCAATCTCTTGTCGATCCGTATGACATTGATGATCGTAAATCGAGCAGCAGAAATCCCCTCCCTATCCAAACGCCTGGTATGCACGAGCTCGCTGGGACCAAATTGAAGAAATCCTTTGTCGAATGAATAGACGGCTCTTCCGGTGGTCCTGGCTAACCTGGTGGATGCGCGCACGCCACGTCAGGTTTACAATACGAGCGGTGTACACAGCGTTGACATGGTGTATCATGAAATGTCTCCAATGCTTTGAGGTAAGCTATGCTTATTCATCAAAAGCTAATAACGAGGGGTACAACTTTGCAGAGCCGAGGCAGAAGTAGCTGTAGCTCTGTTGTTGCGTGAACACCCAGAAAACAGATGGTGTATAGAATTTACAGTTGACCTGGCTCGGAACAGGTTCAGGCACCTTCGTACTGTCTGAGGACTCAGATAGTAAGAAGATACCCGAACCTACTCCACAGGACGCATGGCACTCTAACTATAGGTGTAGTGCGCATGGCAAATCAATTAAATTAATTAAATTAATTTGAGAGAAAGAAGAGAATATGCAACAGGCGAAGGCCTGTCTTCCTCATGTTGAGGGACATTCTACACAAGATTTAACCAGGCTCTCTGCTTGCCTGAAAAGAGGACCTTAGATTAAGACTGGGCACTCAATCTAATCAAATCTTTCCACTGGAGGTTCTTGTCTGATCATTGTTGTCATTTGTTATATTCCTAGCACCAGCATAACCAATGTTCTGCACACTCTCTGAGGTTGAGAGCTTCACTAAGTGCTAGTGTGCTATCTTTTGCCATGCTGAGATCTGTATGTTGAAGAATGCATGCCTATTGGATTCCATGAATCAATAGTGAACTTGTGGGCAGTCTGAATGTTACTCAAAAATTTCAGCACTGTGAGGCCACAAAAATATATGTGCCAGCCTGTGAGGTACATTGATGATACTAAAATATTGACATACCACTGTCCATGCAATAGAGCATGTTGGCACAATATACAAGCTGGTAAATATAGGTACATAGGACTAAAACACCTTTTATACTGGAGAAAGTCAATCAATGTCTCAAATGCCATGAGATCACAGTAAATATATTCAGGCAGCATCTACAGTGTTTATACATAAAGAGGAAACTGCTAACAGCCAAGGGAGTGCAGCATTTTGAATATCATGTTTGTACCCTGGCTGAAGATATGTGCGGCACAAGGATTAGTCAGCAAGTTCTGCACCAAAATGAGTAAGTCTCCAGGCCCAAATGCAGTAAGTCAATTCAAACTCAGTTAGGACCTAGTAGCACTACACCTATAGTTAGAGTGCCGGACGCATAGCCCCTTTTTTCCACTGGAAATAACTGGGAAAAACTTGTGGAAATCAAAAAAGTGTTTCACGAGAAATGTGGTGAGAAATGTCGGAGAAAAGAATAAAACGTTTACCACTTTGTTCCTGTGGAAACATGATAAGGTAAAAAGGGGCGTGGAAATACTTAGTGCATTTTTCTCATTTTTGTTGTGGGAAAAAAGTGGGAAAATCTTTGTGTATTTCTCCCTTCTGTTTCTGAGAAATAAGCAAAGAAAAGTTTTAAAATCTTCCAATGGAAATAACTGAGACATGTTTTATGTTTCTCCCAGGAAAAAACATGTAGGAAATTATTCCCTGAAAAAAACAGTTATTCTGCCATGTTCTGTCATGTCCTGTGCAGGCAGGACAAAGGGACAGGATGTGACAGGACGGAAGGACAGGACGGGATGGGACAGGAGAACAGGATGTGATGTGACAACTGGACATGACAGGACAACTGTTTTTTCCAGGGAAATCCTACAATAATTTCCTACATGTTTTTCCCAGGGAAAAACAAAACACATGTCTCAGTTATTTCCATTGGAAGATTTTAAAACTTATTTCCCAGAAACAAAAGAGAGAAATACACAAAGGTTTTCCCACTTTTTTTCCCACAACAAGAATGAGAAAAATGCACTAAGTATTTTTACACCCCTTTTTACCTCATCATTTTTCCACGGGAACAAAGCAGTAAATGTTTTGTTCTTTTCCCCGACATTTCCCACTGCATTTCCCGTAGAAACACTTTTTTGATTTCCACAAGTTTTTCCCGGTTATTTCCAGTGGAAAAAAGGGGCTATGCGTCCTGTGCTCCTCATCCAACGGAGAAAACCCGACAGAATGGTACGCGATATTGTAAACCGGGGACGGCACTGACAGAAACATCCATATCGAGGACTACAGCTCGAGCTGCACCTTAACACAAGCCGGTCAGCAAGATATTAACAAGGTACCAGCGAGCAGCGGTAGCACTTACTTCGGCAATTTTGGTCTGCAACCCGACGTCATCTGCGAAGGACACTAATCGCCAAGCGAGCGGTAGGCATGATTCGCACCAAGGTGAGGTTCGTAGGCTGAGGGATGCCTTCATGAGGGTTGCAATGTGACCGTCTTGCGATTGTGCCGTGGCACGGCACTCATCCCAAGAACTCGTTGTATCTAGGTGCTGACCAAACCAACGCTTCCATCTACAGCTGCATCGATATCGAAGTACTCTACTCCGTTGCCGTTTCCCGTCATAGACCGTTGCTGAGAGAGCGCCACAGTGGCATTGGTGATCCAAGGTGTCAATGACTGAGATTTCTTCCGCTTGTAGACTGTTGTAAACCGCAGGAATCGCCTGACAAGCTGCATCACCAGAAACATGCACGTCGTCGATGAATTTCGTGCGATATTTTGACAACGCTGTTGCAACGGCAGACCAACAGGCCTGGCAATACCGGAGAAGTCTGTGGTATGTTTGGGCGGGCACGCCTTCCATCTCCGAAACATAAACGTCTTCAACGGGGCGTTGAACAACCTTCTCGGCCGCTTGCATAGCACATTCGTCAAATTTGTAGTGGACAGCTGTGAAATACGCTCGCAGAGGCTCTACCTCAACGAACGAAGCCAACTGCTTCCTGAGCACCAACGTCACCATCACCATTTCGTATTTCTTCGCGGCCTCCAGCACACTCTGAACAACGCTGAAATCATCTATCCTCATGGAAGCTGCTTCCACGGGGTAGCACAGTCTCAAGAGAGCAGATACTGTGCGGTTGTCTTCATCGAGGGTCAAGATGGGGAGACTATCCGCGGACAAATCGGTGCGTATAGCGTCCCCCTCGTGACTTGTTGGCTGCAAACTAGTGATGAAGGCGTGCAAGACCGGAGACACCATAGTCAATATGGCTTTCAGCGTTCGAAACTCGACTCCATCGGATGAACGACATATAATGTCCGCCAGTGGATGGGCGACGAAACCCAGGGAGGCGGCAGTGATGGACTCCTGCTGTCCCTCTGCAGTGCATGTCGGCCCAGGAGGAGAGAGGAAGGAGAAATTGCTGTCAACTGCTCCGCGCAAGCGATGATACTTAAGCAATCGGAAATATGGCCCCGCGGTAATCTCCTGCATCTCCTGCGGGAAAGAGTCCGCGATTGACGTCTGCTGGAGTGTGAACTGGGCTGCGTAATGGGCATCCTCTTCTAGACGAAGCTGACACGCAATAGCCCAGATGCGCAAGGGTTCCTTCTCTGCGAAGGATCTGAGCGCCTTCCTAGTGATCGCGGTCGCCTCGTCCATCTGATACTTCAGGGCCGCCTCCAGCATAGCTCTCACCAGCAGCAAATCCTTCAGCTCCGGATCTGTAATAGGATAGCACAGGCGCAGAAGGCCGTCCAGTGTTCGACTGTCCTCTCTGACAGTGATCACGAGACGGCCGTCTCTGTACTCGTCCGTATTGTTGCTCTTGGTGTGGTCAACGATAGGCTGCTGCAGACTGAACAGATCCTTGAAGAACGGAGATGCTTCGGACAAGATGATGCTGTGGACGCAGAAATCGATGTTGTCGGAGGAACGCAGGATGATGTTTGCGGATGGGTTGTCGAAGGGGGGCTGCGCCCATATTGGTGGAGCGGGTGAGGGTGGCTCGTTTGGCTCAAAGGGCTGTCCTGTGAGGTCGTTCATTGAAGACATGGTTGTTGGTGGAGTGGAACAAAGATTCTAGGGGGACGCCAACTGGGACATCCATCAGGAAAGAACATAGCCAGCGTCTGCTGACACCACGATGCAGAGAAGATCCTCCTCTTGGGAAGACAGAGCTACTAAAGGCACTATCGCACGTCCGCGTGACCCTGTATGTCGAATCGGGTTATTGCAAGGAATGATTGAGAGACCAGGAAAACTCAACATCCCAGATAGGCTTCTCGAAAATTGACCAGAAAGCTGTAGCGGGAGAAATAGCATAGACTCACGGGTAAGTCTAAGCGTACACAAAAGACTTTAATCATAATGAGCTGGGGATATCGTCGAGTTCCAAGATGTCAGAAAAGTAAGTATTCAGACTGGAATACAAGAGGCGTCCCTTCATTTCCATCGTAACTGCATGTCCCACGGAGGTTGGGCAGCCAGCTAGTCCATCATGAGTGACCAGCCTAAGGCTACAACTCGAGCTAACAACTCGAGCTGTACCTGTCGCGAAATGCAGTTAGCACGTGTTCACAACCATAGAAGAACGCTGAAGAGATCCTTCGGGTTCTCACCTGAGCAATTCCATCGCTAATAGATAGCCCATCACCATGAGCGAACTCCGCAAAGCGCTCAGCGAGCGGGCGACACGATGGCACGAGGACTCAGCCGGCAAAGTCCGAGACCGGAGGTTAGGGAGGGAGGGGGTAGCCCAGGGTCCTTAGTTGGGTTATGGGCCATATGCTCTGAGATGGCTCCCGAGTTACCCAAATTGCATCTCTGTAGTTCAGCGCACTTCAACGATGGTTGAGACAACCTCCCGCTGATAGATCCTTGAATTTCGGACTGCGGATTAACTTGTCAACCCCATTCTCGTAGTATATGGCCATGAACTCGTCCATTTCCCCCGAGTCTCTGTGACTTTCATCCCTGCAGGTGCGACTGGAATGCCTCGCAAAAAGGACAAGCACAAGAGTGCAAAAGTAAAGTACTATCTTCTATTCGAGAATGATGTCTGAAATTTTTGATAAGGAACCTGCGAGGACATCTCACTTTTGTTCCATCTGTAACAGAGAGATTAACCTTGGGAACGAGAATCTGCAAATTAGGACCATCATGTCATGAGTAACATACACAAGCAAAATTCCTCGCACAGGGTGAACACCGGAGGTAGAAACCAGAAACTCACCACCTTTTTTACTTCTCGACCAGCCACATGTGCAGAAAATGCTGGAATGATAGCTTACAGACCCAAATGCATGCGGAACTGACGCAGAGACTATCGTGCTCAATATTGTGTTGGCTTATGTAATCATGCAAATCCTTTTTTGGAAAGAGGGAGGGGAGGGAGGGGTGTCCTCGGAGCCCTTACTTGAGTTTTTCGACCTAAGGTAAAGAATTTTATTCCCGGAGCCCTCGTGCACGATGGACACCAACTTGAATTGTCGACCGAAGTCTTCAGCAAAGTCGTGACATAACTATCGCACGAGCGTGCCTTTGCAGGACAGTCCTGCCACAGCTATGCAGAACTCGCCAGAAGTTCGTCGAACCACCCTTTCCATTTACAGGAGCATCCAAAGTGCATCTTAACGCATTTTGTATAGCCATAAACGCCGCTTTGGGCATGCTCCTTCAATGTGTGGGGTAGGTTGATCCTGGTTTGGACTGAGGGCGCATTGCAGAAGCATCGGTAGTCGAACAGATCTCCTGCAGTCAGTTCATCTTTGTTGTTGTCACGATATCGCGTGAGCGCTGCCGCAACAATGTTCTGACAAGCCTTGTAGTATTGAAGAAGTCGATAGTACGCCCGAGCGGGTGCGTCCTCCATTTCAGAGGTGTACGCGTCCTCGATAGGGCCTTCGAGCAGGTTCTTGGCCAAGTGTCTCGCGCATTCGTCCAAATTGTGCCCGACTGCCGTGAAGTAAGCGCGCAGAGGTTCTGCATCAGCCAGTGAAGTCCAATGCTTCCTGACCACTGAAGTCAATCTCGCCATATTATACTTCTTCGCGGCCTCGAGAACAGCCTGGACAATCCCAAAGTCGTCTATCTTTGTCGAAGACGCTTCAACGGGATAGCACAACTGCAGGAGTGCTGCCAAAGTTCGGCCGTCTTCCTCAACGCTGAGGACAGGAAGATCGTGCGCAGATGCAGCAGTGTCTCGGGTTTCATCGTCCTCATTAGGTCCTTGCAGGCTCATGATGAGGGCATGCAGGATTGGTGAAGCCATTGATAGTATCACTTTGTGCGTCTGAAAATCAACGCCATCAGACGAGCGACAGACGAGGTCCGCGAAAGGATAGGTGACGAAGCCGAGAGATGCTGCGGTCACAGTCTCCTGGGGTTCTTCGATGACATCCTTAGGCGATTCGGGAGAGAGGAAGGAGAAACTGTCCCCGACTTCTCCCTTCAGCCTATGGAATCTGAGCAATCGGAAGTAAGGACCGGCAGTCAACTCTTGCATCTCCTCAGGAAATTCGCCTGAGATTGGCTGCGCAAGGGATAAACCCGCTGCATATCTAGCTTCCACTTCCAGACGGAGCCGACACGCAATCGCCCATATACGTAACGGTTCCCCATGCGCAAAGGTCCTTAACGCTTTTGTCGCAATCGCGGTCGCCTCCTCCATCTGGTATTTCAGGGCTGCTTCCAACACTGCCCGAACCTCCGTCAACTCCTTCAGCTCCGGATCTGTGATAGGGTAGCAAAGACGCAGTAGACTGTCCAGCGTCCGACTATCTTCTCCGACGACAATCACGGGACGACCATCTCTATACTCGTCGAGGCCATCAGGTTTGATGTGATCGACAAGGGGCTGCTGGAGACTAAACATGTCTTTGAAGAACGGAGAAGCTTCGGACAAGACGACGCTGTGGACGCAGAAGTCGATGTTGTCGGATGAACGGAGGATGATATTCGCAGCTGGATTGTCGAATGGATGCTGTGCCCACTGTGGTGAGACCGGCGAGGCAGGACGAGATGACTCCATTGTCTGAGATATCAAGATGCTAGGAGGCGGACGGTTGTCGTGGTAGAGAGGAGGAACACTGCTTGTTAGCTGTGGTACCTACTAGAGACGATTCAGCGTTTACAAACACGCGGAAGCCATGGCGGAAAACGTTTTCTCGGGAGAATCCCTTCCAGGAAGTATTCACGTTGATTGAAGAAGCCCGCCCGTCACGGTATCTTCACGCACACGACCCTAGATCTCGGGCACCTCGAGGAAAACACGGGTATGCAAATACACACGAGAGGTCTTGAAGCTTGTATAATGAACATAGAAGCACGTCGTTCTGGACATCAAATGAGTAAGTAGAATGCAGGTGCGATCCTGCGTCCAAAGCGTTCATAAATTTTTGGCACATCTTTTACATGATGCCGGAGATGGTGACGAGTGCGAAGGCGAGAGTACCGTGACAGACTCGGAAAGTAGGCCTGGGGAGGTTGGTCGGCGTCAAAGCTATTAGCCTCTGAATCAAGCAACTGCAAACAACCACAGCGTAGTACAAAACATGTCTTTAAAGAACGGAGATGCTTCGGACAAGATGACTGTGGACGCAAAAGTCGATGTTGTCGGACGAACGGAGGATGATATTCGCAGCAGGGTTGTCGAATGGATGCTGTGCCCATTGCGGTGAGACAGGTGAGAGAGGACGAGAAGCCTCCATTGTCTGACGGATTAAGGCGAATGTTTGTCGTAGTCGAGACGGAAAACACCGTTTAGTCGCTGTTGCACCTGCCAGAGAGGGATCAGCGTTTACAAAACACGCCAAAGCTACGATGCAGAATTTCTTTGTTGGAGAACGGATTCCAGGAAGTAATGCCGCCGATGGTACGATAAAGATGCTCCGTCTGTCACGATGAGTCTACATGCACACGACTCTACTCGGTCGCCTCGAGGAAAACACATCATACAACTACACACACGAGATTTCTTGAGGCCTATCTAATGGAGGTACAGGCGTCGAGTCCCTTCGGAACGTCAGATGAATAAATAGAGCCTCACTCACAGAAGCTGAACCTTGTACTTAGCTCGGTACTGCACGTCGGAATTGCAGCGATGTTCGCGGCCAAGTCGGTGGAAGTTCGGAACTGTGGAACTTGATAGGCGAGTCAAAGCTATTGGCCTCTGAATCAAACAACCGCAAACAACCCTGTCCCCACTTAATGACTCGAAGCAGCGCCGGATTCTGTCCGAAAGTCGAATGTACTTACCGTTTGTCGAGCTCCGTGGACCTGAGCTGGAACCTGTTCTCTGATGTATCACCCTGGGAATCGTTCGGTCGTCGCTTCGCACTGATTCTTACCAAATTAACTTCAGGCGACAGTTCCAATTTCGCAGCACAACGAGCCGATGAAGTGGCTGACGTTCTTCATTCTGCATGATGAGGCCGAGTCCTCGCGTTACGCCTGAAACGTTGTCAGAAGACTAAGCACGTTGTGTGTGGACCTTGTGCGGTCACTTGGCTAGCGCCTATGCCTCGTGCTTGTGTCGTCCCAGTTATTTCCCTCTATTCGTGCTATGAATCGCCTAAAAGTGTTAACCTGACCATGATTTTTCATTCGAAGCGTCAGGTCTTAAGGGTCAGGTTTCAATTTCAGGGTTCAGCGCTCCTCATGGTCAGTGCGGCCTTTAAACCTGTGTCCTATTCTGACCACACGCACGAACCGTCTGGCTGTAGACTGTAGACTAAGGTACGTTCATTCCTGAGCTTCTTACGCAGGTTTTTTGGACCTTCTGAGAACAGCTCCAGTGTGTGCCTGCATGTATAGAATCACAGACATCGACGTTCTAGCCGTTTAAGGACCACTGGGCACCTTAGTCGCAGTAATTGGATTTCATCGCGCTTGTAGAGGCGTATAAGATACTTCTCACAGGCCATACAACAACCAGCAATCTCGTTAGATTCCGACGGCTACGTTGAACATAGGTGAGTGATCAGTCGTGAATGATGGTCATTTGCTATGTTTCGAAGTTAACTTTTATCAGTTTCTTTTCTATGTGTCCTTGCAATCCTATCCTTACCCCCCAGCATCCTCGGAAATGCCAAGATTCCCAAGGCGCTGCAGAATAGAGGCTCTTTCCATGGGCAGGTGGGAGGTGCCGATCAGACTCCGCGGGGCGCCGGCGCCGGTGCCCCAGGACTTCGAGTCGTTCCCAATATTGCTTGAACTATCAACATTCCTGAGGGTTAGTATCTTTGTCTTGAGTCCTACTGAAATTACTTCTAACGTGTAAGACAAAGTTGCAGGTGGCGATCATAGTTGCCAGACGCTCGGTACATATTTTCTTCCGTGTCCCTTGGACATGTTTGTTGCATAATACAGTTTGTGTTGCACAGAACTGCAAGATATTTGTGAGACTGTTCACAAAGCTCGCTCCTTGACACTACTAACATGGCCATGCTGTCGTCATCCAAAGGACTAAAATACCTCTTCTGAGCTTTCTCCTGGCTCGCTCGTTGCACGTTGAGGCCTGCACTTGATCGAATAACGCGGGTCTGCAAAGAAGATACACCATACTTGGCGACTTCCCAGGGCCTTCCCTGGATTCAGCAAGACTGCGATGCACTTTCTGTGCTAGCAGAGTGCGTCTAGTGTGTTCACCTCGGAATGCATGCTCTGGAACCTTGTCCCAGAAGTTCACGCCGAACACTAGATACTTCCTGGTAACTTACGGCTGCAGCGAGGTGGAGCGATGCTCAAATCGGTTGATGGGCGTCAAAGCGATTGGTCTGAATCAAACAGACAGCATGCGAATTCAGTGCCAATCTATCGGAACGCAACATCTCTCCATACGAAGAAACAACTATTTGGCTTAGATGCTGGCACCTGGTTTCTGAGGTATCATACTAACCAGGAGCTGTTTCCTCCCAATTCAACTTCGGATGACTCCATGTGAGGCGTACTGACACTGCCATGAGGTCCCCTCGTTAGGCCTGCAACGTTGCCAGACGGTTCTGAGCACGTCCTATGTCAATTTATTCCTTCCGTTCTTGTGTGGTCGCTGAATTCGCGCAGGTGTATCCGCATGTAGCGCCCCAATTGCTTCCCTCAATTTGTGCTACGGAACATTTTCACAGTGTGCATTTAGCCAAGTATGATGTTCATTTGAAGCGTATTCGGGGCTCAGGGTTCAGCGCATTCAATACGTTTCCCTCGACACCAGTGTCCTCTTCTGACAGCACACACAAACCATCTGGCGTATCGGTACATTCATTTCCGAGCTTCTTACGTGGGTCTTTGAATTTCCTGGGAACAGCTCCGGTGTATGCCTCGGGTGTGCCCGCACGGACAGAACCACAGGCGGCGAGGTTCTGGTCATCCAAGAAGTACTATGCGCCTCAGCCACTGTGATTGATTATCACCACGCCGGCGTTTATCGAGGCGTATAAGAGACTTTTTGGGGACCATACAGCAGCCAGCGATCTCGTTGGATCCCGACAGCTTACGTTGAACATGGGTGAGTCAGTCGTGAATTATGGACATTTGCCGTGCTTTGAGGCTAATTACAATGTATCAGTTTCTTTTCTATGTGTCCTTGCCATCATTGCCATTATCCTTACTCCCGGCATGCTCGTCGAAGCTATCAACAGGCCCGGGGATGATAAGAGTCTCAAGCTTTTCGGTGACCCCCCTGTAACCTCAAATCTTCAGTGGAACAATCAAGGTGGTCGTGCTCAGGTCAATGTCGATCATCGGCTGCCGAATAATAGAGCGAGTGTTGGAGGACATGTGGGCTACGAGTGGAGAGGTGCCGATCCCACTCGGCCAGGCGCCGGCGCCCCGTTCGTAGGGGCTCGAGTCGTTGTTAACATTCCTTGATCTATCAGCCTTCTTGCAGGTTAGTGTCTTTGTCTTGAATTCTCCTGGAATCCGTTCTAATGTCTAAGACTCGGTTGCAGGTGGTGATTATAGTTGCCAGACGCTCAGTCACCGCTCAATACGTATTTTCTTCGATGTTCCTTGGACACGTTGGTTGCATTATACAGTTTGGGTTGCACAGACTACGCAATATTTGTGAGACCGTCTACGGCTAGCAAAGCTGTTACTGGGCAGTACATGTATGGCTATGCTACCGTCATCGATGCAAAGGGCTAGAGTCTCTGCTGAACCTTATCCTGGCTTGCTCGTTACACGTTGAAACCTGTTTTTGATCGAAGAACGCGGGGTTGCGAAGAAGATGCGCCATACATGTTGATTTCCCAGAGCTTTCCATGGATTCTGTAAGACTCTGATGCGCTTTCCGCGCGGCCAGAGTATGCCAGGTACGTGCAGCTCCGAATCCATGCTTTGGACCCTTGACATTCCCGAGGAAGGATTGCCTCGCGTCAGGACCCTTTTCTACCGGGTACATCTGGTTCGCGAGTCTTCAGGCAACTCTGATAAGCCTTTGAATTCAGCTCACATGCCGCGGCCATGCTTTTGCCATGCCTGCGCCAGTAGCACCGCATATAAGACCACTCTTGCAGTACAAGCCTCCCAGTCACAGTTCTCTCCTCCTCATCAAGCTTACCTTATAGATATCATGTGTGAGCGCACCATGATTCGGAGATGTTACCCTGCTAATTTTTTAATGGAAGCCGCCAACGATAAGCTCTTCAAGGACCTGCAGCAGTCCAAGTCTCCGTGGTCTGCTACGCCCACCGTCAATGCTACCAACTCCGGTGGATTTGCTCACGTCACCGTTGAGCGCGAGGTGGGAAAGAATACCAGCGTCGGTGGACATGTTGGCTATGAATGGGCAGGCCCTACTCCCACTCGCCAGTACGGTGCCCCCTACGGAGGCGTCCACATCAAATACAGGTTTTGATTGTTGACGTCGTCGGTCATAGTAAGTTGTATCGTGATTTTTAACGCAGCGAAGTTATCTCACACGTCAACTTAGCTGACATTAAACCATAGGTCGGCTGTGGCAGAGCCTCTCAGAGTTCGGACAGACTGCACAATTCTGGTTGTAGTAACGAGTTTTCGTTGAATAGTGACGGCTCTCAGTTCCTGGTCTGCCTTCTTTTTCTCATAAATTCGACTATGCATATGCTTCACATTGGTTTAACATTGTGTCTCGATATCAACTCAATACGATGCTTCTAAATACGTCGGCGCAAGGCGTACACCCATACCCAGTGCCTTAAGTTGGTCACATGTGAACGACATGCCACTTCGCCGAGCGAAACAACAGACCACGCTGGGCCGTGAAACTGCGAATATGATGCGCAAACCACTATGGACGAGCACACGTCTGACACCGTTGCAATATCACCTGTGCGATCTTGGATGACCTCCCCTCCGATATATTGGCATTATAGGATACAGTGGTAACAGTAGGGCTTCCCCCGCAGTCCGTGCGTCAGAACGCACCCACAACGCAAGACACGCCGTTAGGTCCCGCTGCTCACCTCCAAAAGAGCTTCGATGCTCTTCCCCAGATCCCCCTCGTTGGCCTCCAACACCCATTCCACAACCTCCGGATCTGTCTGCGGGAAGATCTGCCGGAGCGTCTCTCGCGCAGCGACCGCAGCCTTCTCCGTCGCACGGTCAATCTCTTCCTGGATCCCCGTGAGGTCGAGGCTGGGAGTAGGGGTGCGCGACACATGCGGAGAAAGCCCACGCAAATCCCGTCGGGGCGACGACGGCTGAAGTAACGCCGTACTTTGGGACGGCCCCAATGAGAGCGGCCTGTTCGTGTATGGCACCTGTCGTGTAGGCGTTTCCTCCCGCGTCGGCGACCCTGACTGCAACGATACAGACGAGCGCGCAGACGACAACGGCGAAGGCACCCGACGCACACGCGGCTTGTATGGTGTCTGCAACGGCGTGCTCCTCTGCTGTGTCTCGCCCCCCAGTGGTGTCTGAGGCACACCCTCAGCCTGTTGCGCAAACGGACTGGGGAGCGTGAACGACTCCTCTGCGCCGTCGAGCACCTCACTGAATATCCGGCTGATCGCGCCGAGCGGCTTCGAGATCGTGTCTCCCGTCTTCTGCAAGAACCTCCGCGCGTCATCACCTAGAGTTTGCGCGGGTGTCGGCAGTGAGAGCGGTTGTGCCGACTCCTCGCCCGCATGAGACGCGGTGGTGAGCGCTGCTCCGGAGGGTGTCGTCGGGACTGGTGGCGTAACAGTCCCTGGTGTTGGAACAGGGCTATTAGGGAGCAACTGGATGGCCGTCTCCACGTTCCTAGAGTGATGTCAAACTTCGAACGGATCAGCTAAGATTAACAGCCTCACTGCTCGAATTCCTCTTGCGTGATGTTCGAGAGCGACGTATGGTCCATTGTCTCAATGAATGAGACAGCACCCATCTGACACAGCGTGAGCACCGCAAACGAGGAAGAAAGTCGCGCACACAGACCAAACTAGATAGATAATAACCCGCTTCGCTCTGTAACTTCGCCGGGTTGCGGAAGCGATTGATGAACCTGCATACACATTTAGAAGTCGTCAATATCGCCGGAAACAGGTCACCTACTCGACATTCGACAATAGATGTGGCGGGTTGGCCTTGAGCACGACGTAAATGAGTATAGGCACGAACGTATCCGCACCCTCCTCCTTGTGCAAATGCCGAATCAGACCTACAACGACGTCAGCTCAAATCTGTGAGCGACACGACAGATGGCGGACCAAATATGACCTTGCAGCAGTTCAGAATGCAGATCAGTTTGTCCCGTGGCGCCTTGTAGTGGTTAACCTTCAGCAGTTCTGTCGGCAATTGTTTTAATGCATACACACGCACAATCCATACCCTGACGTACCCTGCTGCGCGAACATCAAGAAGCCCTCGCTGCCCTCGCCCTCAGGTAAATCTAGGTGCCTCGGTTCGATCCACCCGAACAACGCGATCCGCTGAGCGAGGACGCGGTCCCGCTCCAGGTCGTCTGCCGTCACAGGCCGTGGCGGAACCATGTGAGCGACTTGCGGCGTGAACGTGCTAGTGAGGCAGTTCTATGAGGGCATCACCGAGCAGTTAATGACATACGCACAAGTCGTACAACCGATTCATGACCAGCTTCTCCATGCCTTCCATGGCATTGTCAAACTCAGCATCACTCGCATTGCGCCAGACCTCCGACTCATGCATGCGTGCGGATATAAACTGCAGACATCAGCGAGACAGCCGAGAGAAAGAAGCGCTGCCACGAACGTTCAGAAAATCGTTGATGAGCTTGATCTGGTCGTTCACCGTGAACGTCCGCTTCGCAAAGTTGCTCAAGAACCTGCGCAGCCGCCATAAACACGCAGCGTAGGGCGCGGGAGAACACCGACATACGAACGAAGGTACTTCGCGACCGGCTCCGCGCCCTTGAGCTTCATCTGGTCTAGGAAATTCTGAAAGTCGAACGGCACTTCGTCCTTGTCCTTGCCCTTCGACACTAACGAGGGCGTGCTGCGCCCGCTCCCCGCCACAGATGCGCTGCCGTTCGCCTTCGCCTCGTTCTCTACCGCTTTCCGCATCGGCGATGGCACTGGCGGTGCGGACTGCTGCGCAGCGAAGGATGAGAGCGTCGCAGGTGATGGGACTGATGTGGCCATGTCCAGAGAACGTGGGCGGTCCCTGCGAGGCCCCAGCGGGATGGAGAACGTCCGCGCAAGTGCTGCGAGAGACGGAAAGGCGGGGATGGGCGAAGATGACCTGCTCGATGTCGACGGCAGTGAAGGTAAGGCTGCTTCAGGGGAAATATCTTTCGCTGGAGGTACTGGAGGTGGTGGCGGATGGGGAGTGGCACTTGCCCATGCCTCCCTTGCAGCCTTCTCTTCCTGGCTCGCGAGGGGATCAAACTCTAGCAACACCTCTGCGTTCGTAGGCGGCCGTCTCTCCCGCTGAACCTCCGAGGCGAGACCCTGTGTTGTTTGGGTATCGAGCAGTAAGGGATCCGGGGTGTGCAAGTCGTGAGGGTCAGGATCCGAGTCAGAACTTGCGGATGAACGCCAGGGGTTGGTGTCCTCGACAGTCACAGCAGTGGTGGCGTCAATATGCAAGGTCTCAATGCCGTCGTGTAGGTGAAGATTGTCGTGTAGACCGTGTTCCTCGCTGTCATGTAGGTCACGATTGTCGTGTAGACCATGTTCCTCGCCGTCGATGAGGTTGGCCTCGAGCACCGGGTCCATCGTTGGTGGTGGTAGTGATGGTAGAAGGTCAGGTAATTGTGACACATGTGTCGACAGCGTCATCATTTACTTGGGCAACTGCGGCAGATGTCTATGTCCTCATGTCGTGGCGAAAAAACAGGATCTTGAAGGAGAGGGACAGGCACGTCCTGAAAGAGGGACATATATATACATTGGTATAGCCATGACTCGATACTTCCGTACAAATAGTACAATAGACACAGCTACAAGCCTACAAAAGCCACAGCCATGGTGCTTGGAAACAGCAGCTTTCACGTCAAATAATACGATAAAAAGGTGAGCGTCGCCACAGACTCATGGCAGACTTTCTTTCGAACAAGCTTGCGATTTTTGGCAGACCACTACAGCACATCCGTCTGAGGAGAATTATTAACCAGAACCGCAACATATACTTCTCACATATCTTCAATCAAGCTGAAGATACGTACCGACTAAGGCATGATATCATCGAGATGAAGGTGTTGAATAGAACGCTGATCGAATTTCCCATAGTCCCATCTACAGTCGCTTGCAAAAGTCGTGATAATCCCGTGATTTTCTTTTATTTCGCGCGTCAAGGAAGTTCGGCCAAAGAAATCGCTGTAGCTTGCTCATTACTCCTCCTATGTACATAGTATCAGTTGTGTACGAACAATAAAAATTGCCCGCACACACCTATGCAGAAATCAGGATCACCAGTGAAGTTCGAGCGCCGCAATAGCACAATACCTACTTCTTGTGTGTGGTGCACTGTCTCTCTACTTCCTACTTCATGCATCATGGCCAAGCACGGGCGAAAGTATCTGCTATACGTATGAAACCTGATCGACGTCCTGAACAGTCTGTGGAGCCTGGACAAGATCTGACACATTTGCTTCTCAGCTCATCTTCCTCCCTCGCTGGCGCTAGTGCAGTCTCTCTGAGTCCTCGAAAACTACATCGATCCATCGTCTTCGAGCACTGACAAGTATATTCTCTATGGAGTGCAGGTGACACTGGTCAATATCGATGGTGCTGTCATCCATAAATCTTACTCGGATGGAGATGAGATCGCTGTTACGGAACTGGTACTAGCTTAGTCGACTCGGAGAGGTTGTGGGAAGGATATGACACCCCTATAAGGTACATTATCATTCACTCATAGCCTACATGCCTTCATCTATATCCTGCCCACACTGCTTGTGGGAGCATCATTGCAGGAGACGAGTTCACGTTACAGGGTTTGATGGGTGAGAGGGCAAGAAAGTACTCAGTCTCTATGGTGGCAAATCTAAGGTGAGCAGGACGCAAGACTCGTTCACAAAAGTCAGCAGAATATTGCATACCAAGCAGGCTGATTGCAGAGGGGAAAGATCAGTGCCTTGAGGACAGTAGTCGTGCTGCCGCGGTGCGCCAACTTCACAGTTGGTCCTGATTTCTGCACGAGTGCGTGCGGGCAATTTTTATTGTTCGTACACGACCGATACTATGTACATAGGTAGAGTAATGAGCAAGCTACGGCGATTTCTTTGGCCGAACTTCCTGACGCGCGAAATAAAAGAAAATCACAGGATTATCACGACTTTTGCAAGCGACTGTAGGGCAACGCTTACAAAAGCGGATCGTATGCACTCAAGCCCCTTACCATCGCCGCCGACCTCATCATCCTAGTCTCCGCATCCTCCGCATCCTCGTATCTGGAATTGAAGATGCAATCGCATGTCAGCCCCGAGGTGATGGACGAGGTCCTAAACAGTCCCGAAATGATGGCAAAGATCTATTGGACTGAAGAACCGAACAGAGAGTGCAGTGGCTGCGGCAAACGAAAGTCCCCCACAGTTATATTGAAGAAGTGCAGCGGGTGTTACTGGAAGGAGTACTGTGTAGGTCGTTTAATATTTTACTTTGGTCACGAACTGACTTATTTGTGCGTTAGTCCTCAGAATGCCAGAAAAAAGACTGGCCTGTCCACAAAACCATCTGCCGTGAAAGACAAGCGACACGGCGTGACCTGGAGGAGATTCAGAAGGGCATGTGGACAGACATATACGACTGGATACCCCGTCACCGCCAGCCCATGTTCGATGCCCTCATGGCGGCACTAAACCTTCGCCATCATCCACATGCTCACGAGGACTTTTTCCTTGAGCTGGAATTAGTCTACAATGCCCAGGAGAAGACCGTTCGGAGACGCTTTGAGCTGCAGTCTGCCGCCGTGAGGGATTGGCAGACCTTCCTCGACAATGACTATGAGGGGTTTTTCGCCCGCCGCTACGCAGATCGATTGCAGTTTGATGAAGAGTCCAAGAAGCATCCTGGTGGGTACGGATGCGCATACGCTATCATCTCCATGGTCCTTCCGGGGGGAGATTCGAGACTATTCACAGACGTACCATATCGCCTCAACGTAGCTCATGTGACGGGGCTAGCGTATGGGTTAACAACGTGGAGGACAGAACTAGCGCGAGATTTGGAAAAGAGTGCAGGGAGGCAAAAGGGAGGTAAAAAGAAAGCTGGGAAGAAGTAGTACCGTTTCATTTCCTCCAAGTTGAATGGCAGATGCAAGACGCGCACCTTCAGTGGGCATCATGGGGCACGTTCGGTATGAGATCGTAACCCAAGGCAAATTGTTTCACTAGGCAAAATCTGCGATTACCACCGACAGAAATGATCAGCGCCCAACACACTTTGACGACCGTTGATATTCAGCACGTAGTGTCCATACCATTGGAGAGATAGAATTCTCTTGAACTGCCGTTGTACTATCGCCTGGTCGCTCGTGGCGCTATGCACGCTCATGTGCCAAGGGATTCTAAGCATGCGTTCGACACCATTAGCTCGGAGTTATTTAGAATCAAACACACCTTGAATCGCATCGCAAAATATCGCTTATAGAAACATCCTGAGCATCCTCCCCAAGTCGAAACTGGACATATGTTTCTCGGTACTACTTGCTGGTACGGTCTACCGCAATGTCGCCGCGAGGACGATTGGTGGATGTAACCTTGTCTAACCAAATCCGATATATGTGACTGGACATTCGAACTTGCGAGGTGAGAAGTGGAAGTAACTGGTACAGAGGAATAATGGGCAATCGCAAAATATCAGATTTGGGTCGATCTGACTTCAATTGCCATTTGGGGGCGAAGTGTGTATTTGCCTATGTTTGCATTGTGGCTAATCAGAACTCGACCGCAAGAAACAATATGATGAAATCGAGACTAGCGATGACTAGAGGCATGTTAGGCTGAAGCAGAGATTCAGTGCGTATACGACGGTCAGACCAGAGCCCTAGGAGATGCGAGAACAGCTAACCTACCATACCTACTCGCGTATGATGAGCTCGCCGGCGACATCACTCACAGCGAAACACGAGATCATCAATGAAAGGTTAAATCCATGAAAATAATAAGAGGCCATACTTCCTATGAGCAGGGACAGGGCATGCCCATTGATAACTGACTGGCCCTTCACCCCGAGCTCAATGGTGACATGAGTAGCTCTATACCCGGCAGGCTGGTCGGATAGGGTCACCTAGTGTTGTTGGCGAAACCTCGCCACCTCGCCTCGCCGGCGCGGCAAATGGCGAGGACCAGGAGGCTTCCATATACACAACTGAGGCAGGGACTGCAAACATCAGATTCTTATGTTGTCTCTAGGCCTGTAGATACCCTAGACATAGGTATAGTGAAAATTTCGATGTTTCTGCAGTTTTGCCACTCTCGCCAGCGTCGCCGGCCCTCGCCATGCTTGGCGGCTTGAGTTTCGCCTCGCCGGCGCTTGGCGAGGCCTTCCGGGAGTTTTGCCCACGACACTAGGGTCACCCTGTATATTAACAGGGAGTTCCCTGAATATCACTTGTTACAGTATCCGCTTAAAAGTTTGAATTCGGAGGTGACTGGAATCTTATAGTGTTCGAAGGGAAGGCTTTAAAGTCGCCGTTTCGATAGGCCATTGACTCCAAAATGAGTCCGAACGATGCGGTAAGCTTAAGAGGGAAGACAGGTAATTGTTTGTACTTGTTCAGAAGCCGATACCTTCGACGCCCGTACAAGTACTTACCTGACAAAGAAACTTCTACTGTACAGGTGTTGTGCGCGTTCTTGCGTGTATTTCTGCGCGACATCCCGATAGCGTAGTATACAAGTACTCATTCGCTGCAACTCGAAGGAGCATGTCAAAACCACGTTCTCGAGTGGTGCGTCCGAGAGCATAGGAGTCGTCCGCCGTTCGTATCGGCGATCCTAGCAGACTCGGGCTCGCGCTCCCACCTAATCGTCTCCCGGCACGGTCACGTCCTTCTTGTCGTTTATCTTACTCGTGTGCCTAGCATCCTGTTCGCGGCCCTCGAGTAGGGTATCCCAATTCACAATCCTGGTCCTGTAGGCTAGATGCTCCCTAGCGGCGAAATGTGAGTGTGCCGGAAGCTCGTATGTCGGTTTCGCACGGCCTCAAAAATCATCACCCAGCTCCAGCATCCATGGGCTCTCGCGTACCAGCTCAATCGCAGTTGGCCGATCTGCGGGATCGATGCGGAAACACCGAGACATAAGGTCGATCGCACCGGCGATGTCGTGCTCAGGAAGTGCGAGAACTCCAGCATTTCGTCTGAAAAGGAGAGAGAAATGGACCTTAGTAACGGGTTTACGGACGCGTGCAAGGTAGCCTGACGGCAGAGGAGACGTCGATGAGTATCGTACGCCGGGAACACGCAAATCAGGCGTACCGGTTTCCATGTCAAGAAAATCTGGCGCGTACTTGTACGTCTTGATCAGATTCGGTGAAAATTCCTCGCCGGTAAACTTGAGTATTTGAATCAAGTGATAAACATCGGGCTCCATCACAGGGTGTTTACGAGGAAAGAGTGGTATGCCAAGCATGAACTCATAGACCTGTATCCCGGGGAGAGTCAGCATAGCAAGTACTGGGAAAGCGAAATGCAAAGACAGGGGACAAACCAGGCAGCCAAAGGTCCAGATGTCGACTTTGGAGTCCCACGGACCTTGCAGTATACTCTCGGGTGCACGCAAGGTGTCCGGAGTGATATGCGATATAACCTGATGGTCAGCAAACTGAGCTAGAAACACGAGGGAGTGAGTGGTATTACGGCATGCGATCGACAGAGTATTAAACACGCTCACTTACCACTTCCGAAGTCACCGATGACGAATGATGCGGAAAGAGCCTGGTCTATGGACGGCGGCGGTAAAGGCTGAGATACGGCCGCTTCGACAAAGTAGTCCCAGCTTTGTTCGGGTGGGTGTCGGCGAGAAGGACTGCTCTCAAGAAGCAGGCGCAGGTTGGCCTCGGACGTAGCTTCCGGGAGGTTACACATAATGTTCGCAGATTTCAAATCTACCAGGAGGTCAAGAGTCTGAACGCACGGACACGCCGGAAGACGCACGCACCTGTGTGCACGCAACCCGAGGCATGCAGCTGCGCTAGGCCACGAAGCGTGTCGCGTAAAATACGCTTCGCCAACGGGACAGGGAACGCCTTCGACTCCGTCTGAAGAGCCTCAATATCGCCGGCCAGCACATCCATGACTAGACATAGATGTTCGCCATCATTAGGTTTGCCATGATGGATGAAGTGAGAGCGGAGTGTGGCGCAGTACGCTGGTCGACCGGACTGTTGGATGTGTTCCGTGACGCATTCCATGATAGGGAGCTCTTGCATATATCCTTGAAAGTGGATGTCGGTGGCCATGCCTTTGAGTGCTTTAATAGCCACGTAGCACTCCTCCCTGAGATGCGAAAGATGAGAAAGCCCATGGAACTGTGCAGAGGAACACAGCGCACTCATGATCTCGCGCAAGCCATACACTAGCCTATGCGAAAGAGCGGTTAGGAAGCCTTTTGCTTGAAACATGAGCACGACGAACGTTCATGCCCCAACCCAGCTTTCTAAGGACCTCGTACCGATCGCCGGGACCAATCCTCTGGCCAAAATCGACCTGCAGGTACCCGAATCCCTGGTCTGCTCGTAGACCGAGCGGCTCTTCGACGAAGGTCAGCTCGACGTTCTCGACAGCGTCGGTCGACGTATCACCCTCGGATAAGGACTTGTGCCCGGCGACATCAATTATAGTCTGATCTGGAGGTTTGCAAAGTAGTCGCCTCTGAAGAACGAAAGTACGGGAAGCAAGGGCGAGTCGTGATTTTGAGAAAGTGGCTCGAGATAGACCGCGACTCAGCATCCGGGGATGGTCGGCCCTATGCAATTCGGCGGCTACAGATTCAGGATGTAACTTACAGTGATTGGAAGCAGTTTGAACTACAGAGTGAGCTCAAGCTGCTAAATATTGCAGGAAGTCTTGACTACTTTCGTGCAAGATGTGTACGGAAAGCCGCCCAAGTCATCGGGAAATTGGGCGTGATCTGGTTTTACCTGGTAGCGCTGACCAGAGTCACACCACTGTGACCGAAGCTGATGATAGCTTGTCACATCTTACGAACCTCCCTCAGAATTCATCTGTTCTCTGTTCCCTCAGTGGCGCTATCTGGTAAGTCTTGATAGACTTCCGACGTTCTTGCGCATGGCTTGTTAGGCTGGACAAGTCTTGTTTCATCGGCTTTCCGGATCCCGGATTACGAAGTTGAAGTCTTCGTCAGCCCGCCCTAAACTAGCACACGGTCCACGTTCGCTTTTCAACATCAATATCGATACGATCTCCCTTGCCTCTCCCTCTCACCGTGGAGCACCCCGTTATCTTTCTCTGAAACCCTCGAGCTGTTTGCTCCACAGTTTTAATTCTGTGTCGCTATGCGGAGACTCTTATGCGTACTGTTGTCATCCTCGAGCTGGTTTTGCTCCATGGTGTACACCATGTCAATGTTGGGGTATTTGACTTCTTACTGACAGTTATGTGTGCAGAAATTTCCATGGATTGTGCATATTGTGGTGCACCTTATTCTCGTGGAGCCTAGATGTGTCTGGTAATGCAACCTCCAGGGTCTCCGGGACTCCGCGGCGAAGAAGCTCGGGCGAGTCATGGTACGCTACATGAATGCCAATAATTTTGAGACATTGCATCGGATTCTCGTGATGGTGTGAATGGTGTGGCTGGATCCGAAGGCGCAAGGTTGGCGCTGTTTTCGTCGCTCTCGTGCGTTGCGAAGATACAAACTGGGTTGAGCCACCATATGCGGACCCGTCCGACACCTATTGGGACACTCCGTGTGAGTCTCCCGTCGCGACCTCTATGCTGAACGTGCACGCTTGTACATGAGGGTCTACTGCATGGCTATCGCCAATACACCCATTTGTCCGCCTCGCCAACACGCCTCAGGTATTGCATACCCATACCCGGTCATGATCCTCGGCAAATGTGGTGCTCTCGGCGTTCTTTGTGAGTGCTATGTACGACTCTACCGAAATATATTTGGTGTTTTCTATTTGTGGTGGCGGTGCGTGTGGCCGTACTCGAGCTCACAAGCATCCATCATATGTACCAGATTGGTGAAAAATTGCCAGCCTTGTAGCTCTGGAAAATCAGTAGATAGTTTTACTACTGCTTATCAGGTCATCTACCAGCCTGGTGCATCTTTCACGTCTGGCAAGGCTTGTAAGGCCTTACAGGGCCTGATAAAGGTCAAACCAGATCAATGCAAATTCTCCGATGAACTTGAAACAGCCCGGGAATCCTTGATATCAACCGCGGTTTTGGACACCGGAAGGAATACGCCAAAAAAAAGGTTAACCTTCATCATCGAGTTCAAGGCTGGAGATATCTTCTGCGTTTACGTGCACCATTGTACCTCACTGCTGATTCTAATGACTACTTACATCACAACTTCACAGGGTGAACACTTGCTAAATGCGAATCGCACGACAAGCTTGCCAAGAAGGTTGGCGAAGGGTTTGGTGCAGAAACATGATGTATGCACTCATTAATACAAGACAATGCTATGTAACGTAGGATTCGAAGATGCGAACACATATTCTTAGTTACGCATTATCTTGCATTATGCAAAATGGATATAGTCCCCTACATTGGTGGTGAGTCCAGTACTTGTTTGTATCAAAAGGTACGATTCATCGCGGCACAAATATTGCCAGAACTGAACAGAGCTCTTCCGAAGGAACGTGAAGGAACCTATAAGTCGAAAACATCTCCAAAATCCAGAGGCGGGCGGAACTCCCCAGTACGGTTCACGCCAGTCTAAGGCGGGCAGCCTGAGCGACACGTTCTGATATAAATCGCGGTCGAAAAGGTCGAGAATCCAAGGCACCAGTAACATCATCTATTATCTCGAATGTCCCTCCTACAGAGAGATAACACGACTCTGCCCTACGCCGACCCCCGCGCAAAGGCACACAACGGATCTGCGCGTACAGATAGACAATTCCATGCCAAGAAACTCGGAGGGAAAGAGATGCTTCAAGATACCTCCACCTCTGCGGAGCTGGACCGGCGATCGGCACGCACGATAGGACCTACGGACCTTGTGCTTCGACCTGAATCCGCGCCCAGCGCTTGGGCAGCAAGGTCCTAACTATGCAACAGGGCAAATCCATCGCACGGACCCGCGAGGCTTTCCCGAGGAAGTCAGCATACAGAGGCTGCGGAAAGTCGTCAGCATGGGTTCTGGACTGAGCAACTCGCTCGCCTAGTTGTGCACTCACTCACCTGGACGAACAAGGAGACCTGAGCCAGCAGGATACGGCCGTAGAAATGGGAGCTGATCACGCAAAGTCGCTCGCAAGCTGCGAGGCCGACGCGGTGTATACATGGCAAAACGCATGACGACGTCATGCGAATTACCTGCAAGCGGGTCTGGAGACCGGACGCGCTAAGACGCGCTACCGCCTGCTGCGAGATTACCTTTCGAGCGGGCATGGCGGACTGCGATTACGAAGAGGGTCTAGGGCTGGTACTTCAAGTTTGTCTAAGTCTCCCTTAGTGCTGCTATACCGCATAGCTGACGTCTGCGTGTTTTGCGCATGGCAGCGATCGACACTCCATATGCACCGTCACGTGTGGTCGGCGAGCGATTTCGAAGTCGAGGCAATTGAATATTGAAGGTTTGTCAAAGTTTCCACCGCATGTTGCAGCTTCACTACAGCTATCCGATAGCAGAGGGCGCCCCCGCAGTGTGCGCGCACCGGCGACCAAGCCTGATTTGAGGCCGAATATCTGATCTGGATCTGGAAGTCGCCGACGCGCGTGATTTCCACTGCCATGCCAAATGCGCCACACTCGCTCCAGCTCGGAGGAATGATGTTTCATTGTTTGCGACGGCCGCGCTGCGGGCGGAGAGACTCCAAGACGCGCTCGGAACAACGCACCACATGGGGCTAGATCTCCTTGCGGGGAGCAATAAATCCATCTGTGGTGCGTGACCAATGCCCATCCGGGGCAAATTACAGCGGTGGGCGGAGAGCTGCAGTTCCTGTCCTGAATAATACTTGTGAGGGAGAGAGGCACGCCGGGTCATGCGGGGAAGCTACGTTACGTTGCTGCCAAACTCAGTCCGCAAGTCACCAGGTGCAGTCTGTGCGGGGCTTGTAATTAACATGTAACACTGCGTGGTGTCCGGAGACAGTGCCCCGGTGCTTCGCAGAGCACCGCACAGCCTTCGCGGACAAGGGCGAAGTCATCAGACGCGGGGTATTCGAGTTGCACACGTCTTCCTTTGTCCGAGATGGGGAAAGAGAGGATGGATCAGCGGTACGCCGTCTATCGTCGTCGCGAAACTTGGTACTGAGATGCTCGGAACTTCCGAACGAGGGGTCCTCTCGTGCACGAAGAATACGATGTACGTTGGTCTCTTACCCACAGCCCAAACTTCGATTCATGGGTGGTACTGCGGCCCAACTTAGACGATTGTGTACCTCTTGCAGTCCGGGGCCCACTATCTCGAGCCCCTGCTCGCACATTTCACACGAAATGGAATGTCTGGCGAGATGCACTCGTACATCTATAGACAAGGAAAAAACTATCTACAAAAACACGCATGCAACCACGCGCGAAAACCGCAGCAGCAGCGCGAACATACAAACACCACTAAAAGTGCAGAGATATCAATACGGCATTACGCCAGAGCGGGGAGTACCACACCGCCGCCAGGCACCATATGTACAAAGCCCATGAGTCTCCAACGCCGACGAGGAGAGAGCACGGAAAGGAACAGAACACGCAGCGCAGCGCGAAAACAAGACGAGTCAATTAAGTTCACAGTGTAAGTATAGTTCGATGCGATGCTAGGACCACCACAACACGCTTACGATGCAACGATGCACGAGCCTGTACTGTAACTTGCCGCTGGGAGGAGCCGGAGCCGAGCCGCGGTGAATAATGCATATGAGAATAACTTGACGACGACGATGCGCGAGGGAGACGAGAAGGGGGAGGGGAAGGCGAAGCGGAGAACGAAGACGGAACAGGTGGGGAACAGCGGCCCCGTGAGTAACGTACGAGGGAAGGGGGAAGGGGGGAGGGTGTGAGGGGTAGGCTTAGGTAGTACAAGAGGACAAAATCAGAGGAAGGCGAAGGCGGGGAATATCATGATGAGGCGGCGTTCCATATTGCGCCAAGGAAGCCTCTCGCAGAGGTCACCATCTCAACTGCACGGCTCACCAGCGTGCCAGGCTGCTCGTGGTGGTCCAGCGACGCATGTGCAGCCCGGTCTTTGCCAGGACTTGAACGCGCCGCAGACTTCTGTTCCGCCTGCGGTTGTCGCTCTGGGTGGGGATCCATAGGTCGCCGCAGTTGTGGCGGTTGTGACACGCGGTCGGGTACATCAGGCAAAGCACGGTGCAAAGCAGAGACGGGCGAGTTGGCGGGTGTCGGCTGCCGCGAGCGCTGTTCCTCCTCTTCGGGTATCGGCGACGGTAATGCTATCGAGGGTATGCTAGACTGGCCGTGGACGATGCGAACGCGCAGTCGATTCTGCACGATATCGCTCTCGCCCTGAGGCGCAGGGGCCACGGTCGAGGTGCTGGCGGTCGAGGAGCCTGATATGGACGAGGGCGGCGACGACGCCAATGCCACGCTCTCGAGTGGCACATCCGAGAGAACGGGCGAGTACGCGTGCTCGTCCGCCGTTCGTATCGGCGATCCGAGCAGACTCGGCGGGCTCGCGCTCCCACCTATTCGTCTCCCGCCACGGTCACGTCCCCGCTCCTCGTCGCTCTTCTTACTCGCCCGCTTAGCATCGCGCTCGCGCCCTCTCGAGTAGGGCATCCCAATGCCCAATCCGGACCCTGTAGGCGAGATGCTCCCCAGCGGCGAATTCGTGCCCCGGCTAGACCGAGAGCCCGAGCGTTCGCAGTCGGAGAAGGACGACGTCCGCGTGAGCGAGCGGCCCCGCGAGTCCGAGCGCGAGTCGCTGGAGCGCGAATAGCTGCTCGAGCCCGTCGTCGTCGACCCGCTCACAGACGAACACACAGGAAGGCGCCCCCGACATGACCCGACGTCGGGCGGCGAGAGCAGCGCGGGGTCTGTTACCTGCGGAGAGAACGATATGAACGGATGCGAGGTGCCGATACGTGGCACGGGCACCGCCTGGGCGGGCGTATGCACGAACGTCGGCGAACCACTCTCGTCCCCCCGTGGTGGCAATGGCGGCTGGTAGGGCTGCACAGCCGGGTACTCGAACGACGGGCTGCTTTCCCGCGAGCGCTCGCTGCGCTCCTCCGCGGCGCCTGTGGCTGCGTTCACGACCACGACCGGTGTCTCCGGGCTGTGGCTCGGCGAAATTTGGCCACTACTCCGTCCGTTCGTGACGCTCGCCGCGCCACCTTCCGCGTACCGCGTCACACCCTCCGCACCCTCGTCCTGCGCCTGCGAGACGCTGCCTCTACTCCGCCCGCCCTTCCGCGAGAGCTCAGACCACTCCGTGAAGCCCTCGCCGTCCGAATCACCGAAATAATCGAACACATCCTCCACCACGGCGTCGCTCTGCGGCAAATCTGAGATCGGCTTGGGAAACATCCTGGGATGTCCCGGGGTAGCGTAATCGGGGTGAGGCGACGTCGGGTAGCGTGGCGGGGGGAGGACGGCGACGCTGGGTATTGGCGGGGATTCGGCTAGGGGAGAGCTGGAATGAGGGGAATGCGTGCCGACGCTGAAATACGACTCTCGATGGTGATACACGTCCTCGCTGGGCGTCGACGGGACGCTGTACCCGTTGTGCGTCGAGGGCACGTACACGAGCTCGACGTCCTTCGAGGGCGCAGTGACGCGGTCGGACACCAGATCGTCAGCGTCGCTGGTGGTCTTCAGGAGCGTCGGCGCGATGGGCGCGATGGTGACGCGGTCGCCCGCGGTTGAGGACCTACGCGAAAGCGCCGGGCGTAACCGGCGCGAGAGGCTCCCGGTCGACGAGTTCAGACGCTGGAGCTCTGAAGACGAGCGGGAGCGGGATGAAGACGTGCGCATTTCCAGCACGTCGTCGTCGTCATCATCGTCCGAGTCTGAATTGGAAGCGGGCTGATTAGGCAGATAAAACGACGAGGGCTCCTCATCGTAGCCCTGTTCCGAGTCCTCTTCGTACCTATGTGGATAGGATATTTCAGTGTAGCTCGATCCCAGAAGATAAGGAAGACACTGACCCGTCGTCGTCGTCGCTGGCAACGCGGGAAAGACGGCTGCTGCTATTGCCGGAGCGCTTGACCTTCGGCTTCTCGATGGAAATGCATTGCTCGACGAACGTGTTGAACGAAATATGCCGCTTCTTGTTCGGCTCCGAGCCCCCGCTGAAGTCCTGGTCGCTCCCGGTGGAGATCGACCGCTCGCTCGACGTCCCTTCGGCCGTCGACGCGAACGTGACCGAGTGCGGGGAGTGCGGGGAATGCGGCGACTCCTCCGCAATGATCCGTGGCGGCGAGTCCTTGCGGAACGGCCGGCCGCGCGAGCTGATGTGCGTATCGCTCTTCGTGTGCAACAGCAACCGTCGCTGCCGCCCGTGCTCAGAGTCGTCCTCGGGCGCACGGTCCGACTCCTCCCCGTGCACATGCTCCGGAACCTCTTCCTCGTCGGTGTCGCCCTGGCTGAAAAAAGGGCTGTTCGGGAGCGACAGCAGCTGGCTGATGCTCCGTCGCTTCAAAATCGGCTTCTTCGGGTTCGATGATGGCGCCGATACGGTCGATGTCAGTGGCGGGCGGGTCTTGAGGTTGCGTGGGGAAAGTTCATGGCGGCTTGTGATTTCGTCGAAGCTCGTCTTGCGTTCTCGAGGGCGGAGCGTTTGCTCAGAGGTATGTGACGACGGCGTCCAGTCCGTACCTACGTGCAGAGGACCGTATAGCCATGTCACGTCCGAGTCTTTCAGCCTGTCAGAGAATCGTGAGTAATAGGAGAGAAACCGATCGGAGCGCCGCAAGATAACGCGGATAGGCCTCTCCGTGCGCAACGGGAGAGAAACGACGACAGAGGAGAATGCTCACCAATTGAGAGTCTCGGGACTGATGGTCTTGAGTTTATTCCTCTGCTTCCACCAGGTGCGCCAGCTGGCGTTCTCCAGCCTCATCCCGTTCGCGATGGCGTTCTTCTGGCGAGTCATGCTGCGCCAGGAGCGCCAGACGTCTTCTTCGCGCCATTCGTGGGATAGATAGTCGACCTGGCCGTCTGGGACAGGAGAAAAAGAGGAGTCGTCGGGAGCGGCGGAGTGGGTAACAGAGATGAGAAGCACGGGAAGGTAGCTCATGAGTGTAGCTGGTACAGGCATGACGATGTCGGTGCAAAGAAAGGAGAATGCTCCGGACACGGTGGTGTTGATGCAAAGAAAGCAGAATACTCCAGATGCGGTGGTGTTGATACAAGAGAGGATGACGGCGCCGAAGACGGAGCGAGCGGTCTGATGATGAACCCAAACAAGACGCTGAGGGTACAATAAAAAGAAAAGAGCCGGCGATGTGGCTGGAAGCCTAGCTCGTCCTCAGGAGTGCAGCAGGGAGAGAGCGCTGCAGACTATGTCGAAACGGACATGGGTGTCTGAGAAAAGATGGTGTGTGGGGAGCATGCAGGGCGCGCCCCGCTCTCTCCCGAACGCGGTTCTCCGGTCCAGCCACGTGCCCCCGCCCTCTCCAGCCCGGTCCGCCCGTTTATCCTGCGCCTTTTTTTTCTCCAAATGGCTGCCCCGGAACTCGTCCAGCATGCGCTCGAGATATTTCCTAGGTCGTCCCCGATTTTTTTCTCCTTCTCGACACTGGAGCTGCTCTAGCTCTCCAGACTCAGCGGGCCGGTGCGGCCCCCAGTTATGCCGAAGTCCATACGACCGCAGCGCCGTGCTACAGTAAACACACATGGACACGCCCCAGACAGTTGACGTTGCGGCAGCAACAGGAACATACCTTCATCCGTGATCTCTGGATCCTCGCCTCAGCGGATCATGCATCTTCAGCAATCGTACAAGCTGCATGACCACCTCCAGCACGGAACTCTCCATTTTCCGTCACAATTTCTCCCTCAGCAATTCACTCCAGCATTCCTGCCCATCGGCTTCGCCGACAGTCACACAAGGATGTTCGCTACCTCGTCGATGCCATCATCACCTGGTCTCAGCCTTCCCAGTGCCTAACATTCTCGGAACTTCCCACCATCTCAATGCGTCGACTGAATCTCGCAAGTTCCACGGCGACGATGGACGGTGTTCCGCTAATCCGCCCTCATTTTTCCCCTCTCGGACAAAGGAAGACGTGTTACCCGCGTCCGATGACTTTGCGCTATAATAGCACGAACAACCGTGAAACACCATCTCCAAGACACCGCGCTGTGCAACCACCGCAGAGCCGGCCGCCCCCAGCGATGACTTTGACAGCAGCAGCCCTTCCCAGCATTTCAATGTGTCCACTGAATCTCGCAAGTTCCGCGGCGACAACCGACGGTGTATGCTATTCCCCCCTCTCGGACAAAGGAAGACGTGTTTCCCCACGTCCGATGACTTCGCCCGTCTGCGAAGCTATGATGGCACGAAGTACTGTGAAACACCATCTCCAGGACACCGCGTTGTGCAGTCACCGCCGTGCCCAGTGATGATTTTGACAGCAACGTAATGCAGCAGCCTCACATGACCCCACCTCCCTTCCCCACACTAACTATTTGGGACGCCAACAGCAGCTTTGCCCACCGCAATTTGCCCCAGACGGGCAGGATTTATTGGAGAGCTAGGCCTACTGATCTACACAAAGACTTGCAAAACACCCCCAGTTTGCGAAATTTTTAGCTCCGCAAGTTTCAGCCAGAATGTCTTCGGGATTGGTAAGCATATGCTATAGTATGTTTTGTACAAGAATATGAACTTTATTTTATTTCAGTTTGATCCCGAGGTCCTCTGTTGTTGAAGACCTTTCAGTGTTAAGCATACCTCTGCGCAGTGCAATGCAAAACCTTTTTATAGGTGTATGCACTTTATACATTTTATGAATACATTCAGCAGGATTGAGAACTCCTGCACTAATTGGGCTGAATATTTAGTGTTCTGTATGTTAGGAAAGCTTAAGATTACAGCTCAGATCTTTAGAGTGCTCCTCAAAAGAGGGATCTTTAAATCAGGTCATTTTCAGGTGCTTATGTTGAGCCTCCAAATCTTGCATTTTTGCTATGTGTTCTCTTTCACTGCGAAATATTTTATAATTAGAGTGTTCAAGTAAACTGACACAATATTGAAAGATATGCCCAATTTTTGTATAGGCAAATTGGTGGTGAGAGAATGAGTTATGCTGATTTCATATGGATGTGTACTTGCAAAACTACTGGAATACATCATTCTGAGCCTGTCATGTTCACGATGCAACTGTCACACAAGTCAGCACAATGTAATCTTCATTCTGGAGGCCTGAGAAGCACAGACTGTGACAATAGTGTCCCACTAATAATTACATTTAGAATAGCCAAGGGGAATGTTGCAGATAAAATCATGCATGTTATAACCTTCAGATCCATGTGAAAGAGATCAGATAGTGTATGACAGTTACTTCATTCAAAAAATAAATCTTGTGCACACTTTTTTTGTCACCACACACTTTTGAACTTCAGTACTTAAGCAGCTGTCGAAACCTTCAGTCTGGAATGTCTGACACTCTTCTCATTATTTGTCGGGCATGTCAATGTTGCTGCAAAGACCACCTGCCCTTGCTGCACAATGTTTTCAAAGCTTTATATGTTATGCATAATGGTGACCTCCCCCTTAGAGGATGGTTTCCTTATGTTTGGTAGTATACATGTGTTTTTATTACTTTAATACTATCATTCAAATCAGAAAAGTGAGAAAAAGTCCAAGAAACTATTCATAAAATCCACCTCACTGAGTGCACTGAGCACAACAGTGTCGAGAGTGTCCTGCTCATTGTGGATGGCAGTAGGCATGAAGTTGGATAAATCTAATTTGAATGCCAAGAAATTGCTGAGCACTAAATGATCATATTCCTTATTAGGAGATTTCCTCAGAGAATTTCTCTGAAAAGTGCACATGGAACATATTTTGTGTGCAGGAGACTTACTGGCAGTCATTTGCATCAGTCATGACACATTATTTATTCCAGCCAGATACCTGCCTAACATGGTATGCCCAGATGATGCAACTCCTCAGCCACTTATGTCTGGCACTGTCTGTGTGGGCCGCAGTGTCAGATGGAGAGTAAAAATGAAAGAGGCACAAGATGTCTTCTGCAATGGGTGAGGTTCAGCCCATTTTTGACTGCCTCAAATGTGCAGAGGCCAGTGAGTATAGAAGGGAGCAGCTTTTGGCCTACCACCCTGCATACCATATTAGGCATATATTTCGCCAGAACAACAGTGCGTCGCTCATCAGCGACCACAGTTTCATATGCAAATGACTGTACATTTCGTGTGTGGTGATGTGTTTTCCCTGCCAAAAATTGAGTGTGCAGGGGATTTATTTTTTGTACAAAGTGACTGTCATAATACACTGCAGTTCCTCCATGCACACATGACCCAGTGAGCCTTCTTCCCCCACACTAACTATTCGAGATAACAACAGCAGCTTGCCGCACACAGCTACAATTTGCCCTGGATGGGTATTTGCCATGCACCAGAGATGGATTTATTGGTCCCGCGAGAAGAGCCAGTGTTATGCCTTGAGCGTGTCCCGGAGTCTCTCCGCCTGCAGCGCGACCGTCGCAAACATCATTCCTCCGAGCTAGAGCGCTCAGGCTCGAACCACCTGCGCCGCTGCGCGACCACAGCGCGCTGATCAACGAGTGTGGCGCATTTGGAAATTGGAATACTACAGCATCGGGGGATGCCGCAGTGAAAATCACGCGCATCGGTGACTTCCAGATCCAGATCAGATAGTCGGCCTTAAATCAGGCTTGGCCACCGGTGCCTCCATCGAACGCCTTCTATGACTATCTTCGCTATCGGATAGCTGTAGAGAGCAGCACATACAGTAGAAAGTTTGACAAAACTTTTGTCTCGACCTTGAAATCACTCCCCGACCACACATGACCATGACGGTACGTATGGAATATCGATCGCTGCCATGCGCAAAACATGCAGACGTCAGCTGTGCGAGACTCAGGCAAACTTGCAATTGAAGTGCCAGCCCTGGACCCTCTTCGTAATCGCAGTCCGCCATGCCCGCTCGAAAGGTATAATCTCGCAACAGGCTGTGGCGTCCAGCCTCCAGACCAGCCCATATGTAATGCGCATGACGAAGTCAGGCGTCTTACAGGGTACACACCGCGCCAGCCACGTAGCTTGCGAGCGACGCTGTGATCAGCTCTCCTTCCTACGGTCGTGTCCGAGTCCTGCTGGCTCAAGTATCCTTGTTCGTGCAGGTGAATGCACAACCAGGCGAGCGAGTTGCTCAGTCCAGAACTGCCAACTTTCCGCGGCCTCGGGGAAACCTCGCAGGCCTGTACGAATGATTTGCCTTGCTGCAGAGTTAGGACTTTGCTGTCCAGGTGCTGGGCGCGGATTCAGGTCGAAGCACAAGGTATGTAGGTCCTATCGTGAGCGCCAATCGTCAGTGCTTCGCACCGTTGTATTTCTTCTCTGAGTTTCTTGGCCTGGAAATGTCTATCTACGCGTGCACGGGGCACAGATCCATTGTGTGCCTGTGTGCGCGGGGTCGAGTCGTGTTATCTCCCTGTAGGCTGGACATTGGAGATTTGGATGCTGTTACTGGTGCCTTGGATTCTCGACCTTTTCCACCGCGATTTGTCTCATGACGCGTTGCTCACGCTGCCTGCTTGCCTGGCGTGAATCGTACTAGGGATTTCCGTCCGCCTCTGGAATTTGGAGATGTGATGGAGTCTGGAGTTCCTTCACGTTCCTTCGGGAGTACTAATATCCAATTCTGGCAATATTTGTGCTGCGATGAGTCGTACCTTTTGATGCGGACGATGGCTGAACTCACCACCAAATGTACCCCGGGACGTAAATATCGTCCACACCACCCGTTTTGCATAATGCGGGAATCCTACCTTATCGTTGTTTTGTATTGATGAGTGCGTAGCATCACGTCTCTGCACCAAACCCTTCGTCGAGATTCTTCGCAAGCATGTTGTGCGATTCATTGTCTGAATTTATGATGCAGCCATTGGAATGAGCGGGGTGAGGCAGAATGGTGTAGACACACAAGATATTTCATTTATTGAAGAACTTAACACCCTTTGGCTTTGCAAACCGTCAAGGCGTAGACATCCTCCGCAATGCCGAGTCGGCGTATGCCCTTCCTAAGGCAGAAGTAAAGGAGCAAGCGATGCCAACTGGGCTGCCGGACTATGTATAACTAGGGTATGAGGGGGTGCTGTTCAACGTTCATCTTCGGCAGTTAACGTGTCGAACCTACCCTTAGATAACAGCGACGTGACGTCACTGTGACCCTCACCGTGAATGGCCCCTATAGCAGGCTCTCTACCACCATCAGACCAATCTTCAATTGTCCGAGTTCAACAATGCTTACTGCAGAGATTCCTCCGTTCAAAAAGCCAGCTAAGCGAGCGAAGCTCACGGCCGACACCAACGTTTCTGCGACGATGCTTGCGACGGACACCGATGCCCCCTATCCCTTCGACAAGCCCAACGCCGACACGATCCTGCGCACATCTGACAGAGTGAAGTTCCGCGTCCGCAACGCCATCCTCGCCGAGGCGTCGGTGTTCTTCGAGGGCATGTTCAGCTGCCCGCAGCCGCCCGACTCGCAGCAGTGCGATGGGCTGCCCGTTGTCGATGTCGCGGAGGACAGCAAGACGCTCGACGCACTCCTGCGGTTTTGCTACCCCTTCGACCCGCCCGAGCTCGCGACGCTCGACGAGCTCGTGCCCGTGCTCCGCGCCGCTCTCAAGTATGTGATGGATCCGTTTATGGTGTCCCTCCGCAAGCAGCTGGTCGCGGTGGCGGAGAAGGAGCCAATGGGCGTGTACATGATCGCGTACGAGTTGGGGTTCAAGGCTGAAATGCTGGCCGCCGAGAAGTATCTGCAGGATGAGTGGTGCAACACATATTATCCTGGATTGGAGGAGATGCCGGTGGAGGTGTACTTCAAACTCCTGAAGGCCTCCCTCGCTGGGGAGCCCTCAGAACCTGAACAGCCGCCGAGTTCATTTAGGTCATCCAAACTTCGGAAAAAATCCGCCAAGAAATCAGGGAGGCCGGAGGAGCACCGGGAGACACCCGCAGAAAAACCAGACAACAGGTTCCACGATTGCGGGCTGATAAATCCATCGGAGCACAAGACGACCGCTGCTGAGTACCCGTTCGATTTGAGCGACGCAGACGCTGTTCTGTGCACTTCGGACGCGGTAGAATTTTGCGTCCATACTTCAATATTGAGTATCGCATCTCCAGTTTTCCGGCACATGTTCACAGGAACAGAGAAAGATGTGATGTATACGAAGCACGAGCCAAGCTCACGCCGGCCAACTGGCATGATTGTTGTCACAGAAGACAGTAGAACGTTAACGGCGCTCCTCAGATTTTGCTACCCCGTCGAAGATCAGGAAGTAGAAGACCTCGAATGGGCGGGAGTGCTCCTGCGTGTGGCAAAAAAATACCAGATGGCTACCGCAATGAAACGGCTTCGAGAGATATTTGCGAAATTTGCTCAAGAACGACCATTGCGCGCGTACGCCATCGCTTGTGTGCACCAGTGGGACCTGGAAGGGAAACAAGCGGCGCGTGTTGTGTTGCGCGTCCGGATCAAGGACCATTCTGCGGAGGATCTCAAAGGCATATCAGCAGGGACATATCATCGCCTTTTGAAGTACCACAAGGACTGCGCAAAGGCTGCAAGCAGTAAAGTGGAAGAGGACCTAAATGGCGGAAAACTCGACCGTGCATTTATGCAAACCCGAAACATCATTTGTTGCAATTGTGGTCACCGAGCTCAAACAGAGAATTATCGCGCGTACATCGGGTGCTGGTGGCGTGGGTACGTCCGTCGCGTCGCGTTGGAGCTGGAGGAGAAACCAGACGGAGAAACGGCCAAGGATGCCAAGCTGCTGGGGCCTGCCATTGCCGATGCACAGACTTGTATAATATGCGAGCCCAGTACTTTTCAAGACCTCTGGAATTGCAGTGTAGGACTGGCAAGCAAGATTGACTACGTGGTGTCCAGAGTATGTTGTTTGCTGTATATCAATGGGGGTCCTAAAACTTGGTGTTTACTTCACAGGTATCAATCGAAATCAGATGACAGTAGTGTAAGGCCCGCATGAGGCGAAGTTTCCTAAGTTCAATAAGTCCTTTACTGTACCTTGGATATCCAGTTGTGGATGATGATTCAAGGATTCAAGTTTGAGATCCTTGCCCGGCCCGTTGGCAAAGTTATGGGCGCCTGTTTGGTGACAGCATCACGTGATATGTTCAAGCGCGGCGCTTTGGCCCTTTCTCCAGCGAAACATTCTCATGGTTATACAGACTTTGCTCTGAAATCCTCAGAAACGTATTTGTTTCGGAAGGAAGACTTGCTGATTGAAAGAAGTGCCCGCGCTGTACTGTTGTGGTATGTGGCATATCTTGTAGCAACAATTTCATTGATTTGATCTACACCAGAAAATTCACTGCGATGGCTGCAATGCTCGAGACCCCCTCGCGCGTCTGGCGCCGCATCCAGGCAGTGGAGGGAAAAGACATGCCGTCCTTACCATCTCTACCCGGCTTCGAAGATTCTGCCGAACAACCGTCGGAATCTAACGAGACCACGAACGATGACATGGATCTCTCCTTGCCGATACATTCCACCCCTGCTTTGTCTAACCATACCGCTACTTCCACTATCAAAGCTCCGTCAAGTGCGTCGAGTACGGCCCGCTTCGCTCACTCTATTGCGTCGCGCTCGTCCAAGTCTGCGTTGTCTGCCTCACGTGGCAGTGCCGTCCAACCTGTAGTCCAAGATAGCTTCGACGTGAGCTCCATTCCCAGCCTTCCCGATGCCCACTCCCATGATAAAGGTGACTCGGATATCCGGACTAGCGACCAGGAGACAGAGAGCTCTGTCCAGGGTAGCTATGTTCCCCAGACGATCGCAGACGATATCGGCGGTGATATAGACGTAGACATGGACATCTCTGACGCTTTGGAATCCGTCAGTCGCCCTAATTCCCCGGCGATGGACGATGCCGTCACACCGAGCAAGAAGTACGACTACTCCGTGAGTCTGCGCACAGAGGCGAAGGTATGTACTTCCGCCTATACCGCACAGCCTTATTGACTATGGATTCAGCCATCCCCGTTCGACAAGATGCGACACGTAGCGATTCGCCGACCACTGTCGCGCACGCGCACGCGCACACCGTCACTCACTCACACGACCCCTTCCTCGTCGTCGTCGTCTTCGCACTCGACACCACAGAGCAACCATTCAATCTCGTATGTCCGGTCCGCCGCAGCTTCACCTCTCTCGCCATTCGCAGTACCGCTTCCCCGATCGGTCACCGCTTCTCCTGCTCCGGTGATACAAGTCGAAGACGAGACGCATGAGGCGGAATCCGTGGCAGAGATCGAGAACACTTATGAACCGACTGAGGTGCTCAATCCAGAGGAGGTCAGCGAGCAGGGTCAAGACGATCACAGGGAACCAACATTCTCATCGGACGAAGCCCCCACGCAGACTGAAGATCACAGTATGCGCGGTATGCAAACACCTATGCCGATGTCCACTGCGATGTCTTCACCCGCACCGTCAGCAATGTTCACCCCAACACCAGTCTTCCATGCACGTCCCCGAGCACGGTTTGCGCCTCTCTCATCAGTCACGCCGCAGCCCAAGCCGCTGCAGGCACCTGATGAGCACGAAGAAGAGCTCAGCGAAGTCACCGAAGATCACGAACACGAAGACCTAGCGACGCCGTATGCGGCGCACAAACGTTCCTTCCTGCTGTCGGTCATCAACTCCACCGCCCGCCCGCGTATGAAATACCCTACTCCGCACCCTCACCGCATAGCAGACAGACAGCAGTCGCAATTGCAGATGACGCCCAGCGTAAACCTGCGGTCTGCTTTCGCGGGGGCAACGCCTCGCTCCCAGCTTGGGCCAAGGCTCTCCCACCCTCTCGCGCACGCATGGGCACCATCCGAGTCTGAGTCCGCCTCAGGCTCAGAGGCGGGCTCAGTCGCACAGTCCGACTCGCCCCCTGGCGCTCAGTCCCCGTACGACCCCGCAGTGGATCGCGCGTCGTTCGTCTCCACCGCGTCCTCGCACGATCTGACTACTTACGCGCGAGCGAACGCGTCATTTGATCCTGTCATGGGCCTCGGTGAGCGTGGACACGGAGTGGGCCGATTTAACGCGGTGAAACTGAACAACTACATGTACGGGCTGAACCGGCGGTTGCAGGAGGAGAACGAGACGCTCGTGATTCGGCTAAAGGAGTACGAGGAGAAGTATGGTCCTGCGGCAGAAGGTGAGAGGTCTCCTGCCGCACAAGAGCCACCGAGACGTAGGTCAAGCGGAGGTGGAAGGCGGGTCAGTGCGGGACCCGGCATTGGACTCGGAGACGTAGCGGAGGACGAAGAAGAGAAAGCTGCACTGGAGGAGGTAGTGGAAGAACTGAAGGAAGAGCTGGAGCAGTGCAAGCGAGAGAAGGAGCAGGCAGAAGCGGCGCTCTTGGTCGAGCAAGGAGAGAGGGCCAAGGACAAGGACAGATATAGGGACCGGATGGGCGAAGTGGAACGGGGAGTTGAGCGGATCGTGCAAGAACTCGAGCTAAAGGCCGAGGAGGCGCAACAGGCGGTGAAAAGGACGGAAGAAGACAAGATGCAAGCTGTCAAAGAGGTGGAGAAACAGATGGCCGTCAGGGTGGTGGAGAAGGAAGTGCTTGCGGAACGGCTCAGAAAAGCGGAAGATGCGCTGCGAAGCGGCAAGGACCTTGGTGCAGAGCTGAATGTCTCCAACGAACGTGTCGCGCAAGTTATGGGCGACCTCAAGAACGCCAACGTACAGATCAGGGAGCTGGAGGACGAAGTCATGAAAGCCGACGAGCGGATGGATGTACTTGAGAAGGAGCTGCAGGAGGAGAGGCGCGTTGCGTCAGGTCTCGAGGACGAGCTACAAGCCAAGTCGGATGAGCTTGCCCATACCCAGCGGCGAATTCGGACTCTTGAGGAGGACATCCAGAAGGCCCAGGATGCGTTGCGCGATTCCAAGACTTATGTGTCAAAGCTCGATGCAGATGCAAGCGCTGCAATTGCGCGTGCAGAAAGTCTCCAAGAAGAACTGGCCGTCGCAGAGGACAAGGTCGCATACATGGCTTCGGACGCCGAGCAGGACAAGGATGAAATAGACCGGCTCGCTAATGAAGCTGACAAGGCATCGGAGTTGGCACGCCAGATGGAAGAAGCCTTGGAAGCGGCTGAAAGCAAGATGTTGGCCGATGAACAGGAGGTGATCGCCCTCAAAGCCAAAGTCAACACTCTCGAGCGCGCCATGGAACGCGAGCAAGAGAGGTCCAGGTCCCAAGTCGGTCCATCCCACAGTGAAGTCGCAAGAGATGTGCAAGCCGAAATTGATGCCTTGGAAGAAGAGCTCGACGACGCCCACAAAGAGATTGCACGCTTAAATACCATAGTGAGCCAGTCTCCATCGCGCAAAGCTATAGAGAAGGCAAAGGACGCCCGAATAGAGATGCTTGAGAAGGAGAATGAAGACCTTCTGGATAGGATCAAATCGCTCAGGACAAACGCATTTTCCAGTACTCCCGGCAGAAGCAACGGCAGTGGCATCTCCCCCATGCATCGTCAGATCCTTGCGATGTCTATGAAGAGCCCCAAGACCCCGGGAGGGCCTCTACGAGACGTAGGTGTTATATTCCCAATGTCATTAGGCCGCACCTGACATTTCATGTTATGTAGCTTTCTTGGCTTCAGACCACTATTCATGATCCGACAGTATCCCCATTGGTACAAGAGATTGCCCGGTTGCAGCAGGAACTGGACCGCGCCAACGAAAGCATTGACGACAAGCTCGACAGACTCGAGGATGCCGGCATGGGTGTCGTGGGTCTTACGAAACAACTTGAAGACGCGCGTACAAAGATCGTTGCTCTTGAGGACGAGATAGCTCGGTTGTCCCGGAAAGAAGATCGGCGTTACCACCGGCTTCAGAGGGCACGATGCAGGAAGTGTCGTACAAAGTTTCACCTTCATGACTTGGCTTCTCCGGCGGATGGCGACGAAAGGTAACGGCTTGGCATTGTCAATTGCAAATTCTTCTCACTCACAGATGCACGACAGCTCCATGTTTGACGCATCAGATATGAGCCTTGCGACGGAGCCGCCCACACCGCCCACAAAGACGAGTGAAGCTCTTCGTGCAAGTCTCCAGACGGTGAACGCCCAGCTCGCATCCATGAAGAAAGCATGGGATCAAGAGAAGCGTAAACTTCTCGGGGAAAAAGCTGTTCTCCAGGACGCAGCAAAAAGACTGAACCTGGAGGTGCGTGAAGCAAAGAATGAGATCCAGAGGTTTGCTGAGACAGAGCGAGCTGGAGAGAAAGCTCGAGCAGATATCAAATCGGTCCGTTGAATGTTCTCCTGTTCTCCTTTTAGGATGCCTAACTGTTCCTCCAGGAGCTCAACAAAGCTAAACGCGTGATAGACGACCTCGAGACAGATCTGAAGACTGAGCGTGCGCGTCTCAGAAGCCTGACAACAGAGCAATCTCGTGCACAGCGAGAAAAGGACGAAGTTGCAATACAACTTCGGCGTACGGAGTCTGTAAGTAGCCTCTTATAGAGGGTTTCGCACCCGCTCACCAGCAAGCGGACCAGGATATGGCTGAGGTCAAACAGCACCTGCACCGCGTCAAGCAGGAAAACCAAGAGCTAGAGGGAGAGTTGCGAAGTACGTTCCAATCACCACCTCGGAAATTGTCATAAGTTCACACTTCATCAGCGACCGTAAACGCCGAACAGCAGGCTCGTCGATTAGAGCTGCGAGTTGCTGAAAACGCGGACACCATCGAGCAACTACGTCAAGAGCGTTCCCTGCTGTCGACCAATTACAAGGACCTCCAACGCCGCTACGGCCAAGTTTCAGAGGTGAGTTCTCACGCTGGTTCCACCACATATTGGAAGCGATGAATCGACCGCAGAACATGAACAAACTTCGCGACGAGTACACGGCTTCTCAAACTTCGCATAACAATCGGCGTCATCAGCTCGACTTGCACCTCCTCGAAGTAGAGGATCTTCGCCGTGCCTTGTCCGATCAGACGGAAGAGCTTCACCGAGCCGAGTCAGAGAAGAACCGCATCGCAGCCGAGAAGAGCGACTTTGCAAACAACGTTGCCGTACTGGAGACTGACCTACAACGCGTGCGGAAGGATGCGGAGGCCTTCGGCCGAGACCTCAAGCTGCTGCGTGCCCAGAAGGATCGGCTGGAAGAAGAGCGGAAGCAGCAAGACGCTAAGTCAGAGAGGTCGCATAAACAATCTCAGACGCAAATCCGCGTGCTCAAGGATGAGCTCGACAGCCAGCGTGAGAAGGTAAGAGCAATTACGAAGCAACTCAAAACCCATCTGTGCGCTGCGTGAGTGCTGCGTTCTGTATGTCGAGTAACGATGACTGACCGGCACACCTCGATCTCTAGAGACGATAATCAGCTCGCCGCGATACGGATACAGCACAACAAGGAGTGTAAGGGCCTGATCGTGCAAATTCGCTACCTTAAAGCCAAGTTCGTTCGCGAATCCACCCTACGATGTGATCTCGGATACCAGAAGCGATATTTGCTTGCGCTCTTAGCACGGCTACAACGAAAGTGAGCTCATTCACGCGCCTTACATTGTACATTGCGACCTTCTAAAGTTCGGTTCAGCGAGGAGAAAATTTTGTCCGCCATTTCCAAAATCGGGTACCCTGCTGCTGATCCTCCATCACCGGTAACAAGAAAACGGACCTTGAAGGGTGTCGTCCGAGCTGTTGTGTTCATCATGCGTTCGAAGTACGTTCACTCGCCTTCCATCCTCCGATGATTTTCTGAATTTGAGCTCGCCTTGCAGACACGCAAGTAATTCATGGAGAGAACAGTGTGCGTCGAGAGAGGCCATCACGGCGGCGTTAGAAGAAGTGCGGCAACACAGGACTGTCAAACCCTTGAGAACGAATAATTTATGACATAATCTTGCATAATCTTGCTCGTCTGTATTTCGTATTAGAGCTGATGTATCTGTATTTGTACGGTTTTTGGTATGCGTTACGGTTCAGGATCTCTATGACTCGTGGGCGCGGTCATGGCGGAGGTTTGCGCTTTGCGGATAGGATGCGTACGGCGTCTTTTGTGAAGAGGTAGGAGGCTCCACTCCATATGGTAGTCGTCGCGACGATCCACCTTAGCAAGGATGTTTCCTGTGTCAGTTGATTGGAAGAGGAGGAGCATGAACTCACTGTAATGCCTGCAACGCAAAGCCGAGGTCGAGCGGGGACAGCAAGGGGCTGATAGTTGTGACACCCATCAAAAGTAATTGTAATGCAGTGTTGATCTGACGACCTCAAGAAATAATGGACTGCCTAGCATGCTGGACATACGAACCTTGCTTATTACTGTAGGATGCACTTCAGCCGAGGGTATGGAGAAATCCCAGTACCGACTCCATGTTTTCTGAGTTCAGGAGAAATAGATACATTAAAATTAAGCCTGAAAAGTATGGACTGCTTACTGGATGCGGCAGCGAAGTGTAGCGGATATAAAAGGCGGACAAACTCAGCAGAACATCACGGCCGAGGATGATGACCGCTAAAGGCACTGCCGCGCACACGTGTAAGGGTTCACATGTTGGTAAGAGGTGTGCACACCACTCACCTGGGAGGAGACCCCTCATGCTAAGTGTCACGGTCAGAGTAGTCATGAGGGTCTTGTCAGCGGCAGGATCCAGGATGGTGCCCAGGACAGTGCCCATGTTGAAACGGCGAGCAAGGAAGCCATCGACCTTCGGAAGCAAACTCAAGAAATGGACCTCCAAGCGAGCAAGTATAAAAGCAGACCAGATCAGTCACACCGGCATAGGCCAGGAGAGCAGTCGCAAGGTGGAAGTTGTCGTGCACGATCGACCAGCCGAGCACGGGACATGCAAGAATACGCGATACCGTTAGTAGATTCGGCCAGGTGTAGATGTTTTCCCTAAGCAAAGTTCTTCGAACGAATTGTGCCGGCTTGTCGCTGTCCGAGGACGCGGGAGGGCGTTGTGCGGAGAAATGTCGAACGGTGTACCGCACCAACGGCTTGGATAAAGAGTGAGGACACCGGCATCGTCGTGCCCGCCAGTGTGAATGTGAATATGTAGGGAATTGTAAGCCGCTGAGATCGCCGCGTAGACTCTGATACGATGAATATCGGGATGGTATGGAAAGTCGGGCAAACATGGTCAGAGATATATACGCCGACTCCGAGTCAACGCCGAGCCGAACTGAACGCCACTGAAACACCACGTGCACATGTATCACCTGACCGTTCACCGCGAGTCGACTCGCGACAGTCAAGGATGATTCAACGATATTCCCTCGATCCTGTCGGATCTGAATATTCACTGGTAAGACCCGGTGAACTCGCTGATTGAGGTGTGATTCCAAGGGAGATAGATACTGCCGTGAAATGTGCTGAGGCAATTATCTGCATTCTCGTGGCATGCGATGTGTCCTCATGTCGTACTAACGGGGCGAACACTAATAGATAGGATACATCATTACTCTGCATGAGAATAAGAGAGATCCAGTGGGTCCTCCGGGCTCGTACAGTCATTCGTCAAATAAGTAACTTCTAAAAGCTGGTAGCAGAAATAGTCCGTCTGGGGTGCCCCTCATTTGCATCGAGCATACTTCGCACGAAACATGTCCTTAATTCATTGTCCTGACCAGATGTGACACGATCGACCAACGAGGACACATAAGAATAGGCGACGTCCTCAGATTTAGGTAGGCACCGTACACAGGGAGCCGTCGAATGGTTTCTCACACCAACTCGGCTGGGGCGGAGAGTGGTGGCACTGCGATGACTGTAGCAATTTGGAGATTACAACTCACTAAAAATGAGTACGATGAACGACAGGATTGCACGGAAAGTCTTGCAGACTGTAAGATTTTATTTCTCACCCAACGCTTCGCTACCAAGTCATTTATCACGCCGTACCGACCCAGCTGCCGAACACGCACTTTCCTATTTAATCTCCAGTGCTACCTATCGAGGACATGAGCACAGAAATCAATATTGGAAAATATCCACAGAGACTAACGGTATAACGTTCTTACCTTAGAAGTAACTCTGTCCACCTCTGCCACAAGTAAGTCCATGAATCTCCTCAGTTTTACATGAGCGGTGACACGACAACTAGTACAGGCTGCGGCGTCCTGTAAGGCTTGATCCATTAAACCAGTTGTATACAGCATCTTCCCACATGGAGTGGCCTCCAACACGCACGCCATGCGATGCACATGCTGCCACCACCACATTTTCGGATATCCTGATGTTCTTCGGCCTCCCCCGAACGTCACGGTAACATCAACCCCGGCTTTAGCACACGGTCCGTTGTGGCAGGAAAACCACGGCCAATCTTCGCTTGGCAACCATCTCATTTCCGAGGATACCAGCCCCTTGGCTTCCTTGCCGCATCTTCTGCGGTAGTCCAGGAGTCGGTGATATACACCGCCCGAAATTTCCTCGAGCTCCGGCACGTACATGACGGGAGCCTGACATGCCAGAAAATGCTTTGCCGCCTCTCTCGCTTCCTTCTCGAAGCTGAGCTGGATCGCGACTGCATACACTTGGAGTGGTATCTCCTGAGCAAGACTATGGAGTCGCTCCCTGAGTACTTCCATAGTTTCATCCATAGCATACTTGGTTACTGATGTCAGAAGACGTCGTAGTTCCGATAAATCGGTTATGACTGGATTCCGCAGGGGATAGCAAATGCGCAAGAGGCAGTCGATTGTCCTGCTATCCTCGGTAATATGGACTACCGCGAGACCATCCTTGTAATCAGCTTCTGAGCCATCGGCCTCGATGCGCGTCACCTCCCCTACACTGAGGGATGGCTGAGGCAGAGCGAACATGGTGTCGAAGAACGTAGATGTCTCGGCAAGGATGGCTTTCTTCACGCGGAAATCGACGCGGTCGGACGAACGTAGAATTATGTCTGCCGTAGGTTTATCAAACGGTGGAGATGCATTGGTAACCTGGGGGGCGGGCGGTTCAAGCTGATTGTCTGTCATCGTCAGCATTCCTGCCACCGAAATGATCAAGTTGATCGTAATTTATACTCGTTGGCGCAACTTAGAGATACTCACTGGCGAGGTAGGCTCACTGATGAGGGTGCGATACCAAGGGAGATAGACGTCAGGAGTCACAGGGGCTTCTGTGGTTTTGCACGCGGTAAACATGTGGCGCTGGATCCACATTGTGGATCCAGCGTGAAGTATATACTTATGTCGCAGAATCTCCCGGTTATCGCTCAAAATCTTGCAAAAGCTGGTAGCAGAAATACGTCAGTTCGTTGTTAGCAATATTACAGTATAACTCTGTTGCACACCAGCATCAGCAAAAGTCAATTTCCTTATCGCGTCTTGACTCTCTCTAGCAATCTGACTGCAACGTTCGCGGTAAGTGAGAAGTCGGCAATATGCACTGGCAGGTATATTGGCCAGTTCAGGCACATTTTCGAGGACGAACTTGTGGTTGAGGAACCGCCGTGCTGCCTCCCTCGTCTCCTTCTCAAATCTGTATTGGATCGCAAAGGCATAAACTTGAAGAGGCATCGTTTGCGCGAAGGCACACAATGCATCCCTTAGGACTTCCGTAACTTCATCCATCACATACTTCGTCGCCGCGGCCAACAGGGTCCGTAAGGTCATCAAATCGTCTATCGCCGGGTGACGACCTGGATAACAGATGCGTAATAATTTCTCGATGGTGCGGCTGTCTTCTGCCATGGGGATGACTGGGAGCCCGTCTCTGCTTTCCAGTCCACCCTCAGCCTGAGTATCGCCACTCTGGTCATCACCAATGGGAGGTTGGGGCAACGAGAACATCCCTTCGAAAGGGCTAGAAGCCTCAATCAAGATGCTCTTCCGTACGCGAAACTCAACGAGGTCCGCAGAGCGCAGGATAGTATCCGCGGTGGGCTTGTTAAATGGCGAGGGCGCATCGTGAAATGGATGAAAAGAGCTATGTACTTCGTCTACAAGACCATCCTTAGTTACCTGAGCATTTCATCAGCTATACAGAAGCAAAGCATTTACCTGGCTGTGTTGGACTTGCTCGGCTGATAAGTAGAAGTACGATACCAAGGAGACTAGACGCCGAGCAACGATTCGAACGGTTGCCAATGCTGTCCATGCGGCATGCACGCGGCATGGACCTACAACCCCAGCTGCGTGAGCTTACGACTGTAAACATTCTCTGAGAGACAAAATTGTTCATTTCGCGTTCGTTCGTTCTATTCAGATGTCTTTGGGCTGCTATTTCGTCATGCATTACTGACTCTGGTCCTACCACCGAATGTGTAGTTGCATACATCAATCATTTGATCTCTAGCTCCATCTATCGAGGACATGCACACGCAAATCAATATGGGAAGATACAGACGAAAGGTGTTCTTACCTGGGTAACAACTCGATCCACCTCTACAGCAAGTAAATCCATGAATCTCCTCAGTTTTGCAGGAGCAGTGACACGACAACGAGGACAGGCTGCGGCGTCCTGTAAGGCTTGATCCATTAAATCAGTTGCGTACATCTTCCCACATGGAGTGGCCTCCAACACGCACGCCATGCGATGCACATGCTGCCACCACATTTTCGGACGTTTCGATACGTATACCCCGAACGTAACAGCAACCCCAGCTTCAGCACACTGTCCGCTGCAGCAGGAAAACCACGGCCAATCTTCGGCTGGCAACCATCTCATTTCCTCGGATACGAGCCCCTTGGCTTTCTTGCCGCATCTTCTGCGGTAGTCCAAGAGTCGCTGATATGCGCCGCCCGAAATTTCCTCGAGCTCCGGCGCGTACATAACAGGAGCCTGACATGCCAGAAAATGCTTTGCCGCCTCTCTCGCTTCCTTCTCGAAGTTGAGCTGGATCGCGACTGCATACACTTGGAGTGGTATCTCCTGAGCAAGATTATAGAGTCGCTCCCTGAGTATTTCCACAGCTTCATCCATAGCATATTTGGTCGCTGATGTCAAAAGACGTCGTAATTCCGATAAATCGGTTATGACTGGATTCCGCAGGGGGTAGCAAATGCGCAAGAGGCAGTCGATTGTCCTGCTATCCTCGGTAATATGGACTACCGCGAGACCATCCTTGTAATCAGCTTCTGAGCCATCGGCCTCGATGCGCGTCACCTCCCCCACACTGAGGGATGGCTGAGGTAGAGTGAACATGCTCTCAAAGAAGGAAGATGTCTCGGCAAGGATGGCTTTCTTCACGCGGAAATCGACGCGATCGGACGAACGTAGAATTATGTCTGCCGTGGGTTTATCAAACGGTGGAGGCGCATCGGTAACCTGGGGGGTGCGCGGTTGGCCGGATGCCATCGTCTGCATTCCTGCCACTGAAGTGATCAAATTAATCGCAATTTGTACTCGTTGGCACAACTAGAGATACTCACTGGTGATGTAGACTCACTGATGAGGGTGCGATACCAAGGGAGATAGACGCCAGAAGTCACAGGACGCTCTGCAGGCTTCTGTGCCAGTGATTTCGCACGGGGTATATATGTGGATCCACAGCGTGAAGTACGAGACGTACACCATAGAACTGTAATGAGATGGTCTGTACTTTTCTTTCATTATCTCTGCACGAGTATCAGAAGGATCCCGATGACAAGAATCTCCCGGTTCTCGCTCGAAACGGAAAGAAATCTGTCAGTTCCTCAGGGGTACACACATACCGCATGTCCGTATGGACCGCTTGCGCTCACGACGTACTTGGAATTTGACCTGTTTCGACAGCAATATCACAGCAACTCTGTTGCATACCACTGCACCTGTCCACCTTATTTCCAGTTCCATCTATCGAGAACAGAGGGTCACTAAGCATCATGCGCAGGTATAAATCAGTTGACTCACACGGGAGTAGCCATATCCACCGGGGCGGCATTCGAGTCCGCGAAGCTCCTCAGATCCTCAAGGGCAAATCTGCGGCAAGTTGGGGTGTCTTTCAACACTTTAGCCTGTATTCCAAAAAAAACCTCAATAATTAAACAAGACGACCGTCCGTCGGATGGCGCACGCAAACCGCAACGAAACCACAGCCAATTGCAAGCCTGTGTCTAAGGCATTTGAGATTATATGAAGCCCTTGGCCGTCTTGCCATGTCAGTCGAGGATGCAGTGATACGCGCTGCCCGAGATCTCATCGAGCTCGGGCACATATTCATCGAGGCTGGATGCGCCAAAAAATGCTTCGCCGTCAGCGCGTCGAGGAGGATAGCAGAAGCGCGTCCACTACTCGCCTTGGTGTTCACAGGCACTGAGCGCAGGTTATGCCAAGGTAAACGTCTACTCGAATATGGACGACGCCTCCGCGAGGATTGCCTGCCGCACGTGAAAGTCGACCTGATCAGAAAAGCGGATAATATCTGCAGAGGAAGGGAGAGGGCGTATCTGTGACCTGTAGCTTTTGGACGGCACTTCACTTGCTTCCACTTGCGTACCCGACACCGGTGGGAATAACGTTAATTGATATATTTCGACTCATTGTATGGCTTGAAGTTACTTACTTAAATGGCAGATTCCATGGTAGTATTCCCGGAGGAGAAACGCCCCAGCCCGCTTGAACAGGCGGCATACACGTGAGTGCGCCTAGGATCACAACCGAAGGAATTAGCTACACCTCGCAATCACTCCTGCATATACAATGGTATAAATATCCACAATAGAATTGGCCACGCATGTCCTACACATGTCAGAAGATACAACAGGGAAACGGGCGATAGAAGTGGAACACACGGCCCATGCATTCACAGCTTCGCCCTCACCGTCACCAGCGCAGCGCCCGCCTGCATGTATTTCGCCGCGTCGTTGACCATGCTCTCCACGATCTCCTTCGCGGGCAGGACGTCCTGGATCATAGAAGCCACCGCTCCCGTGAGGAAGCTCCGCGCCTCGAGCGACTTCTCCGGGTGCTTCCGCATCTCCTCGTCGTGCGGCAGGATGCCCTTCGAGGTCAGCTCCTTGATCTCCGCCTGTCGGTTGTTGTTCCTGGGCAGGGGACATCAGCATCCGTCAAAACGCCGCGTCGAGCACTCTCACCAGTCGTCGATGTACGGCGTCCGCACGACACGCAGCGGGCGCCCGGTGTAGATCAGCGTGCGGGCGGTGTCATCGTAGCCCGAACGGACGATCGCGTCCTTGTGCGCCTTCGGTGCGCCCGCCTCGACGCTCGCGACGAAGCGCGTGCCGACCCACACGCCCTGCGCGCCCCACATGAGATTCGCGGCGAGCGAACGCCCGTCGAAAACCGCGCCGGCGCCGATGACGTACACGGGCTTGCCGGTGAGGGGCGAAGAGTGGCCCTTGCAGGCGTCGACGCAGGCGGGGATGAGGATGGAGCAGGGCACGTCGCCCGTGTGTCCGCCGCCCTCGCCGCCCTGGGCGCAGATGAGGTCGACGCCGGCGGAGAGCGCCTTCGCGACGTGCTTCGGGTGACCGACCATCTGTCACGCGGTTGAGAGCGGGTGAGCGGGGGTGCGTGGGAGGGACTCACGTTCATCACTGGGATGCCGGCTTTGTGCATCTTCTCGACGGCCCATGATGGGGGTATCCCGATGGCGCACACGAACAGCGCGGCCTTCTCCTCGATGATGACGTCGATGAGCTCTGGGAGCTGTCCCTTCGTGTAGTCGTACTACAAAGCCGCTCCGTGAGTAATCAGAGTCTATACACGGAGCCAAAATCCCAGACAAAATGCGGAGAGGCCTCGTCCGATCTTTTAAAATCAAGCCGGTTTAAATAGAGCAGATTGTACTGCCTGTCAACACGAATGTCGTCGGAACGCGGTCCAAAGAATCACGGCACAGATACAAGCAGTAATTCAGCAGTAAATGTCAGCCTCGAATTCTTCACCGCGCCATAATGCAGTTGATGACCAAAGGTTATATCCCCCCTGCGAAAAAATGAAGGGCTATTCGCAATTTTAAGGACGGCTGAGGATCAGACGTTCACCTAATCCACAGATGAAGTTTATTCTCCAGATATGAAACCACCCGAGCTCTCTGAAGGTCACAAACGTCTGATCCCCATGACCTCCTATCGTCAAGGTTCTAACCGAGCACTCACGTTTGTCTTCCGGGCAGAACCACCGACTTGCGGGATCAGTAAATCGACGCCGAAGGGTGCATTCTTGTCTTGCAGATCTGCCTTGAGGGCGTGGATCTACGACGATACATCAAGTCGTATTCTTCGAAATGGAGACTTGAACTCACCTGCGCGCGCAGGATCTTCGGAGTGTAACCGACCCCTCCGATGACACCGAGACCTCCTGCATTAGTGACCGCAGCCGCGAGCTCAGGACCTGCAGCAACATTCATCCCTACAATGCCACCCAGCACACGACGTCAAGTTCGTCGTAAGTTCAACACCTCTGTTAGTCTTACCGGCTAGTAGGACAGGATGTTTGATGTTGAAGAGGTCCGTAATCGCCGTAGAGATGACCGACATGGTTGCAGGAAGATGTCCAAGGAAAGATTGAGTAAACAAGCGCGAGGAAAGGGAGCTTATATCGTCATGGGAGAGCTTATGTTTTTATGGCACCGATGACCGAGTGAGAAGACATCATGCGGACCTTACGGCCCCTCCGGTCAGTTTTCGGTGCATCCACTTCGCCGACGAGCCTCGCGCATGAATTCTGACATCGAATCATGTGATTACGAGCGCGTAGATTGTGGCAACGAAGAGCATGGAAAGAGGAGGACCACAGTGAGTTAGACACAGATACGCGTGCATGGTCAGGAGGTATAACCATCTACTAGTTTTATCAAAAGATGGGTAACACCCTGTCGTTTCAGAACCCTGAAAGGCTCAAAGCTAAGTACTTGCAGATGAATAAACCAGATAAACTATCAATCAAAATCCCATCTGCATTCCGGCACACTCACAACGCTCGTGAAACTAGTCACTAGAGACCGATCCGCGGGCCTAGGTGGAACTTGGCAGCTGATGACTGGCGAGCGCATCAAGGCACTCTTGAAATCCCGATGAACACGAGCAGCACACCACGACTCACCTGACACGCAGTGCAGTGTGCAATGCGCACCGTCGTGCCGCGCACCAAGTCGAAGCAGCAGAAACAGAATTGCATCGTAATGATATCATTATGTCCAAAAGCCCGGGGGTATAGGATAGCATGTCGGACGGATATATATATATGATTAGCGGTGTAGATGATGGCGGAAGATGCGAACAGACTGCAGACAGCAATGACGAAGATCTGGTATACAACAAGAATTCATGAGGGTGCGTCGCCTGTAGGTGAAGAGCCTTCTGCGCGCATGAGACGGCGGAGACGAGCCAATTCGTCTGCCAGGTACCTGTGGCGATATCATCATCAGCTTGCCCGACATAGGATTTGTGAAAGATCAGGACTGACTTGGCCGTCTGCCAAGCCTCCTCGTTTTCCTTCCCTGACTTCTCTACTTCCGCCTTCAGAAGCCCTATGTCTTGCCGGAAGCTCTCCTCCATCTCCTTCCGTAACCGTTCGCTCTCTTCTTTTAGCTGCTGCACCTCCACCGACCGGCCCCCTTCCCTCTCCTTTCTCACCTCTTCTACGAGCTGCCCATACCGCACTCCCAGCTCCTCCGCCTCTCGCTTGACCTTCTCTTCCCGCTTGCGCATCTCCTCCTGTAGCGCCTCTGTATCCGATTGAAACGACTCGACGAGACCCTTAAACGAGTCTCGCAGGACAATATATTCGCGCTCAGCCTTTTGAGAGCGCGCAGTTGACTCTACCAAAGCGGCCTCCGTGTCACGGAGAGACTTCTTGGAATTTGTAGTTTCGCTTTTGAGTTGCGTCTTCAGGGAGATGATATCCGCCTCCGCTTTGCGCGCGCGCTCGAGTGTCTGGTATCCCATCTAGCTTGTGAATAGTGAACGAGCGACGTAGATACGCACCTCCTGCAATAACCGCTCCTTTCTCGCCACCACATTATTCAGGCCCTCGTTCTCCATGCGCAACCGCTCCCGCACCTCCTTCAAGTCTTCCGTCTGCCGCGTCAGCTGGCTCACCTGCCGCTGGCTTATCCGCAGCTGCGCCTTGGTGTTCTCCAGCGCCGTCTTCGCGTTAAGCACGCCCGCCTGGAGGTCCGCGAGCACCCTGGTTGTGTTGCCCGGCGCGAACGACGAGCGGCGGTTCGGCGAGGTCGCAGGAGTGGCAGACGACGAGGACGCGCCGAGGTTTATCCCGAGCTGGGACGCGTTCCCGTCTTGCTGTCCCTCTTCTGCGAGGGCGCGTGCGTTCCCTGTAGAGTGTTGTGTCAGACGGTGTCCACGCGCAGCTTGACCACGGCAACTGACCCACGGACGATACTGGGATCCCTAGTGTAACGTTAGCGCATGTGGGGAGGAAAATAATGAAGGCACGTACGACTGAGAGTGCGCGTAGGGCTCGGCGCGCGCCTTCCGTTCGACGTCGGGATGCCCTCGCGGATGCCGTTCTCGTCACCAAACGAGAGGCGACGCATGTCACGCCTCGGGAGCGGGAGGCTCGAGTCCGGTCCCGCAAGACCTTGTAGGATGTCGTAGCTCGCACGCTTCTGCAGCTTCGGTGTGAGAAACGTGGTCTGGCCGGGCGACGGAGCCGTCTCGGGGTCCGTCGGTGAGAGTGGGGGGGAGTTCATGATCCCCGGAGGAAGCGGACGTGGGCCGCGCAGAATGACGTTCTCGAGGGTGTGTAGTTGAGCTTGCTGATGCCTAATGGTGTGCTTCAGCGTGGACATGTGCGTGCGGATGGCCACTGTGTGCGTGATCAGGCTGGCAGTTACGGATCGAAGGGGTGCACATACGTGTCTCGTCTGCCAGTGTAATTATTGGGCTCGATGAGCGCAGTGAGTTGCGCGAGGATGGCCGGGAAATGAAGGGGCCAGGAGAAATACTCGAGTTCAAATAACCAGAAGTAGACATCTACTCAGGACCGAGCAGCAGCGAAAACTATGCGAGACAGCTATCCAGAAGTTCGGTCGGTAAGAATCAGTGCGACAAAGGCAGTTACGGGGCTGGTATATAGATCTATAAGACAGGGACGAAGACGTGTGTTGTGAGACAAGGAATGTTGGATTGCACCGAGATATGGAATGAATCCGAGCTGGATCGAGAACTTTGTTAGAGAGATGCAGACCTATTCACCCAGTTTCAGGAAATGTCCTGCGTTCCGACCGTGGGTCTGTACGGTCCCGGTGGACTCGAGCACTGGCCGGGCAAGCGAAAGACGAGCAGTCGACTGTAACGGCCAACGAGCGCTCAGTGGACGCGTGCCAGGCGCATGGCTTCAAGTTCTCACGATCATCCCAAGATCACTGGCAGATTGACTTCAATTCGCTGACATTTGGATTGAATGTTCATTCCAGAAAAACAGAAATTTTGTGCGGGAAAATGAATTGTGCTCAAACGTCTCGAAAATCGATTATTTGAAGCTCAGTCTTTGTCTTGATCCCAACTGCACTATGCCCTTCACCTGCCCTTTGGCGTCGACCTGTATCGGAAACGTCGTCGCTGAATTTTCGCGCTTGCGTTTCCGAGGTGGATCCAGAGTCCAGTCCGACGCGAACTTTGGGCGCTGTGCTGATATGGTTGTGTCTGGCACATCTAGGAAAAGTGACGGAAGAGGACGTGGTGATGCGAGGTCCACGTATTCCAGCCCGAGGTCGAATTCTGAGTCTATGTTCTCGTCGGTGTAAGGAGCAATATAAATAGATTCCTACAAGGTTGGTATCAGAATTACCATTTAAGCTGTATTCAAAGTGAAACTACCCACTTGAGTCGACCGACTTGAGAACTGACTCGGATCTAGCAAGAACTGCCGTTGTGGTTTCACAGGAGTGCGAACAGCTGCGCGTCGGAGGTCCTCAATGATGCTGTCTTGCTCCTCCACCTGTTCTTTGAGTTTGTTGATCTTCTCTATTCGTTGTTGTTCCTACATCACGTATCAGAAATTCCTCAGTGAGCGGAGACAAGGACATCGCGATGGCTGACCTTCTTTTTATGCGCGAGCAGCTTATCCTTCAGATCGGATATCTCCTGAGCTTTCGTAGCTAGGCTCTCGCTGTGCTCTGTCTGTTTCTCCGTGAAGCGCTTACCGAGCTTGTCGTTCTCCTCCCTCCATCTGACCACTTCATGGTGCGCCTGGTCAGCCGTATCAACGGCCTGGCTAGCAAGCTGTCGGGCTTTGTCGGCCTCGTCCCGTAGCCGCCTATTCTCCACCTCAATAGCGCGCCGCTCCTCCCCGAGTGCCTTAAGCTCTTTCTCTTGTTCAGACGCCGTGGCGACAACCGGTACGATGCGCTTCCAAAAGTCTGCTATGGCAGAGAGCAATGTCTGCCGTGTTGTACGGGATTTAGACCAGATGCATACCATGCAAGGTGTCACACACCTCTACGTGGCTCGAACCTCCGCCTAGTCCACCTGCGACCTTTTCCACTTTTGTTCCTAACTCGCGCACTTGCTCAGCACTGACTTTTGTCGCGTCCACTTCTCTGATTGCTCTAGCTACGTGGTTGGCCTGCTTTAGCGCGGCCTTTGAGTAGCGTACTTGGTGGTGTTCCGCGTAGTCTGTAGTATCTGATGTTATGTTTGGCTGTCCCTGGGGCGATGGCGCGTGATCCGTGACGAGGTATATGGGATGAACATCATGCAGACGAAATAGATCACGGCATATTGGGCAGGTCTTCTTCGGGGCACGCGGTCCAGCGTTGTTCCCGACATATCCTGTAAGAGATTCCACACAAAATCCATGTCCTTTACCAGCGAAGCATGTAAATGTGACATGAGCGAACCCGTACGGCGCACGAAGTCGTTATGGGCAACCTACCGCACGGCAAAAAGCGGAAGACGTCTATCGGGTGATTCTCCAGACAGATAGTGCAGTGTGACTGCATGAACTGAGCATAAAATAAATAAAACGAGATGAAGACTGTGTGGGGTTATCTTTCAGGATATGATGTTGGTCAAGTTGTAGTATCAGCGCGCGCTTAACCGAGACGCGTCTGTGGCACGACCACGTGATGATCAATCAAAGAAACATTTATTATTTTGTTGGAAACGATATACGGAATTCCACACCATAGCGAGAGCGATAGAAAACATGGATGTGCAAAAGATTTCCGCGCCAGAAATTACCAACAGCACTGGAAATTTTCAATAATATAACGTGAAGATGCAGAAGAGCCACGAGATATCCAAGCCATTACTTTCCGTCAGTCGTCATCATTATCCTCCACAAGGGGAATTGTCGCCGTGCCATAATCGTAATCGATGCTGCCATGTCCACCGTTCAACCCTCCGATTCTCGGGGAAAACAAGTCTCCTGTAGGAAGGCCGGAGCGTCGAGGGCGCGCCTTTGAACCCAAAGAACTTGGCAAGCTCGAACTGTCTTCGGGCTGGGATATTGGTAACCGCTTCTTGAACACAGGCACCGGACCTGCTAGGTGGTTGAGATCGAAAGGAGAGCCGAGCAGCCGAGGACGTTTGGATTTGCGATGTACAAGTCGACCATCAACCTCGCGAGTATCGAACCCGGAACGGCACTGCGAAGGCTCTAGGAATGTGTCCAGGGCCGCTTGGCCGCTCTTGCGCTTCATGGCGTGAGTCGACACTCCCGATCTGTTAAGTCCGCGGAGTCGACGCATCAATACGTGAGGTGGACCAAATAGCAGAGATACTCACGTCTCCCTCAAGCTGAAGTACTTTCCCTTCAAGCCATCGTACTTCTTTCGGAGCTTCTGCATCTCCATCTTTAGTTTCTCGTTCTCCAGCCGCGCATCGCGCTCTCCCGACGCGTGAATAGCAGAAGCGGCCATCTGAGCCTCACAGCGATCCATCAGCAGTGTCTTATCGTGCACGAGTTCCTGTACGCGTCCCTCCAGCCTCGTGACATCAACCTGCAGATCCGAAGAGGTGTGAAGTGGTGCATCGAGAAAAACGCGTCGAACGTTCGGAATAATGAACTTGTGGTATTTTTCCGGAACAAATCTCATGTCAGGCATAGCTGTAGCACTCTTTCAGGATGTGCAACGAATAGTTGAGTTAGTCGACATACCTATGCCGAAAGCTGACCGACAGGTAGGACAAGAAGCGGTAATGGCGTCTGGACTCTTCTCAATGTATGCCGTAAGACATTTTTCGCAGTGAAGATGCCCTACGTTCGTGTATAAAGTTAGTGACACGTCGGGTTGTAGGCCAAAGTGACGCACCGCAGGGTGTTGACACAGGGACTTTGAGTTCGTCCAAACAGATTCCGCAAGTTGTGTTAGCCATCACCATGTTTGTGTTTTCATCAAAGTAGATGAGAGTTAATGGAATACACCGTTCCTACTGCGAGGCGTACCGGGCCAAAAGGTGAGTGAGATGATCGTGGCAGAGTTATGCGGCCGGGAGACTCGGACGCGTCGCCTGTAAACGCCATCACGTGGTCGTGATGAATGGTCATGTGAGTAGATCAAGTGTGATTAGATTAGATTAGATAAGCAACTTCGGAACTTCCGTCGCGCTCAAGTTCATCTCCAGATTCTCCACCACCTCGATATTCTCCACTACTGCCAGAAATCCTGTATGTCTCGAATTCCTGCACAAATCTAATTTGGCTATGTTCCGTCACCGCAAGTGTACAAGCGCAGGCCCGAGATCCCCGAAAAGGGACCGCCTCTCGAAAATCTAGGCGCCCCTAGACTCGACGGCGTTGTTCTCGTAAGAACCTCGCCCTACTCTCCGCCTCTCAAGTTTCAAAAAAGTACTTCAATTCGGCGGACAGCGGGTTGTAATGGCGAGGACACCACTACAGCTTCGCGTGTCTAGACTGTTCCATTGATTGCGGAATCCCCGTAACTGTCTCACCTCGCAGGCTTCCAGGCCCTATGTTACGCAGAGACGACGGTCAAATCTTGGTCGCCAAAAACCACGACGATGTCCGTCGTCTCTAGAGCCGAACAGGATATTTAAATCTTCCCGCCGCAGGTGAACGTTCCTCGCGGATATTTCACTCTCGACTTGCCCATGGTGCAAAACTGCCCTGATGGTACGATGCATGCGGTGGCGTTCGGAGGTGAAGTCTTCCTGCAACTCCCGCAATCCTCTGTCGTATAAATGCGGTTCCGACCGTATCTGCTTGGTCCTCAAGCCAGTTGCTGCTGCCGTATCCACTACGCCCCTCCAGACTACCTCGTTGTAGGCTTCTATGCCAACGTGTTTTGTTTGTCTTGACACGCTTACAGATCCGGCTGCGTTGCCTTGCGGTAAGTTGCCTCCCATGTTCCACGTGAGTGCAGAACCGAACAATGCATAATTACAGGTCACGTATTTTGCCATGGATGCATCGTCCGAGTAGTTCGCAACATCACACCGTACACCCATCATCATTTCTGCCCCACCTGTAAGCAGCCATACGTTATATGTGAGTGGTCTACACAATGTACAATATGTTGAGTGAGTTAACGACTGCCGTCGCAGCCCAAGTCGATCCCTCGCTTGTTCCTCCGCATCTTCGGCAACATGTCTCACCTGCTGTTCGCAAGCTCCATCTAGACTATACTGCTCCACATACCCTACAACCCTCGTCCCCGTCTTCTGTTCCTAATACTGAGTGCGACCGCCTGCGCGCGGAGAACGCGGCTCTCAAGGCGACTTGCATCGTCTGGCGCAAGCGTGCAGCAGTCCACGCCACGGCTACACTGGGCCTCGTCGGGCTCGCGAGGCTCGCGCGCGACAGCGCGCTTAAAATGAAGTCGGAGAGGGACTTTTTAGAATCAAGATACAATGCGCTCAAGCGGAGCTTTGAGGAGTCGCAGTACGTATCGTGCACATTTTTGAACCATTAACGAGTGCTCACTAGTCATCTAGGACGTTGTCGACATTCCCACCTCAGCCTGACCATCGAGTACAGTCGGCATTTGAGGACCTGCGCGAATCGTCATTTCGCCCTCCCTCACCTGCTGCAAGCGATGACAGCTACTGCTCAGACTGCCCCAAGTGTCAGTCGCCAAAGCGCAAGCGGGATGCGTCGCCCATGCCTTCGCCGAAGCGCACACGATCAGAGTCATTCACAGGGAAGGCTTCGCCGACGTCGCCCTCCCTGGAGATGGCTGCGCTGGTTGTTTAATCGGTATCTTCGCCGCCTTTGGGACTTCGTCGATAGATTTGCGGACACATGCTTCGGAAGAATTATATATGTAACATCACCTTGTTGTATTCTGCTGCACCCCCACTCCGTCTGTGTTTATTTACTGACCCGTAACTTTTGTATACTATCGCCTGTCCGGATACCGTTCTCGCTGCTCTTTGATAACCCCGCTGGAACCAGGTCGAGTGCGGTGCACAAACCCATACATTCAGCGCTAGATAGCTTACATAATCGAATGAGAAGCGACACTGTTTTTCCTACACTCGTCTCCTCAAATTTGTACTCGTACGAGACGGCATACAACTTCAAGGTACCACGAAAGAGTGCCCGAGTCAGGTTTGTTTTGATGGCAGTTGATGCTTCCTCTGATCGGCATCTGGCGCTTCAGATCTAAAAGCTTTTCCGAACAAAGGAGAGTCACCAGACACATCTCAAGTGCTGAATATCCTGAAGTGCAGTGGCTCTGTTTATATAGCACTTGGGTTGGTCATGTCTAAATCATTGGACGGAATCTCTGACGTTGAACGGGTCAATCTATAGCGATCTGACTGAAATACCGTCCTACCGATTGCAACCACCTTCGCTGGATCCCAATTGAGAAATGGAAGACAATCTAGATATCAGCGTTCATTTCAGTTCAACTACGGTATCCAACAATCTAATAGATCCTGGACCAGCTCCCGTCATCGTTCGAAGTGCGTCCTTTCCTTTCAACAAAGCCACCGCAGATGTCGTCCTGCGCTCATCGGATTCAGTGGATTTTCGCGTGCGGCGGGGCATCCTGTGCGAAGCGTCTCAGTTCTTTGACGATATGTTCAGCTTGCCACAGCCAGAGGATTCGATGGGACGCTCAGGATCAGATGCGGCGGCAATCCCAACCATTACTGTCGCTGAGAATGCTAAGACACTCGACCATCTACTTCGCCTCTGTTATCCCATCAATGATCCAGTCCTGGATCAAGTGGATGATGTCCGGCACGTCCTCGAAGCAGCAATCAAGTACGAGATGAGCGAAGCCATAAAGTTGATGGGTAAAGCATTACTGGACTTTACTGCGACGGACGCTCTGCGAGTATGGGCAATTGCTTGTCACTACCGTCAGGAGGGCATAGCAAAATCCGCCGCACAAGCTACTCTGGGTCAGTCCATAGAGGCCATCTATGTCAAGGAGCTGGAAGAGATCAAGGCAGGTGTGTATCATCGGCTTCTGCAGTATCACGGCAACCCCTATAAGCTTGCCTTCGACATCGATCCATCTCCCGTTACAAATGAAGGCAGCGAGAATTACTCTTCTCAGAAGGGCGCTCATTCATCAGGTCCGACAGGCATGCACCCAGCATCATTTTTCGACGGAGGTTCCACTCCGGATACCGACGTCATTCTCCGTTCTTCTGATAACTTCAATTTCCATGCCCATCGCGTGATTCTGGCTATGAGCTCACCTGTGCTGAAGGAGATGCTTCCCTCATTATGCCCGGTACCAAAGGCAAATGAAAGTGACATGGCGAACGAGCTTCATATTTCAAATCCCTTGATTGTTCGACTAACAGAAGACTCTACAACACTAGGCCATCTCCTCAGCGTATACTATGCGCTGGACGATCCCACATTCCACGATCTCCGAAGTTTGCGACTTTTCCTAGATGCAGCTCTGAATTACAACATGACGAAGGCCACCAGCGTTGCAAGGCAAGAGCTACTGAAGTTTGCCGAGAAGGATTCCTTCGGAGTGTACTTGATTGCAGCACGGCACAATATGAGCCAAGTTGCTGATGCCGCTGCTAAATGCCTCCTGCGCAATCCAATTGCAGAGGATTATTATTCGCCCGAGCTGGAGGAGACTTCTGCAGGAGACCTTTACAGACTTCGCACACACAATCACAGATGCAAGGAAGCTGCTCGCAATCTTGCTCAGAATATTGGATGGCTTCCAAATTCTCGATTTTCGACTTGGACTTGGTTTACTTGCTCAGACTGTCAAGGGGTTGTAGGGGTGCGACGGGGCGATGCCACCTGCAAAGTACGCACCTGGTGGAAAGAATACATGGACAAAGCCAGTCGGGAACTATATCTGAGACCCTGCGGGCCCACGGTGGCGGATCCTACCTTGTCAGACTCGGCATTGATAAAGGCAGTAATCTTGTGCAATACCTCGTGTCGGAGGAATGCAATTGCGCACTTGAGGCAATTCAATGAATTATTTGCGGAGAAGATCGACGAAGTCGTTGCTGCGGTGAGTTGTGGAATATGTGGAAGTGTGGGCGGACTTACAAACACATCATTAATGTAGGTCAAATTTGAAGTGAGATGAGGACCGAGAATATACAAGGAACAGCGTTAGTGTGATCTCTACTTCGAAGATGGGCAACATATTTAATTCGTTGACTGCTTGTGCTACAGCTACAGTGTACTTCGCCAAGCAGACTCGATTGGGCTGTGTAGGGAGGAAAGTCATGTTAAATGAAAATAAAGGCTCTTTCCGACGGAGTTCCTGGTCTCTTCGCGGACTCCTGGGCTGAGCGGAGTTGCCACCCGTTCGCCTTATACGGTATGCGAGTAAGTTGACCGAAAAAGTGACTCATCCCGAGTCTCGAAGCAACACACGATGCGGAATTTACGCCCGTACCCATACCCCTCCATCAACATTGTGCACCTATTAGACTATGAAGACTCACAGCGAACACAACGAGAACAAGAACGAAATTTACGAGATGTCTGTCAGACAGGATACACGGCTTGACACTCCTCACGACGGTCCTGCGAGCGAGCAGGAGAACAAGTCGGATGTAAACATACAAGAACTGCCACCGGTGGATGGCGGCATAAAGGCTTGGAGGTTCTGTCTATCTGCATTTGTGATGGAGTTGATGGTTTGGGGCTTCGGCTTCAGGTAAGTACATTCCGGCGCAGCTGCTCCATTTGCATGACTCATTGCTACATTCTGGTTGAAAGTTACGGTATTTTTCAAAGTATGCATCATTTATCTCTGCTCAGGCTGCTCTGAAAGGTTCTTCTCTAATGCCCGAATATCTTCCAGATTATTACACCACTCATCCTCCCTTTGGTGGCCAGTCCCACATCGCGATAGCAGCAGTGGGTACGACCTCACTTGCGGTCACATACTCAGAGGTAACGCACAGGAATCCATTTGGTTCGAGCTCCTGCTGAGAGACCATTTGAAGTCCTTGATTCTTTCCCTCTTTCTGGGGCGCTATCCTGATCTCTTAAAGCCGTGCATGTGGGTTGGCTTGGGAGTGTGTTTTACTTCCCTCCTAATATCCAGCTTCGTCAACAAGGTATTTTGTCGCCATCTGGTTCATCCTCGGCTAATACACCGTTACAGGTGTGGCAGTTGATCATCCTGCAAGGAGTCCTTGCTGGTATGGGTGCCGGAGCGGCTTACTTTCCCATCTTACTCCTCCTTCCTCAGTGGTTTGTCCATCGCAGAGGGCTTGCCGTGGGTATGATCTTTGCAGGAACAGGAGTCGGTGGTGCGTCGTTCCTCTTACAAGTGCGTCAGCCGTGCTGACTTTGTCGTCTACAGGTTTCGCAGTCCCGTTCCTTCTACACGCTTTGCTTGACCATCTCGGGTTCCGTTGGACGTTACGGATATGGGCGATTATGATGCTTTTCTTAGCCGGCCTTGCTCTTCTCGGAGTGCAACCGCGTACCCCAGTTCCTAAGTTTACTAATGGACGGAGAAGGCCTCGTTTCGTCCCCCCGCAAATGCAGTTCCTCAGGACCGCGCTCTTCTGGGCGAATGTAAGCGCACATTTTGAAGTGATAATGTGCCCCTCTGACACTCGCGCAGTCGGCCACCATCACACTCCAGGCCTTGTCGTTCTTCCCCGTCTCGTTGTACCTTGCCACATACACCACTATGGTCTCCTCTCCGCTATCTGCCACCGTCGCACTGTCTTTGTTTAACTGTGCTGGTGTCGTCGGCCAGGTCCTTGTTGGGCATCTCTGTGACCGCTACCCTTATGTCTGGATCATGTTCGTAAGTGCCCTTGGGAGCGGCCTGGCAACGTTCCTCCTCTGGGGTTTCGCAGGTTCGCTTCGCCTTGTCTTCGTGTTCGCCATAATATTCGGGGCTCTGGTATATATTGTTTACTGTCCACCATCTCATCTGGTTGTGACTTACAGATGCTTTGTAACGTAGGCTGGTGGCTTTCCATCGGTCGGACCCATCGTCTCAGCCGATTGTGCCGGAAACAAGCCCGAGCAGGCCGGGATCGTCTTCGCCGCACAGTTATTTCTTAAGGGTATCGCGGTGATTGTCGGGCCAATGGTGTCCGGTGTTCTGTACAGCGGGAAGTCTGCATCGTCTCTAGTCAGTGGCGCTGTGAGTTACGGGTACCACGGATTCGGTGCCATAGAAATATTTGTCGGTGTCTGTGCAATGGGCGCCAGCTTCAGCAGCATCTTGGTTGCGTGGATGAGACGCCGGGTTAAAGCACAGTAAAAATTGTGATCTTAGTGAGTATTGCACGGCTGATCATCATGCGTTGGTCTGACGGTGAAGAATAGCTAGCTCGTCTGCACGGCTTCTGTGGACACTCATCCACATGGTCTTCGGGCATGAACTTGCGAAGTACTGATTGGCATGTACTTCGGGTTTGAGCACTAGCTGGCATAATCGCTGGGCACACCACGTCATTTGTGGCCAACATGGTCAAAATCAGTTCCAATTAGAGGACCTTACAAGTAATAGAGCTTATAGATACATCACGATATCTCACGCTACATTTCGTCCGGTCACTTGCCCGAATTGCCCGCTAAGAATCGAACACCTTCACCATCGGCAACAGCTATAACTTGCGCGCGGTTCGTCTTGGTAAGGATGCTTATTGCCTTCCTGAGTATCACCATGGGTATCCCAGACAATGGTGACGATACGGGAGGCTCTATGATGTCATAGAATGTCAAAATTGTATTCAACTGGCCAGTCGTGGATGCCTGCGCGGGATAAAAATGAGAGACATGTCAGCTTAGTGAGGGACCTACATACCCAATCATGCAGGACTTCGGCCCACTCTTCGGGCTGTCGCCAGTACAGGAGTACGGATCGCGTCTGCCTCGGAGGTTCGTACACCGCTGTGTTCTTGGTTACCATGTCTGTGAGAATGAACTCCAGATGCGGCGGCAGGAGCCGGCCTGCAGCATTGCTTCAACGACATATAAACGGCCAAGGAAGTGGGCAGCGCACGATTAATCCTATCATTCCGCAAGATCTCGTCCCATTCACTTCCAACGATCTCAGCATCTTCCACTCGCAGGGTGAACAACTTTCTATGCCGCGCGTAAGCAAGTATTAGCCGGGACCACTGCTGCACTACGATAGCCTCAGTCGTCGGGTTGGGTTGCTGTCTGGGGAACACATCAGTATGGACAGAGAGTCGTGCGACCAAACCCTGACGTGAAGAATGGAGGTGCTGAATGAATTGACGGAAGCAGAAAGCCTGGATTAAAAGGTCATCGTGCCAAAAATTCAAGGACAAGAACTTGAGACATACCTGATAGTGTGGTATGTTTAGATAGGGTAGTGCCGCCGCGAAAGTTGGAGACCATGGGGATCTAGCACATCATAACATCTCTTCGTCAATATGAACCTCCTGTTTTAATATAAGTTTGCGCTACCTGCGCTTGTACGAATAACGTAGACTGTTTGTGGATTGACGTGATTACTGTACTATGGCACAGGTTTGATCGATCTCTTTTCCACCAGGAGATAAATTAGAAATAGTTGGACAAGGTGGTTCAGCGGTGCGTGTCCAGCTGGAGTGTGAGGTGTGAGGAAGTCCGGTGTGATATGTGCGATGCAGCTTGAGCATGAGGAGAAAACGAGAGCACACTGTGCGCGATCCGGGATCACGTGCCACAATGACGCGTCGCGACGCGTACTACTAAGTTACTGTCTTGCATGTTCCCGCCCGGCCGCTCACAAAGTATCAGTGAACTCCACAATGCTGCTGTAGCGATACGGACAAACACAGCCGGTGGGACAATGGGGGTGAGGAATGAACTTTGTCTCGCTATCAGGAAAACCAGAACACAAGCACATGAAAGCAATTTGATTACAGAGACCCGAAATCTGCCGGCGAAGAGACAGGCAGACGACCATATAACAAATGAAGCAGTAACAAGACATTCCTCATCAGTTCATTCAATCGCTATCGCTCTGATCTCCCAGGAACGCCATTATTGTCTGGCGGGTAGTAGCCTGCACGCTACATCAGCGAAGAAAAGACAGGTAAGACATGGAGGACACGTACACGTCGTCGCTTTGCCACGGCCGCCTCGTCGTCGTCAGACTGGTCTTCCGCTTCGGGATCCTCTGCTACATTTCCGCGCGTGCGAGAGGGACGTGGACCGGACGTAACGGCTTTCTCGAAAGTCTGGACGTCCTCTGCACAACGCATGGGACAGGAGTCTCAGTCAGTCTGTGCTGAATGTGATCCTCATGTACTTACCCAGTTCCTGGGCGAGCTCCCTCTTCTCTTTGATGGCCTTGGCCTGCTCGAGGCTCATGCGTCCTGACATGCCGAGGTCGCTGAGTATGTCTTTCAGCCGTTTAATCTGCGCTGCAGGCGTGTCGAGGTCCTTGAATTCCTTCGCCCAGACTTTGCGTACACCGCATGCTACAACGAAGGACTGATACCCACGCGTTAGTATAAGCCATGCGCTACGGCCAACTAACTACCCGCTGAGAGCTAAAGGCAGAGACGTACTTTTAGTCGCTTGATGGTTTCATCGTCCTTAGTCAGTTCCTTCGCAGGCTTCTTGCCCCTTTTCTCTTTCTGCTCTTGCTTGCTCCCCTTCGTCTTGCAACAGTTTATTAGCAAGTAGTGCATCACAGCGAAAGGTGAGAAACTCTACCGTTTTCCCCGAGTCCTTCAGTCAAAATTAGCGAAGGAAACAGGGCGCAAGTTAATATTTCACACTTACTTCGTCTTTCTTCTTCCTTCCGCGCTTCTTCGGCGGTTCGTCAATCAGGACGGACATCTCAGATTCGCTCTTCTGCACGAGCAGTCAAGAGAGAATGAATGTCCGTTCAAAACACGATACCTACGTTCCCGCTTTCTTCCGCATCGTCCTTGGACGACTGGCCGGCACTGGATCCAGACGCCTTTGCCGGTACCGGAGGTTCGACGTGAGATTTCGACACGAGAGCGCTTGTGTTAGACTGCTGTTTCGGCTTCGAAGCAGGCGACTCCTTGACGATCTTATCCGCAACCGCTTTCTTCTGCCGCTTCTTCGGCGGTTCAGCAGCAGAATCTGCGTCGCTGTCCTGGACGAACATCGATAAGTGGATGTGTGGTTTGGAAAAAAAGGGCCCGTACTTCGGCCATTTCTTCGACCTGTTTACCCTTCTTCGTAGTTTGGGCCTTGGATTTCGCCTTGCTGGAGGATGGGACCTCGTCCTTTTCTCCAGCTTCATCATCTGAGGGAACTACTGACTGAACTACCGTTAGTACTAAGAGGCTAAGTACGTTTAAGTTGAATGTACAGGAGAGCGCTTGGCCTTCGTGCTCTTTCTTGCTTTCTTAGAAGTGCTGTCTTCCTCAGCCTTCTTCTTGGCCTTGGGCTTCGGTGCCACTTTAGGCTCGGCCTTCTTTGGCTTTGGCTTTTCGGGGCTGGTCTGATCATCGTCATCTCCATCCTGGGACGTACGGTTGACAACCATCAACTGACCGCAGAAACGCCAACAACACACAATGCATACCATGGTGGAGTCGATTGCAGCCTTGACAATCCCCTTGTAGCGTTTCTCATCGAGTACTCCGGCCTGAAGAGACATCCGCTTCTCTACTTCTTGCCGGACGAGGCGGGGCGTCAATTCACTGTGTAGTGCGTCATGAGGGTGAACAACCTCAAGGTATGTCTCAATGCGTACGAGACTGTCCCATCCTGGACGCTTTGCTTGACAACCGCAACCGTCACTTTCTCTATCTCAGTGGTATCAAGGTCGGGCATGGTGGCACTGTCTAAAGAATATCAATACCAGCTCTGTGATAGAAGAACCTTGCGGAATATAGCATATCGGTCCGGTAATGGGCGACGCTCCGTGTGAGCTTCCTGATATATGTAGGCACTGGATAACGAGCAAGGCTGTGATCACAATGATGAGACATCACCCAGGTGGGCTGGCCACCAATATGCAGCACTCAGGCAGACGCATGCTTAGCCCAAGTAACTACAATCGCATGAGGTCATTCACAGCAGCTGTCCGTCCATGTCCACGGCGGCGTCCATCCAGCTGTGCAGCGCGTCCCTCGCACGCTAAGGAGACAAGTAACTCACCTACTACGAGCACTTTCGACGTTAACTTATCTTTATGAACTACGTCGGACTTGCCGACGCCCGCAGCTCCGAAATTGCGAGTGAGAGATGATGGTGGTCGAAGCCAAGCCGAAACGAAGCGCGTCAGTCACGCGACGCGAAGTTGTTGACACGTTTGGTTGTATTTGGCGCCGCACGTGGCTTGAGCGCGTTCGCGTCGCGTCGCAACAGCTCAAGCTCACTTAATACTTGTCTGTTGCCACTCAGTCACCACCATGTCCACGTCTGCTGCTCCAGAAATTAGAATTGCGCAAATAAAGGGATCTATTCCGACATGCACGCCCAACCTCATGCCCTTCCACATAGCCTACGCCGGCCCCGCCCCCATCTCGACGTACTTTCGCGTCAAACCTGCACCACCGCTTACCTATGGTAAAGAAGCTACACCCCGGATCACGCCGAGCTCCAGTGGAGACTCCACACCTCCTTCTGCGGATGCACAGACCGCATCAGGTTCTTCACAGTCCACTCTGGTCGCTAGCTCCTCCACCGCGTCAATACCTGCGACATCGGTAACCTCCTTGGACACTGCCGTAGATGTCGAGATGGTGGAGGAGGGAAACTCATTACTAAACACGAGCAAACGTTTCGTGGCTGCATTCAGAGGCCGGATAATGCAGGGTCTAACGGTGGAACTGCCCCAGGGATACGCTGGGATCGTCTTGCGGACGCCGGACGACGGGAAGGACAAACACGCTGGAGCGAGCAGAGACGTGGAGTTGGAGAGAGAAAAGGCAAGAGATAAGGGTAAGAAAGCGGGCAAGCGCAGTACCCGTCGCTCGCGTGCCACGGAAGTGGACCCTGGAGAGGATGGAGACACTGGGGACTTCAATATGGAAGCTGCATGGGACCACGATGCTCCATCACGAGTTCTGGAACCAACATCCTCTTTCTCCTCTTTCGTCCTGTGGCACCCCGACATTCCCGTAGATGAGGGCAAGGATGAATACCTGCGCTCGTTGACCGATTGGACCAGGTTGGCAGCCGAGGTGACTTTCGCATTTTCGACCTTGTCTCTTTGAGCTAACAAACGGATATTTTCTCCACAGATACACCGATGTGAGGATTGAGACCGAAAGCCATACCGCCTCCACATTCGTGTCCGAAATATTGCGCTGCTCAGCACCCTGAGACCTTGTAACAGCAACACAGGCTGTTTCTCGAACACACCGACGACTGACGGGAGTATCTCGACAGCGGGAAGCAATATATTGGTCACATTTACCTCTGATGTCGATTTTCTGTTGTATTACCATCGACTTCTCCGAGAGTGAAGCGAGACTTGTACTAGAATCTTGAGGAGTACGTTTCTAAGATGCAGTTAATACCTCCCCAATATCTTACAGCCGCTACGCTATGCTGCTTTTTTCCCCTGTGAATACATATTTCCTAAACTGGCATCAGAGAGTCTGGTATCTATAAAAGGCAGGTGAGGTGGTTGGCGCTCGATCGCGTGGCCGGCCCGGCAAACATTGACAGGCGCTATCAAATACTGATATCAACTGGCATTTTTGACCTCTACCGTCGTTGTTGTTAGCCTCACGTCCTGTTCTCCCCAGAGTTCAGGACCTTTCGCTCCTTTACACCCGTCGCTCTTTTGAAATCCACCGCAACAACCCTGGGATACCACTGCACCCTCGAAGTTTGTATATTTCTACGATTTTTTTTCTCATTCTTCCACTCACATTTCCGTTCAGTCTGCCCCTTGACAACCTCTTACTTTTCATCGTTCATTATCTCCCAAAACGCCGCCATGTTTGCTCCAGCCTTCTTTACCGCACTCCTCGCGTTCATTGCAGTTGTGCATGCCGATCCGACGCCGTCTGACCCTAGTCCTGGCGATGTGTTCAACGAAGGAGCGAGCTGTCACATCGACTGGGACGTGGATACCACGGGCATTTGGACCGTCATGAACATCGAGCTCATGTCCGGGAACAATGAAGAGATGCAGTATATGACTAGTACGTCTACAGTGTCCCTGCCCTGTGTGTCAGTACTGACACGCTTATCAAATAGCGGTGGCAACTGTAAATGGAGCTGATCCTAAAAAAACCGGCTTTGATTACACTTGCCCGAGCGTGAGTCTACCTCCGCTTCTTGCCACTGTTTTTCATTGATCCGCGTTCTTCAGGTAACTCCGAACGCCCCGATTTACTTCTACCAGTTCACCACTCCGTATTCGAACACGTCCCACTGGACAGGTCGCTTCGCCATCGCAGACTCGTCTGGGAAGACAGTGCCTGCGGCGAACAGCACTCAGCCGGACGGCAGCGCGATCCCTTGGGGCATTGGCGCGCTCACTGGTCCGTCGAGCGCCGTCCCCGAACCCTCTGCGGGCCAAAGCATCGGCGGAGCCCAAGCCATCGCGTCTGGATCTCCTAGCAGCACACCCTCCTCCAGCGCCTCTGCCAGTACCTCCGCGCCCAACTCGAGCTCCAGTCCGCCCGCTTCGAAATTGGGCATGTTGACCGTGTCCGGCGCGAAGCCCTCAGGCTCTTCCAGCACATCGCCCAGCTTGCCCTCCGGATCTAGCACCACCAATGGTGCAGGCGGGCTCGAGGTGAACAGTCATGTCTTCCACGCTGCCGTCGCGCTCGGCGTCGCGGCGCTCACGTTCTCCGTGGCATTGTAATCCCGTATACCCCCTTGCCGCGCGCTCACGCTCGTCATGACGATACCATCTGCTCATAGTTAACTGTCGTTCCTTCCGCCCACGTCATCTGGTCCATAATCCATAACGTTTCGTCGCATTCTCATCGCTGCACGCCCCTGCCCCCGCGCTTGCATGTATTGGGCGCATCACGTTCGCAATGGCATTACTTAGATATCTGACTTGCTGTACACCTTTGCTTTTTCTCTGGGCTGCTCGTGTGTCCCTGTTGCTGTTTTCATTGGTCTCGGTTGGTTGTTTGGTCGGTCGGTCATTGGTTTGGTGTCAGTACTACCTTGGTCCCTAGAGTTACCGCATCTATCTGGTTAGCATACATCATTTTCAGTAGTCAGGCATCTGCACAGATAAACGGATCTTCACTTCTGTCTTTGAACTTGCGGAACGATATGAGCGTCTAAGTCTATGCTTCCCGGGATGCCGGGCCGAAGGGGCGCACAGTGTGGGCGGGATCCGGCTGGCACCCGATTCAGACCGCGGCGCCCGACGCCCGCCTCCTTCAAGTTATATATCCAGCGCGAGCGCGGAATCGTGCTCATTAATTGTTGACCTGACATCCCATGTCCTAAAGTTCACATTCAGGTACTGAAGCTCATGCATCATGCACCATGCAGAATTTTGTGTGCGTGTCTTCCCCTAACATCATCGCATACCACGGTGTGACTTACTGCGCTCGTTCGCGTTTCACGCCTGCGGCGAACTACTCTAGTGTTGCACGACTTTGCTGGTGAACGCCTATGCGAGCTGGGGGAGCGCAAATTTGTACTGTCTCCATTCTTCAGTAGTTCGACATAAACCAACAGCGCTCAGCTGACTCTGGAGCTCATTCGTGAGCCATGCTCGCAAGACAGAATCGTCGTCGTCACTATGAAGATCTTCATCTAAAGCCAAATCGGTGCACGAACGGGGATTCCCAGCGATATCATCATGCCCACCTGCACGTGTCTACCGCACGGTAGCAGCATGTCGGTGGTGCGGAAGCCAGGCATTTCCGGGGAGAAGGGATTCCCCCTCTCAGAGCACAACCTAGCTGTGTACTTAAAGCACGACACACAATCGTGTCATCCTTTCGCTACCCGCGCCCCTTGCTGTGATATCACTCGCGAACACGAACTCGCTTATCCCGTACATCTGGAATTCGGGGACTGTATTGTATCCTGGCATCGGATTGACCCGATCCTCCACATCATGTTCCCCTTGAACGACTTTAACCTGGTCTGCTGTGCGCTTGCGACTGTCTCGGCAGCGTTTGGCTATAATGTGACGCGGCGCCGGCGTAGCCACAGCTTGAATACCCAACGGTGAGCGGATTAACCCTTTCAACCGAGTAAGAGGCTCAATGATCTATGATTTTGGGGACAGGCTTGCGGAGGAAGAGCGCAAGCGTGAGGTGCTGGCACGGAGTCAGAGCGTTGCGAGCATGTTCTCATCATGCGATAGCACGATGACTTTGGACAGCGAGGGCACAGGCTCTGAACCGCCAGTCTCCGTCTATCCTTCCCCACCCGAGAGCGTAAACGTGAGCGTATCTTGCCAGCCTCGTGTATCAGTGGTGTTCATGTTATCATTATCTGGTTAGGCGTTGGACGACACGGAGCCCGGAACGCTGAAGAGGAAGAACAGGGATGAAGGCAACAACGATGTATACGACCTTCGCATTATATCGCGACTCCAATACTTACGCGGATTTTCTAGCCCGATGGGGAGACACATGGGGCTGCAAAGGTGGTTGTCATTGCGCAGCAGCGATTTCGCATAGGGTTGATGTCGAGTTTAGGATCGCTCCTCCAGTCCGCCAAGGAAGAGGTGCAGGACACCACCTGCTTCCTACGATCCGGAGTCTACAGTAAAGAACGAGGGCGAGGCAGCGATGACCAGCACGCAGACTGTAAACATTATCACCGCCGACCAGCAGCAACTGGAGACGGTCCCAGCTGTAAAAGTTGTTGTTGCAGATGGGCAGCAACAAGAGGCCTTTTTCTCGGGAGAAACAGCGACACAAATCAAGATAGAAGAGCCAGATATTGCTTCGCAGACGCCTTTCTCTTTTCCGATTCCAAAACCCCACAGCGAGTGCAAGCCTTCCATTTTTTCGTCGATGCAGCCAATACCTGCTGTAAGTCACTCCTCCGCAGATATCGAGATTTATCATTGAATAGTTTATCTGATGGTGCAGGTTAAACCATCCACGGCATTTAAGTCGTTCGCCGGGAGTTCCTCCTCCTTCACTACGACGTCCACTTCTAGTATTTCCCCGAGGTCGGGGTTCAAGCCAGTTTGGTGCTCCGGCAGCATCATTCTGAACGCTCCTTCCAGTACGGAATTGACTACGTCGCAAGATGATGCACAGGCAGTGTGTGATGCTGCTTTATCAAGTGGGGAAGGTTCGTCTTCATTAAAGGCGTCCACCCACGAAGATCCTCTCGCGGCACACCTTTATTCGAAAAGTACTCACAGCAGTAAGTACCACTTAGCTTCAGATCGACTACCGTCTGATATCTTTGCATCCGTGCAGCTTTAACGGGTGAGGAAGACGAAACTATTCGTGCGGAGCTGAAAGGCGCGAAGGTATATGTGAAGCGCGGGGGGCGCGAGTTCTCGGACGGCATCTTGGGGCACGCCAAGATCTTGGTACACAAGGAAACTGGAGAAGAGCGGATACGTGCGTTCAAATTTATTCTCGCTGTCCGGTGCCTTTGACTGGAATGCTCACCGGGAAATTTGCAGTGTTTCGTCGAGAACAGGTATGGAAGGTCACGATGAGCGTGCGGCTACGGCCGACGGTTCGTTGCACCTACGACGAGGAGCAAGGTGTCCTCCGGATTGTGCTGAAGGAGTTGGAGGAACGTGAAGGGGTTCCTCCCGATCAATGGAAGCAGCAGGTCGTGATTTATGCACTGAAGGTCTGTCGCTACCTGTCGCTGCACGACAACGACCTAATATCCCCGTTTCTTCTTTGCGACTGTTGTTTCGCCAATATCAAAAATACAGCGTGGCAAGGCATCGAAAGGGGACTTTGCGGAGTTTTCCCGCGCGGTCGTCGCAAGTGGGCAATTGTGCGCACAGTTGCCCCCTGATTTACGAAGTGCTGTTGTTTGACTTGCGGGGAGACGTTGTATTAGCTCTCACGCAACATTACTCCCTGGTCTGGCGTGTGAAGTACAGACCATGGCCACTGGATTTGGCTGTACCGCTGGCGGTGTGTGGTATCTCGTAACGTTATTCAGGATTGTGCAACTATGATACCCTATGCAACACGTAGAATTATGCGTATAAACGCCTCTGTGCTATTCTGTCGCTCGTCGCGCATGCATTTAGTAGTCCTACGCTTGATAAACCTGGGGTTGTTTACAAGCACAAACGACAGGAGCAACGACGCTCCTTGCACCGATATATTCGTAACATTGAGACCAACATTCTGAATTAATCCGACCGTATGAAATGAATCCTATTGTTTTTGGACCGCTATTATAGAGGCCTTCCCCGTTTGTATTCCGGAGTAGGGCATATGTCCAAGTTCGGGAAGACATAGGACTATTGGGGAAAAGGCAACCTTGCTGAGCATGACTTCGAATTATACAACGAGCAGAACATCGCAACGACGTCTACGGCGTCCTAAGGGTTCATGCGAGGAGGAGCAGAGCGAGTTACTTTGGTCTTGAAGTCACGACGGACTTACGACTTGACTATCCCACACGTGCATTATGAATGGGAAGGTGAATGAAATTGGACTTACATTATCTGGTCGACCCGAGGAGTTTGTCAACGTCGGCTATGGTCTTCTGATAACTCCCGACTTCAGCACGGGGTGTACGCGTTCACCGACGCCATCCGAAGTTCACGAAATAGAAAAATCAATGAGTTCACCGCAATATGACAACCTGGCCAGATATATTCAATGAGCGAATACTCGCTGTCATTGTGAGCAGTACGGCCGGCGTTCCGATTGCGCTATGCTCACGATTTTGTTATCGTTGTGGGGTATACGAAAATTGGTAAATCCTGCACGCACATGAAAGTATGCGCCTCAACAATGGGGACTTCACGTCTGTTCAACCAACAAGTCCTACGTCATTGAGAAATCGATATCCAATTTGATGGCCCACTCAGCGCATAGATGAAAGTGTGTTCCTCGCCATAAACGACACGCTGCGACACGAACAATACGAGAGTGAATCAAATGACTTATCGTCGTCGTGCTCTAGCATGCAATGTCTCTGATGGACGCAAATGCATGGCGCTATGTGTAGGAGCTTAATGTACTGGAGAACACGCCTGCAGCTGTAAGACAATTGCGTGTGCAGATCCTGTGGTCGGAAAAGCTTCAGGAATGGCCAGCGGAATAATTGGCGTATGATGGGAGTCACGGGCGGTGCTGGCACATTGACCAGGAAGCCATTCTTATTGTCTTGCGTCGACGGGGAGGTAGCGGAGAAAGAGGAAGGGCTTGTGCTAGAACGAGGACACCAGGAGTGTGGTATTTACGTTGTGGCCCAGAAGTTTGTAGTGGACAATAAGAAATGGCCCTGGCAGTCTCTGGGGTCCTCGGGAAGGATTAATCGCTGCTACACGGTCGTAATTTGGCTACCACCACCAGCGCTTTCGATATGTTTATAGGCGACATGTCAGAGCTATTGTCTGCTCGGGAGGCAGCCTCGCACTTTTGTTCCTTCAGACGGTCAAAAGGAGGCGGCTCTGCGGGTGGTATCTTCACCACCAGCTAGTCTAGTGCTCATCCTCTCATTACTTGTGCTTGGAACTCGATCAATTCTCTCGACCTCAACCTCTGTATCAATACATCTATCTCTGTATCCAACATTATATCCATATCCCCCATTTTGTGAGTATTTTATTTATCTTGACCGTTGAAGACCTACGGTTTCGCGGGGAACGTTTATCGTCGACTCTGATGAATCCATTGGCTCCGTCTCTCCTGCGCTCTCTTGTACTCACATTCTGCAATGTACTGACCGCTATTTTCTCTTCAGTGTCTATGTTCGCTTCACAAACAACGACCCCTGTATATTCGTTCCTCTCGCAGCCGCCGCCTCAGAAGAAGCGTCCTACGCAGCCCTTACCCTTGCTCCCCGTCACCGTTTGCCGTCGCCGTTCGGCGACCGTCTCGGCCGTCTCTGCCTGGGTTGCGACCGTACAGCCCGGTTCACCTGCGCCTTGCTCTCCCCCATTGTCCAGTCCCCGCCGCAGATCGTCCTTAACCCGCCGTTCTTCAGTGTCATCGCGCACCCGTCGCCCGTCTGTCGGATCTGGTCGTGTGCCCTCCGGCTCATTCTTGAACTTCTTTGACACCCCCACCACCGCGAGTATCACTCACATCACCCCCTCTGTTAAGGATTTCAAGCACGACGTTACCACAGTCGGGTACACCTCTGTCTTCGTCCGTCTCCCGACGCCCACGAGTCCCGCGTCTGCTATTCCTGAGAAGTTGCGCCCCGCTCCCGCGAAGGCTCACCGCACCCTAAAGCGTTTCCGTTCCCTCTCCGCACTCAGGCCGAGCCGTATTCGCGCAAAGCCCTCCTCCATGCCCCCCACGCCCCCACCTAAGCCCGCTCGCAATCAGGCGAGCGAGGCAGTGAAAAAGAGTAAGAAGGCCAAGTACGCCAAGTACCGCCCCCCTCCGCTCGCCGCGGAGCTCGCCCTCATGCAGTTCGCAGACGGCGGCAAGATGGAAGATAACATTCGCCGTTTTGCTGAAGCCCAGGCGCGCGCAGCGGGTGCCACTGTCGTCGACGGGAAGCTCGTCGGTGTCGGCGACTTTTTCCGCGACGGCGAGGGAGGCATTTGGCGCGACCAGGACGAGGAATGGGAGTACGCGCACCTCCTGGGCGGCGACGAGGCCCTGAACGAGGTTGGCTGGGTTCGTTTCGGGTCCGCATCCAGCGCGGCGGAGGACGAGCAGCGTAGGGAGAGCGTGTCGAGCGCTGACTCAGACCTTGACCCCCGCTACGCGATGCAGCCCGAGGAGCGCGACGATCTCGCCGTGTTCGGCGGCACGGTACACCCCAGTGCGTTGCGCAAACCCGGCATGTCGGTCCTCGCACTCCCCTCTCGTAGCCGCCGCTCCGCGAAGCATTTGCGCAAGCCAGAGTTCCTCCTCGACATCTTTCCAGTTCCAGATGCGGCTGCGGACTGCGTAGCATCTCACGGTGCACAGGGCAAGCCTCGCCGCCGCCCTGCACCCCTTACACTCACACCGCCGAGCCCAGCCTTCAAGTGCCCCACGAACCCGCTTGATGCGGATCAGGTCCGCAAAGATTTCATCGACTCGTCCTTCACTCCTACCCCTCCGCCCAAATCCAAGTTAGCAAACCCTGTACCTGCGCGCGTTGAGTCTCGCGTAGTTGTCCCTCCCAGGAAGACAGCGCCGAAGACCCCCATGAAGATGGATGTGCGCGGTTTACTACGGGCGATGGGCGGGAAGAAGGCCAGCGGTGATATCTAGATGGCGTTTGACATTGTGCGATTCGTTCCAAATCTGTCTTGTTGTAACTCACTTTTTGACTGCAATGCCTGCCTGTGACGTCTTCTGTATGACCTTGTTCTGTACACACTAAAGTAAACCAATCATATCTATAATAAAATATATACGGGTTCGACACTGCGAGCAGGTTCTAACGCCACTTAAAACTTTTATGTTGGCCTCTCTAGATGCCAGTGAGATCGACCACCCTCCAGACTTGCCGCAGACTCTTTTAGAACTTGACCAGCTTGGTGTGTACCGAGGTGAGATCTCCGTGTTTAGCTACGCATTCTTCGGCGAACCCCTCCAAGGTTGATCTCGGCTGCCAGAATTACTTATCGAAAATACGTTTCAATAGCAGTGATTTTCGCCTTGGCATTGCGCCGGCCATTTCTTTACTGAAAGTGAGTATCTCGCGCACTGATTAGAGGGGGGGATGACGCACCTCAGTTGTGACGCAGGTGCGACGCAAACCGCCGGTTCGTGAAGCTTCTAGAAAGCTGATCGATCCCGAGATGAATACTGTTCTCCTTCGGCGCGTGATACAGCTGTTCGAACGAAGACTGAGCTTCTGCCATATCTTGCTTGACAAGATATGCAGAACTCGGAGGTACGACAACTAGTGGAGTAAGATAGACGTCGGATCCGTCCGCCCTGGCTGCACCTTCGGAAGGCGTATGCGAAGTGTCTGCAAGTATGGCGGATGCTGGAAAGGTGGGTCCGTCAATTGTTGGAAGATCGTAAGGTCATCCTTACCAGAAGCTTCACCGAGAGAAGCGTCCGACGACAGCGTCTCCGAGCTGCTCGAAGATTCGTGCACAGAGGAGCAGTCAATCGGTGGCACCTCTTCGGTGTAAGTAGAGGTTTGAGATAGCGGAGAGTCATTAGCGATTCGTGGGTTTTTAACTGCTCTCGTCCACCTTCCATGAGCATTATTATCTGGATTAGTCTCAGGTAGACGACTGGCGGGAGTTCAGCTCGAGTCGTAGGTAAATCATAAGCACGATACGTACATGGGAGCCGGGATTTCGTATTCGCCCGGCAGCGATTCTGGCAGTGGTCCATCTGAAAACTCCTTGAAGAAGGATGTCCAATCTTGGATCGCACGACTATATGACAGTTTGAGCCCTTCTTCTGCATTCAGACTACGTAACCCAAATATGAGACGGTGAAAACCTGGAGCATCGAGAGACTGACCTTCGAAGTACCTCAATTAAACGAAGAAAGCTTTCGTACCAACATTCTGAACCCAGATCTTTCACAAGTCCCACTCTTACCCAACGTTGCACGCCAAACAGCGTAGCACTTGCAAGCATATCAATGCCTTCCAAGTCGATGCCGGCATCCACATGATCAACCGGCTCAACTTCCAAGAATCCGACATCATTGCGGGTATCTTCGATGAGCTGTACGATTACATCCAACAACTGACGGGCGATGTAACACTGAAGTGAATAGTTGTTCTCGACGCTCCAAAAATCGGGCATCTCCAGAATTCCTGCAAGGGAGCGAACGGCGGTTAGCTTCGAGAGCCCGGAATCCTCTCTGCATCTCTTCGTAATCAACGCGCGTAAGGGAGAATAGCCTGCGCTCACTTGCAAATTGAAATCAAACTTTCAACAACAGCACGCGATGAATGAAGGAGACGGCCGAGTTTGCGCGGCCTGACAGCTTCTAGCGTGTTTGCAATGGCATTTGGAAAGAGGCAGAATATAGCAAATTTGCGAAAGAATTCCCATTCATGGGTGCGATTACGCTCAGGCACGCTCCAAAGGTTGTCCACTCGTGTGTCGACGTGGCGGACGAATAGAGCTCTAAGGCCAGGAAAGCGAGTGGTCAACGATATGATGCTTTTAAACGCGTCTAATTGAACTTCAGGAGATTCTTTCCTGTTTCGCGATCAGGATAGAAAGGGGGATTGCACTCGCATGCTCACAGACAAGCATAATTTATCAGCTTCAGACAATGTTTCTCCATCCTACGAACATTTGGCGGGACTTTACCCACTGGCGACCTACGTGCATTGTATAGTTGCTCAAGCACGTCATAGCGCTCGAAACGGTCTCCAAAGGCCTTCTCTATGCGACGGCTCGTAGCTCGAGGACCAAAGCCCAGTCGATGAGCCAAGTGACCAGCACTTGAACGAAGGGTTATTTCGCAGCTTTGACACACTCTGCGAATGCGTGAGGCAGCTCCTCGAGACGAGGAGTGGATTGCCATGTCTAGGGAATTGGCTAGGGGACGCTTCCGTCATATGCAAATGGATTTACAAGTAGACAAATTCATCTGCGCGGAAATAGAGCACTGCACGGTACCACATGTTGTTGCCTGCAAGCGTTACGCTTGGGAACGTGCCCCTGAGCACTGTAGGACATTCCATGCAGCGCTGCATGACGCATTCCTCGTTCCTAATGCGCAACATGGGGAGTAGGCGTTGTTGCGCAGGTACACGCCTCGGAAGGTTTAGCTCTGTTGGAAAGTGGGGCTAGCTGGCGGCGCAAGAAAAGTCTTGTATTGGCGGACTTGGCGGCCATAGTTGTCGAGGTAGACAAGTGAGCGATGTAGAATTTTACTGACGGGGAAAGGCAGCATGTGAAGGCGACGATTTCGTCCTTGTGCCAGGCATTGCAGACCATGACGGGAGGCGAACGACGATGTTGGAGCGTAACGCCATGCGGAGCAAATGTGTCTGGGACCCAATGTGCAGTCAGCAGGATGTTGGGGTGGATACGTCAGAAATGCCAGTGTCGATGTTGCGTTCAAGGGCATTGTTTAAGGGGCAGCGATACGACTCGTCGAAATCATAGCTCACCATTTGCAATAGATGTCATGCGAATTATCCAAAAAGAGCACTGTGAGAGTAGGATCTACCGTAACCTAAAACCCGATGAACAGCCTCCCTGTAGCCTCCCACTGTCTTCAGCTTGAGGGTATTTGAAGATAACTCCATCTACCTACAGTGAACGAGAGTTGTATACTGGCATCAAGTGAGAGCGTTGTAGAAGTCTGGTAGAAGTCTGATCTAGATTCAGATGACTCATCGCTTCGCTACTCGTCTGAGTCCCGGCAGTGTCCGGGCTTCCGTGCCACTTCCGTAGTACCACATTTCCGGGAACTTCGACGAGTAAAAACCAGACTAGGCGATCATATGGATATGCATGGCGACACACAACCAAATTGACACTTGCGTCATGCAAACGCGTAGTTTCTTTGGCTCATGTCCTTTAGGACGATCATATTATTCACGCCGTCCTCGTTGGTGGAATGCGAGATTTTTCCGTACGTTTATCCGAACTGTCTTCAACGGCCTTGTTACGACCAATTTGTCCCTCACTAGATGCAGAGCGGAGGGTCAGGCATGCTTGCAATTTCAGTCAGTGCCTTATCCGCCTTCGCAGGATCCCCAAGGTTGCCGTCAGATTATTGGAGGGCCTCCAACATCTTCCTGAAAGCCATGTCGGGCGAGGAGGAGCCCTGGTAACCAGGATGCACGGGTACGCTAGCGGTGGATCCGTTTAATGCAGTTTCGATGCTTCGGAGCTCGACGATGATACCCTTGATGTTCCATTCTGGGAGCATCTCTGTCGCAAACGAAGGCCTTGACAGCTTTGAATACATAACGGTGAGCTCGTGAGCGAGCTTTAAATTCCTTTTATGACAAATCGCGCTGATGTTACGGCACTGTAGAATCCAAGCGTCTGTTTGCTGCACCAGCTCAGCGAAGAGACATTTACCGCTCGGCCTCCATGTCTTGCCGGGTTAACGTCTCTCAGAAATTTGGGAGCCTAATTCATGCCATCAACCCGATGTCGAGTTGAAGTTCACTCAGTTACTCCGTAATGTGAACTGGTCCCCATGACAGAACCGTGCATCCGACCCGCTTCCTCAGGTGTATCTTCGATCTCGCACCTCCAGTGCAAAACTTGCGTTGTTCACTACCACTTCCAGTCGACCAAAGTGTTTCTTTACTGTCTCAAATGCGGTCAAAAGCTGGGATGATGTTTACTTCTTGACGAATGGCGCACGGACTTCTGAACTTCCGCCTTCTGGCCGAATGCCAGCACCACCTCTAGGATGCGTTCCAACCATGGGAGGTACCTGTGCCTGTAATGTACGTCGTCGGTAAGCGATCCCTCTTCCAGATTACGAACCAAGGCCAGAGGAAACGTAGTATTGAACCAGATTTTGACGAGATCCCGAGACGATTTTGGCGGCCATTGTGCTTGCACGCAGCTATGTTCGGCTGACATATTTATATAGACACCACGGAGCATCAAATCACACATCGCGACAGTTGACTGACTTGTAGCTTACGATTTCGATATAGCCGGCGATTCAGAACACATGTACACTCTTCAGAGGTTTAGAACTCCGTCTCAGATCGGCCAGTGAGTGGTACAGTTCGGTGTGATATTGGTTGTCGAGTAAAAACTGGGTATGGGTGCGATTCTAATAACAATGGTATACAATGCCCCTTTCACAGATTGCATGTTAAGAAGTCTTGGATGATCCTTCAACGTTCGAAGCCACCCGGACAGGTACAACCCTCGGAAAAATGAGTCGTACCTCCCTCATTCGCTCTTCAGACAGGTTGAGTCTTTTGCAAGACTGCTGCAACTCGTACCCGTTCTTCTTCAATTGCTCGAAGTGGTGATGGGCGAGCTCGAGATCCCGCTCAATCTTCGCAAGCTCTCCTTTCGGATCAGCGCCTTTCAACCGCGATTTCAATACATGTTTGATGCATTGGAGCTTCTGGATGTGATTTTGAAACGCGGAGGCCCTAGCTTTGAGTTCAGTAAATCCGATTTCAACGTAATCCACTGTCGGCGGAGGTGGAGCACCCGCAAGGGTACCTTGATCACAACCTTCGGAATTGACTTGCTCCCATTGCGAAGGAACGGCAGAAGAACGGGGTAGGGTATAGGCACCGTGGCCAGACTGGGGCACGACGCGGACCAACACAGGTCCTTGAGGGGGCTGCTGCTTTTTGGGGCGTGGAGGGCGGGTGCGGCGAGGTTTTGTACTCGCAGCCGGAGTCTGGACTTCATCCCCTTGACTGCGGGTCGTCTGACGCCGTCGCTGTTGAGGCGGAGGAAGGGTAGAGGGTCCAGCGACGGGGATTTCGTCGTGGAAGGACTGCCCGCCTGTCTGTTTCTGAGGCCGAGAGGTAGGGGCTGCAAAGTGAACGAGGGGGTCGTTATCCAGTGTAGTCGCAAACCGAGCGTTATCCTCCTGTTCATCGACACACTGTCGTTTCGGTCCTCGAGCGGTGGGGGTATCAATAATCAGGGTACTCGGACCGTGAACGTTATTTACTTGTTCATACTGCCGCCTCTTCCCTTTATTAGTGGTGTGCGTCGATGGGGTTGGGGTATCTGTGTAAGGGGCACTTGGGCCCTGAATGTTGTCCATATGCTCGCCGGCACACTGTCGTTCATCCCCTCGAGTAACGGTTATGGAGGAGCTGAGGGTATAATTGGGAAAACTGGGGGTATCCAGGATGTGACTGAGGGCATCCATGAGATCGGGGTCCATGTCCATGAAGAGACTGTCTATATTAAAGGGACTGGGAGTATCCGTACGGGGCACATCCAGGGTATCCAGAATCTGTATATTGTCGAATTGCTTTGGTTCCTGTTGATGAGTAGCAGGAAGTGCCGGGATCTCGGCGTCAAATGTGGTCGAACACGGAGCCCTTTCTACGTGCGGGTCGACATGTTGCCGCTCTCTCCCTCGGGAAGAGGAGCCGGGGGTATCTGTCGATGGAATGTTTTGAGCCTGGGTGATGTCCACTTGCTCGGCAATACGTGGTCGTTTCGTCCTCCGACCAGAGGTGCTGGGGATGACGGAAGTGTTGGTGATCGGATCCTGCACGCTGTACACTTGGTCATCAACATGGGCTCGTTTCTTACCTCGAGCAACGGAACTGAGCGTATCGGCAGTAGAAACAATTGGAACCTGGATACTGTAGTCGAGGTCGAGTCGCGCTCGTTTCTTCTCTCGACCAGAGGAGCTGGAAATACGGGTAGGAAGAATGGTTGAATCCTGGACGCCGTACACTTCGGCATCGACACGTGCTCTTTCCTTCCCTCGAGTAGAGGAGAGAGGAATTTCGGGGAGAATGGTTGGAGGCGGGACATCGTCCACCGGGTCATCGATACGCGCTCGTTTCGTTCCTCGTGTAGAGGAGCTGGGTATATCGGGGGTGAGGATAGTTGGGCCCTGGTTATCGACTCGCGCTCGTTTGCTCCCTCGCGCAGTCGTGGGTATATGGCCAGCGGTGTAAAGCATAGTCCCCCCCTGACCATCGTCCAGTTGCACGTCAGCATATTTTCGCTTCTGTCCTCGAGCAGCAGTCGTTGTGGAGGAGCTGGAGGTGGTCGGAAGCGGACACTGAATGTCGCTCACTTGCTCGCCAACATGCTGTTCATGCTGATGACTAGAGGGAAAAGGGATGTTGGGATGTATACGATGTTCACCTCCCCCCGAATTTTGCCGAAAATAATCAAACCGGCGAAATATATCCGGCGTTATCTCTGGGGTTTTAAGATACGCTTTCTCGTGCGGTCGCATGTACTTGAGAGACAGAGATTGATCTAGCATATCTGACCTAGGCCGTTTGGTTCGTGGTTTTGGAGGAGGCTGCAGCGGTTCCGGCGCTTGGTATTGTGGCGTTGGTCGAGGAGGGTGTCGGGTCAGTGATGCAGTCGGTAACCACGGCGAGTCGTCCACTACGTACTGTGGAATTAGCTGAGAATGATGGTGGATCCGGGATCCGACAAAACGCTGCGTGGATTCGGCAGCACCGCGCTGTGGCGTGGGCTGAGAGTGATTCACGAATCTCGCTCTGAAAATAAAAATTAGCACAGGCGACCTTCATTGACCAAAGGGCCACTCACGTAACGTTGAAAGCACCGAGGGCCGTTGGAGAGGATGGTCGCAAAGCGTGTGGGGACATGGTAGCAAACAGGACGAGGTTAGTGAGCAGAATGGTCATCAGAGGCCCTAAATACAATAATACCCGGCTATGCTGTGAGCTCGCTTTGATTGGGACGGTTACAGCGCCACCTGGGAGACAGCATCTTAGCAAAAGCGTTGCGGCTGCCATCAAAGCAACGCTCCTCCAAATCGGGACCGCATGACTGTGTTCGCCGCTCATAGAAAGAGTCAGAGTCAAACGGCGGTTTGACTCTGACTCTTTCTATGAGCGGGCTACAGTCGTCCCAGTGAAAAAAAGGGCAATACTGTATTCGAGTAGAGGTTGAGTGTTCATAATGTTCATAAGTACTCTCCGGCGATGGCCCTATCCGGGAAAGCCGGAATGTGTCAGATCTGAGATCTATGGAGGTCTTGTGCCCGTCGATAGCTCCTTTTGTATTAGGGCGTATATGCAACCGGGCGCCAATTCTTCCTGGGCTAATCAGAAGGCGACGTTAGCCAAAAATTTCCTTTCTTGGATTCCTTAGCTACAGAACAGAAGATCGCCTCGAAGCCGAAGATTTTGCTCTTGTACTCCTCCTCACAAAAGGAAATTTCGGTTCCGCGCTTTGGAGGGCTTGAACTGACATAAGGACGTCTAACGGGATCAATATTGCTGGGCAACTCTGATATTTCTACTCACACCTGCAATGGCCACTGCAGAGGGCTGACGAAGTCGGTACAGCAAGGATCATATCGTTAGGCCCCTAGGCGAAAAAATCGTGCACAGTGGCCCTTTGGGCGGTCTGCAAAAAAAAGCTCTTGATAGGCGGTACCTTAGCCTTCGCATCTCGCCGGCATCTGGACGCGAGCGGCGGCCCAGGCGGCGCGACTTGGTGGCACCACGGTGCACGGTGGCGCCACCACCCACCTGGATTTCCGGAGCGTTTGATTTCGCAGTCCGCGCTGTGAACTGATTTTTTTGGAGGGGCTTATCCATATGATCTTTTCTGTAAAGCCAGTCAACGCTCTAGACATAGAGATAGCATGTCACGTCCTATACCACAGCTACACCGCCAACACCGCCTATCAAGAGAGTATCCACCGTCCCAGCCATCTCTTTCTCAATCCAAGCATCAAACTCCTCAAACAATACCATTGCTCGTCCGCCCTCCGCCTTCTCTGCCTTCTTCCCCGGCCACATGGCCTTTTCGTGAATACCGACGAAGTCTACCCTCAAGCCAGCCTTGGCGTCTGCGCCTGGAGGCAGTTTAATTACTAGGTCGACAGTCCAGGTATCGTGCCCATAGAACGACGCCTCCTTGATATGATGACGCGCATACTCGTCGGGAGGGTTATCGTCCAGGTTCCACTTCAGTACGTGGGCATCAAAAACAATTGCTACAACGGATTTCACGTGAGAGATCAAGCGAATCATTGCACATCCACGTACCAGTCCATATGATACCTGGATGGTTGATAACGAGAGTGAGACTTCTAGTGCCGGCCGCTGCATCTATGGTATCATTGGCAGCAGTTATAGTGAAGTCGTGCTCCGGAGCAACCAGATAATCAGGTTTGAGAGGAAGGTCGAACTTGTATGGCGTCAAGAACTAGGATTGGGGAAAATAATCGCTAGGTGGAGTCGCTAGAGTTGCTTTGCACACTTACCTCAGAGAAGGGATACATGGACTCCCAGTAATTGCTCCAGCTGTTTAAAATCACCGATGTGGGATCCATGCCTTCTACACCGAAGTCGCGCGCGATACTCTGAGCAAGAACGTCGAAGCCAGGTGCACCGTCGGCTGCAGCGACATGTAGATGTTGCTCCTCACTCGTCACCTGAATGACTGAGATCAATTCTATTTTTCATGTCCATCCCCATGCTATATTCATGCACTTACGTTCTCCATATGTATCACAAACAAGCGCTTTTGGTGCATAGCGTCGAACGGCGACCTCATCGAGAAGGCGACCATCATCACTGCTGTCAGCACCGACATGAGGATCACCATCCGCGCTAACATACGATGGCTGAAACGGTGCACGAAGGGGATGGCGAGCGGAAGAGAATATCCGCCTGTGAAGGCCACGATAGACGCGATAATGTGTTCTGCAGGGGCTTCTTGGCCCATACGTCCTGTCTGAGATACACGGTCATCAGTTATCGAATCCCGTAGGACTGGCACTGACCGACTTACCAGGGGGACGAACACATCGAGCGTGATGCAGAATATCTGAGTACCAACCATTAGAGGATTTAACTGGCCAATCAGATAGCTCCATAAAGAAATATCATCCTTCGAATTGGTTACGAAGGCATTGAGGACTAGTGCCGCGCAGTATCCAACACACGACAAGAAGTATAATGCCGATGAGCCGATACCGACGAATTGCAAGGCACACGTAAGGAACGATTGCAACAGCAACACCGATGAGAATACGGTTCGCTCTGGTACCCGACCTACGAGCAGCTGAGACGCAAGGCCCCCTAATCAAACATCGAACTGTCAGATGGATGGTCCGGACTGTGTTTTAATGATAACCTACCTGCAAGAGCCGCAGGTCCATACAGTGCAACGCAGGACCATTCCGAGGAGAACCAGCTCATTCCCTTGCCAAGAACCAGCCGCATGACGACAGCCACAACATTTGCACCAACGAGAGAGCCCACAAATGCGCTAGAGACAGCCAAGATACCTTTGGCGTGCTCACCCAGCAAGCCTTTTCCCTTCTTCAGGGCAGGAGCAGGGTCGACATACGTCACTTTGGCAAGAATGAGCGAGGTTACGAGCATGGCCAGGTATATGGTGTTAGCGGTGCGGAATGAATAGAGGTAGAAATATCCGAGGTACTGGAAGAAGACCGTCGTTGGACGGGTGTAGCCTTCTGTTAAGGTGGGAAGAGGAGACTCCGGGGAAGAGAGATACAGAAGCAGCGCAAGGACGTTCTCTCCCATGTGCTAAGTATCCATGTCAACTCAGAAACAGATGACAGCGTACAGCATTAGATACCTGAGTAACACCAGGCTCTATGTTCTCTACCAAATCCTGGTGTGACTTTGTCAATCTACCGACCAACGGAAAGAGGTCGGCATAGAGGCGAAGAGACGTACGTTGCGCATGTGATAGAGGTAACTGTTGCTGACAATGGCTATCTGTGATTTGCTCAGTGATACCAAGGCAGCTGGAAGAATAAATTCACTCACATCTAAACCAGTAACATTCAAGTACTGCTCAAACTGTCGGAAGTCTGTACTGTAGTGTGGGAATGCTTAATTTGTAGTTGCGACTATCCGCTCCTTCGCAGCAAGAGGGCTAACAGGATACTCACTCGGATAGAATTATTCCGGAGCTGAAGACTTCGCTTGCAATAATGGTGCCAAATGGTCTGAAGACAAAATGAGGAACATGACCGCGACACCTGATTGGCATATCACCTTGGTACGTAGGAGTACGCCCGTATCATCTGCTCTGAGGTCGCTTGGAAAAGCATCTCTTGGCCAGTTGTACCAGCAGCTGCGAAAATAGTCAGCGGCACGGCTGGCGCATGCGGACTAAATGGCAAAGCACCTTCAAGATTGATAAATGCCCGAACGCTAGCAGAGACGCAGTTGAGCATTCGGAATACAACAACGATTTCATGGAGCCCACTGACGTCTTAGCGACGGGATGCTGAGTAGCGAATAGATGCGATCCATCCTGCAAGCTCTCCTCTGCATTGTTGAACACTACGATAGTCCGAACAATCAACGGAGGTGTGACAAAGGGCTGATCGCTACGCACAAAATATGATGGCGTGTTTGGGCTCCCAATCTGGGGTGTTCACTAGCACACGCACGCACTCCATCATAATACCTACAGAAATCGCATCGTCCGCACCGCCAGGAGAAGGCAGAGTGCTGTCGACGTGCGAATTCACCAGGACGGCATGTTCTTTCCCAGCAGGAGTCCCGTCCGAGACACGGATTATTACGTTAGTAAGGTCTACATACGTCTTGTACAATCGCCTGCCCATCATATCAAACCTAATAGAACTTTCAGTTCTGTGCGTACACGCGGGAAACATGGTGACCTGTGCTGGCACTCGTCAAGCCTGGCCGGCATACCTGCGCAACATTTCTACTGGCTGTAAACAGCAGAAAGTTTATGAGAGACTCCAACAGGCCGAGACGGGAAGCAAGACAGGTCACACAAGTAGGGAGGAAATTGAGCACACACCGGTGACTCCCGCTGCCCTGTTGGTGCCAAACCTCACATTGAAGTCTTCGCCCAGGGTGCACGCGGAGCACCTCCTCGCATTGCGCGTGCAGCAACTCAGCCTGTTGCAGCATCCACGCGTCCCCGAGTGCATGTTCACGCGTGCCGACAGTGCGGTAGCCTATGTCCTCCGAAAGATATTTCGCGTGTGCAAGGGCATTCGCCTCGGATATCTGAGGTAGACCAGTAATGGGGTTTACTCTGGAGCGCGTCGTTACCTGTGCAGAGATTCAAGCACTAGCTCACGTACGGGTCGGTGATCGGCTCGGGGAGAGCTGCAGAAAGAGGTCATTGCCATAAGTGCGGCCCCATGCAGAGGGCGCAGCACTGACCGTAGTTGAGCTTGAAGGAATAAAATGGAACAAGAAGAAGAGGTGCAAGACATAAGAGTGAGCGAACGGGTCCCCAGCGTGGGCGAGGGCCCAGTGGTGTGCTCATGGTGGTTGGCAGGCAAGTCCAGACTACGGAAACATTCGCAAAACCGCATTTCGGATGCACATATTACATATACATCATGGTATCATACGTTTTCTCAGGGTATATATCGAATGGTGGAGAACAACCAACCGGAATCGCGTTGTGACAAATTCACTGCGAGACTAATGCAAGACAATTTCGCCACCTCACTCCACCTTCCCGAAGCCATGTTGTGATAAACATTGAGTGTGTAAAACACGCCGAAATCTCGTTCTCCCGGAAAAACGTGATGGAATCTTGTCAGGCGTCCCCGTCTTCCGCACCACCTCCCCTCCTTCTTCGGCTCTTCACCGCTTCTCTGTGGCGTCTCTTCCACCCGCTCGTGAGCTCTCCACGCGTCTCTTCCCACCGTTTGTGGATTTCTTCCGCCGAATCGGTGCGGTAAAACCACGTGCGCCAATTCGTCGCGTCAAACGCGTCGCCTGTCCGCCCTCGGGCACGATCGCGCTCGTCCAGCGGGAAAGGGAAGAAGAGCGGTCGCCTGGTATCGAACACGGACTGCGCCCCAGCAGCTGGTGACACGGTCGCAACAGGTTGGGGAACTGGCCGTGCTTGTGGTTCTGCAGTGAGCTGCAGATCGACTTCGTCATCCAGCTCGAGATCGAGGTCGAGATGACCCAGTAGCGAGAAGCCGGCTGAAAGGGAGTACAATATAAGATATATCATCATAGTAGTCTTACGGCGCATACCATCTTCTTCGCGAGGCGCGAACAGATCTTTAAGCTTCGCACTCTGCGCTGACACAGGAGTAGGCAGTTCTTCGTGCGGTTGCACGCGTTCTACACGGAATGAAACTGCCTTGTCCACATGCATGTGGTTTTCCTCAATGTCTTCAGCTTGCATGTCCGCAGGGCGGGCATGGTCATCTAGATCGCCATCAGAATCGACACTTTCCTGATCGCCCCATTCGTCGTCTCCTCGGCCACCGAAAAGCACCTGGAGTAACCCGAGCGACTTCTTCGTTTCTTGCACCAAATCGTTTTCATCTCCCACATTTGCGCGCGTCTTTTGTGCTGCGGGCTTCGGAGAGAAGGGTGGCGATAGAGTTGCTTCCTGCAGAAGGCTCGGTGGATACTCTTCAGCACCCATCACCTCATCCCCACTGTCTGTTTCATCATCATCATCATCACTCTCCTCATCATTGCTGCTCTCTTCCAGTCCTCGTTCGGTCTCACGTAGAGCTGGGGGCCGCTGCCCTACGTCGAGGGTCGCCCCAGTGTCTAGGAACACGCCCTTGAGGTGCAGCGAACCCCACTTCGTCGGATCAATTGTACGCCTCCTTGCGCGCGTCGGCGGGTTCTTCACGCGTTTCTTCTGTGTCCGTTCCTTCTGCGGTTTTCTACCTTTCTCTGCAGACACTATTTTAGGTAGTTGGTCCGGTAGGGGATGCTCTGGCCGCATTCTGATGGGCCGGATGAGCCGGCCGAGGGATGTAACTCGCCAGCCTGGGCGAGACGCTGCATTCCCTGGAGTGACGAGGGACATGTCTTGCGCATGAACACCATGCACGCCACGCGGCAGGCGGCGACGCTTGTGGGGAGGTCCCGCAGGCGAGTCTGACGCCGCACGCTTGAGGGTCTCGTTCTCCTTCAGGATTCTGCGTATATTTAGCTCATAAATTGTGCAGTACGGCGCATCTACGCACCTCTCGCGGAAGTCTAGTTTCGCCTCACCGATGCGCAACTTCGTGCCTTTCCAGGTGACACCACTGAGTGTATTCATACCTTGTTACGCGCGACCGAAACAGTTCGTCAAAATGCTTCACAGCCACGCTTGGAAAAAGCTCACATCTAGCTAGCTTGGGCTTTGTCGTCTCCAGAGTCACGTAGCCGAATTTGCGAGGCAGGCCAACGGCATCCAACACACCGAAACCATCCACGGCCTTAACGGCCCCGAACGACGATAAACGCTGTGTGAGGTCGGCGGGTGTGATGGCGGGTGTGAGCCCAGAAACATGGAGTCGTTTGACGATCGGTTCATCCATTCAGCGGGTCTTTGAAGATTCAAAATTTTGTACGGCCAGCACTATGTAAGCACGTCGACAAAATCACTCAGATATCTCCAGTGGTCACAGTATTAGGTTGAGCCCAAGTCATACTTCGTCTCTCGCGCCGCAAGGGGTAATAATTTATTATGCACCGGCAAAATCAACTAATCACTGGATGCAATTTCTAATAACTTGGGAAGACTATGCAAAAGTTATTTGAAAGATAGAGTGAATAAATTTAGTGTAAGTTGCACCGCTTAGGAGAGACTTATCTGAAAGTTATCCTAGAAATGGAAAACTTATTATGAAGTTATTTCTACTTTAGGATAGGTTTCAAATAACTTTCAGATAAGTCCCTTGTGAGCCATGCCACTTACACTAAACTTATTCACTCTATCTTTCAAATAACATTTACATACTCTCGCCAACTTATTGGAAATTGCATCCAGTGAATCTGGGCGGGGACTACATAATTTCGTCGCGTTTCACTAGGTGGGTGCAGCGAGTCGACGAGGATGAAGAGCACAATAAGTTAATACATCGTCGACACACTCACTATAACCGTGATACATATCTAATAGCTAGCCTAACATCCGAGCATGTCTATCTTCCCTGAATCGAATCTATAAACTCTGCCGAATCCAGGATCTGGAAATGATTATAGTGGGTCGTAATGATCCGCGCTTCAGGGAACACCTGGCAGAGGCCATATGACTCCCAACCCATCCTCTGGGATACAGGGATGAAGGAAAGGTACCCGTTCGTCGCAATGTATGCTGTAATCGGCGCATCGACGGAGCCCATCCACTCCGCAAGAGCTTCGCGCATCGCGACAATCGTGAGAGGCTCGTCAGGAGGCAGTAAGCTCAAAATGAACTCGTAGATGCCCGTGTTGAGGCTCTTGAAGGTGGCATACCAGCCCCGCACATGAGGTGGTCCGTCCAGGCCGTTCGCGGTATCCTCCCAGTCCTGCGCAGCTTTATGGCGCACGGGAGAGTCGTCTGCTCTGTACAGCTCGAGCATTGAATCGAGCAAGCGCCGTATCATGGCTGGGCCCGGAGACCGCATTGACACTGTTTCTTCGTCAGGCTCGATCAACGGAGACACAAATAAGAGAGGAGAATGGTCCAAGAAACACAGCTCCCCGACAGTGTCGCCGCTTTCTTCGATTAGGTGTGCCATCATGAGAGCAATTGTAGAGCTAGCGCAGAAGGCCCCGATGCGATACGGCCCTTTTGGCTGAGCCTCTCTGACCTGCTCAAGGTAAAACGCGGCCCACGCCTTAATCGAGTGCGTAGGGGTATCCGGCGTCGTCTGCAGGGCCCACAACGACGTGGAGAACTTCTCCTGGATGGAGATGAATGGAAGGATGCTACCGCTTGCGCCGTGAATGAGGATAAGCGGGGTGTCTCCGAGGTCAACGAGCTTAACCAGTGCCTGTCCTTCCTTGTGCAGCATGTCATCCCACTTGTAGAACGTCCCTACAGGAGCGGCTTGTGCAGGAGCCACACTCTGCTTTGAAGCCTCAGCCAGACGCTCAATGTCCGATAGGCTCAAGTTGTTGAGCAATTGCATCTGGGATATCACGAGGAATGGTCGGAGTGCGAACGCCAGGCGTCCTGCACCTAAAGAGTCCATGCCGTAAGAAGTGAAGGGAACATCGGGTGAAAAGTCTGTAGGAATCCGGTCGAGCGATTGCAAGACGACGGTGCGGAGGGTATCGCGAGTGTTCTCAGGTGACAGCGAAGGCTGCGGCGACGGACTGATTTTCATAACTTCTTTTGAGCGCGCGCGCATCTTAGAGCCGACACCGTCGAGACGCTTGCGCCATGGCCCACATTGCTTCTGCAAAGTACGAGAGTGTCCTGGACGGTACGGAATGTACTCTTTCATAAACGGATATGAGGGCAAGTTGAGAGAAGGAGAGTTAGCCGCCTGCGAATTTAGTTTGTGGAAATCGACGGAGTCGTGCCCCAACACGATCAGCTGACCCAGGGCAGACAACAGCATTGTTTCCTCCTGGCACTGCTCCAGCTCCCTTGTACGACGCATGGGACAGACGACGGATGTGATGGGAGCGCCCAATTCCTGCAGGTACAGCGACAGTACCGGGTGGGGGCTGACCTCCACGAACGATGAGGTAGGAAAGGTAGTAATGATGCCAATGATCGCCTGTGCAAATTGGACAGGGCTTCTGCAGTTGAGCCAAAAATATTCTTCGGTGAAGCAGTCGAGGACTGCTCCCATGGTGGCCGAGTACGTGGCGATGGCCGGCTTGTGCGCACCTGGATATCGGGCGAACACGTCGGCGACCAACGAACGATACTTATCCTCGCATACGTCGACAAGGCTCGAATGGATTGCAGCATCAGTCTGAAGCCTGCGAGCAAACAGCCCACGGGCATTGGCTACTTCGACCGCGTTCTCCACAAGATGCACGTGTCCAGCAACAGCGACCGCGCAGGGAGAATTAAAACCAGCAATCTCCAGCACTCCCCAGTCCCCGACGGACTTGCGGACGTCTTTAATGACATCGCGGGCTTGCTCGGGAGTGCATGCGAGTGCGGCCATCGTACCATCCTCCACCTCCACCAGTGTCAATGCACGGCCCTGAGCAATTGCCAGCTCTATCGCCATGCTCTTAGAGCCGGCGCCAGAGGCATACAGCAGCGGCGTCTCTCCCACGGAGTGGCCAACAAGAACGTCCGGACGGAGACCGAGGCTGCAGAGCAGATCAAACAGAGCGATCTGGAGCATCGTGAGCGTGGGGTATATTGTGGAGATTGGCCACGTTGAGGGCAGGGCTTCCGCCGCACCGACGTCCGCGAAGAGGCCCGTCTGATCTATTAATGAGATGCCGGTAATCTCTCTATGGCATTGATCTAACTCTAGGATTGTATCACGGAAGACTTTGAACCTCTGGAAGAGTTGACGTCCCACTAACGTCCAGCTGTCAGGTAAAGCACGACAGAAACATATACGTAGACCAACTTACTGTTAATATGTTGAGGTCCTTGGCCTGAAAAGACAAACACGATCGGCGGAGAAATCTGGGGGGAAAGCGAGGGCGAAGGAAATCTGATCGACGACGGTTGCGGCCCGGCCTGCGCAACCGCAAACGTCCGCCACGTCATCTGCCTGGCACGCCGACCATACACAGTAGAGGTCGACGCCAACTCGTGTGGATGAGAATCCGCCAATGCGGCTAACGAATCGGCAACAGCTCTTGCAGACCTCGGCGAAAGGCCTCCAGCGACAAACAACACAGGTCCAGTAACATTCGTCGCTTCCTCGCTGGCATGTTTTGGCGCCACACTCTGCAGAACGACGTGGCCGTTACTACCCCCGATGCTGTAGCTCGACATTGAAATTAGGAGCTTTCCAGAAGCCGAGCGGGCAGTGACGGGCGTCGGCTCCGTAGGCACACGGAGCTTGTATTGGTCCCATGGGATATTGGGGTGGCGTGCGACGAGGTTAACATTGGGGGGCACTAAACCTGTCTCGAGGATGGAGCAAACTTTGCACAACGACGCTAAGAATGCCGCGACATGCAGGTGCCTGGTTGTTGATGAGTAAATGTACGATGATCAAGATAGCATGAGATGAGGCAACTTACCCAATATTACCCTTCACGCTGCCAACGAGCAGGTTCTCGTCTCTCCCAAATTGTTCGCCGACCCAAGTGCTCTCGACGAGGTCGTCGGGAGTTCCTGTTATTACGTAAGAAATAATAAGTTTAAATAACAAAAATAGTTCGTATTGACAAACCCATCGCGTGCATCTCGACATAGTCGACGTCTTGCGGATCGCAAGCGGTGCCCTGATATGCCCGACGCATGGCGTTCACCTGCGCGTTGGCACTGAGGGTATCATCGAGCGCCGCCGCGCCCGATGCGGCCACGCCGGTTCCCAGGATCTGGACGGCGGGTCAACTTGGGAAGTGAGAGCCGGCGGGACTAATACTCACATTCCCATAAACGTAGTCACCGTCGCGAACAGCATCGTCGTAAGGCTTCAGCACAATGGCCACCGCGCCTTCGCCCTTCACGAACCTAAACACAACATGGCATGATCAGTGTCAATTCATCTCGAATTTATAAAAAATATAAAAGACAACATACCCGTCCGCGGAAGCATCAAATGGCTTACACTTCCTGTCTTCCGCCAGAAAGTCTTCGGGGAAGTGCACGAAGTCGGCCAACCTGCACGATGATCAGCGCGCCTATCTCGATTACATAACAAGGCGAGGTACCTGAGGTTCAGCTGGCACCCCGCGACGACAGCAGCTTCACATTCACCGGCACGGAGCGCCTGCACGGCGAAGTGCAGTGCAAGCATACTGGAACTGCATGTCGCATCTAGGGGGATTGCTGGTCCACGCAGGTCCAGATGCGCAGAAATTGCGTTGGCAATCATGCACGACACGGCGGGCAGGGGCCGGACTGCGCCAGAGCTGGAATCCAACAAGTCCTGCCACTCATCGTCAGCAGTGCCACAACAGAAATGTGATAGGACGCCGACGCACCGGATCTAACGGCGAATCTTGGGCGGTCCCGGCGGCAAAGCAGGCGACGTTGCGACCGCGGTAGGCAATACCGGCATCGAGGAGGGAGAGGAAGGCGAGCTCGATAAGCTTGCGCGTGCTGAGCGCCATCGCACGCGCGTCTTCGGCGGAGACGGAGAACTCGGCATGGTCGAAGAACGCAATGTCTTTGAGGAACGTGCCGCGAGTGTTCAGTACACCGTCCGCCAATCTGAGCCACGAAACCAAGGTCAGAATTTCGAAGGTTGGTTGAAGGCGAAGTGGAAGGCGAGATGGGAGAATGCGAGTCAGAATATAGAAGCCGGCATCGTCGTGCCAAAGAAGGAGCTTGCTCACGAATCTATAGTGAAGCGGTCCTTCGGGATGTCTTCGTATGCTTCTTCCTTATTCAAAAGGAATTCGCGGAGGCTCTTGTAATCTAGGTTGCTCTGGGAAAGACTTCCACCAGGTAGATCCGCAGAGATGCCAACCTGGGCGATCGCAGACACAGCGACGATCGTGATAGAAGTGAGAAGGTTATCTGTGGTGCACACGCGTAAGGTAAGCGTACTATGGCGATGGCCCGCTTCTCGAGCGAGTAAGACTGGGAGCCGGTGGACATGACGAAGGTCCCAAGGAGGAGGAATAATGATGGCGCGATCCATCGCCGTACCTTCCTTTATACGCAACCCGTGTATCGGAGTGTGGGGCATCTGCATGAGAGCAGACCGGATGAATTAGGCGAGCATCAGAAATGGGTTCAACGCAAGTTCTCTAAACCGCGATCCGTGAATCAGGGGAGGTAACAGAGGTCCGTGCTTCACGCAGGGCCTCCCACCCCATCCCACTCTGAATATCCCGCGCTAGCTTGTTTAGGACATTTACGATATGATACCTGCCCTCGCCTAGGAGTAGGACATGTACTACATGACGGTGTCGCCTCTGTCAGGAGGAGCTGATAAGCCCTCGAGCACACGGCGCACAATCAAGAACACCCCGAGGGAGATTGACGTAGACATGACGGGTGCTCCCAAGGCCGGATGAAGCCACATGAAATGACAGACGCGACTAGAGGAGCCTGCCTGCGTGCATTGGCTGCAGTAAACCCAAATGTGCACACGATCTGCTAAAAATGAACGATTTCTACTGAAAAATGGACACTGAAAACTCAAAAGTTTCAGAGATACGATTGCATTGTCATCGCGAGAGCAAAGTACGTACTTGTTCGAAGTGAACTGATACGCTCCGAGAAGTGCAGATACTGCGCGCCGACGCTGGTGATGTGGCAAGGTCTGGTAGAAGGGCAGAGACTAGAAGCTAGTCTCGTACCCAGGGGTCCATCGAATCTCCCTCAGGGGATTGGGTAGCTTTCTGGGTACGAGACTAGGGAGGTCTTCTTTCGCTTGACAACCGGGTCGGGTTCACGATGGACGTGGGATGGCTAGAACACAAATGGTATCAAGATGACTTCAAAAGAATGAGTAAAAGTGTCAAGAAGACTGCTGTCGCTCCGAGCACAGCGAAAGATCGATGGATCGGACTGAGGCCATGACACATTTCGGAAGTGGAAACGTACTTACTTACTCTTGCAAGGACATTGAGGCGTTGTAAATGACCGCGTCTTGATAGTTCGACCGGCCACTCCAGGGGACTTTGCGTCAGATGAATATTTGAGTGGAAACACACGCCTGTCCCACCTCCAAACCTGTAGCGATGGGTGCCGGTGCGGCGCGTACGACCCTCGTGAGTCGCATCGCCGACTCCGACACACTCTGGAGTGATTTCCAAAACCATAGGGAAAGGTGCAATTTAGGTTTTCGGATTATTTTGAGACAAATATGGCCGATAAGGGTTAAGTAACCGACCGGTTATCCGGAGCCAATGAGAAAATAAGATGATCGGGAGGCAGGAGCCAATGAGATCAGTGATGGATTAACAATATCCGACAAGATTGTTGACAGTCGGAGCGCCCGAACGTCAAGCAGTGAGGAAGGACGCGGCTCTTGTGTGCACCTCCCACCTGACTTCATGACTAAATTCTGCACGGCACGCGTACGATATGTTTCGCAGTGCGGCTGTTTGCTGTCGCAGGCTGTCAGCACACCCGACTGCGACATACCTGGTCCATTCTCCTCATGTCCTCCCAACCCCTCCACCGAGCCCCAGGGTCAATGAGCAGCGATACCTCTCCCAAAGCAGAGACCGAAGATGTTTCCAAGGAAGAGGGAAAGACCATAGCCGACGTCGAGGTCGATACGTCGACTCCGAGTGCCGAACAGGCGGCCCTCGACCAGCCCCCCGACGGCGGCCTTCACGCCTGGATGACCGTCGCCGCCACTTGGCTTATTAGTTTCATGAGTTTCGGCATCGCCACCTTCTGGGGTGTCTTCCAGGATGCCTACACCGCCAATGCCAATTCCCGCTTTCACAACGTCGGCTTGTTCAGGCTCGGCTTCGTCGGTGGATGCGGCATGGGCTTTGGCTTCTCCGTCGGTCCTTTCTCCAACATCATTATCACCAAGTTCGGTGTTCATGCGTCCATTCTCCTCGGTGTGATCCTGATCTCCGTCGCCTTCGAGTTGGCATCCATCTCGACCCAGTACTGGCAGCTCCTGCTCTCACAAGGAATAATGTTTGGGTCAGTATATGCACGCGCAGAGTCGATCACTCTCACCTGAACATGTCTTGCTAGTATCGGAATTTCCTTCTGCTGGATCCCCGCAATCTCACTGCCATCGCAGTGGTTTGCTAAGCGACGCAGTCTCGCGACAGGGATAGCAAGTGTGAGTTCTCCCTAGCATCAGGCTCGTAGATTTCTTCTGAACCTGCCTGGTTGTAGTCCGGAACCGGTATCAGTGCAGTCGTCCTCTCACCCGTAGTACAGGTTATTATCGACCGCGCCTCGATACCTTGGGCCCTGCGCTTCATCGGGTTTCTGACTTTTGCTTGCGGTCTCGCGGGAGTTGCACTCGTGCGCCAGCGCCCGGTCGCCAAGAAGTTCGTGCAGTACAAGGTCTTCGACCTGTCCGTGCTGAAGGTCCCCGGGTATCCGCTCTACCTCGTCTTCTGCTTCATGCAGTTCTTCGGCTACGTCACTCCGCTATTCTTCATTCCCAGTGAGTCGCCCGCCACCCAGCCGAGCGGTCCGCTAACTCCCCTTGCTTGGTGTAAGGCTACTGCACTGCGATCGGCCTGTCGGCGACCAAAGCGTCTGGAGTCCTGTCTGTGACCACGGCATGCAACTCGATCGGCCGGATTATTGCCGGCCAAATGGCAGACCTCGTCGGACCTATCAACGTCCTCATCGTGTTCCACATCATGACCGGCCTCATGTGCATCTTCATCTGGCTTTTCGCGAAGAGCCTCGGGGTTATAATGGTGTTCGCTATCCTGTGGGGCCTTTGGAGCGGACGTAAGTGCACACTGACTTATCGTTCCCTGATAGCGGCATGCTAACGCTCAACCTCCCGTTTTCCAGCGTACTGGCCGCTGTCCGTCCCGACTGCCGCCAAGATCGTCGGTAAGTCCCAGCTCCGTTATCCAATTTATGTGCCCCTGGTGCTGACTTATCTGTCTTTGCACATAGGCATGGAGAAGCTCGGTTCAGCGGCGGCAATCCAGTTCCTGATGAACGTCATCCCACCCATCTTCGCTGTGCCCATCGGGTCGAAAATCATCTCAGACACGGCAGCGAGTATGGGAGTGAGCGCAGACTCGGGCGACGCGTATCGCTACCTCATTGTGTGGTGCGCGCTTATGCCCATCGCGTCCGCGCTGGTGCTCGTGCCCGTGCGCCTTGTATTTAGCAAAAGGCTTTTAGCGAAGGTGTAGCGGGTAGTTAATGTAGAACGGATTGGAATGGAGCCCTGGATTGAGTATAGTACTCACTTGTAAAGTAATGTCCTCGCAATTGCACCGATCTCCTCTAGAGTTTTGAGCACGCCTGCCCGCCGCTCGGGCCAGCGAGTAGATCGAGCGTCGAGATCGTCAGCGTCTTGCGCAACGCACGTGATGCCCGCTGTTGTCCGACACTTCGCTGTCGACGACGACAGGCCTCTTCAGAGTCGCACTCCCGAATCTTTGTCCAGTCTTGAACTCGTCGCTGCATGTCGTCCATGCATGTTCTGAACATACCTGCGAGTACGAACTCCGCGCGGATATATATCCAGCGTAGCCTATGTTGCGCCATCGCGCTGGCATATTGCTAGTCGTCCCGGGCCCGGCCGTGTTGCGCCATCGCTGCAGGCCAGCACGCCACTCCGAGTCTCCCTCCCGGTCTCGGTGGATCTGCACGATCCTGGTGGCACCGGCCAATTGCGCGAGATCTCTTGAACATAGTCACCGATGCGGTGGTACGTACGTTAGATCGGGCTGTTGATCCCGCGAAGCTTTTGGCAGGCGTTGAGTAGTTCGTCGTGCACCGCTGCCGGGTGGGCGCCTAATGCGCTCTCTGACGGTGCCCGACGCCCTGCGCCACTGCTCTTGTTTGGGACGTGGCGGGACTGAGGCCTGATGCCTTACTCAGGGTGTCTGTGCCTGCTTGACATCAGGCTTCTATGCACTTGCTTTTGTGATTGACATGTCGAATTCGGAAATCGGAAATCGAGTCGGGAGGGCCGGGGCATCGATGCTGCGCTATTCCCGTTGACGGTGCAAAGGTCCGGAGAGTCATGCAAACACAAGGCTAACGTTCATCGATAGGCCACCCGTTGAACAGCTTTGTCTTGGCGGGCTTTCCGACTGCCTAACTGCCTAGCAGCCAGGTAAGGCGCGGCCGAGCAGGGGCTGGGGCCTTAGTCCTTCGACACCATGTGGGCTTCCACTTCTCGAGTTGATACGATCTAACGCCTTGACACTGGTCGTCCAGTATCACCGCGTGCTTTACTAATACTACGTCTCTCACTGGTTCAGCACGCCATCATGTACACGCTCTAGAGTGTCCTAATTACTAGAGACCGTTTGAAGTCCGTCACTACAACCGTGTTTGAAGCAGCATGTATACAGTCACCCCATGACCATCCACGGTTGCCTTTGTGGAGCAACCTAATTTTCGCTTCTTACATGCTGTGAGAATGATGCGACTGCAGTCTCCTCCCGACTCTACTCGTTACCCTCGGGGCGCACATTCAAACACCAGGTGCTACGTCAGGGCGGACGGGTCGATGCTTCCACTATTAATGTGATAAACACTGAATCCTGGGCACGACTCTTGTCGCGGCGTAAGTCATACCTCCGGCCGCCGCCATCAATTACTCATTGTTCAGTCTCCTCTAAACATGTCGCACTGATAACCTCGCGTAGACGCCACTGTGCATGTGTTCCGTTCGGCGTCGCCAGTGACATCTTGTGCTGACGCCTGCACTCGCACCAATGATCGGTGTGGGGCTAGGCGAGGGTTTTGACGTCCACTAGAAAGATTTCCGTCCGGCAGTGTGACGCTACGGCACCCCCGAGCTCTGCACGGAATACGACCGGTCGCTCACGTGCCTCACCAAGACCAATGGATATCTCGTCACCTCGCAGTGGCGGTGAGGGCACCCAAACGAGGCGACGCCGCAGATGGCTCTAGCGATGTTGCATGGTTTGGTCATCGCAAAGGTTATTCGTAGCGTGCTTTTGGACTCAGAAGTACGTGATCGTTTAGCTAGCGCTGATCGTAGGTCTCAAACCATCACAATCATGCACGCCCCTCTGACTCTAGGACAGGATTCGTTGCACGGCCTTTCCGACATTGGCATTACTATGGTCGCACGTTTGATGTGGGACGAACCCTGTAGGTTGCAACCTTCCGAGCCCCACGCAAGGCACATTCGCCGTGAGTATGTGATGCATATCAGTCCCCACTCTCTGCTGCCCAAGATCTGGATGCCAGACCTCCGACCGGATAAGCCCCAACGCGAGAGTCTGCTTCGGGTAGAAGCTCTGCGCCCGCTTCCACCTAAGGCCGCTCAAAGTCCCCGTCCATTCGTGCATGTAGCGTCCTCAAGCCTTTCCCTCCGCATGCGCACTTCCCTGCGACTGTCGCGGTGCTGTCAGAGTGAGACGGGATCTCCCTCATGGACCCCACGACCTCCCCACGGATGCTGCCTCGTGCCAGGAGCCTCTGGGGCACGACACACCGGCATGAAATCCTGTCGGGAGCGATGTCAGTGCTGGGACGCTTCTCCCGTAGAGATGCGCTAGAACTTCCCTCCGTCTGCTGCGCCGTCCGGAATGTAGAACAGTCGCACGATCAGCTCTCCTATCCGAGTCTTGCGGAGTGCAGCTCACACCGCTCTCCATGCGAGACGTGGTGCCAATGCGACAAGCGATGCGTATATTATGGATCGTCCCGAAATCTGACTGAACATTTATCTTGTCAGGTTCACACGTGTATTTCAGAGCGCAATGAGTCTGCTTGACCTGCGTTGACCCCGGTGGGCCCATCAGCACATTGATCTTTGGAAACGCCTTAAGCCCCTTCGCCGGATCTCGTAGAATTCTAATGCTCCATCTCACATCCTTCCGGTCCGCCGGTGGGCATTCAGCGGATCTTTCGTGCTGGGCCTTATCTGAGCGAAAGTATTTTCTCAGCATCAGCCCCAATTCCGAATGACCTACCGATTTCCGAATTTGCTGCGGATTCACTCTCGCGCCCGCGACACAATGACATCTTCTCCCGCTCCGCCTGCAGACGCTGAGTACTGCTATGTGACTTAGCGGTGAAACACATTTGTGCACGTAAGTCCCTTAGGTTTGCGGAGGATTAAAATAAACATTCTACGTATTTATGGAGTTACAGTTATCCTGCAAAATAATTTCCGAAGGTAATTACATATCATCGTAGACCAGCTCGTCAATCATCAAGACTGTAGCGAGTGCTGAAGACGCCAGTTTCAATAGCTTTGATTTCTGTCCATCCATGTGTCAGCAAGGGCCATGAGATTGAAGCATACAACATACGCAGGGCGAGATGCTTGGAGTGGAATCGAGTCATAACAAGACTGCCTGTTGAACCCACGATCCCTGTAATCAGCCGAGAATACAGACTGACATGGTCGACACGTACCCATGGCATACCACAGCCCAGGGATGCCCAGATCGCGATAGCTGCCTCGCAGCTCCCCTTCCTCGTCGAGCCCCCAAATGGGCTTGCAGGCATTCGCTATCTCGTCACCACACACAGAACGGATTGAGTTCCTAGTGTCTCCGATACTGTTGTCGGTTCGAAGCTAAGTTAATTCGACGTGCAGTGGAAAACACAGATGCTCTGCCTTACCCAGTAGCACAGATGACGACGTCGGCGGACAGCTCAGACCCATCGTCGAACATGAGCCCGGTTTCGGTGAAACGTTCGATCATGCAGCCGTTCTTGATCTTGATTTTCCCGTCGATGATTAACTGGCTAGCACCAGTGTCTGCGAGGCCATGAACAGCGTACGTCTCACAGCATGATGGCGAACTTACCGAAGTAGTGGCCTCCGCCTTTGGTCTTGAGCAGGACATGGATACCAGCATCCTTCTCTCCTAGGTTCAGCTTGAACCCTACGGCCTGCAGCTTGTCACGCAACTCCCTATGAGAAGAGAAGTAAGAATACAACTTCCGAAGTACGAAGGGGCACCTACTTGTCGGCTTCCGCGATGAGTTTCGCTGCACGTTGAGCAGGCCCGTTCTCTTGGTAGAGATGGGGAAGGGAATTCGCGAGTCTGTCAGCCACATCAATTGGTGGCGATCCCTCGGAGTAGAGTCCTATCACAGGTGAGTTCAAGGGTCAACAGAGAGCTCCTCCAAATATACACATCCGCTACTTACGTCCGCCGATATACTTCCACTGCTTATCCAGGTTCATGACATATGTGGCGCTTCGCTGGTACATCGTCACATCTGCAATTGCGGTTGACGAACACGGTTAGAAAGAGCAAATCGTATAATTGAATATAATTACCGATGTTGTCCGCAGCAAGATCTGCTGCGACATCATGAGCTGGTGACAGGCGTCAGCGATTGCAACCCTCACTCGCTTTCAGAAAGGAACCTACCAGAGTTACCTGCCCCAATCACGATGACCTTTTTGCCGCCGTAGCCAATGGAATTCTTGTAGTGGGACGAGTGCATTACCGTGCCCTTGAATCTCTCCTGCAAATTTCCGTCAGGAAGTCATCAACGCTCACGATGCGAAGCACGCACCTGCTGAGCGATTGCGGGCATATTAGGAGTAGCATCTCCAAGCCCGGTAGCAAACACTGCGTTTTACGATTTATCAGAGGGCGTTCACTCCGATTCGAAGGAAACCCACCGAGGTGGTTCACGTGGAAGGTACGCTCTGAACCATCTCCTCGTTTGACAACAACGGACCACCGCTTGTCAGGGCCTTGCGTGGCTTGCGTTGCAACGGTGGATGTCCACACATTCAACTCGAGTGCCTGTGCATAGGACTCCAGCCAATCGGCCATCTGATAATTGATTGGTACTCATGACTATATTGTTGACAGTGCGTTACATTACCTTCAGAGAGGGAGTGTACAAGGGCCATGTAGGAGGGAAGCTGTAGTCATGAAGCGTATATCAGGACCGAAGAGAGGTGCCGAGATAGATGATAGAGGTGAAACATACGGAATGTATGGCATGTGGTCATACCCTGTGAGCATGCGAAATGTCAATACATACGGAGGATAGGTCCGAAGCCATAACATACAAATTGGCCAATGCAAGCACAGTTTGTCGTACCGCTTGCGCCAGTTGTCGCCAATCCGATTGTGGGCTTCGACGACCAGAACCGGAACGTTCAAAAATTTCAGCCTGGCAGCAAGCTCCAGTCCATTTTGACCTCCTCCAATGACGAGCACGGTGGGATCATTTCCCTCAAACTCAAGTTCTTGACGGCGTTCTGCCGCCCACTGGGCACCTGGCTTAGAGCGACGGCTTCGGCGAAGGCCAATAGCTTCAGGATAATCCCTGAGATCCTCGAGATTCGTGAACATTGTATGCGCCTTCCATTCGCCGCTTGCTGTAGGAACCAGGTGGAAGACGCCACTGCCAATCCCAATGTCAGACTCGAAGCTGAACATGGCTACGATCCACCCGAGGTCGGGATACGGCTGCTCCAATTCAACGAACTCCTGGAGCTTGAACGCGTGCAGCTTCGCAGCCGGCAGACGATCAGTGAGGAACTGCTTAATTTTGGTTGCGCCATCGAAGGTGCGGAAATCCCAGGTGAGGACGAGGATGTCACGCCAATAGGCGTCTTCTACGAAGAGAGAGAGCGCCTCGTCGATGCTTCCGGATTCGACGTGAGATACGAAGGCCTCAAACCAGACCGAAGCGACTTTGCGGGCATCGAGATCGGGGGGAACGGAGGCTCCCAGCTTGTCGAGAGTAGGGATACGAGATGCTTGTGTAGCCATGACGTGCTAAAGATGGCTGTGAACGTTCTTAAGAGTCTTTGCACATATCGAAGCAGCAGCCATGCTTTTGGATGATTTGGAGAGACAGCAGAGGTCATGCTTATTTCGTCAATTCCACTGCTTCCACCGATGATTTCCGTGTGATCGCCTTTGAAACCTGTTTATTTCGAGCGTCAACGTCGACCTGCAACGCTGGCATGATTACAGGAAATTACGACAAGTCGGGTGACAGAGTTGATGGAGACGGTGCCACGAATGAATTCCAGGGGTGGGATGGGATATTGTTGGCGAATCCACGTGAAGATTCACAGGTGACAGATCTCAGTGCAGAGGTGGCACCGTAGAGTCGGAGCCTGAACTATTCTTACCCCATTTGGCACCATGCTTTCCTTTCCTGGGAATTACAGGGCGCTCCGACCCTGACGCGTTCGGCACCCGTCTTCGTTCCTCTCGGAGTCCTACGCACTACACGTCTTCAACAACGTATCTCAGATAATAGTTCCAGCGGCAATTTTACGTTTTGATGGACAATTCTGGGGTGAAATTATCTCTGGCTCCGGACAGGCCGCATCAACTGACTCTGCAACTCGAGTGGAAGACCCTGTGCTGCGCCGGGCGAGTTAGAATCTCAAGTCCATGTGCTCGATTTCTCATGCTAAATTTTTACCGCACCGTATAATTTTCATGACATATTTGAGACCACTTGTACGCCAGTGTCGGCAAAATCCCCCAATCCCAACCACTGAAGTTCCATAGTGTCTCGACATGACATCTCCCAAGTTCGGCCATGATATGCTCCAGTACTTTCTGCTCGATCCAAACTACACCAATGTGAATCATGGTGAGCATCTGTGTTCTCTATCTCGGCTGTCACTATCTCAATCCTCCTTCATCCTTAGGCTCTTTCGGGTCTCTACCCAAGCCCGTTTTCGATGCATGCAACGAACTATCTCTGGAATTGGAATCTAGTCCAGACCGCTTCCTACGTCTGAAATACGAACCACTTCTCAACGACGTACGAATGCAACTCGCACAGCTGCTTGGCACAGATACAGACGAGATAGTCCTTGTCCCCAATGTTGCCACAGGAATCAACACGGTCCTACGTAATTTTGAATGGAGCGAAGGCGATGTCTTGCTGACGAGTGTGTATCAACAATTTTTTATCTTCACTGTTGGCTCTCGTCTCTAACCACCTCGTGTCTCAGCAACAACCACCTTTGATTCAGTCTCTCGCGCCGTGAAGGATATCTCGCAGCGAACCCCCTGCCCAACCGTTTCTACCTTCCTTCTCCTTCTCCCTGATTCTCATGCTAACATCGTATCGAAATTCCGCGAGCATATGCGTGCTCTCAAGGATAGTTTGGCGCCGAATGCGAAGATCGTAGCGATCATAGACAGCATCGCTTCTTCCCCTGGTGTTCTCTTCCCCTGGAGGGAAATGGTGCAGGTTGCCAAAGAAGTGGGCGCGTTCACAATGGTCGACGGCGCTCACTCGATTGGTCAGGAAGTCGACTTGGAGCTTGGAAAAGCGGCTCCGGATTTCTGGGTTTCGGTCAGTGTCGACGTACACTAAGGTCTATTCCATGTCAGCTAATAACGGCTGTCTTAGAGTTTGCACAAGTGGCTCTACGCCAAACGCGGATGCGGCGTCCTCTATGTTCCCAAACGGTAATCTCTCGACGAGCTCTCTCCTAAGAATGAAGCATCTCACGTTCTATTTTGCAGCAACCAACATATTATCAAGAGCGCCCTCCCGACAGCATGTAACTACCTAGCTCTTACTGTAAACTTCATCGAATCGCCCTTCGTCGCGGAGTTCCTCTGTCGGTATTGCGGATGACTATGGCCCACCCGATATTGTTGGCTTACGAGGCTTGTTCCAGGGTTCGGAGCGGCAGAAGTGACTCCTGCTCTCAGTGTCCGTGCAGGCGAGTCCAGATTCTTGCATCGCATCGAGCAGAACTGATCTTCTGTCCGTTGATTAGCTTTGGACTTCAGGACTTCCCTGGGCGGAGAGAAAAAGATAAATGACTATTGTCATACTCTTGCTGTCGCCGCGGGAAAGGTACTAGCCACCATTCTTGGCACCCAGGTGATGGACTCGTCCGTGGAGGGAGAACTCATCCCAAACATGGTGAAATAAATCCCCGCGGCTGTAATTGTTTGTATGATTACTGACTCGTTTTGCAATGCAGGTGAATGTGGAACTCCCTCTGTCGGGCGACATCAAGCCTTCTCCCGTGATCGCGAAGATGTTCGTGGAGAAGCTGCTGTTGGAGCACAAGGTCTATGGCGGGCATTTCTACCACAATGGAAAGTGGTGGACCAGAGCCAGCGCACAGGTGTACAACGAGGTGCGTTTCTCCCAAATTCTGAGAGATTCGGTACTGACTGGTCATTTACGTGAATTTGCATCATTCAGCTTGGAGACTACGAGAAGCTCGGGGAAGCTCTAGTTGTTGTGTGTAAGGAAATTGCTGGAAGCCAAGATGTCCCCCTTTTGTGATTGCTTGAAACCGCATCAAACCTAGACGTATGTATGAGCATAATGCGATAGCAATTTGCCCTCCCGCAGCACAGGTAGTACGTGATCGCGATCTCTGAGGACTAGCCTAGTAGTCTCTTCAGGTTCTCTCTTCCGCATGTGTCTACAAGTATTGCGGCTAAACTCTGTCGAGCAGACCGCACCTGCCATATTTAGCATGTTGCCTACCTCTTTGGGAGTGCGTGCAAGCGCCCAGAGTCGTTATGACCATAATATTGAAATCACATCTGAAAGCTGCCTCCTGAAAATATTTGTTCATTCCAAATCAAACAGTTACGTCGCCACTATGCAACTCGACTCCGGTACGTGCCACACGTCGAGGGACATGGCCATCAATTCTCTGGCGAGCATACCGTCCTTGAGCCAATACAGCAGGCTTTCAGGATATCCATCACCATCCTCCCAATTTGCTTCGACGCGCGAGTCATTTCTGGGATCACGCTGTGCACGCTGGATGGAATTGATGCTGCTTGCACCCTATTTTGAGGATATAATCAGCATTTTCCATCGTGCTCGCGACCAGATCAATGCCGTACCTGTAACAGCTGTGCTGTAAAATATCGTCATCGTTGACTTTGGTGACATTAATCACGATATAGCGAAGTTGGTCTCAGTCAAAGCATGTCAGTAGGAAAGGGGGGCTTACCCTGGCCTTGTGCAGTTAAATCGGAGGAGGTTGTATAAAGGTCGAGGAAGGGAGCACTCACCTTATCTACGTACCAACTTCTTGGAGGTGTTGGACACCTTACGAAAACCATACTTCTGTATCGAAGGAGCTGTTCCATTAAGTTGGATGAATATGGCGCGACATGCTTGTCAGGACATGAGGCTCTCGCTCCTGACCTAACCACCAGAAACAAGCATGGCAGACACCTGTCAGTCAGACTCAATCTTAATTCAACTCATACGATATATACAGATCTACTAGTTGCGATGAAATATGTATAACTTCACGTAGATGAAACTGCAAATTGCCGCTCCGGTCCGGGAAGGCCGTTCGCCTCAACTTGACTTCCTCACTCTCTCAGAACTCAAACCGCGGTTACGCGCAATCGTGTGCAGACGATAGCTTGCTTCTTTTCTACTAGGCTGAAACCGTTAATTCCAACGGGCTCCTTTAGTGCATTGTGGAAGAGCCTCTAAGTCTCGCACCTCGAAGCTTGGCGACACGGCTCAGTCCTTGCCTGCGAGACCTGCCCTGCAATGAGACTACCTTGGGTGGTCCTGACACTCACACTCGCACCTTCAGTGGTGTCAGCAGCTCTCTTTCCTGCAGACGCGAAAGTCGAGATGCTTGACACAAAGAGTTTCAGGAAGGCTATGAAACAGAACGTACGTGATTTCTTGTAGAGCTTGCTCGCAACTTCCTTGCTCGTCGTCTTATTCAAGAGCCAATTCAACAAGAATCAGACATAGATGTCGTCCATAACGCTCTTGAATGAAACACTCCGACCTCCTCACCTAATTTATGCCAAATTTGTGCACAGTTGGTTGCTATCCTCTTCTTAATCCGGCCGCCTTTCCACGTTATGCATTCTCTTATGGGACAGCAAACTAACCGTCACCTCCGCTCCTTCTATCCACTTGAGGTTGCGTTCTGACCCTAGCCCTAATTGAAGGTGACTTCTGTGGTCGCGTTCGTTGCTCCCTGGTGTGGCGTAAGGATTCCTCCCTGGTCACAGACTTGATACTTATATTGTTATCCTGTAGCATTGCCAAAGAATGGCTCCCGAATTCAGCAAGGCGGCGGTCGTGCTCACCCCGATGGTCCCGCTCTACGCGGTCGACTGCGATAACGAGGCGAACAAGCGTCTGTGTGCAGAACAGGGCGTGCAGGGCTTCCCAACGGTCAAAGTAAATTTCTGCACCTTCTTTCCGATATGGCGAGCACTTACCTGCACCGTAGTTGTTCTCTCGTGGTGGGCAGTCAAGAGCCATTACCTTCGACTCAAACGAACGAACGTCGAAGTCGTTCTTCTACTGGGCATCAAAGAATATTCCACATGCTGTGAAACGACTGGATGCTGTCCCGAATATTCGGGGGTGGGTAGAGGATGTACGTCAGCTCCGCAGTCGCCCGCATCACCTGCTCTGACCATTGACTTCCACAGAACATCGCCAAGCCTCGCGCAATTCTCCTCAATCCAGGGAAAGAGATACCCCTGATGTGGAAGTCTCTGGGGAATAAGTACAAGCACGCGGTATCGTTTTCCATTCACCGCGACAAGACTGGGAAGAGCGCGATGAAGCTAGGAGCGGAAGACCATGCATCGAAAGCATCGCGGATCCTGATATAACCCCCGGGATCGACGGACTTCGTGCGCTATGACGGTAAGTCCTTACGTTCCACTCAACATCCGCGAACGTTGGCTAACGGTTGATTTAGGCACACCAAAATTCCAACAGGTTTCCAAATTCTTCGATTCCACAGTGGATGGCACGGCGGACTTTATGATACCCAAAAAAAGTGAAGCAGAGGAACCTACACCCGATGCCCAACCCGATCAATAGAGCTTTATGGGTAAATCTCAACGACGAAGTTCCCTTCGAAGCAGTGGAAGCTCCATCTTCCAAGGTCGAGCGCGAACCTACTCCGGCTGCTACACCAGTTGCAGAGTCTCCCCTCCCGAATGAACTCGCAAGTGAAGCGGAGATCGCGAGGAACGAACCTACAGAGTTACCTGTCGAGGATCATCCAGAGATCGAGATAACAATCGCGATCGAAGAGACGGTTACTACTGGCAGTGAATCCCGTGTGAAGGACGAACTGTAGTTATACGGAGTGTGAGCTGGCAAAATTGGACGGATTGATACAGGATGGACTCTGATGCATAATACAGGCCCTTTGTTACTGACAATTTTGACATATTGACAGCGGAAGGAATAAGTATAATCACGTACAAGTCTGCGACGGGTTCGAGCAGTGCTGCGAAAGATGTGATTTCTCTGGTAGCTCAACTGCGTGTGCTGTCATGCATATATTGCATACTTCCGAACGTACACGAACCCCCGCAGTACTCTTCGATACCGGCGAGCATTCTCTTCAGTTTACGCGCAAGACCTTAGACGCCCGAAGTCGTCGCCGGGCAGCAGCGCTCTGCACGAATAACAGATCCAGGCGGTCAGGCGGTTTGTAAATTGCCTCCAAACAAACATCGATAAGATTCAACTCGAAATCTCTCCACCGAACAAATTTGAATGTGACATACTGTGTGTGCCCTAATGGTGAGAAGATAGGCCCGGTGATTCAAGCTGACACTGATTGCAGGCTAGCCAAAGTCTTGTGCATAATGTGTCGCATAGCCGTGAGTGCACATTTTGTGATGACTCTTGGTCTCTCTAGTCAGACTAGGAGAGGACTATCCCAAGTGTCCAGAATACTAAAGTAATCGTCCGCTGCTCGAGACTTGTGCACGAAACGGACTTCAACGAAGGGGAGCCGTCGCCTCTTGCAGAACAAGTACTGACACGATTCCAAGAACACACAAACGTGCCGCTTAGAGTCTTCGAATTCTCTGTCGACGTTCGTCTTCTCTAAGACATCTGCTGCATGGTGGTGTCAGCGTGTTCCCTAGACGCCGGTTATATTCTTCCAAGTTCCCTGTGGAGGGATGTCTTGTCGCCTCCTCATCTACGTCGACCAATAACCTGATACACGTGGTTGCAGCTCGCACCATGGAGCCATCTCAGTCACCCCTCCCACGATGGGCGCAGCATCCGTTCGACAACCCTGTCGCGAACATCATCCTCCACTCCGACAACATCGACTTCTGCGTCCACAGCGTCATTTTGTCTGAAGCTTCAAGGACATGTTCAGCCTCCAGCAGCCCGTCGTCGACCATACCAAATGCAATGGCGGGGACAAGTACAGAGATGGCCGCACTGGATTGATATCGCAGAAGACAGCCAGATGCTGGATGGCCTTCTGCGTCTTGTCACACTGGATCCGGAGCTCACAGATCTGGCAGTGGTACGGCGTTTGTGGGAAGCTGCGTTGAAGTACCAGATGAAGGAGGCGAGTACGGCTCTCACCACGCGAGTGCTGAGGACGTTCGCACTCGCTGAGCCCTTGCGCATTTGGGCCATCGCGTGCCGGCTTCGTTTGGAAGAAGAAGCCCGGTATCGAACGCGCTCTGTCACTTTGCATGTGACTTGTAATAAACTCACTAATGAGAGTTATCCTGCCATGAACCACCATGTCAACCAGCGTGAGCGGCGTCAATCTGAACCTCTACGTTCTCTTCGTCATCACCTCTTTGCTTTCGACAACATATGCCTTTGACCTTTCCACCACAAGTCAAAAAGCTCATCTGATTGCGAAGCAGCACGACGAGGCATCCCTGGTTCCGGAGCGGAGCGAGGACATGGCTCTTTCGATTATGCACCCCAAACCAGACCGCCAGATGTCCGAAAGCGAACATGTGCTGACATTTCCGGGGTAGCGCGGATTGGGTGGAATCTGGAGCGGGCTTTCTGTTGCCACCTTTGCATTGAACTCGACTTCACATACCGGCCAGTTGTCTAACTCACCTCCACCGAGCAGCTCTTTGGGTGGCCGGTAATCTTCAGCATTCCAACTTCACTGTGCAACGCAAACATGCTTCCTTGTGGCACTGCTATCTTAGCCTCACATTCATTTTCGCATTGTTTGAATGAAGTACATAGTACATACTCATACATTCTTGTCTTCCAGCAACATATTCTGCAATCAATAATCATTGAACAAATCGGCAGGCTCACGACATCACCGGAGTAAGATCAATCTTCGCCCAAATTCTCCTGCTGTATAATCAGCTTCTTCGCCATCTCTGAGCGCGGTTGAAAGACACATTCAAACGGTTTTGGACGGCTGTGGGAGAGGCCCTGCTGTATCAGCGAGTCGCCGTGCCGCCTCCAGGTACTTAGGATGCGTACCTTGCCAGCCCGTCCGTCGTGAACACCACGTCCGGCTCGATGGCTTTTCCATCCTTGTCGACAGCCTTGCAAATATCGAAGGTCGCGAGAACAGTCGCGGCGACGATCCATGCGCTGTTGTCTGCGAAGTATCTTCCAGGACAGATTCTGCAGAGTCGGCGTGCGGAAAGTGACATATCTGCAGTGCATTAAGGATACATGGGCACATACCGCCGACCGAAACCGAAGACAGCGCCTAGATATGGCTCCCCGCGACCTGCGGGTGAGGGGAGGAAACGCTCGGGACAGAATGCCTCTGCGTCCTTGTACATCGTCTCGTCACGGCTCATTGCCCTGGGGTACCAGTTTACAACGATCAGGCTCAGATACACGGTACCGACCAGCGAAGACGGCACTCACATGACATTGGGGATTATGATCGAACCCCTTGCGATGAACATCCCGTTGTATATGTCGTCGTCGACAGAACGGTGCGCAATGCCTAGATAAGGAAGATTAGCAAACTGCTGACGCGTTCGACTCCGCCTCAGAGGGACTAACCTTGAGGGGCAGCAGGATGCCATCTGACATACACGACCAGTCACTTAGTGCTCGCGCACGGACATCAGCAGCGACATACCTAATAGTCTCCTGTAAGACGTATTCTACAAAAGGCAGTGCATCGCGGTCGCTGAAGTCCGGCAGTCTACCAGGACCTATCACTCGGTCAATTTCGACCTGTGCTCTGTGCTGCACCTCTGGGAACAGGAGCATGCAGAAGTAGAAGGTTAGGATGAGGGACCATGTCTGAAGTGTGTTCATTAAAGAGGCATGTCAATGAATGAACGAGATTCCGACCGTTTCAGCACCAGCTGACTTGAGGGTCAGATAATGTATCACCTCACAATGTGATCAGAGGACTCACCAGTGAGGATGGTGCCAGCTGCACCTTTGAGGTCACCCAAATCATAATCCTTCGCACCTTCCGTCTTGTATCGCTCCAGATATGAAGATAGAAACGACGGTTGAGCGATGCCTGCGTCCTGCGGGCTAAATGAGTATTTGAGGTTCAGACGAGCATATATGGTGATGAGTACCATCTGTTTCAACACGTCATTGAATGGGTAGTCGTGCATTTCTCGTGTAACAGGGCCCCAACGACGTGCCGCAGCAGTGAAAGAGGAACATCCGGGTAGCCAATGGGGGAGATAGGCCACTAGGATTACGATCAGTCAGGTCAGACTACATGGAATGGGCGGACGCAAGACGCACGTAATGGGAAAAAGTCGACCAGCGAGACACCAAGTTTCGCCTCGTCGGCACCATGCAGTGCATCCGCTGTCAGTTTGACGTAGACGTCGTCGTCAGAATGTACCTGATGGCCGTACGCTATCTCCAAGACGCCTCGCATGGCAAACCTGCAATGATTTAGTTGATCCGTGACACTTGAAGAGCCCACTAGGGAAGATAATCGTACCGTTGCGTCACCTCAATGAATGCATGGGGCGAAGTCAGCAAATCCTTCAGAAGTGCATGCGCTCCTCGAGTCTGCTGGGAGCGATATGTAAGGCTCTCGTTCTCGTTGAAGTATCCTCGGAAAATCTTGCGGTGTTTCTTCCACCGCGGGCCGTATTCCATGAATGCAACATTTGTATCATAGCCCATCCTGAATGTTCTGTCAGGCATACATTCCCCAATGACAAGAATACTAGCCGTGATATTACATCTCTAAGGTGGTGCATGACGGTCTGTCGCTGTATTTGGCACTCCGTTTATCCATAAGGTCAGTAGCGACTTGCAGAGAATTCAGGACCACGATGTTGCGGCCTAATATATGCAATTGGAAGATATCTCCTATCATGAGATATCTTAGGATCAAATAGAGTTCAATACACAGCCAATCCTCACCGTACTTGGTCGCCCATTCGCGGAAGAGTTCGTGCTGACGAGCAAAAGAGAACTTTCGAAGGTGTCCAATGATCGGATCCGCAGGAGGACCAGGAGGCAGAGGCAAAGCGGACTTGTGCCTCCGTCCAATCAAAATGAGCGCCAATATGACTGTGCATGAGCACAAGTATGCAGTTACAGAATCCATGGAGGAAGCTCCGATGTTGGCCGTAGTCCTCTCGCTGAGCCATTTATGCAGGAAATCGGGACACGCATCCTGCTACTTGGCGCACGGCGTGGGGTCTCGACGCCGGCATGGCAGACCATCGGATCTAACGGCCTGTTAGCGCAATCATAGGGGCACATGTGGACGTACGTGGAGAACTAGATAGGTATTTGACAATCATATCATAGCACAGAAGGCCCAGTTTGAAAAACGGCAGAATGGAGGTGCTGAGATTAACTAGATACAGTAGATACTGCATTCCAGGATGTCTATAACTTACCATTGTCAAGCCAAACTGGGCGACCATTGATCTAATGCCCATCCGTTGACATACCAGGAACATCATGACCAGTGTACTCACATACGATGCCCTCGGAGGAGGCCTCTCCGCGGGCCCGCTAGGCATAGCGCCGCCCTCCGAGGAAACTGATTTTTACCGACAGTGTGGTAAGTGCTGCACGTCGGAAGCGCGCTGAGTGTTCGCTGAAAGTCCGCGGCCAGACCGCCTCGACTCAGCCCCAAATTTCCAACTTGTCCTGACTAGTGAGCAAACTAGTAAGTACTTCCCGGCGCTTGAGCACAATCAACACATAACAGAAAACCTTGCACCGGATCCAAGGCACCCATTGACATTCCACGGGCACCTCTCAAGCGCTGCAGTTAGTACATCTACGGCGCCGAACACTCACCGATTCCCCATAGTCTGTTCTACGCTTCGGGATGCATATTGTAAGGACTAGTGCACGAGTGGAGACAAGTGAGCAAAGCCAACTGTCTGTGACGAGGTGGCTGTAATAAGCTCCCGTTGTCACCACGCAGCATACCGGAGAATCGTAATGACCCTCCCGATGTCCGCAGTCGACACGCACCAGACAAATCCTGGAAGTTCCCCAGAGACTGAAGGTTTGGAAGCCCATGATGGAACTCAGAAAAAGGTCACCGGGTGTTCTCGCAAACTGGAGACAAGTCCACGTGAACCTAACCTCCTTGCCGTTGATGAGTACTGAGTGATTGAGTTGTTGCGTGGGTGTCGCAATCAGATACGCAGCGTGCTAGAGGCCTTTACGGAACTTGGCTGCTTCCAGCCATGCACAACAATACAACCGCATACGTTTTCCTGTGCTTGCAATGTACGGCTTCAAACTGCATCGTAATCCTCTCCCAGGTTGTTAAAAGATGAACTTCAAGCAACACGGATACGGTGAATATTCAGGACAACCTAGAGGAGAAGTGCAGGTGAAATAGGAGGAAGCTTACGCGAACGAACAGGACGAATCGGCGACCGTGCGCGCGCGGCTCACCTGGGACACACCAATCACACGCGCGCCAGTAACATAAGCGCCGTTTACATTTGTCTCGATACTTCCGCGAGCCTAAATAATTACATCTGCGATGCACTTTTCTCACCAGGCTTTCAGCGACGGGACCATAGAATTTGCCTTCCAAAGTCACATCAGCCATATGCCAAAGAAGCTGAAGACAACTGCCCACCGCTATCGAGCATTATCTGAAGCGCACCAATCGACACCGAACTTGGGGTCGAAGGCGTCCTCATCGGAGATGGTGTCCGTTCTCCCGCTCAACCCGAGACAATCCATATTGTAGGAAGACGCAGATATGATAGGGCAGAGAGATGCCACATCGGACTCCGAGCGTTGTGGTGTTAGGAACCATCCTCGATAAAGAAGTAAGTGGAAGACTTGAAGCTTGGGTGACAGGAATGGGTGCAGAATAACGTTGTCGGGGCATGTCCATACAGGCTATTATCAATATTTGTGTAAGAGTCAGGAGACTATAGCATCAAGCATACGCGGTAACTCGACGTGCAGAAGTCGCTGGCACAGATATTGCGATATATCTATGATCTTCTGCCACCGCAGTGTCAAGCTTGATGTTCAGCCGTAATTTGAAGCTCGCATGCGCAAAGACAACACATGTGGTGAATAGGCTTGTGGAACTCACTGACATAGACCCACCTGAAGCTCAGGTCAGGCTGAGCACCATTCTCTGCCGCTACTGAGATTTACCATGCAGAGAAGTACTACTTACTACTCACTAGCAGGAGCACAGGAAGTTGCGACATGCAAGTCGTGTGATTTTTGCAAAGTGTTCTGTTCCACTTTGTGCGTCTGTGGTGGAGGGGTCAAACATAGCGAGGGTATCCCGATTCCCGAATGAGGCCCATCAAGGGATGATGGACTTCGGCGCAACTTGGTGGGTGGGATTCATGATTGCGTTCACTCCGCGGAGGCAACCATCAGGCATAGGAACACGTACTATATACGCCGGAACTGTGTACCAGTGGATTGAGATTCCTGTTGTGACAGCTGAGGAGAGGCGTCCCAAAGCGCACTACTCACGCCCACGGGCGCCAATCTAATCTGATCGCTTATCATAGCAGCATAATACAATTCATGTTCGGATGCTATCACGTCCATTCGAAATATTGTTTTCCTCTGCACACAGCCCCCTCACGCTAGTCTCCCAAAGGCAGGCTTATTGTTTGGATACTCTACTTGCTTCAAGATATCTTTATCTGCCCCATGTAACCATTCAAGACTTGCAGCTGTGGTCAGCGTCAGACTTATCCCTTTTTGTGGCACCTATGTGCGGCATCAAGCCGGGTAACCACAGCGCCAACGCGCTGTACGCCACTGATGCACCTGACCAGGTATCCTGAGGTGCGAAGATTCAACCAGTGTCAGTCTAGCTACGTGAGACTGGATTGGACTTTGTCTCACAGTTCCGTCCTCTATCCTTCGAGCACATACGGTGTATTTGTGTCCGTTCATCGCCGGAAAGGTCAGTATGCTGCATCCATGAGGGCTACCTGCAGACCCACTGACCCGCCATCTGCGCGTATCTTCTCCTGGGAGTCAGAATAAGATTCTTCCACGATGACCGGCAGAGTGAGATGCTGACCCACGGCTACAGTCCGAATTTGCGATCCCGCTCACCCGCACATCACCCCTAGATGCAGAAGGTATGTTCTAGATGTCAGCCTTCTCAGGAGAACATCGTGGTTCTGGTCTCCGAGCAATGCGGAACAGACCCCTTCGAAAATCGGATTGTGTTAGCTCTTACCCGGCACATGGTCTGTTGCCTACCGAACAAATTATCCTATCTCTATTCGCTCGGGACGACCCGTTACTCATGTACGTTACTGCGATACCTAGTCGCACGTCACTGAAATAAATTCTCCATAAATTCTCCACACATATTGTTTCTGCTTGCTCGTCACTAACTATCAACATTCTATTTCTGCGACTGGGGGAGCTTTTAAAGATAATGTTTTCAGAAATTTAGACCCAAAAATCTTGACTCCTCGGACACAGGCCCAACTGGTTACACAAGTTCACATCAGCATGCATATCCAAGGGCTATAATTCAAATGGGGTCGGGGCTCCAGAGTGATATCCATTGATGCTGATGTCATGCTGCTAGATGCAGGGTGCTGGTAATACGTGGGACCAGAAGCATGCCGGCATGCGCGCTCCTATAAAATGTTTTCTCATTGAGTTGATCCAGTATCTGAATTCCATTCCATGGATATGATCACCTATTTTGTCTGGGCAGTCGCCGTCATAGCTTGTGCGGCGTTGCTGCGCAGGAACAAGCGAAACCCACCTCTACCTCCTTGTCCTCCTGCAGATCCATTAATCGGCCATCTGCGTCAATTCACGTTCGCTCCTCAACGTGAGCTCTTCCAGAAATGGGCTACGGAATACGGTGAGAGTTCAGTGCACACATCCCAATTGTGGTACAGCTGAAACTAGTTGCTGCCATCGTAGGCGACGTCTTTCATCTCAACATCTTAGGGCAGATTATTATAGTTGTGAACTCCCTTCAAGTCGCAACTGACCTCCTCGAGAAACGGAGCGCGAACTACAGTGACAGGCCTGCTTGTACTGCCCTGGAGATGTACGTGCATTAATTTGATTGTGAAGCATTTACTATACTTAACTCCACAGGATGGGCTGGAAGGCGAACGTTGCCTTTATGCGGTATGGCGCGAGGTGGAGGAAGCACAGAAAACTTTTCCAAGAGTACTTTGGCCAGAGTCAAAGCCTGACATACCGCGCCCATCAGACTGAGGAAGCGCGTATGCTCCTGAAAGATTTGCTCACTTCGCCGGCGGAGTTCAAGGCATGTACGCAGAAGTACGGCTCTCTTTGACTACATTGTGTTCAACATGCCATCCTGAACCATCCGTTTCAGGTATGCTCTTCTGAGCATCATAGGCATTGCATACGGACACCAGGTAAAGTTGGATGACGACGTCTATGTCAAATTTGCACAAGGCGCAATCCACGGAGTCGAAGAAGCCGCTGCAGGAACCACGTTGCTCGACCTCTTACCATTCCGTGCGTCCGGTGATTTCCCGCTAGTTCACACGTCCCACAATTCACTCCGTGATTCAAGTGAAATATATCCCTTACTGGCTGCCCGGATGTGCTTCGTTTACCGCTGCGATGAGGCGGTGGGGCCCTGCTACCAGGGGTTTATGCGAATATCCGCTCAACGATGTGCGGAAGAAGATGGTTGTCCTTGTGCCCACCTTTCGTACGTCAGGTGCTAATTGGCCAAACAGGAAGCGGGGACTGCGCAGAATTCGTTCCTTGCGTCTCACCTGGAGTGCCTCAACACGGACGGCGCCGACGAAGAAGACCTCGAGGACATCAAGGGTGCCGCTGCGACGATACTTGTAGGCAAGTCCAATTCATTTCACCTATCATCATCTGTCTGACGTGGGGCCTAGCTGGTACTGATACGGTCAGGACTTTTTAATTTCGGGCAAGGTTTATCTGTGTGTATGCATATTGACGACGTTACAGACATCCTCGCTCATCCAGAGTTTCCTCCTGTTCATGATGCTGTTCCCCGACGTGCAGCGCAAGGCGCAGCAAGAGATTGACCAAGTCGTCGGCTCCGGGCGGCTCCCAGACTTCGAAGACCGCGATACGCTGCCATTCGTAGAATGCGTACTCCAGGAGACCATACGGTACGCAATTCTCAGCTTGTTATAATTGTATGACAGCTTTGTTATGGACTTCAGATGGTACCCAATCGCTCCGTTCGGTAGAGAATCCCCGATACGTCGGCACTCGGATGTTGCTAACCTTAGACCCCTAGCTATTCCTCACCGAAGTCTCGACGACGACATATACAACGGAGTGCTTATTCCGAAAGGCTCTGTAATCATACCTAACGTGACGTGAGTGCCGTTATCACTACTCTCGCCGTTTACTCAGTTAAATCTGCATCGTCCATTCTCCAGGGCAATGAGCCGCGATGAGACAACGTACAAAGAGGCAAACAAGTTCCTCCCTGAGCGCTTCCTACCGGCTCCTGTCGGTCGCGGCGAGCCGCACCTCAGCGTCATCTTTGGGTTCGGTCGGCGGTATACTATAGCCTCTGTTCGTCATATTTTGTGCACCTGCTCACGCCACACCATAGGATCTGCCCTGGGCAGTATTTTGCGGACAACAGCGCATGGATCGTCATCGCGAGCGTCCTCGCGGCTTTCGACATCTGCAAGCCCGTTGGAGCGGACGGGATAGCAGTTGAGCCCCACATGGAGTACACCACTGATGGGATTGCAAGGTGTGTCTGATTCTGACTGATGTCACACATCCAGTGGTGCGCTTGGCTCAGATCTCTGCTCTTTGTCGTGCAGCCGTCCGATGCCTTTCAAGTGTGTTCTGCGACCGCACTCAGAGACGGCGAAGGCGCTGGTTGAGCAGCACAGGTAATCAGCAAGCGAAGTGGTGAAATGTAATAGAGCAGCAATAACCAAGAAGGCATATGTACAACTGTAATCGGAGATACCCGCTAGCTTTGCTAGTGCGTCTTTGAGGCTTGACGTCTAAACAATGTCCTGCAAGATCACGTGAATGACGTGTTTTATTTGGTGTTCTTTGCGCGTTCGTTGTTTTGCTTCGTTGGCGTTTAGGGGCTTGCCTTGTTGAAGTTGTTGTTTTGTTATGGCTCATCTCGCTGTCTGTGGTTCATATTGTGACATTGCTGCATCTATACTCATCGATCACAGTGTCTCTCGCTCTGTGATTTCTACTATATTTGCGTTGAACAACCGCATTGCTCAGACAATAGTGTGCGGACCGTTGATGAGTGCACACCCGACACAAACACCTAAACCCAACTAAAACAAAATGAGAAGCAGGGTGCGATCTGTGTGTGAGAGAAGGGTGTCACAACTGTAAAATAAAGCAAGTGGGTCCCAGAACCTCGACCTAAGCCAAAGGGGGATGCAACCTGTAAAGAAACGAGGGCTTGCGACGTAAATGCGAAGTCGGGCGACAATCTACGATGAAGTCACAAAAGTTGGAGGTAGGAAGCTAAAGTCGCGACACAATCGCCAAACTCGTAGGCGAAGATGAACTATATCGCAAAGGGCAAGGGAACTATCTGTGGGGGTAGAACACTATGGGGGAACACAGTATTCGCCGTCTCAATGAAGTCGCAGTCAGCCTAACGCAAAAGTCAGATTAAGACTAACACAGGTGGTATATCGCTATATCGCTATGTCGCTATCGCAGTCGCAGTACGCAGTCTCGAAGTATAGCAGTCTCGCTATGTTGCTATGTCGCAGTGTTGCTATGTCGCAGTGGGGTATATCGCAGTTCGAAGTCGCTATTGCAGTAAACACAGTTTCTCGGTGATCTGAAGTGAAGGGGGAAGTCTCCTACTGGTCTTCGATGGTAATCGACGTAGATACAGCAGGTATTTATAGAGGGGAAAATGGGAGAGGTGAAATGCGAAAGTCGCGAAATATTGGAAGATGGATCCTGACATTGGAAAGAGTCGCAATGGTCTAGGACCAATGGAAAAATAGGTAAAGGGAGTGGAGAGGTGAATGTCGCACGTTAGCGATGGAAAAGAATGGTAAAGTAGAGGGAAATCGAAAGAAAACATATGCTACTTGTCCTGAACCACATGGAACACTCTAACGGCATCTCCGGTCCAGCACGAAGGTAGGGGTCTTGAAGGGGAAGGTCGAATGATAAAGGGAATGGGATTTGCAAAACAGGAGGGCGCGACCGTCATGCGACACCGATAAGTCGGCACGATGAACCAGTAAGTTGGCGCGACATCCAGAGAGGCAGCGCGACATCGGGAAAGTATGGACCTAGAAGGTAATCGGCCAGGGCGCATCGGACTAGACTACAGGACAACAGGTAAGTGGTATCTGACAGCAGGGAGATGCAAGAGTGGCATATGAGTGATGAAAGAATGTCGAATCTCGGAGAGGAGTCTCCAGGAATTGAGCGAACTCGAATGAAGTCACACGAAGTCACCAAAGTTTGCATAAGGTTGCAAAAGGGTTGGATGCATCTCGAAGGCTAGGACATAGAGTAGTGAGGTCTGAGCGATCGCTGAAAAATGCATTTTTAAAGGCCAGGAGGTCTGGGAGCATATCATCGTTGAAGGCAATCCAATTTGCATCTGGACCTGTCGCCATTCCGACCATTTCTGGTTGGTTCAGTTCATTGTTTGCTATGAGAATTGGGTATTCGAGATTGTTCGATATCATTTTGGGGGTGATTGGGTTACAGCTTGTTCACCTATCATCCACAGTGACATCTTGTTGGATCCCAATCTTCGCGAATATGCTTGTCTTTTGCATGGACATTTATAGTGTACATCAAATATCAAGGGTGAGGTGGTAATTTTTGATGTATTGACATGTAATATATATTTGTGATTGTAGATGTTGGTGTACCTGTTATTGAAAACACTGGTGGGTGGTTTACTTTATTTTGATTGGCATGTGCTTATGTTGGATGTGTAGGTGGCAGTGCTTTGTCTTCTACCACAATCTCATGTGCAGACCATTCAGAGTCTGCTTATGCTCCTGTTTGGAGTACCTGTTCAGAGCATGCAGCTGTTGATGACCGTGCAGATGTTTCTTCGGGGTCGTGTTCTATGTGCGACACATTTTTGACAACTGATTTTTCTTCACATTGCAATGGAGTTGGTACCTTGCATAAGTGGGGTACAAATCTTGCGTATGTAGTGAGCTTCCTATTTCCTGTTCATCTGACATTGTCGTTGTTTCTGAGCGATAGCAGTAACGATCTCATTTAACATACAGCTGTTACTCATGGTATAGGTGTTGACGTTTCTGTTGATGCTATTTGTCATTTGTTAGTAATGCATATCATGAGTGAGTTGTGTGCAGCTGGTGATACACATAGTTGTAATACTGGATGTCTCCAGATTGCTGGACAAATGAGTGACATTACACAATTGTGAGCTGACATTTTCAGGGTCATTGTCTCTGAGTTTCAGACTGTTGATGTCAAAGTGTTTGATGCATTTTGCCAATGTTTTGGAATATCACGTGATGGGGTTTCTTCTTATGTAGATGAATCAAGCGGGGGGCAAGATCCGGAGATCTAACCCTATGTACCCTTCATAGTCACAATGACCAAGTGCCCGGGGTCTCTAATTTGAACGTTTTGGCTAACTTTCTGGCATGCTCAGAACCTTGACCCCATTATTATCTGGAGACATTCCTTTGCTACTATAAAGTGCAACTGTGTCATAATACAGGGTTAAATGGGAGGGAGGGATGATAGACGGAGACATGCATGGCTTCGAGGGGCCTTTCAGCCACCGAGATTGCTGCATTCAGACAGGGTCCAGCTACAACCGGGACAGTCATGTGAGGTTATCAGTGTCTAATTCATAGCTGCAACATTGCCTGCATTAATGCACCTCACTGTCCAAGACATTATATAGTGCTCAGATAATCAAGACTAGCTAATATTAGGCTGTTCTGCACTATAAGATCATACAAAGAAAAAAAGGGAACTTGAATGGTGTAAAGGGATGACTTGTCTGTGGAGTGCACTGTCATCGTGCACCATTATCCCTTTATCCAAATTGGTTTCGGGGTCCTGATCGAACTTTTGGTACATGCGGTCAGAAATTCTGAATCTGCCCCCCGCTTGAGATGAATGGTCATTTTTATTGCAGTGGTTACATGAATGGTCTCATAATGCATCTACTATATTGTAGGATACTGGTACGTCTACGGTAGAAGACATGTTATTTGAGATGGTGGAATGGATGACGAAAGACGAATTGCTACACCAATGTGTGTCGCATGGTATTGATGTTTCTACTTGTTTGCATTTGCATGATTTACGTGTATTGTTGCTCATGCATGTTTTCTCAGGACATTGTTCTCATCGTCATGTCAATAAGTGTGGTCCAGCGTGTGAATCTACATTAGAACAATACATGGCTGGAGATGATGATGTTGTATACTGTCACGCACCAAAAGTGAGAGAACTCGAACGTGAGAATCCCTTCGAGTTCTACAACTCGTGACAGCATAGACAGGACGTGGAACATGACAAAGTCACAGTTGGTTCTTGTTCCGCATCCATCAGCTCTCGCGCTCTACGCGCTCTCAAGCTTCACTTCTCTCCATGTCCAAGCGAAGTACGCGCAAGCGCGTTCCCATTCCTGCCCCCGTATGCAGTCCTCCTCCTGATTCTGATCCCGTGGAGCACGATGCGGAACTGGATAATATAGAGCAAGACCTCCAATCAGATTCTCACTCCAATACCGAAAACGAACTCGACGCCGCTGAACCGACACATGACTCCCCAACGGGTGAACTTGACGAGCCTATTAATCTTATGCCTGCTCGCGCTGCCACCCCTTCTGGTATTCATATTAAACTTCCCTCTCGTGGCCGACAGCGTTCCAACACTCAGACGCCTAACGAGTGTCATCGTAAGTGACGCAAGAACACTGCTCATCTGCAACATGAACCCTCTCCCTTTTCCTCACCTACTCCACGGTCTGCGGATGCTAGCACCTTGGCAACCCCTCTGCCTGCAGCCTCCATCCCCTGTCCCGTTCGTGACCTTCAATGTGCCGTGCAACTACATCTCGCCGGCATGACTGATGAAGCCCGTGATGACTACTGGCGTCATGTCACAGAGTTCAATCTCGTTTTCCTTGGTGCCTCTACTGCTGCTACTAGCACCGCTGCTCCGCAACAGCCTCCAAGCCCATCTTCATCTGCGATGCAGCAGAACAATCATGACAATGCACTGGGTATGTCGCCCTACCATACCCTCTTGTCCTCGCGCATACACGTACCATCTACTTCCTACAGGCATATACTTGTGCCGTTTACTTTGTTGCTGTGCATATCCGCACCCTTTCCTCCTACATACTAGTGCATACATGCACTGCTTGCTTCTACCCGGTGCATACATGCGTCCTTACTTCCCTACCGGTGCATACATGCATCCTTACCTTCCTACTAAGGCACACTTGCACAGTTATCCATTACTCATTACATTTTCAGACATTCCGCTGCTACCTCCATCGCAACAAGTCACGAAGTCCCGTCATGACTTCCCTACGCACGACATTGCCCTAAAAGCTCATCAGTTACCGTTTCCTACCGCTGTCTCTAATCGGATGAAAGCGGGCTGGAAGGAGTACATCCCACTCACTGCGCTCACCAATATGGCCTGCCGTGCAGCGGCCAACAAGCAACAGACTCGTGATGTTGTAAAGTACGAAGGCGGTGCACTCACTGTCAGTCAGGGTCCCTTGGACAGCTCTCGTGAGCGCTGGCTCACTCTGGCCGAAATTTCGGAAGCATATCCTCGTTTCTTACATCTCATTCAACAGCATTACCCTCATCCCAAGTCTGTCCAGCAGTCTGTTGCGCAGGAATTCGCGACACATTTCCAGCATATAAGCCATCAGCCGGACTTCGCAGAACACATTGGTCTGTACGTTGAATACGACCGACAAATTCGGTTACGCCACATCAGCGGCGAGTTCTTCCGTCCATCTACCTGGCAGGCAGGAATATGGTCGGCAATTCTGAATGACTATATGCTCGGCTGTAGCAATAACACCTACTCTGTCCAAGGTTATCCAATTGATGGAGCCCTGACGCATTTCTTTGCTCCACAATTCTCGTCGCTATTGCGCAGCGTAGCTGCGCCCTCTGCTGGCCCCTTCTGCTCATCTACCTCCCACGCTGACAAACAATGTGGCATAGGAAAGGGTTTTTTTCGTAATGGACCACCACCACCACAGGGCACTTTTCGCTCGCGCGACAGTGGATGGAGCACTGTCCCTGAGCGACTCCGTTGTTTCCTGTGTGGCAGCCGCGAGCACATCAGCATGCAGTGCACATGTGGCACACTCCCCTTTGCACACCGTCGCGATGGCAGACCAGTCCTGCCCACCGGCAAGGCCTTCTGTTTCAACCACAACTCCAGAGGCTGCTCTCGTGACCGCTGTGTTCATGCGCACATCTGTTCTCTCTGCAGAGATGGAGGACACTGTGCCCAGGCCTGCAAGGCTGTTTGATTTCTGCCCGATCATCACCCCACTGCACTGGATCGCTTGGCGCGATGCTCTCGAAGCAGCAGGCTGCCTAGCAGAATTTGCAGATGTACCCATTGGAATTCGCGATGGTTTCCGTATTGGTGTTTCTTCCCATCCTTCTTGTACCGTCATCCCTCCTAATCACAAATCTGCATTTGACCATCCTGATGCTATCACTTCCTACATTCAAACTGAACTTTCTGCATGCCGATATTCTGGTCCCTTCCATCCTGAACGTCTCGAAAAGCTCATCGGCCCCTTCCGCACATCGCCGCTCGGCACCGTCCCCAAGGCCAACAGCCCTGGTGTCTTCCATATTGTTCAAGACTTCTCATACTCACGCAATGACTCACATATCTCCTCCATTAATGCGGAAATCAACAGCGATGATTTTCAGTGTGAATGGAGAACTTTCACTGCATGCGTATTACTAGTTATCAATTCTCCTCCTGGCACGCAGGCTTCTGTAAATGACGTTGAAAAAGCCTATCGCTGCATGCCCATTGCCCCCGAACACCAGCCGTTAGTTGTCATCATGTGGTTAGGACTTGTGTATATGGATCACTGTGCTGCATTTGGCACATCCAGCGCTCCAGGTATCTTTGGTCAAACAGCCGATGCATTGGTACGAATCTTTCGCCATCATGGCATACAAGCCCTAATCAAATGGGTAGATGATTTCGTCTTTTTCCGCTACCCTATCAACTCCAATGCAGATGGTTCCTACGTCTATCCTTACGATGAGTCCCTCATTTTTTCCGTCGCAAAACCTCTCGGGTGGCCGTGGTCTCTCCCAAAGCACTCTCCCTTTGCAAATTCTTTCAGCTACAATGGCTTTCTCTGGCACATTGCCGAACGCACAGTACAAATCCTGGCGCAGAAAAAAGCGAAGTATCTTGCACGTCTCCAGCTCTGGGTCAAACACCACAAGGTCTCGCAGAAGGAGTGTGAAGGGCTTATTGGTACGCTCAACCACTGCTGTCTCGCAGTTCCTGAAGGCCGGACCCGTCTCCCTTCATTCTACCGTCTCTCAAGTTCATTTGCCTCCGCTATGTCACGGTACATCCGCCACACCATTCCTCCCGCATGTCTTGATGACATCTCTTGGTGGTGCAAATGCCTCAGTCTTTCCTTTTGCAGTTCTCTCCTCTATGCCTCACCCGAAGCGACAAATCTCGATGTGTATGTCGACGCATCAACCTCTTGGGGTATCGGCTTAGTCGTCAATGGGAACTGGCTCGCTTGGCGCCTTCGGGATGGCTGGAAGGGTGACGGCCGCGAAATTGGCTGGGCTGAGATGGTAGCTGTTGAGCTCGCTGTCCGCTACCTCACTGAGGTTGCACGCCTTTCTGATCTTCATTTTCTCATCCATTCTGATAACAAAGGTGTTGTAGGTGCTTTAGACGCTGGCTGCTCTCGTAACATACACCAGAATCGTACTTTGCAACATATTGTCTCACTTTTTCTCTCTCACAAGATATGGGTACATACAAACTGGATCCCGTCCAAACAGAACCTTGCCGATGCACCATCTTGTGGCCTTTTTCCCCCACTTTCCCAGAAACTTACGCATCTCCGGTCAATCCCCTCGCATCTTGTACCGTTCGTAGAACCTGTGTAATTACGAACCTCTCTGTATTACCCACTGTTACAATACCTTACACCCTGTCTACAATCACATGTCTTTCCAGCATTACAACCGCCAAAGCCTTTCCTCTGCAACATCATGCCATTCCGCGAACTCCAACTATTCACGGATCAATATCGTCAACACATTCTACTCCAGCGTCACCCTTCTGACCATCTCACCGGCCGCCCTGAACGTACTATCCGTCCTCTGCCATTACCAGCCGCGGCCAACAAAAAACGTAGCCTCTTCGAACCTCACCCGTCTGCACATACACCACGCTCGGACGTACATGTACAACTCTCCAACAGATCCCGAGTCAAGACAAACCAAGTCCTCTCTCTGTGTCTTGCCGACTCTACACTAAATTTGTACGACCCGGATTTGCGTAGCTTTTGGAAATTCTGCGACGGCGAATACATCCCCCAAGTACATCAATTACCCATGAGCGAGCACTTGCTGCGTGCATTCGCAGCATCCCTTGCCGGTACGCACATGTGGAATTCTGTTCGGAACTATCTCTCTGCTGTACGTGCCTGGCACATCATCCACGACGTACCCTGGAAAGGTCACCATTGTTTAACCTACATACTGAATGGAGTCGAGCGTATGCAACCGGATGGCAGACCTCCTCAGCCTCCCGTCACCCGTGATATGCTTGAACTCCTCCATATTGGCCTTGACGATCACATTCCGGAGAACGCCTGCATCCTAGCAGCCGCAGAGACGGCATTCTGGACTCAGTCCCGACTGGGTGAGCTCTTCACAAAAAACCGGTCTACATTCGACCCGCGTCGTGTACCAGCTCGCTCACACTTGTCCCCGCCGTCGACACTGAATGGTTCCCGCACTCTATTCTACCCCTACACGAAGATGAAAAGGTATGCCGGCGACAAGTCCTCCGTCACACGGCAGCTGGGCAAATCCAACCCCATTGAGTCTTTGCGCATTCATCTCGCTCGCAATCACGCCGCAAATGACAGCCCGCTTTTCTCCTTCTTCACGCGGACTGGCGATCTCGTCTGTTTGACGAAACGACATTTCCTCACTGTCTGCAACCGCATTTGGAAGAGTCATGATATACCACACACCACCGGCCACTCTTTCCGAATAGGAGGTACCACAGAACTGCTCATGAAGGGGGTTGATCCCAATGTCGTCAAGATCATGGGCCGCTGGTCGTCAAATGCATTCTTGCGTTACTGGAGGCAGTTAGAAATTATCATTCCCCATCATGCACAACTCCTCGGTACATCCTTTACAAGTTTTCTAACTATGAATACAGTCTCTAAAAGATGACGGAAGAAGCGGGTGTCCTTCATACAGTAACAGGAATACGGACCATTTTTTACTTATGCCTTTATTTGTTTTGTACTTATATCCAGATGTAGCTGCATTCCTTGTCTTCATTGATTGGTGCGCCTCCCTCGAGCTCACTCGTCAGCAACTTCGTCTTGCAGTGGGCGATCCTCGTGCTCACCGTCGGCACACCCCCAGGCCCCCAGACACCTTCAGGGGTATCTGGGAGCAGGCTTCGGCCTGGTCTCACCCATCACCTGCACCTCACTGCTGGGCTCGAGCTGCTCTATCTACTCACAGCTCCTGCTAGCAAGGCATGAGTTGAGAGAACTCGAACGTGAGAATCCCTTTGAGTTCTATGACTCGTGACAGCATAGACAGGACGCAGAACGTGACAGAGTCACAGTTGGTTCTTGTTCCGTGTCCACCAGCTCTCGCGCTCTCAAGCTTCACTTCTCTCCCCACCCACCCACACCTTTTTCTCTATTCTGCAGTCTTTCTTGAACAGCAGTGTGGTGCGTGCCATCGGGCGATCCTCGTGCTCACCGTCGGCACACCCCCAGGCCCCCAGACACCTTCAGGGGTATCTGGAAGCAGGCTTCGGCCTGATCTCACCCATCACCTGCACCTCACTGCTGGGCTCGAGCTGCTCTATCTACTCACAGCTCCTGCTAGCAAGGCACGAGTTGTTTGGCTTGTGAACATGTAACCACTGGTGAAGCACTCAACGTAGAAGTCACATGACTAAGACAGAATCCGAGAACGTTTGGCCGAGCATGTCACCTGATGCTCACATTATGCTATTGGATGGGAAAAACTCGGAGACTGCTTTCTCTCTATTTCTCCCTGCTCGCTTTATGCTATTGGACATGGAGGTCCCAAGAGTTTTGTCTTCCCTGTTTCTCCCTGCTCACTTTATGCTATTGGACACAAAGGTCCTAAGACATTTTTCCTTCCTACTTTCCCCTTTGATCACGTGATGCTCTTATTTTGCTATTGGCCAATCTGCCATGTAACACTACTATATAATGGTCACAATGGGTGACACCCAAGGGGTATAAAAGGACCCCCGAGGCGCCCCGACCCTCAGTCTTCTCTCCCCACTTGTAGCCCCCTATGAGTGAAGAGTTCTCCCTCCGCTTGTAGCTTACCCTACAAGTGATAAACTAAAAGAATAGGAGTTTGTTCCACTCCTCCCAGTAACATTGTTACTCGTAATCAAAAGGATCCCGATGAAGTCAGTTCAGCGCAGGCAGTGAGTTGTTACGAACACAACTACTGCACTCTTGTATCATTTCTTTTGGGTAGTCTAGCACACGGTTGCTAGATACTCAAACCGTTCTCGGAAAGTTCTCGGACAACACGAAGGAAAGTTATCAGCCAGGCACATCGTATTAGGACATGCGCACTCGGTAAAGCCCTGCACACGGTTGTAGGCACCGGATAGGATCACAAAAGACTCGGTAAGCCCTGCACATGGTTGTAGGCACACGAATTAAGAAGACGGCGAAGACTCGGAAAGCCCTGCACCGGTTGTAGGCCTCGTATAAGAAAACTCGTTAAGCCCTGCACTGGTTGTAGGCATCGTATAAGAAGACAGAACACAAGCCCTTGCACATGGTTGCTAGGCATTTCCCCCACATTTCCCCATCTGTATTGTGCAGACTCCCCATTCGACTTCAGACAACAAAACACACATATAGCTCAGGTGTCCCTAACCCACTATCATAAATTTGATATCAACGAACAACTGTAATAGCCCAGCGTACTTTCCCATTTGCCATGCCTGATGAACCACAGCGAAGTACCACTCACTTGACCTGGAGTCAAAAGCTCCTCCAGCCAAGACCTGTGTATACCCTGAGTCAACATCTGGAGCCCACCGCGAGGGGGGTTAGGACCCTTGTTTCCCAAAGCTATATCAATCACACCTCTGAAGCCTGTTAACACAGCAGTCTATCCCACACTACAGCTCTACCCAATCAACACTTTGCAGTCCAATATGGTGACCGGCATCACTGGATTACCGGTTCTGGGAATGAAGGGTTCACCAAAGAAGTTTAAAGGAAGTTATGCAGAAGTTGCGAGGTTCCTGCAGCACTATGAATGGCTGTGTGCTCAGCTTAACATTGTGACTGCAGAGGACCAAGTGGAAAACGTCATGCAGTATTGTGCACGAAGTGTGCGCCAGTTTATGGAATCACTCTCAGCCTACGTCACGCCAGACTGGAATGCCTTCAAGAGAGATGTTCTCACATTTTATGATGCGGACCGAGACAAGAGGCAATATAAGGTTAAGGACCTTGAAGCCTTGGTCAAGGAATCACATCGGAAACCTACTATCAAGAACCTAGGTGCATGGTGGGAATACTCAAGGAACTTCCTCACAGTCGCTGGATGGCTAGTGAATTGTGGTCGCATTTCGGAAGTCGAACAGTCCCTTTATTTCTGGAAAGGGGTTCCCCGTGCTTTCCGTCAAGACCTGGAACCATGCTTGCTTGCCGCAGACCCCAACCACGACATGTTTATCCCGTTCAGCATGAGCAGCATACGCATGAAAGCAAAAACCATTCTGCAGTGCAATCGATTCCACCAGGACCAACTGCCCTCAGAAGACGAAGACTCGAGTGATGACTCAGATGATGCGGATTCGGATGACGATTCAAGTGACTCAGAGGACTCATCTAGTGCTGAAGAAACACATCGACAGAAGTGCAAGGATAAGAAGAAGAAGCAAAGCATGAAGAAATGATCATCAAAGGGAGTGGATGATTTATCAGACGATGAACCAGAAGTTAAAAAGCCAAAGATGAAGTTACCACGGAAATGACCGGCAGTATGTGAGAAAGAAGAAGTGGAAGACTTGGTCAAGCAATTGAATCACATGTCCCTAAACGATCCTGACTATGGACTCCTATACTTCCACGCTTGCAAACTCGACCCGCTCATCACTGCCGTTGTCCGGAAACCAGTAGTGGATGCTCTAATGCAATGACAATTTGGATGACAGATGCCACTGCACATGCCACAGTACCCGCCACCCAGTGTCCCGAACATGCCTCCTCTGCCTGAAATGGCAAGACCACCATCAGACATGCAGTGCTACAGATGTGGGGAAGCAGGACATCGCATTGGAGAATGTGCTCCCATCAATGAACTCATTGCCAAAAGAGTGGTCATGTGGAACATGCAAGGACATTTACAAATAAAAGATGGATCTCGGATATACAGAGGATACAACGAGCTGTTTGTGTCAGCCATCAACCGAATGATCTCCCCTCAATCCCATCTTGTCACGGTCAACCATTCGAGTATGTGCACACATACTGAAGATATGGGCAACGGAAGTGACGCTGATGATGAAACTGGTGAGAGCAATTTCGAAGATGTCTATGTGATGCCCGCAAGTAGGCTGGAATGCAAGATGAGGACAGCCTGACGTGAAGCATTTGATGGAGTCCTAATGCCACCATTGAAAGTTAAAACCAAGATCGTGAAACCTGTACCCATACCCGACATGCCACGCTGCCCGACCATTGTGGAGAAGGAGAATTCCCATCCACTACCACCTCACCGCCCTTGGGAACAACAACAGCCAATTGAAGTACACCCGCCCTTGGGAAATGCAGATGATAGTGACAAGATATTGGACGATGACATCGCCCATGCTCCAGGACCACGTACCACGAAGCCTCGACCCCCGAAATTGGACGAGAAACTAAAAACCTCTGCTGAAGGAAGGCGAATTACTTGACAAAGTGACATTCAGACTCAAGTAGATCAAGTTAAAATTCTGGATAAAGTCTTAAGCACTCCCATTACATTGGCCGTCGGAGAAGTTTTCGGAATCTCGAAGGAAATGGCCCATCATTTACAAGATGTTCTCAAGCCTAAAGCGTCTCAGCCATTACACCCGCTCAAAGTAAACTTGGTGGCATCATCCTTCTCGACCAAGACCCGAGGAACATTGATACGACTACAAATGGAATGCGACGGAACTGCAGTCACAGTGATAATCGATACGGGAAGCCAATTGAACATCACAAGCAAGAAGATCTGGAAAGCAGTAATCAATCGGCCAATGGATATTGCTCGGTCAATTAGCATGAATGACGCTAATGGAGGAGCTGGTCTACTATGTGGATTACTTCAGAACGTGCCGCTGTCATGTGGAGGCATTATGACCTTTGCCAACCTTTATGTGGAAGATCAAGTGTCTTTCAATTTGCTGCTCGGATGACCATGGCAACGAGGAAACTACATATCAATCGATGAATGTGCCAATGGAATGTACCTGTTATTCAAGGACCACGAGCTTGAAGTCCGTCATGAGTTATTGGTCACGCCCAATGGCATGAACCCTAACTGGACCTTCGACCCAGTGGTATGGACTATTCTGCATGAGCTTCAAACTCTGCAGGTGTATTTCTTTGGGAGCAACAAAATGGTTGCATTGAATGCCAGAAAGCAAGTACGACAATCAGCAGAGCAAGATGGAACTACAAGTATCTACACTGCCCCCGACACTAACTCGCCGCCTAGATATGAAGACCAATGGATGACAGACTGCAAGGAGACCGAACATTGTGTGGCTATGATGTTGGACAGCGGACCCTTGAGCAGGGACGAATGGAAGAAACAGCAAGAAATATGCACCAAGGACATCGAACATCTGCTAAGCAGAGCCCGTGTACTTCCTGTGATGCTGCCTGACTGTATGCTGCACAAGGAATGCCCTGACATCAAAGAGGAACCAATTAGCTCGGACAATGAAATATTGGACCTACTGCGATGCACCTGTATCCCAGCCAGGAACATGCCGGATAGGAATTGAATCGGCCGAGAATGTGACAGGACGACGGACACAGGAGGATGAAGAGGCCGATGAATGAATGCGAAAGACAAAGGAAGCACGATGGACACCTGTGGACAGAATGAACTGCATGCCACGGTTGACTGCAAGAGTCGAAGTCAGCAAATGGAAAAGAAAGAAGAAATCGCACACGTACCAATGGAATAAACGATCCCGCACTGCCCACATTCACGCGTGCACTTCCAGGAACTGCCGACAGATGAAGAGAACTGAGGATCGTGCCACGCTCAATGAAGAGGGAAAAGACCGGCCAAGCTGCGACAGGCAGAAAGCGTCGCAGCGTCGCTGTTGATGAACTCTGAAAATCAAACATTAGTGCAACGAAATGCAATGAAAGAACATATCACAGCTCACCCAATGGACGACAAACGAGAGGGAATGTACAGGGATTGACTGCACTCGCACTCCTCTGCGAGGCCCATGCAACTCCCACCTGAGATGTGCCTTCAACGAACGTATGCCAGCTGCAATCTGAAAGGAGATATGAGAGATAAGAAAAAACAGGAGAAAGAAAAGGAAGCTTACTTTGTGGGGATAAGCACTCACCAGAATCCCGGATCATTGAAGACCCCCCTGGCACAGGAAAACAGAGAGCAAGAGATAAGAAGCCTAGTGAAGAAGTGGGAGGAATGGACAGAGGCTGCACTGCAGAGGACACTGCAAACCACCGAAGAAGGACTTGTGCACGAACTCAACGCCAGGTCCCGTGCCTGCACGTCAAGCCCTACCGAGGCTTTCCATGACAGACAGGGTGCAGAGGGAAATAGAGAGGACCAAGACAAAGATAACCCGGACAGAACGTGACAGAAAGGAGGCCGAAAGCAAGAATGCGCGACTGCGCAAGGAGCAAGAGCAATGTGGGCCGCATGAAAAATGTGCGCCCGATGCGAGGCCAATGAGTTAGCCGCCGAGAAAACAGAAAAACATAAGAAAACAGAAACTTACTTTATTGGAATCAACAATGCGGGTGCTACAACGGGCGCTCCGCAAAATGAAGCTGAGCCAGAACTTCAAGATCTAGGTCCCAAGATCGAGATTAAGATAGGAGATCACACGCTCGATCAAGAAGATATTATTGCGCTCCTCGGTCTCGGAGGCCTGGCAGATCCTACATTCCCCTTGTGTCTCTCCCAATCCCACTTCGGAGCTCTCATTACTGGACTCACTGTGCTCTTGGACGCGACCCCCCAGACTCCCGGATCGAACACACCCAATTTATACGACTTGCAATATATGGAGCCTGCCCCGGATTTACCTATAACTTACGTGGAGGATGCTCGACCACTCAGATCACCCCCCCTTCCTTTCTCCAACCTCTCCTCCACTGCTATGACCTGCTGTGATGATTCCCCAGCCCGTGTTCTGCCACAAGAGCGCAAATATGCCATACGCATGTCTAGCTACACTGAGTCCCACCTCGATATTCCGCCGCTGCCTGAGCATCCTATATTAGGCAACCTCACTCGTGACACCCGTGGAAAGTCGATCTATGACCTGTTGAGTGACGCAGTCTCTCAGTATACTCAGTATAGGCAGCACAACATGTTCTCGTCTGTCTGCCTCAGGTCCCCCGCCACTATCGTCTATGCCCCGATGCAGACTTGTTACGGACCTGCACGCCCTTGTGTACAGATGATGGTCATGCAGGCTGAGTTCTGTCTGAATGGAATGGACCGCGCGAGCATATGTTATGGGCTCGCAGTCTCATTTTTCTTCGGAAGTGATGCACACCCACCTGATAGTTTCTTCCCTGCCCCAATTGTAGGAAAGTTGTTTCCCAGCCCGAGCGTGGGCCCACGTTTCTCAGACGACTTAGCCGGAGCTGTAGGAATGGTATGCGAAGGACCGGAGATGTGATCACGTGCTGCCAAGAGGTGCTGACTGATGGATATCATAACTTGACCTGTGCCGATGACTGTGCTTGCACCCATTCCGTGGATTGACATTCAAGGAAATAACGCTGCAGTTTCTGTGAAGGACGCCTTACCCATGGAGATACATCTTGTCGCGATGCGACCAGTTGAGTACTCGATGCATGTGCGTGACTTCAATTCTGATCGTATTGCATCTTCGCAGACTCAGTGCCCCCAAAATGCTGAGTCAGAGGGGAGTACATCGAACGAAGTTTTGGTTGGCACTGAGCTCGCACCGCCCGCCGATACGCGTTTCATTTTAATCACCCCACCGCCAATGCCTATATCCATTATGCCTGAAAGCTCGAATGCATCATCCTTCAAGGATCCGCATAGCCCGACTACTGTTCTCGCCATTCCTGCACATAGTCCCACACTCGCCGCTGCACCAATTGTTCCCGCCATCACTCCTGCTGCGAGCCCGACCATTGCTGCGCTGAACTCAACACAATTGGCTGTGGTCATAGACCGACACACTGCCCTACCATTACCAAGCAATGTAAAGAAGAACGTTTCATTGTCGCCCCCATCTACCATTAGCTCACTGCCGTATTCTCTGACTGGACATGCCACACTCGACCTAGCCATTAAGGAATTGTTGGCGATGCCTGACCAGGTGCTCAACCAACCAGCACGCCGACTTTCTCGATCGCCCGATATGACCGCACCCATTCCGCTCCTGCCCATTTTACCAGTAAAGGATCTCCTTTACCCTCCTTCCCCATCCTCTGACACTACATCGCCAGCTGCTATGATTGAACACCAGGAATGGGTGGAGGACGTGGAGATGACTGACTCAGATGCACAGGAGTCTATTTTGAAAGCAGAATGGATCGCCGCCATCGCGCCGGAGAATAAGTCATACGTCCTCGCTCCCTACCTTGGTGTGCACCGTGACATGATCCTGCTCAAGAACGAACTGTATGTGCACGCTAAGCTGTACGCTCCACCGTTTTCATTTGATCAAACCAATGACTTTCATGGTCACCTTTCATGCCATTATGTCCCGCGCAAATATTGACAGTCTTGAAGATAGTAAAGAGATGAAGGACCCCTTCACTATGCGTATTGCTGCCATGGTTTGCCAGCATCGCGACTACTCTGCGCTCTGGTACTCTCACCTAGGAAATCTGTTTCTTTGGCCTGAAGAACGTCTTGCACTTGCTGAAGCTCGAGCACTCTTCGAGCTCTACCCTACAACAGATGCTCAACGTCAGGACCTCAATGATACGTGCGTTATTCTTGACATCATCGACTTCATGCTCAGATATGACATCAAATGCAGATATGCGCACAATATTCACCGCTGTCATCGCCAAGGACTCTTTGAAAAGCCTGGCGAGCTGCCTCCTCCAGTGCCATCCTTGGCTTCTGGAAGTTGCGCTTGAACATGAACATGCACTGTATGTTCTCGATGTATGGAATGAAATGTACGACACTTACTTGCTATGTTCCATGCAGAAACTTTCCCTCGACACCACAGAGTGCAGGGATTCAAGAATGGCCACTTTTTCTCTTCTCCATCTTGCCGCTGCACCTGTAGTATTCTCGAACTCGGACTCAACCGACTGACTGGTACGCTGTTCCCTGTATGTTACCTGATGAGGACTTTGGTTTGGAGACCACGAACAAGTTGCTGCTCGCTCGCGTGTCGCAACGTGTATGGCATGGACTATTTCCAATGTTTTGGACTATGTGTTGTTACTTGGACTTACGTATGTGGACGCTGTGTGTGGACTTGTACCGTGTTTTTGCGCTTGGACATTATCTCTGTACGCTGACACCTGGAGATCGTGGAATCGAGTTATGCTTTGTAAGCTAGATCCTTAGGCTCACCAGGGCTGCAGTGGACTCAATGTATAGCCAAAACTAAGCTAAGACTGAGTGTGTACAGCTAGATGGTGAGTGTAGGGGATATAAAGCAACTTGCTTATGTAAGTAGTAAGCAGTCCATAATGAGTAACGGTCGTCAGAACCGACCCGTTACAGCTTTTCATGGAGTCTTACGGGTGTGATGAGGAAAAATCGAAATGAACAGATAAAAATAGCAAAAAAGGACAAAGAGAAAAACATGCAGAAAAGGATACAGAAAAATATGGAAGACGCTGCGCCCTCACCAGTGTACTATCTACATATCGCGGAAGAAGGAGCAGAAGAAGAAAACCCAGTACCAGAGCCACTGTACTATTCCATGGAGCCTAAAGACGATGAAGATTACTTGTTCGTGGGAATAGGGAACGAAGTATATGGAGCTTACAAATGCATGGACTGAAAAGTCAAGCCAGTCCCCGGAGTATTTCCAGAAGATGCTCGTGTGCATCGTGCCTTTCCTGAAGACCCACTTGCATCACTCCCGCCACTCACACCACACCCGCCAGACTTCACACCTGGAACACAACTTACACAGGAACGAATGGAGGAGATGAACATAAACCCGGATGGATTTCTACGCCCGGAAGAAGAAAAGCTATTGAAGCATATCCTGCGACTCAACAAAGCAGCTTTGGCCTTTGAAGACGCAGATTGAGGAACGTTTAGGGAGGATTATTTCTCTCCCTACATCATTCCAATAGTGCCGCATGAACCTTGGGAATCTTCGAATATTCCTATCCCCCCTGTATCAAGGAGAAAGTTATCGAGCTTCTTAAAAAAAAGATGGTTGCCGGAGTATATGAAGCCAGCCAGTCCTCATATCGCTCACAATAGTTTTGCGTGATGAAGAAAAATGGAAAACTATGGATCGTCCACGAGCTACAGCTGTTAAACAAAGTCACCATCTGAGACACAAAACTCCCGCCCTCACTGGATGACTTCATATTCTCAGGAAGAAAAGTTTACACTGTCAGAGACCTTCATTGGGGATTTGATGCACGCAAAGTGGACACGAGCAGCCGAGACCTGACATCATTCCATACTCCTTTGGGACTGCTACAAATCACATCACTTCCCACCGGCTTCACAAACTCGCCTGCCGAATTTCAAAATTCCATGACCTTCATATTGCAAGATGAAATCCCGACCAAAGCAGATATCTTTATCAACGACCTGCCTATCAAAGGAACCGACACCGAGTACCCTGACGCCGATGGGGAGCCAGAAGTATTATTGGAGAACCTCAGAATCAGACGCTTCATATGGGAACATGCATTGTATGTGCACCAAATTTTGCATCGAATCGAACATGCTGGAGCCACATTCTCAGGAAAGAAGTTCCAATTGGCCCGCCAACGAGTTCTTATTGTTGGACAAACATGCACCTCAGAAGGACGCCTGCCCGATGACCAAAAAATAGAGAAAATCCTTAGTACGGCCCTTATCAACCCACACAACTTCTCAATGTATAGTGGGACATTGTAGGACACTTACACATTATTAAATGGTATACTAGGAGTTCATACAAGATGTAATAACAATTTCTTGTATACATTTTAATACATTGTTATAGGCACATGTGTAACAGTTTCTGGTGTTATTTTTTGTAGTGGTTTTTATAGGCACATTTGTAACAGTTTCTAGGGTCATTTTTTGTAGTGATTCTTATAGGCAGTTGGTGACATTTTTTGTAGTGATTTTTAAGGGTAACTTTTTTATAATGATTCTTGTAGGAACATTTGTAACAGTTTCTAGTGTCATGTAGTGATTCTTATAGGTAACAATTTTGTAGTGACTCTTGTAGGAACATTTGTAACAGTTTCTAGGGTCACATTTTGTAGTAATTCATATAAGTACGTTGGTAACATTTTTTGTAGTGATTCTTGTAGGAATATTTGGAACAGTTTCTAGGGTCATTTTTGTAGTGATTCTTATAAGCACGTTGGTAACATTTTTTGTAGTGATTCTTATAAACACATTGGTAACAGTTTCTAGTGTTATTTTTTGTAGTGATTCTTATAGGCACGTTGGTAACATTTTTTGTAGTGATTCTTGTAGGCATGTTAGTAACAGTTTCTGGTGTTATTTTTTGTAGTGGTTCTTATAGGCACATTGATAACATTTTTTGTAGTGATTCTTATAGGAACATTTGGAACAGTTTCTAGAGTCATTTTTTGTAGTGATTCTTATAGGCACGTTGGTAGCATTTTTTGTAGTGATTCTTATAGGAACAGTTTCTAGGGTTATTTTTTGTAGTGAGTCTTATAAGTATGTTGATAACATTTTTTGCAGTGATTCTTGTAGGCACATTTGTAACAGTTTCTAGGGTCATTTTTTGTAGTGATTCTTATAGGTAACAATTTTGTAGTGATTCTTGTAGGAACATTTGTAACAGTTTCTAGCGTCATTTTTTGTGATAATTCTTATAGGCAGTTGGTAACATTTTTTGTAGTGATTCTTATAGGTAACAATTTTGTAGTGATTCTTGTAGGAACATTTGTAACAGTTTCTAGGGTCATTTTTGTAGTTATTCACATAAGTACGTTGGTAACATTTTTTGTAGTGATTCTTGTAGGCACATTTGTTTTTTGCAGTAGGCTGTTATATATGATACTATGTCATTTAGTAGAGATGATTAGATATATCATCAGGCACTGTAAGGTTCTTAAAAATGTATACTAATTACACTTCTATAATCTTATATAGTCATTACACACATATACTAGGTAACCTTTTTAGCCCTCAATGTCCCACCACTGGTAAGAATGATTCTCTTCATTTCTCAAGAATTGTAACTTCAACAGCTCCTAACTTTCCCCATTTGGGCAAGTGTATTCTGAGGTCAGAAATATTTTTAAAAGGCAGAAAAAGGCGGAAAATTTAGAAACATGACCTAGGTAATGACACACACGATTTGTGTCTCACGTAAAGATTCTACCCTACACAGGAAGATCTCCATGCACGACTTGCAAGAGCAGCGAATGGGAAAGGACAATGCCAACCTTTCCTCAAGATATATCGCACCTACATGCCAACCGCCCTGAGGACGAGTACATCGCACGAGATATCGCGATCTCATCCATCGGCACATACATCGCCTTTGCCTCTCTTTACGGTCGCTCAACGTAGGCAATCCCCTCGTTTGCATCAGTGCAAGATCCTGCTCGGTCCCCTTTCCCCTATTCTCAGAATTGTTGTTCATCTGCCGAGCAGACGATCAATGGACTTCGCTTGTCGAGGAGTAGATTGCGGAGAAGAGGAATATGAGATGAAGATGCTGGGTTTGATTGAAGTGTAGGGAATTGTGTTTGTATCCTTTTATTATTATTGCCAGTCATACTTTTAGTTACAAGTGCTCAGTACACAGTTTGTTATGCTTTGTAACTTGTCGAAATGTTCCATTGATTCTATTTGTTATTTGCTGTATAAATAAGTACAACAATAGCTTAGCTATTGTTTTCATTTATTTATTATCCTAAGACAATAGCCTACTATTCATAACACTAAGAACTATTGTTCCTATTGATTCAAGTGGCTATTATTCTCATTAATTTACTTAGCTATTGTTTATCTTCGCTATTATTTCTATTGAACCTTCTGGCTATTGAACACCCTTTTTAGTGTATTTTATGAACAACCTATTGTTACATAGGCAATTTTTCATCCTTCTATTATTATTTTCCATTGTTTCTGTCTATTATGCTTTGGACCTTATTGTCCTAATTTTCCCACAAGTTTTAGTATATAAAGGCCCCTGCCTGAGACAGAAAAATCAATATACTGATATTCACATACAACTGCGTGCCAAGCAATCAAGTACTATTAAGTAAAGTAGTAAGGTCTCTGTCTAAGTCACTAGTAGTTTATAAGTACATAACGTTGTACTTATTGGATTACAAAGTCTATCGCCCAAGTCTCTAAGTCTATAAGTCTCAAGGTCTGATATCAGAGTCCGTGTACTCATATCAGTCAACTTTACTAAAGTCAGTACTTTATCCAAGAAGGGTATTTACTACTTCATTCTTATTTCTAACACCTAATTTACTTCAGTAACAACTGAGATACAATCCGACTTAAGACCAGTCCGATTATCTCAGAATTTGTGGAGATTTGAAGTCTCGCTTGACACTAGACATTTTTATTAAATCACTCAAGTTGTACGTCAGTAACCATGGGTACCTTAGGTAAGTCAGTTTCCAAATTAGGAAACTGACTAAGCAGGCCTTCATGTCGTTCACCTCAGTATTGCAAAAGTGGTTTGTCACTCAAATCTTAATGGAATTGAATGTTCTAGAGTGCTCACTAGGGCTATTTTTTTGGTTTCAATTCAATGGTGATGGTTACAATGCATTGAACTTAGTATAACACTCTATAGAACATAATTTCAATGTTCTCTGAGATAGAGCTGTTATCTGTTATCTAATCTAAGTGCTGCAGCCATGCATCTGTTGATGGTTATTTATACAAGTTGTGCTAGTTTTTATTACAACTGTTTTGAACATCCACCTATAGTCAA